AGCCGAGGAACCTGCAATGCCACTGCCACACCGTACCAGGAGCCGGTACCACAGGCCACAGGTGGAAAATTGAGCGCCACTGCAGCACCCAGTATGGATCGCCAGGCCGGGATGCGCAGCGAGAAACAGGCAACAGAATTCCTCACATGCTGACTGGATGCTTTCGGGGTTATACCGCCCACTAGCGGCCGGCATGCGAAGAATTAGGCTGGGGCCGCGGCACTATCAGCATCCACTTGCGAACGCATCCCGCGCGCCAATGCTCACGCCATGGCCGGTGGCTGCTGCTATAGACGATGTACTCGCAGCTTTCAGAAATCAGCCGTCGCCTCACTCTCTTACCAAATATTAACGGCTCTCGGCCATGCAGAATCCAAGCGCGCTCCTCTTCCTGCCTAGCGTGGCACCAGACCAGGCCTTGACTTGGACGAATATGTCCGAATGCAGAACTTCTTCTTGACTCTGTACACAGAGCGAGTATCGACGGAAGACTGCATCTCAATTAATCACGCCGAGGTCTGAGCAGTCAAAAGGGCCGTCCAACGCTGCAAGTACTTCGTATACGCGCTGACATCTGCTGATCATCGAGGTACTCTTCAGCTGCTAGTAAAACAACATGGTGGGGATGATCCATTAATCTGCTCCCACAAAATTAATTCTGCTGCCTGATCATTGCCAGAAGTGAGAGCAAGAAATAGCCTGTCAATCAGCAAAACCGAAATTCCGCTTTTATCCCCTCTGGGCTAGCTCAGCAGCAGATGCTTGCCAATGGGCGGAGAATGGCGAACGAGGTCCCCAAGTCTTGTTACAGTCGAATACGAGTCAAAGATACCTACTTGCAAGAATATGGACATGAGCCAACAGAGAGTACGCGTACTGACACATGATTTGCAGCGCTACACACTCAAGTACTGCTACAGCAAAGTCAATCAACATCAAGGATACAAAATCCTCACTCGCAGCTAGGAAGCCAATGACGGCTGATACCAAAGTTTGGGACCGCCATCAGACAAGGTAGTCCCAGCTGCGAGAGTCATGCATCCATAACACGTGATGGATAGACTACAGGTCTGGAATTATTGCTTCCATATAGACCGAGCCAAGCTTTCATTCTCTCTTGTACTCTGTACTCTCACGTCTCCACATCTCTCCGTCCAGGTGGACCACCGCTTTAACTACAGCAATCTACTGTTTGATATTCGGCGTTGTATTGGTAGATCTTATCCAAACAAGTCAAGCTGAGAATGCTGAGACATTCATGGCTGCAGCATGGCTGATGGGTCGAATCTACGATTCAAAAATGCAGAGATAAGGGCCTGATAACTCCAAGTCGGGGCAGAGTAGCGTTCAGTCTGCAAATCATAATTGGCAGCGCATACTAAAACAAATGCTCAGGAACTCGACTCTGTTGCCATCGTTTGCAGTCTCCATTTCCAATAATACCCATCACTAGTCGGAGCTTACCGCCCAGCCTCCTTGGCCAGACTAAAGATACCAAGGGTGGAAATATTTGATTACATACAAGCCAAGCTTTCGGCCTCACCGCGTCCAACATCAATACCACGATTGAAAATGGCCATGGCTAGTCGATTTCTAGCGTAATTATGTGAGTCTTCATTTATTCACTCAGACTAGCACGTGTATGCTTCAAGTTTCCCTTTTGTGAAAATGCTTCTCATAATGTTCGAGCTTCTCCAGCGAATGAGTGTGAATATCTCGATACGCCACCTCCAACTGGCCATGCCAAGTGCCTCAGCCCTCAAACGCCACCCTTTCTGAACCGTCTTGTCAATCTCCACACACCATGTCGCTAGCTTGGCATTAGACCACCCGCTTTCAAAGCCATTCCGCTCCACGTTCTATCCTTGCCCGAGCCGGGGGGCATAAACAAGACCCGCACATGGGATCTAATCTTGACCAGTGGCAGCTGTGATAATGCTGATGCCTGCTATGAAAAAGCCATCATGGACACGAGCATGTGAGCTACGGACGAGGACTGAAAATAGTACACCGCCCGCATGGATCACGCTTGTATCATGAATGGAACTGCTGGGCAATGTCACGCCCCCCACGAGGCTTGCTGGAGCTAAGCACGTATGGAGTATCAAGTATGATGCCGGAGATCCAGCCCCGAGTACTCGGATCATGCTATCCTGCAATGAAACCGCCATGGTGTTGAGCTATTGGATATGGCTTTTAGGCATCCAAGTTATATACCTTGGCTTGCAGGCGGTCTGGGCCTCTTCCTCCGGACATAATCCCCTCATATGGAAATCTCCCATGGCAAGCATCGCTAATCCGAGAGTAATCGTAGCTGAGAATTCGGGCGTTTCTGCGAAACATTACACGATTGCGAAGTCGGGGGGTAATATGCATGGCTCATGTGGCGAGAAGTCTTTGGATTCCCTCGTCCTACGAGTACAGCCATTTCCATCATCTATTTGCGGATTTCTCAGGTTTGAACACAGCTACAGGCTTTTGATTCGACTGAGTGGTTGATTGCTTTTCATGGAATCAACATGGAATATATGTAGGCAGCTAGTGTAATTACGGATGAGCAAACAATGACGTGTAGCTTTGTATTTCACAAACGACTGCCGTTGGCACTTGAAATATGAGAATGCGTAGGCAACACGTAGACTATTTCACTTGTACTCTGTTATAAACTTATTTACACTTTATCAACGTGTTTGTGTAGGGGCGTCAATGTCATTTGCACGCTTGTTGACGTATCACCATCATGTTGCTAATTGCAAAGTGTTTGCAAAACCCTTTCAAACATGGCAAAGAAAGTCGTATTCAAATTCCCCAAAGGTGCAGAGGTAGCACTGATTGCGCGGTTAAAAGAGAGACCGATATACTGAAAATTTCGATATGATTTCAAAGTAAAGAACTACATCTCACGTTGACACTAAGCGTTAATGGACATGATGGCCGAGACGTTGTAACTCACACAAATCAAGAATAACTTTGCACAGGCTTAGCTTCGATACAGGCATTTATGTGAACGACTATTTCTAGTCTCCAATGTATCAAAATTATGAAGGATATTACTAATTCAATTTGGTTATATTCCTTATAGGGTAAAGCAGTCCAGTACCCCAGCTGCTATTGCTGCCACTTTTAAGCCTTCATATAACTTTATATGCAGATTGACTGTGCTATTGGACTTCATTAGATAGTAGAGCTAGTCTTCTAGATAACATTTCCCGTCTTATAGCAATTGATGACTGCATGTGCTATAAAAAGCTCGGACCAGCGAACCATATAATAGGTATTGTAAAAATTTCATAAATTACCTAGGTAGGCTCACGCATTGTCCGATGCACTAAGGACCAAAGACTGAATTAGATGGGATGTTGAACTCTTTTCATACTCCCCAAAGCAGTTCTCTAAAAGGCTAGCCAACGCCTTTTATTCTCTTGAAAATATCACACCTCAATTGATTAACTCTTCGACAAAACATTGAGCCGCACACGCAGCACTCCAGGATCTCATAGCACCAGCTGTTTCTCGAAACTAGCGACAATAGTAATCCAGGAGCCATTGACAACACAGACTTTCTTTCATCACACAAGCACTCTCCCAAGAATCTGAAATGTCCCATCTAAACTCCAATATGTCGCGCAGGGGAGAGCCAAAACGCCTGCTCCGGAAAGAATGTCATAATTACCAATATTGCTGGTCTTGGGGGCAAGACCGCCTGGCTGGAAAAGGTCGTTCTTCCTAGTGATTTCATCATCGTGGAATTTGTCTTCCGCTTAGAGTAAAAAGGCAAACACTCAAAGCATACCTAATTGAAATCGCAGCGGCAGACCTAGTCAAGTTGCTCAAGCAATTGAAGAATCTTGGGTACCAGTGCGTTTTCATGAGATATGTATTAGCCATTAATACAAGCAACGGCGTCCCTCCATCATGTGCCTCACCTGTGGTATCGGCGGAACAGTGTTTAAAAGGGTATTTCTATTCTTCAAACGTTAAATACACTTTGGCGAAGACCAACTATCCACTCAGGCAATGGTTTAGTGGGAGTTGAATGAACACATCGAGGTTGCCGATAGGATATCATGCCTTGTACGTTACCAAGTCAATATCGCTTTAGCTCTTGCTCAAGTAATCCATGACTTGTTAGACCACCATGAAAATTTATCGTTCGAGTTTGAGTGTCTGGGTGAGATTCGAACATTCACGCTCATCAACTTCTAGCCAGAAGAACCTGAACAGGGCGAATATGAAGTGGTGAGCCCCTTACTCTCAGTCTTAGGGGAAAGTTATCCAGCACCCCAGTCTATTATCTGGCACTCCAGCTATAGCAGGGGCTACTGCTGCTGCTGCTGCTGCTGCTGTTGCTGTTGCCACTAATGCTATATTTTGATGTGTGGACTCGTTGATAGAATACCCGAATTCAGAGGATTTTCTGTTGCCACTTTTGCTCAGGCCAGCTGCCGCGCGATCTAGTCCCGCTCCGGTAATACCCTGGAGCTAGGCAGCTCAGTATTGTTCGGATTGCTCCTCTGCCCAATAAACTGCGATTGGCGGGGTTATCCAACCGTCTTGTATATAGGGGGTGGAGTGGGAGATTGGAACCTACCATGGATAGGCTCGTAAATGCCTTGGACCTTGGGCTATTTTTCGCTCGGAATTCCACAAAGACTCGCACTGTCGATAGGCTGGTGCTCAAGCTTCAGATCTGGGCGGGAGTACGGCTCCGTGTCCCACGCCTTGCTGCAATTCATCAAGTGAATGGGAAATAAAGAATATTGATGAGGCGTGGGATGCGGAAACAACATGGCAGGCACGCCCCTTTCTTTCGAAATCTATCGTGTGTCATCATAGGAAACGCCAAAAGATGAAAGGTTTGTATAAGTCCGTTTATTACTATACTAAACTAAACAACGATGCATTAATGATCCATTGAAAAGATGAACTCGTGGGAGCACTATCGAATACCAAGAAAAATTGCCTCCAGCCAAGGGGATTTCAACAAATCATACATCTACCTAGTCCTTGCAAAACCACAGACAAACCACCGGCTTCTCATTTGGATTGCCCGTCCGCGTAGAATCCCATCCCACATCTTTAATCGTCTTCTTCAGCATATCCTTGTCTGCGCCATTCACCTCCAGCCCCTTGTACCACTTTCCTCCACCTCCGCTCACAACCTCGAAGCACTTGTTCTTTTTCGGCGTCGGATTCGTGCAGCCGAATCCCTTGAGCAGCTCCGCCATGGTGGTGTTGCACGGTATATGCGCCGCTTTGAAGGGGATTTGTGCTGTGGGGGGGAGCTGCCATGGGGGGGTGTTGGTCTTGAAGACGTGGGCTTTGGTGTGTTCTGCGGGGAAGAAGTAGTTGTAGCCCGGCTCGCAGCCCGTGCCGCCGGTGGTGTTTGTCATTTGGGCAGCCGGCATGGTAGGATCAATGTTGGGATACGGCTGTGGTTGGCGGGGGAGGAGATTGCCTGTTCCGTTGGGCTGGTAGGCAAATGTCTGTGGAGCTTGGAAGCCGGGATAGGCTCCCTGGGCATGCATGCCGCCATACTGCGGGAAGCCTTGGGCGGCGCCTGTAGGATAGTATCCGTAAGCCGTGTTGGGCCACGAGGCGTATTGAGGCACTGTACCAAAGTTGTAGCCTGGACCGCCAGCATGGGGGATGTATGCTTGGCCTTGGACCGGCTGGGGGGCTCCGTACGGAGAGAAGGCGGGGCGGCCGGATCCCGAGTCCCGGCCGGTGATGGGGTTCCAGCCTCCGGACATGGTGGGGTCGGGCTCAGAAGAAGGGCGTGGTAGACTGGGGCTGCCAGGTATGGACCCAACGTTGGACGGTGGGATCGAACGAGGCTTGCCAGTGGCCGGGGACGGCACCAGAGATGGTGGGATCCCAGACAGAGGCCGGGTTGATATAGGTTGGTGGTTGGAGATGGTTTAGGGCGTGATGATTGTAATAATGAGGAGGAGGGTAGGGATAAGTGTGAGGATGGATGTGAGAGTGAGGGTGGAAATTGTAATTGTATGGAGAAAAGGCCGGAGTACGGTTATTATAGCCTTGGTCTGCGTTGAGTGTACGGCTGTAATTCTCGAAGGGCCGAGACTGATGCTGGGGCGATTCAGAGTGGCGAACTGGAGGAGATTGTACTTGCAAGCTAGCGTCAATCAAGGCTACTCAAAGTAGATACATGTATATCTTGAAAAAAAAACAAAAGGTTGAGATGAGGGTGATTCGAAATCAAAAACCGTCAATCATTCCATGGCTGGCTTACCAGTTGGTGAATCAGATCCAAAGTCTGTCTCTCCTCCTGCTTCCTCTTCCGAATCTTGCTCTTCGTCCGACTCAAACTGAATGTCAAGGTGGGCAGCAAACAACTCTGTGCTCCAAATGATGCGATCCTGATTGTCGTAAAAGGCGCCGACAACGATCCACGCCCAGAACGGGGGGTCCTGACTGGTTTTGAGTATCTGGGTGATGATGAGCTTGGTGGCAGGTGGCGGAAGCTCCCCGGCCTCGACGTTGATCGTCCTACGGTTCACGCGAGGACCGTTGGGCATAGAGATGGTGGATGGGGAGGCCGATGAGCACGGCCAGAAATAAACCGGGATAAATTGGTAAACAAAATGGACTGTTCCTTTCAAAGGCGAGAAGAAATTGGAATGAGAAAGATGGATGTCATGTCTCTCTTATAAAAGCGTAAAAGTTGGAGACAGGAGAACAGTCTTCTCGTAATGACTCGCCAAGAGCTGTTGATTATGTACCTATGGGCGTAGCCATGATTCACCCCGATGAAGATGAAGGAGGGAAGTACGCGCGCAAACTCTGATGGCTTTGGAGCGCGGCTTGTACGATGACAGCTCAGTTAGTGGTGAATCACGAGCGGACATTTGGTGGCACAGATTGGATGAGGATACGCGGCGACGTCGGTGATGAGAGAGAGTTTGTTCTGTTGATGGACAAGCTGGAAGCATGGCAGATTAGTTTCACCGCTGCTTGTAGCAAAATGATGTCTTTTGTTCTTTGCTTGAGTATGGTGTATCATGAATGCTATTTGAATTGATAAAATTGGTGGTTTGAGAACATTTCTTCCGACGTGTTTACAAATAGCAATGTTCAAAGTCCAAAGCAATCATGTACATGCATACATGCATTTATAGTCTAGGTAATATGACACGCTAGGTATCCTCGGCACCATTAAGACGAGCCTTACCACGGAACCTCCTGGAATTTTCCGTCTTCAAACTCCCAAAACGTGCCCGGAGCAATAGCGCCCTTTTCAGATTCCAGCAATCTCACAAACGCCTCACCACTATCGACCGGATCTTTTTTGCCACGGTAATTATTGAATGCAGTCTTCGTATGGCCGGGACTGACGCTCCAGAATGTAACCTTCTCCCCTTCGTCCTTGTAGTTATCTTCGGTTATTTGATAGTGCAGCGTCAGCATGTTCAGCGCAGCTTTGGAAACGCAGTAGTCGATTAGAGCTACGGGTGGAAGCTGTATGGACAGCAAAGAGGATACAGATACGTTAGTCGCCTTGGTGATCCTAATAGAAATTAGGGGAAAAGGGGGTATCGGTACCTCTCTGCTTGCTGTACGACCGAGACTCCCTCTAGCGCTAGAGTTCATAATGACTCTCGGCCAGGAACTCTTCCGGAGAAGCGGGATAAATGCCTTGGTCACGAGGATGTTGGATGTAACACAGTTGTTGAAGTTGAGGTTGGAGCACTCCTTGAGCTCAACGAGATTCTCAGTTTTAGGCAGCTGAAGGCTCGCAGCATTATTGATGAGCACTATTAGAGAATAAGTGAGTGACGAGTTCACAATTGTAGCGTTCAAGTGTTATACGTACCATCTAGCCTTCCATACTTCTTATCCAGAGCCTCGACCGCCGCCGTTATGCTCTGAATATCCTCGATATCAATCTGCACCGCATCTAGCGGAGATGAGACGCCCTGCCCTCGCAGCGTTTCAATGGCCTCATAGCCTGCCTCGAGTCTTCGGCAGCCCAGAATGATGGTTGACAAAGGTATACGGCCTACAATCGCTTGGGCGATGCCGAATCCGATGCCTCGGTTTCCTCCGGTGATGAGAATGATGGACATGGCGTCGTAGTGTATATTGCTGGTTTCTTGCTATTGGATTTCATTTTGTTTTGTTTCATCGACACAATACTGAAGCATTATATACAATATTTTGAGCTGGACTTAGGAGGCGCTTCTTGCAAGGAAAACCGCATTTTACGGCCATCGGAAATCTGTAGATGCTGGTAGCGCTTAAGTCCGGGCCGTCCCAAGATTGGATCCCCAGCTGGAGGGAGGTAACTGAATAGCTCTGCGCACTGCTAACCAATGGGAGATGAGAATTCATTTCGAGCTGTATCACTACTAATCACAATTGGTTCATGTAAGTGCCTAATAGCGTATGTCATGACCGGGGTGAAAAGATTGAAAGCATCAGTATATTTAAATCACGGCCATCTACTCTCTCCCCTGTGCTGTGCTCCATGCTTTGTGCTCCATACTCCAAGCCCAGTCGGGCAAACACAATAAACAGCATGTCAGAATACAAAAGGCTTCATCGCAGTCCATAGCCCATAAATCCAGCTTGTAAATCTGTCTTGGGTGTCATCTCACAAGAAGACGCATATCGCTTTCCACGTATGAAACGTCTCATACATCAAAGGTCATAAAGTCGGTCGCCATCAATGCTATCCTGTCGAACTATCCTCACCGTGCCAACAGCCATCTTCTTGGTCGCTACCTCGACCTCCTTCTTGCGCTTCTGCTGCTGTTGCTGAAGCTTTCCAACCTCTGAGACCAAGCCCTTGAGGTACACTTCGGCCTGCACAGTGGCGCTATACGCGGCCGGCGTCCAGTTCCAAATGTTGCGCCTTTCGACGTCTGCACCGGCCGCGAGCAAAGTCCGCAAGCCCAGCAAGTTGCCATTGCCGCTTGCATAGTGGAGAGCCGTGTTTCCCTCTGCATCGGCTCTTTGCACCGCCTCGTAGGGTCCTCCAGGGACATATGTCAACAGCAGTTGTAGTATAGTGTCGTGGCCGCCCACGCTGGCCTCCATGACGGCATCTCGGCCGCGAACGTCTCTTCGTAGAATACAACCCGTGTCGTTCTCACACAGCAAGTGGACGACTTCTGTGTGGCCAGCACCAGAGGCAAGCATGAGGGCCGTCTGGTGGTTCTCGTTTAGGGCGGGGCATGGATCTTCGTGTCCGGCTTCGAGGAGCACCTTGCAGACTTGCTTGTGGCCGAGCGAGGCGGCAAGGTGCATGTTGGAGTTGGAGAGGCCAACCGGAGAGGTGTCAGGGTTGTGGAGGAGCGAAGGGTGGGATTTGAGGATGCGCTTCACGAGCAGCGCATCGCCCGCGTGGATTGCGCGTCGCAGTCGAATCGAAGGCTCGATCCTGCATGATGATCATGAATTAGCATTCTCTTAGTCGGACGACAATCGGAGGAGCGCCATTTTGCTGCGAATCTTACATGATGGCGATGGATCAAGTCGTCATGATGGGAGGCTTTCACTAATCAAAACGCATGCTGTGCCGGGGAGCAGGCGCTGGTGAACAGGACAGAGGTCAGCAAAGGGCGCCGTTTCTGACAACAGCCGAGAGCTGGGCCTCCACGAGGAAAGCTTTGCCAGACGGTTGGAGCGAGAGGTCAAAAGAATAAGCAGCACAGCCGGCTGGCGAGAAACTCATCGTCGTCAGCCGAATGCGACTGCTGCGCTGCAGACCCCGCTGTACCCCGCTGTATTCCGCCGGGCAGCTCCACTGGACTCAATCGCTAGAGTGGGCGCTACGGGCGGTTGAGCCGAGGAAGCCCCAAAAGCTGGAACTATCGACACTATCGATTCGATTCGATTTAAGTGCATGTGCTCCATCTCTAAGCTTCATCGACCTGCATGTAGATACGATGCTTCCATCACGCCTACGGAACGCAGAATTTAAGGCGCATGTAAATATTTTGAGCCATAGATATTCACAATTGAGAATTATTTCATATGATTATTGTCCAGTTTGAACAAGTGGCATGAGCTTGAATCAGCTATATGTGGCGACGCATACTCGTTTTTAACACCCCTCTCTCATATTAGTGACACACAGCAGTCAACTTAATCCTCCGTCTCGTTGAGTTCGTGGTTCAACTTGACCGCCTCCGACTTTCCCGTATCAAGGACGACGGCAGGATCGTCTTCATCTCCCTTTCGCGATACTTGGGTTCCTTTCTTCGTCTCAATAGTCGTCCTATACTCAGTTAGCCTCAAGACAACAGATTCGGCGATGGCAGCAGACTCACTCTCCAGGATTGACCTCCTTGACCTTCCCTTCAGGCTGCCCTTGGCCCCAGTTCCAGCTCACTGTATCTCCCTTTTCAGGACCTTTTGTCTCTTTTCCGTTTCCTCCTTCTTTGCCATTCGGATGGTCTCCTTTCTTTGAGTCTTCCTCATCTTCTTCAGCCTGCTCGTCCTTTTCCTTTTCATCATTGTCTACTGCCGCTGCGCCATCCTCTGTTTCTCTCTTCTTGCTTGTACCAGACTGGTCATCTGGCGCTTTTCGTTTTTCTCCTGCCTTTTCCTCTTCCTCTTCCTCTTCCTCTTCATCTTCGTCTTCGTCTTCCTTTCCTTCCTCTTGCTCTTGCTCTTCGCCTTCGGCATCTGCTTCAGCGCCGCCTCCGTTTGCCTCCCGCTTCTTGATGGTATCGTGGCCCCAGTTCTTGAGCGATGCATAAGATTTGGTCTTTTTGACCTCCTCAACGGGCTTTTTATTATTTGCCTTTTCTTCTTGAGCCAAGTGCCGTTTGCTGCCGTCTTTCAATTAGCTTTCCTTGTCGTTATGCTGCAATAGCAGAGATGTAAAGCGCCCAAACGTACATGTAGCCTACCACCTTTCTCATGTGGGTGATGTGATCGTCCGTGTACTTTTCCGGATCCTTTTCCGAGTTGGCCTCTAGAATCTCAACAATCTGTCGACCGCTGTCGTGGCCAACAGATTCTCCGCCCCCATCCTCTTTAGGCCATCCTGCGCCTTCAGACTGGTCGCCCTTTAGCCAGTCCTTCAATTCCTTGGCCGTCATGTTGACGAGTTCCTTGAACTCCTGGATGACCTCGTTCTTTTCCTTCATTTTGAAAGCGGTTGTTGCTCTTTCTATGTTCAAAGAGATCGACTTTCTTATTCTACATATGATTCTGACTACAACAGCAGAGTAGATATTGGCTTCTTATATGGAGAAATCTTTCAGCCTTTTACGTTGCCGATTCATTGTGCTGTTAAAGTTTATCTGGATCGACGCTTTCGGTACTTGCGTCATGGATCATCACCAACATCGAAGAGGTCCATGCGCCTAACTGAGACTAAATTTCCAAAATTCCAAGTTGGTATTGAAGGGGCGCCAAGGCGGAGAATTGCCCTTGACTATCTCAAATCTAATCTTGGTACATGAAACTAAATGAGAGCGGAGAATGTTACCGCTGACGTAGAATATGTAGAATAGTCGACGGGATCTCATGGTTTTGGAGAGACGATGTTAGCGCTTCCAAATTAGGAAATGGGCTTTCTCGGTACCCTGCAACGAAATGAGATGTGCTTGCTTTATTGTATAACTTGGGGAAATAGCAATAATCTAGGTGTGAGCTATGAAAAGGAAATTAAATACATGCAGTATGGCCACAAAGTTGGGTCAAATTGATGAATATTGACTATACGTCGTATCATCTCGATATACAGCGAAGGAAGCTCATTGAGCCGACTCTTCAGATTATAGTATGTTAAATCATGGCGTGTTGAGATAATCAAGTACTCTGCACATTAAATTACAAATTTTACACAACTTGACGTACAATTCATGTTCTAGCCGCGTTAATTGCCCTCTTCTTGAGAACCGCCGAATTCTCATTCAAGCCGTGAAAGTCATGCGCATCCAAGCACGCCTGCCGGCTCAGCAGAACAGCCGGCATGGCCCTCTCCTTCATCTCCCTCTCATACGCGTCCATGGCCTCAGCCCGAGTCTTGTCACCGGCGTACACTGTCTTGATCTGGCGAAGCAAATGCCAAGCGTCGAGAATGCCGTGGTTGCCCGCCTCGCCACGGTACATGACCATGGCATGCGCGGCGTCGCCAGCCAGAGTCACTCGGCCGTCATGATTGTCCCAGTCCCGGCAGGGCCAGTCTTGCAAGACGAGGTGTAGGGTGGGCGAAGTCTCGGGGATGGCCTGTACAATGCTGTACAAGTCCGGGTGGAAGCCGGTAGCCAGGCGCTTAATCATGGCGATGCGCTCCGAGTTTGACTCGGGGATGTGCTCGTCGTGATCTTTGGCGAGCCATGAGGTCATGATTTGCACGCGGTAGTGTTCGTCAGCGGTTCCAGCACTGCCGTTCACCTCTGGCGTCTCTAGAACTGAGACATAGATAAAGACGCCAGTTTCTGGATGGCAGCCTTGGAAGAGCAGCGGATCAATCTGTCGCAGTGGCTTGATCTGCGCGGGTGTCAAATCGACAGAGACGCCAACCAACTTGACGGGTAGCAAGTAATTCTGGTAGTCTTCTGGCACAAGATATTTCCTTGTCTGTGAATTGCTGCCTTCGGCGCCAATGAGCATTTTCCCCTCGGCCGCGCTTCCATCTGCGAAAGCGGCCTTGACGCCGTTGTCCGAGACTTGGACGTCTGTCAGCTGCTTGTCCCAGTGGACGTTTTCCGCGACATTCTTGAGTAGAAGCCGGCGCAGCTTCTCGCGATTCACACGGCGACGCGCGTTGGGAGGGATGTAGAACTTGGGCTCTTTTGTTTTGAGGTTGATGAAGATGAAGTTGCCCGTGTCGTTACGGCCAGTCTCTGGATCGACTTGGACGTCATCCAAGCCGGCGAATGTGTCTTGATCGATAATCTCGCCGAGGTACTGCAGCACCCAATGCAGAGTGATGGCCCAGCCCTGTCCTCGGGCATCGATGTTCTCGTCTCGCTCGTAGATTTCGAAAGGAATGTTTGCCTAGATGCAGCAAGAATATGGGCGTTGAGTTAGCACATCTGGGCTCCAACGTAATGATATAGACCATTGGCCTAAAACTGTAACACCCTATTGGGCCATGCTGCCACCGCAAGCTGCAGCTGCAGCAGAACCAACAGCCAACGCAGGTGGCTCCATCATGACCGTGAGGGACCAAGCAGCTTTAGCGCAGCCAAGGTGTGCGTTTTGGAAATTTCCTTGAGCTCTGTTGATTTGCGACATTACCTTTTTGAGCCCGTGTGCCAACGTCAAGCCCACGACTCCGGCGCCAATGATCAGCACGGGCTTATCGCTGACCGTCATCTTGACCGTTGCAACGGCTGCTGGGGATTTGTTTGCTCTCTTCGACTCTTGTGCGTGAGAACAACAAGGCAATGGGATTCAGGCTTGCCAACGGTTGATAAGGGAGTCCAGTACACGGTTTTCTCACAACATGAAGGCGACGACGTCTTTTATCTGTATCGTATGACAGATACTTGTGTTCTTCACAGAACAGGGGGCCACGATGAGGTGTCTGTTGGTGGCCAAATAGGAAATTGATGCAACCGATTCAAACACAGTCTGATCAGCCAATACTCATGGGAAGCTGCGTGGCGGCCCCCTCCAACTCTCCAAGGGACCCAAAATTTCGTACTCGCCGCCACATGGGCGAGGGCTTCTGGGAACGCGGCGTGAGCTGAGCAACGGACCACAATCGCACACTCTGGCTCAACAGAGACATCACTTTTTTCTTCAGCGGGAGGGTCCAATCGGTGACAAGATCGTGAAGCGGCGGCCGCTTCCGGGTGGGTTCCGATCCAAAAGCCTGCAGCCGTCGGACCTGAAATCTGGAGACATCTGGACTTTTAGGGGACCCAAGAGCCCTGAAGAGCCGCCGCATAGCAAGCCTGTACCGCGGCATCAAGAGCTGGTGATGCCTGGCGCCTGTCAGCCAGCATGCCTCGTCGCTCGTCTCGCTCGGGCTCAGTTTTTGCTTCCTCTTTACAATTTTGCGCGAGTTCCAGCTCTGCGGCGCAGGCTGAGGCCGTGACATGGTGCAACATGTGGGGGTCTGCATGCAAGTCCTTTAACCCCTCCATTCTCCTCCACGGCGGCTGAAGCTGGAGCTACATGTATGATGCCATGTATTGAGTTCTCACCCGTCAGAGCTGTCAGCACATACAGACGAGACGCCGTGATTCAACTTTGCACTCACCATCCCAGCAATCCCGAAGCCTCGAGAGAAGGTCAAAGAAGGAAAACAAAGCCAAAAGAACAAGTAGAATACTCCTCATCCCCAGCATCATGTCGTCCGACGCAAAGCACGAGGCTCTCCAGCCCCTCCACCCGTCCATGGCGGGCAAGCTGGATCCCGCCTTTGAGAAGCTCTACAACGAAAACATCGCCCATAGGCCGATGAAGCCAATCGACCTCCAGGAGCTGCGCGCCAACTACTCGGTCCTCTACAGCTATGGCACGGCCCCCGCGCCGGACGTTGGGCGCATCTACGACGATGCGATCCCGCTGGCTGATGGCACGCCGCTGCCAGTGCGTGTCTACGAGCCCGACACTCCAGGCCCGTGGCCGGTGCACATCGACTTCCACGGCGGCGGCTGGGGCCTGGGCGACCTCGAGACGGAGGCTCACATCTGCAAGCACTACTGTAAAAAGGCCAGCGTGGCCGTCATCGACGTCGCCTACCGCCTGGTGCCCGAGATGCCCTTCCCCGCGGGCATCACAGACAGCTTCGCGGCGGTCCAGTACATCCACCAGCAGGGCGCGCAAAAGTTCAACATCCGCCCAGACAGCATCTCGGTTGGCGGCGTGTCGGCTGGAGGCTGCATCGCCCTGGCAGTGGCTCACTTGGCCCGCGACGCTGCCGTCCCTCTGCGCCTGGTGGCCGTGGGATCGCCCGTCATCGACGACCTTTCGCAGTACGCCTCAGCCAGTGACTCGCCCTGGCCATCGATGCGCGAAAACGAGTTTGCACCGACGCTCAACTGGGCACGGCTGGCCTGGTTCGATAAGCTCAAGACATCTTCACTGCCCACGGAGCCTGAGGCGCACAGGGCTGCCAAGGAGCGCGTCGGCTGGTTCGCCAACCTCCTCAAGGCGCCCAACTTCAAGGACCTGCCCCATACGCTCATCTACACAGCCGGAGCTGATCCTTTGAGGGACGAGGGCGAGAGATACGCAAAGGTGCTGGTCGAGAATGGCGTCGAGGTCACGCAGCGGCGCTTCCTCGGAGTTCCGCACCCGTTTCAGCACATGGACAAGACACTGTGGCAGGCGAGAGAAGCCATCGATGGAACAGCCAGGGCGATTCGGATAGCGCATGGGGACTCGTGATGGAGGGGCAGATTTCTGCTCCATACAGCCCAACGGCATAAGAGGGTGGCTATGGATGAGCATCTTGTGGTTTACAGTGCGCCTACAGGCCGCAGTATCGGCCAGGGCTGCTTGCTCGAGTTGATATGGCATTCTCTTCGTCGCTAATCTTGCGTCCTGCCATCTTGTATCAAATTTTCTCTTTTCTTTTCAATACCGGGTCCTCTGCTTATTGGCTGACTGCATGATATATAGCAAAGGGCGCTTCGGCACGTCAGATCTCACCCTAGCATTGAACAAGAAAGAATTGACTCCATCTGGACCAGGTTCTCTGGACTTGCTGCCGGCTGATTGTGCCAAAGTACCGGTACACTTTTACCTTGTAGCATAGGAGTTGTTGCATTGCATTAGCACCGTTAGAACGAAGAAGAGAAAAAGGGTCACCGCTTTTTCCCCCGCCGAGGTTTAACGTGGCTTGCAGTTGCGAGTACCTACATACCTACCTACACATGCAGCTTCCACCAACGTCTTCTCTTCGTTGCCTGAAACTCGGCATCACAAGATGAGTGTTGGAGCCAACATCTCAGCCGAATCTGGTGCTTGCACCGTTCTTTTGCACACAACGAAATGGAAAAACAAAGGAATGTTGCGTATTTATTTCGCAACGCCAGGTACTCGCATTAGTAATTGACGTTGTGCAGATGCTACCCTGGCGAAGCATTATGCCCTTTCTTCGAATCAGTGATGTCTATCTGGAACCCACACTCCGCTGGGATTCGGATCCTGGGCCAGAACGAGATGAGATGTCGAACCGGACGTGCTTGGAGCGTTCGTTCTTTGCTCATTGTGCGTAGGATTGAGTCCGTGCTTCGTATAAAGTCGAGTAGCACAAGGGCTACTCTACAGACTCGTGCATATCAGCTAGATAGGACGGGCACGCGATTCAAGCAGCGAGCTATGCTTCTTGACAGCTCGGCTTGACCCGCGTTTGAGGCACTAGTCGCTACGCAAATTATGCTTGTTGTCGCCTACACGTATATTGGACACTACACAGAGCTCTACTTATGCCAGTATTTGTAGGGAGTAATGGTAATCGCCCTATGATTGAAAGAGAGACGACGAAGCGTTGCCCGATGCACCCACGGAATCCTTCTTTTGCTCATCTGGTGACGAAAACAGCATGAAGAAAATGGTTCGAGCAGCATCCATATTATTCCGTACGGCACCATCCTGGGTCCAATTACAGTAGCCCATTCTATGGAACATGGAGTTTACGAATACCGCCGGTACGACACCAAATCTCTTGTACCGGGTCTGTGGCCAGGGCCTTGGCCAATTGCGACAGCGTGGGCTTGGCTGGGCTAGGGATCTGGGACATCCCCTTTCGGGCGTTAGCACAAGGCGTTTGTCTGCCTTTGGCGTGGCGCATCATGCAGCTCTGCACGAGGTAGAGAGACGTGTAAGATGTTGGACAAGCCTGCGCATTGCAGAAGCGGAGATGAGGCTGTCGACAGGAAATGGACGCCTCTTTGGTGAAGGCGGTTGGCGGCATGGCTTCTGGAAGAGAAGAGGCCTGCGCGACAAGGGCTCGGACCTGATGGCCCATGCAAGATGGCTGCAAACTGAAACGCTTGAATCAACCTGCAAGTCTCTCAGCCCACCTCGCAGGACGAACGCCGTTGAGGGGGCCAGAAATGATCGGCACCCGCAAAGCGCTCTAGCTGCGATGCCGCCAGCGATGGCAGTTGAGCTGTAGGAGTGCTGATTAGCGAAGAGATTCGGGTCTGCTGCTTAGAAATGCTGCATGTACACACCAAGACTCGATGCAACCTGCTCAGCAAAGTCAGGGCCCAGATACAACGTCGGCGAACGGCCTCTTCCCCGGCTACATCGCCAACGACAGCCCTGGACACGAGACGAGCCCCCCAATGTGTGAGACCCGGGCATGTGCCTGTACATGTGCCTGTACCTGTACCTGTGCCTGTGCCTGCTACGGCCGTGTCTGCCGGTACCCGAATGGCAGCATCAAAGGGACGCTGCGTGTATCGTGCATAGATATATCGTGTGCATATACGGCATGGCATTGATGGCATCGTCAATTAGCCGTGCCACGAGAGCTCCCAAGTCGCAGTATGCAGTACCCGTCGTAAGTCCTGCCTCGTCGGCCAAAAAAGAATGGCGTCTACATGTATACTCGCGACGGCACAGGCGCGGCAATGCCAGGGCAATCCGACATGCCGCCCCTCCTCTTCGAGTGCTGATTTACCGGAAATATATGTGCATAAGCCAAAGTCGAGCCATGTCACGTCAAGGAGAATCAGCGTCGAGACGGCGAAAATCGAAGACAAAAGATGACCTATGCGTGCCTTGGAATCTGAGAGCTAACATGGCGTGTATGGAGTCTGGCCTAGCTCGGGCGCGGCGCCAGGCGGGTTTGATCCCTATTGACTGATCGCCCACGCCAAACCCGCAGAGCTTGTTTTTCGGCCAAGTACCTGTACGGCGCGGTAGAGGCTGCAGATGACGGCCCAGTGCCATTTTGAAGCCGCAGAGCAGGCGACGTAGTCTCTTGCAAAGTTCTCATATCTGCATGCAAATGGCACGGGCAGCGTTGCGTGAGTTCAGCTCATCTTGGTGCTTACAGGGGGGGCCAAGTCTGGGGTCTCGGAGCGACCCTGGTGCACCCTCAGTTTGCTCGCCAAAGCCTGGCAAGGCACGACAAAGAGAGTAGCAGCAGTTGAGGCGCTGTGGTAGCAGTACATCTGGCGCAAGTAGTGGCGGTTTAGCGATTAATCTCCCCGGCTGTCATGGCGCCATGGATATCGGCCAACGCCTCTGCCAGAGAAGCGCTGTACTGAGTGCTGCTCCCGCTAGCGAATCCTCCAAATAAGGCCGTCCCCGCTACAGATAGATCGGCGCCACTCGTACTCGACGCCAAAGTCCCAGCAGCCTGAGATTATCTACCGGGGTCCTGCTTCGTTGCACGTCCCCGAATCCTGCTCGGTTTCTTATACCACCTACCGCTCCTGTGGGCTCAAACAGCCTCCCCTTCCGATCGCCGCCCCGTCTTCGACCAGCTCTCTGTCAACCGTGGCCTATTGATGCTCCATCTCGCCATGAGAAGCGGCGGCGAGCTTCTCGAATCTTGAGGCCCCAAAGACGATCGATCCTACTAGAGCAGGGCGCTCCCTCCCGCACCCGCTGCAGAGAAGCCTCCTTTTAGCCTTTACCCGCTTTCTACAGGACGGCCACACGGACGAGTGATTTCGAGGCGGCAAAAACTGGGGCTTGGAGCAGAGCTCAGCCAACCGTATTTACTACCTGCCACCAAACGTTTGAATCGCAAAAGTCTAGAGGAAGCTTGGAATTCCTGCTGGAGAGAGAGTGAGAGACGAAGAGAGAGAGAGAGAACGCGAGCAAGCAGGAGTGGGAACGAAACGTGAGAAGAGAAGAGACACGATATCCCACCGAGGATCAAAATTGTGCGTGTCATCATGGTCTCCGAAAGTCGCCCTGTTTGCCATCGCTGTGCCCAGATCAAGCAGGCCTGCGATGGCAGCGTGCCGTGCGCGCGGTGCCTGCGTCTGAGTCTCCCCTGTCGTCCGCGTGATGCCAGCGGTGCTTTGAACCAACCGATAGGCGACTTGCCCAAGGCGCGAATCCGGCGGGTGCAGACGGGATGCCTCATGTGCAAGCGCCGCAAGAAGAAGTGCGACGAGACGAAGCCGCGATGCGGAGACTGCAGACGCCTGTGTCTTGAATGCGCGTGGCCTCCTGAGCGCCCCAGGGACAAACTCATGGGCGCAGCCGCAGCCACGGGTGCTCCAGCGTCGGTGTCGTCGTCGACGGCGGCAACAGCAGTAGTGGCAGTCTCGCCAGAACCCATGGGCTCACGAGTTATTCCCACCCAAGAGCCCGTTGTGGTTGATACCGTTGCCGATGTATCAACCGAACTTATCATCAGAGGCGCCAATAGCCCAGCCATGAGCTCTTCCAGCAGCAGCAGCGGCGGCGACAGCCACTATTCCACGGACCACTTTAGCAGCCTGCCGCCTGTGTCATCATCAGGCAATGGATTCGAGCTTGGGCTGCCTGTCGATAGAGCAGCCTGGGATATGCATGGATCGCCCCCAACTAGTTGGCAGGATTCCATCACGCCAATGAGCTATGGCAGCCCTCACTCGGATTCTCACGATTCTCTAACTGTATCACCCGTATCGTCCATGTCGACTCTATCAGTGTATAATCCGCAGTCGCTGCCGCAGCTGTCATCACCACATGATAGAGCTTTACTCAACCATTATATAACCATTGTGTCTTCTCTGCTCTCTCGACGCATGTCAAATTCGAATCCTTACAACGGATATCTACTGCCAATTGCCCACTCCAACGACCTCGTCATGCACTGTGTGCTGGCTCTTTCGGCCAATCACTGGCGCAAGCTGCAGCCTCAACTGGCCGAAAGGGGCATCTATCACCAAAGCAAAGCAACCCAGTCTCTGGCCAGGCTCTTACCCCATGTGGACAAATCGAATGCCGACATTGCCCTTGTCAGCAGCCTGCTGCTCTGCATGACGGAGCTGTTTGATGGCACCAGTGAGGGGTGGCAGCTGCATCTGAAAGGGGCCAAGAGGCTACTCACGGCCCTGATGAACCAGCAGCAGGGAGATCGTATACACGGCCACAACAAGTTTCTCGTGCGGCTTGCTCGATTCCTCGATTCTGCCGCTACTACATCGACATGCAAGCCTCCGCTCATGGGTGAGGATGCACAAGAAGCGGCCACGCTGGACCGACTGACATCTGCTCCCGATGACGAAGATTCTGCCATATATGGTATTCCTAAAGAGTTATTCCACCTGGTGGATGTAGTCAATGCGCTTGCTGATAAGCGAAAAACTCGCGTTGACCACGCTTCAGAAGCCATCTTTCGCAAGGAAGCCACACAGATCGAAGAGCGCATCAACCACTGGTCATATGAATACGGCGGCCGATCACGCGCCGCTTGGACCATTAACTTGGCCAATGACGATGTGCTACACGCAACAATGGCTTACGAATATGCCATCAGGCTCCGCCTTCACCAGATTGTTGAAGGCTACGAGGTCAACGATCCCAGAGTCACTACCAACGTTGAGGGAATCTTGGAGTCGGTGCAAAAGATTCGCTACGGCAGTGCCTTGGAACCCTGCCTCATGTACCCCCTTGTTATGGCCGGGGGTGCATGTTGGACCATGGAGCAGCGTGTTGTCATTCAAGACCGCCTCCTAGTCATGGAGCGCACATGTGGCTTTGGATACATCTACAATGCGCGGGAGCTGGTTGAGCGCGTCTGGAAGATGAGAGACGAGACCGACGGCACCGGTACTATTGTCAACTGGGCACGGATCCGATACGAGGAGATGCATGGCCTGGCTGTTTTCTAGGCACATTTGGTTTGCCGTCGCTTAACAAAGAGGACCAGGCTTGGCATAATTTGACAAATTCTCACTACCTTTTATGGAATAATCCATACAATCTCCGGCTTGTATTGGCGGTCGAATTCTCGGCCATTAGAAGTTTCCGTCGTCACGACCAGTACTACAGCTGGTAGCAGCAGCAATAATATCGCTGTTGCTCGCTTATCGAGAGTTTGACAATGGAGCTTGGGAGAGGCTCGTAACCAGCTCAGCCACGTGAGAATGCATATCATACCCACATACTTCTTCAATAGTCAGCTTCCCTGGGCGGTCGTTGGCACTGCTCCAGCCAATCCTTTCTGTGATGTCTGTTCTGGCCCTTCGACTGCTCTCCTGTACTCGCGTGGCGCGTGGCTTGCGCTCCAGCTCGTACAGCTGAAGCTTTTCAGGTATAGACAGGTGTGCATATTTGGTGGAGAAGAGTATGCCAAGTGCCCCTGCATCCTCGAGCGCCATGCATGCGCCCTGAGATTGATCGGGCATCATCGGATGAGCTGCGTCTCCAAGTAGGCAGCAGCGACCGCTCACCCAATAGGGGTAGGGCTCATGGTTATACAGGCGCCACATCTTGACATCCTCTGCGTTACGAAACAGGGTGAGCAGCCGCCCATCTAGGTCGGAGAAGGTTGCTGCAAGATTCTCGCCTGTGGAAGAAATATTCCAACCATCCTCTTTGAGATTATTCTTTTCCGCTGGGTAGAAGCAATAGCAGCTAACAACTTGGTGGTTTGAGCATGGGCTCATGACAACCTTATCGATGCCATTGCCGCCCCAAAACTCAATGGCACTGTTTTCAGCAAACTCGCCGAGTCCCAGTTCACGGAGCTTCTCAGCGCTGATGATACACCGGTAACAACACGACGTGGATGGTGCGACGTCTGGAACGATGCCAAGCTGCTCTCGCATCTGGCTCCTGATCCCGTCGGCGCAGACGACAACATCGTGAACAGCCTCTTTGCCGTTATCGAATGTTATTTTCCCCTGAGCGGGATCCAATTTGATCGCCTGATGGCAGACTCTTAGCTGCACCGGAGACCCGCCTCCCGTTTCGGCAATGGCCACATTTTTCAGATGCCCATGGAGATCGATCCTGTGGAAATTGTTGTAGTCTGTGCCGAAGCGCTCACGGTGGGTACTCGGCGGTAACGTTTCCCGAGGACCACTCGTGGCGGATGAGCTTCTGCAGGACGACGGGCTTAGCGGAGGATATGTCCACTTGCCATTCTTGCAGGAAGCGAGAACCGTTTGAGGCCAGTGAGAGCGAAGCACCGACTTCTCCGCTGAAATCATATCTTTCGTAGATGGTGACTTTGTGGCCGGTGCGACGGAGAGCAATAGCGGCGGATAGACCACCCAGGCCGGAACCAATGACGGCTATGTTGTAGGAAGGGGCCTGGTTTTTCGTTGCATGCATGATGCAAATCTCTTGGAAGTATGTCTCCCCTGGTTCTTGGTTTTTTAGGCGTTGACTTTTTATTTTTTTTGTCTTTTTATGTCCCTTTTGGAGCAAGAGCGTGTATGAAAACGGAGTAGCAAGCGATTTGATGAAATGAGAAAAAGGGGAGATTGTGATGGATGAGAATCTAGATGTGCTGAGATAGATGCGATGGATATCAATCAAGAATAAGATTGAATATGGAACAATAGCTGCCCTGTGAAATAAACAAACGTATTTCTTTTTCGCATCTTGAAGTTGAATGAGTGGTTGGTTGCTGGTCTGGGATGGTTTATATCCCTGAATTTTGGCTGAAATTCCAAGCGAAATGTTGGAATGGGATTTGCAGCTGATTGTCAGTTGGTCATCTAGTATCCGTCGGAGCTGCCTGTCGTCCAAGCCGCTTATAATACATAGGACGCGTATGATGTGAGTTTGTCTTCTTTGTTAGGCAAGCTTTACAGTGTCGCAACCGTCGGAATAGGCAGCAGGCGGATGGAGCAGTGTAAATGCCATTCCAACTAGGTCTGTATCCTGTACGAAGCGCTATTGCTTACCGCTCGCTGCATGCGTATCGCTGCTTTTCCAAGAATGGCTTTGGCTGCGTCGGCATTCCTTCCCGGAGGAAGGGGTGCTATCATACATGCACACGGTTTACTAGGTATATACCCAAAGGAGATTTCAAAGTGACGCTGGAGACATGTACTGAGAAGCAATCACTCTAGACGTACTCTGGAACATCCTGTCAGTCAGTACATGGTGTGCTTTGCAGCGCTGCTACTCGTGGTGTTTCCTAGTGGTAACAAGACGGGAGATGAACAAACAGCCACTCTCGGCTGCTGGCGACGATGTGCCGTCGGTTATCGTCGTTTGTCCCTTTGCACTTGCAGATTCTCGTATGCATGCAATTTATTCTCGTATGAAATCGCAATTAACATGCTACTTGGTATATACAAAGTCTGAGTCTCCTGATTCTCACGACGGGGCGGTTTCACAGGGGAATCGGTATTATAGAGGATGAAATACGCTAAAAAGGGCCGCTGTTGCGTAGCGCGTAGCGGAATGGCAGATGGCCTCAAACTGCGTTTATGCCATTTTGCCTGCATGGTGTTGGGTCCCGGATGCGACCCGAGCGTCCGGGTCCGCGGGAAGAAGCGCGGCGGGCTAGAAGAAGAAAGAGGAGAAGAAATGGTAGACAGGGCCGGGTTTCCGACGGCCGCAGGCAGGTTTCGGGTGGCGTTTCCTTGGGGGGGCAGGGTGAGATTTTTCGATGTCCGGTGAGTGGGAGTGGCTGCCGAGGGATTCGTTATATTGGCTGCAATGTAGATTCAATGCATGGATTGAGTATTACGAAGCAGTGTAGAAACTGCATGTCCTGTCTATTCGACGGTGGCATCTCATAAGCCAGATATCATGTATCCGCGGTGACTGAGGCCAAGCCTAGCTGGTGTGACAAGGCTCCGCGCTGTGAAGTCTGTAACGATTGAGGAAATTGACGGCATCAATGCGTCCGGGGAAAGCAGTTCGTACGAGGTTGCATTCTGAAATGGCGAAATACACGGTAGCAGGGAAGATTATCGTATTCAGCGGCCGAGCTCAGCCAGCAGCTAGTCGGCTTGCAATCTCGATATGGCGGTGATTTTCGATTTGCTACGGAGCGTTTGGCTATGTCCATGCGCAATAGCAGGTCCAGATCCAGAAGTTCCATTGCGAGCCGAGTCAAAATCCTCCGAGCTGAAAGAAAGGAAGAAGAGTATTGCAAATACTCGCTGTGCTATGGAGCATTCGTGTTGCAGAGTCCAAGCTGAGGAGCCGGTCAATCAATCAATCTATCACCACCCTTGTATTACCTCCCCCATTCAATCGTGATTAGCACCACCGCCAAATGCCGGGCTGGGTCCCACGGCGCTAGACGAGGAAATATTGAAGCCACTCTTATTTTCTTCATGGATCATCATTCATTCAGTTCATGCCCCCTTGCCGACCTGTTTGCATGGGCTGATGCTGCATCTCTCACTCTCTTTGGCGCAGCGTCTCCACTCCCCTTGTTCCTGCGAAGAGATATTCAGCCGATGTTCCATTGGAGCTTAGTACGGCCTCTCTTTTTTATCTGCGCCGTAAATTAAATTGGACAAAAGCAGGCATGCTTGCGGCCTAGCCTTGCCACGAAAATTCCGCCAAGGGTTACATCGCTGCCATCTTTTTTGTGAACCGCCGCTGGGAGGGAGGGAGAGAAAAAAAAAGGCGCTTCCAAGCAGGAATCGAGCTGAGGGACAAATGGCCGAGAACACATTAGACTGCATGCCAGTGTAGATTGAATTGGCAAAAGCCTGAAGAAAAGAACGAGGACCCTTGATAGAATAGGGGATCGTACGTTTTTTTTTTTTGTATTTCAATCTTTTCCTAAACTGGTGCGGAGGCAAATGTTTGATATATGTATGAGATCTCCGAGCTGATCTTTTTTTATTCTCTTGTGTTCTTGTCTTGGAATCCTTCATGCGTTGATGTTTTAGCCATTGATTCATGACAGCCCCCCCTTCTTTCTTCGCTCAGCTTCAATTACGAAACAGTGGCTTCGCTCTTTTCTTTTTTTCCCCGACTGTTTATTAAAAACCATGAACTGAGCCATAACCTCTTTTTTATTTATTATTTTAAAGATTTGTCTATGGTTTATTATTTGGACGTAATAACGTGGTATTATTGACTTCATCATTTCTGCATTTGCCATTCTTCAATACTTCGAATCTACTATTCTCCCTTCTTCGAAAAACTAAAGACAACAACGACCACACACATCGCCCGCCATGGATGAAAAACTTGCTTCGCCAGTGAGCTCCAGCCACTCGGCCTCGTCATTGGACGATCCCGCAGCCAAGGTGCAGGAGCTCAAGCGCATCTACCGAAAGATCGATTTGAACATTGTGCCGCTCATGTTCTTCTGCTACTTCTTGCAGTTCCTCGACAAAGTCCTCGTCAACTACGCCAACATCATGGGCATCTCAAAGGCCCTGCACTTTGTGGGCAACGACTTCTCCTGGATGGCCACGGCCTTCTTCATTGGCTACGCCGTCGCCGAGTTCCCTCAGGGCTACTTGATCCAAAAGTTCCCCGTCTCAAAGGTGCTGGGGTTCAACGTCCTGCTCTGGGGAATCGTCGTCTGCTGCACGGCTGCGACGCAGAGCTTTGCCAGCGTTGCTGCCGTCAGGACGCTGCTGGGCATGTTCGAGGCCGTCATCACCCCGGCCTTGGTCATGATTACGTCTCAGTGGTATACTAGGAAGCAGGCGACTCTGCGCACGGGCATCTGGTACTGCGGATTGGGAGCCGGACAGGTCATGGGAGGGTTGATCTCCTGGGCGGCCCAGCACGGCTCGACGACGTCTTCATTCCAGGGCTGGCGCATCATGTTTGTGGCTGTGGGCGTTTTCAACCTCTTCGTTGCCGTCGCAGTCATCTTGCTTATGCCCAACAGCATCACCTCGGCCAAGTTCTTGACTGAGGACGAGAAGGCTCTTGTCGAGGAAGTGTTGGCACGAGACCAGGCTGGATCCGGCAAGAAGGTCTTCCATGTGTCCGGCATCTGGGACGCCCTCAAGGATCTCCAGGTGTGGCTGCTGTTTGTCAACACCATTCTTATTGTGATCCCCTCTGGCATCATCACCACCTTCTCGGCGACCATCATCAACTCCATCTTCCTCACGCCCATGAAGTCTGCGCTTCTCAACATGCCTGCCGGAGCCATCTCCATCTTTGCGACCCTGGCGGGCTCCTATGCGATTTACTTCAACCTGCCTCGTTGGCTGAGCATCATTGCGCTCCTGATCCCCACCATCATCGGCGCGGCACTCATGTCCTTTGCCAAGTCCAAGGGTGGCGCCCTGGCTGGTGTTTACCTCATCAACTTCGACGTGGCCCCCCTGGCCCTCATCTACGCTCTGGTCGGTGCCAACACGCAGGGATACACGAAAAAGGTTACCGTCAACGCCATCATTGCCATTGCCTTCTCCATCGCAAACATCATCGGCCCACAGACGTTCCAGGTCAAGGATGCGCCCCAGTATCTTCCCGCCAAAATCACCGTTCTCGCCGTTGCCGCCTCATCCATTGTGGTTACGATTCTGCAGAGAGTCCTCTACGGCATGCGCAATGCCAAGACGGCTGCTGCCCGCGCGGTGGAGGTGGAGGCCATCAACCGAGGCGAGATTGATGCCAAGGCGGTGGACGACGAGCAGACGGACATGACAAACCCTACCTTTCAATATGTATACTAAGCGCGCCGGGGGCCTGGTTGCTTTCCGAGCTGTTGAGAGTAGAGGGGAGAAAAAAAAGGATGGTTAGCATGTCTATTTGTTTATTTGTCAATGGGGTTTACGTTTTCAAGATGGAGCAAAGAAGTATCAAGTCAATATTATCTTAGTTATTTAGTCAATTTTTAGTTAGCTACGGCAACTCTTGTATATTATTATACGTTACATTCTTTTCACTCTCATTGTGTCGTCTAAAAGCAAACATACAGAAGGTCCAGTTCTGGGCCTTGACATGAAAAGGGGTAATACACACAAGTGCTTACCAATGTGGCAGGTCTACTACGGGCTTCCCGTGCAGACAAGTATGGAAAGGACATTAAGCAGACAAAACTGGCAGAGATTTATCAATGCCTATCTCTTGAAGAGTATCCGCTGGGCCTTTTCAAATTGTAACGTCAATAATACCTTGCAAGCTGCTCTTTGTTTAGAGAGTTGGTGGATGCTAGGTGAGTAGTGGAGACACCCGGCATATCCTCGTCGCTTTCTATCCGCGGAGCGAGCTACGGGTGCATCGAGCAGAGTGCCGCACAAAGTCCAACCCCATGATCGACGTGTTGCTTTATTACGATCCACTTGTACTCAATACAAATGCCGTGATGTGTTGGACATGACACGGGGATTAGAGGCAAGCATATCGGCCGCAAGGACAGTTGTGAGTAGCAACCGATGCGATGCCAGCAGACGAAGCAAACATGCACCCTAGTCGTTGCATTCGCCGCGGATAGAGTAGCCATCTGGGCATGGTTTGACTGAAACGCCAGCCGAAACGGAGTACGGAGATCATAGTCAGGCATTCTTGAGTGGACGTTTACCTCTTATGGGCTTGTTTGTCTTGTGGCACCTCGGAAATGGACGTATGTTTGTGTGGGCCGTCTTTGGACATGTCATTGCGCGACAACTTGGACTTGAGAGGCGAACTTTATACTTTACTGGCTTACCTTTTTATCCACTACTCATGTCTACTAGATTTGTGTGTAGAGCAAGCTAGACTACATGTATCTTACCGTGTTACTCAATACTAATACTACAGGGAGGCGTCTTTGGAGCTCTGCGTAACTACGAGCAAGCTGTAGAGTAAGATTCAAGGAGCAAGCGGCGTGCAACAGGCAGGCAGAGTGTGATCTTGTCTTTTGTACTACATGAATGTGGCCTGTTGCTTCACGAGAAGGGTGTTGTACTAGCCCAGCCACGGCTCCGCGGAGCACATTGCATATGACTTTTAGCGACGGCCACGGCAGCAGCTGTCCTGCAGACATGTCGCATAGTTTGCTATTTCATCGGACTGCACTTGGGATTTTGCAGCTTTATAATTTCTATAATGATTCTAGGGGAATGAGAAGCCATTACTACCTACTTCTTACATTACGAGATGATTCTTTTTCCTTTGTTACAGCCAGTCGTGATATCCTCCTTACCTATGTTACAGTAAACAATCTCCATGAAGTGCATGTTATGCCTAGAAACGTATTATGATTTGAGTACACCGTATAAATCTATAGACGTAGTATATTCTTTGGGATATAAGCGTCCTGCTACACTCGTTGCGCGCTGACTTGTCAACTGTGGCTGCATGAACGGACTGGCTAGTGGTCGAGGCCGAATACATGCATACAACTAGAGCAGCCACCTGCAGAGGCGACGGCAGCCCGGCATTAGTGGACAGCTGTCTTGGAAGAGCCTGTAAGGAGTAATTACTGTCAAACAGAGAAAAAGAGAGAAAAAAAAAAAAAAAAAAAACCATGATGTATAGAAAATATTGTAATACGATGGCTGTAATAGACATTGGCTATCCGTCTCGATGTTTAGGGTAGATAAAGGCTAACGAAGCAATGCAAAAACAGCAAGCAGTTTAATAGAATGACTTTATTTGGATTACATTATAGGGGCCTATTGTTATCGAGACTGCTGATGGAATTTGATGGATGGCGACTTATAGAGCGTGCCGCGTGTTGTGCAGTACTGGGCAGCCAACAGTGTCGTCTGCTCCTTTGCTCAACCATCTGCATCCTCCAGCAATTCTAGGCATTTGGCCAGCTCACCTTGCTGCCTGATAGGTTTACGAGTTCCTATACCGGTCCGCGCTCGGTGAGGTCGCCGGGGCCGGATGCCGGCCTCCCTATCCTCCCTCGCCCCACATCGGAGGACTGGAAAGACTCTCGAGCTTTGCGACGGCTGCAGGCGTCGGGTCAGCTCGCACGCTATTCAACGCCGTCTGCCAGTCGCCCCGATAGCGAGGAGAGATGGCCGATGCTGCTCTGGCCTGCTGTCAACTCCTCCATCCTTTTGTGCCAAACACGGGGAGTGGCTGGCAACGCTGGATTGGCCTGACCGTCGGGACGTGATCACGGATGGCGTCGAGATAGCAGTGCCCCGCGGGTCTGAGCGTTCTGTTTGCTTGACCTTTTTGCTCCTTATGCATAGGTGCTGAGACGTCGATCTTTCGGTGGATGCCTGAAGAGAATTGAATACATAACGTCGGCTCCCCTCGTCTCTCGATCTCGGGGTTTCTTCTTGACTTACAATACCCATCAGAACCGCCATTTTAATTCAAAAATGCCTTCGCTATTAGTACCTGATATTGATCCGCCAGCGCTGGTCGTCGTCACAGGCGCCAACGGATTCATTGCTCAGCATTGCGTCGCTGCACTGCTCGTAGCCGGCTTTCAGGTTGTTGGGACAGTCAGGAGTGCCGCCAAAGTCGAGACTGTAATAAAGACACATCATGCACACCCCAAACTGCGGGTTGTCGTCATCGAAGACCTCACAGACGTCCAGAGATATCTCGAGATTCTTGAGCCTCTATCGCCAACTGCCATTTTCCACATTGCTGGGCCGTTTCACTACGACGCAAAGAACTTTGAGGAGGAGATGATGGTCCCCGCGGTAAAGGGATCACTGGCGGTTTTGGAGGTGGCAGCAAAGATTGAAAGCATCCGGCGAGTCGTTCACACAAACAGCTTTGCGTCAATATACGACGCCGCAGCCGGCCCCAGCCCGGGGAAAATCTACACGTCTCAGGACTGGAGTCCGCTGGAGTACGAGGACGGAGTCAAAGCGGACAATGCGCCCACGGCGTATCGCGCGAGCAAGGCGGCGGCTGAAAAGGCGGCATGGAAGTTTATGGAGAAGAAGAGGCTCGGATTCGATCTTGTCAGCTTGTGTCCCGCCATGGTGTTTGGTCCTTTTCTACCAGAGGCTAAGCCGACGACGATTGCCGGTGTCAACACGAGCAATCTCCTGCTCTGGGCAGCTATTTCTGCCGGTCGAGACAAGGCGGTGCCGCCGACAAAGGGGCCCGTCTGGGTTGACGTGCGTGATGTGGCAGATGCCCACGTTCAAGCTCTCCGATGGGTAGGACTTGGTGGCGGCCGCTATCTCCTGGCTTCTGGCGTTTACTGCAACCAGGAGCTCGCAGATGTAAGCAGGCGGATGTTCCCAAAATACGGGGACAGAATCCCGATTGGCGAGCCTGGCAAACGGGAGTCCCACACGCACTTTGGCATCAGCACTGAAAAGACGGATAATCATCTGGGGGTGAAGTGGAGGAGCCTGGAGGATAGTCTGGCTGATGTGGTGCCTCAACTGTTTGAGATTGAGAAGGGTCAGACTTGAGCTTTTTTGGCTTGAGCGAGTTTGAATTTGAGTGGGAATAGTCATTGTTGGTGAATACAAACAAAGGCGTGGCCTCTAAATGATGCCCATGTTGTGTTTTTAGGTATTGTCAGAGAGCTGGCCATCTGCCTCGATCCTCCATGTATATTGCATTGTCATGACGGCGTTTGGGCTGGGATGTGCTTCCAAGGGTAAAGGCAGACAGAAGATATGGTAGTCGGCAGAATTCTACCAATATAAAGCGATTTGGTCACAAAATCCGCACAAGTGAAAAGCCCCTTGAAATCCGAGGGTTGCAACAGCCGTCCGCATTCGGACACCCTGCATTTAGGCATCGCATGTGCCCTGTGGCCCGCACACTGTGCCAGGCGCTGCGGATAAACAACTGCCGCGGCGTGCCAGGCCCTGCCGCGGCTGATGCCCTGCACTGTCTGCACTGTGTGCTGGCAGGCGGTCGCTCACTCAATCTCGCAGCCTCCCTCGAGCCAACTCCTCTCTCTGCTCCTGTCCTGTCGATGCATCTGCGATAGGCGGCGCTGTTGTGCAGCCACCCCCTCGCAGCCAGTGGAACGAGAAAAGCCACGGATCTGGATCTGGACCGTCCTGCCTCAGCGCCTGTCCCCCCCCAAGCAGCCTGCCCAGCTTAGCAGACGGACGCTATCGCTGTGCACTAAATCGCGTGTGCGAGGGGACATGGGTCTCTGGGCCGTTTAGGCTTCTCCTGACAGAATCCGCAGCGTCGCGTCTCCAGCTGAATCATGTCGTCCGACCCGAGCCTTCACGGCTCCAACGCCAGCGCCGGCTCCAAGCCCAAGCAGCGCCGCATCTCGCGGGCCTGCGACTACTGCCACCGCCGGAGCATCCGCTGCCGCCCGGCCGACGACGGCGCCGGCTGCCAGAACTGCAGAGACTTTGCCCAGACGTGCACGTATCACCGCACGCCGCGCCGCCGAGGCGTCCCCGCCCGAGGCAGCGGAGGCGGAGGCGGAGCGAGCCGCGGCTCCGAGCTGCCGGACGTGAAGCTGTCGCGATCGCCGTCGCAGGGCGACCTGCACATCATCCCGGAGGTGCAGCAGAGCCTGGCCGGCTCCGATGCCTCGCCCGGCCTGCCGCCGGCCTGGCGCGCGCCCTACATCGTCAGCCAGGCCACCGTCGTCGACCTCGTCGACCTCTACTTTGAAATCGTCTACCCCATCTTCCCCTTCTTCCACCAGCCGTCCTTCACCCGCAAGATCTCCCGCGCAGAGTACAACTCCAACAAGCCGCTCTTCGCCACCACCATGGCCGTCTGTGCCCTGGTCAGCGGCCGCGTGCGTGACGGCTCCGTCATGAACCCGAGGTGGGATGTCCAGGCCTTGCTGAGGGAGACGCTGCCCGACACGTTCTATGCCGAGGCCAAGAGACAGCTGCTGGACGACGGCTGTGACAGCTCTGATTTCAACATCTTGCGTGGCCACGCCATCATGGCGATTACAGCTATTCAGAATGGTAAGATCCGGGAAATGCATCATCACATTGGCATCTATCATATGCTCATGGACATGGATGGACTCCACGACGAGGCCAACTGGCCCTCCGGCATTGGAATCATCGAAAGGGAGGAAAGGAGAAGAATGGTAAGCTTCTGACCTTTTCTCAAACGCATTCACTCATTCACTCACTCACCCACCACCTCTTGCCAAAAGCACACCGGCTAATTTCCGTCTCCCTTTGTTGCAGTTTTGGTCCATTTATACCCTTGATATTTTCACGTCGGTGGTTTGGGGCGGTGTTATCCGATCTCGTGAACAGCAGTCAAACGTTACTTACCCAGCAGAGGTGGATGACCAATACATCAGCGACGGGGGCATTGCCCTGCCCGGCTTCTCTCCCAGCGGCCTAAGCCCTCCCATTGCTCGGCTCGTCTTGACTGCCCAGTCGGATTGCTGGATATCTGGCTGGAACTTCATCACCGATCTCTACCGAGTGCTGGAGCATGCCCTGGCGCGGTTTCGGGATCGGAGGAGGTCGTTCATGTCTGAAATCATAGACGACCAATCCACAGTGACTGAGACATCGATCCGCAACAAGGTGCTCCAGATGTACCTGAACCTTCCCGAATGTTTCAAGACCACCCCCGCCATGGCGTTTAACCAGAAACAAGATCTGTTCGGCTTCCAGGCGGCTAACATCACTGCCAGCCTTCAGCTTCTTCGGATTGTGTTATTTGCAGCTGGCGGTGCTAGCATCAAGGAACGCTGCCAGATCGCCTCGGACGTCGTGGACGCTTTCAACTCTATTCCCGTACAATACTGCTTGGCCATAAGCAAGCCGCTCCTACACCACCTGGGTGGAATAGGCTCGATTCTCGGCTCTGTCTTCGAGGAGCGCCTTAGCGAGGCAGAGTACACCCAGGTGAGGTCGGTCATGCTGGCAATGGCCCGACTTCTCGAGAACCTCGAGACAATACACCGTAGCTCATGTGCTAGCGAGAACCTTCGATCTCAAGTGTCTCGTATCGACGAGTACATGTCCACTCAGCGACAACACCAGAGGCCGCCTCTCGAGGAAACTCCGGTGAATGCCACAGCGCAGCCGATGTTGCCGCCTGTCGATGGCGCCAGAGGTGCTCCTCCACCACCCTACGAGCAGCATGTCAACTCGGAAATGGCAGCGGACTGGTCGTTCCAAGTACCCCCTGATTTGTTAGGCGATCTGACGTGGAATTTCGACTTTGGTCCTGTGTGGACTTGAAACTTAACTTCTTGTTTTTATATTTTTTTTCTCTTTCCATTTTATGATTCTTCTGAACATGAAGCGAAATATGGCGTTTGATTAAAATACTGTATGTCCCAAAAAGCGCAAACTCTCTGCTGTCAACGGAATTTACATAATAGCGTTTTGATTAACGTCAACTCTCTTCTCATCGGGGCTTGCAGCCTCCACAGAGTCTGCCGGGTCCTTGCCGTCGACTTCATCCAGGAGCTGTCTGGCTGCAACGGCAGTGTTGCCCCCCGCTTCGCCAATGCGACGATGGTATTCCTTCATGTTCTCGCTGGCCAGCAAGCTGTCGCTCGTGAAGAGGAGCGAAATCTCCTCCAGAGTGCGATTGGCAAGCTCGGGGAAGATGAGCCAGACTATTGGGGTCACAACAACGTTCATCGCCCCAAAGAAGAGATATGTGCCGTATCCAATTCTGCTTAGAAAGATGGGCATGATCAGAGTGGTTGAGCCACAGCCTGTGGCCCAACCAAAGATGGTGAAGCTGTATCCTTTGGCGCGGACTTCCTGCGGCCAGATCTCTGTGCCATATATCCAACAAGGGATGATATTGAACATAGTAAAGAACCTTTTTTTTTGTATAATAAATAATAATTAGCATTGTGAATTTGGAGGACATGGGGCTTCAGCTGGGAGTAGGAAAATTGAATTTCATCATGACAACTTACCAGACATAAATGAAGACGAAACTGGCTGCCGCAGTGCCCAGCCGCTGCGACAGTTCTGGGTCAGCCGCGGCATGGTCTTGCGACGTCTTGATCAGGGCGGCGACCAAGAACAGGCACACTGCCTGGATGGCAAACGAGGTGACGAGCGACTTTACTCGCCCCATTCTGTCAATGACAAAGGCTGCGGCAGCGGTTCCTGGCACGCCAAAGGTGTTGGCCAGGCCCGCGAGCCAAAGAGCTTTATAGGCGTCGAATCCTGCCAGCTCAAAGAGGACACTGGCCCATCCCACAATGGCGAGGATCCCCGTCCATTGCTGGATCCATTGCAGGGCGAAGCCGAGGACAGCTCGTCGACCAAGGTGCAGCTTGCCAGAGAAGCGGCCGCCGAGGACGATGTTGCCGAGATCGTTGCGCTTGTGGTGGGTTGCTTCAACGATGGCGTCCAGCTGCTCGACCTCGGCGGTTATTATAGGGTCGTTTGGGCTGAGGTCTCCTCGGAGCCGGCACAGGATGTCGATGGCCTGCTCGCGTTGGCCATTGGCAATGAGCCATCTGCGGCAGCAGCCGTTAGCGTCACTCTTATAGTTGTAGGATCCAAGCGCGTGGGGCATGCAATATATAGAGGCAGATGGGCGGATGGGGGGCGTGGAGGGATGGACAAACCTGGGAGACTCAGGTAGCAACGGCACTGCCACGTCGACTACCAGAAGCGGGATTATCATCCAGCCTAGAGGGAACCTCCAGCGGAATTCGAGGTTGGAGTTGCGGATGCCGAAATTGATCCAGTACGCAATGACAATGCCCAGGTAGTTTGCCACGAAGACGAGCGAGAAGCTGGACCCTCGGTCGTGCGACTGGGACAGCTCGCTGACCCACGGCAGGATAATGGCATTCATGAAGCCGATGCCGATGCCTGCAATGACACGCGCGCAGATGAACATGCTGGCGTTTGTGCTGCCGGCCATGAGGGCTGCGCCGAGGATCCCAAAGGCCGTTCCAATGAGGACGCCCCCTCTGCGGCCTATCCTATCGCCAACCCATCCTATTGCGGCAACTCTTGTTAGCAATCATCGCCCTGTCTTGTGCTGTTATAGGACGCAGGTCCTGTTTTGCAAAGGATCTTCTGTCGTACCGCCTATGAAGCACCCCCACATGCCTCCGAAATAATACGCTGCGGCAAGCCCGCCTTGTTTGGTCGTGTTGGTTACGACCCCATCGTGGCCAATATCGGCCATCTTGATGAAGCCGGGCGTGGCGCTAACAGTTCCAAGGACACCCTGATTGTATCCTGTTTGAGTTTTAAAAAAGCTCTCAAATTAGCATTCTCCATTATGAGTAGACTAGGCTTATAGAAGAAGCTCGACACGCAAGAGAAGACAAGAAATGAAAGATGTTGCTATCTTGCATCCCACTAACCTTCGAAAATTAGAGCCGTCGCCGCGACGAGGTTAATTAAGAACAAGAGGACCTTGCCCGGCACATGGCGCCAAATCTGGAGACCCGCCATTGGAGCCGTTTGGAGTTGTCGATCTCGATAAAGTGAAACGGCGATGGTCGTTGAGGATTTGGGGCGTGGGAGGAGGGAAAAAAGAAAAAAAAAAAATAGGCGGCTTCTGGCCTAGGAGTCGTAAACTCTTTCTATACCGCCCGTTCAATCAACTGACTCCTCACGGAGATAAAAACGCTGCGAGAACGCCCCGACGCGAGGGTGTCGCCCTCCCTTCTGAGCCTCTGAAACTGTCTCTCAACCACGAGGCAGAAACCCGCTCTAAGCTGTTCCCAATAGGTACGGCTCAGATACGCGTTAGTGAGGCGTGGAGCGGAGGATTTTGGAGCTTAGACCAATACACAGATTGCACGGTTCAGAAACTATGCTCTAGGCTTGAAGCTCCACGCGGGGGACGCGGCGGGAGGAAATGAAGAGAAAAAAAGGCGCGAGATCGGCTAAAGCCAATGCTTAAACGTTTAAAGACTTTGCGCCTGCGAGGTGATGAGGCTTGGAATTTCCAGAAATGGAACTTTGCCGCTGAGGGGCCGTTTAGCCGCTGCTGCGAAGCGTTTTGACGAGAGCCAGTTAGGAGGGGGGGTGTAACTGAATTGTGGTCTCATCGCGCTCACAACTCCTACACACTCAGAAATAGTCTGCAGGAGTTGCATGGGAATAGGTTGTCTAAACGCCGATAGAGTTTGAGAGGGGGCTTGTTCTTGGTACCTTGACCTCCTGAATAGCTAAGCGGCACACTTGTTTCCCTCTCCCCTTTAAATGCGACTTTATCATGGGACTGTAGACTAACCGGCTTTTTTTTCTTCTAATTTTGACTTTTGGGCTTGGTCAGGCTGCCCTCTGCTCTCAAGAGCCCAACTCGCAACTCACCACTCGCGCCTATGAAATTTATTCCGTCTCCCAACACAGAGACTACAATGGGCTCTGCTACTGGCATCATGTATACTGGGGACTCGTTGCCACTGGAGATTACGGCCCTGGGGCTGAATTCGGGTACCTCAATGGACGGAATCGACTGCGCTCTTTGCCGGTTCAGACAGGCGTCTCCCAATGGCCCCATGCACTTTGAGTTGCTCCAGTACGACGAGATTGCTCTTGAACCAAAGATCAAGAAGCGGGTTATGGACATGATCTTTCACAACACGACAACGCCGGAGGAGTTATCAGAGGTCAATGTTGTTCTTGGCGAGACGTTTGCGGATGCGGCCAAGGCATTTTCGAAGAAGCATGGTGTGCCGTTGTCATCCATCGATGTCATTGGCTCACATGGGCAGACTATCTGGCTGGAGAGCATGCCTCAGGGCGGACGCAAGAAGTCTGCTCTCACAATGGCCGAGGGGACGTTTATTGCTTCCAGCACGGGCATCACCACCGTGACGGATTTCCGGGTCTCAGATCAGGCGGCCGGTCGACAGGGCGCCCCCCTTATTGCGTTTTTTGACTCGCTCGTGCTTCACCACCCGACCAAGCTGAGGGCGTGTCAGAACATTGGCGGCATTGCCAACGTGTGCTTTGTGCCTCCAGATTCCAACGGGCAGCTGAATCAAGAGTTTTTTGATTTCGACACGGGCCCGGGCAACGTCTTCATCGACGCCGCGGTACGTTATTTTACAAATGGGGAGCGGGAGTACGATCAGGATGGCGAAATGGGCAAGCAGGGCGAGGTGAATCAGCAAATGGTGGATGAGTTCCTACAGACACATTTCTACTTTGCTCTGGATCCCCCCAAGACGACTGGCCGCGAGGTATTCCGGGACACCATTGCGCACGACTTGATTGAGCGTGGAGTTGCAAACGGCATGTCACCGAATGACATTGTGGCCACGATTACGCGAATCACGGCACAGGCCATTGTCGAGCATTACAAGCGATATATGCCAACGCAGTACGGCCCGCTGGCCGAGGTGTACATGTGCGGCGGCGGAGCCAAGAACCCAAACATCCTAAACCATCTAAAGGAGTCGTTTCCAGAGACGAGATTCGTCATGTTGGACGAGGCGGGTATCCCGGCGGACGCCAAGGAGGCTATTACGTTTGCGTGGCAAGGGATGGAGGCCATCGTCGGACGAAGCATCCCTGTGCCGTCTCGGGTCGAGACAAGTCGTGGCTACGTGCTGGGCAAGATCAGTCCCGGGCACAACTACAGGCGAGTGATGAGGAAGGGCATGGATTTCGGAGCGGGTCACGAGGTTCTGGAGCCCGTCAGGGAGCTGGTCAACTATGTTGGCGGAAAGATGTACAACAATAAAGGTTGAAAAAGAGGCGGTCTTGATAAACCGGGCAACTTTAGGCGATGTAACAACGGTGACATCGTGGCAGAAAAGATAAAAATCGTTATCTACTAGGTATTCACTCAGCTGAAATTGTTTTTTTTGGTGCCTTTGTTTTTCTCTTAGGTGCAGGAATCACACACTTTTCTTCGACATGGCGCCGCGGGAAGCGGGAAGCGGGAAAAAAAAGGGGGGCGAGGAGGAGGGGGGGGAATGGCGAAGTTGTTCTCATGACTATATTTTGAGGAGTTAAGAGGATGGTTGGGGTGGGATGGCGTTATGCGCCCCGAATACGCAAAGTCCATGTTGCAAACGATCTATTCTAGGTGATGTCCTCTTTTTTTTTTTTTAAACATGGATGTGGGTGGACTTTTGGATAGGTATAAGGCGTTTTCATGTATGAAAAAAAAAAAAAAGGTCGACTCCTGTTAGAAGGAGAGGCGGCTGATGAGGGGAAATAGACGTTTTGAAAATACCACCGGTTATCACTACTGGAGCTAGTTATTAAGAAGCTTGCGGATCGTTATATAGCGTGCTGCAAAATTCGTCAGCAAAAGTTTAACTGTTGGAATCCCTAGACACTGGATCACAATAGTACACTGTTTTGAGCAAGTTTGCCACAGCGAGACTTCTCACGAGATATGAAACTCGACAACCAAAAAGGACGTCATGAAAACGGGGTAGCGACAAAAAGAGAAGGTGCCAGTGAAGTCGCGGATATGTTTTAGTTTACCTTTTTTTTTTTGTTTTGAATATTAGGCAGATTTAATATCGGGCCTGCTTCCGGTTCGTCATGCGGCTGTGTTTTATTTTGCCCATTTAGCTTTTTGTTTGTCGAGTGTGTTGCAAGTTTGGACTAACCCGGCGGCCCGGGACGGCTACATCGAATCATACGACTTGAAATTAACACACTAGAGCTATTTAAACGAGGTGATATCAGGCTCTTTTTTTTTTGTCTTTAGACTGAGCATGTTGACTGAGTCGTTGTGAGCATCATTCGATGAATCAAAGGCGATAGCAGCGGTCCCCCTGGCAAGTATGATTCTGCTCTGTTCTTCTTTATTTCGGGTTTAAGATATGCCTGGTGACAGTGTAGCCGTTTCCCTTGTACTAATTTCGTGTGACAAGTCTGCTTTACGCTTGTCGTAGCACAGCACTGCTGACATGCAACCAGTTAATTTCAAAATTCACTGCCAGACAAACCTTCCACGAGATGGCAAGAGATTGTTTGTATCCCACCAGCAATCCCGCGAGAGGACAAGGGACTGCCGTGAAGCCGGCCACCCTTGATTGATATGGAGCTGCTTTCCCTTCCTCACGGGCAAGGGCACTAAGGTTCATGGCTATGGGGGGGGGGGGGGGGGGGGGGGGGGGGGGGGGGGGTAGCGTGAGTAAATTTGTAAGCCTAAGCCTACTAGCATCTTTGAGGAGAGTCCATCTCATGCACCGTGCATGAATCCTTGCTTCGTATTTGGGGCTTGTATGACGTACGCAAGTTTGTGCGTATTGGTATTGGGGGGGCATTTAGGGTACTGTATGCGATTATGAAAACCAGGGAGTTGGTTTGTTCTAGTGCCGAAATCGAAGAGACAGAAGATGACACTTTTGTGCACTGAAACAAGATGAACCCGAGACATGTGCCAGTACAGCTGATGGAATCGAGGCCTCCCTTGTTATGGACTGTGTTTCTCGCTTATTCATGCGCTGAAGCTTCTTGCTGTTCCTCTTCTCTAGTCCTCCTTGACTTGTATATCACCATGGCCGAGACTAAGAAGGAAAATACTGGTTTTTCATTAATACCGGTCTTAAGTTGATCCACGCTGCGGCATATTCAGTAAACGCACGCCTCCGGTGGTGGTCTGTGATGGACTTGATTCAGAGAACAGGCCAAGGGCAGTGACACACAGACGGCCTTGCGCCTGATGCAGGGGCCTTGTAATTACATGAGAAGCGCACGAGTGAGGCGTTTACCCTGTTATAGCCTTTACCTTGCGTTGATCACTGAGTGATTGTTTTCTCATGGCCTGCATTTCTTTTGCTGTAGTTGGCTGTAAGAGAGTCTTGGCTGAGAGGCTGCCAATCATAGGGCGTTGTGTGGAAAGGATGTTCCGTATGAGACCCACCAAATGTCTATACGAATACAGCAAAGACGCCAACATCGAAGAACGCTCCAATTTGATGAGAAAATGTTCCAAGAGGAACAGACATGCTAGTCAGAATGTGAGCCGTGGTGGTTGCTTAATGCTGGAGCAGTTTCCTCAAAAAGGACACCATCTCGAGACGGCCCGATGCCCCGTATTACATCGGTATGGGGAAATGACATGTGAAAAGATACTATCCAATTATCAAGACAGCAAAAGAAACACCTACTACTTTATACTTACATTACAGCGCCAAGAAATAGCATGTCGTTGATTGCTTGCAGCCATCGCGCGGAACTAGCGGGCCATCGGGCGGGCAAAAGCCAAGCTAATTCCACCAACAGCTACAAGTAGCAAATCATTGACAACGGCCCTGATCCGCTAATGCTAGCTGCGATCTTCTAGTAGGTGGCCATCTCAAGTATCTGAAAGAAGGAATTCTTGAGTCATTCATGGGTTAAAGAGACAAAACGAACCAAGTTATGGATGTTAAGGGGAAGGGGTGAGATGGTTTGTCTTGGCGAAGAGGGAAGAGAACGCCATGAATGGCCGAGATGGGAAAAAGATGCGAGAAATATTGGACACTAGCCTTCTTTTCTTTGTGGAAGAGGTTTCCGGAAGGAAACGAAGCCATTGTTCGGTTCGAGCTGCGGTGTTTTGGCTTGTTCTATTGACAATGAGCTCGAGGCTGGTGGCTATGCTGCGGTGGAGATGTTGTTGGCTGCCACCAGATGAAACGTGTGGGTTCCTCTTTTACTAGCTAGTATTGGATCAAAGAGATGCGTAATCGTCACTCGTGCGCTCAGCTCGGACGAATTGTTGGAACAATGAAAGTGTGAGGTAAAAGTGGTCACAAATGGCTGGATGAGAAGCTGAGAGGACTCACTTAGACAGCGGTTGACCTAGAGGCGGCAAGAGTGGTGATGACTGGTAGCTGATGCCAGTTGAGCCGAGGCAAATTCACATCTAACGTGAAATACCTGTATATATGGATATCTCCTAGAGGTTTAATGAGCTACCCATGGAGATCAGCAAGGCGTTCAAACACAGAGCTCAGATACGGCTTTCCGTTGGGCACATATTCTGAGGTCGCAAACACCGCCAAGCATATTGTCAAGGCGACGAGATACCCCCACCGTACCGGCATACTTCAGATCGCTCAGCTCCATTCATCGTTTCATCCGGGCATCTGATTCTGTGACTGGGTACTCAGGGCTGCCGGGCGGAGCCGACAGGGCCTTTGCTAGGGAACTCGCACTGAGTTGGCGCTACGTCAGCGAATAGAACCTCATAGAGCGGTCCGAAAGCAGAAATTTGCTTTTGGCGGTTGGCTGAGACGGTGAATGTTGCAGCGGTTGACTGACAAGGAGTTGGTTAGTAAATTCGAGGATGTGATACGCTCAAGTCGATGACGCGCTGCTATGGGAACTCCGCCACTATGTACGAGTTAATGAGCACTGACATCTACAAGTGGATAAAGAGCATGGACTTGTCTGTATCGTTCAAATTTTGTCTTGTAAGAGAAGATTTTTCTCTCGAGTAACCGACGATTATGCCTCCTCGAACTCAATGTAAATGCGGTGTACCTACATATACGATGCAAGATTGAACATATGAACCCGCTTCCGCCTTCCTCGTCCCGCGCTTCGCCTCTTTCTCGCCTGTGTATTTAACCCTCCTTATTGTGTGCAATATCCAAGCTGTCGCTGGCTCACGCAACGCACAGGAGCTGAAATCACCTCCTCCTTGTGTCACAGCTCCCGACGGTTGGGTGTCATAGCCTCGCATCTATAACAATCCCACATGCTGAGCGGTAGCCATAAATTGATCAATACGCAGTGGCTTTAATCTCCACCTTCTGAATTGGGTGAATTGCGTTACAAGAGATACGTAGTATTTGTCAAGGCACTCCGGGGATGATCCTGGATACATTAGTGGCCGGGTGCGGCAACCGGCAACGGCTATGCAAATACTCTTCTCAGCCTCTTGATTCTCCTGCCGATGCCTGATTCAAAGACATTTTCGTTTGATCCTTTGATACGCATAACCGTGTCCTTGGCTCGTGACTTGTGCTCGAGTTGGCTTGGTACCCCTGGCCCGCTAAGCGTAGAACACACGACGTTGGTACTGGCGTTTTCTGATGGCATTCCCTTTCATCTCCGGGGGCGTGCATCCATCAAGTTGCTTTACACATTCATCTTCGTGTTTTTCGTCCTTCTTTCACGGTTCAACGGCAAAGAAGTTGATTGACGTTCTTGATCCACCTTGTGCTTTGGCATTGTGGCTAAAAGTATAAAAATGTCGATCATGGGCTTTTTACAACCAAGTGTTTGAACACTACTCGACTTTGGCTTCTTTACTCGACTCAAAACATTCCATGGCCGAAAAAACTCTTTCGTTTGCTTTATGATACCCACATCTCTGTATTCTTTCTGATCACGCCGCTGTCTTCCATCTTTGCCTACGGGCATACCTCAACTGCTTACGGCCGGTGGCATCAATATGTTTTCCATAAAAAGGACAGGCGTCCTGTCATGGGCTCTGACCATTTCTAGCCTCATCAATACCAACATACAAGTTCAGGCTTCGCCCTTGAAAGGCACCGTCAACAAAGATGGCGCAGTTACCTATCCCGGCGAGCATATCTCGTGGATGCCGTGTGGCGACGCCGCCGGCCATCTCATGGAGTGCAGCTCCATGAAGGTACCGATAGATCAGTTCAACAAGACGAATTCGGGCGACAAGACGTTTAACCTCTCCGTGGTCCGTTTGCGTGGCAACAATACAAACGGCGATTCCAAGAACATTTTATATAATCCAGGAGGTCCTGGCGCGAGTGCTGTGGGGTATTTGTATGAGGTTGGTCCTCAGTTGATATCCATCGTCGGAGAAGATTTCAACATCATCACGTTTGATCCCCGAGGCATCAATGGCTCTACCCCTATTGGGTCTTGCTTTGCCACTCAAGACGTCCGCACGGCCATGTACAAAGTGCCGTTGAACGATCTGGTCACCGACGCTCCTTTCTATGGCAGCTGGGCCCCTAACTTTGCCAAGTCATGCTCCCAGACTTCTGGCGAGCATGGCAAGTACATCAACACGCCTCAAGTTGCCGCAGACATGAACAGCATCCTAGACGCCATTGGACAGAAAGACATGTGGTACTGGGGCCAGAGCTACGGCACGCTCCTCGGACAGACATACGCTGGCCTTTTTCCCAACCGCACCGGACGCATGGCAATTGACGGTGTTGTCCATCAGAATGGGTGGTACAATGAAACTTTCCAATCGGATTACAAGGACGGCAAGAGGGTATTCTGGGGCTTTTGTGACGAGTGCATCAAGGCTGGCAAAGAAGTGTGCCCCTTGGCTGCTCTGGCAGACAATGCCGATGATCTTAACAAGGCCATCGAAACCTTTGGCGCCAAGCTCAAGTCCAACGAGATGGCCGTCTATATGAATGCGACAAAGTTTGGTAGCGTTGGCTATTCCTATCTTTGGTATAATGGCATCTCGCCTGCTCTTTACAAATCCATCGCTTTCCAGCCTCTCGCATATATTCTCGCCGAAGCGATGCAAGGCAATGCTAGTCTAGCATTCCAGGCATACGGAGGAGCATCGGCATTGACCAATCCAGTATTACCGCCGGACGAAGCCATTTACTTTTACCGTCTGAATGACGGGCTTTCGGGAAGCAAGTTCTGGCCACAGGATAACGAAGGCATGATCAACGTGCTCAAACCCTTTTACGATGTGAATCCCCTCACATATGCTGCCAATTCGTTTTACTGGGCCAAGGGCCGGTGGCAGATCCCGAAAACACACAACTACGCTCCAAAGCAGGGAGTTGAGACCAAGTATCCGCTGCTGATTTTGTCCACCCAGTATGACCCGGTCTGCTCGTGGGAATCGGCCAATGGCGCATTGTCGGACTGGGCCGGCTCGCGACTAGTTACGCTGGATGCCTACGGGCATTGCACATTCTATCAGCATTCCGACTGTGCCAATAACTATGTCAAGGCATATTTCGTCAACGGCACGATGCCCGCTCCGGGCGCGACTTGCCAGGCAGGCAAAGATCAATATTTCCCTCCTGTCCCTCCATCATAGGAGCCATACAGCACGAAGCACTTGATTAAATGGGAATTTTGATGGGTTTGCGTGTATAAACAAAGATGATGGGGCAGAGCCCGTGTAGCCAGATTGATGATGGAGGGTGCTGGCTCTAATATCCTATTTCTCCCTTTTCTCTCCTCCTGTTACTTTTTCTTTTCTTTTCTGACAATTGCTGAGGATATTTGTATGACATGATGACAAGCACATAATTAGTTTTCCAATATTTTTTTTCACTCATAAGATAGGCCCTCTAAATATGATGACTCTTTCCTTTTCCATCTTTCGCCGTTTAAACGCATCATCTTATGGTTAAAGCTTCACAGCTTGTAAAGCTCTTATATCTCTTCGTCAACACGACTAAAGTCTATATACTCTTCCTGACTTTTGATGGAGCCTGACGAAGGTGGGCCGAGCTCGCAGTAAGCCTTGCAAGGATTACACATGATGATGCATCTCTTGACGGCTGGATCGATGATGATGGCGCGATTCTTACAATCCTGTTTACTGTTGCCATTGGTCGGATCCATACCGTACCTGACGACTAGTCGATCGGGGTCTTCGTTGATGAAAGAATCCAAGCACAGAGGGCCTTCTCTAAGATACGTGCTAATCCAGAGGATGTGGCCGCCATGCTGCTGCATCACTTCGCTTTCGAGCTGGCCCAGGTCTTCTGTTCTACTGAGGCAGGCCGGGTCTGAGCATTGGCAAAGCATGACGGAGATTCGGAATTTACACATGGTGCTTGTTTAATCATTAGTGGTTGATGCGTGTAATAAGTTAGCCCTGTAGTATACTGTTCTTACTAGTATGTGATTGGGTCGCTATGGGGCAAATTGATATCGTCTTTTCTATCTGTAATTTACTCCCATTCACGAAGGAGGGAAGCCGTATCATATATAGTCAGGCTGAGACGTTGTGAAACAGTAACAGTGAATGGAAGACACTCGGTGACATTCACTTCAATTTGTCTTCTGGCATGGTGTCGGCTTCCGGCATTGTGTTACCTTCGTGTCCTTGCATCCGTTATAAGTATATAGCTACGCCGGTGCGATCCATTTCTCCTATTCACTGCTGTTCACGCAGTGATGCCAGCTTCTTTTTCGATTTCTTCCTTGCTCCAACTCCACTTGTTCTGCAAGTCCTTGTTGAGAGAAGGTTCAATGGTCTCCTTGCTCCACCACTCCCCCCAGCTGGTTAAAAAGATCTGGTCTGGGTCGCTGGGGAAGTCGGATCTGGTGAAGGCAGCAAGGATGCTTTGTGCTCCTGAGCAAACATGTTAGCGTCTTTTGTGTACACTGACCATCGCCATTCTTCTAATAGGCGAGCAGCGTACCTGTAGCAACCGGCTTTGCATCAGCCATATCCATGGTGAGCTGCAGTCCGCTGTTTCTGCCAAGGCCAGTGCCAGGAATCAGGCCTGGTGAACAGGCTACAACGTCGCATTGGCCGGCCAGCTCGCGGCGCCACCAATGGGCACCGAGGAGCTGAACAAATTTGGTGGCGGAATATACATTCATGAAATCGGCGCCGGAGCCTCCCTTTAGCATTTCATCAAGGATACCTGTGATTGGCGCCAGTGAGTATGAGATGAGCCGAAGAATGAGCGTTGAAGCGATAGAGATTCACTTACTAGGATCGGTTATCCGGCGAATCGCTCCAGATGACACGACGACGATACGAGACTTTGATTCAATCAGCTTGTCCTTGAGCAGATGCGTCAGATAGTGCTGTGCTGTATTTTCAATTAGCGATATGCTCGTGACGCTGCCTGTGACGGGCACCCACAGAAATGGTTCACAACCAGCGACTGGCACCACCTCCATCCCCCGGGGCCAGGCTTCTCCGCGCCTTCAGAAATGGCTGCATTTAGGAGCAAGTAGTCGATCTTTTCACCTCCAATCTTGTCCAACACCTGCTGCGAAAACGTCTTGACCGTCTTTAGGTCGGAAAGCTCCAGCGGCAAGACCGTCACCGCGTGGCCAGAGCGGTCATAGGCGAGAGAGTCATAGGCAGCAATCGTGCTCTGGGTGTTTCGAGCCCCCAGGAATACCTTGTAGGGCTGAGCTTGCTGAGAAAGGAGTTGTTTGATAGCTTCAAAGCCCTAATAGTTGGGTCAGACATGAAGTTGGCTGGCAAAATTGTGTGAAGCGCGCAGCTCTAGCTTTCTAGGAAGCTACAATGATGCGAGCATTTGATAAATCAGTTTACTTACCAGGCCTGAAGAGACGCCCGTGGCGACAACAGTTTTAGCAATTGATGCCATTTTGATGTCTAGAGTGTATGGTATGTGGCCGTATGATGCTTGTTAAGAGAACAGGTCGCGTCAGGGTGATGGAAGAGGAGAATATCGAGCACAGGCTTGATTCAATTGAGACCACTCCTAAGCTAAATATGTACCAAAATATATGCCAGTTGCGGAGTACACACAATTAAAGTCCATATCCTCTTCCAATCCTCGCAGCTGCCGGTCTTTATTAGTTAACGCCGGCCTGTCGCTGCTCCTTCACCCAATTGATACCCCACTTAATGCGACTTCCGAATCATTCGGCGTTATTCATCGCATCATGCATTTTTGGTATACGTGATTTGTAATATCAGCAGCGGAGGTTGCTAACTGCGGAGCACGTGTGAAAGCCTCATAACGAGCCTCACTTACAACCTTGAACTGATGGTAGGTTTGAGCTAGAAAAGATGTGATCAATAGTCGTAGCTTTATGAACAACGCCAGAGATTTGCGCGTTTCGACGATTATTTGGTCAAGGTGAGCTCTCAAGCCGCTGATTAGTCCGGCTCATATGCTGCTGCCATCGACGCTTTCCAGATATATTGCCTAATGCAAGCCCCCTCCCCAAAAAAATACAATCTTCTACCTCATGCGACTTTTTAATCGATGCTCGCAACTCTTCAAGAATTCATCATTCAGTTCGTTCAAGTCTTTATCGAATGCCATGCCAGGATGTAAACATTACGACTTTGAGCACGAAGAGTCAGTTGCCTGATATTCCTTGTCTACCGCCTTAAGGATTGCGCACGGCGATTTCCGTTGGTGGTTTAGTCAAATATATCAGAATCTTCAAGGCTCGCACAGTCAAACAGTGCATTGAAGAATAAGCGTGTCTTTGAGTGATCAAATCGACGAGTACTTTCAATCAAGAGATAGCAAAGCCAATAGGTATAACCTATGATCATCTCCGCAGGTATTCATATGAAGAGAATACGCCTATTGGGTCTCGCTGCAAACTGTACTCGACGGCTGCATGCAAAAAGAGATGCTTACGTATGTACTCATTTTAGGCAGTCTTGGATCTGTTCATCTCTGATGCCAGTGCAGAGATAGTCATGGTGATCTTCTTATCACATGCCATGAGGTTTATTTCGCCCTGAGATAATACAAAAGGAATACAAAGATACTATATTAAGTTTGCTGCTTGTCTTAAAAAATTACATTGCAGAATTCTGTAGAGTGGTTTGATCCTAAACGATTTCATCTCCCATTGCTCTTGAGTTATGCAGCTTGCACAAACCTCTATGCTTTGGAGTCTGAGCTATCAGGCTCCTCATACATAGGAAGAGAGTGATCCTTTACTTCGTTTCGGCTGAAGATAAAACCGGGATGTCCAAGGAAGAGGCAATAGCTGGCCGTGATAACGAGTCTAAAGCGAATATTAGCATCAATGTGCAACATTTGGAGGGATGACATGGTATACTTACACTCCTTCAAGCCCAATAAACAGCCCTTGGTCTGTGATTAAATCCGAATGTACGTATCCTTTGCTTAGTTCATAGCAACGGTATACGCATCGAACCCAAATCAAGAGGATTGCGGCACCCAAGAAGCCGAAGAATATGCGCATCCTTGTACCCAAGGGAGACTCAGGCTTCTTTCGGACATAACGAGCCAAATAATCGATAAAGAGGACACTGAAAAAGAACAAGCCTCCAACTTGAAGCCCCAGGCCCGTCATAGCAATATCGACGCCAGTTGAGCTATTCCCAGAAGTAACAACGGATATAGCCCCACCAGCAGCCTGTAGGATGAGACAGATGATGTCAAGAGGGAGGAAAATCCAGTAAAAGAGCTCGGGCTTGATACGTGAAATTTCGGGAGCCAAGTAGTTGATGCTAAGCGAAACGTCAGCTAATGGTTGATGCAAGTCTGGCCGATTGACAGTAAACTCACGTCTTGGATAGGGTGATGTATATTCCAGCAGTATAAAATACAGGGGCGGTGGTGATGAGGACAATCTGATCCATGAAGCCGCCGAAGGAGAAAGGATTGTTGTAGAGAATAAGACGACCGGCATAGCCTCCAATCTCGACCAAGCCGCCAAGTGTCATGAGGGCCATAAAGTTCCACTGGCGCCAGCGGATGCCAAGAATAACATGGACGAAGATTGAAATGCCAAATAGGGCAACAAATGTTGCGTTGGCTGGAACTGAAGGGCGATACTTGTAGACGCTGTATTCGATAGGACAGAGAGCAAGCGTGCAATTGGCGTTGGGGCCAAATGTAATCAAACCGCCCGGGCTCCCAGGTGGCCCTGGAATTGTCGTCGACATGATGAAAGAAGCTGATGCGAAATCCGACTGTAGCTTATAGTTTTGGGAAAGATGCAAAGAGATGGGAGAAATTGGCGGTATCCAGACTTTCGAAGGCGTCGGAAAAATTGCAGAAGATACGAAAATCGAGAACGGCTTGGATCATGTCCGAAAAAATAGTTATCAAGGGTAAAGAGATGCTTTTCGTTTGGGAAAATTTCCAACATATGTCTCTAGCCCCTTATCGGTCGCGCACCGGAGTGACGGCTGAACAGAAAGACTCAATTATACACTCTGAGCTGACGATGGGGCTTTCATCACTTAAGCATCACTGTAAGGTACTAAAAGAAATAGTTCATAGTTCATAATTTTCGATTTAGGGCAATGGGTTTCCTAAAGTAGTCTTTTCGTGCTGGCATTTGCTAAATAATGAATGTGTCAAGTCACTCCGGGCGTCCTGAGCGGCCAGTCGGAGCAACTTTACCGCCATCCTAGACTCACTGCAGCGCAAATATTGTAGAAAGCAGAAGAGGAGAGCCGGCGGAAAAACTAATTCGTCATCAGACTGTGACCTGATTTATAAATGCTGTTAATTTCGCCTGTACGCAGGATTTGCGATGTCGCCCAATGGATGCGATGTTGCAGCAAAGAATTTGTTGCTGAGGCTCTATCCAAGCTTTCAGATTTCTGGCCCAGAAACTCTCAATCAAACGGAGCACGGAGTAACATTGAATTTAAAGTCCTCTGCAAAAAAAATTTGGGCTGCCCAAGTGGGTCAAGCCGATGATGGAAGTCTGGCCTTTCGTATTTTAATAGACTTGCGGCCGCATGGCTGTGTTAGTGTATAAACGGCATATTTTGCAAGGTATCAACTCTATTGCGTCTTGAATGCCACGAATCTTTCAGCATCATAGAAACAAGACTGGTAATGCGCTGTGAATGATGGCAACTAATGATCAACTGGTCTGCCAATCCTTGGGCGGAGTTAAAATGGTCTTCATGGCGGTATTTGTAACAATGCGACCGATCAAGAAGTTTCATCCAAGTTCTGGTTTGATCTAAAAAAAAAAGCCCATTTTAATCTTCATGACGCAAGCTGTGCATGGCTAAGGATGAAGACGCCATGTGTTTGCAGTTTAACTGTAGGAGCTGTTTCACATAGCTATCTCAACACTAGTTCGCACCTCTTACGGAAGAGAAGCTGTTTATTCTGTCAATTCGTGTTAGTGTGCAGCACTCGCAGTCTAGCAGATTCATGGCGCAAGGAAACAACTTTACTGAAGAAATGTGATCAAATTTGCTTGTTCATCTGCGACACCGGGTGCTTTGAGCTCCTAGCTCGAGAACAACAAGCTCGCTAAATAAGACGGAGGGAACAACCAAGAGAATATTTCTCGAGCCAGCTCACTTTTTCTGCTTAAAGTACATTTCTAGAGTTGAATCATGAAACAATATACACAAAAAAAGTAAGTGCTTTGTCGTCGTTGTAGTCCTCCACCAGCTCGTTGTTGCTTGGGAAGGTGGTAGGTCAGCCCTTCAGACTTTGATTCAAGGCCCACAAACTCCAAGGGCGTTTTGTAGTTCCAGGATCAAAAAAGAGAGAATATCGTAGAGAGTAAATTGTAAGAGTAGAATGACCCCATTAGTCTATTTATAACAGCTGGATGTTGGTGCCCCCTCTGTGTTGTCAAGATTGATCGATACAGTTAAGCTAGAATGAGGGCCGTGAAACGCCTTATAGCCTCAATACTATCTTTTATGTATGGCCACCTTCACCACGATGCCCCACAGCGGCTATCAGTTTTACACTATTCAGCGATCTATCACTTGCTGCACTTATTAGCAGAGGCTCGGCAGTTTGGGGTTCAGGTTGCATGAAAGAAGGCGGAGATCGAGACACCCTGGACTTGTGAAACACTTGGACCGATTCGCTCGGCTATTCTTGAAACACCTCTCCTGTTAGAGAGATGCGATCAATGGATCTTGTCTTTGACTGGATCTCTTGATGGCTTACTCATAACTGCCTAGTCAATAAGCACTATTCATTGATCCGTTCCAAGATGGCTCCATCCAAGACATGTTGAACAAATATTACAAGAGAATGAGGTACTGGGGAAAAGCGGAAAGCGTACGTTAACATCCGCGCCAACAGTATGTATAGGTAATGATAGAGACCAGGCCTATGCGCTCACGCAGAAATACGGGTTTGGCTGTGAGTACGGAGTTATATCCTTCTGAAGAAGTTGCCCGATACAGTTACGGCACTTGCCGGGAAGTCCTAGGGATCTGCCAATAACCCCGTACCCATGGAGAGCTTCACATAATCGGACATGTTTATAATTTCACGCAGATGCCAAAAGGCAATGTTTTTTTCCGGTCTGCAACGGAGTACATCCTCGGCATATGGATCTGCCTCCTTGTGACGCTTTTGATTCGTAATCACACGACTTTTGTGGTGTGGGCGCCAATATGTACATGTATCGTGTGACGAACGTTTTGGGACCGTCAAATTCTGCGACGCACTGTCCAGGGCAGTTTTGTCCATTCAAATGTTCTTTTTTGCTAGCTACATGTAGTTCCAGCATTTTGGTGAGTGAATGATACACAGTCTTGCAGACAGAGCAGCGGCCTGTGGACTCGGTGGCGATGAATAGATGGACTATGATTGATACCGGAGCAACGTCGGGATGCATGCAGCGTCTTCTCGACCCTTCCAAGAAGATAAACTGAGATCGACTTGTTTGATCTGGCGATCCACGGATTTCGAACAGCGCTAGCCTTTCCGCTCCGCTAGCGTAGCGAGTTCTAATCAGGGGCGGTACAGTTTAGTATCAACTCTGCCGAAAATGGGCCTCGGCACCCGTTGCTGGGCTTGGAAATCTCTGCTGGGTGCGTTGCAGGTACTGTAGGCTCCATTCCGGATGAGAAATAGCGGACATGGCCTTGGTATACAATTGAATCGCATGAGTATCTTGTTTGGGGTTTAGGGTAAATCGATGGTACTTGGTGATTTGAACTGTAGCGACCATGAAGCTTTACGTGCATACGCTCATCTGTCTCGTCCTCTGCAACTTGAGATTGCTGGCATGGAATGCTACATGTCACTATTAAAAAGAATAGTGATGTACAGCAACAAGTGAAAATCAAAGAAAAAAAAAGGGAATCTTACAACTATAAGCGCATAATTCTATTATTGCTCACACTGTGATTCTATCGCTTCTACTGCCTCTCCTGCCTCTACACCTTTTACTAGGAATGACGTTGTGTTTGTGTTATAATTCGTCTTCATATTGTACTTCTCTCTTAAGCAGCCAATGGTGAAGCAGCCTCTGCACATTGAATCCGGCAAGCAACCTAAACTGCACTCAAAATCTGTCCGCACCAAGGATTACAAATCGCCCAGCAGATCTTGCGCTAGCGAGTCACAAATCGCAAGTGGAATCGGAAAATTGCCTGCATCTGTCTCTTCACCGAGACTATTTTTTTGAGGAGCATTTTTGCCTTTCCGTCCCTTCTCTCTGCTTCTCTTCCCCCCCCCCCCCCCATTTAGTCTCGGACTTGCTGTTTGTCCTGCTGCCTTCCATGGAACACCGAAACCACCTCGGCAACTTGCGTCTCTCCATAATTATGCACAGGCGGGCTCTAACCTCATCCACCCAGCCCTGGATCGCAGGTCCCAGCGGCCGGGCTCTTTTCTAAAAAGAGGGCTCGGCCGGCCGGCCGATAGTCAGAGATGCATATAGAGCTGAGCGGAGCTGCAAGGACACGGCGAGAGCGAACTCCGCGCCGGAGGAATATCCCTATTGCGATATGGCGGGCCTAGTGGCTTTGTGGGGAGCCGTAGTTGGAGTTTACGTAGTGGAAGAGGGCCGTTGCCGTCTAAAACCAGCATAGCATATGTGGTCTTTGGCGGTTTCGATCTGTTGTTACGGCTCCGACCTACGGCTCCGAATCGTTCGTAGTGGCGGCTCCTCAACGCAGCAGCCTCAAGCCCCCACCGTGTGTGCAACGCCAATGGAGAAGTTGCCAACTCGGGCCACCTGCTTGCACCTCAACTCTCACTGACACGGAGTTCAGTCGACGGTACGACACAATGCAGGCGGGTCTCCGGAATCTCCATGCTGCTGCTGTTTCAGACACCGGCCGTCCTAGTGGAATGGAGCAAACAGCCGTTTTGAGTGCGTCGCCGCCACCAGCGTCGTCGATGCTCAGCTAAACTGCTTAGCCGGATCGGCCTCCCTGCCTGGCACAGACTAGATGCGATATAGTTGTACGGGTATAAAGACGGCGGTGACGCCAGGTCTCGAGGGCGGTTTGAAATAGTCTCAGATCTTGTATCCAACTTGATCCTACTTGTTTATTAGCGCGTCTTCTTTTCCACGTCAAACCACCACACCTCACATTCGCCATGGCTGTTGAGAACCTTTCCATTGTCCTGGCTGAGCGCCCTACCGGTGAGATCGTTCCCGGCACCACCTTCACCCACAAGATCTCCCCTGCTCCCACGTCGGCCGACATCAAGGATGGAGAGATTCTGGTTGAGGCCCTCTACCTCTCTTTGGACCCTGCCATGCGTGCGTGGTTGAACGGTAAATTATCCTTGAAAAATCTCAAGTGTTGAAATCGGTGTGGCTGATATCTTGTAGATGTTCGATCTTACGTCCCTCCCGTCCAGATCGGCGAGACCATGCGCGGCGCGTCCGTCTGCCGGGTCGTTGCCTCCAAGAGCAAGCAGGCTGCTGCTGGCGACTACGTCTGCGGCTTCACTGGCTGGACGCAGTATGCTGTTCTGCGCGAGGGTGCCTTTGAGCCCTCGTCCAACTACCCTGGCCTGAAGGAGCCCAAGGACATGCTCTCTGTCCTGGGCATGACGGGCCTCACTGCCTGGGCCGGCATGACCAAGATTGGCGAGCCCAAGGCCGGCGAGACGGTCGTTGTCTCTGGCGCCGCCGGTGCCACGGGCAGCATTGCCGGCCAGATTGCCAAGATCAACGGCTCGCGCGTGGTTGGCCTTGCCGGCAGCGACGACAAGTGCAAGTGGCTTGTCGAGGAGCTCGGCTTCGACGTTGCGCTCAACTACAAGGACGCCGACTTCAAGGACAAGTTCAAGGAGGCCACGCCCAACTACATTGACGTCTACTTTGACAACGTCGGCGGCGAGATCCTCGACATGTGCCTTGCCCGCGCCAAGGAGCACGCCCGCTTCGTCATGTGCGGCGGCATCAGCCAGTACAACAGCTCCAAGCCCCAGGGCCCGGCCAACATCTCCCGCGTCATCACGATGCGCATCAAGATGCAGGGCTTCATCGTCTTCGACTACGCTAAGGAGTACGGCGTGGCCCGCAAGCAGCTCGCCCAGTGGGTGTCCGAGGGCAAGATCAAGAAGACGGAGCACATCTTGACCGGCGGCCTCAAGGTGGCCGAGCAGGGCCTGGTTGACCTGTACAAGGGCTCAAACACCGGCAAGCTTCTGGTCGAGGTCAAGAGCCCCAACGACACGCCCTCAAAGCTGTAAATCTACATGACGAAAGAAGAAAGAAAGAAAAAAAACTTGAACAAAAACAAAAATACCCCCGAGATATAATGAGTTCAATGACAATGGACTGGAATTGTACATAGTTTATGGTTTGCATGGCATGGACGCGTTGGCGGAAACGAATAAATTTTCTACCTATTTTATTTTAACTTCATATCAATATCCCTGCCTAATGTTTTTCGCGGTTTTCAGTGATTGAGCTCTTTTTTTTCCCAACGGTTTTTTTGACTATCGAGTTGAAGCTGGTCCACTCTGCCCGCCTCTAACCGATCCATTCCTCTGCCAGCCGCCAATTACAGTCGCCATCGCCAAGCTTAGCTCTTTTTCTTCCATGTCACTTATTCGCAATCGAGCTTAGCTACCCATGGCCGTTGATTATCGCGCCGGCAATCGGACACTAGGGGCATTTTATCTTATTAGAGCTCAAAAGCTTTTGAAAACGTGATGGATTCGATTTTTTTTCTTCTCTTGTCCTTTTTCTTTAGGAGTTGCTGGCGCTTGGTTGATTCATCCTTGCGCTGTATCCCATACTTGCAAGCTCGCTTCTTCTACCAACCATGGACAGCGACATATCAAACCAGAGACCGCTTGACAAGGACGATGCGGTGGCAATGGTCGGCGAGGTGCAACATGCTATTGATCCCGTTGTGGAAGCAAGAGCCGTGAGGAAAATTGACTGGTTTTTAATTCCGGCCATGATTTGCGGATGTCAGTTTTCTTCCATCTCGGCGTATAGAGAGGACTAGCTATGATGCTGGAAAACGTGCTGACATGGATTTGCGTAAATAGATGGCCTCGTCTACTACGACAAGGCGATTCTCGGCTCAGCGGCCCTCTTTGGCATGACGGCAGATCTTCACCTCAGCGTCGTGGACAACTCAACTGTGCCTCCCACAGTCGACACCAGGCGTCTCAGCTGGGCTACCTCAATCTTCTACTTTGGCATGCTGGGAGGCTTGTACCCCATGACGTTTGCCCTACAGCGTTTCGACATGGGAAGAGTCCTCGGCGCCGTCGTCATCCTCTGGTCCGCCATCTGTATGCTCACTGCGGCCGTGACTTCCTGGCAGGGTCTGTTTGTTCAGCGATTCTTTCTGGGGTTTGTGGAAAGCATCATCCCCACTGGGTTCATGTGCATCATCTCAGGCTATTACACGCAGTCTGAGCAGTCGCTGCGGCAGAGCTGGTGGTTTAGCAGCACAGGTCTGTTTACCATCATTGGCGGAGCGCTCAACTACGGATTTGCCCAAATCACAGGAGGAGGATTGAAGAGATGGCAGTATATATACCTGCTGGCTGGGTCATTGACGTTTCTCTTTGGCCTCTTCTGCTTCGCGTTGCCAAACTCTCCGGTATCAGCCTGGTTCCTGACCAACGAAGAGCGATTTGCAGCCGTGGAGAGACTGCGGCACGGCCAGACGGGAGTGCGGTGCACAAAGTTCAAGTCGTCCCAGCTGAAGGAAGCGGTTCTAGACGTCAAGGTTTGGCTAATCGCCATCATGATGGCCTCTGCATACACAGTCAACGGCGCCGTGAGTGGCTTCGGGCCGCTTATTGTATCGACTTTCGGCTGGGATACGGTCGAGTCCATCGTCTTCCAGTTCCCTCTCGGTGCGCTATGCTTCATTGTCATCCTGGCGACAGGCTATCTTGGCTCCAAGTTCAGCAACATCCGCATCTTCATGCTAATCTTTACCTGCTTGCCTGTTATTGCTGGCTGCGCCATGATCTGGAAAAGCACCTGGAGCCACCATGCTGCCTTGCCCGTGGTAGGATACTCCATCACAGGATTCTTTGGCGGAACGGTCAGCCTCATCATCACCATTGGAATGTCGAATGTCGCGGGATACACCAAGAAGAGCTTCATGGCCGCCACCATCTTCGTGGCCTACTGCGTTGGCAACATCGTCGGGCCACAGCTGATCTGGTCGCAGACCAAGAGCAGACACTATCCCGCTCTCTGGCTTGGTTTGATTATATGGTACGATTATTTCGCCAATCCAATGGCAGTCGAGATTGCTAACTTTTATTTACCAGCTACATTATTTGCATTGTCGCATCTACGACGCTGTACTTTGTGCTACGAGCCGAAAACAAGAAGAAAATGGCTCTGCCAGAAGACGAGACCGAGCGAGCAAAGCTTGCATTTCAAGACCTAACTGACAAAGAGAATCCATACTTTCGCTACGTTTACTAGCATAGGTAGATTGCTTAATGATACCCGACGCTGCGCTGCGCTGCGTTTATTCAACATACCTATTCATGTTATGCCAATGCCTACTGTTGATACAGATCTACCTAATTATATACGCGTTTTCTCCGCATGATCCAAGCATAAACCTCCCATACAGTAACTCTAAATGTATATCCATCCAACCAAAATCTTGTACATCAAACTTCGTCAATCGCGCGCTTTCGTTAAATGTCCAATAAAATGTTTCAAAATATTCGTGTAATGCTTGGTCCAACCCACTCAACCACCTCGCACTGCCTCTCTGCTCGCCACTTTTCAATTCTCTCCTTCAGCCAGCCAGACTTGAAGTCAACCCATTTGCCGTCCTTTTCTTCTGGCTCTCGCGCTTGCCCGTGTCTAAAATCTCGTGAGAGAACGCACTCCTTTTGGTCCCTGCCCCGCCAGTGCCACTGAACGCAGCCATTGTCCTTTGTACATGCCTCTTCGCACTTTTCAAACGAGTCAACTCCTTCTTCTGGGTCGGGTCTGAAGGCGCCCCAGTCACCGTTATCCCAGTTTTCCAAAGTGTCAGAGGTACCGGGACGGTGGAATCGCCAATAATCAGAGTAAAGCAGTGGACGCTATAAACGCATGTTAGAGCCTTGACAATTCCAAAGTTACGGTGATAATTTCAGTGGAAAAAAGCGACGGCATACCTCGTGTTTCCTTTGCCCAAACTCCCACTTCCAGACATCGACCATGTCTTTTGGCGATGTTTTGTGCAAGGTCATTATAGGCTGGCACCAATAAAGGTCACTAAACGGGATTCCATGTAGACTATGAGGATTAAACATGGGCCAATATCCCTGCAGAGCCACGCCGCTGTTCCACAAGGTCCAGCCGACGACGCTATCGCCGCAGCACTCGCCTTGGAGCAGAGGGAGCCATTGCTCAGTGACGGACGGCCCGCTATACTGGCCATGCGGGGCCACGTCGCGGTGTATAAGAGCTTTTACGGCTGCTCGGCTGAGGGCATATCCGGGGCCGCCATTAGCGAAGAATGTCTTGATATCGTGGTCGTCGTCACGGCGCCCGGGAGACGGTGAGCCCATGTATACGGGAGTATCGGGGTCGAAAGTTGAGAGAAATCGGTATACATTGTCCCATACGACGTATCTGAAAGGGAGTCAATATCTCTGGCCATTGAGGAAAATACAGGGTATACATACGTATCAGTCTCGTAGAAGAAATAAAAGGGTCGGTTGGGTTTCAACAGCCAAGCCCGCTCTATCTGCGGCAGGAACTTGAACTTATCAATCTTCCAGCCGTCGATTTTCTTAGTCGCCTCCTTGTCCTCATCCAGCTTGCCATTCTTCTTCAACTCTCTTTGTAGCAGATAACTTGAGATATCTGGGTTTTCATCCTCATCGTAGTATTTGGGTGGGAGGTTTGCGAGGATGTCAATCGCCGTGTGGTTGCGGATGCGCTCGTCGAGATCGGAGAATATGAGCAGCTCGTCCGGCTGGAAGCAGGCGCTGACGCTGTCGAGCTGAGCGTCCAGCTTTGCACGATCCTCGCTGTGGCCAATCTTCAGCACAGGCTGGATGAGGCCCAGAAAGTGCTTCGGAAACGTTGCGCAGAGCTCTGCGGTCGTCTTGTTGTTGGGATCGAGAGACACGGGGTCGTAGTCGCTGGCAGTCTCGTAGGGATAGTATCCGGACGTCTCGTCGATGCCCGGCGTGGGTTGCTTGGCAGGCAGTCTCGGCAGAGGCTCGCCGTCGTATTGATGCCGCCAGAGCAGGCCACAGGACACAAAGAAGAAGGCCACCACGCCAATCGCGATGCGAATCAGGCGCTTGTTCAGCAGGAAGAGCCCGACATTCTGCGTCTCCACAGGCTTGGGGAAGAGTGCCATGGTCGCTGGTTACATGGCCTTTGGCCTTTGCCAGATGACAAGAAGCGGCCAGGCGCGACAATCGAATAGAGGCGACTCGGTCTTTGTGGCACCTCTGGCTCGTATCCTGGAGGATCCTTTTTTCTTCACAGCCACTGAGTGCGACCAGGGGATGTCATTTTTTGCGCCGTGCCTGGATATCGCCGGCGTCGCACGCTGGATGGGGCTGGTTTGGCGTTTGGAACCAAGTACAAGCAAGTCCTGCATGATTACTGCGAGTCGTTAGGTACAGGATACCTGTCAAAAGGTGGCGTTTGAAATTTTAGATCCAAACACGGGGTAGCATTGTTAGGTGCGAGTATCGAAGCAGTCCTGTGTGTAGATCACTCAACGGCTTATTAATTGTGACAAAAATAGCGACCGCTACAATTGTCGGTACAACTATAGCTTATATCATCACATTAATCAAACAGACTGACTCTGTGATGGCATCGCTGGTCTTGAGGGCGATTGATTCTTATAATAGTTAGAAAGACAATATCGTTGACGATGCAGAAATGAGACTGGTAGCGGATACTGTCTCAAACAAAAGCTGGACCCTGGTTTTTAGGGCGCAACTCACCACGAGGTGGCTTACAGGGGGCTTGCGACCAATCTTCAATGTCCTTTCATTGCCCGTATGGAATCACCACATTGTTTGTCCTGTAGAGATTTAACACGCGCCTTCTGCCACTCATAACTGTTGTCAGCTGTCATCTTCCCTAATTTCATTTGTGGCGCCCATCACTTCCATTGAGTACGGCTCCTATCGTCGCTTTTGGACGCCTGCTCAAGTGGAAATGTCTGGCTATAAAGCGTACCTATAATTTAATATATTTTATTCATTCCTATGGAGGCAAGGCTACCTATTGGTGTAAGCCTATTTGATGTTTTCCTTTATATAAATATCAGGCTTCTCGTCACCTTTATAATCTACTTGAGCAAACGAGTCCAAGCGTTCTAATAATAATAACCAACAGGCATCCTGCCTCCGCAGGTGTCTCCTCTCCTTCTCATACCCCGACATCTGTCACTCCAAGACTCTTTTAGTGCCAGCCAGAACCAAGGTGATCTATATCAAAGCGTCACCCATCAGAATGGAAAGCAGCATTGCGGCTTTGTCAAGGCATCAGATATCTGACTTTTTCGCAAAAACTTGTCTGACGCAGCAGCAATGCGATGAACAGGCTGAACTTATCGCAGGCACACCTGTCCACGCAGCAATTGTGCAAGGCGGAACCAGCTACACGGTTGTCAACGAGCAGATTGCTGTCCAGTTTCGCGCCAAGGACTTCATGCTGGATATTGAGTTTCTCGGCCATGTTGAGCGAGCCTACGCAAACTTCATGCCACACCACAGGTGCGCCGGCAAGCTAGGCGACCTCTACATCTACACGATGAACAATGTCGGTGGCATCTCGATGTATCTTGCCCGGAACGAGCTGCTTCAGAATGACTGTCAGCTACTACAACGAACTCTGCAAGATTATGCAAGGTCTGTCAATCCCAAGCCCAAAAGTACGCCGCTGACTCTTCCTGATACAGATTCTTCGCCTCTGCCTGGCACAACACGCCAGCATCGATGCTGCTTCCAAAGCGCGAGACGCTGTTGGAGGACTACTCGTCGCAGCTCCGGAAGCTCTACGATGGGCTGCCGATGCGCTTTCGCTCGACTCTGGATCATCTCATCACCCGTCTCCCCGACCTCTTTGCCGAGGACTGGCCGCTCGTGCCCAATCACATTGACCTCTTGGAGAACAATATCCATGTAGACCGGAGCACAGGGCAGATCATGGGTATCTGCGACTGGAAAGATGCCGAGATCAGTCCGTTTGGGATGTCGCTCGGGGGCCTCGAGACCATGCTTGGGATCTGGAAGATGAAAGAAGGCTGGTGCTACCATACCAACCAGCAGACCCTCCGGGCCCATTTCTGGGAGGCTTTTTACAATAGCATGGGAGACATCTCTGAGACGCAGAAGGAACTTGTAAATCTTGCGAGATTGGTTGGTATTTTCCTGGCGAATGGCTTCGAGTTGGACGACAATGAGAACAAGGTACCCGCTTCTAGCCTGCAATATCTCGAAGCGGTTGTTCTGGGCAATTGATAGTAATGCTGATGATTACTCCATCTATTTAGTCAGTCTCGTGATTTTCTTTTCGTAACCTCAGTTGTGCAGGAACCATGATCGGACTTAGCCCGAGGCGTGCAATTTTTGTAGGAGAATTGGCTGTTACCTTGCGACGCCATATGAAGCAGAGAGCGCGAATGCCCGTAACTGACTGCACAAAGTTTGCGATTGGCTAAAACGAGAATTCAACGGTCAGACACCTTACGTTTTTTTTTTTCTTTAAAAAAAAATCATCCAAAGAAACGCGACAAGTTTCTATTGGAAAGAAGAAGAAAAACAGAAGCGACTCGTATCTGCGTGCAAATATCCCGATGCGCCATCATCTCCTCGCTATTTGCCGTTGCCTGCAAAGTATGGCTTTGCTCCGCCGCCTCACTTCTCCATTCAACACGAGGAAAATAAGCTTAGAGGTTTAACATTCTCGGAAACAATTCCGATAGTTTTGACTTATCAAAGGCGCTAATCAGCAGCGGATCAGATAACTTTAATTTTCCTTGCATGATCAATAAACGCCAAGCGTTCTATGGAGCGAAGTCGGCAGGGCATCTCCATCGGGACAAATAATCGTTAATAATCGTTTCTATCCCACTCACTCGCCATCCTGGATTCCTCCGGGTACATACGCTTCTGGTGGAAACTATCGAATCAAGTGCTGGTTTAGCCTTACGATGCTGGTTGGCTCTTAATAAAGCATGTGAGGCGCGCCTTGGCCACCAATCTACTAGGCTGTCAGCTCTTCTTGGCCTTGAGCGCTCGGCGTTCACAAATACGATGGCTAGAGAATTATCTTCCTAGCCTCGCCATCAGCTTCCAATACGGACGGACTTTTGTCACCGTGCTCGGTCCCCCTGCGGTGCCACATGCTTGAAATGCCTTCCAGTCATCCAACCAACCTGTCTAGGTTCGGTCTCGGCGGAATCTTCATGCCAGTCTTCAAATTATAAATATGACAGACTGCTCTTCCAACACGAAGCTCGTTTCGTATACGCTGTGGCCTTTCTCATTCAATTTCTCAGAGACAAACCCCAGCCCTTAAACATTGGATCTTAACTGCGCAACAGCAAACAGCCATGGTCCAAGTTGTCCTCCCGGCACTAATCCCAGACATCCCCAAGGTCTACGATGTCTACTTTAACGCTTTCCAAAACGACCAAATGGGCAAGATCATGCTCGAGATTCTCTTTCCAGGAGTGATCGACGACGACTTCAAGAAGGCACACGCTGCCGGAACACTGGCTTACTGGCACACCAGCGCATCCCAGTACACTTTCAAATGCGTCGATACGAGCACCGGGGACATCATTGGCATGGCTCTCGGTGATGTTTACCTGACAGAGCGGAGCGAGGAGGAACGAAGGAACCAGGGGGTACCCTGGCTCCTCGGGGAACAGCGAGAAAGGGCAGAAAAGATTTTAAATCCTCTCTGGGAGGTGAGAGAAAGACTGTTTGGCGGCAGGCGCTATATCTGTACGTTCATCCTTGGTGAGATCCACATTTTCAGCCCTCGGCTGTTGGTGGGATTGCATGCCAAGACAGGCAGCTTTTTTTTGCTAATAAACTCCATCCTTATCGTTTAGATTGCCACGTTATTGGCATTGATCCGAGGCATCAAGGGCGCAAGGCTGGAGCGTTGCTCGTGCAATGGGGCATGGACCTGGGCGAGCGAGCAGGGCTACCGGTTTACTTTGAGTCGTCTCCTTCGACGGTTGGGCTGTATAAGAAACTGGGATTTGAGCTGCTCGACGAAAAGATTGTACACAAAGCTGAAGTATTGGGCACGGAGAATGATATCGAAGTTCCTCTGATGATCAGAATGCCATCTATTGCCGGTGGGATGAGCTTTACAGAGTGGAAGTCCAAGGGTTATCCCGAGTTTGGGAGTTCGGATATTGCACCCAAACTGGTGTAGGGATGGCACTTTGGTCTAGATTTTACCACATTAATAGCTAATTCTTAACAACTTGAAATGTTACAAGGTGCACTAGCCTGCAATTATGACTCATAGTGCCCTCAGCTCGAAATATCGAAACCAGTAGGCTGTGTAGACTGGCGGCGGTGCAAGTCCCAGGTTGGCAAGTTGGCCAGAAGTGACGGTGCGCGCAGGGCACAGATGCGCGATTATCAGATCATCAGATAACTTGTCTGGTCCACATTCGATCAAAATATCCCTGAAACTGCATCCGTTAGCGTCAGTCTGTCAGAGCTTGCAGCTAACGATTCCTCTCCACTGGGGGGTCTGATTGTCCCTTGGCGTTGCCGTGCCGCTAGCAACGATTGCTTCTGCTTAGATGAGAACGTTAAAGCATGGAAATCTCCGAGTCGGACTCCGGACACAGTCGGCCGGAGAGGTCTCGTCCGTGACGCGCTGAGTTCGGCATTTTCACCCTCTTCGCTGGCTTGGAAGCGCTTGTTTTTCTTGATGAAAACAATGGCGATTCTGGAAATTCTCCTTGGTGAGTTTCTGACTTCTCGGTAGGATATCGCACAGAATCTGTTTCTCAAGCCGGCAAGCAAAAATGTTGGAAAAGACAAAATTATACACCAAGATTGCCGGCTATGCCCTCGTTATGCTTTGGACAGAGCTACGGCTCGCTCTCCGAGGTGTCATAGTACGACGTCAAGCCGCTCTGTTTGGGTCTCTTGGATCAGAAGAGAGAACTCGCAACATCGTCATTGTCGGCGCCAACTTTGCGGGCTACCGTGTCGCTCAGATCATTGCAAAGAATCTCTCTCCCCGTAGCCCTTATCGCGTCGTGGTTGTTGAACCCAACAGCCATTTCCACTTTACCTGGGTGCTTCCCAGATTCTGCGTCGTCAAAGGGCACGAACATAAAGCATTTATTCCCTACGGAGGATACTTGGACGGAGTCATCGAAGGGTCGTATCGCTGGATCCAAGACAAAGTTATTGATATCGACCGAACCACTGTGAGGCTACAGGGCAGCGAAGAGTCAATACCATACGAGTTTCTTGTCATTGCTACAGGAGCGGGTGTACAAGATGGCCTTCCATCGCGAGTCAATTGTACAGAAAAAACGGAAGGGATAAAGCGTCTACAAAGCATGCAAAACAGACTCGAATCGGCGAACACGGTTGTTGTCGTTGGAGGGGGTGCTGCCGGGGTCGAAGTCGCCACAGATGCCAAGGACTTATATCCAGAGAAGCACATCATCTTGATCCATTCTAGAGATGCAGTGATGCATCGTTTCGGTAAAGGTCTTCAGAAATCTGCGCGGGAAGGGCTTGAAAGACTCGGCGTCGAGCTCATCCTTGAAGAGCGCGTGGTAAATGAAGACGCCGCAACTGGAGTAGTGACTCTCAGATCCGGCCGACAGATTACCTGTGATTTCTTTGTAAGTTCTCTTGATAGCGTCATATGACGTTGACAGAGCTAATGGGTGTATATCACAGATGAATTGTACCGGGCAAAGACCACTGTCCGAAGTGGTTGCCACCCTCTCTCCCAACTCGATTTCATCCACGGGCCACATCAAAGTCAAGCCAAACCTCCAGATAGCCGACGATTCTTTACCAAACATTTACATCTGTGGCGACGTTGCCGACACGGACACCCCGAACCCAAACGCGCGATCGGCGATGCGACAAGGCACAATTGTGGCAGATAATATTCTCCGTGCGGCTGCGGGCAAAACCCCCAGTTACGTCTACGAGAATCAATGGGCAGATGGCGTAATCAAGCTGACTCTGGGACTGGTATGCTATGCGCTCAAACAAAGTCTGCTTCTTTCTGTTTACTAATAAACGGGTTTCTAGGATCGATCAGTTACACATCTTGGGGATGGAAACTCCGAGTTGCTATTCGCATCAAAGGAAACGGACGAGGCTCTGATGTCAGCCATGGCTTGGTCGCGCATGGGAGCGAAGCCATTCGAAGATGCGTACATGGATGCTCATGCACCTGAAGCCGAAAGAGATATCAACAAATCTTGATGTAATGCAGTTGAGAAAGATGTCAGTTAGTCCGAGTTTTTGCTTTTGAAAGTGAGACTTTGGAATTCGTTCAACACAAAGCAATCCTAGAATGTTTAAATAGCATAATTTGTATTCCACATCACAGCGATAGCTATTGAATTTATTTGTACGCTGGAATAATACGTATAACCTTTGTCATAACAAAATGAGATGCTTTCTAGTGAAAGGTGGCAGCCCAAACATCCATGGTCCACGACTTCTTCACCTCCATCGTCTCCAAAACTCCAAGAACGCCATCTCGAGCTGAGCGTAAGAGCGCTCTAACTTTCGGATCTTCCACCTTGTCTTCAATTTCCTTCAAAAAGTTTGGACTCTTGACGGTTCCCGTCTCCCAGTGGCCATCCAAAAGTCCCGCTTCAGGCACCAGGAAAGTCTCCCCATCAAGAGTCCAGGCATTCTCATTGGCAGCATCAGTAATGGCGCCCGGGCTGGAGAGGCATCGAATATTAGCTTGGCTGCCCTTGTTGTGAGCCTCGAGGGTAGCCCGTGCCACCGAGGCGAGAACATGCGGCAGAGCATTCTTTTCCGTCGCCTTGAGAGCATATTCCGCAACGAGAAGAGACGCTGCTCGCCCCTTTAAGGCGCCCAGCATCTTGGTGAGCGTGGCAGGCGAGTCAAAGTACCAGATGCAGTGGACAAAGATGACATAGTCCCACGTCTTATCCGCATTGGCCGCCAGGAAGTCGATCGGATCGGCAAAGTGCCACGAGATGCGATCCCCTATAGCGCTTTTGGAAAGATGCTCCTGTGCCTGGGCCAGCGTCCAGGGCGATCCATAATCTGGCCGTCCAGGATCCACGGCATCAACATGGCCAGTTGGACCAACAGCTTCGGCTAAAACCGCAGTGGTCGTGCCTTGTCCGCATCCGATTTCGAGGACGCGGCTGCCTGGCGGGATGCGCCAAGCGTTGACGAGTTTGATGCGATGTTCTGCTTGGGGAATCTCTATAGCAAAGTGCATTTTGGCATCTGGGCCGCTAAGATGGTAGTTGGCAATAGTGGCCGCAGCCGTTGCCGGCATGGGCTCAAAAGATGTGGAAGAAGACATTGTCGGGTGGTTGTTGGATTCGTTTGATGGAGATGGAGATGTTTCTGTTCAACCGAGCTTCCATCTTTATACGTTTGCTTTCTTTGAAGATCCTATATTGTTCAAATTTTCGTCCACAGCATTTTCGTTTCGCTGTTTTGGTCAGATTGCCTAATCAGCCTTTCCATTTACAAAAGATCATTGCTATGAGTCATGGCTATTGATTTTGATACCCACTTCATGATCAGGCTTGTGTACCCCGCGCCACCTCCAAACGAGCGTACAGACGAGGAGGACAAAGGTCACTAACGACTTGACTATTTTAAGAAAACAAAGACAAATTATGTATGTCGTCTTGAAGAGAAACGCCGTATAGTGTAAAAATTACTTTGTACAGCTTACAAGGGTGATATATATCCAGCTTGCCATTCCGGTCCTCCCTAGATCTCGATGCGCTTTAGTACTGTCATCCTGATTACCAAAACGGGATGACATGGTCACCGAACGAAACCTACTGGCAACACACAAAGCTGCCCTGCATAAGCCTTTGACTCACTCGTCTATACGATTACACGACATTGGTGAAGAGGTTCCAAACCCCTTGCGTAGGAAATTAATGCGGTTAGTTAGCCGCTCTACCAAACCTATTAAGGCAGGACAAAATCCAGAAAAAAAAAATGAATCATTCTTTCGCGGGTATTATTAGATAAGTAATCCGAAGTGATAGCCTATCAAAGAGTCATACATAGCCAGCTGAGCAAATCAATCGCAATCTGCTTTCAACATCATCTATCAGCAGTTGTACATTGATTCCAAGCTCGGTAACTATTTTGGACCCGTCATCCGACTCATTATTCAGCAAATAGAGCGGTTTGCTTTTTTCTGTTTCTTTTGGGTATTGGAAGCAGGAAATGCCGTTGCTGCATAGAGACTGACCCAAGGACTGTGAACTGACAGATATTACGTTGAACGTTTTAAATGTCATCAGTGGGCATCATATATTCCCAAGCATCTCTCCGGAAACAGACAGACCTCTGGTTGCTTCAATGCTTCTCTAAAATGTAGTCTGGAGCTTCGGATAGTCCTCTGCGTGTGCCTTCAAATCTGCATAAATTGAAGCAGAGGAATCCCCCGGCATGTGCTTCATCCGCTTCAAATCTTCTTCTTCCAATTCTTCCATGGCCTCGAGCGGTTTCTCCTTGTTCGCTTTTTCATCTTCTTCTTGGGGTGTCATAGCCTTCTCGATCCCCGAAGATTCGCCTATGAGCAGAATCTGCGAGTTGTCGTAGTCGAAATGATTTGGCCGCGATGGAATCCATCTCAAATCCCGAAACTCTTCAAGGATCCTGCACAATGAGATTAGCAGCTTGACAATAGGACATTGTTATGCAATACGTACTTTTTGGGGAACTCTGGGTCTTTGGGTAGCCGTGCCGAAGCTGGCGATGGATATTTCGGATTCTTGGTGCTGATGATGAAACTGCCTTGCTCTTTCACTTTGAGAGCGTTTTGCACTTCGCCCAGTTGTTGCGGAATTGTAAGCATATACGCCAGATGGCTTTCCCTTCCAGTGGTTGTAATGGCGTAGACACCTTCACCAATTGGTGTCGCTGCTGGGGAATGCCTGGTTCCTTTCGTCTTTGTCTCGTACTCTTCGCCAGCAAGAAATTGGCCTTTGATTTCGTCGTAGGATGCTCCCGACTTCTCTACAAACAATAGAAATCGTTCTCTGCCGCTTGATGGAAGCACCTTTTTTGGCAAAACAAGAATTCGCGTGTTTCCAGCATCTCTAAGCGGCCCCTCGCTCAGCTTGGCATCATGCGCTATTGGTCGCAGAATGATGAAGCTTCGCGCAATGTCGTCCACTTCTTTTGGCTTCTCTACGTCGACGCGCCCTCTGATGAAGAAGTAGATGACGCCCTTCTCAAGAATGCTTGATGGAACGTCGCAGTCCTCTTTCTCTGGCTCCGCGGTGTCATCTTCAGGCTTGGTATCAGGGTTGGAATCTGCCCGTTCTTCTTTTACGTCTTGACTAGTGCCGTCTTCTTTCTCTTTGCCATTGTCGTTGATCTTGTCAGACAATGCCCCTTCCTCTTCTTCGACTTTGGCTCGTTTCGCATCTGGATTTTCTACTTCAGTTTTGTGCTTGTCTCCGACAGAGACCTGATTTTGGCTGGTTTCGGAGTCTTCTTTTTTGCCTGCCATGGTTGAATATTTCAGCTGGTTAATTGGGCTCGTTCACACTCGATTTCTAGATGCTTAGGTAAAGAGAGAGCTGATGCATACCATGAGGCTGCTCGCGCCGGCCTAAATAGTTGTCGATTGATTGTGATGTCATGCACTTGTCATGATGAAGATCGTAAATCATATCAGCCACTGCGGGAACGAAATCTTAAAATGGCCATTCCCGAGTATAAATTTACTTCTTTGATGGTGGAATCGCACGACTATTAGCCGTTTTTGCTCATAACGGAACTTTAAGTCGCGTTGTCAGCATTGCCGTTGTTGAACGATCAGTGGCTTTACAACAGGCTCGAGATGCAAGGTCTGCAAATCGAAATAATTTAGGCCCGACATCAAATTTTGGAAAATACGCGTCATGGTCAAAGCGTGTGTTTCATGGATCCAAGAACAGCCAAGCCAGCTACTCGCCTGTCGCAACCAAGAATATTGAAAGACGCAGCCCAGATTATGGCGCCAGTTGGATTCAACTGACGGCGAATTTATATTCCTAAACAAAGGCGAACCTTGTACCCATAGCTTGAATCGCCTTCAACTACTTTGTGCATATTTCTTTTTGTTTTCTGTAGTTTGTTCATCCGCAGCCAATGTTTGGCTTAGTTGCTTTGAGCATGTCTTTCAGCGGCACTTTAAACAAAGGAACAAAGATGTAGCTTTCCCATAACATTGTGATAATTTCTAGCCCAGAAATGAATTGAAGCCCATAAACTACAGTATTAGCCATATCACTTTCTGAACACTGGCTATCAAAGTAGGGAGATGTGCCCGTAATTGAGCACTGCTGATTATATAGCGAGAAAAGTTATCAGCTTGGCAGAGGTTTAGTTCATCATCATGCTGGCTAGAGACAGATCGGCTCAAGTGCTTCCAAGATGATGCGGGATAAGTATTGTACACATTATCTCCATTAGGGAGATATATCCCAAAAGATTCTTTCGATACGCTTAGCTGGTCGATGTCTTGCTTTTCGAAGGTACTGCGTTTCGAAGGCTCGGCCATTCTCGCGTCGGAATGCGATAGTAAAATATCTCTGCTTCAGATCTTTGTTGTTGTTTCTTGTTTATTCACTTGGTTGGTAGCGTCGCGCTTGAATCTCTTCTTCGATTATCACGTTTCATTTTGTCGGAAGGGGAGGACAGATCTGTTTCGCGCGTCCCAAAATTAGCGAGGAATAGGCAACATGGATTGGAGGGCTTTCTTTGGGAAGAGGAAGAATAAGAGCAAGAATAGCAAAGGTTGAATTAGCAGTAGCTTGAAAAGACGTTGGCTTCCTCGAGAGTGACTCAAGTTTCCTCAAGATGGAGAAGTCACGTCATTTGGCTCGACCCAAGGGCGGTCAGGCGGAGGGTATCGCAAAGACATGCCAAGTTCTTCTCTAGAGAATATTATCTGGTTCTTGGAATGTTTGCCGATCTTTGCTGCTAAGCGCTGAGACGTGGGTGTAATCTTCGGTTTTCCACCAAGGCCTGCATGGAGTGTCGACCTGCTCGAGAGCATATGCAGCCCTGTATAGCGAATCTGGTCACATAGCTTAATCGCAGTTCCTCTCGAGTCCCAATATGCTCTCTATCTGAGTTAAATGCTGCGTAATTTCGGTGCAGCTGGGCTGCTTCGTGAGAGAGAGAAATATCAACAAAATTTCTGGGTCGCTCCATATGGTGACCGATGGGGAAGAGGATCGAGACTACAAGCAAAGTCATGGGAAGAAAGCAAACTCAGCAGAATGGAAGAAAAGGCTCTGTGTAGATTCAAAGTCTAACGGTGAAGAATTCGTCGTCACTTCGCGTGTGTCTGGCGCTGAAGCATCGCCAGAATTTCTGTCTCTGTTTCGTTTCTGCCAGCAGAGGGTTCACTAAGGAGCTGAAGGGTCGCGAAAAACAGGATTACAACAGTGCTTCTTGCTGCTCTACAGTATCTGCGACGCGTTTAATCAACAAGTAAGATCTACTTCTCAAAATATCAGCAATCATGTCAAAACCCTCCATCATTGGCGCCAGCCCTGATGAGTACGCCCATCTCCCAGCACAAACAAACCATCCAGACCAACCATCAACAACGCAAAAGTTTGGAGTGAGAATTTCTTCTTCGAGTCCAGGCATTTAGCCTCAAGCTCAATGAAAAAGCAGCCTTCATCTGGAGGTTTGACTTGTGCCAAACCTCCTGGCTCTTGAGTTCGCCTACCCAAGAGCCCAATCACTAGGCCGGAGCACAACTGTCTCGCAGGGTTCTGTGCTGGAGTTTTACTCCATGCGAACGAGTATCCCCGAAGGGAAGGGCGGTGCTGAGGAAAGGAAAAAGGAAAAGAAGAAGAAGATTCGACGGGGGGAGGGCGAGGTTTATGTAGGCGTGGGCGGGGCCTCCTCGATCACTCGAGGCACGTGAGCGCCTCAGGCTGCAGCTCTGCTCTGGCAACGAAGTGAGGGAGATGACGTTGACTTTGTTTATTATTTTGTGATGCTGATTTATTATTGGAGGATCTCCGTTTGCTTGCATGATCACTTTTTTTGTTGAGTGTTGATATTTCCTCGGTGGAGTGAATTGCTCTCTTGGTGGCCTCGAGGTGGTCCAGACCGCTGCCCCCCACGTCACTCTGCAGATGCAGAAGATGCAGATGATGCAGATGATGCAGAAGATCCACTAGCTACTGACTTCTCATGATTCCAAATTTTGGTGTTGCACTCCTTGGTCTTGTGCAGCCATCTCAGAAGTGTGAATGTACGGATATATAGATTGCAGCCCCTGAATTCTATCAAATGCGATGACGCTGCTGCTTCGCATGCATTTGTGGTTTTACGTAGCTAGACAGTGTAGTTTAATCTTGTATTTGATTATGAGCCAGATCGCAAATCGTGATGCTATGAAGAAGTGACAGTGCTACACATTTTGTTGGTGTTCTCTGCCAGCACTGCTAGATAGATGCACCCTGTGCTCCTCCATTGATAGCAATACGATCAAGATTTCAGCCTATGTTTTCATTTCCAATGCCAGATATCAAATATATCTTCATCCCTAACTACCAAAGCCTCGAGCTTCGATTGCGTTTTCCCTCCATAGCCCTTGTCTGCTCTTTACTACCAAGCACTCATGCTGCCACTCGTCTGCAGCTCATGCATCTTCTGCCTCTTGGCAACCACACCGACTTCTTATCTGATGTTTTGCTCTCTAGAGCACAGCTATTGGTCCCGCATTTTCGTTGGGGGTGTGAGAAACGATGGGGGGGGGGGGGGGGGGGGTTCTTTTTATTCTTCGTTTACTCCCTTCCTACCCCCCCTTCTGCTATTCATCTTTTTGGCACAATAGCAGTTGACCGCCCCAGCCATGCTCTCTCTCCTCCTATATATTTCTTGGGAGTTTTTTTCTTTCTCATCTCCACCACATTCTCTCTTTCATCGCTCTCCCTTCCTCCAAGCTCTACTCTTCTAGCTCTCAGACCCTTCGCAGATCATCATGTCTCCCTATCTACCATCTTCGTTTCTTCATCATGGACCACCAGAACGTATTTCTGGTACCTCTATGATTTCCACACATTCAATGAGCAGTTCATTCCTCTCTCACCCAAGCTTGTTTGATCTTCGATCACATCAAGCCCTGCTGCTATCGGCATCATTCATCTTGCATGACCATTCCGCGGCCAGTCGCTCCAACGCCTCTTCCAAGTTTCTCGCTTCATCTTCGTATGTTTTGCCCTAGGCCCTTAGCCTTACTCCTTTTCTTCTCTTTCTGTACTTTCTTCTCTGACTCTGTCTCTATAGGTTCTGCCCCGGTAGAAGAATGAGGATTCGCCATCTACCACTCTGCTTCCAGAGGATCAAAACATCCCGACTGTTCGCATTTGGACAACCATGCACCAGATCATCCTCGGAACGGAAAGAAGTGAGTTGAGCATTCTTCATCAATAATGTTGAAACTTACTGACGCATTGTTAGCAACATCACTGCGACAGCTACACGTCGACTCCTTTGCTACTATGGCTTTCCGCATCGTTAGGACGTCCTGGGTAGGACGATAAACTGCCTGAGCGTTTTACGCGTGCAAATCATCTCCAGCCACTTGGCGGGTGGTCTATTTAGGCCCAGCCAAGGAATTGTAGGTACATGCTCTTCTGCCCTCCATCTTTTCCATATACTAACTCAGCATTGGCAGTGGGCAGAGATGCAGTCTAGCAATGCTAGACAGTCGAGTAGTTGATGCCACACTTGGTCTAAGGGTAAGAATATGGACTTGGTCTCGTTACTACGTATGAGGCATAGCCGAGCAGTTGATGTCGCATGCGGTCTACTGAGGCCGGTGTCCATCAGCTACGAGGAAGCTATCTCCTCATCGTAGCGTGTACATGTCTGGACTTGATCTCGTTATTGTACATGAGGCGCAGCCGAGTTGTTGATGCCACATGCGGTCTTTTGAGGCCGGTGTTCATCAGCTACAAGGACGCTGTTTTCTCATCGTAACGTGGACATGGCTGGACTTGTCTCCGTGGTCGTTAGTCGAGTTGTTGATGCCACACGTGGTCTGTTGAGGCCAGGTGCCATCAACAACGATGACACTAAGCTCCTCATCGGAACGTGTACATGGCTGGAGTTGCTGCGCTGTTACGCATAGGTTAGCCGAGTAGTTGGTGCCACACGCGGCCTATTGAGGCCGGTGTTCATCAGCTACGAGGACGCTGTCTCCTCATCGTAACGTGTACCTGGATGGTGGCGTATGAGAGTTTAGTCGAGTAGTTGATGCCACCCGTGGTCTGTTAGAGGCCAGGTGCATCAGCTACGAGGAAACAAAACCTCTATCCGACGCCGGGTGCGATCGGATACGCCGCCGCTGGTGCTGCGCTTGGCAATTGGCTGACGTGCACGTCTTTCTGAGATTCAATCCTTTACTCCAACACACAACTCCATAACACTCCCAAAATGCCTTTAATAAATGGCGTGAAGATGGCCTGGTAAGTGCCCTGCTTCGACTCAACGTCCCATTGACAACGTCTGCCCTTTGTTCGTCGCTGACTGTTATTGTAGCAAGCCGTGCATCCGCGGCCATCGCTCCACGAAATGCACTCACGCCAATGAACGGCTCATGGTTCCTGTGCGCAAGCCGGGACGGCCGTTGAGCTCGTGTCCACACCCTGCTTCAAAGTCGTGCACATGTGCTGCGCTCATGGCTGCCATCCCGAAGAGCCACGAGTGTCTGAACAGACAATCCCTTCAGCAACCCCAAACACTTTATCGCTTCAATCACTTCAGAGAGTCACATGAATGCCGTGAAAGAAGCTTACGCAGGCAAAGAGGTGGCTCTTCTCTTACGATAGTCAAAGACAGTGGAAATAAATCGTTGGTTGTCGTGCATTGAGTCTTACGCAGGCAAGGAGGTAGCTGTTCTCTTTATGACGGAGTGGTGTAGTCAAAGATAGAAGTTGTTGGTTATGGAGTGTCGAATATTGTATCCCACATGTACTTGCCGAGCATTTTTGATCGCACCGTAAAAAAATATCTCTATTTGTTTCATTTTCTCCCTGATTCCCGGATTACTACAGTAGATAGTATTGTACATTTTTGACACGACAGCTAAACGTTCTTTTTCAAGCGCTGATGCAATTTTTGGCTTGATTTCAGTGTTTATAGGGTAGTGCCGTCAAGTGTTGCAAGGGGACTGAATCCATCACCAAAGTCTCAGCCAGAATTATACTACATTCTTGACGGATACGAAAGATATTGAAGAGGGAATTCTACTCCTTGACTACTCTTTGTAGTCATATCGAGTGTTGCACTGCCAGATCTTCTTTTCCAGGTAGTTCTATCCATAAGCACTTCAGTGAGTACAACCAACCTATGCCCCGCGAAACTGCCAGCAAGCGGCAAAAGTCCAAAAAACAAACATGTTGCAATTTCAGCAGCTGCTTCACACAAACACCTCGCATAAATAAAAATGAAATTTCTTCTGCACTCTCATTTCCCTGCCGGCCATGCCTATCCAATGCAAGCCGTCAGCCAAGCCCTCGCCGATCGCGGCCACCAAGTCGTATGGCTGACCAGCGCTGACAACGAAGCTCGCGTCAAAGCCACAGGAGCAACATTCGTCAAGACCCGAGCCATTGCCACAATCGACGCGCCATTTATCAAAGACAATTCGACTGGACTCCTTGATAGGCAGTTTCACCGATTAAGGGCCCGCGTGGAGGCCCAAGTTGCCGACTATCGCGCTGTTCTGGCGGAATTTGCCGCAGACGCTTTGCTTGTCGATGTGTTTCCCCATGGAGCTCGCGCTCTACACGAACTTGGAGAAATACCCGCATATGCAACTCTAGGGGTCATACCATTCTATACCTCGGGGGCTGCAGCACCATTTCCGGTATCAGGAGGCTCTCCTCCAGCGTCTTGGTTGGGCTTGATGTGGAATGGTCTGCAGCAGCTCATTAACCAATGGATTCTACTTCCGCTCTTTCTGGCCCCTGTAATTAATCAAGAGAGAAAATTGCTCGGACTGAAGAATCTTCCATTTGGCGAGCCGGCAGAGTATTTCACGTACAGTCCTCTTCTTCACATCCAAGCCTCGTGCGCAACACTCGAGTTCTCGCTAGAACCAAAGTCTGAGCAGCACAAGAACCGAGTAGCCTATGTCGGTCCCCTCGTTAGGCTATCTCTTACTACCGCATCACAGCTACCCGCTTGGTGGGAAACCGTGATGTCGGATTCACGAGTCATCGGAATAACTCAAGGAACACTTGCCATGGACCCCACGTCCCTCATCATCCCTTCTGTCCGAGCCCTGAAGGACGACCCATCACTTCTACTGATCGTCGTATCGCCGCACGGCAAGAATGTGGAAGCACAGGTGGGAGAAACAGACAACGTCCGTTATGCAGACTGGCTGCCATATCATCTTTTACTTCCACGTCTTTCTTTGCTGATAACGAATGGCGGTTATGGAAGCATCACCCAAGCGCTTTCTCACGGAGTCCCTCTTCTCTGCGCGGGCCAAACAGAAGATAAGAAAGATACAGCTGCTCGAGTGGCATGGTGTGGCGCTGGCATCGACCTCAAGAACGATAATCCTACCTCGGATCAAGTCAAGGCAGCTGCTAACAGGATCCTTTCAGACAAGAGCTATTCAGCCAGAGCCCATCTTTTGGGAAAAGAATTAAATGACCAAGGAGGCGCGCAAAAAGCTTCAGAATTGTTAGAAGAGCTCGCGACTAGGCACGCAAAAGATATTCGCAGCGTTTAGAGATTAAAGAAGAGTGCCCATGGTGTTTAGCGAAACTGCCATTTTATGTCCAGAATCGCAGATATATACAGAACAATAACGACTTCACGGCTAGAAATAGATTATATGGCAAGGTTGACATGTCAAATTCGAAATCTCAGTTTGAAGACGAGCTACATTTTGAGAATAAATTTCCAGTCCGACCATGGTGACGTGTTCTCCAGCAGATAACTAAATAACAGATATAAAGGAATTTCTTTCATACTTTTGAAGCAGCACACAAATTGTTCCAATATTGTTCATTGTTTCAATAAAGAGTTTGTTTGTATAAAGAACAAATGAATATCGTTCCATATCATAATCCGAAGAGCAACAAAGGAGTTTAGTAACAACAAAGTACTGGTAGCCGACACCAGTCTAATAAATAGGACTGATGACCATCGATCTAATGCGTCCAGCATATGCTTCACGAGCGATTCAAAAGCCGCGTTTCGATACGCAACAGACTAGTGTTACAAAAAGCAGCGGCCGTCTCCGCAGAAAGAGGAGGATATAGATCAGGAATACCATCGAAGACCGCGAAACAAGACGATAAATTATCCGACAAGACGTACGAGACGACAAACCCCCCAAATCCGACCTCATTTTCCCTCTTCGAGCAAGCAGAAAGGAATACGACAGACGTATACTACCGCAAAGCATTACTCGACAAAATCCGTATGAAAGCTTGCGAGGAGAAGAAAAGTTACAAGAAGAAAATCTCAAGAGGCAGTTATAAGGTTGGTATGTCCATATGCAAAGTTGGTTAAATACTCTATACACTTATGAGTACATGCTGGCATGTAAATCCTCATTTCATGCTCAGCTTTCCAGTCGTTTCCGTTACCAAGAATCCAGTATCTAATTCTTCTTCTCAGAAGCCTCCTCTCCTTCTGTCTCCTCGTCCTTTGCCTCGCCATCCTCGCTGAACATTGTTTCTTGCGCTATTAAAAAAAAAGAGAGAATATTAGCAATTGGCTCATCACGAACGTTTAGGAAAAAGAAAAACTCACCGCTCCAAAGTTCAGCATATACACCCACACGATCAATCAGCTCTCTATGGGTGCCCATCTCCGCAACTCGTCCCTCTTTCAGCACGATGATCAAGTCTGAATCAAAGATGGTTCGCAGCCTATGAGCCACAAATACGCTCGTGCGTCCCTTTTCGCGAAGAATTCCGTTGATATTCATCATCAAGGCTTGCTCAGTGTGCGTATCCAGCGCGCTGGTCGCCTCGTCGAAGAAGAGCAAAGGAGGGTCCTTGAGAAGCAATCTACTCATTGCGAGTCTCTGCTTCTCGCCGCCAGAGATCATCATGCCCCGCTCGCCGACCTTGGTTTGGTATCCATCTGGGAATTTCTCGATAATATCGTGAATGCGAGCTCGTTTCGCGGCTGCGACGACCTGGTCGTGAGATGCATCAATCATACCATAGCGAATGTTGTGCTCGACCGTATCGTTGAACAGGGGGGTATCTTGAGGCACCACACCGATAGATCGGCGTAAAGAATCGACAGTAACGTCGCGAACGTCCTGGTCATCAATGAGGATGCGGCCGGACTGGACATCATAGTATCTGAACAGCAGCCTCAGCAGGGTGGATTTACCACAACCACTGGGACCAACAATGGCAACCTTCTTTCCAGCAGGAATGGTAACCGTAAGATCCCTCAGAATTGGTCTCTCGGGGTGGTATCCGAAGTTGACATTTTCAAATCTGATCTCTCCGCCCTTGACCAAGGCCAGGGGTTTCGCTGTCGACTTCTCCACAATGTTCACATTCACTTTCTGCAAATTGAATAGTGTTTCCATATCCAAGAGTGACTGTCGGAGTTCACGATACACGGAGCCAAGGAAATTCAAGGGAACAGACAGTTGGAAGACAAGCTGGTTTACCATGACCAAGTCTCCAACAGTCAGGCTTCCCGTGGCGACTCCCTCAGCTGCAAAGTACATCATTGCGGTCAAGGCCGTAGAGAATATGACATTCTGCCCACTGTTGAGGAAAGCCAGAGAGGTAGCCACCTTGATGGAGCTCTTTTCATATTCTCTCAAAGCCTTGTCATAGCGCGCAACCTCGAATTTCTCATTGTTGAAGTACTTGACAGCTTCGTAGTTTATGAGCGAATCCACGGCCACCGTTGACGCTCTATTATCCGCAGCGTTGGCCTGTCTTCGGAACTTTGTTCTCCAAGCCGTCGTCCAGATAGTAAAAGCCGTGTATCCGACCATTGTAAGCGCCGTTACAGCCGCAAACTTGAAGCCATACTGCCATGTGAGGATTCCGCAAACCATGCCAATCTCCAACGCCGTTGGAAGTATATGGAAGACCATGCTAGTGAGGAGGAAGCTGATGCCTTTTGTACCGCGATCCATGGCTCGCGTCAAGCCTCCTGTCTGCTTGGACAAGTGGAAGCTGAGGTCAAGCCGTAACAAATGATCAAACACATTTCGCGCAACGCCGCGAATAGCCTTTTGGGCAACAGAGGCGAAGACGGCATTTCGCAGTTCTTGGAAGAGTGTAGCGCCTATCCTGGTAGCTCCGTATGCGAGAATCATGGCACCCGCTACAGTTGTAGCTGTGCCGCCAACAGCAGCAACATCAATGTTCAACGAGTCCACAATGCTCTTGAAGTAGAAGGGCACCTGCACATTTAGGACTTTTGCGCCAATCAGCAGAGCTACCGCAAGGCCTACGCGCACCTTGGTGCCCACGTCGCCTTTGGGCCACAGATATCGCGACATCTCCTTCATTATAGCCCAGTCAGCCTTGCGCTGCTCCGTGTTGGACTTTTCCACAGTCGCAAGGGGGTCGGCGGCAACATTGTTGGGTTTCTTCGCAGCGTCTTTCGCCGAGGATGCAGCAGTCGCAGTAGTCGCAGTAGTCGCAGTAGTCGCAGCAGCAGCAGAAGCATTCGGGCTCGTTGGTGCGGGTTTCAGCGACTCGGGAACTGGCGACGGCGTTCGATCATAGCGGCACGCAGCCGAAGTCCGGAGGGGTCGATGGAGAGCAGCAATTGGCTTCTGCGCGAGCCATAGCGGGAGACTGTGCGCCTTCGCGACGCTGCTCCGCGGACAGGCGAGCGCCGCTCGAGGGAGAATTCGCGGGATCATGGTCGTAGGTTCCCATCAAGGGGGAAACATCCTCGAGTGAGCGCCAACCGTCGAACGTGTAGATGCTGGAGAGAGCTTCGTTTCTCGGAGCTTGGCGGGGTTGGGAGCTGGGCACGTGTGTCGATGATACTGTGTGTAGCAGCAGAGACGGCGACGACGCCTCAGAATGTCTCCGGGAATGCTCCAGTAGCTTGTCAGCGGGTTACAGTCGCGAGAGCAGCATCGCTGTGCAGTTTGCAAAGTAAGCCTGGCCCGGCAAATTCCCGCAGAAATAGGTATCGACGTTTTGTCGCGGCGTTTCGAGGCTCGGCTCCGGTTCGCGAGTCGGCGACGCTATGGTGTCATCGTTTACACCTGAGGCAGCACGGTCCACGTCTGGGATTTATGTGTACATTGTATTTGTAAGTGATAAACAAATGATTGCTTACCTATAACCAGAATCTAAGAAACGAGAATCCATCAGTTTACCTTGTTGCAGCTTCCATAGCATGTCTATACATGTGCATGTAGTCTCACATTGACAAATACTAGTCGTTCCTTGAAGCTAGGAGCGCACCAATGAACATGGAAACGCGAATATTACGCGACCCCCAATCGGCTATTTCAAACAAGAAGAAAATCATAAAACCATGATTTGCTTAAAATTATACGTCTATATGTTTCATGACTCTTCATTCCCCTCGTCCTTGGCTAGTTGGCCTCTCCTCTTAACCCACACCTTCAACGGCTTCTTCGGATGTCTGTTCGCAACAAGCTTCCTCGTCTGAGGCTCACTCCATGACCCTCCTTTCGGCGCCTGCATGTCGTAGAATGTGATGATGGCCGCTGTATACAGCAGTATCTCTCGGAGCGCGAATTGTCGTCCCTTGCACATCTTCAAGCCGCCTCCTACAAAAAGCCAGTTAGAAAAGATTATCAAAGTCGAAGGGTAGCAAAACCACTTACCGTATGGTCTCAAAGTTCCCATATCCGCTATCAAAGACTTCTTCCCATTCTCGTCTACTGTTTCCCGAATATGCCTTTCCGCCTGCCACTCTTTTGGATTCGAAAAGTATTGTGGATCGAACTGATGAAGCTCTTGAGGGATATGCGCATATGTCCCCTTCTTCAAGAGGAATGATTCTCCGCCTTTTCCTCTCTCCTCCAACACTGTGTCATGGTACATCAGCTTCATCGACCATCCTCCAGAGTACACCCTCAGGGTTTCAATGTATGATGCTTTGAGAAGCGGGCACTTAGTAATCAGACCGTCGATATCGATGTCTTCCAGTACCGGCGGTACCCAGACTGCGGATCCAAATTCGTTTTCTGGCTGCACGGCGTTGACATGGGGTGCAATTTCTTCTCGAACCTGCTCCAAAAGCACAGGGTCCCTGTAAAGCTCAAAAAGCATCCACGGGATGAGAGCGTTGGAATTTGCAACCGAGGCCCATAAAAGCGCAAGATCAAAGGCGGCTCGGCCCTCAAGCGATACGCCATGCTTCCTGAAGAGCTCGATTCTGCCTTTGACAAGTCTGCTGACATTATCCAGATTCTGCCACTTGGGGTCGTTCTCTTCTCCGTTCAAGTGCCTGTCCATCGCTTCGTTGAACTCGTACAACATTGCTAGAACGCGTCTCCTGGCAAGCTTTCCACGCTGGAGCCGCGGCCAAGGGACCCAAGCAGGAACACCTGTGGCCAGAAGCACAAAAGATTCGTTGTATATCCACATCCACTTCCATATCTCTGGAAAGTTTTCCACAAAGTCGGTACCGTATATGGCGGGAATCACAGTGATTGCAACAAAGTTCCTTGTAAGCTCCGTCAAGTCAACTTGGGTAATGGGGCCCTCTTTAGTGTTCTCCTCAATGACATCGACGTCCGCCAACTTCTCCCATTCTGTTTGGTCCATGGGATTGGGACTGAATGTGACCAGGTTAATGATATTCTGCTTAACCTGCGATAACGTCACGTTGGTAACTTCGCTAAGCCCAGGCTCAGAGCTGAGATGCTTCCACTGTGCCAACGCCTCTGGGAATATCTTGTTGTAGATTGCTTGGTCCTTCTTGCTCACGCCAAAGGTAGATTCAAGCAGTCGATTTGCCAGCATTTGCTCATCCTCAGCAGGTCGTTGCAGGTTCAACAGTGCCGCAGCAAGCGAGGGCTTGTACACGAAATGATGCATCCTCCCGGCCATCTTCAAAGAAAAAATGCCTTCTGGGAAGCGACTCCGCATGCCAGCTAGGAAGCTATCTTTGCCAAAAACCATAGACAAGGCATGGCCAAGAAAGGGCAGCCAGTAACTCGGCGACGATGGGATCTTTTGGTTACCATTGGCTGCTATTGTTGTAGGGCTTCCTGAGAGCGCTTTGGTTGTGAATAAAAGGACAAGAAAAGTAGCTATGGCCGCAACGGCAATAGATTGGTGAGTCTCGTTGACTTCGATATCGTTGAGCCTCGACATGAGGTTGCTCCAGAGAGCTTCAACAGAAGCCATTTCGCAGGCTTTGGGGGGGAGGTGGGGAATCAAAGGAGTTTCTGCTGCTGAGGTGTTGATGGCAGAAATAACAAGAAGTTGCCAAAGTTGAAATTCGCTCTGAGCATTGCGTCTTCTGCCTCGATATATAGACCAGCGCTAGAAGTCAGTTGAATGCCCCTTTACCCAACAATCATGGAACTCGAGGCGAACTATGACCAAGCCTCCATAGAAGCGTCGCAGTCCGAATCCCTTGCACGCTACCAGTCACAATGCTAGTCATGCGTGTCGTGTCGTGTAGCAGCGATTCTCCCAAGTACGCCAGGATCCTGTCGAGGATTCCGGCGCTGTAAAGCTTCGGTTGATGATGCCAGCTAGTAGATTTTTTTAGGCGACGATACGAATTGGCCGCAGGGGTATCGGGAAGGCTGCCCCTCCCCCACTATTGATCAGCTAGCAGTATCAGCTTACAGGTCATTCTGTGCCCAACATCGCGTCGGAGCCCTTTTTTAATCGCCTCCGAAGGCCATGGCGAGGCCTAGCAAGGCAATAGGCGAGGCGGAAAAAAATCCCGGTGCAAAATTCAGGATACCGAATCGTCATTTGATATTCATGACCATGTCGCTCGAAACACGCAAAGGGCGGATACTACGGCACTTGGTCCTATGACATCTAATCCCTATACATGGGCCCTGACCCTGGCAAAGAATAAGCATACAGGCAGCAATATGCCAGGAGGGCATGAAAATCATAAACATTGATTAGATATTCTGTGATGGAACATGAGAAAGCTCAAAAAGCACCATACAAGTGTACTATGATATCTGGTTTCGCTTTGAAAATCCACTTCGACAAGGCTTCAAAGGTGCCTGCAGAATAGAGCTGCAGCCGAGCACAGACAGCCGCATAATATATTCCAAAATTTCCAGAAACAGACATCAGAGCAAACTTCCAAGTCCAGCCATGCCATCAGTGTTTGTGCGACCTTCTGTTATTTCCATATTTGGCAACTGAGCATCAACCGCTTGAATCAGTGTCTGAGATTTCCTTCAACTCCCGCTCCCATGCTTCCTCTCGCTTTCTTTCCACCTCTTGATTAATCCTCTCTATCTGCGCCCTCGCACCGTCCCAGCACTTTCTCCTCCCAGGAAACAGCCGCCAAAGAGCAGCGGTCAAGGGCCCATCCATGACCATCTTCCACAGCCTCCTCTCCCGCCACCAAAAGCGCCAGCCTTTCCAGCCCCAGCCCAGATGCTCTGCCGCACCCAGGCCTGCTGTTTTATCCGCCCATGCCAGCCATTCGCCCTGTGGCAATGACGCAGGAAGCACAGGCCCCGTCTGCGCAAGGCTGCATATCCTCTCCTCGTGCCGGTCCATCCAGCGTTGCATCTGCCGTGCCGGCGGCAACGAGGCTCTGCCTGACCAGACTTGAGCGATGCACATGCTGGCAATGTCGGCGACGCAGAATGTGCCGTTGATGAAGGTGACGCAACCCATAAAGGCCAGAGAGTCTGGTGCCTTGAGAGAGAAGACGTTTTGGTATAGCCGCGGACAAGGTCTGTTCTTGGAGCCAAGGGCTTTTACCCAGCGGGGTGAGGGATTGGAGGCCGGATCGAATTCTTCTTCCAGGAGGCTGAAGTCGTTGTTATATCCCGTACAGCAGATGATTGTATCGGCTTCGACAACCTCACCAGATTTTAGCTCAATCTTCCGCCCGCCAATGAACCGCCGAATGCCTACAATAGGCCTCACGGCTTTGGATCGAAAGTTGGCAATTAGAGTATCTGAAATGACCACATTGGCCGTCTTGACTGGAAGATTTGGATTAAGCCCCCAAGATGGATCGAGTTCTCCAAACGCGTCCCTCGAGACTCGATGAATGGTTTCGTTGAATAGCCTCTCGGAAGCTGCTGGAAACAGTGTGCCGACAATGTCTTCCATGTAGAGGGATCTGTACGACACAACGTCCGCAACCGACACACCGTTGACGAGACTGGGCATCTTTGAGAATCTATCAGCGCCTAATTGCAAGAGAGGCAAGATGGGGGTCATGGGAAAGAGTATCTTATACAATGATAGCGCCGCCGTTGTGTGATAATGATATATGCGAGGCATGGCCAATGAGTGCATCGACAATGTCACCTCCGCTATTCCCAAGGCCAACTACAACAACTTTTTGCCCATCAAACACTTCCGGTCTAGGTCTGTCAGTTTGCGTGGACACAACAAGGGGAAGCTGCCAGAAACTGCGAGCTCACTTCTTGAAACTCCTTGAGTGGATGAGTCGGCCGGTAAAGAGATCTGCCCCTTCGAACTTGGGCATCCATGGTTTAACATGGGGGCCAGTGGCCATGACAACTCTGTCGAACCATTCGCTAGGCCGTCCTTCGAAATCTAATCTCCATCTGCCTCCACCCTTTTCATCCCGAGATATCGATCTAACGGTAGTGGAAAGGTGAAAATGAGATCCCAGATTGAAATGGCTCGCATAGGCCTCGAGATAATTATTTACCCCTTTCGCATGACAGTATATCGGGGTGCCTTTTGAGTCATGCGATAGTGTCAGCTTCAGCTTCCCATGAATATCAAAGGGCATAACATGTGAAGAGCAGAAGATGGGATAGAATCGGTCATGAAATCGCATGCCATACCAGCTGGAAAAGGAAAATCAGTAAAGGCCCCCTATTGTTGGTTAGTAAGTGAATAGTAAACAACTAATCATACTCATCGGCACTGACGCGATCTATTGAGATGTTGGTCGTCGTTGCTGAAACGATACCGATTGTCAGCAAGTAGGTCCGATAACTCCAATCCTTGAGGCATAGAATACCGTGACTGACTGACATTCTAAAACGCTCAAAGTATCCTCATTCTCAGTAAAATGCCATAGGCCGCCGATATAACTGCTGCGCTCGAATCCCGTCACATCGAATCCTTCTTCGAGCAGGTTTTTGACCGCCACAATTCCCAAAGCACCTATCCAGCCATTACAATTAGTTTTTTTTCCTAGTTTTATCTTACATGTTTAACATGGTTTATGATTCAAAGACACATGATAGTGGTCTTCTGCCTACTTCCGCCGGGGACAAGCCGTGAAAATCATGAGACTTACCGAGGCCGATGACTGCGACTTTGCGCCGCGGTAGTTGCGTCCCGATCATTTTCGGAGCCGCATGCCCATAAACAAATGACTTCGTCCTAGGGACGGAAAATGGAATATTGAAAGCAGGAGATGGCGTTTTAAGCAAGTAGTTCTTGTACTAGTACAGCAACGCAACTAGGACGCCAACTAAGGAGCCGTCTTAATATTGTCTGCCAATCCAAAAGCCACCAACACGTTTCAAATAGCGAGCGCTTCAACAGCTGCATTTAAAACAATACAGTTTTCATAAATTTATTCATATTGTCATTTACACTAAGCAGCCTAGGCACGCCAAGTCTGATTACAAGCTGGCAGACGATCTATCTTTTCTTCGTCGACAGCGAAATGAAAAGAAAATCAAACCAGGCCGCTTCCAAGTTTCCATTAACAGCAGCCATAACACAATGGTCCGTATAGCCTAAAATAGCAGATACTCAATCGCGAACCATTCCCAAAGCCCTCCCAATTCATACATTTTCTTCTTCTTCATCCTTGAAACAATTATTACTGAGTTATACACGGTACGCATTAGGCTAGAACTCTAGCGGGTAGATCTTCCATGTCGTCCATAATGCTGTCTGAATAAGGCTCTTCTTGAGGAGCAGCGACACCGTCCTCTTCGAGCGTGGTGTTAACAGACTTGAATTTGCTCGGTGTCTTCGATTTCCGAACTTGTGCCTCGTCGAGATTAGACTCTTCGCCTTCATCGATCGTGCTTGGCGGTAGAATCGGTTCACTCTCCTCAATGGGGTCCTGGCTAAGGGACACCTTCTTTGGCTTCTTCGCCCGTGGCCTCACCCGTGTAGCCTTCTTCTGTTTTGGGGTGGTCTTTGGTGGGGAGAGCGGCGGCTCTCCCATTAATGCAGGATCAATAGTAATGTCAAGCTTGTCATCTTGGTTCTGTTGCCCGTCATCGTGATGCTCGTCCTCAGCACCAGAATCCTCGACAAACTCTGCACTTTTCGCCACAGCAGTGGGCTTAGTACGAGGATGAGTGTGCCCAAGCAGTTCCTTCTCTCGCTCATCGTCATCATAGCCACTACCTGTAACTTCAGGCAGGCTTCCTGTTCGGTTATACTCGTTGATAATGTACTGAGCAACGTCCAGTACTGATATTGTTTCCCAGTCTGGAACAGTCTGTTTCAGGCGATCCCATAACAGTATTTGGGTGCCACGGCTCCATTGGTTGCGGAATTTTTTATCGAGGAGCTTTCCCCAGGGAATCTGGTCGTCCGATAAAACGGAAGCTCCCTGAATAGCCAAGACCAAACGATATTGATCTTCTTCGCGCATGCTCATCATCTGTTGGCGAGCCTGGTCAAGCTGAGAAGAAATATCCTCATCTGAAATCACAACTTCAGGCTGGGCTTGGGCTTGGCGTTTTTGTTTTTTACCCTCGGAGCTCTTCCTCTCCTTCTTCTTTCCGGAAATGCGATTCTGCATGGCTTTCCACTTTGTAATGCATTGCAGTCGACTGCGTGTCCTCTCCATCTTCTCGCTGATATTTTGCCAGTCGATTAATTCCTCGTACGATTTCTGCAGCAGAATAGTCTGGGGGGCATCTCTTCTCAGTTCGTCAATGGCCTCCATTGCTTCCTTAACATACTCAGTGAGGCGTGCTTCTTCTTCTTCGTTCCAAACGTCTCTGCGCTGGTTCGCACCGCAAACAATGTAGTTGCGATACCGATCTCTGACGTCTTCAGGATGGCGGTTAATGATGGCAGCGATCCTCGACCATGCAGTACCGTTCACATCGATAAGAGCAGAGAGCTCTGCATCCTGTTCTGGAGTCCATTTTCCACGCGCTACAAAATTATGGAATTTTTTACGAGCGACATTGATGACTTTTTGTCTCTTACGATCAGGACATGCTTCAAACAGTCGATACCAAAGGCGCGCATGGTCACTGCCAGCAGTTGTGCCTCCTGGAGCCTGTATCATCTGGTTTTGATTCGAGTAAGCAGTGTATTTCAGGAAAGGCAGAGAGGAAACCATTTGAACACAATAGACATGGCGGATCATAGATTTACCTCATTAACTTGAACTTGGGTCAGTCCATATTCGTTTCGGAAGGATTCAATAGCTTGGTTAATGCCATCGAATTCAGCATCCGTAAATCGCCCTTGTGTGTAGTTTTCTCCTAGATTAGATGCTCTCCTAACAGGTTTCTCAGATTCTTCGTTTTCAAGATCGTCGTCGGAGGTCTTTTCCGTCACTTTCCGCGGTTTCTGTGTAGCCCGCTTAGATCGTGCTCTTGGCTTTGGAGTATTGGCAGAGGGAGACGGGAGCTCTTCAAGAACTCGGCGGTTCTTCTTGGCAGGAGTCTCGGTTGTTTCCAGAGCTTGTGAAAGCGAGGTGGGTTTTGGTTTCTTCGTTCTTGCAGAGCGCCTTCGCGGCGTTGCATCCGGCTGCTCCTCTGTTTCGGCAGGATCTTGAGAACCAGGTTCCACTTTGCTCGCGACAGAAGCAATTCCGCTTTGGCTGTTGACGTGTTCTCTCCATGCTTCTCGCGCAAGGTCTTCAACGTCACGGTCCTCTTTATGGTTTTCGGTTGCCGCCTCTTGGCTCTTTGGAGCTTCTTCAGGAGCTGAAATATCAATTGCCATGGGGGCCATGGGAGCGACTTGAGCTCTGGATACACTATTTTCTCTCGAGCGAGTCTGGCTCCGCCGGCGAGCAAGAGCAATGCTAGGTGACATCTGGTCGTCCTCGATGACAGCATCAAGGAGTTGACTGGAAGCATTCTTATCCGCGAACAAGAAGCTGGTAGCAGTGTTTCTAGCATCCGCATCTTCAGTCTCTTCTTGTGTATGCTGACTGGCAGTTGTATCGCCATCCTCAAGGCCTTTCCTTTTTTTATGTCGCTTGCCGTCCGCAGAATCAGACGTCTTTCTTTTCTTCTTCTTTTGTGTTGATGGGACAGGTGTCAAATCCAATGCATCCATATCTGTAGTTGCATCTTCAAGGCCGTTCGGTACATCGAGATCTGCTTCAGTTGGTTGGTCGCCAGCAACTTCGGCAGTCTGCAGTGGAGACTTCTTCTTCTTCTTCTTTTTAGTCTTATCGCGCTTCGTACTATCGCTAGACGTAGGAAACGCAGGCTCCTCGGATTTCACAGATTGAGGCTCCTGTGTCAAGAAAGGAAGCTGAGACGCGTTGCTGTCGAACATTTCGAGGTCGCCAAAGTCAATGTCGACGCCGGTATCATCGCCTTCGTGTTCGTAGTCATCGACGCCTCCCATCTCCTCGATGGGCTCATTATCGATCTCGGCAGCCATTGCGGCAGCGAGCGTGTGGCCTTCCGCCTCGTGGTCGTTATCCTGGGCGGATGGAGATTCCTCGCGTCTTGCTGCGGCGAGCTGCGGCGATGTGGTTTGCGAGGGGGTCGACTCAGGAGCACTCGAGCCCATGAAATACCGCAATTTGGAAGCCAATTGGAAATCGGGCCATTTGGTGTTGGCAGACATCAGTCCGGCAGTGGATGGGGAGAAAAGAAAGCGTCGCCGTGCTATTCTTGATCGACCTGGGCTCAGAAAAATATTATGGGACCTGGGTTTTCGAGGGATGGGTAGTAGGTACCTCTAAGCTCAGCCACGATGTTTGTGCCTTGTCGGTGAGGCAGCCTATCGTTCGGTACCTGTGAATATGCGGCGGTTGCTAGCGTGGAATGAGTACCAATCAATAACCCGCGCTGACCTGACCGCGCTATGTGGGGTGATTAAAACTCCAGCACACCACAAAACTGCCCTACCCTAGAATTTCCTAAATTACGCTGATTTTACAGGCATTCCACACGGACGCTATTACAAGAGTGAGCCGACAGGTTTCAAGGATGCGTACAAGGAAGGCCGGCATTTGCAATCGCATATGATGTGAAATATTATTACTCAATTAGTAGTATCATGGATCATTCGTGTTCTGGCTTTAGTACTCAGAAGATATGCTGCTTTTTGTTCAGTAAAACTTCAACTCTCTCTTCATACCACATATGCTACTACAATGATACCGCCAATCCGTTGTCTAATATTTTAAAAAGGGGTTCAAATTACCGGGAACGTAGTGAAAAGTTTTTGTCTACAAATGCTTTGAAATATATGTACCGTGTTCCGATAATACACGATTAATACAAGTGTCTAAATGTACATAAATGCTAGATATAGTAAGTACAATGAAATCGAAAATTGACAAAGGAAACTATTTCTGCGCAGTCTATCAGAGCTGATCATATTGTCAAAATACGATCAACTCTGTTCGTATCAAAACTCAAGGAAATTTGTTTGCCGTTGTATGGCCGCCCAGCAAGGAGCAGTAAACTCGATTGCATTTCATCCTACTCCACCACCATCGCCACCGCCTGTATTGTTTCCGCAATGTCGTTGACATATTCGTCTCATAAGCTTGCTCCCGTACGTGTCGGTTGCTTTTGTGCTCTATCCATCACTTTATAATCGCTGCGTCGCTTGTTTAATCATCTTTTTCCTCGGGCTGCTTTAGTCGGACCGTGATGCCCTTGCGGCTCGTCTCGATATTGTATTCACCACCAAGGACTAGATCCTTGGCAACCAGCTCTCTGGTACGGCCCAAGCTCTCAATGTCAGAGATTCTCTGGATGGTATCTTCGAGATGCTTCCGGAACCGAGGTTCGGCGCAAATTTCCTTGAATGCGAGGTGCATCGGGACGCTGCTCGCACGAACGTCGGCCTGGCTCGTAACGGTGAAGAGATTCAAACTATCGAGGTCTCGGATGAAATCCGCTCGAGTCATGAGCTCTTGTGCGATGTGGAAAGGAAACGTTGGCAGCAAGTGGCCCACAACTGGATCATACGTCTGGTCCATCTCTTCCTCTTTATCGACCAGAGCTAGGGCAAGAACCATGGCGGCGGCCTGATAGTCGTAAATAGTCAGCTCAAGATATTCCGAGTAGAATCGAGCGCAACAGGAACAGTGAAACTTACAGCCCATTTCTGTTGATCCATCACGTCATCGTCCATCTCTGAGCCGAGGATCCAGCACTGGTTGAGGAACCATTTCTTTTCAGTCTCCTTAATCTTCTCGCACGTGTTGATCATATCTTTGCTCTTTGCCACGCGATTCAGGAAGCTCAAGCGACCACCAATCCGATCATATACATCCTCGAGCTCTTGGTGGCTTGGGATTTCTTTAAAATATCGCATGCGATATTTCCTCAGAGCATTGATGGCTTGAGACTTGGGTAGGTCGGTAACGGCAAGAACATCCATACGGGTGGCCAGAAGCTTCAACCGCTCGTATACCCAGTAGTCGTCAGTATTAAATATCATGGTGACCAGACTTGCCGCGGCCCACTGTTCAGCACGCTGTTGTAAAAGCTCGATAAGGTCCCTGCCTTCATCGTTGTTCCTTAGGAGATGTAGCTGGTTCACAATGAGAACAAGAGGTTTACCCCTTTTGTTGCGGAGTTTCATAGCCACCTTTTCCATCTTGTTCAAGGCGCGTTCGATATCAAGAAGAGCAGTGGTCTCTCGTGGACCTCGCTCACTGAAGTATCCTCCAATGTAGTCTTCGTGAAACTCGTAGTCGAGTGCTTTGCCGAGACGGATTCTTACGATTTCAGTATCGGCATGAGCTTCGAACATGGCCACTCCATCCCCATCAGTCTTACGCATGGCTTCTATGAGCATGCTGCTTTTGCCTGTGCCTTTCTCTCCCATAAAGAGATAGTAATGGCCAGACTCTGTGCCATCAATGATTGCATCCACATACTCCTGTTCCGGGCGCTGAACCCAATGCTCCTCATCGACCACCTTTCGAGGCACTTCCTTGGCAGAAGTTGCCAAGTCAAGAACAGGGTCACCTGGCTCAAAGGCGCGAGTCAATTTCTTCAAGACAATCATCTTGTAGCTCTTATGGTAAATATAGCCGGCAGCAGCAAATCCGAAGGCGAGGACGAAGATGGAAGCAAAAGTGGTGGCAGCACTCTCGCCCATCTTCTTGAGCAGGGAGTCTCTGGCCGCATCTTGACGGATAGTACGGGAAGATTCCGGAATACTCTCTTCTAGTGATGGTCGTGTCAGTTAGTTGATTGATATTTTAGCAATTGGTGCTTTGAGCTAAAACACCATGGCAGTGGCTCTGAGATGCATGAGCTGCTCGAGTCAAACACGGCCGCTAGTCGCCAGCCCCTGGCTCAGGCACGCTCTGCCATTGAGCATAGCAAAGGCGCAAGTAGCATGTACATCCCGAGGCCAAGACGTAGTTCTTACACGCGAGGCGCTTGACCCGTGAACAGGTACTTGTAAGGAATCAATAAAAGAACGTACCGGCTTGTCGTCGAGATGCCTGGGTAGAAAACCGGGGCCTGCACAACACTGTTCGCGCGCTGCTGCTCCGCCCCAGCCTGCTGGGAATAGACTGGGGAATGTGCCGAATCAGGCGGCCGCTCTGGCGTATCATCGTGTGTCTGTAATGGCTCTCCAAGAGGCGAAGCCAGCTAGTCGTTGGCGGTTGGATGTATGAAATTAAGAGACCACACACGAGCCTTGGGATTAGGGGACTTTCAGGAAGTGCACTCCGCAGCTCCCTAGCACCGTCTGGCAAATTTGATATCGACGTTGTGCGTCTGCTCTTCACTACTATATCTCGCTGCTATTGCCCCTGGCGTCCCTAGCCATTATAAAGGGGTCTCAGCGCCCATCACTCGCTGGAAGAGCTGACTTTGGACCCGGCGGCCTCCTAGAGGGGACGTAATTGGCGGGTGGCTCCAATCTAAGCTTTGTGGCGCGTAGCATTTTACGCATCCCCTGTGAATGTCAATGGCCAGGGCCCCATCCTGGTGGAATTACATGCATCAGCAAGCGGACATTTGGAACCCCCAGTTGCCCTATTGGCAATACGGAGCGCTACTAATGCGGTAAAATGGAACCTCCAACTGCCTACCCAGCTGGAACATGCACCATCTGACGTATACAACGTTTTTGTATGCCACTTCTTCGAGATACTGCCTCTTGCACGAATACAGGGACTACATGTACTCATATACACGTAAACGGACTGGAATGCCCCTCACGCGTCCACTCCCCTAAATACATGTAGCTGCGTCTACAGCCTAGGCCCAAGCTTCTGGTAAACAAAACTGTTGAGTGAAAAAGAGGGGCATGGGCTTGGCACCCACACGTGACGGACCAGCTCTGTGCGCTGCGTGAAGTTACGGCTGTGTGGCACTTGCCTGGGCAGGAAGGACGGAGTCGATCTCGAGGTCCTGGATCTGGATCGGACATCTGGGCTTTGGCATCGATCTGATGGCGACGATGGTGACGGGCTGCAATTGCTGCCAAGACTCCATGAAGGAGTCAATTATGACTGGCAGCCATGGAGTTTATAGTAATTCGAAATTCAACCTTGATTTCTTGCGGGGATGGTGTTGAAACGTCGAGTTGTTGTGGTTGACGATATTTCGTCTGTCCGTCCTCCAGCTCCCACGCCGGCTTATACTCGTGGCGCCCAAAACAAAAAGTGAGAGTCATCTGAACGGCCCGCCACGAGACGCGTCTGCATTGCACACACCTGGCTCTGCCATTTCTGCTCGCACGTCTTCGCGGGCCGATTTATTTCTTCTGGGCAGCCTTGGTCTGCTGGCACTCCCTTCTCTTACCTTCTTCACCCAAAATCACCAGACCGAAATTTCAATCTCCTTCACCCTATTCTATTTTCATCTCGAATATCATCATCATCTGGATAATTTCCTCTTCTCCTTATCCTAATTTACTGTTGACCGCATAATCTATTCCCCCTGATAATCAAATATTTAATCTCTCCATTCCGCTGGCCACGATGCCACTCACTCCCCAGCAGTATCTGGAGTGGTGGCTGACCAGCAGCATTGATGCGCTCAAGGAGCTCATGGACACGGAAACACTGGAGCTCGCCCCTCAGCACGCAGGCTTCGACACGCACGTTGCCAGAAGACTGCGCAACTTTGACAATGATGTCCAGCTTCGAGAGGCTCTACGCCAGCACGTGAATCGGCAGTCGCTTCTCCAGGTTTTTGATCTCTCGAGTAACCCGAGAAATAAGCTGAGAGAGCTCACGCTGACCGTCTTCAAAAAGCTTGAAGATGGAGGAGTGGACCTAAAGGGAGTAATGCAAGGACTCTCCGAGCTCAACATGGTCGAGCTTCGGCGACGCAGACTTGTTGCTGAGACGCCTCTAACTTTCAAACCGAATCATGCTGCCTTTGGGTCGGCCGCTATGATTCAAGAGCTGAACAAGAAGGCTACGGAAAAGTTTGGTCAATTTTACGTGGGGTTCAGAGCATCCGTAAGTCATGCCCAGAAAGCAATGCTCGTGTCCCTCATTGGCTAAGAACTCTCTCTCTCCAGACAATTCTTGAAGAGTTTGCGCAGCAGAGAATCACTAGAAAGCCGTCTGTGGAGCTAATGGCGATTGTCAACGCCCTCTTCCCAGCTCACGATCTTTTGAAGAATTCAGAAGACGTCAGCCTTGTTCCATACACAGACGCACACCTCAGTTGCATCCGATTTTCGCTTTTCTGCCATCTTATGGGAGAAAATCCATCAAGCGAGAAACAGCAACTCATGATTCAACAGAAGGTGTTTCTCTGGGCTAGTTTGCCGAAATACCAACAGGCGTACAGGGCATTTACACAGTACATTGAAGAGTTCAAAACGATCGAGACACTCTGTTTCAATGTGTTACAGTTGGCAGAAAATGCATCTTCTCGCCGGAGATCGGGGTCCAACAGATCGTCCTTTACTCCGAATTCTGTTGTCATGGTCAAGTCCATTCTCAAGGGATCGCCCCAAAGTCCTCGCGAGGTAGAAGAGCAAGTTGTTCCCAAGAGATCTGTCTCTCCAGACTTTGTGGCTTCAGCTCCTCCTGTCCCTAATCCTCTACTCAAGGGACTTCCAGGTCGAGAGGTATCCCCTTCCAAAACTGACGGAGCGGCTTTTGCTTTTGACGACCCATCAGCGCCAAAGTTGAGAGTTGAACACTCTGCCACCTTGTCCAAGACAGTCTTTGATCAGCACCCCCTTGCCAAAGAGTTGAACCTCGACTCGCGAGAGAAGGCTCAGCTGGGACTTCTTCTCCCCAAGCAGAAAAACCGCCGCAAATTCTAGTATGAGGCTGACGGTGAAACTGTGGTCAAAGGAGAAAAGGTTGGCGTCAAGTTTCTTGACCCTGGAAAGAAACTGAAGAGAAAGAAGACGCGCCTGTCGGCAAAGAAGGCGGCGAAGAGGGTTTTGAAAAAGACTGCGAAAAAGGACGATATTCCACCTGTGCCTCCTACACCTGATATTCCTGAGTCGATGAAGTCGACAATCACAAGGAGTGGCCTCAAATTTCTTCAGCGGATGCGTTCGCAGCCAGACATCCAATCTCGTGGATCGAATGCCTCCAAATATGCACAGTTTGCGGCGGTTTTTGCTAATAGCAACAAAGCCAAGTCGACTACCAAACTGGTCAAGCAGCCTGTTCGCTCCGCCTCTTCTCAAGATCAAGCTCGTGATAGTTTCTATCATCGAACCTCATCCTTGCCCGGTTCCAACGTCCGAAGCAGCCAGTACAGCCTGTACAGCCAGCCTAATCTTCGTACTCAATCGTCAGAAAATACAACCACCATGGGACAGCATGCGAGTGCTATTGCACAGGGAGAGGGCTCGTCGCCGCGAACTCCGCTGCCCAAGCCAGACGTGAAGTATGACATTTGCGAGCCGCGGCTTTCGACCATGGAATACACAAGACTCTATCTCCTCGAGGAAGCCAATGCCAAGAAAGAGAAGCGCCTCTGCGAGCTGCCTCCTCCTAAGAAGGTCTGGCTTTGGGGTCCGCGCTGGGAAGAGTTCCTCGTATTGCCAAAGATTCCAGCCACTATCAGACGTCGTTTTTCCCTTGAATTTGATGACGAACAGAAACAGTCTATGGCTTTTACAGCCTTTACACCTCTTGATGAGGATTATGATTCCGATGCTGACTCCATTGAGACGATCAAGGGAGTAGGATCAGTGTCTGCCAAACCTCCTCGATTGTCGTTGAATCTTGAGACCATGGCATCAACGCTTAGTTCTTTGATGAATTTGGCATCTCTGGGATCAGATGACGCAGTGCAAGCTCCAATTCAAGCGCAGCCTGCAGAAGCGACTGAAGTTGTTCGTCAAGAAAGCCCGATCCTGGGCTCCATGGCATTCGCTAATGTGGAACAAACCTGGTAAGCTAGATCTTCCAATTCTTGTTTTGATGTTGTGAATGATGTACTGATATGAAAACCAGCGCGCTGCCAGAAAGCAAGGATGATGTGACCCTGCCGCCCCCGTCAATCGATTCCGCTGCGTCTACCAACAAAGACGAAGATGACTTATACTCAGATGACCGTCATCTATGGCCTTCGCCAGTGAGCAAGCGAAGCATCCGGCTTGTTTCATCTTCACCAGTCGCTGAGGAGACCACGGTAATTGTCCGTGATGACAGCCAAAGCATCGAGAATACCACTCCTCAACTCAGTGATGATGCCTTTGAGACTTCATCCATCTATTCGAATGATAGCGCCAAGACAGCTGTCTTTGTTGGCAATGACAGCAAGGGAACGGATAGCACTCCTCGGACTCCAGTAACAGCTCGCCTCCGTGAGCCACTGGCAACACCCGACGAGGCATCTCCCACACGACCTGGTCTTCCGTTTAGCTACAGTTGTGCTTCGCTCAACTCTGTGTCGTCTGATCGGTCCCCGCTGACTCATTTTCCCATTTCAGCGGAACAAAGATCCAGAGCAACGACGGAAGACATGGTACAGGGTGTTATTACACAGTCAGGGGGTCGGCTTCGCTATGAAGAAACCCGTCAAGTCCAGGTGGTGGAAGGCAAACTTGATGCCGAGATCAAGGCCTCGTCTGCCGATATTTGGCATACTGACGACTACATGGAACCAGATCTTCAGCCAGCTCCTCTGAACCTATCCAAGAAGCCATCCGTTACAGAATCGAGAAATGCCGAGTCTGAAACGCTTACGGGATCCATGCCTAGCGACGATATTCTTGCTCCCATTCGACCTTTTATATACACGCCCAAGAGCGGAAGGTTCGCAAAGTATGCCAACGACGATTATTATGAGCGGCCGACAAAACCCTATGAATCAGGCTTTGTTCCTCTCCCTGGATCACTTCTTTATGAAGCCGACAAGAATGCAGATTTCATTAGGATCCCGAATAGCTCAAAGGCCAAAAGCACTATTTCGGGCGTCATAACTCCGTCGAAGCCGAGCCCTGCGAGAGAATCTGTCCAGTCGCAAAAAGCTGCCTACGAGCCAAGGGCTTCACGCTCAATGAATGAATTGCATGCCACACCTGGTGCTGCTTCAACATATGAGGCTTTGAGCGAACTAGACGAGTTTTTCGGCGTCGGGCCTTTTGAGAAGGCATTCTTGGAAAAATATCCAGAGGCAGCTAAGCCGTTTGTTCTCCCTCCCAAAGCGGAGGAGTCTCCAGCGTCGCCAGTCTTTACAGGCCCTACCTACGCGGCACCACCGCTTCGTCGACGAGACCTGAGCATCCAGCAGCACCGGGCTCTTCCGCTGAATACAGTCGAACGCGTGCTGGAGAGGAAGCCTCGGACTTCTACCAACGTTAGCAGCTTTGCGTTGCACAGAGCTCAAGGCAATAAAGCCACAATCCTGCCCACTCTTGCGGGGAGAAGCCGTGCAAACGCCGCGAATACCCGTGGCCTTGAGATCGACATTGGCCAGGACCAGGAGTACGAGGATAGCATTTCAGGAGAATTCCCGCCGCAGCATGCTTCGCTCGACAACGGCCGTCGCTTTTCCTTCCAGCGGTATGACATTAGTACTCGCCGCCCCTCGTCTCAGGCTCGACCTAGCACGTTTCTTGAGCCTCCTTCGCCAGTTTCGCCCTGTGAGAATGTTGTTGCAGCTGCTGAAGCCAAGAAGATTACTAATGCCCCAACCTCGACGCTTGGAAACCTCTTCCGAAGGCGCAATCGGAACCGCAATGTAAGACAGCCGCAGGCCCTGCAGACTCAACAAGTCCCTGCTGTCCCTATTGCCACACCACCGGCCAACTCGCTGTCTTCTCCTACACCGGTTCGCACGGCCAAGGCAGCAGCATCAACCTTGACCAGAGGTAATCGCCCATCCTGGAAGGATTGAAAAAGGTGTGCCATGCGCGGCATAAGGGGGCGAGTTCCGGCGGATCTTTGAACGGCAGGCGGCAGGCGACATGCAACGGAGGGAAAAAAAATTTCTCTCTTTCTTTTCTTCTCGTTTGTTAATTTTTTTTTTTCTCTTTTGGAATGCAACGTGGCAGCAGTGATCGGCGTAAAAGATTCCTAGGACTGGTAGTGGGGGATTTATGGGGGCTTTGAGAGGGAGGGAAGAATGAACAGGAAGCGATAGCTAATGATTTGATGCTCGGTTGGGATGATGACGGGGAATGAATTTGCTTGGGGACATGTTTTTTTTTTCTGGCTGTCTGTATGAGTACTTTGATCAAGGAAGGATAACCTACGGAACGTCAACGCTTGGGAGCTGCCACGGGGGAACCAAGGGAATTACTGAATCATATTTGCGCACGAACTGAGTCAGATAGGTAAAATAGTGAACCAAATATTAGTTGCTTCGACTGTAGTAATGATCTTGTGAGGCCATGGTGAAAGTTGTGGCATTAATTCGAAAGCCCTAGTGGTGCTCTTTGCAGGAAAAGAAAAATTCAAACGTCAACACGATCCGGCTGACACACATCTGGGGAGTATCGCCCTGCAACACCACGTACGCACGCGAGTTTCAAGATATGTATGTTGGTTCAAAAGTTTCCAAGAGTTTCCCACATTCGCCACCGAGCTCGTACGATATCTTGACTCGCTAATCCTTGTCCATCTTAAGCCGTCAGGGTCCTTTCGGCACAACGCCAAGAAGGCAAAATATGACAAAATAGGGAACTGATAGCTATCGGCTATCAGCTACTTGTATGTATGTATGTATGTACAGACAGGGCCATTTTTAGTGGTCCAACAGCAACGAAACGAATGATTAGAGCGACATTGTAGGTATTAAAAGGACCCCTCCAAGCTTATTCGCTAAAGGCTCCCTCGTCCCGGAACCCTGGTCGAAGACAAGCGCGGGAACTTGCTCTAACAGGCATCCCGGGCCATCCACACCTCAAGCGAGAAGGCGTGGGACGGAAAAAGCAAGGGGACGGAGGGGGGAACAGTTATGAGAGAGAGAAGAGAGGAATAAACAGAGACCCTGGAAGGAAACCTGGCTTCGCTGCGGAAGCCATCTCGGTGATGAGGGACATGATGTGGTCACCCAGCAGAGACGGGCAAAGACGAAGATCAGAGAATGTGACTAAAGCGCCTGGACACGGCGCAGCTACTGCGGAGAGGAATCCTTTGCGCAGACGTTGAATTGTAAATGGAGGTGCACATGGCTGCTACCTGCTACCTGCTACCTGCTACCTCTTGGCTGCCATGCTGCATCTTGTCCAGATCAGAGAGCAAGCCATTGAGCTGTGAGTGTGTGTCGTGGTGTTTCATAACATCGTATATATACCATCCAGCCACACAGAAAGCGGGGGAAAACAAGAGAGGAAGAAGAAGAAAAAGGCGAATGGGGCTCTTTTACAGGCGCGGATAGTGATATCGTGATCAGCTCCAGGTAGGATTATACAACCCCCCCCCTCCTCATCTTCAATTTTCCTCTTCCACTCTGCATATACGCTTTCCATATACGATGGATGCCATACATACCTACCTTGCCTTCCATGCGTCCTGCACGAAGACCACGAGGCACAAGGGCCGGGACACGGAAAGACGCGAGATTGAGACACACGGGGCTTTGATATAGCGGCCCAATACATACATATGCGCGGGAACAAGACAAAAACGCGGAGGGGGAGGGGCTCCACGGACCTTTGTGTAACATCAAATCCCAGCCGCACAAGCAGCATCATCATGCATGGAAATCATGAGCAAAAGCTGGCCCAGCAGCGAGCAATGCCAGTGGTAGCATGAGCATGAGAGAAAGCACGCGCTGAATATACATGCGATCTGATACCTACATGCGGTGAAGTAGCAGCAAGGTGGTCTGCTGGCTTTTCGGAACTTGGAGGGCGTTCAGAGCCAACAGACGCTCGGCCAGCTCGCCATCACCGTTGCCCGAAGCCGAAAGATGCATCATCGTCAGCCAAGCGGCCAATTGGAAACTGGTGCTTCTCTCAAGTCCCCAATCTATGCCATGCATGGACTCCGTTTTTGAATTCCTTCACACTCCCCCCCACTCATCCGACAAAGTGGGCGGAGCGGAGGTAACAAGTTCACAGGCACACACTTTCTTTTTTTTTTTTCCCTCCTCTTTTCTCCTCTCTTGCAATTCAAAGACGCAGGGTGTGTGTGTACATGGGCTGTGAGTGCTGTGGCTCATGACAGGCTCGAGCGACCCCACGCCTATGCTCCATATCTAACTTTGTTTCTCTCTTTATTAAAGCAAGTCTGGGGAAGTAGGCAAATCGATGTGGTAATTCTCCGAGGAGGAATACTGATTCGTCCGCCCGTTAACGTAAAAGAATCCAAATCGAAACCGTTTTGTGATTCATCGAAATTCCAGATATACGTAATGGAAGGGGTTTGCCGTGCCGTGCCGTTTTTTATTTTTTTATTCTCACCGCAAGCAGTGTGTATGCTTTGTTGGCTTTGCATGTTAGTTCACTGCTGCCCTTGGGATCAGCCTCACGCAAAAAACCCATGAGGGATCATCCGCTAAGCAGGAGACTAGGCACCGACAGCTGATGGCCTAACCAGATGAGTAGGGGCATTATCCATTAAAAAAGGCGGCTGGGGTTAAAAAAAAAAAAGGACCCCCAAATACTCAGCCCGGAGCTGGGGCAGGAAAAGTGTTGTGTAGACCGAAGACGGAATTTTCGAAAATAGAAGCTTGATAGTCTCACCACCCATCCCATCCAAACCCCGCGGCTGAAAAAAAAAAAAAAAAAAAAGCAAGACAACATCAAACTTGATTACACAGCACTGTTGGATTCGCCCTGAGCCGTCTTCTCGGCAAGGAGCACCCGATCTTTCCACCCTCCTTTGGCCCCCAAAAGCAGAAAAGCTTTGACAAATGTTAGCTGAAACAAGCACTATGGATTCCTGGGAATAATATATAGTACAGTAGTGCTGGTTACACAGCATGCCGCCGGCCGGCCTGGCATATCCCGTGCCTGTCCACCGAGTACAAGCTGCAAAGCTACACACGAGTAAAGCACGAGTATGTGCGCCATACATGCCAATGGAGCCTGTGCGCCCACAAAACCTCAGCTTCGGCTCTCAAGGTGCCGGTCTTAGTGCAACGTCCCGAGCAAAAATAGGCAATCCACGCCCACGGCAAAGATGCCACCGTCGGTCTGTAGCCGCTGACAGGACATGGGGACGTCATAAGCAAAAGAAAAAGCCCACTTTGTGTCATCTGGCGAGCGGGAATAGAGGAGCAAAAAGAAAAGAAAAGGACAGGTTCGAATATCTCCGCTATTTCCTTCGTTCCTTTATTCCACGCCCTCTTTATTTTTGGATGGCCAGGTGGGAATTTAAGTGGCTGTTCTTTTTGTGTGGAGAGTCGGCTGATGTGAACCAACAATGACCGAATATGTCTTGGTCCCTATACATGTACCTTCTCTGTAAGGGAAATGCGCATGTGCGTCTTCTTTATCCAACGAATTACCATTACCTCACAGGTACAGATGCTTGACTCATTCCTAAAAGATAAAAAGAAGAATTTCAACCAACAAAATGCCCTGAACATGCCGCCCTAACACCTGAGCTTCACGAATTTGTACTGTAGTTTAGCGTCTTGACCGTCGTCATCTAGCACTCCAAGAAGCATAAACCGTTCGTTGACTGGCTCCGGCATCTCCTCACCGCATTTTATCTTCTTCGCTCTACACCACTACACCTTGTTTCGAGTGATTGGCTCACCACCAAGAAGAAGAAAATGGCGTGTCCCGACGGTAGCCTAAGTAGTTGCGCTCCTACCCATCATGCGAGACGGATGGTCTTTGGGGGGCATCAGGAAAACCAGCGCATCTATGCTAGGCCGGGCTGGCGTCTCTTCTCCATTGCATGTGACGACATGTTGCGCTGCCCATCCGTTCGCTTATTCGGCTTCTTGAGATGTGATCAAGTGGGCGGTTTGCTTGGCATCAGAAATGATACAGAAGAGGGAAAAAAAAAAAAGGGAAGCAAGCTGACAGGTGCTGAATCGCGTCATGACATGCTTCGTATAAATGGTCTGCTGCGTTTGTAGGGCCCAACAGTTTAGCGTCGCTCCACGGACTTCACCGCAGTCAGCCGTATTTCTTTCTCCTTCATTTTTTGAGGGACGCGATATTGGGGAAGAAAAGAGAGGGGCGACAGGTCATACGATGAAAAGCAGCAGCGTTGACCGTAGAGAAGAAAGACAAAGAGGCTAAATTCGTCGCAGAGACGGTGTATGAGTCGGAGGATAAGTTCCTAGGGGAATCTAATGGCTGTACCTCGCAATCAAACCACACGCAACATCTCCCCATGGATTCGGGCTATTATACGGTCCGCTCGAACCTATACATGTAAGTAGGGCGTCAAGGCACGGAATAGTGTATATGCCAGCATGTCTCAGAACTCAAACAATAGCTTCGTTCGCTTGCCTCAGCCGTACGAAGCCATGGCTGCTGACATGAGCTGCGGCCTATCAACGCCCTGCCAGTACTCGAGCAACAGACGTGTAGCAATATGAGCAGCAACTGATAGATGATAGAGGCGCGTAGAGGCTGCATCAGGCACCTCTCGAGTAGGTACTTGCAAGCTTACATCGGCAGACGCATCGTGAAAAACAAATTAGTACTGAGCAGCGACTTTAGCCTGCTGCCTCAACGGCCTCGTATTGGCCGCGAGTGTCCAAGCGCCAGCCTAACTGTGTGCTCTCCTGAGCAGTTCTACGCCACAAAGTTCCTCCATCTTGGGGATTCTTGCCACCCGTCTGCGTACTGGACTGACATGGGCTGGGCGGTGCGGCGCGAGAGCGGTCCGCATAGTCTCTGGCCACCGTTCAAACTCAAATCATGGGCCTGCCACTCAATTGCCCAAAGGAGGCGGCATTGGGCTCTGGTGACTAGCAAGACTCGCAATTGACTTTATGGTCGAAACAAGCGTCCGCCCAGTCTACCGGTACCCTTGATGGATCAGATCAGACGCAAAGAAGAAGAACAAGAGCTGCAACAGAGATCCCCCCACCATTGATCATATGCATACAACTATATGTATATGTATGGAGAACGGAGCCGCCGCTTACTGGCCTAACTCATTGGTAGCGAGCAACTGGGAAATCAACTCAAGTCGATCGATCACAGAAGCGTACCGACTACTGGATGCCCCCATTCTTCTGTTGCCGCACTCTCGATGCTAGCACTTTTACTATCAACTATTTGGGGCTCGAAATTGCGAATTGGTTTCCTTTAGCAGGATTTCCCCCCCAATCGTCCGGTAGCGTTGGCGCATAAGCCTGCCCCTAGCAAGTCACATGAAGGCAAAGGCTCTGCGGTCACTCGATTACCGCGCCTCTAGAAGGGGGAGCAAGATACAGACGGATCCTCTAAGTAGAGTTAGACTAGGAAGCTAGAGGTACCATCGGGTACCAAGGCCAGGGTGGCCAGCGATGAGTGGGAAATGCTGAACCAAGAGTCCGGCGTGGAGGACATTTTGTATGCGCGTGTACAATACTACTGTATGTATGTATGTATGTAGGCACTTTGCACTTAGAGGTAAATCTCCGTACCCACTTGGCTGTTTGGGACAATGTCACGTATCCCAATTGCCAGCCTCATCGCAACTAAGCCTATTGAAGGGTAAGGACGGTAATCGGCATTGTCTTCTTGGGTGTCTGCGAGGTCAGCAGTCCTTCTCCTAGATGGTTACATAGGAAACGGATTCTGCTTTGTGTCCCAGAAGCCACGTTCTTTCGGCCGCGGAGAAGAACAGTGCCTGTGCCACCGTCGCATGCATAACTTGCAAGTAAGTCTCAGGCAACGCAAGGAGGGTGCTGTTGGGCGACGAAGCTGGTATGCCAGCACTTGTTCAGCTAGCGGAAGGATTGGTTCAGCCCACACCAATCTATCGTAGCAGCGCCTCGTACGTCGTAGGCTCTTCGTTATTAGCACCAGTGCAATTAGCAGGTCGAAAAGGGGGAAATATTGGTCAAGGGAACGTCGATCATTAGACCTACCGCGTGTTAGAATTAGCAGTCATGTATCTCATTATAGGTGGAGATTCAAGACAAACTAAGGCCTTAGTGACTACTTGGTGTAGCTGCACAAGCGGTGACAGAGAGTAGTGCCTCCAAATCCGAGATGGAGCCTCGGGACGAGTTGCTGCTAGTAACAGCACAGCAGTACCATTAGTTAGCAGTCCCGTAATCTGGCGCTTATTAGCCTGCCTCCATCGTACGTGTATCCTGTAGTATCTCGTAGATGAGCATCATTGAGTGGGCATGGAATTGATGTACATACAGGTGTATTTGATCCGCAGGACATGATTGGGAAACAGCCTCAGGTGACTCCAAGAACGTCGTGTGAGAGGTGGACTCGATGTAGCCAAGAGTAAACGGATAATTTTCCATTCCGGGAAACCCGACGCTGAGCCATGCTTCATATCATGCAACGTCCAGAGCACAGAATATGTGCTTGATAAGCAATTTGCTCTCTTTTGTGATTGATAACTTGTCACTTGTGCTGTCGCAGTCTCGTTCATGCCAACGTCTGATCGTCGAAATTCTGACAAAGGCGTGGCAGAAGTAGCCTTTTGTAACACTTGTACAGAGCAATGTCCTTCTACAACTATAATAGCTGCTGAACTTTTTAGCATTATTTCGGTAATGTACGGAGTAGCCATCTAATAGTTGGACAGGCGAGCGTGGAGAATAGAAGCTAGTGGTGTCAACAGCTGACGACTCCATTGGGCGCAGGAATGGGGCTGGTCTTACTGGTTGGTACTTAGTGCAGCAGTGTTAGTAACTCCTCGAAACTCTCCGTGGGATTAATACGGAGTACCAGGCCGTAACATGATCACCGTCAGGAAGCTGATGCTTGCGGGGACCAGACGATGGCCTGCCAGCCCGTTAGCGTGTCTCCGCGGTCCGTTGCGCCCGCTTCTAAACAGTCGCTAGCCAGACGGGCTCTGAATATCGAGACACGGCTGATTTTGGGGCGCCTTAGTGGTGGCTATGGCGTTGGCCGTTGGAAGTAGAAGCGGCTTGAACAGCCTGGCTATGAAGAAACCACGGTGCTGGCGCCCTTCAAGTCGCCATTCAAGGGCAACACATCACATAGCTCGCCAGTAGCCTGCTACCAGCAGTAATAGGCCTCGCGCCGCCCGCATTGCGTGCTGCTCTTTTGCCGTTGCAAGCATCCTCCACGATGTTTCCGTCCCCAGCTTCCAGGAGTGGAAAGTTCTTACGTCTCTCAGCCTATGGGGTTCAAAGCAGTAGTTAGCACACGGTCCTTTGCAGCGACGCACCGCGAAGGTGGTTGTTACCGTGCCTGGATTTGACAAGGGTCCAGGCTGTCGTCTCTAAACGGAGAATCCGTAGTGCACTGGCCAATCTCCTCGCTTGCTGAACAAGCTGCGAGTTCCGAAGAGCCAACGAGATCAGCCAACCCCACGTCCCGTGGGGGTGAACCTCGGAGCGTACCGTGTTGATTTGCACCGAGCAGCAGCAGCAAGTTGCCTGATGGCCTTCTTGGGCTTGGATCTTACTTCTCTAGCTTCAACTGCACACGCTTGTGTTGGTGCTCCAGAAGTCCAGATGCAGTTACGGAGCATGGGAGGTAGTATAGTGGGCTTATGGGGTCGAGCCTCTGGAAAGCGTTTGATAAGATAATGATCTGCAGACCTCGAAGAAGCCACCAGCGACCAGGGAGGCTCAGCTCAGGGGCTTCGATACGGATCGTGACCTCGTACTTGCATGTACAGTGTGCGCGAGCCCGAGGGTGCTACTTGTATGCTCCCATTCCGTGCGCGGTACTTTTGATCACGCCCGAGAAAGACTGTGACGTGGTGTACATGTGCAGTAGCCTGCAAGTCAAGCAGGTACACGTACTGTTGCGTAAGTCAATGGAATCAGAGTCAGCGGCTTGTAAGACGTGGCGTTGGCGGCAGAGTTGGATGAAGGAACGGAAAGAAAAGTAAACAAGGCTGCTGCTGTTCGGATGCGGCCTCAGCCTCGGGAGGTTCTATCCTCGTACAGACTACTGACTTGTACAGAAACATCTGCAATTCTCGTAAATGCCTGCTGGCGCCAAGGACACCAATGGATAGCTCTCCCGTCAAGCAATGCAACTCTTTGATGGCGCTGGTTTGTCTGGTTGGCGGCTCGAGAAGCTCCGTCGCCCGGAGGACCAGCCTGTTTATGACCTGGACCCGGCGATAATAACATGAGAGGGGGCGAGACCCAACGGTCTGACCCTGGCTAGCGCCTGTGAAAGTCACGATGATATGATAGCGTCCAAGTATGCGCAGTACGAAGAGAGCGAGCTGGGCGTAGATGTCCGTACAGACTGAGCGACACTTGTGCCATTGTATGGTCGCTGCAGTACCTGTAGATATCAATCAGCCGATTGAGCTAATCAATTAACAGGAGCTGCTTCCGGACAGCAGAACTTGTGTAGAGGATGGTATTGCGAGCAAATGGCGACGGTGAAGCCTTGTGGCAGCCAGGGCCGGCGAATCCAAATATGGCGAGTAATCAGCTGAAAGCCCAGAGCACGCTTGTTGAGGCGCCCTTCTTCAAGTTTGTTTTGTTTGTGAGTAACGAAAATTTCGTACCGTAGGCTGTTGGCGGTATCAACCTGATATTGTACAGTAGACGAGTCAGCTCGCTGGCACTGTATCGAGGACGTCTTAGTCGGAAGGCAGCCTCAGGCAGTGACTGCAACCCAAACGGAACCCGAGCCTCCTCCCAAAGCGTCTTCCGAGAGGGTCCTTCGGCCTCGGTCCTGCATCTCGCAGCTGGACGCCAGAGTCATGGACGAGATAGGCATGATTGCTCTTCGCCAACCCATCACGCCACGACGCACAAGGGTGCTGCCGACTAGCCAGGCCGCCACTGAATTAGCTCCGAGCAGAGAAGGGGAGCTCATCGGCGCACAGATGCCAGGGCACGCAGTATCAGCCGCGCACGTTTTCCCACTTCTCGAAGACGGTGCTGTACTGTAGCACAGAAAGCGAGTGCCTACGGTATCGTCGATATCGCTGCTGTTGGGAGCCGCTGGCTTGTACGCACACATGCACTTACAGGCATCGAATCGGGCCATGCATACTCTGTATACCTGTGTACATGTATGCTGGCATCGTCCATCACGAAGCCATCCCTGCCCCTAGTGCCATCAGCTACTTTTAGGTACCATTTGTACTACTCGTACTTGTACGGTAGACCATCTCGACTTGGCTTGGCTGAAATCGCTATGCCAGCAACAGCAGCCACGCGCAGCCAAAGACCAGCCACTAATAACCTTACAAGTAGGCAGGAGGGAGTCCTCCGTGCTGCTGCCGGCGAGCTGTCTAGCTGTCTAGCTGCTGTCTGCCTGTCGGTCTGGACCTTGTTGACATGCTTGCATCAAGCAGACGAGACTGACAAGCGCCGCGTGGTCTGTATCTGTGCCCAAGGGCCACCTACATGCGCGTATCATGGCGGATCGTGAATGGCGAATGGCTCTGGCGATAGAGGAGAGCAGGGCAGGGCAGCAGGCAAGACCGAGAGGCCGTTCCGCCGCCGACGATGATGGTTATGCGCGCCAGCTCCTCAATCAACTGCGAGTGCACCAGTAGGGCTGCACAGCAGACTGAACTGCGGCGGGGACTTGGCCCGCACCCCCGTTCACAAGTCACGTCCAGCGACCTGACACACACCAGCAATGATATCATGATACAGGACGCTATGTGCTCGGAAGCAGCCCATCTTCATGCTTGTTCGCCGCAAGACTAGCCGGGGGGTGAAAGAGGCCAGCTGGGGATGGCTTGTCGACGCCTACCATACGAAGAGTAGTGCTGCCAGCACTGCTGTTCCAGAGACTGCGTTGCACGTTGGCGGCCCAGGAGATGGCGTCAGCAATCGCTTCCCCATATAGCGTGCCACATTCCCGAACAACACTGGGCGTCAAGGCCCAGCGGCACCCATGCTCTCTCATCAAGAAGCCGGCGTTGGATCTCGCTCCTTAGGCGGAACTAGTCAAGTCCAGCCTTTCTAGCCTCACTTCAAGCTCGCAAGGGTCTACCTACCTAGGTAAATGGTGAAGGCATTGCTTGTACATGCCTCCTCTGCACACACTCATTGGCACGGTACAGTCAAGCATGAAATACTGCTACTACTAGCACTACACCCAGCTACTGGGGCCAGTAGCTGACCCTCTAGCTTGGGCGGGTCTTCCCAAAGAAAGGCAGAGCAGACGACGGCGACGACGGACGACGACGGAAAGACAAGGGAGCGGCACGGCTGTCCTACACACGCACAGGCACATCTGAAATTCAAACTCCGTACTCTACATGCCAGGCCCCTACCGACCAGGCCTTTATGCCGGGGAGAGCACCTCCACGTCTCTCTGCAGGGACTGACTGGCCGACGCTAGGATAGGGAATGTGTGGATACAAAAAGAGATGCTCAGAGGTGGAGATGAGCGCCAAGGCCTGGACCCCGTTCTCGATGTCATCTACTGCTCCTCCCATCAACTAAATCCTAAGCCCAAAGCTGGCCTGAACCCCCATCACAATCGTCCACGGGAACGACGGCACAGCAAGGCCTAAAGCTCTTGAGTCGTAGCAACTTTAAGGGGAATAACAAGCCAATGCCACAGGCGAGGTTACGGTTAGTCTTGGCGTTCAATATCCCACACGCCCCTTCGACGGTAGGCTTTGGGTGTGCTTCTAGACTCATCCACGTCGCCTGGGGGCCGAGATGGATGGCTGTGGGGGGAGGGGGGATACCAAGCACGATTGACGGATGATTCTCGTGAGGATCTTCTGTACAAGTATACACGATGCAAACGGATGCTGTCTGCTTGGACCCTGTCCTCGGCCGCCAAATAAGACCTCTCCTCCACCACAACCCCTCCATACCACCCAATCCTTACTTCTCTCCTCGCTGTTCGCCGCGATCTTCGCTTGCACCGTGCAATTTGGCCAGCTATACACCTCTGATCTTCTCCATTGCCGATGTCGATGAATTGCCCGACGTGATATTACTAGCACAGACAACCATTTACTCGAGCCTGACACCTCCACTCTTGAATTTCCACGCGACCTGTAAAGGGAAATAGAGAAGCAAAGGACAGGAAAAAACAGAGCATTTGTGATCTTCACACTCTATTGATCCTGCCTTACAATTCTTCGCCTTGTTAATAATTTTTTCTTCCCCTGCAATCTCTGTTTCTTTCCTTCTCTCGAATTCTCTTACTTCAGTCTATTCACGTGCCAACATTGCCCAGCTCCCGCTTCGATTGGGCATGTGCTTGCTATTAACGTGTGATGGAACGTACGCTCACCATCGAGACGAACGAAGACTCTACCTGGCAAGACGATAACAGTATGTCTCCCGACGAAGGATCTTGGGATGATGGAGTGCTGCCGTCCCCATCTCCTACCGAGACAGCATGGAGAGCAGGCGTTTCTGCAGCACCTCTTCAGATGGGCCAGCTGTCGCCTGTGAGCTCCAACACCGACGCCAATATGGAGAGCTCTTCTGTCCCTCCCATGGCGCATTCGGCGTCGTCATCGACATGTGTAGACTCTTGGAATGCTAGCCATGGCAATCCAGATGAGTGCGAAGAGGACAGAGATTGGGATTGGGATCAGGTGTCCGACGATACCTTCGCCGTTCCAAAACTAGAGCCGATCGACGATGACATCAACCTGGAGGATGTGTGCGCGGCTCCTCTATCACAAACACCACCAAACGAGATGCCGGGAGTCTCTCAGCTAAAGCAAAAGAGGCCCCGGGGACGACCGAGGAAACATCCTCTCACCCCGATAATCAACACGAATAAAGTTACAAAAGGCCGTTCAAAGACTGGATGTATCACTTGTAGGAAGCGCAAGAAGAAGTGCGACGAGGCGAAGCCAAGATGTATGCAAATCTCGTTCCGCCTGATGCACACACGCCGTGACCTGTGTAAGCTAACACATGTTGGGAACTTACAGGTATGAACTGTGAGAAAAACGCAGTCGTTTGCGAGGGATATCACGAAAAACAGGTCTGGAAGAGCGGTAGAGAAAGGGCTGAAGAGGGTATGTCAAAGGACCTAGAAGCAATATCGCACTATTCTTTTGGAACTGTCTGGCTAACCCACGCAGCAGAGCGACAACGGTGGGAGAATCTACCCATCATCACAATACAGCCCATCTTTCACGGTGTGGAGACCACCGAGGACAAGATATTTTGGAAACACTACGTCAACCACTTCAGCAATGTGCTAACTGTCGAGGGAGAGGCCAAGAATGCCTTCAAGGACATCATTCTACAACTTGCCAATCGGCACCAAGGCCTGATGCACTCAATTCTTGCGGCCAGCAGCAAGCACATTGACTGGGACACTCCTTACGGCATGAAGATCCTCCAGAATAACCCATCCACAAGCAAAGAGACCTTGGAGCAACGCTCCGAATTTCACCATGACGAGGGCATGAGACGAATGTATGCCGAAATGCAGGAGATGGATGAAGACGACCCGGAGTACAAAACTGTTCTCGCTGCACGCTACGGCCAAATGATGTGCCTACTTCTCCAGACTCGAGCTGAAGGCAATCCACGGGGCGACCACAGGGTCCATCTACAGGCGTATAAAAATCTGATACAAAACTCGCCTCCTGAGGATTCAACCTTCCTAACGTTCATCACCGAGTTTTTCCAATATCACATCTACGCCGACGACCTCTTCTGGTATCCTGAGAAGAAGACGGAGCGTCTTGCTACGGAAGACTGGGAACCAACGGCGCCCATCCATCCCCCACGCCTTCTGGGGGTCGCTGATGGACTATTCCGCCACCTTTCCGAAATCACCAGTATTCGAAATGCCATTCGCGTGAACATGGCCAACTCCGTCGATCCCTTGGTTGACTACACCAGTCTCTACAAGGCAGCCGAGATCGACGCCGCTATCCGGGAGTGGACTCCCCGCTGGCCGTCGGGTGATAGCCGTGATCGTGTTGCGCTACTGTATAAGCTGATGCTCTGGGTTTATCTGTTCAGGACGATATACCCGCCTTCATCTTTGCCCGGCCGACGCAGCACTATTGGCTCACTCCCCACAGTGATGTTTTCAACAATGTCCACGAGCACAAGTTCTCAACCGCGGCGAGCCTCCATGGCTGCAGCCATAGGACCTACAGCCTCGTCTCCGCTCATGGGAGGGACTACCCTTTTCTCACGTTCACAAAAAACACACAGCGCCCCCTCTTCACGGCATCCATCAAGAACCAGCTCCATGCATGAGGGAGACTCAAAGATGAATATCGCGTCTGGGTCGCAGAAGCAGCGGGCTTCATCTCCCCCTTCCGCCCGCCGACCAGCACAGGATGACAAGCGAATCACTCTGGCAGTCGATGAAGCGCTAAGCCTCTTGGAAACATTCAAGCCCTCTGATCCCTCACAGACTCTCCTCCTGATCCCATGTCTAGTAATCGGAACGGCTTGCTTCGAACCCGACCAGCGGTACCGAATTCGAGCAGCCATCAGAGCAGTGCGAGGGTATACAGGCCTGAAGAATTGCGATCGAGTCCTAGAACTGCTTGAAGAGATTTGGGCGCTCATGGATCAAGGCGACTGGGGTGCTGTTTGGGATTGGCAGAGAGTCGCGAGACGAATGGGACTTGACTTTGCTTGTGCATGATTGCGAAGCTATTTGAGTTGCTTTCCAGTACTCTTTTTTTTCCACCTAGCGAGGATCCTCTCTCCATCTCTTTTTTTTTTTCCTTGGCCATTTTCTTTTTGAAGAGTTGATGAGTTGATTTTACAAAATCATTTCGCCTTTTTTTTTTAGAAAGTTCCAGTAATGGTTCCTCTTTCATAAGAAATCTCGAGTCATTTTTTTCTATTATAAAAAAGAAAAAAAGAAAAAAAGAAGTACACAAGTCAAATCCATTTGACCCACTACGACATGCCATTCTACTCAACCGGTCTTTACCTATATATATACGTTTTTCTCGCAGCACAACGCCTTTCTGCGTTTGTGCCGCGGCTCACCCTATCCATACCCGCTTGGATAGAACGGACCAGTACTGTTAGCCTGGTCTGGCAACAACTCACGCTAGATACTATGACAGAGTATCAATCTAGAGGAGGAAATGGGACACTTTTTTTTTAGCATTCTTCATTTTTCTTTCTATATCATCACGACAGAGGGGAGAAGGGGGATTTTCCTTAGGCTTGGCGATTTAGGTTTGGAGTTTCATGGCAAATGGTGGCAGCATTTCCAGCTATGCGGACTGAAAGCGCTTCATTCATCGCACATGGCTGGTTGGTAACGGGGGTGTTGCGGATGGGAACTTTTCGTCTTTTCTATTCTTTTTTTGCTATTGCTTATTTGCTTTTTTGTTTCCTCTCCCCATCTAAAAGGCGTCTCAAAATGTGGTCTGGTTTGCTTTTTCTCAGTTTCAGAAATTCCTCCCCCTTTGAGTTGAATTGTTTACCTTTTTTTGTTCTGGCTGCTGCTTTGCTTTTATTAGACAATGCTCTTGTTTTGTTCTTTTCAACCTAAAAGGAGGTGGTTAGATACGCGAGGATGATTCTATATCCCTTCGTTTGGGTTCTCGTTTGCATCTAGATTTTAATTTTATGCATTGTTTTGTTGTTTTAGACTAAATATGAATTTGTCTCCTCGTTGGCTTGCATTACCTCTTTCAGAAGCTTTGGTGACTCGGTTGTTACAGTGCAGAATAGATGATCCATGCTTAATGAATTAATTGAATCATATTTTCATTCCGTTATAGGAAAATACGTTGTACTGAAGAGAATCCCTATCTCGGCTCAGCCGACCAAAGTCCCGCTCTGATCTCTTTTCTTTTCCACATCTTTGACCATCATGTCAAGGCATGAAACGTTCTGGCTAAAGGATTCCCGAATCGTGAAACGAATCGATACTGCGACAAGCAGAGCTGAAGAGTTTAAAAGAAAAAAAGAGAAGCAGACAAATATACGAAAAGACTAGTGATACAAAAGCCCCCAGAGTTTGTTAACCGCCGTAGAATCCGACCATCTTCGGTGTCCCATCCCAATTACCTGCCCATTTTCCCAGGTTTGAAAAGACTTGTTGCATTACTCTTACGAATAATGAGAGAAAAGAGAAACATAAACGAAATGAATTATACTGCATAGCTCTCCCCCGTGTTTCCTCCCATCAGTCATCACGTTTGTCGGATTCGAAATAAAACCTGCCTAGCTTATCGCCTCGGCCTGGGCTGCCCATTCCCGATGGACCAGCTCTGGACTCGCCGCTATCCAGCCGCTGGACAATTCTCCCTGCAGCTTCTCTGGCAGGTTGCTGTTGCTGTCGGCCTACGGGAACTGGCCCCCTGAAGGTTGTGTCCACAAAGACATCTTGATCAGGGGATATAGGGTTCGTGGGGGGCCCGTCTGTTGCAACGCCGTCCATCATGCGAGCGTACTGTCGCTCTTGAGCAGCTGTTGCGCTCATTGGTGCGTCGCCGCCTCCAGACATGTACGAATCTCTCTCGCGCCGCGCATCACTCATGCCCGAGTTGGTCCTCTCGAGACCCCATTGGTATGCAGCGCCGGGAGCTGGCCGTCGATGGTATATCGGCCCAGAGACAGTGCTGCCGGCTCCTTCGCCGAAGCCAACGAGAGAGGCCGAGCCATCGTCGCTCATTCTATCCTCGAAGCCGCCCATGGAATGCGCGCCCATGCCTTCGAGGTCCTCGTCCATGGCATCTTGATCGACGCTAGTGCTTGTCACCGACTCGCCCTCGCGGTAGTTTGTATCCGTGCTCAGGATATCCTCGTCGCGATCGCCAACGGTGCGCCGGCCTTCGCTGTCTGCCAGATGGCTCTCGGTTGCACTAGCGGTCCCGACGGTGCTCATCTTGGTCACTGCGACAGGCTGTCCATTGCTGTCAAAGTACGCCGGCGTCAGGTGCTGCGTTGCAGGGTAGTTGAGGGGAAAGCCGGCCGTCGACGTCGGCGTGGTCTGCGGAGAGAGCGACGATGCGCGGCCACCCGTGCTTGTTGGAGTCTGCGGTGCGGCTCGCAGCGTCGACACCCGCTCGAGGCCGGCCAGGCGCGAGATGCGATCGGCCCTCTCGGCTTCGAGCGTCGTCGCCGATGGATTGTTCTGGTGGCCGCGGAAATAGAGGTCGGCGTGGAAGTGGCCGCGATGGCCGTCCTTGATGGCGGTTGTCGAGATGGCAGAGAGCGATGTCGTGGTGCTTGTCGGCGTGCCACTGGTCAAGAGCCTGCGTCAGCGTTTCGGATCAGGGAAGCTCTACGCATCGGACAACATACGGAATCTCCGAGGGGGTCTCGGGGTTAGGGTCTGGAGGAGGCAGGTTTGCCAGCGTCGGATGTGAGGCTTGCGCCATTGCAGTATCTGACATGGTGGGCGATTGTTCTTTGTGGCGGTATGCGCTTTGCGACAGTCAACGGCGAGGCGAGGGACTCCGGGTCACCACAGAGTGCGCGGCTTTGTCGCTCGCAAACGATGTGATGGACGGTCGTAGCTGGTAGAAGGCGAGAGATGAAGCGATGTGACGGGTCGATGGGATTTGTACAAGAGGGAAGAGCGCTTGTGCCGGCAAACGCGATGATGTCGGTTTAACGTTGAAGTTTCGGGAGAGGTGGATGTCACTGGCAAAGATGTTTCACGCCACCCTTTCTGCTGGTTTGCGTGGGCTAGGCTTCGGACCCCGAGGACGCTCAGCTTTGGCCCAATGCTGGAGCCTCAAGCTAATAATTCGCTCCACAACTCTTTATGCGGAGAAGTTTCCTCTTTTTTCTTCTTCTTTTTTCTTGGGCGAGGCTTTGTTTGTCGTTTGGAAGTGGCTGAGATGGACGATTGTTTGTGTTCTGAGACGGGTGTGCCGATATGGCTGGAATTGGATAAGCTATGTGCTCTCAGTTCTTACAGCGCAACGGAGTAAGAATGAACTGCGAAATCCAGCGAAATAAGCAGCCAGTGCATCAGATATCTCTGCGTCGCTCTGGGAGATGGCTAGAAGCTCTATACCTTTGGCCACGTTCATGTTCTTTTCTACGTTTTCGGCTTGGGCAAACTTCAGAGGGTGCGTACAATGACGTAGCTTCCGCCAATGGGGGGGTTTATTAGGGTCTGATACCAGCTTAGGCAGTGTCATACAATATTACGAGTAGAAAAGCAATCGGAAGAAGAAAAAAAAAATCATATGAATGGCATTCAAAACTGATCATGTTCATCTCGCTACAAGGGCTAATAGCATGCAATCATACAAATTGTTAGGCCGAATACCACCAGCAAATCAAAGACACCCTTTTGGCAACGAAGAAAGTCCAGCTTGCTCCTCCAGGGGTTACCAACCACATTTTCCGTATACTCAGCGTGACGCCTCCAAGAACCCACACAAACTTGGTTAATATTAATCCAGGATTCGCCTTACAATCAAGGCTGAAGTGACTTTTGGAGAGTAAAATTTAAGACATGAGAAGAAAAGTAAAAGATGAAACGAAATAAAAGTACACTCTTTTTGCGTAGACTTAGAGGAATACCATGCCCCCGCTTATGACCGCGAATGACAGGCTCAGGAGGACAAATCCAGGCTCTTGCATGATAATGTTTGTCAAGTCGACGTTTAGTAGCCGTCTATTTATGCTTTTAGAAGGCGAATTATTTGTAGAAGACGGCGACGCGACCATGGAGCCATTGACAACGGTGACATTGACATTGTCGCGGTATACCAAAAGATCGCTTTGCCTGCCATAAATAGGCGTCGCCACCACTTCAGCTGAGAGTGAGCCATAGTCGGCAAAGGCAAGCCCACAGAGGACCAGTAGAAGTGCAAGAAAATTGAACAGCTTAAAAGCCATCTTGAAGTATTTTGTGCAACGACGAAATGGTATTGTTCGTGGTCGTTGAGTTGGAATGGAGAGTGTCTTGTGCCTGAGCTTTTTGTACGTGCAGATCCAGCGACGACACAATGGCAGTATCAGTGGCACGCAGAATGATGTATAAACACGAGATGGTGGCGAAGAGAAAGAAAAATGGAGTTTAAAAGAATAAGAGGGAGCAGCTTCTGCTTTATCTGCTCGACATGAAGAGCGAGTCCCTGATGTTTGGCTTGTTTCTCAAGATGGCGGCGTCGATAAAGGGAGACAATGCAATTAGACACCACGCATCCGAATCTGTATCCGAGCGACTTTGGAGGGCGACCCGGATGGGAGGGATGCATGCTGTTTATAAATAAATAAACGAATCAGTAGATGGTGGGAAAGCGCAGATATGCGGGAAATCCAAACGTTGCCGGCGGGCAAGCGGGAGGAGAAGCTAGGCTGTCTGATATCATGGAGAAGGGCGATGGACCAATCTCAGGCACAGCGGGTTAATGGCCTTTGATGCATACCAAAAGTAATTCTGCAGACCATTCCTTGGGCTAATGCATATCGAGACAGGCATCTGTTTGGTCCGTAAGATATCATTGCCTCTGTTCATTCCCACTTGGCCTGGGTGGCCAGGGTCGTTGATTAATCTTTCGAGCCGTTGCATCAGCCCCGGTTGTGCTTTTGCTGCGAGTCAAGCCATGTAAACCCTCGGATCGAGTGTTCCGTCGACGATGAAGGCTCTGGGGAGCAATGGCAAAGTGTGCTGCCATCTCGTCCTCTGTAAAGGCCAGTCCAGGCAGAGGAAGCTACATATATCCTGCACCTTTCACACATCGTGGCAGAGATCACCATCGCCATCAACACCTCTCGTCGCCTTGCAACACCGCAATTGGCGTAGCAATCGCGTAACAGCTGCGTCGTCGTTTGTTCCCAAGGGCCCGTCGATGCGGCCAACGGCAAACCGGGTGAAACCGCTAAGCACTGCTAACACTGCAGACGAGCGGGGTGGCCAAAACTCTCTTGTGAGATTTTCAAAATTCAAAAGCAGGTATATGCAGGTTCCCACTGCTAGCTGGCGATAAGGATCCGGTGCTTGCGAGTTTCCGGTGGTATTTTGACTTGTGATGGCGGGAAGACGAGAGACGGGATGGTTTGATGCATGCATGCCAGTCACATCGCGTACGTACTAGACCAGCAGTCGTCACTTATCACTGGCCAACTCGTACAAAGCTCTGCTGGGACGCTGAGTTAGTGGAGCGGGGATCAGACTTCATATCCAGCCGTCTTATTCGCAGCACGTAGGGCATAGCTCTCGGTATTTCATGCATTGTCATGCTTCTGCTGCTACCTCTATTATTACTTGATGCTGCTGAATACTACCTTCATGTACCTTTAATCGCTAATAAGGATTTGGACAAGAAGGGAACGTAACAGCGCTACCATCCCGTTTTTGCATTGATGCTCTTTCTTGCATGAAACTAGAGACGTCTGAAGGCACCTCATCTTGAAAAACACAAGCGATATCCGGGCAATACCAGTAGGAAGCAATAGCTATGCCGCTAGTCATTGGTGTGTTTATTCGGCGCGTCTCGCCACTTGGTGGTGCTTCGCATGGCTCTCGGCTCCAAGTTCAGGCCCTCCACCATTCCGTACAGAGACATTGACTTTGCTTCCCCTGGATCTGGAATGCACACGCTCGTTGAACAATGCTGGGCCGATTGATAAGACTGGCCGTATCTGTTGCCTTGCTTCTCCAGTTCTTCTCTTCCTCCCGCTGAGTCAACGAGACTCGCCAAGCTGTCTTACTCTACTTGTACATCAATCCTTCTGATGCACGGATGCCTTTCTCTGCCTCAAGGGCCGCGCTACAGCCAGCTCCTAGTCGATAGTTCAGTATGCAGCCAATAGAGAGGGCTGCCTACGCTCTGGTCCTACCATCCGCTCAGCTGGAGGCTCAGCTAGGCATCATCGCCATGGAAGCGCCTTATAGGCTGCCTGTGCGTTTCAGCAGTCATGCGACTGCTTGCAGCCTTGCGGCTTCTCTTAGCTTGTAAAACACCGCCTGTGCATCACAATCAGCGCAGGGCGCTTCGTGCAATATTCCATCTTCTCTTCCCAGAATCATCGTGACCATTGGCCTTGACGTCTAGCTGAGATTCAGTATCATCCAGTCTCGCAACGTGCTAATATGGTGCACTTCAATCTGGAGCTCGTCTGGATCTCCCAGGCAAGCCCGCAAGTCGAGTGAGTTGCCCAGTAGCCTGCGTGCTCGCCCAGAATCAAGATGGCACGGCTAATCTTGTTTCTTCAGCCTCGTTTTCGTCCATGGATACGGTGGCAACCCAGAAACAACATGGCATGACGAATCTACGGGTAAAATCTGGATCAAGGACGAAGAGTTCATCACCCGAATAAAGAGGCCGATCCGCATCTTTTCCTTCAGCTACAACGGCGAAGTAGAGTCAAATCTATCATCCTCCAGCCCAGCTTTTCATGCAAGCGACCTGCTCTGCTGTTTGGAGCAAGCTCTCGAGAGATCCACCGTACGGCTCTAGATGCCTTTTAGCTGGACATAATTTTCTTACTCTATATCACCAGGGACGACCACTGATACTCGTTGCCCACGGCTTTGGAGGCACCATTGTGAAAAAGGTCAGTTTGAGACGGTTAGATGGCCTGCAGCTGTCTGCATTCTTTACAAACTGGTCAAGTCATTAACTGGTGCTGTATCTATAGGCAATCCAGCTGTGTTTCGTGGCCCCAGGATATCCGCAGACAAAAAATGCGCTGGCTGGCGTAGTCTTCTTCGGCACTCCTCATACGGACACAGATTCTGAAGCACTGCTTCAGGCCGTAAAAGGCACCGTCGACGCCTTTGGCTCTGAAGATGGCGCTAGAGGTGAAGACATTAGAGAATACGTTTCCACAGCAAGCCGCATCAATGCGGCTTTCATCTCTTGCAAACCAAGCTACCTGAGGATGCTCTCTTTCTGGGAGAAACTGCCATCCAAATCCATTGGACCAAGCTCAGGCATGCATGGGCGTCCTGTATGTAAATCTGCATCCGTGAAGAAAAGCATTCTTACTGATACTCTCGTAGATCGTCTCTTTGCAATGTCAAAAGGAGCATTTGCAAGGCAATACTGATCACATAATAGAATGCAGCCACGACGAGTTGCCTCGGTTTTCAAGCGTATTCAGCGACAGATTCATACAGTTTATGGAGATATTTTCTCAATTTCTGGTGGATACCCTCTCCGAACGCACCGTGACAACGATCCCGAGGCTTTTCCCGCGTCCACCATCAGACATTCGGGAAAGCCGATTCCCGATTGAAGAGATTCCTATTATAAGGAGACCTGGCCCTATAATCAAGACCCGGCGAAGATTTTGGAACAAGAACGACGATGACCATCAAAGCCCGGAACGTCGGAAAAGGGACAAAGAAGACAAGGCTTCCAGAGAGCAGTTTCTTCAATCACTACGCGGCTGGTCCGAGAGTAATTATGGAAACGAGATTTTTGTCGCAGCCGGCACATGTGAATGGTTCAAAGACGGATCCATCTATAAGAATTGGCTAACCGATCCAAAATGCGGCACGCTCTTCTACATAGGAGCCCCTGGACATGGCAAATCGCATCTGGCACGTTCTATTTTTACCCATCTCAAGTCCTCAAAACCAGACGATATTGTGTTGGGATATTTCTGCCAAAGGGGCGAAGAGAAGCCTGCCATCTGGGAGTATTTCACCTGGAAGTTGATAAAGGAGTGGCCAGACTGGTTCACTCACGTACCGGTTCAATTCCGACGCAAAACTGATGATGCCAACCCTCGCCTCGATTCATCTGCGTACACTGAGATATGGACTTCGTTTCGGAAAGCCTCCTCCCCTCGTACCATATACTTGATTGTGGATGGATTAGAGCAGACACCTCCCGCAAATTTCACCGAGTTCTTTGCTTTGGTAGAACAGCTAAGAAAGCCGATGGTGCTAGGGTCCGAGAACCGTTCAAACGGCGTATCAGAAACGCCGCCGACAAAGGTTAAGCTTGTCATAACGAGCCGGTGGACAGACGCTACGTTTACAGCTTCAAGCACGACTTCTTGTTGTTCTTTGCCTAATGACGACCTTAAAAAGGATGTCTCTGTTTACCTCGACAAAAGATTCCAAACTATATCTAAATCTAGACCAAAAACCGTGGACGAACAACTGATACGCAGGGTCAAGGAGCGTATCACTCAGAAATCGGGAACCTACTGGCTCTTTGCAAAGCTTGCAGCGGATGAAATTGAGAGTTCGAGTGCATTGAATTCTATCCAAGAACCTCGCGAAGATTATATCCCAATGGAGCTGGCGCGGCTCTACGAACAGAAGATGCTGCCTTTACTGCAATCTGCCAACAACAGCGAAAGACACCTGCGCACAGTTCTCACCTTGATTGCTTCGGAAGACAATAGTCTCGCATTTTCCCTCAAACAGCTCGAGAGCTTTATTCAGTGCATCTACGGTCAAGATGATATGCCTGTGGAAAGCCTTGCAAAGTCCATACAGACTTTCTGTGGAGACCTGTTCTGGGTCAGCCCAATTGATTCTCTTGTGTATTCCGTCCATGCCACTGTGAGAGGCCATCTTGGCAAATATCTTACGGTGGAGCATAGACAAACTAACATGGTCTTCATTTGTCTGAAATATCTGCTCCAAGACTCCTTTCGCACCACCCTGCCTCTATCTTTCAGTGATAGAGATGGGACGGTGGAAAGAATGAGCAAGACAGCGGCCTTTTATGGATTTGCGGCACAAGGCTGGATAATCTATCTTGCCAGATTGGACACACTCAGCCCACATTTAGTACCGCTGCTACAAACATTTCTATCACTGGATTGCCGCCAATATCGGACGTGGCTCCATTGGAAGTCGTGGCTTTTCAAGGAAGAGATTGGAAAGATTGATGAAATTATCGAGGATCCAATCATGGTCATGGTTCGAGAGGGATGCCTTGCTGTTATCCAGCATTTTTTTCCGTCCTCGACAGCTCCCCGTGCTACTTTGAAGAGCAAATTTGAACTCTGGGCGCGGCACATGCCGTTTCCAAACACACAGCCTCCCAATCTACTTGGTGTGCAATGGCCTAATATCAAGGGTTTACATGAACAGACTGTTTTGATGGCAGCGGCACTAAGTGGAAATCCTGCTCTAGTGGAACACGTTCTACAATGGGATGTTGATATAAATGCTCGAGATGATGGTGGAAGAACTGCCCTCATGCTATGCCTCACCTCGGATCGTTTAATGGGACCGAAAGCGGTGGGTAAAAAACTGGATGTTTATGCCGTCGTTGAACTGCTGCTACTACATGGTATTGATCCAAGAATGAGCGAACATCATGGCATTACTCCCTTGCACGTTGCTTGTGTGCGCGGCAGATTCGATCTAGCTGAGCTTCTGCTAAGGTTCAATGCTCCGATCAATCTTACAGACGGATGGGGATTTACACCTCTCGAAAGGGCATATGGTACCGGGGATATTCGAATTATTGAGATGCTCATCGGTCACGGCGCGGACGTAGAGGCATGGATGCTAGGCGGAGAGCCACCGCTAGCAAGATGCATATATGATGGAAAGCTTGACATCTTTGAGGCTTTTCTTCCGTTTGCAGATATCAACCAGGCCACTATGCTTGGATTTGCACCAATCCATCTTGCCAGCGATGGTGCTGACAGGATAGAGTTTCTCCGCCTTCTACTTACCAGGCCTGGGCTACATATAGATACAGTGAGCTCAGCATCCGATCGATTCCACATCAAACGTGCGACGGCCATTGGATTTGCCATCAACAGTCGCAACTACACTGCGCTAGAGTGGCTACTGGAGGCCGGAGCTCATCCAGGACTGTTGCCAATGGTCACTTTGCCGCCACTTCACGAAGCCATCGTGGTTAAAGACAGGGCCATGATAGAGCTGCTGTTATTCTATGGGGCTCCAGTGAATGAATCCAGACGCAGCTGGTTTCCGTTTACTGCGCTGGGGCATGCAGTGGATCTTGGCCTGGAGGATATTGTCGAGCTACTCCTGAAAAACGGCGCAGACGCCTCCGTGGAAGAAGGATATGGGGTTACTGCCTTGATTGAGACGGCTGTGTCACGGAAACGTCCTATTCCCAAGATAATAAGACAGCTGATGGAATCACGCTATCCTCCCGATGTCAACTACATACGAGAGAACGAGCAGCATTGTGTGATGAGCGCCGTTAGCCAAGGTGATGCTGAGACTGTCTCCATATTACTAGAGTATGGGGCAGACTTGAGTAAATATCTCCAGTCAGGTGAAACGGTGTCACCCTTTCACAATGCTGCTAGATATGGCCATGTCAAAATTTGCGATATTCTGCTACAGCACGAACCGGCGTTTTTGAACCTTCAGATAGAGAAAGGGTTCATGATTGAGTCTCCTCTATTTATGGCATGCCATCGAAAAAAGAAGGAAGTTGTTCGCTTTCTTTTGGATAAAGGTGCCAAAGCAGATCAGCTCAGCTTCTACTATAAGGAATCTCCCCTATTCACTGCTTGTGACGTGGGAGACTTGGAAATCGCCAAGATGGTCCTGGAAGCTGCGCCGCAGATGATCAATGTCCCCACTGCCTTCAACTGCACCCCTCTTGTATATGCTTGCGAGCATGGGAATGTTGAGATGGTTAAAATGCTTCTTGACGCCGGAGCAGGAATTTACCTCCCAAATGGTGCCAGGACAACCAACGCTTTTAGCCGACTGTTTGAAGCCAAAGGCAACAAGGCTTTCAAAATCCTGGATCTGCTATTACACCGTGGGTTGGATATCAATGCCGTGGATAACGAGACTGGGCTTTCTATTCTTGGAATGGCCATTGTAGACGCCGAAGCAAGGCACGTCAAATGGCTTCTTGAGCGTGGCGCCGATCCGATACGTGCGCAAAGGAGCGCTGGTCGAGAAGAGACATGGCGTACAGCCCTCCAACTTGTTTCTCATACGAGCAACAAGAAGGCCCCAGGCATCATAGATTTGCTGCTTGAGCCACAATGGGGGCTGTTGGACCATCTAACTCACAAGGACTATCATGGCGGCACTCTTTTCCCACTACTTGGTCAGTCTCGAAAAGCACTGCCAATCACTCCCCGTCTAGTATCAGTATGTGATGCCATCTTCAAAGAAACGGGGAGAGACATTTTCTCCGACCTCATAAATGAGCCCAGCATCGCAGGACTCACTCCGATCGATTGCGCCATGAATGATTTCGCCGCCAAGCCTTTTGCATTGTCCGAATTAGACAACAAGCTTCTTTCCAGTATAAACGAGCTTCTTGAGGGTCCTCGCACTACAGAAGACCATTTCCTCATACTGGACTACGTTCTTAGCCTTCTTTTCGCGCGCGAAGCTGATTTCGACGCAGATGTAAAGGTATTGACCGAATTTGTCCTCGCAAGACCGCAGGTGGGCTGGGATGACGATGGATGTTACATGGGATCGGTGGCTCTGCAGGTGTGCGCTCTTTGCGATGAGTCGATTTACGATCCGTATGTCTATTGCCCTCTTTGTGAATCCTCGTGGTGTTCGGGATGCAAAAGTAGGTGTGAAGTAAACAGCTTACACAGGCATAAACTACTTGATATTGAGGTTCGGAAGGATTTGGATATCAACGCACCTGACATTCAGGAAATTTTGGAAAAGCTACAGAAAAAGATATCGAGCGGCACATCAAACGAGCAGACGTTTCAAACAGTACAAAACGGCGAAGAACTTAGCGAGAGCCCCATCATCAAGAACCTCGCTTCCGTTGAAGAAAGCCAGCCGCCTACGCCTGACCAAATTTCTCTACAGCTCGCCGCCCTACATGCATTCAATTTCCTGGCCATCAGTCGACCCATCTGGACGCCATTCCTTCCGCTATCTCCCGCCGCCCAAGAGCTTGTCAATCCCTGGCACAGATTGTGGTCACAAGAATACGGCCATCGCCGAAGGCAAAGCTTCATGCAAAGGAGAACCATGAACTATGAAAACTCTGCGTGGAGGCGCTTCCAAGAATTACAGTACTTGAGACGCGGATTCACTAGAGCTTATGCAGATGAGGAGGGTGTGAAGAGGGATTTTGTGTTGCGAGATGTGTGGAGATTGTTTGCTAATGAGAAGCGAGTCGAGGAGAGAGTAGTGGTGGAGGAGGATCTGAGTCTTTGATGAAGCCATGGGCCGAGTATGAAGAGGGTTACGGAGATTGACGTGGTAAAGTTACAGTCTTTGAATTTTTACAAAGTTGGAAATTACGAATTTTATATAGAAAGGGATGAGACGATATACACGATACACGATATAATGAATAACGACAATAAGACGAGTTTCAAAAAACACTCCATCTTTATCATCTTAGTTGGGCAATTCCAGGTGTGCCATTTTAGCATATGATTCCATTTCCCTATTGGAAAGCATGTCAATCGTATTAATTAAGTAACCTTGATGAGCCAAAATTCATCCCACACATGCCCATCTTCTACCATTATATACTAGTCTTTAACCAGTGTAACATCCCGCATCTTCGTCTTTTCGCATTAAATCGTATATCTGTAATGAGGGCTGTCGTCTCCCAGCTCCTTGAGCTCTTCCTCCAGCAAGCCCTCATGCTCTCGCGGCAACTCTCCCGCATCACGACGCTTGTTCGCCTTCCAGAGCGAGTACCACAGAAAGCCATATATGCAGATACCCACGCCGACCATGCTGAGCGAGACGGCATGGCCGCGAATGAAGCGAGGTCCATCGAGCGCAGGGCTACGTAGCGACGAGAGTTAGCAAAGAATGTACTAACAGACACTTTTTTGAGGGGAGGGGGGGCTTACTATATGAATGCAGACATGATTCCAGAGGCGTTTCCAAAAGTAAGCTGCAGGCCTGTCGCAGTTGTTCTTTTGCCGTATCGAGGAGAATTATTTGGCAACTGTTTGTACACACATGTTAGATGCTGCTTGATCTATGGATATTTATCGTGTTTCAAGCTTACCCAGGCGATTGGAAGACCGACGACAACGTATAAACCACCCGCAACAAGAAAGCATCCGAAATAATGCACTCCAGGAGCCGAGTCGGACAGCAAAACACCATAACCGATGATGCTTATGCAGCCAAAGATGACGCAGAATATTCCTCGCATCTGGAATCTATCAGAGAGCATGGCAATGATCATATAGGTCACCGCTCCGAGGAAGTAGCACGGGATGGTGAGGAGCTGGACTTGAGCAACGGTCCATTCGCCGAGGGCATTAATGATTGTGGGCAGGAAAGTCGAGAATCCTATCATTGTTTAGTGAGCATGTCCTTGCCTCCGCACGCCCAAGTCATAGAAATTGAAAGACACTCACCGTAGAGCATGGTATCAACGCCAAACTGCGCAAAAGAAAACGCCCACACCTTCCAGTCTTTGAAAGCCCTCTTCATGTCCACCCGGCTAAACTGACGACTGGTGGCTGTGTTTCCATATTCCCGCCTGTGTCTCTCTTCCATGAGCAGTTTCTCCTCTTTCGTCAGGAAATATGCCGATTCCGCATCATTCGGCAGCGCAATAAAAGTGACGACACCGAGAATCACGCTCGGAATACCTTCAATGATGAGAATCCACCGCCACCCGCTCATGCCACACACGCCATCCATGTGTCCTATGCCATAAGCCAACAGTCCACCCAAAGCGCCGGCGATGGCAGAGCTGACGAAGAGGTAGCCAATCCTCAGGGCCAGTTCGTGCTTGGTGTAGAAGAAGGTGAGATAGACGCTGAGGCCGGGGAATAGGCCCGCCTCGACAACGCCTAGGAGTAAACGGCAGGCGATGAGTGCTCCGTAGGACTGCACCAGTCCTGACAGGGTGGCGATGATGCCCCATGCAACGACAATGAATGAAACCCACCGGCGGGGGGTGAAGAGTTTGAGGACGAGGTTTGATGGCACTTCGAAGAGGAGGTATGTGACGAAGAAGATGGAAACGGTGACTTGAAACTGCTCGGATGAGAGGTGAAGATCTTCTTCGAGTCCGTACAATCGAGCATTGCCAATATTGACCCTGTAGGTTGTTAGTTTCGTCTTTTCGTTTTCAAGTTTCCACGATTGCAAGTGGCATGTTGAATAAAGAAGTTGCAGAGCTGGGAGGAAAGTATCACCTATCAAGGAAACTAAACAGATACAAACCCATGACGAGAGGAATGATGTAAAGATCCAGCTTCCGCAGCAACTTCTTCTCATCAACTCCCTGAAGCAAAGTCTCAGTATCTGATTCCACCGCAGCAGCCTCATCTCGGGCCCTCGTCGTCTTGTTATCGTCCTCGGCCACTGTGGCCGGTGCCATTGCCGCTGTTGGCGCCATTTGTTTCCAGCAATCTCGTATTCAAATAAAACAAAAAAGATCAAATTTCTCAAGTCTCAACTTGAAAGAAACTCTCCCCCGTCCGGTTACGAAGAGCTGCTGTTGCTGTCCAGAAGAGAGAAAATGGAGAGGTGGACAGGACGATATTTTCTCGGCTCGGTTTCGGGTACTCTTGTGCAGCCAAGTCTGAGAAGAGGCTGGATTTGTCTCACAACGTATGAGTCGGCAGGAAAAAGAAAGTAGCTACCCTGGTCTCACTCAATCCGACATGGTGACCATACATAGATAGATAGTCGCAATGTCTCAGAGCGAAAAAAGCGTCGGAATTACTGGTTCCGCAAGGTTATACTCTAATGCGTATGAGACATGAAAGCAATATCAACAAAAGAAGCTGAAAAGTCACGATAAGAAAAAGAAGAGTCACAATTATCTGAGCAATGCCTTCTCCATATTAGTCTAAAGGGAAAAAAAATAAATAAAAAAACTGAATAGTGGCGTGGTTGGCTCCCACGAAATTCCATTAGCGTGTTCCGCAATTCGGAACCTGCTGAGGGAAATACCCAAAAGGAACTTTCCGAGAAAATTCCCTACCCATTAGAGGTAGTAGTCATTTTGTGTTTTTGATTGCTGTATGCAGGCTTATCAATCCAATCAGTCGATATGGGAGCAGGGGATCTTGCCATTGTATGCAGCATTCATGGCTACTCATACTCCGTCAGCTCGGGTAAAAGCATCTTCAACGGATCGATCTTGTTTAACGAGCACGTGTGCGACCAGCCATAGAGATTATGGCGTTTGTATCTTCTCTTATCGAGTCAGGCACACCGCCTTTGAGATGTGAGAGATGGACTATAGAGATATCATTACTATATACAGTCTTGAGATATAAATGACACACATTCGCAACTCTGGCTGACATCTTTTTACTCCCATCTTTTTACTCACAGCTCAGACGTATTAATTATCAAGACTATTAGTAAAAGAAGCCACACAAAGTTTGTTTATTCCGTTATTTTGCTCATCTCGTTCTTCTCCATCGCCACATACTCACATCAGCCACTAGTCTGCGTCCTTAATCTCATTAAGCTTCTTTACCTTAAAAAAAGATTTTGCCTCCAAGGTCCCGCTCCAGGCTAAGGCACAACCGGCTTTTCTCCGCTGTAGCCCCTGGCAGAAAGCTGTAAGGGGCGTTTATACACTGCAGACGCATGGCTGTGCGTTGTTAGCAAGAAACATCCATTACATATTTGAATGGCAACGTCTGTTTACTACAGCTCAGAAAGACATCAGTATAGCTCGATAAAGAGGTCTCAGTATCATCTCGCAAAAGTGGTCTAAGCAAAATTGGAAAAAAGAAAAAAGAAATTGGTATGAATTGAAGCGGTCCATTATTAAAGATACATAAAAGCGGTTACGCAGAACAGAGCCAAAAACGCATCCGTCTGCTCTCCAAACCTCCTGAATTTCATTCGTCACATGTCGAGTAGCATCTTCCAAATCTTCCAACGTCTGTCGTCTTCTCATTTGCATAGCCCCTCTTCTATCGTTAAGCTTTCATACGTTCACATCAGTCCCAGAATCTCTTTCCCACGTCATGAGAATCACCAAGCCACCGTCGTACATTAAGCCTAATTCGCGATGAACGCAACGGGTATGGACAGTATATACAAAAGACACATGCCTTGTATGCTCCCGCCGCGGCCGTAGCTTAGCTCTCCTAGAAGCTGTAGTCGCCCAGTCGTTGAATCGACCTGGCCTTCTAGCCTCAAACTCCTCGGTGATGCCCCCTCTTTTTTTTTTTTTTTGTATCTCCTCTAGTGGTAGGTCTGCGTGGGCATTTCGTACACAGGCCCGCTCTGGTGGCCCATAACAGCGTTGCCATCGATTTCAGCAGCATTGGAGTCATGCCACTTGTTGGCGTTGAGGTTGTCATTGCCTAGCTCTGCTGCATCAGCATGAGCAGGAGCGAGTTGAGCAGGAGCAAGTTGGGCCGAGGGGAATGAAACAGGGCTAACGGTGTTTGCCGCTGTGGTGGTCGGGCTGGGAGTGTTGTAGGCTGAACCGTACGGCTCTGGTTTGGCATATCCAGCACGTCCATCGCCCAGAGCGGTACCACGGTAGCCCTCGGGGGCCTTGACTGGGGTACGTCCGGGGGCAAGGAAAGCAGCAGCAGAAGCGGTGTGTGAAGACATGGGTTGCTGGTGATTACCGCCTCCACCACCGCCGCCGCCTATCGGAACTTCAGAAGCACCGACTAGATCGTCGTGATCAGGGCTAGGGCTGCGGTTGCGACGACGCCTGAGAAGCAGCAAGATGGCGGCTCCAATGAGAAGAAGGCCACCGACTCCAACGCCGACACCGATACCAGCCTTGGCGCCGGTGGACAGGCCAGAGCTGTCGGCGGCATGCGACCCATTGTTGTCTGGGGTGCCGGTATTTGAGGTGACCGGGCCAGTTGTCGACTCCACGACGCCGGTGGTAACAACAGTGGAGGTGACGGTCAAAGTGCTGGTAGTGGTGATTGTGGTCTTGGCATTAATCTGATCAGTCTCAGTGATGGTGTTGGTGATGGTAGTCTTGGAGGTTGAGGTATCCTTGAGAGTCTTGGTAACGGTATCGGTAACGGTGGTATCGCTGCCTCCATTAACAGTCACCGTCACGAAATCGGTGACGATGTCACGCGCCTCCAGGCCTCGCATAGCCAGATAGTGCTCGACATCCTCAGCGCTGGGGGCATCAGTAGGCTCGGCGTCAGCGCCGGTCCTGGGCACAATCCATCGATCTCGCTTCTGGGCAGGGCCGGTGGCCGTGGGCGTCACAAAGACGGTGGTGGTGTCGAAGACCGTCTTGGTGGCTGTTTGCGCGTCGCTGCTCGTAACAGTGGTGGTCGTAAACGCCGTGGACGTGACGACAACGGTGGTTGTTTGCGTAGTGGTCAGCGTCTTTGTGGTTGTTGACGTCTTGCCGCCCGCAGTGTTGGTGACGGTGTCGGTCTCGGTGACGGTCGTGGTGCTGCCCGCGGCGCTCGGCGAGGACGAAGAGCTGGAAGAGGTCGGAGGGGGAGCAGACGAGGTTGGCGGCGACGACGAGGTGGGCGGCGGCGTCGTCGACTCTGATGATGATGGATCATCGGCTGGGGCGGATGAGCTGCTGCTGTCGGCTCGGATCACGACTTTTGCCTGGGCAGCCCCAAGCAGCGCGCCGAGAGCGAGCGCCAGCGGCAAGCGCATTGTGGATGGTAAAAAGCAATACTCGGTCAAACTATGCGGAGCGGTAACGAGAGGCCATATAGATGGAAGCGGGCACACAATACAGAATCCCAAGCCTGGGGGGGATGGGAAAAGAAAAAGAAAAAAACTGTAGACGGCGATGTGCCAGGCGAGTGAAACAAGCGAGTGGAAGGGGTCGGTAGAGAAGGAAGTAGCAGGAGTCGACGATCAAGCCGGGCAAGAGGGCAAGAAAAGCCAGCAGCGAAAAAAAAAGCGTCCCGTTTGTTTGGAGCCCGTTTTTTGGCGCAACAATCGGTGGCGCACGCGGACTCCGGAGAAGCCACGCAGCGCCCCAGCTAGGGCAGCACCTGGGCAGGTACTGGGCCAAGTACCGATACCGCATGCGTCTGCGCAGGCAGGCCGGGGACCCGGGTACGCTCTACTGCCGGGTACTTGCAGCACCTCCACAGGCGCCCCATTCCAGTGACCTCAGGCAGCGCCTGAAAGCGAGCTCCAGGTTCAGTGTTCCCGCTGCGGGTGCGCGCAGTCCGCTAAAACGACGTCCAGGGCCGCTAATGCACCAGAGACCACAGCATGCGGCGGCGCTGTAAAAGGAACCAGACAACGTTGCGTGCGCGCAGTGGGCAGTGGGCAGATGCAAGCACAAGCACAGGCGCGCGCAGGTACCGCTACATGACAGGCTCCCTCCCTCGCATTTCGTGGCTGAAGCAGAACAAGAACAGTTGAACCAAGCAGCAGCGGCGCCTTCAAAGATCCCGCGGGCTACTATTGGGTCTCTAGCAGAGCTAGCTGCGGTACCAGTACCTCAGGAGAGTCAACAGAACAAAGGGCCCTTGGACTCGTTGAGTTTAGCCGCGAAAAAGTGGCAAAGCAGGGGGGGTCCCTCATTTGAATACGAACCGCTGCCCAGAACGCAGACCACAAGCCAAAAAGAGAATGACCAAGTGACCTGCAAGTCAAAAAGAACTGAAGAGAGGGAAAAAAAAGAAGAAGAAAAAGAGGGACCCCCCTGAAACTGGCCGAGCAGCCAAAGAACTCCATCGGCCTGTCACCTGCCAGTTCGATACGAATGTACCGGTACTCCGAGGCGGCGCCGGTGCTGTCGGAGCCCTTCGCTGGCGATGCTACCTGGCCGGTCGTTTCAAGTCTTTTGGGTCTCTCGTCAAAGCGCACATTTTGATTCCTTCCAGCACACTCCGGCACTTTTCTCTGCACTGGCTGAATCATCCATCCACCGCACAACTTGGCGTATCTACCGTCATCGTCATCGTTTCAAGTTGCCGGGCCAGGGCCAGGCAGCCAGGGTCAAGTACACGCTACCGCCTCCAACCTAGCAATTGCCTGGCTCGGCAAGTAGTCGACACCCAGAATCGCCGGCACTTTGCTCAACATCGTAAGACTGACTGGCTGATCGCAGGCGAGGGCAGAGGCCTGGCCATGCGTCATGACCTGCAAAAAGACCGCACTAGCATCCAATGATGGCGGCACTAGCAGCGACATCTTTTTGCTCGGTGGCCTCGCTGGAGTTGTGCTGTAAAATCGCCGTATATATTTCCGTATCCTAGGGCCGATCATCGTCGTGCTACGCCATATCGCAGGCACAGAGTGCTACAACCATGTAAATACGATGCTGCTCCCAAGCTGCAATACGAGCAGGTTTCATCGCTTCCATTCCTCCTTCCAATAGCGAGGCTTATCCTATGGCCCATACAATGCCTCCGCCACAGCCTTGTAACAATGAACCATGAACCAAGGGTTCAAGCCACTTTTACACTTTTACTACCTAGTACTTACTATATTCTCTCTCTCACCACCAAAAGCGGCTGCTTACACACTTGCTTCTGTTCTGTTCTAGCCATGAACCCAAAATAGGTAACTGATGCGAATGAGAAAAAGATGCGACGGTTTTCTATTCTTGTTCTTCTCTTCATGCCCTTACCCGTTGCTGCCAACTAAGAGTGCTAGTGCCATCCAAGGACGTCAACCAACATCATCCGCTGGAATGTCCAACCCGGCCGCTGCCCTGCTTCGGGCCACCCTCGTGATGATCCTCTTCGGGCATGACATGAAATGACGAACAGCACGTGACGCTTACGGCGTTGCTTTGGGTCTGTGCTTCTGCTTCTGCTTCGGTCAGATAGACAACGGACTGCTCATCTTCCGTATGGCTGTGCCCGAGTCCTGTCATTTTGGTGTAATCCCAGTTTGGCCGAGGATAGTAATACATGATACATAATCGTCAATGCCCATCAATAACAATGAAACGTTATCACGACATGGCCACCTGCCTCATTGTGCTGCTATCGCTGCTGGCTGATTCCCAAGCATGGGCCACTGCGTAAGCATCCTGATTTAATCTCCGCAGATCTTATACTGAAAACCCTACTGGCCATGGAATAAACAACCTGTCAAGAAAAGTTAGATATAGCCTTTGCTGACATGTGTGGATATACCCATCACGCTTCAAGTATTCAAAGTGAAAAAAAGTTTATTCACTTAATTTTATTCCAGATTTGCATGAAGCAGAGAATGTGCACACTCGTAGATTGTATATATAATATCGTCTCTCATCTAGCTTGGAATATTTGACAAAACACAACACCTCCTCTCTCACTCACTCTTATATCGCTACCCTCCTCCTCCTCCTCCTCTTTGTCAGCTCTCCCCCTCTAGCCGCTTGCCAACAGTTTACGTTGTATGCTTCGCGTCCAGCGCAAGAGCTTTTTGGATGAAAAATTATTACGTTTATAGATAAAAGGGGAGAATTCGTTTCTCTATCCACCAACTGAGAGCAGAGAGGCTTTTTGGTATCGTGAGAGGGGGGACAGAGTGAACCGACAAAGTGAAAGAAAACAAAGAATGATGGAAAATGAAAAAAAGACACGGCAGCAGAAAAAAAAAAGCCCAATTGAGGCATTGACTTAGAAGTTTTCCTTGCCCCAGACGAATGAGAACCTGGATAGAAACCGAATTAGTAAAACTGTACCCTCACCACCGCGCGACTAATGTATGAAACTCAATTAGAAAAACTTACTCAGGGTCCGTATACTTGTTGCAGTAAACGTGCAACGAACTTCCCAATCCCTTGGGTCCACAGAAAAACACACCCGCCTCAGCAGGCGTGTGCAGCTTCCGGATGCCTCGGAAAATCATGTCCCAGTTGGGACGGCCAAAGTTGGTGGGACTCCTCAGGCCCGTAATGGCATCCTTGTCGGCGTTTGCGTCGTTGATCATGATGTTTGTGGCATCGTCCGCCTTGATCTTGGCCGTCAGGTACGTGTGGATCTCGATGCGGTTGTCCACGTCCTGCGCCTCGACGGCCAGCAGCAGCGAGCGGAACCACTCAAAGGATCCAAAGTCTCGGCAGATCCAGAAGAAGTAGACCTTGCGCAGGCGCGTCTTCTGCTGCGGGTAGTTCATGCGGTACCAGATGGACTTGAGGATCGAGGCAAAAGGGGTGACGCCAATACCGGCGCCGACGAGGACCGCCACTTCGTACTTGAAGACGTCCTCGGAGGCTGATCCGAAGGGGCCGTCGATGTAGACTCGGGGCAGGACGCGCTTCAGGGCTGGGTCGGTGTTTTCGTCGCCAGAAACGCCAACGACCTTGCTCGAGCTGCCCTTCTTGTCCCACTCGCAGCCCAGAATGGCCGAGACCTCCTTGGTAAAGTCACCCACGCAGCGCATGTGGATGGAGATGTAGTCCTCCTCGGGGGCGCTCGTCAGGGTAAACGGGTGGTACTGCCAGAGAGACACGGCCGGGCAGCAGAAGAAGATGTACTGGCCGGCTCGCGTCTTGGTGTTCTCCTTCTTGATCTGGATCTCGCAGACGTTGCTGGGGTGCTGGATGACCTTTGAAATGTACGTCTTGTGGTGTCCGCGAATCTCTCGCGCAATTCTCTCCGCCAGGTAGATGAATCCTCCGTACATCCAGTATTGCCAAAACACACCAATGGCCGAGGGCCCAATGCTAGTGCAGAATGGCGCCACGTCAGGCTGAATCATGCAGAAGGCTCCGTGGATGGCCCAGAAGATGAAGAAGATGATGAACATGTGGTGGGTGTACCAGAATCGCTCGTAGTTGGCTCGTCGAGGCTTCTCGATCGAGGTGAAGACCATGCCCATGAGCGCAATCAACATGATGTATCCCGTCCAGCCGGGGCCAGAGGCGAAGTTGGCAAGCAGCCAGCCATAGACTCCAAGGTTGTTCTTGATGGCCACCTGCGCAAAGTTGTTCCAGTGAGCAATGGTGTGGGCCCAGGAGAAGAAGACAATCGACCAGGCCGTCGTGATGTGGAAGGTGATGTTCTTGTCGAATTGGATAACGCCGTTGAGGGGAGTCTGTCGGAGCAGCGAGATGAGGGTTCTGCAGACGGGGAAGAGGATGATGCCGACGTCGACGTGGAGGACCAGCGCAGAGGCTCGCGCAATGACGAATGTGAAGCCAAAGATGCTTCGAGCCGTCGCCAAGCTGTCTTTGAGGCCGTAGTGAACGCAAGCAAAGGCGAAAATCAGGGCGTGGGCGAGAATAAAGACGAAGACGAACCTGCGCGTGTTGTTAGTAAACTGGGAGGTTTTGCTTGTCTTGTTCCCCGATGCTCTTTTCTTTCTCACGATTCCGTATCAAATCCAATAAGAGGAAATACAATGCACGTACACTCTTCGGTAACCCTCGTTAATCATCCATCGATCGAATTTCTCCCGGTTCGTCAGCTCCTGCTGCTTCTCCTGTGTCATCTCTCCAGAGAGCAGCATCCGCGTCAGGGGCGTCCATCTGGACCGCTCCGTCTGGCGCTCATAGCTCTCATACTCTTCGTATCCCATTGTCGCTAGTGAAAAAAATCGAAATGATATAAAAAAAAAAAGTCTCCTTCTGTAGTATCCCAGTAGATTGTCGACGCCCTTTGTTTCTATTTTCGAAGCTAGAAGCGCCCAGCTGGCGCAACGCAAATTATCGTTGAGTCGGTATCGGTAGAGTTCAGATCCCGCTGAACGAGCAGCAGCTGGTCGGTAAGAGACAATGGAATAAAATCAATGAGCGAAAAGGCCGTGGTGAAGAAAAGGAAAGAAAGAAATGTCCCGAGATCTATAGACGCCCCCAAATATCAGCACCCAGAAAAAAACAAACAGAAAGCAACAACTGGATCGTGGGAAAGGTCTTTGTGGTTGAGTCGCGACAACCCCCTTATAAGTGCTGCAGAGGAGAACGTACCAAAAGTTTGAACAATACAAACTCGACCTGCCTTGCGATCAACGCAACCCACGGGGAATCCAACAAACGCAAAAGGAATAATTAAAAAATAAAGACGACGACGACGGCGGAGCAACAGAAAGAAAAGAAGGAAACCAAAAACAAGAGCTAGAGAAAAGAAACCATCGGCTTGTGGGAGACGCCAACTGTTTCCTCGTCTCCAGGGGCGCCTGTTTCCTGCTCCAGCCAGAACCGGCACCAAGCGATTTCGCTAACACCGCTGGCCTGGTCCCCTGTTACAGACATCTGGGCTCGACTCACGCAACGACTGCCGGCGCATGGGTCCTCGTGGCCAATTAGCGTGCGGTGCGCCGCGTCTCGAAACAGACCATTGGCTGCCAAGGGCGCCTTTTTCGCCGTTTCGCTAGCCTGGCTACGCAAGTGCGTGTTATCGCTGGTTTCAATGGCAATGGGGCTTTACAGTAGCATCAGCAGCAACGCAGTTTGTTGTTGTCCCCTGCGAGATCGCCCAAGGCTACGGAGCTTTTTACTGTACATGTTTACGACGTTGAACCTAGCTGTTCACGGAGCTCTCTCGATCTCTTCAAGGGCCACTTTCTGGCTCCATGCTTCTCAACTGTATTCGATGGATTCGACGGCTATGGAGCTGGGCTTCTCCCATATTAACACGGAGTTGCTAGACCAGGACCAACTTCTCCACTGTACGCCCCAGGTAAAAAGGTGAGAAAGCCGCCGCCTGTAACTAGGTCTAGAAATGCAAAAATCCTTCAGCCAGCAGTACTGATTATCAACACACAAAAATTCACAGCAATTGTCTGCAGCCCGGCAAGTCGGAGCGCTAATAATAAATCACCGGGTTTCACAACAAGTGGAAAATCATTCGATTTCTTCATCCTGCCGTTTTACATTTCCCGCCTTTGCTCTCCCCCCCTCCCCGGCTCTTATTTCCCACCCCGCATGCATTGATGAATTTCCATGCCTATTCAAATCCCACAGGCTTTCTCGCCAGGGGGGGTTAAGAGGCCCCCGCTGCGGAAAGGAGGCTGAGCGCGAGGCTTCATGAAACACACGATGCGACAAGAGCTGTGACGGCTCGTGCTCTTGGCGCTTGCCGCTTGACCCGCGCAAGTGTTTGACCAGCTCTTCTTGTCGTCTTTATACTTGAATGTCGTCGTCATCTACATTTTGTTATAATTCTTCCTTCTTTTTCTTTCTTTTGCCAGGTATCATCACTAGCAGCACCAAACAACGCTAATCATGGGTATCCCCGTGCATTCCGTGGCTTATACGCCCGTACGAGATCGGATCTTTGCCGCTGTGGCTATTCCGGCGACTACTACGACTAGCACCCGTTTCTCCTTGTAGATTGCATATTAGTGCTGGAATCATACAGGTGCAATATTCCTTTCCGTCTTTTGATTTTTACAACTCCATTCTCAACAGGTAGTCATTTGCTCTGTTGGTCCAAGAATGAAGGCTCAACACCACCAGTATATCCACGTTTCTGTCCTCGTTGAACGTTAGATAATTAGTTCTGTTGCTATTCAGGACAACCCTCAACCGACCTCCAAATCAGTTGCACCTCTCAGAGCCGTAGAATGTCAGCGTATTGATGATTCTGGAGAAACCTTTGGAGTCTTGTACATCAGTAAAATGGGTGCGGCTGATGAGCATCCATCACTGTTGAACCATTCGATATGAGTGGCAAACCCTTATTCTACTGCGCCACTAGGCGCATACACGCATGAAATCATGTCATTCATTTCACTGAATCAACTACGCATCAGTCACAAGCAAGATCGTGCATCACGAGCCAAGTGAAAACATTCTTAAGAGACGTAATTAATCAGATGCCTGTTTCTGGATGCAAATAACGCGGTATTGATGCAAACCCAAAGTTAACCAGCCGCATAAGCCCTTAGAATAGCGGATATATCTGTCTAGTCTGCCACCTGTCCGCCGGCCATGCGGCTCCCCTGACATCATTCACCCAGTGTGCTTGAAGGAATGATAGAATAGTAAAGAGAAAAGCTTGGTCTGTCCGCTTCCCACTACCATCCCACTCGACCGGTTACAACGCAAAAGGGTCGCCAAACATGCCGCACCGTCATTTCGTGATAGAGGACGTCAAACACCCAGCGCCATCAAACCCCCCAAAAGAAACCGTTTGATCTTGCCTAGACGGCGTACTTGCGGGTCCACTCCCGAGCGGTGGCCTCGTATCGGGGCCGGTCGGTCTTGTACACGTGCGCAATCTCGGGCACGAGCGGATCATCGGGGTTCGGGTCTGTGAGCATAGAGCAGATAGATAGCAGAACTATCGAGGCGTGATATGTCAGCCATTTGGATTTCCAAAGCAATTCTCTTCCTGGGATGTAAAATAGGGGCCTACCTTTAGAAATGGTCAGAGCAGGGCTCCACTGGTCTCTCAGAATGTCGAGACAGATGCTGCCGTTGCTGTTGATGTTGGGGTGGTAGATTCTGGTAGAGAAGTTGACTTTCGGAGGTTTGAAGGGGTAGTCAGTGGGGAACTGAATCTTCAGGAAGAAGACGCCTCCTGAGTATGGTGAATCACCCTGTGGCGATCGTTAGTTTTTTATCCTCCAAGAAGCCGTAGTTGAGCGTATATAAAGCGTTTTCAACGTATTGCAGGCCATAAGACCAAAGATGCTTCCTGATGCCCAAAAATGCTGCACTTGAGGGTATCAACTTACGGGTCCCATAATAGTAGCTTGCCAGTGGAACTGTGAAGCCTGTTAGTCTATATTCATTCGCAACTCTTCCATCCCGCTGGCCGAGCAACAGCCAGCCGTTTTCGATGGGTTTAGAGCACATAGAGATGGGTCCAACTTACCAGATCTTCGCCGACAGGGCCGGCAGAGCAGGAGGATGGCGGGTCGCTAGTCGGTCAAAAATGTCAGTACACACAGCTTCTTGGGTCGAAATATCCTGCCGCTTCACGCCAGACTCGCCAAAAGTCGAGCATTCAGTCCATGTCGTGGTTTGTGAGACCCCCGCTCAGCTGAGCCCCACCTCACACGACGGCTTGGGCCTCAAAAACGACGACACTCCCTGATGAAAGCATCCGGCGAGAGCACAAAGGGACACGGGCATAGGGGCGGAATAGAGGGAGATTTACGTGCCGAGGTCCTTAAGCTCCTTGTTGATGCGCTTCAAGGCCATTGTGATGAGAGTATGTGGTATCTAAGGGGGTGGTGGGAGATCGATCTCGGATCGAGGCTGGTGGCAGACTGGCGTCAGTATTTGCGTCGATGCAGCCCGGACGGGTCGGGTGGCCGTCTGGCGGAGAAGCGGCACTCACGAGAGGAGAAAGAATCAAAAGATCCCAGGCGGACGATGGAGACGATGCAAGGCGACCGTCTGCGCGTCCAAGAAATGCGATGAAGATTTTATGTGATGGTGGTTGCGCAGTCCCTGATGGCGGTGCTGTGCAGATCCAGGAGAGTTTGTATGTCGAAGTGGAGGGGTTGGAAGGGAAGAGAAGAGAAAGGCACAGTAAATCGCTGTAGGCGGTAGTAGTCTTAGCGGTAGTCAGAAAAAAAAGAGCGGGCTGAATAGCAGCGGTGGCTGAACTACGGTACATGTATTTTGTAGGTAACGCCAACCGCCTAAAAAGTCCAGTCGGTTTATTAATTTTTTTTTTTTTTTTCCTTTTTCTTCCAAGGTCCAGCTGGAGTTCAAGGCTATTGGGCCACAAAGGTGGCTGGACACCGCCACTGCTGCACCGCCCTTGGGCCGTGACCCGGACACTAACAGGCGTGCAGCGGATCTGCGCGCAAATCGTGATAGCGGCGAATGGACCGACACATTACGGCCCAAAGGTGACATGTTGCCATGTCATTCTCTCGTCTTCGGTGATCGCCTGGGCCGACAAATGGCGGTGCTGGGCGCATGGGCGAGTGAAAGCAGCCGTAGCAGCACTCATTGCTGATGTATTCTCGTTACCTGCATGGTTCTCGGGATTCACGCACCGTGATGTCCCATATGTAAGGATGACCAATGATGGCCTAATTTCGGCGCCAGGACTCATGATTGGAGGTTAAGCCGCTGATGCATGATGGGCATGTTAAGCCCGTTTCTCTTGATTAGGTACTCGACGATGCCGCCAGTGCAAGTCGTGATGATTACCTTGATCCTAATTGGGCAGTATGTCGACACAGTGAGAGGTAGCAGATCCAGGTGTAATTATCCAACTGCTACACTTTCAACTCGCCAATACGTGGATAGAAGCAGACCTGTAGATGCAGTAGCATTCTGTATGGAGCGCCATTTCGTAGCGCAGTCCCGTCACCCAAAAGCGTCTGGAAGCCGTCGATTCAGTGGCATGCCACGGATCTCTCATGGCACCCCACGGTGGGGTTTCTGGCGACATCGGAGAATCTCGCTCAAGTTTGGCGCGTGGTGACTCAAGAGGCTTGCTATAGAGCAGTATAATTCTGCGACTCGGCTAGATTTTTTTTTTCTTGCCTTGTCAATAAAACCAAACAACTTTTGCTTTTCTTAGATTCTTGCTTCAGCCTTGAATTCATAGACGCAATTCCATCTTCATTAACGTCTTTTTCTGTAAGAAAACTATACATCAATTGAATCTTTTCTATACCAATTGCCCCTCCAATTTCTGCACTTTATCACGTATCGTCATTAGTGCAGACATTCCCCTCCACCCCTCCATACCTTGCATCTTGTCAACTCAACACCACACAACCCGTCACTTACGCAAAGCCTTTCAGTCTAGACCAATTCCTTTCAAAAACAAAATGTCAGGATATCCCGCCCTTCTCCTGCGAGCGGAGCAGAAGCCCCTCGAGCACCGATCCTTCTCTCCCGCCGTCATCAAGTCTCTGATCGAAGCCGGCTACCCCGTCACCGTCGAGCGCTCCTCCACCGATCCCAACTTCAAGCGGATATTCGAGGACTCAGAATACGAGGCTGCCGGGGCCAAGCTTGTCGAATCCGGCGTCTGGCCAAATGCCCCCCAGGGAACCATTGTCCTTGGTCTCAAGGAGCTCCCCGAAGAAAACTTCCCTCTCAAGAACGACTTCATCCACTTCGCCCATTGCTACAAGGGCCAGAAGGGCCATCAAGAGGTTCTCAGCCGATTCCCCCGAGGCGGCTCTGTACTTTACGATTTGGAATTTCTGGTCGACTCTGTAGGAAGACGTGTTTCGGGTATGGAAATATAATCTCTTTTATCTAATATTTACTTACTCATTCTCTTTACAGCATTTGGCTATCATGCTGGTTTCACTGGCGCTGCTCTTGGCGTCAAGACCTGGGCCTGGCAGCTCGCTCACCCCGGCGAGAAGCTCCCCTCAGTCGCCACATTCACCGACGGCCGAGGCTACTACATGAACGAGGACGAACTTGTTGAGCAGATTCGCAAGGATCTTGCAGAGGGCGAGAAGAAGCTGGGACGTAAGCCTACTGCTTTCGTCTTGGGCGCCCTTGGTCGATGCGGTACCGGTGCCTGCGACCTGTTCCTCAAGGCTGGTCTTCCCGAGGAGAACCTCACCCGCTGGGATCTCGCCGAGACCAAGGACCGTAACGGTCCTTACAAGGAGTAAGTTTTCCGTTGCTCTTTTCATCGAGCCAGAGCTCATTACTAACCATTCTTCTTTCTATAGAATCGCCGAGCACGACATCTTCCTCAACGCCATCTACCTCTCCAAGCCCATCCCCCCCTTCGTCAACAACGACCTCCTGTCACAAGCTGGCCGCAACCTCAGCGTTGTCATCGACGTCTCGTGCGATACCACCAACCCTCACAACCCCATCCCCATCTACGACATCAACACCACCTTTGACGATCCCACCGTCCCTGTCAAGGTTGAGAACGACCAAAACTCAACGCCCCTCTCCGTCATCAGCATCGACCACCTTCCCTCCATGCTTCCTCGCGAGGCCAGCGAGTCATTCAGCGAGGGCCTCAAGGAGTCATTGCTTCAGCTCAAGGACCGAAGCACAGCCAGAGTTTGGGCTGATGCCGAGAAGCTGTTTAACGAAAAGGTGGCACTGCTCCCAGAGGCGCTGCGCACCAAGGAGGTTTAAAGGACAAAGGGAGAAAACGAAAAACAAATGTTAATGAAGATGATCAATGAGCATGGGATTAAAAAATGTTAGGGTAATAGAAACGGGAGCATAAAAATGGGACGCTTTGATATACGCTGAAGAGAAGTATATAAAGTGCATAGAGAAGTTGACTCCTACGGGCTTCATCAAAATGAATACAAGTGGCCGATTGGCTTGATGTTATTACAAATCAATTCCTTAAATGCTGAATCTGGTGCAACCAAGTGGTTCTGTCAATGTGTGTTTATACGCTTAGTTTCATTCTCTACGGCGAGTATAGTCTACACAAAAGCTTGAATTCCTGTGATTGCTCTGCCCAATATCAAACCTGAAATAATCGTTAGCACGAGCTCGTTTGCTTCAATAACAAAAAGAGGAGAAGAGAAAGAAAAAAAAACGTGCAAAAGGGTACTCACTGTGAATATCGCTCTGTCCCTCATACGTCTGTGTCACAAACAAGTTCGCAACATGTCTTCCAATGTGATACTCATCGCTCACGGCGTTTCCTCCAAAAACCTCCTGCAGCACACGCACGTTTCGCAGCGCAGCGTCGCAGTTCTGTCTCTTCACCATGCTAATCATCTCCGGCGTCACCTTGCCCTCGTCCTTGAGGCGGCCGACCTGCACCGCAGCCAGGGTGCCATAGGCGGCGTCGGTGGCGGCGTCGGCGAGCTTCTTCTGGATGAGCTGGTACTTTGCCAGCGGGTTGCCCTTGAACTGCTTGCGCTCCAGGGAGTAGGTGCGGGCGCGGGCAATGGCATCCTCGAGAGCGCCGACTACGCCGAGGGAGATGCCGTATCTTGCGCTGTTGAGGCAGCTGAACGGTCCCTTGAGGCCTTCGACTTCGGGGAACATGTTTGCTTCCGGGACGGGGACGTCGTCCATCTGGATCATGCCCGTGATGGAGGCCCGAAGGCCATTCTTGTCCTTGATGGCGGGCGTCTCCAGCGTGCCGGGAGGGCAATCCTTGCGCTCAACCAGGAAGCCCCTGATCTTGCCCGTCTCCTGCAGCTTGGCCCACACCAGCAGCACGTCGGCAATGGGGCTGTTTGTGATCCAGGTCTTTGCGCCGCTCAGAGACAAGTAGCCCTTCTTCGTCGGGTGCGGCTTCGCGATGCTCTCCATGCTGCCCGGGTCGCTGCCGTGGTTGGGCTCCGTCAGGCCAAACGCGCCAATGAGCCTGCCCCTGGCCATCTCCGGGAGGAATCTCTCCTTTTGCTCTGCGCTGCCGAACTCGTAGATGCCGCCCATGACGAGGGACGACTGGACGGACATGCCTGATCGGTAGCCGCTGTCGACGCGCTCGACTGCCCGTGTGATGAGGCCGCCGGCTACTGAGGATACGCCAGCACATCCGTAGCCCTTGATACCGGAGCCCAGAAGGCCTAGCTCGCCCATCTCTTCGAGGATCTTGGGGTCGTAGTGTTCGTCTCGGTAGGCCTCTAGAGCAAGGAAGCCAAAGGAGTCAGCAGGTACATGAGAAGGGATGTTCGAATTAAGTTCATACGCAGGACTCTGGGCTGTAGCCGCTCTTGGCAGTATCTCTCTGCCGTCTCTGCAATGGCCAGCTCCTCCTCGGTAAAGAGATTCTTCGCATTCAGAGGATCCTGCCAGTCGAACGCGGGGCCGGCACCGGTAGCATAGCTTCTCGCAGCAATTGGCCTCGCCGACGCCGCATTGCGGGCAAATGCCCTGAAGGATTGTCGCAGCATATTCAGTGAGTTTCAAAAAAAGAATTGACAGATTGGTATCAAAGGCGTGAGGAAGGGTGTTGCGACAGCGTTTATCGTATGGTCTTATGGCCTCCAGCTCGGCTCACTATCGGCAGCGGAGCTTCCCCAGACTTGCCTCGGAGCCACTAGGGCGAGCACTAATCCGATGAAACCCGCGCCGGAAGACACAAAACTCCACACTGGCATCTCCACCGCCAGCAGCCGCTGCACATGATGCGGCGCCTGGCTTTAATCCTCCGTAGGATGCCTTAGTAGGGGCTAGCATGGCGGTATAAGCAGGCTAAAAATGGAATATAACGGGAGAAGTCGTACCTAATAGCCCCAATCCGATCTCGGGATTCAGGGGATGCGCCTTGTCCATGACAGAATACGGGGTAAATGTATGTAAAATATAGGTAACTCATCACCGGTATCATGAGCAATTGACAGTTGGATGGTCTTTGAAGGAGACTGGCAGGCTTACAGGAAAATATATAATCTATCGATATAGGTCTAAAGCTCTACTTTGCAACAGCACCGCAGTGTAGTGATGTGGTTATCCTGACGAAGAAATGGCCGCGTCGCTTTCATCATCTGACCTATCCTTGAATAGCTGCCAACTCTGAGACAAATGAGACTGCCTCTTACTCCCCTTCAGGAGTGCATTGTCCCGGGCTCCCAATATCAGAAGGACTGTGCCGTTCCAATGAGCCTCGTGCCCTTCGCCTCCGTTCTCTTCCGTCTTGAAACTTGGGCATCACAAGCTCTGTAGAAGTCGAGTTGCGAGAGTGCCTTGGAGACTCCCACGGTCGTCTGCGGCGGAAGCGAACTGCGATGCGTTCACGAAAACTCGGTGGCGTAATGGGCTGAGATCGAGAAACGCGTCTGTTGTAATAGTGGTGCCAGCTCCCCAACGGCGAGGAATCCATCTTTGTCTTTCCATTAGCTTCCTCATCTATTACGAGTTAAAGAAGCCGCAACGGCCATTTACCCCAGGCTGTTTTGGACCTCGGCTGAAATCTGGACAAGATGTCATGCACTGATGCGCAAGGGCGGTCGAGTCGTCTTGGGCGGTCATTGGCCATAGCTGAGAAGCTTGTATAGAAGTCGATCGTGGTAGCCCTCTGTCTCCGGAGAAAAGTTTGCCTGGCTGTGCTGTGCCGGCGTTGTCGTGTCCGCCCGTCAGTAAGGCTTGGTCCGATGAAGGAGAGGTTGGAGAGGTTGATGATGCTGGCGATGTACAAACATCGGTCGAGTGTTCATTCATTTCAGAGGACAAGATGAGGGTTTGCCGACTTGATCGCTAGGTAGATGGAACGAGGTAGTAATGTCTACTGTGTAATAATAAAAGTCCTCAGCAACATGGCCACAAACGGCGACTGTAGTAGAAACGCTTTCTATGTCAAGAGTCAGGGCCTTTCAAGTTTTGGGAAAAGGGTACGGGCACACACAAACTCACGTGAGGCGGCTGCTTGCCGGGAGCTCATGCCTTCAATGTTCTCAACTACCACTTCTATAACCCAAACCTTGAAGTCCCGTTTGTAGCTTCCAGATATCGTCTAAAACCAGGCTGGTGCCGATCACGCCAATAACAAAAGACGTCCATGCCAGTCAGCATACAGCTGCGCTGCGTCTTGTCTTTGTACAGAGTCAGGCGCGTATTGAACCACTAAATTCACTGCAGCTATGACTTGCAATGACACGTTAAACGGCAAAAAGGGCTTGCTCATTAAGAGCTTCGAATCTTCGAGGATAGCTGTCGATAGAGCGATCTGTCTCTCAGGACTATCGGCTTGGTGTGCAGATACAAGCTCTCGTAAGTTTATGAGAAGACGAATTATCTGCTCAGAGCCAGCAATTTGGTTTGAAGAAACAGATGCGGATTCCGCGCTGTAACTGCCACTCAAGTTTTTGCTGCTTTTTTCCGGTTCGCCTGTTTTGGTGTCCCAATCATCTCCTTTTATCAATTTTGTATCTAGTAAAAGAAGTGTATCAATGACACGGTCGAATTCAGTTTTGCCACGATGGAGAAAGGGTATCTCCATCCAATCTCGAGTCCCAAGGAGTGACGTCTTGCGAGTAGATAGCGCAATGTACGACTGTATTACCATAAGCTTCTCTTCCATAGACTAAAAAGGGTTCCGGATGTTGAATATACCATGAGAAAGCGCAGCTGCCAAAATATCTCAAAGAATGGCGATACCTGGCAGCCTTGGGGCCCAGCTTGCTCTAGGAGGCTGAGGGCGCCATGGGCATGGGAAAGCCAGGAGTCCATACCGAGGGGTGCCATCATCTCAAATTCTAATAGCGCCATGGACATAAGAAGGAGGTTTAAAAGAGATACTGGATGCTGGTGCTTCTGCCACGGAACAAGCCGATGAAACTGAGCCTGGTGGCGCTCCAAGCCGCTTGCATAATACCGGTAGGCTACAGCTCTTAGCGACGCATCGTTGCTTGGAAGAGCTGAAAAAGCTGCCATCACGGCTTGGAATGGAAGCAGCATGATGGACTGGAAATCTGCCGACAGCGAGAGCTGTGGTATCGTCATGGTCCAAGGGTGAAGTGTCCAAGGGCAAAAATGATATGATGCAATCTCAAGTGCCATACGCGACACCGCATTATATACACTGCTGTTGATGCTGGCCGGAATACCTACTTGATTCGTTTGCTAAGACGTATAAGCGCGAGTTCCTGACTCAAAGGGTCTGGCCAAATGCCTACTTGATGCCATTGATCGCGGCGAGCAAGTTCCTGCTGGGGCTGTGACTCTGGAGGGATATCAGTAAACTTCCACCGCATGACACTGGAATACCAACTAAAGGCTTACCATCTACACTATGGATAAAAATAAGGCCTTGCGTGGTTCCAGGGCATGGCTGTTTGAGCCGTATGCACTGGGAACAGTGCGGTTGCTTGTTATCACACTAGAATCCAGTTAGATGGCATTCTCCTTTTTATTCTGCACCAGTTTTGTGTGCCTACTTACTTTTATCTTCCTTCGTTTGCATGTCTTGCACCCATGGACTCTCTGAGAACCCGGTCTCATTGCGCCTTAGGTTGCAGGCATACGTCTGATCGGTGAGAGGTGGTTGTGAGATATAGGTGGGAAGAGTTGTGATCCACCGTCGGACGGCCATGAAATCGAATGGCAGAGGATGAGTAAGCAGTCTAAGAGCAATGCTCTTCAACAGAAAATACACTCCAATATTGTGCACACATTGCTTTTACGTTTAGTTTGAGCAAGTATAATAGTTATCTAGCTTTATTTATGCTTGAAGAGGTACATGTAATATTGCCAGTCAAGTGTGTTGGTTAATTATCGCCCCCTTTGCACAGTTCAATTCCAAGCCTGCAAGTAGGTAGGTAGGCATGGAGGCCGCGTATTTTCATCTTCTGCTTGAAGCTATTATTAAATCCAATGAGAGCTCGGCAATATTTGATAGTCATTAGCCGCAAGATCGACTACTCCCTTCGCTCCTCAATTGTTCAAATCACTTCTCGCTCGAATCTTCTCCCCCTGAAAATACACCCACAGAGGCAGCGGGATTCCTATTGCGATGCTCAGTCCGCCAAGGAATGAATATGTTCCCCCCAGTCCCATGGCATCAATCATTTGTGGGGCGAAAAGGGGTATTGCGAATGCGAGGAGCGAGCGGGCGAGCGCGGCAGCTGCCAGAGCAGCCGCAGAGTACTTGAAGGCGTCGATAAAGTAGAGCTGCAGCGGCAAAAGAATGGACATCATGCCAAATCCGAAGATGGACGAACCGATAATGGGAAGCATCCAGTGCTGGTGCGTCTGTGCTGTCCAGCCGAACCAGAAGAGTCCAATGGGGACGGCGATGGAGCCGAGGAGCATTCCCGGCATTCGGAATTCCGGCTTGGGGATATCGCCATTCTTCTTTGTCAACTATTTCCAGAGGCTCGTTTCAGTTTCACGGCAAAGAGTTGGGGAAATCGCTAAATGAGACTCACATTGTGGTAGACTGTGTTTCCCACCCATCCACCCAGAGCCGTGGCACATAATTCACCAAGTCCTCCTCCTATGTACGTCAAGCCAGTTGGGCCAGGCTGGAATCCATATATGCCGCCAAATATTGTTGGAAAAGTTGTGAAAAACATGTTTAGAAAGCCATAAACACTATATATGAAGTTAGCCGGGTGAAATGATCGAAAAGACAGGGTACGATCTTACAGTGCTCCATAGAAACTCATGATAAGGCAAATGGGGCTTCTTATAAGAAGTACCAAAGGACGTAGAGCTGCTTCTCTAGCTCTAGGGCCCATCAGTGAGACAGAAATGCCCTCTCTTTCGCCAATCGTTTCTTTTTTCCAGAACGTTGGCAATCTTCTTCTCTGTGAGCCATCATTCGACTGAATGAGTGCATGATCCGTCTCGGGGAGAAAGAACACGCAGAGGATCAATGCAGCAGCACCGAGAGCGGCCGTTAAGACGAAGCCATAGCGAACCCCAACCATCTGAGTCAGGTATCCTCCCATGATAGGTCCAGTCGGAGGCCCAATGAGCAAGCCCAGGCCATATATAGCGCTGGCCGGAGCTCGTTCTTGCAGGATGAAGAGATCGGCTATCACCGCACCGGCAATTGATATTGGTGTCGATGCTCCAATTCCAGCCAAGAATCGAAAAGCGATTAGTTCTCCCGTTGACCTAGCGAAGATGCACGCAATACTAAACGCGGTGAATATGACGCTCGAGATGTTGATCACCCACCTCCGCCCATAAATCTCGGACAACGGGGCAAAGACGAGTGGCCCAAGTGCCCACGCCAGAAGATATATGGTCAGAGTCAGAGCCAAACCTGTATCGGACTTGATGTCGTATTTCTTGGCGATTTCTGGAAAACCGGGTGCCATAATGGAGCTCGCAAGAGGCCTAGACGAACGTGAGAAGGATGAACTCATTTTCATGCAACGCCAGAGAGCTTACGAGATGAATGCTTGGAAGGAGATTAATCCTATCGTTTGATATTTCTTGGAATTGGCCCAGTTTATGGGATTTTTGTCCGAGTTGCTCCATCTTTGATCAGTAACACTAGTATTCGAGTTCAATACCGATGAAGTCGCGTTGGTAGATTTCTCCAGTTCCATGATGGAGATTAGCTAGCGGTTCTCGATGTCCGTCCCATGAGAGAGCCATGGCCATAGATGGATGCCGAGTATTTATAAACATGGTGAAAAGAGATAATAGAGGTCTATAATGTTGCCGTATGAAATCTGCTCTTGAGTTCTCGGGATTCTAACGATTTGTAGAAGACGAAAATGAGATTCAGCATCGATTGTCTGGATGTATGGGCTAAAGCACTTGAGCTCGGCAGTCTAGCCTATTTGGGATCGTACACGGATGCCAGCAGTGCAGTTCAGAATGGAACATTTACAAAATACAAGCAGCTTCCATGTTGCCTTGATAGTTTCTTCATCAAGCTGACTCACTTTTTGATTGATAATGTAAATATGGATATCTAGCCAAGTTACGTGGCTGTCATTGACTGTGATTAGCCTAGTATCAAGCTCATGGGAAGCAGGAAATGGCGCGTTTTATAGGGTAAGTACTGGACGTCCCATTGAGAGATTGTAGCATGAACTGGAATATATACGTATGTAAATGGAGAGGGGAAAATAGCTCAAATGAAAAAAATTGCAGGTTGGAATAGGTGATCGTAGTGTAAAGGCCGGATCAGCGTGCATATCATACGCGAGCGTTTAATTTGGGGTTCAATGGTGCAAATCAAACTCTCAAGAAGTTTCACAGGCGCGATATCAAGTACGTCTATGTTTACAATCATGAGATCTTACCTTCTTTCGCGTGTAATGATTGGTTGGATACCAACTGTATTCAAAAATGGACTGCCCGGCTAACCCGGCGAAAATTATTTGCCTATTTACGAACTTGAGGTCATCTTGCGGGCTGTTGGACGCTCTGCAGACTTGTAAGCGATCGACACAAGTGATTACATACTCGTATGACGTGGATTTAGACCTGTGTGTCTCATGTTCAGACCTCATGCCTAACCAGTATTACTTGAATGCCAAAGGCATCACAAAAAAGAAATGGCGATACAAATTCACAAGTAGGCGTTGAAAGATGTTACTACTAGTATCTGTGCCAATAAGCGGCTGCCAATGTTGCCAGAGTGACCCAATTCGGCCCCCTGGAATATTAACTCTACATGACACGAGTATTGTACTGTACATGGGCCGGCAGCTTTACTTTTAGAAGCACATGCGACATGGGGGTGACAGGCACTCCACAGCCTAAAGAAGAAGCTTCAATTTTCTCTCATCCTTCTTCTTCTTCTTCTTCTTCTTCTGCTACAGTAAACAAAGAAGGGGAAGCAGGTTCCACCAGCTCTTCTAGAAAAGCATGGACTTGCGGAAGACGACGGAGATATTCATCGGTCAGGGTTCGTCCTGATCGCAGGTAGAAATGAGAGAGCCCGCTTCACTGGAGACGAAATTCAGGGATGGCGAGGTCCAAGCCTGAGGGGGCTGAGCGGCCCTGGTCGTCGCGAACGTTGGCCAAGACAGGACATTACCAGCCGTTATGCGCTGGGCCGGCGGAAACTTGCCGGCATGGCTTGATGAAAGAGGGGAGGCAGTGCTGACAGGGCCGGAATTACTGGCTGGATGAGTGCGATCAAATCGTATTCGATCCTTTTTTCACCAGTGCCAAGCAGAGCCGGGGCTCAGGGGAAGCCGAGAGTGTGCGATCTGCTAATTATTACGAAGCAGTCGGTACCTGTACCAGACTCAATACTACGAATGTACGCAGAGAGCTGCGTGTAGAGCTTGTACCCGACAATAACATGCAGGATTTCGGGACGCTGGAGTGCGCGAAACATGCATAAAAGGAGCTGGGGGCCCATGCCGCGGATTTAATAGGCCAAGAGGCTGATTACATGTGCTTTGGAGCTATTAATACAGTCCCGGCTGGCATGTTGTGACAGGATCGGTGCACAGATACGGAGTCGCAGCTGTCTTAAGTCCTTGTGATGCTCCGCTACACCCAGCCTTCGATTTTCCTCTCTGCGCGCCTTGCCTTGGTTTTTCTTTTCGCCTTCATTTTTCATCGGCAGCCATATTGTCTGTGATCTGACTAAGCTCGTCTGTTTCACGCGCAATAGTCCAGAACGCAAACTGTCATGCTAGTGGCAGGAATTGTCAAAAAGTCGTTTGCCCCCCCTGTTTGGTTTCGCTAGTGGAACGGTTTGATGTCATGACTTGTGTGTTGCTGCCGGACCCATTGTGGAAATGCCCAGCGCCGAGGGCAGCCTGAGTCTCCATGTATCCTGTAAATCATTTCTGCGAGTCAATGGTGGAAAAGGGCTTGGTCTGGCCTGGGGTACCTGTACTTGCAGATGCTGGGTGGGCGACTCTGTGGAGGCTGGTACAGGTACCCCATTCCCGACAAAGAGGGCTGTTGCCTCGATATTATTGAAGCTTTGCCTTGAGGGATGGATTGATTCCATCGAGTAGGTGCTTTGCTCTGCCTCCATGGCTGCTTTTATAGGCACAGCACCGTCACATGTAGGTACCTGCATGTCAGCGCATCCTGCGCGCTGCCGTGGCACGCAAACCGAGCGACCACGATGGCCCAGCGTGCATTTGCACTGCCTCTCGTAGCGGCAGATCAACCTCCGTTCAGCTGGACCAGGTGCGAGATCACGCCCTATGACGAGCGCCCATCAAATGCCAGGTTCCATGGAACTCTCAATCGATGTGTCTATGCTCACTGCATCCTTTGGCGGCCGCCCACTGGAGCAGCAGCAGGGCTCCCTTAGCGGACCCAGCTCCCCAAAGCAGGATTTTACAGGTGCCGTGCGTGCTGTGCTGTGCTGTGCTATGCTATGCTGTGCTGTCAAAGTGCTGTCTGCGCCGGTCGGTGCCATTAATCAGGCTGGTTCCATCAAATGCCAAGAGGCGTCCTCTCCAGGCCTCGTCCCCCCCTGTGGCCCATCCATTTTCCGCTGATAGCCCCCTGGGCCACCATCATTAGCGCTGGCCCGGAGCCAACGATAAACCCGCCACTGGTACTAGCCAGGCGCCTCGTTCCAATTTTGCTCCAAGGTTGGAGCCCGACAGCCCGCTGCCAGTGCTCGAGTGTCGTCGAGAGCAGCAGCGAGACCTCATTTCGCGCTCTGGTTTCTCTGCTTTGTTTTTCTGCGCGGGAACGGCTGCACGAACTGCATCCAACCCATCCCTGTTTCCCTTCCCCTTCCAGGCGCTGTTGCTCGCTGTAACCCCCCCCAAGCCAATTCGTCATCCCAGCGGGCTGCGGAGTGGGTCGGCGCGCCGCCAGTCTTTCCCTCTGGTTAGCTGTTCTGTCGTCTCTGCCCAATCTCCTGCACCTCCAATCCAACCCGCAGACGCAGCAAATCCCCTTCCCCATCAGATCCCTTCCCATCGAACCAAGAAGCATCGCTCAATTGGTAGCATTTAGCAGCTGTCCGCCGCTCGCGTCCGCCGTCGCAGCGAAATGCCCTCGTTCCTGACCCAAGACAACCCGACAGTCTTTTCCAACGGCTCCTTCATCAGTCTTGAGCACGGCCTCGAGCACGACCACGACCAGTACGGCCACAGCTTTGCCGCTGCAAAGGGCCTGGCGAATGAGGCATCCATAACCGACGCCCGGTCCTACGCCGTCCATGAGCGCTTCGACGAGAGTTCGACTCTGTCCACGCGCGACTCGGACGTTTCGGACTCGCCCATGCCCTTGAACGAGCTCGACCAGTGCTGGCGAGACGACGGCAGCGGCAACGGAACACGACCGACGAGCATGAGCTCTCTCTCCAACGGCAAGAGTCTGGCTGGGGGCTTTGAAGCACAGGATTATGGCGACGCCAGCCACGCGCTGACCAATGGGGCTGCCTTTTCTCTCCCCCATCGCACCGTGCCACAGGAACACCTGTATGCAGGTGCAGGTGCTGGTGCCGCGGCCGATCTGGCCCGTAAGCCAGCCGCGTTAACGTCGTCCAGCAATCAGAGGGCATCGACAAGGAGCGTCCAAGACGATGTCTCGACCACCGTGACCCGGCCAACACCGCCCCCCACAGATGCCGAGTCACACAGCCCGCCTCAGCCTTGGATGCCGTCGCCGATGGCTTCTGACCTCGCCCTGCCGCAGCATACTACCAACGGCACTCCCCATCGCTTTTCATCTCCCGCAACCTACCAGCCGACCGGCTCCAACTCGGCACCCTCTTTGTCCGCTCATCTGCAGCCCGGGCCCAGCATGGGCGTCAAGCAGAGACATACCCTCGAGGTGCCTAAGCCCGCGCCGGGAAGAACATCAAAGGACGGCCTCGACACCGCTCAAGCCAGCGGTCGCTTTTCACCAACAATCGCCAGCCCTCCAGGACCAGGCCGTGCAGCTTCTTTCAACCTGGCTCGACGAACGACGCGGTCTATGCAGTCGGATGCTCCTCGCGACGAGATTGTACCCGACGAAGACGCCATGCGATGGGCCGAGATGTATCGACAGAAGCGAGCCAGCAAGCGGAGACGGAAGGAAGAGGAGGACGATGACCGAGTCTTGGTTGGCACAAAGGTTGACGAGACCCATGCCAACTGGGTAACGGCCTACAACATGTTGACGGGCATCCGTGTATCTGTCTCGAGGACGAATGCAAAGTTGGACCGCGAGTTGACCGATGCGGACTTTAACGTTAAGCAAAAGTCTACGTTTGACATGTATGTCAACCTTTTCCCAACCTATATGACTATTCATGCTCGACACCAACCATCCCATGCCTTCTTATGATGCTAATATTCTCCCTTTCAACAGTACCGGTAACGAACTTGTGCCCTCAGCCAAGTACGACTTCAAGTTCAAAGATTATGCCCCATGGGTCTTCCGCCACCTGCGAAATGCTTTCCGTCTGGACCCTGCTGATTATCTCATGTCCCTGACGGGCAAATATATACTTTCGGAGCTGGGCTCCCCGGGTAAGAGCGGCAGCTTTTTTTACTTTTCTAGAGATTACAAGTACATCATCAAGACCATTCACCACGCCGAACATAAATTCCTACGCAAGATCCTCAGAGAGTACTATAAACACGTTACCGAGAACCCCAACACTCTCCTCTCCCAGTTTTACGGCCTTCACCGAGTCAAGATGCCTTACGGAAAGAAGATCCACTTCGTCGTCATGAACAACTTATTCCCCCCACATCGAGACGTGCACACCACTTTCGATCTTAAAGGTTCGACTATTGGCCGAGACTACAGAGAGGAGGACCTGGCAAAGAATCCACGCGCGACCCTCAAGGACCTGAACTGGCTTCGACGGAAGCAGAACCTGGAGCTGGGTATGCAGAAGAAGAAGCTGTTCCTTGAGCAGCTCCAGCGAGACGTGGCCCTCCTCAAGAAACTCCACATCATGGACTACTCTTTGCTGGTTGGCATTCACGACCTTTCCCGCGGAAACGATGAAAACCTTCGTGGAAAGACACTGCAGGTGTTCAACCCAGGTGGTGAGAAGAGCGCTGAAGACGACCTTCAGGCATCTCTTCTCCGAACCCCCTCGAAGCTGGAAAATTATCGCAAAGCCAAAGAACTACGCCAAATGGTCCAGAAGGAACGCCCAGTACCCATGGGCCAAGCCAATGACCAGATGCCTGATGAAGCGGCAGAAGATCGGCGAGGGCTTCTTTTCAACCAAGATGATGGTGGTTTCAGAGCAACCCACGAAGACAATGAGCCAGCAGAGGAGATATACTACCTTGGTGTTATTGATTGTCTCACTCACGTAAGTCCCGAAGCCACAAGTATCGTTATTCACGGAACTGCTGCTAACCCATGGACAGTACGGAATGATCAAGAAGATTGAGCATTTCTGGAAAGGCCTCTCCAACGACAAAAGCAAAATTTCAGCCCTGCCGCCAGACCAGTACGGCGATCGCTTCTACCATTTCATCCAAGGCACCACCATGTCCGCCGAGGAGGCAAAGCGGGAACGTGCACGCAGAGACCAAGAACTTGCGCTTCAGGCACAGAAACAGGAAAGGTCGAGGCAAAGCGCCATCCCTCCCATGCCGATGCACGAGCCGCCCGCTCCTCCCGTCGGAATACAGCCCAATGGACGAGCGTCATTGAAGGGAGCACCCGAGGGACAAATCCCAGAGCGAATCTTGAAAACTAGTGCGACGGCGCCAGGCGCGAGAGATTCACAGCACGAGGCTATTTTACCCGTGGTAGAAGAAGCTGGAGAAAGCAGCAAAGACGAAACGGAACGGTGGATTCATTCGACATCTTGGAATGACACGCCGGAGCCGAGCCGGGCGCCTCCACCAACACCGCCTGCCCACGAACAAACCTTCCTTAAGCCCGATAGCTCGGACAGTGGTTATGGTGACAACAGCAATGGAACTGTGAGCAGAGACAATTCGCTCAAAGTAGCCCGACCGGTCAGCCGAGGAAGTCTCAACAAGGTTTTACCACCACTCCCCAAGAAGGAGAACGCCCAAGAAGGTGGAATTAGAATGGTCATGTAGGCGGACTACAACAACTACAAGACTCTATCCTTGCGCTGGTGGATTGAAAATTGATTGGTATTACGACAAAGCACGGCATGGCGCATAAAATCAGCGATGTTAACTATACACAAAAGGGTCCAAACTTTGACAACCCCTTATTTTTTTTCTCTGATGATTCCGCATGAAGGACAAGGAAACGGTCGGGCGGAATTGTTGGGCTCTATGATTTTTAAACACTGTTTTGCAACATAATCAGCACTTTGCGTTTCTTTTCCTTTTCTTTTTGTTCTTACATTTTCCCTTTCTCATTCGAGAGCACGCGTGTTTTTGATTGATTGTTCCACTTTGGCCACACTTTCCTGTTCATCTGGTTGGGTTCATTTCTTTTTTCTTTTCTTTTGTCCTCAGAGGAAACATCATATTCACTCTCTTCTCCTCCCGACCTGTCCCCTTTCTCCTTTTTCTTCCCTTTTCATTTCTTTTTCTTTTTGGTCTGTCGCATGCGTGACTTGGGAGCGGAGACGAAACAGAGATAGGCGTGGAGTACAAATCATTTGTTGTTGTAGGTTATAAAAAGAGGAGAGGAAAAAAACAAGAAAGAAAGAGACAAAGTGAAAGACAGAAGGGGAAGCTATTTTTTTTGTCCGCGCCGGGTTGTTGTGCAAAGTGTGCTAATATTGAACTTTTTTCTTTTTTATTACAAGACGTGGATGATACCATTGACCGCATTCTCAACATACATACAGACAGACAGACAGCTATTTAACCTTTTTTTTTTCTTAAGTAGATTCGGTTGTTTATTTACCTGCATCTTCATGCTTTTGAGGGTCTCCTTTGTTCTTTTTCCTTTTTTTCTTTATTGGTGATATCAAAATGTGTGTCAATTATGGTGAAATATTTGGGAGAGAAAGAAGGGGATAGAGAATAAAATTGCTTTGGATTTTGAAAATGAAGTCGTAGCTGGTCTCTTTGATAGAGATTCTTTTGGAAATGCTTGACAACGAATAGCATGGGCGGATGGTTTAGTGGTATAATTTTCCCTTAGCATCTTGCAACCTTTGAGTTGTGGCATCGCATGGGAAAGGTCCGGGGTTCGATTCCCCGTTCGTCCAGTGTTTTTTTCTCTGTTGTCTTGGTTGATGTTTGGGGATTCTTTTTTTTTTTTTTTTTTTTTTCGTTTTTCTTTTTACATGTTCCATCTTAACCGTATGTATGAACCTTGCTATATCGATTGTTGAAACACCGACGTGATGTCCGAGGGAGAGCAATAATGTCAGTTCTATCTCAGTGATATAAACTCCGTAAAAAAAGGAACTCGTTTACGTCCCTTACAGACATCGTAGAGTCAGTTAAGCCTTTTTATAGATAGAAAAGTATATATTAAATCATTGACTATATTAGCTCCGCCTCTAGTATTAACCTCCAGTATTAACCAACATTATTATTCACTAAACCTTTCAACCTTCATTCCTCTGCATCTTACCCGGGTATCCTACTCTGCTTCCTCACACCCAGCCCCCTTTTTTCTCCCTTTCTCCTCTCTCCTCTGCTAATTATCCCAAGTAACCTTCATCGAAAGAGGGAAAGGCGAAAGAGTGCCCCAGTTCTCAGTAAGATACTCGCTGAGACCGCCCTCTCTGGCAACCTTCTTCAACTCACCCTGCGGTCCCGCGACCTTCTTCAGGCCTTGCTTCTTGAAGATGGCGCGGAAGAGCTCCACCAGTGCAATCTGGCTGACTTCTTTACCTACGGCAGTGTGAGTGCCGGCGCCGAACTGGATGTAAGAGTCGAGAGGACGACGAGGGTCGATGGTTTCAGGGTTGGGGAACTGGGTAGGGTCGCGGGCACCAGACACAAAGGAGGCAAAGACCTTGTCGCCTTGGTTGACATTGACCCTGCGTCCGTCGTCCTCAGTGATGGTATCGGTGCCGGTGGAGACATGGTGCAGGCTGAAGGCACCGGCCATACGGACACCCTCCATTGCGAAACCGAGGAGGAGGGAGTCAACCTCGGGGCTAGGCTCCTGGTTGGCTAAGACGTGGATATCATCGACGTAGGGAGCGCCCTCGGTAGAGAGATACCAGTCAAGAGCTTGTGCAAACTAAAGAAAAAGGAAAGAAATGTTAGTGTTGGATAAGTAGAAAAAAGTTAGGATAGAAGAATCAATACGTACCAGTCGGCCTTGAGATGGCACAGCAGCAGCAGCGGTAGGGATGATCAATCCCCAAGCAATATCATGAGCATTAAGGCCAGACTTGGCCAGACCTTTGACGGCATTGACACCTGCGGTGGACAGAGGGTCATTCTTGGTACTGCCGGTGAATAGACGCAGACCAAAGGACTTGGTGTACTTGACCGTCGTCTCAATTGACGCGCCGAGCGCATCGGCAATCTCCTTGGTCTTCTGGCGAAGAGGGAAAGATTCAACAGGATCAATATCAAGGAAGATTGTGGTGAAAATGGCAGCCAAAGCAGCATACAGCTCTTGCTCGGAGAAGACACCCTTGGGGTTCTCCTGCGTCTTGAGAGGGATGTTGAAGATCTGCGCAGCATAGTGGGTATGAGCCGTGTTGCCAAGATCACGAACGACGTCGATATGCTTCTTGCCCATGATGGTGTACGACTTCTCTGCCAAGAGCTTCTCCGCGGTCGTTGCATAAAACGCCTTGACGACGTTTCTCCAATTGTCCTTGTAGAGGAGAGACTCGAGCGTCTTGCGGTCGCTGGCCTGCATGTACCGGCCGCTGCGACCAGTAAGGATCTCGAGGCCTTCCTTCCACTGAACATTGTACTTGTCGGCGTTGGAGAAGACGTGCTTGAAGCCGCCGATGGATGTGACTTCAACGCGAGGAGCAGCAGCCCTTGGGCGCTCAAAGCTGAAGCGGTGAACGCGGTTCAAGCTGGTGAGGATCTTGCGGTTCTCCTGAGGGATGACCATGGGATAGTGGGCATATACGGAATCCTGCTTGAAGTGGTTGGGGAAAGCCCGGATGAACAGCTTGTAGAAGACGCAGCCGTGGTTGACCTTGAGATCATAGGCGACTTCCTTGAATCCCCAGTGAGTGAGGTACTTGGGATTGTAGTCGGTGGTGTAATGTCTGTCGCCACGCACAAGCGAGACAGCATCAGACAGGACGACTCGGGAAATGGTGTAAGTGGGAGCAATGCCAACACCAGGCACCATGGGCGTCTTGGCCTCCTCAGCAACCATACCCGGGTAGAGCTCAACGTAATCAGGATGCTGGTACAAGTTGCGCAGAGCGTCAGCAACCTGGGGATCAGAGTTGATCTCCTCAAAGGTGTCGTAGGACTTGAGACCAAAGTGCTTGCGGAACTCGTTCAAGCCCGCAAGATTCCACTTTCGGCCGCGGATGATGCCCAGCATCTCAATAGGCTTCAGGATACGAGGGACGTTGCGAGCGCCGAATGAACCTCCTGGCTGCTCAATGGCTGTGGAGATGCAGTCGACGAGATCGTCATCGTCGAAACGTCCGTCGGGGCCGCGAGTGTATCCGCCAAACACGCAGTCGGCAGGATCCTTGGGAATGCTCATCATGTACTTGTGCAGGGCCATCATGAGCTTGCGCATGTCCATGGTGCCCAAGTCTTCGCCCAGAAGCTCGTCATAGAAGTTGTGCATCCACTCTTCGTCCATTTCGGAGATGCAAGAGTGCCAGCGGTAACAGATGTTGAACTCGGCAGAGACGCTGTTTCCAACTCCTCGCTCTGAGCCCTTGGAAGTGCCAACGTCTGTGCCGGCCTCTTGGCGAGGATCCAGAGTCCACTCGGCATCAACTCGGTTCAGGTTGATAATGTTTCGCACGTAGTCAACAAGAGTAATGTTGATGTACAAACCAGAAGTCACCAGACGAGCAGTCTGGAAGAGCTCTTCGTCGTACTTCTTCCAAGCTGCAGCCGCGGCATCTCCCTGAAGGTTAGAGGGAGGCTTGGCAAACCTGTTGCCTTCGTTGATGGCAGCCAGGTTGGTGGCGATGTAGTTGTGGAAGCGGTTGAACATGACGAGAAGGACGCAAACACCGGGTGGCATACCAAGCAGCCTCTTGTCGGCGAAAGCATCCGGCTTCAGCATACCATCCTTGAATGTGCGGACAGTATTCTGGGATTCTTGGCTATGGCCGTACAGAGGAGCCAGGTCGAGGTACGACGACGAATCGTTGATGTTGGCATCTCTCTCGTTGGTCCAGAATAAGTCTATGGTTATTATTAGCCCTGGTAACCCCTCTGACGAGAAATGATTGCGAATGATCTTTACCGTGGATGATAATAGTAGCCCAGTACCAGAGGATGCTCGAGACGTTGTTAGGGTTCTTGATAAACTTGTCTCTGGCCATGACAGATTCGTAGACAGCTTCAGGATCCGGTAGGGCTCCCAGTGGCACGACTCCGGGTCTGACGGAGCGCGAGTAAGGAGTCCCGGCTGCGCCAAGCTTGGGCATGAGAGGGTTCTGAGAGATTTTCGTCAGTATTCATCTCCAAATAGCTGCTCTTGATATGAGAGAATACTTACATTGTTGGATCCGTCAGCTTGGCGGAAACGAAACTCGTCTCCCATATACAACAACGGGGGATGGTCAAGGGAATACCACAGCTCGTCAATGAACATGTTGGTGAGCACCTCTTGTCTCTTGGAGCCATTGGGCAGCGCAGCTACCAATTTGATGGTCTTCTCCATGAGCATTGTCTTGTCATCGGCTTGCGTCTCGCCCTTTAGCTTCGAGACGATAATCGCCTTGAGCGTCTTTAGGTCTGAAAACAAAGTATAAGCAAACGTCATGTTTCGCCAAAACACTGCTGCTGGTACTTGCCTGAAAAGGTAATTGTGCTCAGATCCTGCATCAGAGTCGGCCTGTTGACAACATTTTTGTATGTGCCATCTCCCATCTCATTGGGAAGAGGCCGACGAGAGGCACGGTACAGCTGCATCAAGCCGCCATTTTTGACCGGCTTGGTCTTCTTTGCCTTTGCGACAGGACCGCTGGGGTAGTCGACGATGGCATGATTGCCGTTGGGAGCAGCTCTGTTGGAGTTCATGGTGGACAGGGTATCACTACTGGCCGGGTATCACAAAAAAAAACAGGCAAATTGTCCAAGAGCAGCAGCAAACCTACACAACGTAGAAAAGAAAAACAAGAATCAACGTGCGAGCTCATGCAGCTGAGGTGTTCCACTGTCTTATATACAAATCCAGAGAGGGGGGCACCTAATGACCATCCAACCATTATGTTTGTCTCTTGAATGCAGGATGAGGCCGCCCAGCAGCAGCTGCAGCATGCATTACGGGGTACACCTAGGCATTCCTAGTCAACCACTTACATGCGTGTAGGTGTGTGAGGGCTCGGGCCGCGGGCTACGGCTGAACCAGCAATCTCGGCGGTAGCATTCTGAGATCGACCCTAGGAGCCAAACAATTACCACATCGGAGACGAGGAAGACGAATAGAGAAAGGCGTGGCCGCTGATAGTCCACATAGCGTGCTCTCGGGCAGCTTAGTGAAAGTCATGCTTGCACGATCAAAGCTATGATGTCTCTTAGCTTCACTCAGGGGATAGGCAGGGTCGCCATTTCTCTATGCCCTCCTAGCCGCCCTTATCGGAGAGCTTGCAGGCCCCAGGTAAGACATACATGCCCTGTATAGACCTTCCCCAGCATCATCAGGCCATAAACTTGGCATTATAGGAGGCAAAGGATTTGTAAAAAGCTTTCCCCTCCTTCGGGTCAGGCACACTCGCCGATGTTCAATGCCCCATTGGCGGATGGCAAGGAAGCGTCTCGTCTCGCATTGTACTTCGGACAGCGAATAGGGAGAGTCTCACAAGAGCCGTCTCATCGTCTGCGGGTCAAAATTCTCAGCTCGTGATGCCCAGCGAGTGGTAGGAGTCGTCGACTATACCCAAACCTTGTAAGATGTTGTTTGTAGCAGTACTACGCGGCCAAAGGCGAGTCGTGGTAGCGGTCTCTTGGCTGTCCCTCCTCGACCCACCCCCATCTCGCCGCTGATAATCAGATTGGCCCCGTCAATCTTCCAGCCGCAGAGTGTGTGCTAGTCGGCCGTAAATGAATTGGAAATGCCGATTCCCGCTACGTTAGTGCTGCGGGCACCCTTGGAGGATCTTGGTCAAGCAGCTCGAGCCGACGTCAAACGCTTGTATCGACATATCAGAGATATAGTGCCGGGAGTTGTTTTTATGACATGCTAGAGCTCCGAGGAACACTTCCGTGGCTGGCAGTGGCAATTAGTTCCACACGACTCTTGAGAAACTGAAGCCTCCGTGTGCGCAGATAAGCCGAGGAGGCAGCAGTAGCTGCTTTCACTTTTCCACCCCAAGGGAGAAGCTGAACGTCTCTCCCTCCTTTCCTCCCTGCCCGCTCAAAGCTGCTCCCGCGCTAAGAGCTCCAAGCTCCATGCACCGCAGCAAGCATGCAGATGGATTCTGAGAAACTCGGCCAATCCTACCTCCCGTCGGGCGTGGACGTGGCGGCCGGAAGACTTTTCGCCGTGCCAGCTCTCCATATGTGCCCTGGCTTCACGATGTCTGTCTGAGACATGCATATATAGGCGCCAGACTTGTAAGAGTAGATCGCTGCTTAGTCTGAAATATCCTGGCCTGGATTGGTGCTTCTCCCGGATCCACCCGGCTAATAGAGAAATGAGAGGCTTGCTGGACACCAGCTGAAACTTTTGGTGCTACGCCTGTTACGTCGAGATGCCTTTGCCGTCTGGTTTGGTTTTCCCGCCATTTCCTCCTTGGCTTTTGCTGCAGTGATCACTTGGGCTTGATTCCAATCATGTATTATGCTTATCAATGCTATAAATGTGTTGGTACGGAATAGAGGGATCACAGTATATTGGCGTGCCCAAGTGAAAGGGCCATGCCGCTCGCGATCCGTATCAGTGGGTAAGGGACCAGCTCGCCGGAGACATAAATAAAGAGGGCGGGACTAAATCGGCGATCATGTTCTAATCGACTGAAACCCGGAGATCCCAATATGATCCCATGAATCCCACTAGGCGCTCACGTATATATCAAACTGGGGAGAGCTTGCTTTCTTCCCATGAACTTAATTGACAATAGGTGCATAGCTCTCGCCTGCATCTTCCCCAAGAGAAAGGACTAGGGTGGGCGGATCATCTTAGATGAGATTTGATTTCATTCGCTGTGGCTGGCAAGGCCGCGTCCAGGTTGACCTGGTGACCCCGCCGTCACCGTAAAAGCGATGCTCTTGGCCGCTTTTCATTCTAAAAGTGATGCTACCTAAGCTGCCCGTTGTCTGGTCGTGCTAGCAGTATTCCATTTTACTCTTGTTGGTATTTCTGTTAGGCTATGCGGTCTTATACACAAGCTCATCATCGAGCCAAAGTATAGATATAGAGGTACGGTATTTTGAAATGCTCTCATATCCACCAGCGATAGATGCCAACCGCTCTTTGCCATACATCCCTTCATTGGCTCTCTCCCACAGTCTTAGCGCCTTGGCTATGTCCGAGTGATAATTCATTACATGACGTGTCATAATGGATGTCTTGTGTAGCGTGAGTTCCTTTGTTGTTGCCTTTGTGGCATGATATTTGCATGTGTAAATGCAAACTTCGACACGCTGCATGTCGTGTTACCCAGCTTCAGCATGAAACACACACGTTGGGTACGGTTAAATAGGAAACCAGTCAACTTGAGACTTATGGATCCTTTGCAAGAAGCTTCCTGAGCGTCGGAGGATCATACATCCTCTTGCTATGCGATGTCTCAAGTGCGATATGGAAATCATATACTAATGGTCACAGCACTCTCTTCATTGATCTGCGTGGAAAATCTCATGTTGCCATGATAGGACTCGAGCCGGGTGCTTGTGGCTTGAGTTGGTACAAGATAAGGCCGTACTTTTTCGGCCATGACAATCATGTCTGAGGTGCTTGATTGTTCAGATATGGCGGTAATTTCTAGGCCGAGAAATGTTGACATTAGGCCAGAGATTGTTGGCGAGCTGGAGGGGGGGAGGGGAGAAAAGTCGCTATAATATGGCTGCAGCAAGAGTCCATTGTAATGATTTAGTGATTAAGCTTCAAATTTGAACATCTTATTCTCTGACAATTTGTCATTGCATCCGTAGATCGACGACTTCCAAGGGCATTTTGTCGCTTTCATACACGTGCCCATTGGGGTGATTAGCTTCGCGATATAGGTTATCAATGGAATGTTGGTGAAAGGTCTCTGTGCGATTACAATTCAGAACATGGTCAAGTCCAGGCGGATGTGTGAGTCGAAATATGCCGTATCTAGACTAGAGTTAGCGACATTACGCTTTGAGCATCATATGTTTCTTCTTTCTCAACTTACTCATGGTACCTAGGTGCACACACGATGGCAATGCTTTCGGGCATCATAACTTGATATCCTGCGTGAGTGTGGAGATCACGCGAGCTCATGAAGCACGTCTGTGTTGGATGTGTATGGATCCAGCCTAGCATCAGCAAGTCCTCATTCATACAGTAATCGAAGAGAGCACTTTCATTCTCCGTCTCACACGTGTCGGGAGTGGATTTCTGATCTGGTATCAGGAGGCATCGAACAAACAGAGCGTTGTTGATTGGAGTTCCACAGAGCACACCGCACGTCTCTAAGCCTGCCGCCGTGTTCTTTGACGCGACTTCTAGAAATTTGGAGCGCAGACTGCCCGGGAGGAATATTGACCGAACAGGGTCCCCATTTTCAAGATAGCCTCCAGGCTTAAAAGCCAGACGTTCTTTCTTAGGCTGAGGTACTTGTGCGGATTCTTTAGGCGGAAGAGGTGGTTGATTTACATCACCCAATAGTCGCGGAGTAGCATCCAGTGACGGGTAGTCATTCAGATAGGTTTTGCGCGGCACCTGAGGAGGGAAAGCCGGTTCTGGGATGCCAACCTTTTCTTCATACCGCGGTGGAGGGATATCAAACTGCTCCTTCGGCGGCCTTATGGGCTGTGGTTCTCTTGATGAGGCGTGTTGGCTTTTCTCGTAGTCGACGGGTCTCGATTTGGAAAGAGAGGGATAATAGTAATTGTTCGGGGCCACCGTATTGTTTGCTTCCTGGTCGTAAATTGCTGCATCAAAATCTCTGCGTTCTTGAGCCATATCCAGTGTTCGGCGGGTGGCCTCCATTTGGCGTCGGAGATCGCCATCATCAAGCTGTGACGCTCTGTTTTCCATGTTCCGCCCCTCGGCACTTTCCCGATTTTTTGAATTTCGCGCATCCCAAATACTGCCATGTTTGCTCGTACGTTTATCTCGTCCTCGTCGGGTTAGTTCTTGCTGCGCCAAATCGACCGCCAGATCTTGATGCTCGGACGCGTCAAGGATCCTTGCATTGCCGCTTAATGTAGGATCCCGAGCGGCAAAGGCCCCATATGATGCTGGTCGCTTGTGCTCCTCCGCTGCGGCTGAGGATGCTGCACTTTCCCATTCATTATATGCAGACTGAATTTCTGGCTTCAGCTGCTCGAGATCTTTGATAACGCGATCGATGCGCTTGTATAGCGATTTGAAAGCCTTTTTATTGTCGGGATCTTTGATTTGAGGATGCGTGGGCAGGAATTTGAGCACCAGGACGGAATGTCGATAAAGCATCATATAGGCTCGTCCGAAATCGCCATCTGATAGGGCAAACGATGCCTTCAAATGCTGTCAGCAATTTAACGGAGACGAGAACCAGAAGAGTCTGAGCTTACCTCTTGATAAAGCGTATCAGCAGCTCTGATCCAATGCTTCATAGCGATATTAACGTTGAAGGCAAAGTTCTCAGCCTGTGCCACGAGCTCCTTGACGCTCTGCGGCCGAGCCGGCGCCATGCTCGGACGAGCCTCCATTGCGACTTTGGCGAGATGGCCGTTTGGATAGTGTCAGAGAGTGTCTCTGCGAATCCTGGCCACTCTAGAGGAGATGTTGCATGCTAGAGGGCTAGGCTGCCGCCAAAAGCTGCAGAGATGGCGAGTTGCCTGGTAGGCAGAAGGATTGTTGTTTCTAGGAAGCCTGGGGCAACCGACGACAAAGGCGACGCTTACACGTATTTTGGCCCCTCCAACTAACAATGGCGGGGCAGGCGCTGAAGACTTGGGGAACAGCGCAGGATTTAGTTGTTTAATTACATGCGTAAGCCGATTAGCGCAGCGCTCAGAGTGCTATTGCAACCTCTTATCGTAAACAACTCTTCAAAGGGGGCATCAATCAGACTCTGATAATGGTAGGGATACTGAAGACACCATTGTCTCCTACGGCGAGTCTTGTGACACAGACTCTGGCCAACGCCTTGACCATAGATATATGTGCAGTGATGTTAGTCTTTGGTTTTATTCATCTATCATTGTCTATTTTCCTGCACCGGCCGCCTGGGCTGAGGACTGGAGCTGGATAATCTCAGTCTTCTTCTTCTCGATATTCTCCTGTGTCTCCTTAATCTGGCCTTCTAATCTTGTACTGTGCGCCATGCTTGGGTTAGCTACGATATCAAAAATTCACATGCAAAAGGTGTGGTGACCAACATTTCGCCTCCAATGAAATCGAGTCGGCCCTTGACGGTGCTCTCTGCCTCAAAAGTCTCTTGCTTGAGCAGGACAGGCCCTACAAGCTTGTAGACGACCTCATCCTCGCCAATGTTTTCGAATTCCTCCAAAGAAGTTAGCTTTCATGCTCCGAGCCAGTTCGAAAATCGTCGGAAGAATGCTCACCTTTTGCACACCAAGGTTTTCCTGTCTCTGGCCTTCCAGCTTTTGACGTGAAGCCACTGTGTTTTGGAGGTCTGAACGCAAAGTCAATGAAATCAGCATGAGTCTCTTGCATCGTCCAAGCTGAGCAGGCGCAGTAAGCAGGCAGTCCGATACTCACCCTGCTGGAGCTTTTGGTACTCTTCAGAAAGGGACTGTAGCTTGGCTTGAATCTCTGCCATCTTGGGTCGGCAGCAAAGTGTGCTGGCTGTTGACTGCTTCCAACTCGTATGTCCCTAGTAGTGATCCAGGCTTATGTATCAGCCTAATTCCAATTCCACACAGACTGAGCCAACTTCGCCGACGAGTGCTAGAGTCGAATTGGCGACGCCCCGCTTAGTATCAACAGGCAGCTCCAAATTGCGCCCCGTTACAGAGGTAAATTGTTACCCCGCCAGCGGTCAAGCCTCTCTCCCAGTAGCGCAGGTACCAAGTTATTGATCGATGTTGTCGCCTGCTTCTGATCATCATCCTGCGTTCCAGCGCTCTGTTATTAAGCCCGACCTGCCTCTGGTGATCGCCTCGGCTGTCCCTTCGATACCTTGCACGACGGCTCTCGAGTGACGCATAACCGCGACTGTCTTGTTCTTGTTCCGCGCTCGCATTTACGATTCCTCGGGCTTCAAAGAGGCGAAACCGTCATCATGTCCGTCAACTTTCGAGACCGGGCTATCGCCGAGGTCCAGAAGGCTATTGCCGCGGACAACGACAAGGAATATCAAAAGGCCTTTGATCTCTACATGTCATCGATGGAGCTGTGGGTCAAGGCCTTGAAGTGGGAGAAGAACAAGTCCATCAAGGCCACCATGCAGGAGAAGATGGCCACCTACTTAGACCGCGCCGAAAAGCTGAAGCAGTTCTTACAATCCGAGAACGAGAGCAACACGAACGGCGGCAAAACTCCCATGGGGGCCAATGGCTCTAGCGCGGGAGGCAAAGCCAAGCCATCGGCGGAAGACGAAGATAGCAAGAAGCTTCGCAATGCGCTGTCAGGCGCCATTCTTCAAGAGCGGCCAAACGTGAGGTGGGAGGATATTGCTGGATTGGAGGGTGCCAAGGAGACGCTGAAGGAGGCCGTCGTGCTGCCTATCAAATTTCCAACGCTGTTTCAGGGCAAGAGACAAGCTTGGAAAGGTATCTTGTTGTATGGCCCTCCAGGAACCGGAAAGAGTTACTTGGCCAAGGCCGTAGCAACAGAGGCAAACAGTACTTTCTTCAGTATTAGCAGTTCTGATTTGGTGAGCAAATGGATGGGTGAGAGTGAAAGGTAAGTCATGTTGTATTAGATGATGGCGATCCACATGCTCTCGTAGCTGACAAACACCTACCGATAGGCTCGTGAAGCTCTTATTCTCCATGGCGAGAGAGAACAAACCTTCCGTAATCTTCATTGACGAGATTGATGCCCTCTGTGGTCCCAGAGGTGAAGGTGAATCTGAAGCCTCTCGACGAATCAAGACCGAAATCCTGGTGCAGATGGACGGTGTCGGCAACGACAGCAAAGGTATCCTTGTTCTAGGAGCAACCAATATTCCCTGGCAACTAGATGCTGCTATTCGTCGGCGTTTCCAGAGACGTGTCCACATTGGACTGCCTGACATTAACGGGCGTGCAAGAATGTTCAGGCTTGCTATTGGAGATACAGACACTGCTTTGGAGCCTAGCGACTACAACACTCTGGCAACTTTATCAGAGGGCTTCTCAGGAAGCGATATCAGCAACGTTGTCCAACATGCTCTCATGAGACCGGTCCGAAAAATCCTACAAGCTACACATTTTAAGCCAGTACGTTTCATTATCCGCTGATTATGCACTCGTACTCTACTAATACTATGCGCTCTCAGGTTATGAAAAATGGCAACCGGATGCTGACTCCTTGTTCTCCCGGAGATGACGAGAAGATTGAGATGACGTACGACGATGTAAAGCCCGAAGAGCTGCTGGCTCCAGATGTGGCACTCGCAGATTTCGAGATTGCCTTGGCGGATTCACATCCGACAGTGTCCAAAGACGACATTGAGAAGCAGATTGATTGGACTAATGAATTTGGAAGCGAGGGAGCTTAGGGAATGGGCGTGTCTTTGAGTGTACATGGCACAGCGGCGCTTTGAGGAGTTAGAGGGGCATCTAGGCACTCTTTGCACATACAGTTCTGAATTTGGGAATCGTAATCCATTTTACTGGAAAAGACAAAAGAAGCTGTTCATATTCGATTCTTTCACAGTAGATAGTGGGGCCAATGGTTTAGTAGTATGATGTAGTTTTTCTTGAGGTCAAAGCCCAAGGATGAACTGGAATTGTCGTTGTAATGTTTCTTTGTTTCAGATGATAAACGATTCTGTTTTTTTTTTTTTTGTTCAAAACAGAAGCTGGATGGATTGCTGTGTGATGATTGTTGCGTCATAAGTCTTCGCAGAATAGAAAGCGGATCGCAAGCCCAAGGCCGGTGAGTGTGCTTGCAGCCCCGCCACACCGAGCCTCACCTTGAAATGAACAATTTTCAGCTTTGTTCTCCCACAACGTACCGGCGCAAATTCTACTAATCAACGCCTCTCATTCATGTCATTTTGTTTCCGCCATGGACGCACAAGCTTGGCTCGGCCAATGCGTCAGCCCGCCGCGGCTTTTGCTCGAGCCGTGGCGACGAAAGCAAAAGCCACTGAGATGCTCAAGGCGACTAGCAAGGTAGCGGAACAGCTCGAAGCGACGGGCATATGGAAGCGAAAAGGCGGCCGGAAAGTCAACGGTGCTCAAAAAGCGATAGAGCCCCATAGAGTAAACATTGTGAGCGAAAAGCTCTGCGGTATGGACACCCCTTCGCTCTCTTACCTCGCTATAGGCTGAATGGCGACGGTAGGAGGCTGCTTGCTGCATACAGAGCATAGAACTGACATGCAACTTTTTCTGACCGGCGGTAGACGATATAATCAAGTATCTGGGCAGCTCATTAGAACGTCACCGAGGATGCGATTTGATTGATTTGAATCCCGGCGCGGGAGTCTGGAGTCGCAAGCTTCATGGCTTTTTGGAGCCGCGAAATCACATCATGATGGACCTGGATGCCGAGCTGTACAGCCCATTTGTCAAGGACCTAACCTCCAAGGAGAACGTCCAACTGATACCGAAATCCGGTCTTGTGTGGAAGGATCTTTTCGAAATGGTCGAGACAAAACTCTCTCACCAACAGGCTCTCTCTGCTGGAGCAGAGCCAACGCGCAACGATACGCTCCTGGTTACGGCCAACTTGTCCACATTCCCCAAAAAGTCCTTCTTGGGCTTCGATAGCATGAGCACCATGGTCATGTATCAGTTCATGTCCAGCATAAAGTCGTCGTCGTTGTTTCAGAAATACGGATTGGTGCGAATGCTGCTATGGGTGAATGACGAAGAGAAGCGCCGACTCATCCCAAAGTCTCTCAACCGTCGCAAGCGAGGCTCGTTCGAGGCCGAGCTGGCGTGCGAGTGGATTCACGAAGTGGCAGGGCAAGAGCTGGAAGCTGAGAGCCGCCATACGCTGCGCGACGAATGGATCAACAAAGAGTCTGCTCTCAACACACTGGGCAGGATGCAAGCACAGGGCCTCACAGTGCCCAGGGGGCGAGGGGTGAAGACATACAAAGATTCGATGAGATCAAAGAGACTCATGGGCAAGAAGCTGGCCGGAGTCAACATGCCTGACATCTCTCGACCTTTCAAAAAGGAACTGGAAGACCTCGAACATGAGTATGTAGAGGAAAGCGTGCAGGCATCCGACCGGTTGAGGTTCTTGCGCAGTAGAGAAAAGTATGAAGTCAACCACTACAAATCATTTTTGGAACTGTTGCAGGGGTGGGAGAGAATATCTGCTATGAAGGATGATGGCACGGGCGCGTTCGAGCAGGCTGATAGAGAGTGGAACGAGATGATTGATAATCTCAAGAAGAACCAGCGGATGGAGTTTAATCTCCTCCGAGACAGCTACCACCTATTTCGCCAAGATCCCCCAGCCTTACTGTGGGATCGGCGAGCGTACGAACCGCTCGCTGCCAAAGCAGACGAGTTCTTTCCAAATGCACCAACGGCCCTCTTGGACATTCAGCCCAAGGCTATGCATCCTCTACTGCGGCAGATTGGCCCCAACAGCAACCATGCTGGAGACATATCCGACGTCATGCTACGATCTTGGTGGAATTTGACGCTCCTACCGGTGCATAAGGCGATGGATGGCTTGTGGCCCGGGTTTGGTGATTTGATAACAGAGGTCTCCAGCTTAAAGGACATTCAGCGTGGAGGAACGATGATGACGGGACATGGGTCGCTGAGCGCGAGGAGCATCAACGAGGGGCAGTGGGCCGAGATTGTCGAGACGTGGATGAGGTGGCCGTTCCGACCAACGTATGGGCAAATGCTGGGCAGGATGTCGGACGATGATGGCGATGGGGATGATGAAGATGTAAAGTCTGGTGCCTTTGGATCAATGGTTTAGAGCGGACGACGGCCTGGTGCTTTTACTGTACGATAAGTGCGTGTTGTGGACGCCAAGAAAAATTATCTATATGTGTATAGACATGAACAATCACTATAACACCTAGGTAATTGGACAATTAAATCACAAGTGGAAGGCACATTTGTAGTGTCACAAGTAGAGAATTAGGCAATATTGTTGGGTAATATTAATTGATCATTATTATAGTATAGTTGCATAAATCATCGCTCGTTTGCTTAATTTGAAAACTTGGGGTCGACGTGCTTTCTGTACCGCACACTATTAGCACTCTCTACTGAACCCTCTTGGTGATTCTCAGTCTGGTCACTTACCCAGTCACCTTCTCGTACATATTTCGGCCGGCATCGGTAATCTTCTCCTGAGTGTTGCGATCAACGTTGTAGCCAGCCTTCTTGGAGCCCATGCCGAAAGCTGGAACAGTTGCATTAGCCATGTTGCTCTCACTTGTCTGTATAACTGTAGACTGGGTAAAAGAGGAATAATTACCCTTGTCGACGTAGTCCTCCTTCTGGACGCCTCCAGCCTGGGGAGCAGCGCCTGGGGCAGCAGCGCCTTGGGCAGCGGGCTGGCCCTGGTTGTTGTGCACAGCGTTCTTGACGAAATCCATGGTTGATTGATTTAGATTTTGGAAAATGTAGAAAAGTAGTTTGTATAGATAGCTTTTGTTGTAGACTGAAATTGAGATTCAAATAGAGAGGGCTGCCTCTTCCTATATATACCCTTTCACCCCTCACCGGTGGCTTATTCAGGGATCCAATCGAGATCTCTGCATGCAGCCATGGCTCATGGGCCGGTCAATCGTAGCTGACGAAATGGGCGAATGACGAACCTGTTCTTCGTGCCTCGATAACAATCTCCGACCTAGTTTGGTGCTGCATTTCTCCGCATACGTCATAGCCTGGTCAACCGGGTACAGTGCCAACATGTGATACGAAATCCGGGAATCCACCCAAAACCACCAGAATCTCCAACCAAGGCAATGCTTAATTGGGGAAACGGCTGTGCGGTCCTCTGATGCCGATCTTGCATCATAGCTTATTCTCGATTTACGTATGCCAAGTTTTGCATGGAAGACGTCCTAAATATAGGCCAAATGTTAAATCAATGCCCAGTATCAGCTACACACTACATGACCTATGCGAATTCCAGCTTCGTAGCTCTTTTCTTGTTTACATTGGAGTCATGGTTCAGAAATTGCCTTCATATTTACTGCTGCAGATGATCCACTCCGTATAACTACTCTCCAATATACTAGTAAACGACGCGCTGCCTCTCTATTATCGCTATATACCTAATAATATTACCCAGTTGTAAATAATAGACCCTAACGCAATCCAAACGTTCCAGCCAAATAAAAAAATTCCAACGCCCGCTCATAATGCATGTAAACGTTTTGAAAGCATCGTCAAACATCAAACATTCAGATAAGCCCAACCAGCATGTCAATATGGCATAAGAACATGTCGTCCCTCCCGATGATTCGTCCAGCCTTGTGGCTTTGTGGCTGAAGCTTCGAGGATTCGATTCCGTTATTGGCCACTTCCTGAGGTGGAGATTTCAACCTTGAAGCTTGATTCTTCCGACCAAGAAAATTGCCCATTTTATTTCATTTCGTTCCATCTCTTTCATTCTTCCGTCGTCATTACACTTATGACCTGGCAAAGACTTGGTAAGCCATAATCATCACCCAGAACAGAAAGATGGCTCCCGTCAAGGCCATGGCAAAAACCAAGTCCCAGCACTGACAGATCATCTTTTGCTCCAGCCACGCCAGCGTCTCCTGCGTCTTGCCCCTGGGATTCTGGTTGAAGACGTTCATATCACAAGTGCCCTGAATAGATCCGTTCGGTCCCCAGAGCTCGAGAGATACAACGACGAGACCCACGAGCCACATGACGAAGAGCATAAAGGCGCCGATCATGACAATGGCAGGCAGCAGCCGACGTTGAGCAATCAACCAAAAGATGCCGAATATGAATAAGATCGCAATGGCGCCGACCGTGATGTAGTAGGGAAAGTACCTGTACCACGATGCTGTTAGCTTTCAACTGCTTCGCCCATTGAACGAGGGAACGGATTATAAACACGTACCATGGAATGGGCAGCCTGAGTTGGTTCTGGATCTGGATGAAGTTGCCAAAGACGCCTATGATGGTGCTGGAGCACAACAGCATGATGAAGATCCAGAAATTGAGCTGCAAAGGCGGCCAATTGTAAGTTCGAATATGCGTGGTTACCACCTTGCGCTCATAGACGACAGAGGTGCCGCTCAGCATTGAGCGTGATCCCGCCATCATGATGGCTGTAGCAGTACTGGTACGTCTGGCTTGCACTCGCTCCCGTCCTTATTGTCGTTCGCCGCCACTTATAAACTCCAACGCTCTTTAGAAATCTCAATCGATTCTCCGTATTCCTTTGTTCAATCGTTTTTCGAATTGCGTATCGAGGTCGGTAGGATATTGTTTGGTTCGCCAAGATTCGAGGGATCAATAACTGTAGTGGGAAGTGCTTTCTGGTCGTCTGTGTATAACAATGTCGGAGAGGACCAGTCTGCGTATATAGCCGGAGAGCAGGAGAAAACTCCAAGGGGCCACAGCTGACCGGATCAGGGCCTTGTTGGTTCCGATAGGTGATGCGGTGTGGAGCTTCTCTTGTGCTTCTTTGTTCTTCTTCTTTCGGCAGGCCACCCACAGACCGTCTGATGTGCCGTATCTCGCAGTCGTGCAAGTACTTGTAGGTACTCTGCAATAGGCACTACCGGCACAAGGCAATACGCAAGACAATGCCCCGTCCGAGCCCTAGAAGAGAACAGAGGCGATCAACTGCCCCTACCGCCCTGTCGGATGCCGGGTCCTCGATGCGGGTTCCCCCTCAGGGCCTGCTTGAGCGCCCAACCAGCTGCTGTGTAAGAGCCCAAGCCCCCACTGCGGGCGCGGATGTGGATGAAGCGTGTCGAGCACTGATTGATGAATCTCGCTGAGGAATGTCGGTCGAATCAGTCTTCCCCTTGCATGTGCGTCGGTCGATGGAGGGGATGGTGAGGCGTGAACCAGGATGCTTGCGTTGGAGACTATCGACGCTCACCGCTTATGAAGACTGCTCAAAGAAGAATAAAAAGTGACAGATGAAAAGAAGGAGAAGAAGAAGAGGATCAGCCAGTTCTACGGCTGCGGTGGTCAACCGATGCGATGCGGCAACTCCTGTACATGCAAGTGCGCGCGTTATGACTGCAAACTCGTAGTGGGCGAGGAGGGGCAGCCGTTGCTGATATTAGAGGGCGGTATGGCGGTTTTCGCTTTCGAGGTGGCTGGCATTGCTGTATTCGTCTCTCACTTTTCGCTGGTAGCTAAAAATAAGATGGCTGGGGACAGCCCAGGAACGGGAGATTCGCAGCTAACGATATCGCTCAGGTACACGCGCCGGTCCTGTAGACTACTAATATAGCGGGTGAGGTCTAAAACTGCTTTGTTATTAGGCCAACTTTCCCATGGAGAACTATGTCGGCCGCGATGCAATACTTTTTTCTTCTCTCTTGATGTAGCATAAAGCCTCTCATAAGTTTAGATCAAATGCTATCCTGTTACCAGACAGCGAAACAGGTGTTGTCAAGCTATTGATAGGTCTCTGGGTACTCAAAGCATTAAACCACGGTAGCACGGTGCTGCAGTATGCCCTTTGTAGCGGGCAAGCTTCAAACGCTAGAACAGCAAAACCCATTGACTATACATACAGCTTTTCGGCCTCAGTTCAAAATGATTATACAACAGAACATTACAAAATAATAGAATGGCCATTTATGCAGTCGTTAATTTAGATAGAAACGACAACCATGAATTGATCAGGTCCAACTAATACAGTACAAACTCTTGTATATACTCATGCAGAGCAGCGCTGAGATAGCCAAGCCACTCACTGACAGTCCGAGTCCATTGCCTTGTCGATCTGACGTATCTTTAACAGCCCTCTGCCCAAACCAGCTGTGCTTCATTCCAGCCAAGAGTTTGTCCTGGGTGCACACAATACATTGCATAATCACTCACCCCCCTTCCTGCCAAAAACAGTTTGAATCTATGGATGGCCGTCTTTCAGCTTCGGTTCGGACTTGGGGCCCTTTTGCCGCTTTACATTGGCCTTGCACGTACATGATTGAACGAATTTTGGCAAAATTGAGAGTTGTATTATTTAATTTCAGCACCTCAGTTATACGTCACTATTCGAGCAATATCAGCTTGAGAAAAACTTCATCACAATCTCTCAGGCGCCATATCGGGATGCGCGAATGATGCAGAGTATTAAACGTACTTGATTTCGATAAAATCCCAGGGCTCCCCCGCTGGCTCCAATGTGGACAATGATTTCCTGTCTTCCGAGACAGACACTCGCAGTAGCTCATGAGAAGGTGCTTTATATACATTTAGAATGCAACCACCATTTACGTCCATCTCTGCCGTAAAATAGTTGCTGCCCAAACGTTGCCGTTGTTCCGCGCAAATTGTGTTCGCGGTGCCGTTAATATGAAGGTACGTGCCGGAGACAGTGTTGCGGAAGCCATACCAGCCGCTCGTCCTGACACAGTCCCAGAAGCTACCAGAACCAGGTTTGGGTAATAATTTCAACTCTCCGTAGCAAAGACTAAGGTAGAGGTGCGGCTCTTTTCGAGTTCGAATCATGAGTGATTTATTTTCAATAGCATGGTAAATAGGTTGATTCGTCAATGCTTGGACGGCGAAAACGGCTCGTGTACGGTGATTATCTTGAGACATTTTTCTCCACTTCGAAGGTAAAGATGTAGAAGCATTTGAAAGAGTATCCGTAGGTGTGAGATTATTGTTTTCCGAAGCGCTGGTGCTGGTATAATCAGACACTTCTTGCCAAGAGTGTTCGTCCATTATCGAGGTGCACGTATGTTCAAAATGCTCTACAAAATTCTACATCCCAGAGCCACGAGCGATTTAAATATTTTTCGACAATGGGTAGGCAAAGGCAAGTTACCTACTAGGAGAGGAGAAGCTTTCCATGCTTTCCTTGTAATCTAAAGTTTAGCGAATATACTTTCAGTAGCTCAGCCTTGGTAAAGGTGCAGAAACTGAAGGGCTGTTTTTAAAGTACGGGAATCCACAGTAAGGAAACAGTGAGTTGTAGATTCTGAAACTGCTTTATTAGGCTGACCGTCCCACAGAGGACTATATATGTCGATTGAAATGCAATACTTTTTCCCCTTGATGTATAATCGTTTAGCTTAAATTGTATAGGCCTTCCGAAATAATTGATAAGCGCCTACATCTTTAACATTGAGCCATGCACGCCAGTTACACAAGCAAGGTACGTAGCATGATGCTACTGCAGGTACCTACTGATTAGACTTTACACCGAGCAAATTTCAAGTACCCCAAGTAGATCAGCAGCTGATAACAGAGCAAACATAAGAGGTTTCTAACCCACTGCTCCTTACTAGTATTTACCTACCGCTTATCATCTCCCTCAGTCAGAAAGGAAAGGCATTTTTGTATAGCTAATGCATTACTACCTAAACTAACAGTTAAGAAACTGATGCCCAGGGTTACTTTTCCCCCGTGAGAAAGTAAAGGCTAGAAGCGGCTTTTCGCTCTTTCAGCTGTGCCACGCTTACGCATCCAGGCCCTCACAGGAAATAAGTGTCTGGCCTCTTATTGTACAATAAATATTAAGATGACCGCTTCGACGAGCATTAAATTTAAACGCAAACGCAAAAGACAGCCATTTACAGATTAGGTGTAACTGATACAGTACAATCACTCAATTGTCTACATACCCCCTTACAAAGTAGCGCCCAAAAGGTCAAGCAAGCCACTGACGGTCCTCTGTCCATTGCCTGACGTACCACCAGTCCTCCGCCTAAACCAGCTCTACCTCAGCCCAGACTTACTTCATCCAGAGCTTGTTCTGAACATAACTATCCCTCAGCATGCTGAGAAGGCATCACTTTAACGACAAAGAGCCCACTGCTGCTCACCTTCAGCATGCACTAACTGTAAGCCCAAAATCATCAGCCAAGACAACAATACGTAACATGTAATTTCCTAGCGAAGCGCCGGAGTGCCATGGCAATGCTTTTTTCTTGCTTTGACATTAGCCCTGAGGTTGACTCTCAGGAAAGGTTTATTACCAAAATAGAAAATTTGTTTTATTTATCCTCGCACGTAAGTTATTTGACTATTTTAGAGCTAAGTTAGCCTGGTAAAGACCATATCCCCTTAGTTTTCATACCGGGACAATCAAGCCACGTATATTGTCTAACGTGTATTTTGTCAATGAAATCCCAGGCCGTTCCTCCTCCCGTCTGGTGGACCAATGATTCTTCATTTTTTGAGATAGATATTTCCATTAGTTCCTGCTTCAGTATACAGTCCAATCGTCCCTTTTCTTTTGAGATAAACTCTTTTAGTTCATTGGTGAGGGTCTTTAATTGCTTCAGTATATAGCCACCATTCGGATGCCTACAATCTGTAAAATATTCTTGGGAAGTGAGGAGATGGTCCTTCACGTAAACTCGTCCATGATTGTCGTGACTAATGAACCTGTGGGAGACGGTGTTGCGAAGGCCAAACCAGCCGTCTTTCTTAACACACTCCCAGTAGCTGCCACCTGCGGGACGAGGCAAAACCACCAGCTTTCCGTAGCTTAAAGAGAGATAGAGGTGCGGCTCTTGTCGAGTTCGAATCAAGAACGGCCCTCCATCTCCAGGTTGAAGTTCTAAGCGAGGAATGCCATCTTTCTGTATGCCTTTACCTCTACGAGGCATAGACACAGAACCGGTAGAGGGGGTTCTCGTGGGTGTAGGGCGATTTTCGGTGCTGGTGCTAGTGTCATCAGGCACCTCTTGCCAAGATTGTTCATCCATTTTCGAGGTTCATGTATTATCTGCCGAAAAAAAAAGTTTTTGAATAATAAAAATATAATAAAAATTATACGACATTTTACTTCCTCGGGGCCGTGAGCGACTTAAATACTCCCCGAAACAGCTATACAAATATACACGCTGCCCACTAAGTGTAAGTATTTCATCTAAAAGAGGAGAAACTTTCCATGCATTCCAAGCAATCCAAGTAAAGCGAATATACTTCCAATAGCCGAGCCTTGCACTACTAGGTCAACAGGTGGAGAAAGGGAAGGGCTCTTCCTAACGGTAAAGTACATGTATAATTTCTCCCCACTACATGGAATGCTCAGTAAGGAAATCGAGCAAGCCACGAATGGCGGCTTTATAAGAAATTGCACTTTTTCGGCCATTTTTCTCAGACATGAAATAAGAATCACTTCTTGTTTGATTTAAAAGGAGTACATTTCGCCTTTGTTGAATGCATACCCAGACGTCGTTGAGTGCACTCTGCGCGCCATCGGATGGGAACTGCATGAGCACTACTACAGCTTTCCAATCGTCACTCCAAAATCGGAGATATACCCATACAGATGAAGATAATCAGTTTGCATTATTATTATTATTTTTTAAAAAAAAAAATCAGCTCAATTACTATAAATACTCATTTATATATGTTATACAAGTTCTCAGTCTGGTTTTTACATCAATTGCATAGAATGAGCGTCAGATAGCACCGCAGTTCACTCATCTCCATCTTCACATCTACTCCCTATCATCAGGATGGAATACTAGTGCTCGAACCTCAATGCTCTCCCGCGCTGGCGCATTAGCAGCAGCACTTGGGTCCACAAATGCAGTGTGTGGCACCCGTCTAGCTCTTCCATCCGTCTTGCTGTCAAAACACTTGATCAGGAGGACCTCCTCGGGAGTCAATCCAGATTTGTAGAACCACCTCTGGGCTTCATTATGTCTCACGCCGAGAGTCTCTCCTTTTCGGTTAGGATAGATCAATGGCACAGGCACGAGATCCTCTTCTGCAACCGAGTGTGCTTCAGCAACGGCCAGCGGATCTCGTTGGATCTGTCGGATCGGGCGCCAAACATTAATTAGCTGGACACGTCCCTTCAAAAGCTCATCTGCTTCCTCGGGAAGGTGGAATGGAACACGAGAGAGAGCTGCGCTGTAGGACTGGTCGATGTGGACGCGGTTGACGGGGCCACGGAGAACGTTAGAGTTTGAGCCAGCAACATCGCTGGGGAGAGGGCGGCGGATAGTATGATCAAAAATGAAGATTTTGGATGCTCCGGTTCTTAAAACAGAGTTAGTTCGTACAGAAAGAAGAAAGGAGCGAGAAGAAGTCGAAGAGACACTCACACATCCTTGAGAAGCTGTTCCGTCTCTGGGTAGTAATGTGCCTTGATATGCTCATCGTCCACAAAATCCTTCTCGACTGAGGTATGGCGGTGAAACTGGAATCCAGTTTTGTCAAGCGTGTACTTGTTCTCTTGGCCCGCAACATCTCGGATGGTCACTTTACGCTCTTCAGTCGGTCGCTCATTAAATGATGCGGCCTTCCCAGCGTACTGGGGAGTAGGAGGAGAGCCGTCTTCATTATCTTTGTGAAAATTAAGAGTTGTGTCTACGTCGTGCCTTGGAATCTTCTGCTGGACATTCTTTTGGTCAAGAAGTGGCTGAAATTGAACTCCTTGGACGGAGCCAAAGCCAGAGCTGGCTGAGACGCTCTGAACCGCTGCTGCTGCCATTGTCTCTTGTTGTCTTTTTTTTTTAGTCTGGCTTTTACAAGATAGTTGAAATCAGGAGGTTTTTAATTTTCCAATTATAAGAATGTATATGTGCTATGAAACCTTACAGCATTTTCCGGGTCCGGGTGTCCTATATAGTTGCATTGCACGGAGCCACGTCTATCTAGCTCTACACATTCCCCGCGAGCACGTCATTTTTGGCAGCCATTCATCAAGGCAATTGATCACCCAATGAGATCCTACTTATCCAACGCAATCGAAGCACTGTTTCATAATCAAGATTAGTCTCAGCATTTTCCCCTCAATTCTCTGGTCCGAGGCAACTTGATTTGAAATCCGTTATTATGAACTCTACATTTATCGTTCGACCCGAGCAGGGCGTAAGAGCGTGGGACAGCTGCCAGAGCTCGGAAATAGGGTAGATGTGATGTGTCAATTAGACTTTAAGCGAAATCAGTGAATCAACTTGGTATTACAAATTCTAGTTCTTCCAAAGCTTACGTACTACAGCTCGTCTTACAAACCTGTGATGGATGGATGATGGATGGGATCATCGGAGATTATCGGTTTAATGAGAGAGCAGTTGAATTTGCATCTTAACTACCCATTTTGTATCAATTTTCATTGCTTTCATAACTTCCAGTCATAAATCTTTCGATTAATCAATGCTATGAAATAGTGAAAAATAGCTGCTCTGGCCTGCCATGATACAGCCCTAGATCTTGGGCTCAGCTTATAGTCTTAAACCCAAAAATATGGGAACTAAACTTCTTCTCTACTATAAACCCGTCTATAATTCCCGAGATAAGCGATGATGGCTATATCATTCGTATTTGTGCACGAGTCGTGTAATAGACGTCCCGTCACCAAGAACCTCTGTCTCTTCTTCCAGCGTGTAGCCTCTCCACTTGGGTAAAAGAATAGTCCAGACGTACCAGTACAGAACACCGGCCACGATACTAGTAGAGAATATTAGTTTTTCATATAATCTTTCGGTATTGGGCTGAGAAATTGACTTACGTGCTCATCCCCACCACCGCATAAGTTGCGTACCAAAGTCCTCCAGAAGGTTTGTCTTTCGGAGGGAAGAAGGGCGCCGCAAGAAGTGCAAAGCTCAAGAGAGCTCGAGCTACAATGGTGAATAGCCATGCTTTATAAGGCCGTTTCAAGTCAGGTCGCTTAAATCGCAACCAAATAAGACCAACGCCCAAAGCAAGGCTAAAGACTTGAGCTGGATAGCCTTCCACGTCGAGGATGAAGGAGAATGCTTCTGAAGTTGGCGGCAGCACAATGACCAATAATGAGGGAACAAAGTTGACAATAAGGCCTCCTAGAGGCGAGTTGAATGGCTTTGTAGATGCAAGGATTTCCGAGTAAGGCAGAAAGCCCTGCCTGGCAATTTCTTGCTTTAATCGGGCCTAATGATTATATAGTCAGCCCAAGTTCTTCAACATCAAACATTTCCTTCATCTATGGCTTGGGAACATGGAAACTTACCATTGCAAATGCGACAACAAAAACATTTCCTACCGCAGAGAGAGCAACTGCCATAGGCAAAATCGTTCTACCGACTTGCTCACCAAATACACGCCGAAAGAAGAGCGCCGCAATGAGTTCTCCGCTCCCCTTGATTTCATCAATAGGAATCACGATGAAGTATGCAATGTTGATGAGCCCGTACATGGCGCAAGACGTAGCCAGTGCAGTCAGTGTTACGGAACGTAGCGTCCGTACGGGATCTTTGACCTCGTTCAGCACGTTGCTGATGTTATCCAGTCCAGCATAAGAGTAGAACACTTTGAATAGCCCCGTCGAAATGACGCCCCAATTCCAAACGCTGTCGTCCCACAGGTGATCCCATGACAAGGGATTGCCGCCCGATGAGGTATCTAGCGTTGGCCGGAAAAGTACAACGTAGAGACCAGAGAAAATCATAAAGATGACGATGCCAATCTTGACCCAGCCAAGGAAATCTTGTATCTTGATGCCCGCCTTGGGAGCCAGCCCGTGAGTCGCTGTCACAACCACCAGTAGAGCAGTGGCGACTGCTTTCGCTGCCCAGCCACTTGCATTTTCCACTCCAAAAGCAAAGAATACGTAGCGGCTAAAGATGATGCAGTTGCTGGATGTGAACCCTAGGAATACCGCGTTGATGGCGACCAACGTAGTTGCAAAGAACCGGGGGTATCTATAAGTGAACTCGAGATAGACCTTCATGCCTCCAGATCGCGGCAGCATGCATCCATACTCGAGGGATACTGATAGACCAGCGGCTGCAACAAACGTGCCAACAATCCATAGTAATAGTGACAGTCCAGGGCTTCCAACTTGCTGCAGAATAGCTCCGGGGGTGGCAAAGATGCCACTACCGATGACTCTGGATATCACGATGATGTAGGCATTCTGCCAGCTTAGCGTTCGGCCTAGGGCAGATGTCTCTGGCAGTACGTCGTCTTCGACAGCTCGTGATGGTTGTATTTCGCCGCCGGCATTCTCTGTTTCGCTCAACGTCGCTATCGTATCATATTTGTTGTCATCTGTTTCCGCAGGTAAGGGACTTGGAGAAGCTTGAAGCAGCGGCTGCCGCTCTCCAATATCGTCGCTGCTATCATGGCCAGCCATGATGTATGCTTTGTCACCACTGTTGGCTGAAAGTTGAGCCTGAGTAGATATTGTAGCGAGGAAAGTAAACAGATGAAAGAATAGCCTTCTCTTTTCATTCTCCTCTTATCAGGCACAAAAGGGCAAAAAGAAGCGCTCTACTGCCCAACGGCCAGTTCGGATCGTCAACAATACCCATTGCTACCCAGAGCCATATTTACGGCGCTGATAAAGCTAGAGAGGCAATGTACTCTGTCATCCCGGAGATCCCATGCCCATCCAGGGCCAGCATGACATACACACAAGACGCGTCCTCGTCAGCCAAAACGTTTATTGCGCGATTGGTTCCATTAATAAGGCAGACAAGGCCGCCCGTGGCCAGTCGTTGAGACACCCAAATTCCATGGCGCGAATCTCAGGCGCTCGCACGCCATCGCCTTATTGCCGCAGATAGGAGGTAAGCACTTGGGCGCTGCTTAGCCTTTCTGCTAGCAATGGAAGAAAATGCTTAAATTCCAGCGATGCTATCTTCAATGATAACGTATTTGCAGAGCACACTATCATTCTTTGCTGATTGTTGATATGCGTCATGATAGTACAGGGTATAATTCCATAGGTAGCTCACAATGCGCGACATTGAATTGCTGCACGCTCTTAAGCTGAACCCCAGATCCGCTTCACTACTAATTTTCTAGACGGCATTGTCTCACTTGTAGCATGCTTGCTAATGAAATTCTAACAGCCTAGGCAATTATTAGCTCAGGGGAATTGAAAGCCAGTTGCACTTTCAGTTTACATGGGTAACTCGGAGGTTCAACTAACTGGCTTTGTCAACTTGCGCCTCCTTTCAGCCATCCGCTCTTATTATCAAGCAAGGATGATTTAGGCCAGGCTTGCGCATTGTTTGAGTTTATGCCACTCTGTTGCGATGTGTGTTGACTTGGATATGGCCGCAATTCATGAATGGACCATTGTTCTATTTTAAATGGTCGTTTTCATTTGTACGTTTCTTCATTGAAGTCGTAACACGAGACTTGTAATGTTATACAACAATATCAGCGTAATGTGGCATACATTTGAAGCTCGCAAACTGCCCATCTATTTGCGGACCAAACACCACATGGTCTGTCTCACAAGCATTTACCACTTATCCATACGGCCTCGGATAACAAGAAGACCGTACTATTCTAGAATTCGATTCATTACCAGAAATCGGAATCTCTCCAGGGTAGCTCCGCCTTATCCACCAATGCCCAAAACGTGGAGCTGCTACGGGCGATCTCCCGACCGATCTGATCACGATGAGATCGGAAGCTGAATAGTAATACACTAAACCACAAGACTACTCCAGACCGATTGCTCATCAATTCGCCCTGCAGCTATATTTCATTTGGTTGGTCTCATAAGAACTAGTGTTTTATATATCAGCCCCCAAAATAATCGACTGACTCCCTACTTGTCTAGATGCGCATTCCACTGGTGTTTCATTGAAGCTTAGCCACATATCCGACGCCCCTGTTTGCCTGTTCAGCCCCTTCAACTGAGGGTCTTGATCCACAAGTAAGGTCTCGGCCCTCTGTTTACCAGGGAAGGAAAAGAAACCGGAAAGTTCAAGATAGCCTCCCTTTTCTCGGATGGCTGCAATGTATTGAGCCGCCACACCCCTCCCCCACGAGTCCTGTATTTGACAACTTCAAGATCCACAATTGACGCCAGGTGGACACGAGCTGAAAATTGTTGAAAGATTCTGATCCTATCATTACATTGCAGCAGTGGTCATGTTATCGGTGACCTGAAGCGGTGTGCTGTCGGTGATCCTTGATCCTTGCGTTGGCTTGACTGGCTTGGATCCAACTTCACGCAGGTGGACGGGACGGACTATGCGTGGCTAGATAGTGAAAAACTTTCATGTTACTGTACAGTTCCTTGCCGTTAACTCTAACTACCTTTGCGAATGTCTATGTCCATGTCCTATTTGTATCCCATCTCTGAGTGTGCAATTTATCTACCCAAGTTTCTATTTTGGGATAGCCGCTTGTAGATGCTATGTGGAACAGGACCAAATATTGGGACCATACACTAAGACCTAGGAAGGTATAGATAGCGATTGTGGCAATCAGTGGAAGATATGGATCGAAATGAGCCCCTATGGGTAATCATGCATGTACCTATATTTGCGTCTAAACGCACTCCTCATCCGATGTCGGGTACGCCCGCTCATAGTGCTTCGGTCGATAAGTAAGGGGGCATATCTCTGGCCTCTAGCATTGCCACTTCCCTGAATCCTAGAACCAGTACCCGGGAAAACAACCAATACTACTCGCAGTGTTCTGATGCTCACGCCCTTGCTTGGTATAACATGACCCTTGTCCAGCTGAAAGGAAGTGCTTAAGTATTCTGTGGCTGCAGCCGAAAAGTAAATAGTATAACAACGGCTACGGTAGTAGAGCATAGTGCCAAGCATGACGTCTCGTTCGTCTATTTGGACATTAGGATGTCTGGGGGATGTGATATGTCATCTGGCTATCCCGTGCATATTGTACTCTGACAGATTGGTCCTTAGAGGCATTATGGCTTGCATCTCAGCGAGACTACTGAAAATTATTTTTATTACATGTAATCTGAATATGCGGAGTATGTCAAGCAGGAGCACAAGCCTACAGTATGCCTTCTTTGGGCCGCAGGAGCAGCGATGCTGTAGCCGATGAGACAACAACCCGAGACAGCAGCCCGAGACAACAATGTGAGACAACAATCTTGGATGGGGTGAACGTATAAAGAGAAAAAAGAGAGAACGGTTTGCAACACCGTATGATATCTATTTCGTGAACTTTGGCTGTCATCGAATGCAATTATAGTACGCACATACGCTGCTCCTTGCAGATAGGTGATAAAATACCTGCCTTATTCGTTCAAACTTACGCTACTTGTTTCACTCTCTTGATGCTGCCCCTGCCAAACATTTAGCTCTTGGTTTGCCTAGTTCCCGGATACCATGTTTAATTTGGGGGCTGATTTCTCCTGTTTAAATTAATTTACGCAAGAGTCTTGTTGTCTCTTCTTGGCACCGGGGTTGTACTTCCTTTCTCAGGTTTCAACAATTCCGTGGAGGTGCGCTGCTATGCATATACGCAAGTATTCTTTGACTTCCCATGATGCCCTTTGTCTATGATACATCAACACTGCCCAAGGGCCTTAGAAAGTGAAAGCATATGCTTTCTTCCTGTTGCCTTTGCACATGTCTATCTTACACTAGAATTAGCAGGTGAACACATATTCACAGCTGGAGCATGAGTGATACAGGAGCTAGTACACATTTTACAAGTGACAGAGAGACCTTTCTGAAGAGGTCTTGCTAGTGAAATTACCCCATGAGAGAAATAGCAGGGTGTTGAAACTTGCCTGGAATGATACATCGAGTTAATAGGCTACAATGCAACGCAGCCAATAACACTGCGCTTATTGCCGGAGCCACCTCCGTATTTTCCAGGGTTGTTGGAATGTCGGCATCCTGGTACGTCATGGGCACCCGTCAAAGCTGAAAATCTGCAAATTGTCCAAAGCATCCTGGTATTTACGCGCACACACAATCCAACAACGTATCAATACGCACATTTTTGGTCATACCTTTGCTCTGCGGCTGTGATATGGACTGTGCCAGGAGCATTGTAACTTCAGTAGGCATTGTCAAACTTGTCAAACTGGTCAGCCAAATAGCTTATAAACGACAGCCACAGTCTCGTAACTGAATTTCACTTGATACCAGTGTAAAGGGAGGGGATGCTTCATTATTCAGCTACCTCTTGGCATCGCCTCGAGGTAGCAGCCCACAGTGGTAACGAGGCGAAGTAATTAGAAAAAAGCCACCGCGGGGAGGTGATAGGGGGAAGGGCCAACAACAAAAATTCACGGTAAATCAATATAGGTCACGCGTAGTCAGTATAAAAAGGAAAGAGAAAACTAAACGAGATCGTCAAACACCCTGGCGCCCACCAATGCCACGCCAAATACGCTGTGCCGGATCGCAATATTAGTATTATGTAGTAGTATATACCGTTACACTCAACCCCGTATGACTTTTCAGCTCGTCGCTTAACTAAAATCTCATTTGCTCTTGCGGAATATGAATGAAAGCCACCGTTGTCCCCCCCGCTCACAAATGAAGACGTGGCAGCAAGAGAATAGCACCAAGTTCTGTCTTGTAGCGCAGTACTAGCAATACCGAAGCCCATGCTCATTCATCACACATTTACGGTGGCGGCATTAGCCAAGCTGCGCGCCTGTAGACAAAACAGAAAATGATATGATACATGGCATATACATCGTACAGTTAATTATGAGTTATTCTACTATTGCGCACAGCACTGTATAGCGCTATCAAATCTCACAACCGGCTTGACGCAATTTCAGTGAGACGACATTGATTGAACAGCCTGATGTCACTGACCAAACTAGATACCCCTGGCTTTAGCATGACTTATATCAGCTCGCAAGTACCAAGCCCAAAAGCACCTGGAGCTACTTTTAAAAAGCAATTCTGCTTGCAGCACAGCATCTGGATGTCCTGATTCGCCCTCGCTTTTAGCACTGCTATCAAGGCTCCATGACCAAGCCTCGACACACGGCGTACTCTAAGACAATCGTCCCAAATAAGACAAACGCAGCCACCCCTTTATGGGGCAAGGAGGCTCCTTCGCTCCAGACCGGGCGCTTTGGACGGCCGCAAGGCATCTACCCGACCTATTTTTGAATACCTACCAACAGTGGGAAAAAAACATCTCCCAACAGAAGGCCTTTGATTGACGATATCATGCGGAATAATCAGTATTAGACGAGAAAAAAGAAAAGGCATCCAATAGCGCCGCCCATTTGGGCCTAGCCGAAGTCATCATCCATGCAAACCCGTGAAAATTACGAAGCTTTAGATCCAATCGATTCATAGTAACCCGGCATATTCTTAGCATCGAAAGTCTGCGCCTGGTTTTCGGTGCGGCTGCGATCCTGGCCGCAGCCCAACCCAACTGTCTCAATGCCCGCCGTGGCAAATGCCCGCCTTGGCAAATTATGTCTCGATGGTATATCAACGCCTGCCGTTAGTTTAGGAAATTTGTCAGAGATGGAACAGGTAACATATCAAAAGCAGTGACTGCAACAAGGATGTAAATACACGTGTATATCGTATATCCAATGACTTATACCCATCCCCATACCGATAACCATGTCTAAGCCCCCCGGCACGTCTTTTACCCTGCCGGGTTCTGTCTAAATCTAACTGCGTGTCTTCCCACCACCGGTTCTCTGTACTTGTCCGTACTGCCTACGAAATCCATTGCTGTAAGTCTCCGACTACTTGATAGGTCGGATTGGCAGAGCGTCCATCACCGCCTTTCTGATCCCACGACCACCGGTCCGCATAGTCCGCACCAAGGAGGCCGTGTAGCATGTCCGCGATGTAGTCACCAATCACTGGCAAGAATTTCCAACCGTGAAACGAGCCGCCAGTAGCCACGTATAAGCCATCACAGTGAGGGTGAGGCGAAATGAGGAAATCATGAGTCGGTGTAGAGGCATCCCTGGAAGACTTTTGTCTAAGTACATGTACTTTCAATGATTGCGGCGGGAAATTTGGATGCTTACCAGCAGATACGGTATGACTTAATGGACAGATTTTCAACTTCCTTGCCATATAGACCATCAAATGTCATCCTGGCACGCTCTTTGAAGAAGGGCACAAAGTCTGGACCCGTCCACGTGTTGTAGGCTGACACCTCGGGGGCCATTGACATCTTCTCGCCAGTGATGGGGTTATTGACGTAGTTGGTAAAGCACATATCACAGTTGAACTTTATGGTGCCATCTTTTAGGATTGACATGCCCTCGCCTGCATTTGTATGGTCAGCAGATGTTTCATGCAGTCGTATGAATAGTATATCCATGGGCACAGGAGTGTAATCCTTGTATCCCGGTTTCCTATCCCAGGAAGTGGAGAACGGGAGGAGGGGAGGGAAGTCTATTAGGAAATTCAAGCATTTCCCGATAAAACGCACCTTTAACTTCAGGGAGGCAGTTCTTCAGCACAGGGACACCGGCGAATTTCTCTTTCTGCTCGCCATATAGTTTGGAACAGAAGCTAATGGCTCCTGTTGCAACTAGCCGGTCACCGATATGGAGATTCTTGTTCTCGGGAGCGCTCTGGACCAGGAGAGAGCCTGTCCTGGCACCAGTGCAAAGCAAGGTCTTGTCGGCTTGCAGGGTCTGGCCGTTGGTGAGCTCGATCCCCACGCACTGGCCGTCGGGGCCGAGATCGAGAGACTTCATCTCACCAACGACGTATTCAACCCCCAAGTCCACCGCAGCTTGCATAACGGCCTCCAGGGCCTTGTCTGCTTCCGCATACCCCACTGTGGGGTTGAACAAGATCTTGTCCAAGGTACCGAAGCATGCTGTGGCATAAACCCCGTTCCAGCGTTTCCGCACCTCGTCGACTGATAAGAACTCTGCGTCGTTGGCAACTCCAACGGCCTTGTACGACGCAATGCTCTTTTCACCAAAGTCGGATGCGTCGGCTCTTAGCATGCCAACTTCATGGTACCAGGGGCTATAGAGCTTATCGGCACGCCACATGGGCATGGCCTTCATAAGCATCTGCATGTAGAGCTTGTCTGGGTAATCATCCCGCACGATCTTGTTGATATCGTGTGAAGCGGCTCTGGGGTTCGGGTAGGGGGCGGTATCAACAATAGTGACCTTGACACCTCCCTTCCTAGCGAGACTCAGAGCCGTGGCGGCGCCGAAGTTTCCTGCGCCAACAATGATAACTGACGACACTTCGCTGTGTATGGAAGAGTTTGACGAAACAGGTGACGTTGGCTCAGTGTCCATTGCCAGCTGTGGTGACGGGGGAGAAGATCCCGACTTGAGGGCCTCTGACATGTTTGTAGAGATTTGCATTTTGGACAGTATCAGTCCTTGTGTGTTATAAGCTTATACTGGCAAGCCAAGAGATATAGCAGAGTTGGAGATGGAATTAGACGAGAAGATGATATATCAAATGCAAGTGTAAACAGCAATATGATATATGAGATGTGGGAGTTCCAAGTCTTCTTCGAGATGGTGAAGAGTTCGCTCTGACTTGCTTGAGAGGTTGAGTCCATTAGAGGAGGCAGTGGCTTGAACTTTATACTCAGAGTTTTCAGGCACAATGTCAGGCAAACGAGGGTCTAATTGGGGGCAGAAAACTCAAATTGACAATTTACATAAAAGACTGAGAGAGAAAAAACGAAAAACAAAAAAAGCAATGAATCAGGATCCACAGAAGAGCAAGTGGTGTGTTGATGCCCTCGCACTTGCGGACACACCCTAGCAAGGAAAGAATGTAGGGAATCCATGCTATCGGGGAGTCAGCTGGCCAGAGCCCAACGATATCGGGAGCCTGTAGCAAAAGTGATTGACGTGTCGAGAACAAGCCCAAGGAATTTCTCCAAGCTGGTGGCTCAAGGTTCACCCCCAACTGCGTGGGGATGAGAGTCTCGGATGCCTACAGGGAAGCGTGATCCCAAAGCGGCAGAAAAAAATAGAACCACAGCTGCAGATCCGAAGAAAGGGGACAAGAGTCGTATGAGGAGTATGATATGACGGCGCATTAATGGCCCTATAATGGCGAAGCCGAGGCCACCGCCTGGGCAGCACCTGAGTTGTATCTCCCCAAGACCGGGGCTTGTACGAACAGGAGATAGTTCCAAAGGTAGGGAGGAACTAGGTAGAGGCAAGTGAACCTTGCTCCGGCTGGCGGAAGCGGGAGCTGGGGCTGGAGGGTCGCATCGGCGGATATATGAGGACTGAAAGCAGAGCAAAGACTTGAATGGAGGCAGTCATGGAGCGGAACTAGACGACAAAGGGCCTGTCGGGACTCAGTTCTGGCTCTGCTAATTGGGGGCGTGTAGTTAGTTAGCGCTGTGTAATGCTGGTATCAGTTGACGCGGAATGCAGATAGACATCAGCTCTGCTCTCTAGGAGAGGAAAAAGGAAAAAGCAGAAGAGAGACACTAGGAGTACTGTAAGAAAAAAAAAAGGAGCAGGGGGATAGAGAGATTTCGATCGATCCCCAAGACGGCCTAGACAGGTACCTCCCGTTTACGTGTAAGCTTGAGGCTAAATTGTGCCAGCAGCAGGTTGCCTGCAGCCACGGATGCGATGCCTGGGTACTAAAATATGGAACTCGCATGCAGTTGATGGCCTCTATTCTACCCGTGCCTGTATGTACAACGGCGTATATTGTATGGGAGCCGAGCTAGGCGCCGTCAAAGGCCTCGAGCTGCGCGCCAAGTTGGAGCGTCGGATATTGGTACCGTGTGGTGTGTGCTCGTCGTTTCTGGGCAAGCAGTAAGTAATACGGGCACACACAGGCTAGGACCAGCGTCAATTGCTGGCAGGGTAGTGGAGACTCCAGGCCCGGAAGCAATTAAAAGCTCAATTCAATGGCAGCAGGTCCTTGTACTCTCTGACCGCAGGCCCCAGTACATGTAAGTCAAGTCTCGCCAACGCAGCTGCTGCCCCTTGGCGCACTCAGATGCACAAAGACGTCCGCATACATGATACCTGAATATAGACAGTGTATGATGTGTATTCTATTCCGATCTGCTTGCCTCCCATCATCGGAACACACCCGGGCGAGTCAACTTCAGAGCCAGAGTCCATGTACCGAGTTGCTTCACTAGTGCCTTGTCTGATCCGTGTCGTCCTAACCCAGTTCTGTTATGATTCCCTTTGCCTTTTGCCTTTTACCAGCTGGTTTCCGAGACATCAAGTTGTAGCACTACAACGACCAGCAAACAGTTGCAGTTAGCAGGAGCAGTAGCAGTACACGTCCGGCGGCTGCGGTGGAGACGGGCCAAGAGTGCGACTCCAGGCAAAAACTCAATCTCCTTGTTGTCTCTTTTCTCCCGATTTCCTATTTTCGATTCTCGCCCCTCGTCCTTCTTGTTCCCACGCCCCATCTCTCCCCCCATCGCCCATCTAGCGATCGCCCCAAGCCAAGGGCCAAGCTTCGGACCCATCAGCCCCTCCCCCTTAGGGGATCCATTGTCTCTGCCATTACTGTTCAAGTAAGTGACCTTTCTCCACAGGTGGCATGCATGGTCGTTCGTACCCGCTCAACCGCTGTGATCCCGCTGTGGCGCTGTGGGTACTCCTGAGCACGTCCTGACCTCGGTAGGCCTGGTCCTGATTGATATTGTTTAGCAGAGGAAAGGTAATGTTGGAAGAAGGTGTTGCACGGTCTGTTGAGAGGACAGGACAGGACACATGTATCCGAGAGCACGCGTAGCCGGGCAATAGACGACGGGTGTTGCCTTACATGTATATATGTATGTTGGTTGTGCGTTCTGCAGCAGCAAGCTAGTGGTACCGGTGTAGAAGTGTGTGTGCGTTAGGGCGCCTCTTTATTCGCAACAAAACGGCATGGGGCCTCTGTCCGAGCTGGCCAGCCCCGGCTCTCGCAAAAGGATAGAGATGAGCCTCTCCAACTGCTACTGGCTGCTTTGTGGCCAACGTGTTGGTTGTATCCAACTTGAACCAACAGAGTAAGTAATAGAGCGCCCGTTTGCTAGCGTTGGCCACAGTTTTAGCTTCGCTTCTCGATATCAAATGCAGAAACCTCATGTCGTCTTGCAGTCGGTGAATCAAAAGCGTCGTGAGACAACTGTGTGACGTATAAGCCAGCGTGCTGAGGTTGCCTCCAATTCCAGACAGGATAATGCTTCCGTGCCGGATTCAGGTAAAACAAAAAGAGACAAAAGAAACAAAGATGTGATGACAACCCATGAGGTTCTTAGTTTCCCTCTTGAGTTTCATTCCTTTCCTCCTAGTGCTCATCAACGCACTCTAGGTCCGCACCGTTCATAAGCCACGTGCCACGATATCTTTCGAAATTCATTCGCTCTGAATATGATCGGTACGGGCAGTCCGTGGGTCTAGTACGCTTCGAGATGGTGGTGTGTTGTTGAGCCATGAGGACATGTAATTGGGTATTGATGCCGTCTCAAAAGAGACGTAGAGGTGTTGTAATATGACAGCATTGAGACATATCCCTGAGGCTGTGTTGTTCTGTTCTGATTGGAGTTTGCTATCCGAAGGAGAGAAGAGGAGAAATTCCGCTGCACCTTGGTATTGCTAATAGGAGCTGTTTTATCTCGAGAGAACTCGGTCGACCAGTTTCGGTGTCACAGCCTCGACATGCATCATGACGCCATCCGCCGCGGTAGTAGAGACCCGGTGCTCTGGACATGACATGTTACTTGCATGGCCGTCAAACTTGAGGCCTTGCGCGCTCCATACCATTGATCTGGGGCGCGCGTCTGCTGTACAAAGGTTGTCACCGTCGACATGCTGGAGACATATCGACCGACCTCGGCGTCTGACAAGAGCCTAAGCAGGATCGAATGCTGCTCCCCTCCTTCTTGTGGTTGGCGTTTGTTTTCCTTCGTAGCTTTTCCACGGTTTGGTGGACATCGATCGATATTGGGTAAATACAAGTTGCTCTCGCATATTCTAGTTCAGTAATCATCAGTTGATTATGCTTGTTCGGACTGTCGAGTCACCAGGGAAGACGAGAAAAGCCGGTTACCATAAGTTGCGTCAGATATGAACATGTATTGAAAGGAGCTTCAGTATACACGAGCGGTCATTTTGATTGTAATCGTTGGTGTCCTTCTTATTAACAGTTAATAAAGTAGGTGACCGTCAACGTATATTGTTTCCACAAACCGCATCTCAATTGTAGGCAATAAAGGCGTCTTGGCGGCCTCTTTCTCCTCGTATAACCGCCTATGTCTTCGCGCACTCTACATGTATCCATGACAAGAAACCTTTGTTACTTGTTACCAAACGCAAAGGCAAGAGGATGCGGAGAATAGGCATTGTCTCAGTGTAATCAGCAGCCTGTCGTCCTGGTAACTAACCCTTGGATAGAACGTAGAGGACAGGATGGCTTGGCCATTAGGATTTTTGGATACGTTTGGCCTGCTGTTTGCATCACTCTGTCGTTTTCGATACTTCAACTGCATTGCACCGTGTTTTCAACTGGATTGGAGGTACTTTCAGCGTCTCAGGAAAGTGCATATCACATTGATCACGTTGCAGTGTGGAAGATACTCTTTGCCCGAGTCCAGGATTCATCCATCCACCCGTGCCCCCCACGCAATCAGCTGCTCAGGACTTTGAACTCGGCGCATTGCTTCACGAGCTCGTCAACAGAACGCGCAAGTGCTGAGATGCAGCATTTGAGCGGCTCTCGTACCTGTACCTGGGCACTTATGCATGCAGACACACACAGGTGCATATAGATCCACCCGGCTCGCAGACTTTGTTGTCATTGCGCCTACACCATATGCACCTGGCAGCAAGCTTGACGCTCTCATTTGCTGAGTACACTTGGCGTCCTTCACCGGTCAAGAAAAACGATCTGCTGCCATACTCAAAATACCACCATTCATGCAATGTGCCATGCACAGCGTACAGAGTGCAGCATGCAGCGCAGTCGGTGGCGTGGGCCGCGTGACCTTGCAGTTTGCTTCTCATTTCCCTTTTCCTCTCAATAAAAAAATGTTATGTATGCCAGGCTAGAAAAAAAGCAGGCATCTATCTGATATCAGCAACGAATATGCATGAAGATGCTCGCGACGATCTTGGCATTTCGCGGCATCTTTGCCCGACAGACGAGATGTGGGGGTTCACCCATGCAACAGCCGACAAATTTTACTATATTCGGCTTCTCGATCAAGCATCATGAGACCATTTGGATGTAAACGAGGCTCGGATGGCAAACATTAGGCATACATTGGGATGGGATGGCGTTGAAAACGCTGCCCAACACTCAATCTCTTACACTCAATTTCCCTTTTCAGAGGCCTTCTCCGTACGGCGTTGAAGCACTAAGGAAATCTTGCTTTTTGGTCAAAATGCGGTATGTAGTAATTTGGAAACTAGGATTCCAGGAATATGGCCAGGCCAATTGTAATCCCAGATGCTCTTGGAGCCCAATGAATGCAGCCGCTCCTCAGGTAGCATCCGAAACACACTTTCCCATCACCCTGGCAAGCTCTGCACTATCAGTATAATTTCGCCCCCAAACTCCGGACCCGGGTGAGCCCGACCAGGTTTTCACCCTGCATCTACGGCACAAGCAAGGGAGAGAAACAAGGGCGCAGCAGAGGGTCTAAGCAGTCAAGAGAAACAAGTTATTTCTGATGCTAGTACGGATACTAGCCGTAATAATGTTACCTAGAAATCTATTGTTTTTTTCGGACCGGCTATCGCTAAAGAACAGGCATGGCAGATCCCAGAGTTCAGCTCTCCAGGATGTTTAAACAGTGTATGCGGAGCAACTGCCCCTTGAGCTAATTAAACGCCCGCTACTTTTCCCTTTCCGATCGTTTTTCATCCCTTTGGTTGTTAGTCCCAAAAGTCCCGTTTTGTCGTCCATCGTGTATCCTCGTATAACCCAAAAGTTGTGCTTTTTCCATCCTGTTGCTAAACCCGATTCAAGCAAAGAACAACAGCGCTAAATAGGAAGAAAAGAAAAGAAAACAACACCCCCCCCACTCCGAGCTGAAATCCGAGCTGAAAAAACAGGAAAAGAAAAAAGAAAAGAAAGTAATAGTAGTAGTAAGCAAAAGCAAAAAAAGAAAATAAGAGACCAGCCACACAATATCGATAGTCTGACAGATCAGCAACCCAGTAGTGATCCCCTTAGTTTAGACTACCATCAACAACTGACTGGCAACCCTATTATTAGCGCCCACGGGAAGATGGGTACCGTGACTTCGGGTGACAGAGACCGGCGCCTATAGCTCGATCCACCCAGATGGACGGCGTCGAGGCTAGACGAGCGCGGACTCGGGGAGAGCCGCTGACGTGGAGACGGGGAAGCCTCACCGACTCGAGCCAGGCCTCAGGCTGTTGGCCGTGCGTTTGTTTGCCTGATCTGATCCTTCGGAAGGCGTCGAGCTTGTTGTAGTTGCTGAGACGTACAGTAGACTATGTGCCATGACGCCGGGCTGGCCCCTGTACATGTATCTTTCATGCTTGTGCTGCTCGTACGAGTAGAGCTGCGGGCGGACTCTGCCCGTCACATGTGGACCATGTCGATTGCCCTCTCTTTCTATTTCTGGCGGTTCGGTGTCTCCAGCCCCTCTTTTCTATTGATTGAGACGATGAGAGTATTGGGCAAGTCTGGCCTGTTTGCCTTTATTCTTGCCTACAAAGACTTGTGATTAGTTTCAACAGATAAGCAGGTGTAGCATCATGTACTTACGCCATAAAATAATGCTTGACTGTAGCCTTGTGCCTCTCCAATCCGTCACGGCGCGCAAACCGGCGCTTCTTGGGAGGATTCGGGCAGCCAGGCACATCACACCTCCAGGGCTTGCGATGTTTGTTGCAATGTTGCCTGCATGAATACATTAGCAAACGTGCTAGCCGGGGCACATGGCGCCTGTCCTAATGCATCTCTTTCTCGCATCTCCCGGGGGTTGAAGATGGAAATGAAAGAGCAAGACAAGGGACAGAGAGTTGGGCTTGCCATGATGCTGGGAGAAAAGTTTGTTACGTACGCAAAAGATGAGTTACGGTCGAAAAGTATCAGATTTCCACTCTTATCAACGCCGCCTTTGTCGCAGCGATGGCCTCTAGGACAGTAATATTTCCCTTTACCGCGCTGTTTCAAAGCCTTCAAGTTGATGCCTGCAAACAGGCCGTCGTCGGAATACTCATCCGAGTCTTCTTCATCCTCTTCTTCAATCATGTTTTCCAATGCCGCAGAGGCCGATGCGGCCATTGCAATCTCTTCTGCTGAGCGAGGAAGAGGCCGGCATTGAGGGGGAGGAGGAGTAAGGACTGGTGGAGGTGGTGGTGGCGGCGGAGGAGGAGCCGGAGCAACAATTGGCGTTAATATCCTCACCGGCCTTGGGCCAGACTTCTTCGGCATTGACTTCTTCACCAGTGGCCTTCTCGGTGCCGGCATCAAGGGTACTAGCTTTCGTAGTATCGACCTTGCCCGTGCTCCTGAACCTGGTCCTTCTTTTGCAAGGAATATTCGGGTTGATGCCATGATTGCTTGCTTTTGCTTCTGTTGCTGCACTCTCTGCTGCTGCCCCCTCTGCCCCCTGTGCTGCTGCTGTGGCTGCTGTACCTTCTGCTTCTGCTTCTGCTGCTTCTCTTGTTCTTTTTGTTTGAGTTGTTCTTGTCGTTGCAGCTGTTCCTGTCTTTGCAGCTGCTCTTGTCGCTGCAGTTGCTCCTGTCGTTGCAGTTGTTGCTGCGGCGGCGATGCTGTTAGTGGAGCAGATATGGGTGGCTGTGTAGGTCGTATCGGCGGCAAATCGAGTGATATACCTGGTGGTAAGAGCGGCAGCGAGGGCAATGGTGTATGTGCTGGTCTTCCCACTGTTGTTGCTCCATCTTTCAGTAAAGCTACCGCGTCCGCAATCTGCTTACGACGCTCGGCTGTATGCGACGTACTCCTGAACCCTTCTGGCCTTGAGTAAGACTCTGAAGGGGTTGCCGATGGAACTGAGGATGGGGTCTCCCCGTGTAACGATGAAGACGGTTGGGGGTCAACTAGGCATGATAGACTGGCCTTCCGGTGGCTCCCAAGCTTCCATATGGTTTGAATATCTTTAGAGTGCTGCATCGCCAAATCACGCATCTTGCTGTATATTAGAATCATGGCATTGTTAGTCTATACCGACACTTGTAGGCCTAGCAAGGAGACAAACACAGTAAAACACGTACCGGAGGCGACCAAGAGTCATGTCCAGCGAAGCGGCTTCGGACAGATCTGCAACATTAGTCTTGGCTCGAGAGTTTTCGAGAATTTGCAGCGTGACATGATCGATATGAGATCCTTTGATAAGGTATTCAATAAGATATGCCCATATCATGGCGGTCCGGGTCAAATAATCGCCCATCTCCGTCAACAAGGCGGCGGCATCGTCAGGCGAGGACGAGCATTTTGGCTTAGACGACAAGGGAGACAATATCTCCACTTGCTCTACACTCTGAGAAGCTTGACGAAGGTATTGAAGGACCAAGCTTTCCAAAGAGAGAGAAACAGGCGCCGATGGGAGCCCAAATGTGAAGAGATGTGTGGCCTGAAGCGGCTGCATGGTGTGCGCTGGTTCTATTACTGCCAACTTTGGGTATCGTAAACTGCAGCCCTGAGCCTGAAAAACTCCGGCTCCTGTGTACGGAGCAATAGAGTAGATAATAAATATAGCGCTGCGAGATTTTGTTTTTCCTAAAGGGGGGGGCTTCCCCTATCCAGCCATGAGGCTGAAGTGAAACCTCTGCTCACGTCGATGCCAACCTCAGTATTGACGATAGATTGAGACGATGGCTTACTCTTCGAATCGCCCCGCTCTCCAACGCGCAGCCAACTGGCAGAGCTACGAAGACAGTATAGCAGTACCACTATGCGTACTCCGGGCCGCAGTCAACAAAACCGGGATTCAAACCAAAAGAGACAGCTGGGTAGTGCAGCTCGTGGCTGGCCTGGTGGGTCACAGGCAAGGACCAGCAGCATAAGACAGTCGCCCTTGCTATGGATGAGAACCCTGTGCCGCGACGGCTACTAGCTCTTGGGCAACCCAAGGGCCTAGAATGCTGCGAGAAAGTTTGCGTAGGTAGGTAGGTTTAGACAGGCAAAGGGGCTATCGTGCGTGGTCTCTATCTGAACGCTTTCAAGTCCCACTCCCAGGCGAGGGTCTTGCAGTTTTTGGAATAGGAAGATGAATAATCACGGAACGATGAGATTTCCCATGTTTGCTTCTTTGGTGGTGGGCGCCAGAACGAAAGACCAGGGAGGGTGGTGACTCGGCTGAAAACTAGTGGCCACTTTGCTTCTATGCCAAAGCTGCTGGTGTGCCTGTGATTGGCGTGTGATGGCCACCCTACGCCTGAGAGCCAAAGGATCGTGAAGCCAATGGCCTGGTTTTGTGCTACCCACCCGACTCCGCACCGAATGCGAGGGAGAGTCAGAGGAGAGGAAGAGTGACAGAGGACGAGCGAGAGCTGAAGTGAGTGAGAAGGAGGGGTGGATGGTAGAAAGAGGGAAGAGTGCGAAGGCCGGACGTGGACCCAAGCAGGTTTTTGCACGGCCAATGTCTCGAGATATAGACGATGGGAGAATCAAAGAAGCGATGAAGATCAGCACAGATGAAAGCAGGCCTGGGGGAGGAAGCCCAGTGCCCAAAGAGGCCGTGACAGGAGCGAGTTTGACGACGTTCCAGACGGCATGACTGCCCCTTTTGAGCCTGGCGAGAAGCAAATCAGGATGCCAGCAAAGGGCTCCCACACTGGCGTCGTAGGGCCCCGAACCGTTGATTGGCCGCATCGAGGCGAGGCGACAAGGACGGCAGAGAGAAGAGACAACAAGAAGGCCGGGATAGAGCTAATGCGGCCTTGGCTGCACTAAGAGAAGCAAGGGTAGAGACACCCCTGCACACCGGTTGTGCGAGCCGCGCCTCCATGGCCGCAGAGGCTGAGCGGATTGGATGGCTCAACGATCGCCTGGATGGGCCGTGGGGAGGCCTGAAGAGACAAGGGTGTGCTGGATGCTATATACCCAAGAGAGGTCTCGATGCCAGCTTCTCCACTCGGTGAGACCAGGGCCCTGGCCCCGATCGTGAGGATCCTGGTCACACGCCGCGATCGTGAGCTTCCTGAAGACACCAGGGAGCCGGAATCTGATTGTACAGTACCTCTAGGGAAATTATAGCTTCAAGGACCCATGCCTCCCACCCTCTTTCGTGACGCTCTGCATTGGCTCTAAAGCGTAGCTAAATCATGGTAGAAAGACTAGAAATCAACGCAAAAATAAGTGGAATAAGATGGGAGGCATTCTGGCTTCTCTCGCTCTTTCTTCTCGCCCCCCAGCTCCGTGCTCGTAATCCTCAATACATAAGAATCAGTGGGGACCAGCTCTCGAGTGCCCTGGACTTGGCCTTTGGTCCGACTCGAAATCGTATATCACATCGCTCGCTCGTACGAGTATACATCATTCTTGTAAGCATCGCCTTTTCCAAGATTACTCGTCTCTGCCTAGCATCCGATCCTTGGGCTCAAAAGGCCCCTTGACCGCGGGAATTCTCACAAGCGGAGAAGCGCGGGTTACATGTGAGTGAGAGAGCCAGTTCCTCTTCTGCCACTCAATTGCCGGAAACGAAGCCATTCTGGTCTTATGCGTGGGCCTTTGCATTCGTTGTCCCTCGCACAAGGAGGAGAGAGAGAGACTCGAAAGAGGGGAGACACAAGAGTTATTCGCCGACACCCCGGCTCCCTGTTTCCTCTTTTCTCCTCTTTCTCTCTCGTCCCTCTCCTCTTTTTCCTCGTCTCTTCCGTCTCCATCTTGTGCTCCTGTTACCTCTCTTGGCTTTGTGGTCAGATCAGCCAAGATCACCGCCGGATGGGTCGGGGCCAAGAGCCAACGTTGGCCTGTGCCGCTGCAGATTTCCCTGTTCCCTCCCGCATTCAATGTTCCGTGTTTCCTCTTTTCTCGTCTAAACCCCTACCACCACCCCCCAAAAGGCGAATCAAGTACAGTATGTACCGGCCTACCACCCTCCATCCAATCCTATTCTCCGCGCTGCCGATACTCTTTCATGCTGCAAGACTGGCGGCAGAAGCATGACTTTTTATTTTTATTTTTATTTTCATTCCTATTTTTCAATGTTGCTGCGAGCGTCATGTTGTGTGTCTGATCATTGCTGTTTAGTGTCAACTGCTTTTCCCAGTCTGCGTGCGCCTGAACCTGAATTGAGCCAGCTAGCATACCTATTAGAAGTCCCCTCAAGTTGTTAGCCGCTATAGATATTGCCAGGTAGTGCATGCCTCCAACCGCTGTTACCTAGTTGGTACTAACTTGCGGGCAGCTTCAACGTTGGTGCAGCTCAAAGTTGCGGCCGCAGCTCGGAACTGGCTCCGGCAGTCCACAAACAGCACCAACACGCTCCACCATCTTGACTGCCGGGCATTTTCAAACGTGCCCTGTGTGGTCTTCAGATCGTCTCTCACGCTTCACTGACCCGAGTTTTCGGTTCTTCAGTTGGTCAATTGCAATTGAAGGTCTGAGCTTTGGGGACTTGCACCCGAGGGACACCCCCCCCTTTTCCACAGTTCGCTCCCCCGCCGCATCCCTACACACAATATACACATTCACACATTCCTACTCAATCTTCTTTTTGAAAAGCCAATTGCGGCAACAGAGCGAGTCGAGTTCGGCTTGAGGCTGGTTCTCCGACTCAACAGCCCTGTTGCTACAACTGCCCGCTGCAGCCTGCTTCACACTTGGTCTGATCCGGCAGAAAGTGCAGCAAGGACCGACACAGTGAGCATCGTCGTGCTACGTATTCCCGCCGCTGCATTACATTGTCCTTGATTGTGCATGGTCCACGCCTGTCAGGTCCCACCAGCAAAAGGCTCGTCTAAGCTCTGTGGCACCCACACCGGCTCTCCCCTGGCCTGCTGTGTGTGCGTATTCACGTCACTCGTCATTGAGCGCTGTCCAAGTGCCTGACTCGGTGCCAATGAGTGACTCTCAGAGCCAGGAACGCCCAGCCAAGCGCCTCAAGCTGGCGCCACACCCGCAGCCAGCCGGGCCTCCTCAGCCTGGCCCTCAGCTGCGGTTCATCAAGCCCGCGCCGTTTCCCAGCGTTGTGGCTCCTCCTAGAGGCAGAGACACGGTGAACATGCCTCTTGAGTGGGTAAACGTTCTGTCCACCACCCGCCCGAAGCGTGTGCGTGTGCGTGAGCGTGAACCCGAGCTTGAAGTCGATCCTCAGCCTGAACCCGAACCCGAACCTGAACGTGAGCTTCGACGTGGCCGTGGCCGCGGCCGTCGCGGTGGTCGCGGAAGTCGTGGTGGTCGTGGTAGTCGTGGTGGCCGCCGTAAACGTGGCCGTGAAAATGCATCTACTTCCGAATCTGGCACGCCCCAGACTGAAGAGGCTGAGCCTGTGGTTGATGCAGAACCGGCGACAGCCTCTTCTCCAGTCTCAACCGAATCTGCATCTTCGCAAATCTCGACATTAAGCTCGACTGAAATGTCCCCCGAATACTCGCCCGAGCCGTCTTCTGAAGTATCTTCAGAGCTGTCTTTTGACATGGCTTCCGAGGCATTGTCCGAGGCAACTTACGAACCGATGGAGATGGATGCGATAACACCAATAGCGACTATAGTGGTGTCTCAAGATATTGATGCATGTAAGTCAACAGCAAGCCAATGGAAGCTCACCGAAAACTGTCCGCCTGCATACATACATACATACATATCTATTTGGAGATTGGTCGTCCATCTCACTAGATAAGAGCCTTTCCTATCCATTTCGCTCACTGCCCCTAGCATTCTGTCTTATATCTTTTCTCCGACATATTGCACCACTCATCCTGCGTCACACACCACACCCCTCTCTTTGTTTTCCCACCCCGTCACTGAGGCTGAGCACTACCCTCTCACGTGGCTCTTCATTTGAGAGAACAGGATGATCCTTTTTTTTTTCGCATTAAAGGGTAAACAACAACCTATCTTTACTCTCTTGTAACTCACCCCCTGCCTAGTCGTACGACTGTTGCCTCCTTTTCCTCTCAATTCCTTGGATGCTTTTTTCTTCTTCATCCACCCCCTCTAAGCTCCAAGCAGGGAGACAGCCGCTAAAGATGCCAAAACAAGTCGCAATAGTAGTACTAACAATTGGTTTAGCATCGCCGCTTACAGAGTCCACCCTCTCCCCAGTATATTATGAGGACTCGCTAATCAGCCATGGCGATTTCCCTGAATTACAATCCCAGTTACTGGGAGACTTGGCGGAGGCTTTGGCCGAGGAATTTGCTTCCCCAGCTGCCGAGCAAGCCTCGCCATCGTCAGCTGAAGGCGAGCAGCATAGCAGTCGTAAGCCGCGACATGGATTTGTCAGCCCATTCAAGGACTGCTTGGATACTTTCGGAAAGCTACCGTCACTGCGGTTCAGTCGTCCCACAGACGGTACGGTCAATTCGTATATCAAATTCAATTGGCCCAAGCGTGATGAGCAGTACAGTCGCCCATCTTCCAAATCCGCCGCCACGCAGTACGGCGAAGATGATGACATTCAAAATGAGCATGTCAGGCAATTGAGTCGGTCATCCTCAACGCTGGTTGCTACAAACTATCCCTACACTCAAGCATCTCCCGAAAGCACGTCAGAACAATTGTACTCAGAACAGCGGGGGAGATATAGTCGGTCGCCTTCACTCCCAAGCAGCAGCACATCAAACTTGAGTCCTTCCAGCTCGAGTCCTTATGCCCGCTCGTGGGATCAACAAAAGATATTGCGTCAAATTGCGGGATATACCGTCCCTAAGGTCCCGTCGCATTTCGGTTTCGTTTCCCAAATGGACGACATGGATAGGCGCTTTTTCGACTTTTGTACGTCAAACTTTCCTTGTCATATCAATTCCTACTCTTCTCACATTTCTTTTATTCCCTCATGCTTCTGTTACCCACTTCATCACACTTTCTAACATATAATAATTGTAGATACCAAGAATTGGTGTCCTGGCCGGAGTATCCTAAAGCAGACCAACCTGTGGCTCACAGACTTTGCTTGCATGGAGGGAAGCGAGGGCGTGCTAAGCGCGATACAGAGTCTGGCCGGCGTATACGTATACGATTACCAGCCGTTGGAGAAAGTAGGTAGGCGGATCAATCTTCGCTATCGCCAGGCTGAGGCTCGCCTGAGCCAGCTTCTCGAAAGGACAGACCTCAGTGTCGACGAAGCAAGTGAGCTGATTACCATTCTATGCATCATGTCGATGCATGATGTAAGTCATCTCCTCTCTTATAGCACTTGATATTCCGCAAAAGGCCAACCTGCATTTGAGAGAGTGTATCTAATAAAACCGTTTCTACTTTCAGATTGTCCTCACTGAACGCCGTTGCAAGTGGCCAGAAGTCCCCAGATGGCTGAAAGGAACCGAGCTATGCGAGCACTTTCTTGAATCCATCGACGAAGGGTCACGATTCTGGTCCAAAGACAACATCCAACTCTCTTCCCTCCGCAACTCCCAGTCCGTCATTGTAGGCAGAGCCCTCATCCTCTCACAGCTCATGACACCTCTTGCCTCACCAAACACCTTTGACCCCGTCAAGGAAGCCAACCGCTTCGGCTGGCTTCTTTACGGCAACAATCGAGACATGTATGAGATCCACGGCGGCTGCGGCTTCTCCAAGAAACTGCTCCACTGCATGAGCCAGATTACATTCTGCTCGGCGCGACTGAACCAATGCCCTGAATCCCCCGTTGTCCCCATTACCATTCGGTATATACTCTCTGAGTTGTTGGATATGAGGCAGTGGAGTAACACACCCTATTCAAACCCTTTCGAGGTTGCCCAGGTCCAATCTCAGGCGATTGAATGGGTCCGCGCCGCTCCAGAAAAGTACATGGTCAGCAACACCACTGAGATGACCGAGGTCACCGCAGAAGCCTGGAGAATTACAGCCGTCATTTACTTACAATGTCGCGCCTTAAGGTGAGCAAAATGACTGTTTAAAAAAAGAGGGCAGAGTATCATAATTTGCAGTTCTAACAATGGCGCTTATATAGACTACCTCGAGACCATCCAGACGTGGTTGCAAATCTGAGTTATCTCGCCAAATGCATAAGCATTATGCCAACCTCTGGCTATCAATTCACCGCCCAGGCACCTCTCTTCCCAGTCTTTCTCCTGGGTATGCTTGCCACTGTCGGTGAACATGCCGGCGTTGCCCAAAAGTGGTTTGACAGCGTCACCAGCGCCCCAGTAAGAAGCGTAAGAATCCCATGTCCCGCACACATTTACAACACGCCGGCTTCTACAAATACTAACAAGGGCATCCTGCAGAGCGTACCTCCACTATATGAAACGTTACAACGCATATGGACGTGGATTGATGATGAGCCGAGCATTGTCGTTGATCTTGAATCGCTTGATGACGATATCGCCAACAGATATCCATGGTGGGAACACCTAATTCAACGCGTGCAAGAGAAGGAACAAGAGATTCTATGCCTAACTTGAGGCCCAAGACACGCTCTATCATTTTCCCCCATCTGGTCTATGAAAAATTGGCAGCTACTTCAGTCTCCAATTCAACCCAAATACCCATTACTTTTCCATCTGCCGCCTGAGAGTCTAAGCAAGGGAACAAAACAGCGAGCTATTATTCGGTTATACCAACCCGGATATGGCACTATCTCCATCCTCTCTCTGATCCTGCTCCTCTTTCGCTTTGAGTAGATATTGCCCTACAGAACGAGGGGTTAGCAAAAAAAGAGTTTGTCACAGTCTGTGACCAGCAACTGAAAGAGCTTGCAGAGGATAGATAGTACAAGAAGGACTTACTAAACTCAGAGCCGGGTGCTTGCATGACATTTATCACACTCAGTCCCGCCTTATGGCACATGAGTCGTACGCTCTCCTCTCCATACTTATGAGAGTCGAACCAGTCAAGCTCCTCACCCTCTTTGAGTGTCCGGTTAAGCTTATGGATGGTGACATCCTTTTTAGCTCGAAAGAAGAATCGATGGCGAGTCGTTGGCTGCTCCTCGAGCTGCGCCATGAATTCCCAATCTTCTTCTTGAAACCACTCTTCGCCAATTGCCTTGTTCACCTGATTGAAGCCATTCAGGAAGAATTGGCGATACAGGTCATCCCGAGAGTGATAGGCTTTCCAAATTTTATCCTCATCCTTGGGCAGTAGGTGAGCATCCATGCCTACTAGGAGGAGATCTCCTGGCCGGAGAGCCTCGGCCCAGTACCTGAGATGGTTCAAGGCCTCCGCCCAAGGGTCGTTGCAAAGGACAGAACCCAGAGAGAGGAAGAGTCTCTGGCCCTGAATACCTTTCACATAGGACATGCCATCTTGGAATGTTCCCCACAGCCCTGCACAAGTCACCTTGGCATCCGCTGCGGAATGTTTGTCAAGAAGGTAGCCCACGCTGTGCTCCAACGATGTTTTGGAGATATCTAGAGCCAGATACGTCGCTTCAAGCTGCGCCTCCTCAAAAGATGAGAGCAAATGTTCTACCTTGCGAGTGTCTCTAGGTTATCGGAAGATGATTAGACGGTTTGCCTGACTGGCTCAAACGTTTTTGACTCTGCTCAAACTTACCCGACTCCAAGATCAATCATGGTCACGCCAGGCTGAAGTCGCTTGATGATGTCGCTTCCGTGAGCATCAAAGAGCGCAATCTCATCATGAGTTTGATAGAACTCGGGTGTGAAGATGATTTCATTCCAAATGGGCAGTCCAACGTCGGTATACAGGAGCTCATCTGGAAGAGTCGGCTTCGCACTAGGGCCATAGACGGCCGTGAGGACCCTGGAAAGTCTCTCTCCGACGTCCTCATGCAGTCGGCTTCCGCCAATGTCTATTACATCGCCATGACTGGGAGTCTGATGTTGAAAAGACATACTTGTGCGCGTGCTCAATGGGGTCAAACTTGATAATCGAAGGGCAACAATACAATAATATGGCGGATTTCTCGCTGCAGATGCCGTCTGCTCTTGAGTTCAAGTGTTTATTCCAGAGTATGTGCGAGATTATATGCTGAGCCGTGGGCAGGGGGATGCGGCTTTATAGTATGATACTGCTGCTCTGATTCACTGTTATGCAGTGGTGAATAGGAGAAGGCAACAGAGATGGAGGCGGAGAAAAAAAAAAGAATAGGTACCAATAAGGGAGGAAGAGCACTCACAAGACCCAGCTCTGCATTTTAAGTCAAGCTTTGGGCAGTTTGCATCCCATTTCGCCGCGCGGAAAAGCAAAGACAGAGCAATGATAAGCTCTGCAGCCAGAGTTGGCTCTACTCGCCGCACTCTGCATATTTGCGCTTGACATCTAACCGCCAGCCTGTTAGGCCTCCGTATGCATCCAGCTGCGGGACTTGACTAAAAGAGGAGGCTAATAAGCGAAGTTTTCGCCTGGGATATCCCGAAAATGTGACAACTTGATGTTACCGCAACTGGTGCGTGGGACTACCTGACGTGCCGCCCCGTTGCCTATAGCCAGCCAGAGAGCAGCATGAGACTATTCATGTCCGACTGACGATGTGAGGCGAACCTAGACTTGCGGCCGGGGTATGACCAGATGAGGTTTGGCCTTACATTAGTCCGCTGTTAAGCAGTTAGAGAGGGGTGCCACCCCCTGTCAGAACGGCCTCCATCACGGAGCTGGAATGGAGGGGCAGCATTTGATGCTATCAGGACAGCATTGCAAGGGGGGTGTCCAACATGCTGCAGCAGAATGGAGACTGCTCTGTCGGTTGTTCACTCCATCGCTGCGATGCTGGCCCCTGTAATGCCAAAGAGAAGAGAAAAGAAGGCATCGTCGGAGCTGTGTCCGAGTTACTTGCGTCAAGCTCTTGCGCTCGGGAGTGTGGGATTTTGAATGCCTGCCCTCCCACAAGCATGCCAGCGCATACATGCAATCGCAATGGCTACATATGACCCGAGCTCTTCCAAGCCCGGGGAATTTCTTGAACGGCAAGTGAGAGGGCATTTCAGAATCCCATTGTTGCGCCACCACGTGTCTTTGCTTCGCGACGCCATTGCAACTGCTAGGCATATGTAGTTGGATACAGCATTGCTCCCCGTCTAGGAATCTTTCTGAACCAGCCCTCGGTAGGTGGGTTAGAAGCGATCTCTTCGTCGCATTTTCCACACGGGCATTGAGATTTTGACAGTTCATGCGGGGGATTGGTAGTTTGTAGTTTGCTATAGATAGAGGCCAATAATTATATAAAAAAAAATCTCAATCTTTCAATCTTTCAACCCTTCTAGATCGTGGCTTATTCTTATCGTCTTCGGCCGTCTCGTGTCGGATCCGAATCACCATTTGGGCTTGAGGTGCATGAGTTTGCGGTGGCGGAGACGGCTTGAAGGCAGTGGATGATCAACAACTGCACATATTTGTCATTTCTTTCCAACACAGACTGCCCTGCTGTCGTTTTCATGCAGACTTGCCTCGTATACGCGAAAAACAGGCTACAATCGCAAGGCTGTAGCTCTAGTGGAGCAATGGAGAGCTGCAAATCCAGCATTCGCCTGAATTGCTGCAGCATCACAAGCCAACAGATGTCGTAGGCTGGCTAGTAAAAAGCCCTCAATCATGCATTGGATGCAAATAGAGAGAAAAGATGACAACTTGACGACTACCCACGGCGATCTCGATGCCCAAGAAGCAGTATTATTTCGTTCTCGGCGTTTGGCGAGCAAGCAATCAGGCACAGCAACTGTGCCTTTCTCACAAACCGGGAAATCTGTAATTGTGTCAGCCATGACTTGGAAAACTAGCAAACTTTCCGGTACGGCCGCCATATCAGTAGCATCCTATCCTAGGCTCTAGGACTGGCTTACCCTTGCAAGCGAATAGGCATATCAGCGTGGCTTTCGGCTCGCATTTGGCTCGCATTTGGCTCAGCTCCCCCCACGGCCCCTGCATTGTGGTAATAGCGCTTGCGTAGCCATGGGGTAGTAATGATGTAGCAATCGGCGCTATTTGCTTTGCTGAAAATCTCGATTATAAGTCCAGTCTCGTCATAAATAGATTGGTAATTCTGTCGTTGGCTCTAGAGTGCTTGGATGCCCGCCCTCTTTCGAAATGCGGGGCAGGGGAAACAAAGGAAAAAGTAGGAATCGCCAAATGAGATTGCACACACAAATAGGTAAGAAACATTACTCTAATAAAACAATTGTACTGTGTAGGAAGGCAAGAAAAGCTGCAAGTGTAAAGTAGCAGTAGACGTAGCGAAGGCAGCAGGCACAATAGAAGCAGTGGACGTAGCAGAGACGGGACAAAGGTTGGGTTCGATAACTCACTAGTACAACCACGATATGCGTAATAATAGGCCCGTGTGCCTATTCTTATAGAATTCCTTGTTTTTTTTGTGCTCTCAACCTGCGGGGCCGTCGCTCATAGCATATTCCCTGCAGCCGGGGTTTCGGTGCTGAGTTGTGCATTCCCCGGTCGTGCTCTGCGCCCCCGTGCACGGAGATGCGGAAACATTCCTTCGAGTGAGCTGCTGCGTCGCATGTAGCACAAAGATAAGGAAGGCTACCGCGGAAACATGCGCCCACCGCTGGCAATAGTGCTTTGTGGTGGCCCTCTGTCCTGTCCCTTAATTTGCACTATCAGCCAACACAACACAAAAATCTCAAACCACCAACGATCATGGCTGTTGATTGCGATATTGGTTGTTTCTGACTGATGGGTTACATCGAAATAGAACAACCATTTTCATGCCCACAGCGTAGATAAAATCTCGAGAGTGATACGCATCATGCCGGCATTGACTATGCTGCTTAGGGTTATGATGACACGGGAAATGAGATTCATGAGATGATGGGAGTCTGTGTGTTATTAGTATGAGGAGATGCATTCCTGGAAAGCCTCCAGCGTACGGCTCGCAAAGCCAGCAGATGAGGCATTTGAACGTGCTTCGCACCCTCGCCTGGTAGGGGCAAGTACACTCACAAGCGTCGAGCTGAGTGATGGCGTTATCCCTCTTTTGTCTGCAGGCGTCAATGGGACGTTAGCCCAAATGACAAGTATCAAATCACCATTGTCCGGTCCATGCTTGCAAGAAAGGAATGTGACCCGTAATATTCAGTCCAAAAGCACGGCACAATCTCTATATCATCGTTTACTGCCACCAGTGCCGGGGCATAGCAACCAACGGCAACTGGTATGATATGCTCAACAAAGATGTTGCGAGACAGAATTGATCCGTTTAATGGGGCGAACGGCCCCGGGTGAAGAGTGGGACTTGGCTCTCGGACCTCCGCGCCGGAGTATCCGCAAAGCACCAGAATGGAAACTCGGAGTAGTATTGCCTGTCGTGGAAAGCCCTGGTGCTGAGGCTGACTGCATGCCCCCGGATATTCACGGGGCTAGAAAGGTCGTTAGCAGATGCAGCTAGCAGTCTAGAATACGGAGTTGCATTCCGTAGAGAAAGAAAGGGGAGGGGTTCGAGAAGCGCAAACAAGAGGGCTCCGTATCCGTGCTAGTGAGCCATCAGATCGAGATTGGGGAGTACAACTGGCGAGTATGAATCTGTCAAACAACAGCTTCTCCTCTGTACTCATGGAAATTGGCCGCTTGACGTTCTCCAGAGCCAGCCAAGGAGAAAGATCTTGGTTTGTTGCGTAGGGGCCATCAGCAACATTCAGAATAGTAATCCATACTTGTCAGTGGATAGTGATAGATTCAAGAGGCCGGTAGTTGCCGTCATCATCTGGTCTTCATCCCCTGGAATGGCAACCCATACGCACTTGCGTCGCCCGCAACCGGCTCATGCATCTTGGTAAACTGTCGATTTGCTCTATACGATGAGCATTGAATCGACGATACGGCGGAGATGGTGTGGTGTTTGCCAATCTCACTGGACACTCCAACTTTGTGGTGGTGTCCCATCGCTGTGTCTCGTCGTCGTTGGTTCGGGCGTCTGCAAGAGCAATCCCGTCGAGCAGGGGTCAATTCTGACATACATGTGATGATCACCGATCAGTGAGAACCCTCAACTGTAGGCCAAGATAGATTATGGCAAGGTCAAATTTTAATTTGAAAAGGGCCATAGAAATTGAGATGGCAATGTCTGGTTGTACTCCAAACGGCAATTGCTATGGGAAGTGAGCATATTCGTACCTGCCTTCGTAGTGTCTTAGTATAAGAATGCAGATCGGAAGGAGCTACTACCACTACCTGCGGTGATACTGCAGCGTCAACTACAACGACTTCAAAAAGCAGGTACTACCAGCCGTAAACATCACCACGTTACTAGCTTCAAGTTCTATAACGCATGGAGTAACCAGTGCGTATCCCAGTTTATCCCAGTTTCCTGCAGTCATTCTTCAGCTTTTCCTTGGATCAATCATTTCGTACCTGATTTTTCAAGAGCGGTAGGAGGGCGGGACGGCCCCACTGATATGCGGCGCAGCGCCCGCTGGTTCGGCACATAGAACAGCACATGAAAGATTTGCGCTGTCACGACTCGTCCGTACAGCAACGCAGGAGCAGGAGCAGACCCCGGACAGGCCATGACTACCTACCTATGAGCCTCTGATGAATGGCAATACGTGTGCCCGTATATACAGTAGTCCGTACTTGCCTGGCTAGTACGTGCAGGCGGGAGGTACTAATGCTAGTGCTTCCTTAGCGGCCGGCGATACCAGCAACGTTGAATCCTCGTCATCATCATCAGCCACCAATCCGTGGAGATTTTCAGCTTCATCCCGCAAATGGCTCTCTCCATCGTGGCCTTTCCCTGGCCATCACGTCGAAATCCTCTCCTTGGTCTAGACAATCCAGGCCGTCTCATTAGCTACGTGACCATGGCCCAGGGGCTCCTTCGAACCCACATCAGCTATGCCACGGCACGCCTGTCAGCACGATCGTACGGATATATCCAGTTGAGTTGGCAAGTAAAGAATACTCGTCATTTCGGCTTCTCGTCGGACGCGGGATAGAACTGGCAAAACGGCCAAGTATGCTGACTGACTTTGATGATAGTAGTATCTCATGACCGCCGAGTCCCATCTCCGTGGGTACACAGTCCCACTTGAAGGGTTTTGGTCCACCTGAGCCTGAAATGGTTTTCCCATATCCCTGTACTCCATACCAAGCACGAGTATGCTGCCCTTCGTGCGTCTGTGCGGGTTAGCTAGTGCACAGTAACTCGTATGTGCGACATCACGACCAGACGTCCCTACAAATTGTACGAGATCTGTTTCCCCCATGGTGTCTCGATTCCATCTTCCCACCAAATTGGCTCAATCAGAACATCCTGTGGCTAGATACTCTTCAACAGGACCCACTAGTCTCGGAACCAGCCTCTGAAGTCATAAAGCTGTAGCATCATCCAAATAACGCGTGGTAGAGTAGTCACATCTATCTACCGACGTAGGGAGAAGGAATGCAAGAAATATGAAGATAGCTGATACAGTTTTACTTGTAACATGTTATTAGTGTGCCAAGCCCACCATTCAAAGTATGGAAGAGAGCTAGTGGCTGGTCCTTTTGCCCTTCTTCTGCGGTATACTTTGATAAGTTTTATTACCGAGGATACATCCGTCAAGCACGGAGTACAACACGTAGAAGTCGTGTTAACTTGGCAGTAGCTAATGCGCTAAAGCTCGCAGTAACAAGCTGAGGAAAGTAAGTTGCTACCCCAACTCTCCGAGGTGTTAATCATGTTCGCCCTTTCTACATTGGTGGACAATAATCAAAAGGGGCGGCTCACCGGCTCCATCATCCTAGCGTCGCTAACGCCAATGGTTCTTTCATCTAGCCCTCGATACCCTGCCGCGAACTTTTTATAATCCCCTTCCAATCTTTCTTTCTCTCTCTCTCTCCAGCTTTAGTGTGATTGGGTGCGGGAAGACCCGATCCGCGGACCCCTTGCTGGTGACTCTGCTTGAACCAGGGGGCAGCTGAATTTGACTTTTGCCAGCTGGTGTACCTGGGACTGTTAGACTGGTGCCATCCTCGTCTAGCAAGCTATGAGCAAGCTCTCCTCTCTGGATATGATGGCAAAAGTTGTAGGGCCATGTTCCTTCGTCAAGCGATGGTCGGGCATCCTCGACTTAGCGCCTCTCTTCGTGCCCACAATCGATCCCATTGTGGGCACAAGACAACATATGCTACTGTACGAAGCGTATGAATGCGGCTGGACGATGGCTGTGTAAAATGAAATATGAGCAAATCTCTTCATCCACCAATGGCTGCCTCCTGAGAGAGTTCCCGCATACCTACTCGGCACAAGATAGGTAGCATTTCGCCCACACAATTCGGCCCCCTATTTCCCAATTTTGTTTTTTATGCATGCTTGTTTCTTATGGAAACGCAGCACAGTCCCTATTCTTAGACTTTTTGACCCATGCCTACCTAATGATAGCCCGAGATTGCCGTAGGGCAGGAAATACCCTCTGGGCAGGACGGAGGACTAGCTACTCGCTACTAACATGAATCCAGTTCCCTTTGATCACCCAGACCTCATAAATGGGTACAAGCCGCTATGTGTGCGAGTTTACAGACTGTCTGGTAAGTTAATGGTGGCATAGTATAATATGCAGGGACCTTGCCGTTGGGACGTATTTGTCTTGTCGCCCCTCTTGGGCATTGCCCACGAAGCTCGCCATGCAGCCGCTGTTCCGTCCGTTCAGCCCCTGGCACAAGGAATCCATTGCTCAAGTGTCATATCCACCATTTTGGGTCACCAACTGGGGCCGCTGTCGCTACGCTCTACCCCGGTGCAGTCACAATTGTGACATGTCATGCCTGGCCGCTGGTAGCAGTGGCACTTTTCTCCAACGCGAAAGACATTCGAAAGGCAGGGCAGAAGTGTGAAGAATGACTGAAAGCTATTTAGACAAACACAGCGTTTTCGTGGGTTCTTGCTGAATCAGGCCGCCTATGGCTGTAAAGCCCAAAAATGAGAATGCAATCAGGCTGCCCAGTTGTTCAAGCATTACGGACATTCTGCAGCGGCCTCCTCCGAGGCTCCTCCTATCACATCACTGCAACACCGATGTCGCTCTATGCACAACTGCTAGAGAGAAGCTAGCGGTGCGGTCTATTAGGCGAGCTTCTTGAAATACCTTAGTTGATACATGTTCGACTAGCCATCTGTTGTTCAATCTTTGGTTGACGGTCAAGTATACCAACGGTATCCACATGCCATTGGGAGCCATGCAGTAGGGAAATCACCGAACATTCCTCCCTACTAAAAGCACCAAACTCAGTGTTTGCCAGACTGGTGTATTTCTTTCATTTTCTCCTGGTGAGCTTCGATTGATGTTTAGGCCACTGCCAACAGATTACTTGGCTGAATGGGTTACCTCATGACCCCTGTAGGCCGTCATTGAGGGAATAACTTGTATTCCCCGTCCTCGGGTGTTCTTTTGTCAAGTGCCCAACACCGCACGTACTGAGAGAGTAGGTCAAAAGAAAATCCTTAAGTAATACACTCCCTTGTCAATTTGAAATCGAATCTCGATCTAGTTTAGTCCTGTAGCTGAGATGTCGGCCCTCTGTAAATTGGCGCCCATGCAGCCTGCTTGTCATCGTGGCTGGAGTGTATGCAAGCCGGCCATAATCCGACAGGGCCATGCTATTTGGCGTGCTGACGGACACTATTAGAACCTGCATCTGCATACACGTATGGGTACTATTCACACAACCCCCCCAGCCCAAGAGAGTGTCTCTAACAACCCCAGAAAGAGGCCTTTGTAAATGGACCATAGATTCCGCTCTCGCCCCGAGTCATTGCTTTTTACGATTCCTTGCACAGCACATCTGGCTTCCTGCAATCTGCAGGCTTACCACTATCACACGGGATATAAAGCTACATGTAGCTTTTCCGTCGTCGACAGGCGTAGGAAAACGTGGCACAAGTAACAGCCAGGGCCATAGGGCCAGTAACATTCAGGAAGCGGAGACACACAGATCAACGGCACGTCATCAAGTTTTCTCATCCGTCCTTCGTGCTAGTTACGTTTCCTGCATCATTCAGGGAGGTAGCATCATGGAAGTGACAGGTGGAGGAGTGGAAATAGTATTCGCGCGCTAGGCGACATTGCATGAACCCCCATTCGGAGTAATCCATACAAGTACTGCGACTCTGTATAACAGCTCAAGCACCTAAAATGAGCGGTCCATCTACGTGACATGGAGGTCAAGCATCTGTAGACCACCTTTCGTGGGCACTAATAGAGTATACCGAGTACGCTTCGCTTAATTCGATGGGGGGCGGCGGCCAACAACATGCCGCAATGACTGAGGATATATACAAAGTACAAAGGATCATACTGTAGTAGTCTTGCTTTGACGTGTTCAGTTCCGCACAAAGAAAGCACCGTCACAAAATGACAGCTCTTGTGGATCCTGCCCGATGAAGAAATGCTGCTGGTTCTTTGCCCATGCACGGGTAAAAGTCCGTCAATCCGCGCTGAGAAAAAGATGTTCCCAAAGCGGACGGTTGACAGGCGAGATTCGATTTCTCAAGCTCCGGTGTGGGAAATACTGTCGTCATGGAGATTTCCAATGCTCGGCTCCGACAAGTTGGTTACACACGTAATGGATGCATTCTTTCCTCTCTAGCACTGCGCCGGAGCAGACACGGCCGGCCCCTTGAAGATCAATGCCCGCTTTGAGGCGTGGCTCTATTCGTGCCAACGCCTACGTCCGCGGTTTTTCCCAACTTGTTCACTTGCAGCCTTTGGGAAAGGGCCTTGGCTTTATGCACAATAATGTGACAAAGTTAAACATATTAAAGCGGAACGAGCAGCATTGAGCCATGGATGAACACGAGCATGGTATTACATTAGCTGTGCTGCAGCTGTGGTATATGATTCACGAGTCTGACGTCGTTCACCGTCAGGAACTGGATTGATGAAGAAGTCCGCATGCAAGATATTACTCAGCCAATGTCTTTTTTTAGGCGATTCTGCACAAATAGGAAAGACGGCAAATTGTGCCATTCTTGCTTGATTTAGAACAATTGTTCAAGTTCAGATGAAAATGGTATCGTGATTCGTTGCTCCTTGCTGGCTGAGCTAAGCACCGAAAGGAAACCATTGTAACCAGAGTAACATGTATGTGGTTTCAGTTTAAAAAAAAAACCGTCAATACAGACCTACTGTCATCGTGTTCAAGAAATAGATGGCATCATTCAGATTCCGCTGCCGTGTCTTTTCTAGAGCATTCTAAATTCTGTATCTGTTGAAGATTTATAATCCAAATTCTTGTCATCTAAAAATTTCTCGTTCTTCTTTGAAAGGAAAAAGCGCAAATTAGCAATAAAAACAGCATGATTTAAAAAAGAAATGCAGTCGCAACAGTTGTTGAACTTTAGATGTATGCCCGCCCGCACCGTTGACTTGTTTGTCATCGTATTTTTCACCCACCAAACGCCCCAAGTTTATCTTCCAAATCCAGATTAGTTCTCCCAGAAGCCAGGGAACAGGTACTCAATCTTCTTCATGGCCTCAGGGTTTCTTCCGGCTGGCTTAGTCATGAACTTGACAGCCCCGGAAGAAGTGCCCTCCCAGTGCTTGGCCAGAACAAGGTCGCTGTGGTCAAGCTTGATAAGCTGATCCAGAACACCTCCTACCAGTCTCTTGGCATTCTGGCTGTTGGCCTGCATGTACTTCAGGACCATGTCGACATTGACATCCTCGTATGAGTGCCAGCAGTCGTAGTCGGTTGCCATGCAGATGACCTGGTAAGCAATCTCAGCCTCACGAGCGAGCTTGGCCTCGGGGAGAGCAGACATGTTGATGACGGAGCCACCCCATGAGCGGTACATGTGAGATTCGGCTCGGGTTGAGAACTGAGGTCCCTCTGTATTGAAGAAGAGAATTAGCCGACACAAACTCTTTATTATCAGCCATCAAAAGGAGCAGACTTACCCATGCAGATGAGAGTGCCCTTGTCGTGAAGCACTACGCCGTCGCCCTCCATATGCGCCGCGCAAGTCTTGACAATCTGAGCCAGCTTGTTGTCAAACGGGTCCGCAAATCCAACATGGCCGACAACACCACCCTCGAAGAAGGTAAACGGCCTGATACCCTTTGTGCGATCGATAACCTGGTCAGGGACCACAAAGTCCATAGGCTTGATCTCCTCCTGGAGAGAGCCGACGGCAGAGAAGGCGATGATGCATCGGACACCGAGATGGCGGAGAGCAGCAATGTTGGCGCGGTTAGGAACCTCGTGAGGCGCAAACTGGTGGTGCACTCCATGACGGGCAAGGAACGCCACGTTTACGCCATTGTGGGAGAGGATGGAGATGGGCGAGGCGGGAGTGCCCCAAGGCGTGACGGGGTTGACGACGGCAATGGGCTCGTAGCCTTCGAGCTGGGCCAGGCCGGTGCCGCCAATGACACCGATGTGAATGGGCTCTAGATTTGAGCGTTAGAACCATCTTGATAGTCGTTGTGAAGCTGGATACAGCGGAAGTAGCAGGAAGAGGTTTGCGACATACGATCGAAAGAGGTGGGGAGGTCGGCCATTGTGACTGCTTCGTGGCGCTCAGAGAGTTAGTTGACGCCACTATAGCTAAACTTGAACAAACAATCTGTCTGCTGGATTGACTTACGTGTGGAATGAGCTGTATACAGAGATTTGAAGCTGGTGGGATATTCCTCTTCTTCAGCGAGACGGCAGAATCGTAGGAGCAACAAAATCGTGGTTGCGCTACAGAGCTACCCCTCTATCGATAGGGTTGGAGGGGCACGTTTTTTTCTTTTCTCATCCCATTAGCAGATTCGCATGCTACGGGCAGAGCACGCCATCACAAGAAGCAAGGGATCGGATCCTTGTAGCTCAGTGCTGGAAAAAGCTAGAGCTGCATCTAGAGAATTTTATCTATATTTTTCAAGTGTGTTGATAAAAAGCCATATCATGTCGCTTGAGAAACAGCCACACGGCAGTCTAGAAATTGGTTCCGCATCTATCTATATGTAGGAGTACAAAGTAAAGCGGCACCTATGTCAGAGTGCGCAAGTACCTGCAGAGACGCATGTGACAGGCGGACGCCTATATTTCCGATGATTTAGACATCTCATGAAAACATGATATATATAACAAGCAATACTGCTCTGGCCGACGCGGAGACTTTTTGCTTTTCCGTTATACTCGGAGCCGAATACTGGCAAGTTACAGCGCCCAAAGTCCGCTGCCTTATCGCTTCACGCTCTATCCCCGATACAGCGGGGCTCGCTTACCAAGCCGGCAACTTTTTTTTGCGGAACCTTCAGCCCTTCATAACCTGCAGCCAAGGCTGGATATATTCAAGCCATTAAAGCTTTTACCTGCGTGTACCTTCAGCAACGGCCGCCGAGATGAGGATGACGGAAACGGTTGATATCAACGACACCACTATTCTTGGGCAGGAGGTCGTGGCTGCGCCGCCGCAGGACAATGGCGGCGAGGTGTCGAATGAAACCATCGAGGAGCGGTGCTTTTCGGCCGCTCTCGTGTGTTTAGAAGGCCATTTCACCCAGTCGCCTCCCATGGGTCCTCAGACCACAGCCAGAGTGAGCTCGATGATCTCAAAGACGCTGGAAAAGACTCATACGCTTCGGAAAGCGAGGTAGAACCCGCCTTTTTCCACATCATATGCCTACGTGTAGGCCTGAAGCTTATTTTGACAGCTAACCGATGTCGACAGGGAGGCTCTGGCACGCAATGTAGCAATCTGGATATGGCTGACAAGGATCTTTGCTGCTGCTATCCCAAGCCTAACGTCGCGGTCCGTGGGGCCGCTATCTGCGTTGAATGACCCAAACAAGGGAGTCAGCCCCCAGGAGAGCACAGCCCTGATCGTTCTCAACCATGTTTCTGTCAAGGAAGACCTGGGGACGCTTATCAAGCTTATGCATATTGCTCGAAATCTTCTTGTAAATGCTGAGCCCGAGGTCCCCCAGGACATCTGTGCCGCAGTGCATTTTGACCAGATGGTTTACCAGACCATCATCCTGTGTGTCAACGTCACAAGTAAGGGTTATGACGGGGAGATTCTGGATGAGGCTCAGAGAGTGAAGCTCACTGATATTACTGAATTATGTATGTGATGGATCATCCGTGGACGTTGTAGAAGAAGAATTTCTGACTCCATACAGATAAGAAGCTGCTTGTGACTTCACTGCAGCAAGTTCACAACTGGACTGCCAAGCATGATCGCAACAAGATGTCGTTTTGGTTTGATGTTTTGTTTGACGATGACGGCGCGCTATCTGGACCGGAAGAAATTATGAGTGACGGTTCAGGGTTTCGGCCCGACGCGGCCAAGCACCAAGTTCAGCACTGGCTTGATCGGAACTCGAAGATGTGCGACACAGCGAGGAAGTTGCTCAAGGACTATGTCCAGAACCACGCAGACAAGCCGCCGGGAAATCTAGCCCCAATCCGGCCATTGGCCTGGAATTGGCTTCCAGATGTTCCTGCCGATTCGCCAGTCGACGTGCAAGAGGGTAACGAGAAGACGATTCCAGTCTGGAATGTGGACGAGACGGACAAGTTTGAGCAAGATCGGCTATACGGCCGTGTATCTCGTGAGATTGATACTTGGTGGCTTCGAGCGCGCGATCCCAATTATGAGGATTGGGTCGTGGGCATGCCGTCTGTGGAGTTTGCACAATCACGTACGGAGCATTGCCGGAATAATTTGGTCCACCGTTATGCCCATTCCTATCGAGCAGATCACTCACCACCTCCAGAGGGTGCAGAGGAAGACCTCTCTGACCATGAGCACTGCCATGAGTGTCATGAATGCTACCTCCGTCATCACCATCACCACGAAGACGATCATGAGTGCCATCACCACCACCACCATGACGACCACGAGCATGGGCATGTCCATGAAATCGATAATGAGCATGAGCATGAGCATGAGCATGAACATGAACATGAGCACGAGCACGAGCACGAGCACGAGCACGAGCACGAGCACGCTGAGGGTGGCGATGAAGTAGTGGAGTGCGATCATCACCACCATCACCACCACGATGACGAGGACGACCATCACCACCATCACTGCCACCACCACCATCACCACGATCATGACTATCCTCACGACTATATGGATGATATGATGGACGACGAAGAGGTTGATGACGATGAGTCTTATGGCGACGGGCCGCTGACTGGACTCTTGACCGAAGTGCCCAACATCTTGGATCCTAAACAGATTGAAGCACTGCACATGATTATCAAGTCTTGTATCCTTGACCATGCGGGATCTGGATTGACACGTGTCGGAGAGAATCTACAAAAATCGCGATGCAGAATGTTCCTTGCATTGGACTGTGGAAAGAGCCTGCTCCGTGAATTGCTCGTCTTCATTGCAGTATGGGACAAGGATGAGCAGAGTCTTATTTTCCAGGTCACAACACAAATTGTCGAGGCTATCCACCACAGTGCTCTGGTGCCATATGCCTGGAACTCTCTGAGGATCCCCAAGGATATTATTTCTCCAGCGCAGACGGTCCTTTTACGTTTGGTCAATCACATGCTTCGAGCTCGTGCTACTAGCACCACCATCCAGGACCCCAAGGATCATACCAAGGACCTCAAGCTAGTCCACTTCTTCTTTAGCTTTTTCCGAAGCAGAATTGTGCCCGAGTGTGCGGCTCTCATGCATCTGCAGGCCCAAATCCGTGAGGAGAACCGCGATCCATCCGAGTTCCCTGTTGACAGCTGGGATATGGAGCGAGCAAAAGACGGACTGGCTCAGTACCTGGAATTTCTCACAACTGCGGCCGAGATGGTAGATATGAGACCTCATCTTATTGAGTGGCAGGCTATATACGACCTCATTACGGTTCTCAGCAGTCTTGAGGCGGCAGTTCCAAAGAAACCCATGGTTGAAGTGCCCAAGCGTGCACCAGCAGCCGAGACCGCCTCCAACGCAAACGGTAGCAACAGCGACCTAATGGTTGAGCGGCCATACTCTACCGGAAACGAGAATGCTCCTCCTTCGCCCCCGCCACCGCCTTTGCAGGAACCAGCTCACAAGTTCCCATGGAGTGGCATCAAGGGCCAGATTTTCACCATAATCGCAACGCTTCTGCAGCCGCCACCGGGACAAAGCAGCCCTGGCAATGCACAAGTGCAAATGCAGATGATGAAGTACAACGGCATTGTTCCCCTACTTAACTGCTGCGCATACGACGACCACAATCCATTTGCCAAGGAGCGAGTCACTATTTGTTTGAAATGGCTGCTGGACGGCTGCGAAGCAGCAAACAACTTTTTCCGCGAGCTTGTCAGCATGGCGCCGCAACCTAACCTGAGGCCGCCGCCAGGAGGCACCACGGTGTCGACAATCAGGGTTGATGGAGTACAAGGCGAAGTCAAGGTGCAAGTACGTTCGAATACGGCAGCGCCTCTGCCCGACCGCAGCACCAGCAGCACAGATGAGCTGCTTGAGAAGGCTGCTGAACTCAAATTGGGGTTGAACCAGACCAAGAAGAGTGGCGGCGGTGGACGGAGTAACATTGAGGAGGACTTCATGGCCTAGTTCTTTTGTGTTATTATATCTGGATTGCATATCATAGGCTGTATAGCTCATTAGCATTTTAGTGGAGTTTGGTGGGAAACGTTTATTCATCTGCATATATGATGACAAGTTTTGGTAACAAGATGAGCCAATTGGCCTCAATAGACATGATTTGAAGTTGCTATCCTCTTTTCTCATTTCGGTTTGGTATCCAGAACAGGCTATACATGTGTATATTGATATGTAAACAACGCCGCAGAAAAGGCTAATTCTAATTGTAGATGACCAAAGATGACCGTCAAGACATGCATAAGGTACGCATACATGGATACATGGAATACAGGTAAAATAGAATGGGAGTAGGAGTGTGTGCTTGTGTTTGTGCGTTTGTGTTTGTGTGTGACGGCTGAGCCAGCCTAATCCGCCGTCGAACAAAGTCCCCCCGTTATGCATTATCCGTCTTTTTGATATTTTCTTCTTTCCTTGTATAATTAATAATCCCTTTTTTGTTTTTTCATTTGTTTCGTTGTCAGTTTCATCTTCATTCCCAACCTTGCGCCCTCCTCAATTTGATCCATTGACCGGAAGCTTGCCCTCCGTCTTCTCAACGTATGCCACCAGGTCAGCAATCGTGCAGACCTTGAGCCCCCATTTCCGCGCAAAAGCGATGCACGCCTCGCCCCTCAGCATGCCGGGGTTGTTGTGCACCGCCCGTCCGGGAACGACCTCGCCGTCGTCGACAATCTCGCAGATGACGCCGGCCTCTGCCTTGCCGGCCAGGCGACAGAACTCGGTGGCCGCCTCGGTATGGCCGTTGCGGGCGCGCACGCCGCCGGGAGCAGCGCGCAGCGGCAGGACATGGCCGGGGCGGCGCAGGCTCGACGCCGAAGAGGCCGGGTCGGCGAGGACGCGGCAGACGAGGGCGCGGTCGTGGGCGCTGATGCCGGTGGTGACGGAGGGGTCGGCGGCGTCGACGGAGACGGTGTAGGCGGTGCCGCGCGGGTCTTCGCTGCGCTGGACCATGGGCGGCAGGCCGAGGGCGTCGGCGCGGGCGTGGGTGATGGGCGCGCAGATGTAGCCCGACGAGTGGCGCACCATCCAGGCCATCTGCTCGGTGGTGACGGCTTCGGCGGCGATGATGAGGTCGGCTTCGTTTTCGCGCGAGGGGTCGTCGAGCACGACGAGGAATTCGCCTCTACCTGGAGTTGGCGGGGCAAAGGTCAGCCATTGCGTCTCGAGAGGGGAGGGGAGGACAAGGGGACGGCTTGGAGAGTGAGGCAGAGGCACGTACGGAAAGCCTCGATGGAGTCTGGGATTGAGTCAAAGAGACTCTGGTCTAGGGTGGTGGAAGGCATTGTTGCTGGTATTGGCGAGTTGTGTGTTGTTGTATGTTGGGTATCACAAGTTGTTCAAAATATGCGCTGCTCTTGCTGAGATTGGGCTACTTTTGCTCTTTTCTGTTGCTCGAATTGTGCCAAAGAAATGATGACGGGACAGAAAAAGAGGACGACGGATTCGGAAGAATATGACGATTTGCGATGCTGCGTCCTTCGGGAAACGGAGACGCAAGCCCGCGCAGTAGTAGCACGGATGGAGTGACTTTTTGTTCGACGGACTTCCACGGCCGACTGCAGCGAGAAAGCCCGGGCGGCAAGTACTGGACCCTTGGCTGGACTTTGTCGGGCCGGCTATAGCACGCCGAGCTGAACCAGTTTTTTGGCGCCGCTTGGGTTGATTTGAAAGCTTGTGAAGCTGGCGCTGGCAAGTCGGTAGCGGCAAAGCCGAGACTCAATGGAGGGGCAAATGCCGAGCAGAGTCCCCCGGTTGAGGAGTTGGATGGAGATAGTTCGCGGTTTTGGAGCGGCGATCTGCAGTGAGGACTGGGGAGTTGAGCTGGCTGAAATTTTGGGCGCAGTGATGGTTTGTTTGAGTTTTGTCGTCTTCTTTGCCTTGGGTATTAGCTTCAATGGCAAAAGTAGGTATTGTGAAGTATCAAAAGAAGGCAAAGTAAACTGAAGCGCACGAAGCAGACTAGACTTGTTGAGAAAACGAAACGTCTTTTTTTTTTCTTCTTTTTCCCTCTTTACGCTGGCTCGGCGCTGGGGCCTCGGCCAGATATATATACCAAAACTAAGCACTTTCTAATACAACTCCAAACCCGCGACTTCGGTGCGCCGGCTTTTCCATCTTATGATACTGGCTCGGGGATTTGCTGCAGGATGATGGCATTAGAGGAACCAATCCACCAGCCCTTGCGCTGCGTGCCTGTTGTCAGCAATCCCGCGGTTCGAGGTAATGATGTGTAAGCCGAGAGAGGAGCCATGGCGGCACTAGCGCTCTGCTGTTGCGTGTTAGTTTGGGGACTCAGGTCCAAGATTGTTTCTGAATTGAGGCCGGATTGAGGGAGTGATTGATAATACAGGAGAATGGAATGTGGAATTAACGTGTATTGAGATGCTATATAGATTGTACAACAAGTTTGGTCGTGTACGAATTGGCAAGATGATGACTGCGCTACAGATGCAGGTATGCAAGGTGCTTTGGATCAGCGGCCAGGGTTTAATACTTTATGTCTTGACTCTCATCATCCAGCCATTGTACGCACAAAATACGACTGTGGCTCATGCATTTGTTTGATAGTTGAAATAAAAAGAGACTCGGAATTTACAGCTGCTTACACAGCAATCAGTAAATCGTAATAACAAAGAAAAGACGCCAGATATGTCAGCCCCAATACAAAGCTCAGGTAGCCAACCGCGCGGGTATTCATTCTCGAACTTTTTTTCCTCCCTCTAGCCCCAATTCCCGCGTCTCCACCGCCCAGCCAAGGGTCCAGCGACACGCCAGAACGGCCCCTCAGTTGTTGCTTTGAGAACCTGAGGAAGAATTAGACAAGGCCGGAGTTGTTCGATTCTTCTTTGTCAGCTGTTTTTCTCAGGTGGTGGTCTAGCAATCCTTCTAGCCCAATTCGATATCCAGCGCTGCTGCTCTCGGCATCCCAACCCGCTGAGCTCCGCACACCCCGAGCCTCCGAAACCTGGCCTTTGCATCACCACCATCGTCATCTGCAGTTCACCACCTCCGGGCGCAAATCGCTTCACTCCAGGGCAGATGGCCGCACCGACCCGGGCAGCGACAAAGGCCCTGCGCCGCCTGCCTGTGCCTCGCCCGTCGCTGCAGGCCACCACCATCCCTGTAGCCGGAGCTGTGCCGCTGCCATTCGCCGCGCAGACCCAGCAGCCGCGATGGCACTCGGCCTCAGCCTCTGCCTCGTCCGTCAACCCCAACGAGGTCTCGCACTTCAATGCCCTGGCCGCCGAATGGTGGGATCCCCACGGGTCCTCGCGCCTGCTGCACCTGATGAACCCCCTGCGCCACGACTTCATCCGCCGCTGTCTCCAGGCCTCCGACTCGGCGCCTCGGCTCGACGACCGCAGCGCCGACAGCACCGTCACGTACCTCGACATTGGCTGCGGCGGCGGCATCTTCGCCGAGAGCGCGGCGCGGCTGCCCTCGACGAGGCACGTCACGGCCATTGACCCCACGCCGTCCGTCCTGAGCGTTGCAAAGGCACATGCGCGCAAGGACCCGCTGCTGGCCGCGAAGCTCTCGTACAAGCAGTCGTCCATTGAGCAGCTACAAGTCCCGCCAGAAGGGCACGGCTACGACATTGTCTCGCTCTTCGAGGTCATCGAGCACATTGACGACCCCGGCGCGTTCCTCGACAAGGTGCGGCCGTTTGTCAAGCCGGGCGGGTGGCTCGTCATGAGCACGATTGCGCGCACGTGGATGAGCTGGTTGACGACGAATCTGATTGCCGAGGACATACTGCGAATCGTGCCGCCGGGAACACATGATTGGAACAAATACCTGAATGAAGAAGAGCTGAGGGGGTTCCTGGCTGGCAAGGGCTGGGACAGCGCAAACGTCATGGGCGTGGTGTATGTCCCTGGGCTGGGATGGAAGGAGGTCAAGGGCAGTGAAAAGGTGGGAAACTATTTCTTTGCTGTGCGCAAGGTATAGTTGGAGAAGAGGTTGGTTGGTTTGTAAAATTACTTGGCTGGAGAGGTATGTGACGTATATACCTTGCATGTATCAAATATGGGCATAGGAGGATATGATACCCTTACAATGTGCGATGAATTAAACAACAGGAGAGATGGCTAGACGATGCAAAAGTCACTGTACAATATTTGAATAGAAGCTGGAAAATACAAAGGCGCTCAATCTAACCAAGGTTTGGGCCGGCATCGTTTAATTCATTATGGGTATCATTTTCTACAATATTCACATCTAGACGCAGCTTCATGACAATTCCCGCTTCGCCTCTCTTTTGACTCCTCTGCCTCTGCCCCCCCTTGCTTGTCGCTGGCTGCCAACAAGAAGCGACTCGTCAGCATCATCTTCATCCTCGTCGTCCATGTCCTGGCGATTCTGCTCAGCTTGCCTCCAGCGCTGTATTCTCCTCTTCATAGCTTCGTCTAGGAAGAATTCTTCTTCAAAACGAATTCGAGAGAATTTCTTGATTTTGTTCACCCATTAGCATAGAATCATACAAAAATAAAATTGAAGACGAGGTTCTCACCTGTGAACAGCCTGTTTGGGGACATTGAAGCTCGCCCCGGAAAGGCAAGTAATCCAGGATGGCGGCTTTCTCAAATACGTGTGGGCACTTGCGACTTCTATAGGGTTCATTCATGGGGAGGAGAGTCAGGGGACAATTGACGCTGATATTCTCTCGCGAGACAGCCACCTCCTCGTCATCGTCAAAGGAGCCATTTTGCGCATCACGACTGGGGATTGTCATCTCGGGCTCGCCATTGGAGTCGAACCACCGTGAGGCATCTGGCAGAGGAGGGCCGTCTTCGCCCGCCGCAGCTTCGTGCCACAGCTTCTTGAAGCCGACATAGTCATTGTTGAGGCCGTAGCGCTGGTGGACGCTGAGGCCCGTGTATTCTGCCCTCTTCTTGGCGCGGAGATCGCGAAAGGTGTCGACGATGCTGTTCACGGGTTCCTGTCGGTCGTCTTCATTGGTCTCATTGGCGGCGGCGTCTTCTTCGTCGCTATCAACGCCATTGGCACGTCTCCGCCGGCTCTGTGTCGCGGCCGCACTTCTTGTTTGAGCTATTGAATTCGTTGTCGCAGTGGTACTGAGGTCCTCCAAGACAGAAGCCTCGTCCTCTAGCTCGGCTTTTCGATCAATCGTCTCTCTCAGCGCACGCTCTGACTCGCGCGTCAACTTTTCGACGTCGGTTTCGAATTCGGGCATCTGCTGTTCGAGGCGCTCCTCTTCGGCCGTCTTGTCCGTGTCCTTTTCTTTCCGGCGCTCAGAGACAATGGCCAGTCGGTCCTGGCCTCTGCGCAGACGTTCGTTGAGATCGCTCACGCTGAGGCCAAGATGGCGAATCGAGTCCTTTAGCTGCGCCTCATACGGTGCAGCGCCGCGATGGTTTGAGAGCTCAATCAGCTCTCGTCGGGCCGTGTCGGAAAGAGGGAAAGAAAGCGGCTCGTAGTCAGGCAGGGCTGTGATGGTGGTTGTTGAAGTGCTGGTCGTTGCAGTAGCCGTACGGCCGCCGCGGCTGAATAGACGGCGAGACATTGTGCGAGGGAGTCGAATTGAAGGTATTCAAATGCCGACTACCTCATAACAGCATCTTTGCATCAGACTGTTGATAGTACTAGAATGCTGCTGTATCTTCAATTCACATGGTGGGGTTGAAGACGCGCTTGACTTGCGCGATCTGCCAGGTGCTGTTAATTGCGAATTACTAAGCCTGGTCCCTGTTTATTGGCGGGCAACACACTACGACTCCAAACGTGCATGGCAGCAGCTTATTATCATAGCTAAAAACCATATTTGGAACTTGCGAGGCGTTTGTCTACGTTATTACCCGATAGCTCCCAAATTTCATTATTTATTTATTTATTTGTCTCCAAAGCTGATTTCATGTATAGAATCAACTCGCCGTCCATGCAACAAAAAGGATAATCCGCGTAAAGGCTAGTAGCTGTTCCTCCTTGGTATCATCAGCTATTCTTCGCATGCTGCCTTTTGATTTCACACCTAGCAGCATCGTCAATCAGTTGGATTTCTTTACCCTCGCCAACCACTAGACCGACCTGGCAGTTGTATCTTCCCTAGATGCGAATGGCCCAACCCTCCCCCATCTGATTCGCAAGAGATGCTAGTAGGAAACGGCGCATCCCGAACCCCTTGCTAGCTTCTCAGCCCTTCAACTTCAGCTATACTCCCCATCCATGATAGTCTATGGAGTATGATACCAATAGATCTCTATACCGGTTCATTGAGGCCAGCTAGCTTTCCGCAGACCAGGCATCGTGCCAACGCAACATCCGAATCTCGCAACCTCTCCTCGTGATACTCCTGTTGGCCGGGTGCATTTGTTTGGCCACCACAGCGCCAAAGATACGACCTAGCAGCCAGTCAAGGATTTGCATGTCAGGCACATCCGCAGAATCACAGCAGTACAGAAGAGAAATTCCAACATGTTGCCATTGCTTCAGCAACTTGGACCAGGTACTTGGGCTCCCATGCTTGCAACTGCGTCATCTAGCTGCTTATAACTGACGCAGCCACAGCTGCAAGTCGCAGAGAATGACCAGGAATGCTTCTCTCAACTTGCGCTTTCACCGTAACTGTGCAACATTGAGGCTAGCTGCAGCGTCTCGTAACTCCACTCTTGTCTCAGCCATTGATTGTCTCATGCGAGACGTCGGAGACACATCAGAGCCCCGAGTACGAAGCACGTCGTGCCATCTGCATTACCACTTACTTGATACTCGTGCTCTCTACTGTTCCGGTACTAGGTAGCATTGGCTACGGCTGATTTTGTGCTAACCAACGGCAGCACAGCTCGGCATGTCAAAGGATCTTCCAAGGCTACGCTCCTTTCTGTCACTTGATATTTCGCCGCCTCTTCGATTCATGACGATGGCGATGTGTGACTTCGGTTGTGGCTTGATATAAGATGGCAAAGTCGAATGCCGCATTCTTGCGCCCATCAGCAGAACTCAGACTTGTCAAAGTCCAGAACCCCAAGCCAACGGGGACGCCAATGAAAGCAAGAAAAGTGAAACTCTACAGCGCGCCCCCGCTGATGGGAAACTACTCATGCGGCCTTTGACCAGCATCAGAGACTGGGATTCCCCGATCGTCCTGGAGCAATGGCGCCCAGGACCCCGATCGCCATCCGGATTACATCTCCCAGCATCGGACCAATCATCGGCTCGCCGCGGCCCCTTGGCCACGATGCTTTGAGCGCTAACAGACCGAGTGGATATTCCTGACGCCAAGTGGTAGTGCGCTAACAGCGGCGCGCTGAGACGTTCGCCCTGCCAGCCCTCTCGATGGTGGTTAGAGCCTCCCGTGCCTGTGATCTGAGATGGGCGCCGTGTATCGAAGATTTCAAGCCTCTTGCAGAACGGCCCCCTGCACATACCTGCACATACCTGCAGGCTGCCTCAGCGCCGCCCATCTGCTGGCGTGTGCCAACAAAGTTGCGCCGTGGCTGCGTCAGAAATCAAGCTTTCAGGCCCGGCCCCGATGCTCAAAAGGTCCCCATTACAGTCATGTCAGGAGGGAGTGGACGGTGAGGGAGCAAACATTATGGAGCGGCTTTTGGGCTTGAATGGAGCCGCGCAAAGTAATCACCTGTGGCCGTTTTCGTCTCGTGTCTTTCTCGTGCCCTTTTCCCCCCAGGCTACTTTCCCATCCGCTTTGCCAGCTTGTATTCTTATCCCTGGATTTGAAAATAGTACTTAATAAGCGCTGCTATATTGCAGTCTGCTTCTCTCATGCTGTACAACTTCTGATTTCCTCACTCTTCTCCCATTGGTTTTTTCAAAATCCCTATAAAAGCTGTATGAGGTTGAAATAATCCAGTCTTTTCAAAACTCTCAAAATCACCTGTTTATCGTCGTTTTGCATCTCTGTTACATGTAAGGGGTGCCAAAATGGTTCCTTCAGGGTCTTCAAAACTACCGCTGCAGCTGAATCCGTGGGAAAACCATGCTCTTGATGTAAGATCCATCTCTTCGCCTATTGATTTGGGGGCCAGGATTAGCGAAAAGCCCGATATTAACACTCTATGCGACCAGTACCAATTTCCATCCCCGCCTGACAGTCACGTTGGAGGTGGCAACAGTTCCCCTGCTGCTTGGAAACAACTTCAGGATTCCGTGATATATCCTGGCATTTACTCGGCTAGCGGGCTAGATGTGATGGGCATCTTGGTAAGCACCACCTCTTGTCTCCTTTCTTGTTCTCGTTCGGCCGCGTTGCATTTTTCGTAGGAGCACCCTTGTGCTTGAACTTGTTGCTAATTGGTTTACAACTACTAGCTCCGACTTGTGTCTCGACCAAACCCCGGCATTGAACTCGGCCCTCTCGACTGTTCCGTCTCGCTCACATTATGCGATCTCAGCTTACCAAATCTACCCATCATCTATGCCTCCCCGGGATTCTACGAGTTGACTGGCTACTCTGCCTCGGAAACCCTTGGTAGAAACTGTCGATTTCTACAACACCCTCCCTATGCAAACCAGACAGCCGGATCAGGGGTGTCTTCAGAACTCGCCGAGCCCGTCACAAAGATGCGATGGGCAATCCAAGCCCATCAAGAAGTCCGAGTGGAAGTCGCCAACTACAAGAGAAACGGGAAACGATTCACCAACATCGTCACTGTAATTCCGTTACTCCCAGACGCTGACGGACATCATTATGCCGTCGGGTTACAAGCCGAAGTATGAAAAAAACCACAACCCCTTCTGGAGATGTTGGGGACGCTACATATGACGAAAGCCCCCTTTGGAAGTAATCACTTCCTTCCAACTTTCACCTATAAACGACTACTAGATATACACGACATCGTACCTGCGAAATTTTTTGGGCGTATCTTCATTCAAGTTTGCATATGACGTCTTTCTTTGGCGCGCTTGGATTCCGGATCATGAATATACCTGACGCATAGTTGATAATCTTTTTTTATAGCAGCGTTGAAAGACTTTTTGTTTCTTTTTCTTTTTCCTTTTCTGATTTAATGTTACTGCATAATATGGGACGAACACGAACACGAGCATGGATATGGATGATTCTTCTCTTTTGTTGTGGGGCTTTATATAACGGCATGATAATTTATGATTTCTTCTCCTATTTCTTCTACTTCTTCTCATCATGGGGGTTGGGGATAAACGGAGGCTATACGGATGGGGGCACGATGAAAAGTCTCGCGATAGCGTTCTACATACACGAAGAACAGAACAGAATTATACATCATAAAATCGTATATGACATGTACATCTAATTGGTCATCGTCGCTGTCTTACAAATGGCGTGATATACGTAACTCTACCCAAGAAAAGCCCCGCGCTGTACTTGGGCATCGCATCAGTCGTTTTCCAGCATCTACTTCCTCAACCGGCTGGACCGGCGACGGCCACTGTCTTCCTCCATCACCTCTTCTTTGATCTCCTTTTTAACAGGAATAGGCTTCGACTTTTCTGCCGCGGCTTTGCCCCGCCTCTTCTTGGCAGGCGGGCTCTCTCCATCGGATTCTTCTAATTCTTCTTTAACCTTTGTCGCCTGCTTTCGTGATCTCTTAGGCTTAACTTCTTCAACCGCCTCCTTGTCATCGTCATCCTCTTCCTTAGGCTCGGCCTTTACAGCCTTGCCCTTTGCAGGCTTGGCTTTCTCTGATTCGCTCTTTATAGATTCTGTTTTGGCACCGGCAACGACAGCGCCAGTCTTCTTTTGTACACCAGGGGCATAGCAGCTAGTCCGTCCGCCAACCGTTATGAAGGCGAGTTTCTCGCCATTTGGAAGCTTGGGCGCTGAGCTCTTATCTCCTTTGCCCCATCGGTGATTGAAGAGCCAGTGTTCAGGGAACTCATTCGAGTCGCCGAGCTTGTCCACTGCTAGCTGGCAGACATAGCGGATAGCCTCGTGCAGGCGCGCAATCTCCTTGCCGCTAAAAGTATCCGAGTACTGTTCCGGATGGATCTTGGACTGGTAGAGCGTCTCGTCGGCAACCCAGTTCCCGATGCCGCTGATGACAGTCTGGTCAAGCAACAGCGCCTTGATGGGGACGTGACGGGATTGTATCTTGCCGCGAAGATACTCTTCCGTGAAGATGTCCTTGTCGACCACGGGATCCGGTCCATTCTCCACAAGCGGGGAGTATTTTCGAATGGAATCGCCAGGGCAGTCGACGAGCCGCACGCGGCCGAATCTCCGGGCGTCGGTGAATGCGACTTCGACGGGCTCCTTGTCAGTGGTGCTGATTTGGAATTTCCAGAATTTGGGAGGCCATTGGGCAATGTCGCTTTCCTTCATTTTCTTGTAGTAGTTTGTATAAGCCGTTTTCTCGCCATTAATGTGCACCCAGCCTGAGTGTGATGTGTGAGTGGCATGAGCACAGTTATGAAATGGGGTTTGGTTCAAGCATACCAGTCATGCCAAAATGCATAACTAAATGAGGCGGTTTATCCAAGGTTATCCTTGCATCAAGTGTTAATAAACTTCTGTTGTGAATATATAGATGCACTTTTCACATACCAAAAGTATTTTCCTTGATTGCCCGCCGATATAACCTAGTAGCAGTCAGACATGAGATGAAATGCTAGATTTGTGGGCGCATTCTCCATACCGTTCTCCCTTTCAAGGCTTCTTCTACCTCTTTTCCGCTAGTTCCAACCTTGCCGAAGACATTGCTATCGTCTATGGCAGAGGCCTTTGCTATGGTCTTTCCCACCAGCCTCTTGTTGAGGAAGTGTACTATCCGCGCGACTACATGATGTTAATTTCGGGTCGAAAAAATGCGTAGAGTGTACATTCCTTCGGCAATCTCAGGCATTGCAATCAAGGTTAGGTATTTTATAGAGAGATGGGGGTATATGCGCTTCAATACTTTTTCACTCTGCTCTATATCACTGAATCAATGATTCTCACAAACACGTCGTTAACCGCGCCGTGAAATTGAACGCGAGAGATGAACGAGGTCACGTGTAGGATTACGTTAGCAAATTCTGCTTGATCCACAGCCCCGCCCGCAAAAAAAAGCTATGAAAACATTTCTGCCGAAGCATTTTTTTTTCTTTCTCGCTTCTTCTTCCATCAGCAAAAAAAAAAAATTTATTCCAATGGCAAAACTCAATGTAAGTTTGTGCGCTGATTGTATTTTTGCTTTTTCCCTCGTCCACTACCTGATGAAACCCTAAATCCGCAAACTAGAGTCTTTGACCACAGGAGTGAAAACACCGTTTAGCACGTCAGTCTGAACCATTATCGGACAGCTGAAATATTTTCTTTCTGCATGCAACGAGTTGATCGTCTTGCTAACTGTCTCGAATAGGGTCCGACTACCAAGTGGTATCGAGCTTGAGTATGATGCCGGCGTCTCTGCCATCAACATGAACTTTATGGTAGGCTACCCTCGCACATCCTGTTTTTCTTTGCTCTCTTTTTTTTCACCTCGACACAATATGATGATCAATTTTACAACTATATACGCTGGAAATTACCGGCCGAGGTCTCCTTTGACGATATTCTTAGGCTATGACTGATTTTGTGTCTCAATCTCTCTTTTCTGTTGCTTGTTGAATCGCAATTGTATGGCATTGAGCTGACTTGAGCAAATAGTTTCACTTGACAAGGTATGCCAACGTAATCGTCAAAATCTCCTCGGCCACTCCGATGTTAGATGATGAAACGGCACTGGGCTCCGATATCATAATGAGCAAGACACGCCATTTTGCGGCAGGCCTAGAAAACCTCGCCCACTGATTCTACCTCGTCGATGTCTAAAGCTGAACCAAATGAGGCTGGATATTGGGGCTAATCTCTTGACATCAGTGTCCAGTGATGCGCTGTAGGTAACATGAAGACACGTGTTTGATCTATTTCAAGGTAAGCTTTTTTGCTCTTCTTATCCCACCAGCGTCATGTGATGATTTTTAGATGACGAGTCCTATTCGGGTTTCCGATGAGGATACAATCTTTTTTACCATTCATGCATTTCCTGATCTCTTGGCCCAAAATCACAGTCTTTCCACTGAAGCTTGCCGGTTGACATTGGCTAACATGACCAAAGTGATAATGTTAGTTTGCCCACATTCTTCTTGCGCTCCAGCCTTCTCGTGATGAGCTCGAATAAACAATGACAAGCATATGTCTGAGCTTCTGGCGACGAAGACAAAATGTTCGGAACTGATCTGAAGTCATTCGCGCCACATTATGGATTTGCAATATCTGAGCTATCGGCTAACGGCTCAAAAGATGCGCAGCACAATCCATGCTACTCATCTTGTGGCATATGATGCTAATGGTAAGCTACCATGTTCCCTCGTTCTTCTGCTCTCCCCCCTTATATGATGTACAAATATCACGACGGTCAACTTAGCCATATGCTCTGATGATAACGCCTGTGACAAGGCACTTTATCCCTGATAATTCCCATTTCCGTCGTCTTTTTCACTGCACAATGTGTTTACAACATTATGCTAACAGACGATTAGTACCAGATGTCTCATCGTCGACCTGATGCACACCAGACACCAAGCGGTGTTTAGTAATGCTAGTCTGCCAAGTGGTGGCTAATCTTTCCAGTCTACAGTTTGTACATTGTGTAATCCAGTCGTGCGATGCTACTCTTCGTATCACAAGCAAGTGCCGCCCTAGCGGTTCAACCAAATACTAGTTCGAAAAAAAAGAATAGAAAAAAGAATACTATATCTACCATTTATACCATCCGTCTTCAATAATGTGTGATGTGACCTGTTGTTACGATGATGGCATGACCCATCCAGATTGAGCATTTCGCTGCCACGTCAAATCCTTGAGACAGGACAGACTTCTTGAGCAATTTTCTCACTCGCCGCTACAGCACGTGGAGTAATCTTGGCAACTAATATTACCAGTGAAACGGGACATGGATCAAAGCGCGGAAAGAGGCTCAATCCGTGGCTACAGCCGTCTCACAATCTCCCTGTCAGGTTGAGTTGCACATGGCTGGCGGCGGACAGCGTCGCTGCGACGTAAGCACAGCATCTACTAGGGGCTCATCCTCAATCAGCCCCTGAGTTTATGCGTCTGTGTCGATTTGAGAACAGTCTGACTAAAAAATGGCAAACTGGTATGGGACGTCGAAGCCGATGAATGGGGTTGAATATTCAGCGCCTCAACTTACATCTAGTCAAGTATACAGAGAGAAAAAAGGCCAAGCTTGGCCACTCCAAAACAAGTTCGCCTTGGCCGCTAAGAGGGCCTCTAGACAAACACCAAGGCGGCATTCATGCGGCTATGCGGCTGCGTAGAGGCATAGTGTTGGGCAAGGCAAGCTGAGCCGCACTCGAACGGCGCTTATTAGGCAAATCGCTGCCGATGCTGGGAACCGTGATGGGGGCGCCACGGGAATAGTGTCTTTTCTATTGATGCACCCGTTGCTTTTTCTGTAACATCTAGCCATGGTTCACAATTCAAAGAACGGTAGACTATGGCCATGGTGGTGTATAGATGCTCTAAATTACCTGTGATGGGAACTCGGTACAAAGACACACCGGCATCGTAAGAATAAGAACCCCCTGGTAAACGCATGACTACCTGGCTCGAGAATGTGCTCGCAGAAGGATCGGGACACTGCAGAGAGACGCGAATTCTGCCAAAGAGTAGTTGGGGGCTGAGCCTCAAAAAGGGCACTCTGAGCTTGCCGTAGGATCGAATGGCACCAAACGTCAAGTGAACTGAGTTGGCCGAAAGGGAAGACGCTACTGTTGCGCTAACGTGTTTACGTCTTTGGCGCCGACAGCCCACTAGCAAGAAGCTGGGTAAAAGCTTAGGTTTGAACTGAGTCTGTTGTGGTCAGCCTGTCGTCAATTGTCTCAGATTGCACGAGCTGGTACAAGTTGCGGTGAGGAGCAGCAGTAAGACATGAAGCTTCATTCAAGGAAACTATTCAATACAGTAGTAAGTAGTAGTGCTATAGTAGGATCTTTCAATTCTCGTCCGCGACGATGGTGGGATGCTTGTCTCCGAGTGCTGTAAGATCAGCTCCCCTGTCGATTCGCGCTCGCTCCAGATACTATCTCAGCTGGGCGCGAGACAAGCCAGGATTGGCGGTGGATGGTGGGGACCGTCTACAGGATAGGCTCTCTTTAAGCGCTGAGCCTAGCATCGTCGTCTTGGTCTGGTCTGCTTCACCACTTGCAGAATCCGGAAAACTGCACTTGTACTTGTATGTCTCGTACTGCTGTGTGCCTCACCTCCAAGTCTGCCACTGCTAGGACCGGCAGTGTCTGTCGATTATTGGGCCGTCGGGTCGGGAGATTACCTGCTGCGTCGCCAGCAGCCAGTGAGAAGAGGCTGCTCGACAGGCATGCGAAGAGAAGGATGCGATTCCTGGCGTTGTGGTGGGTGTGCTCGTTGGCACTTGGAGCCTCAGGGGTGGGTTTGTGTTGAGAGCAAATCCACATGGGCTGCATGTACATCCAGAGCAGGTGTATGTATATTCTTAGCTCGAGTCGGGAAATGGTATTGTCGTAGCACTAGAAAAAAAAACTGGTGTAGGATTCGCTGCTGTGACTCCATACACGTGAAGGGATATCCGGAGGCCCTTGGTTTGTGCTTCCACGCTATATTTTTGCATTGGCGCTTCCATCCGCTGTTGCATTTGCCACTTTAATCTGTCACGAAGCTCTGCGGCATGGTGTTTTGTTAACCTCTTGTTTGGATCATTCAGCCTGTTGTGCTGTTGCTGCTGCTGCCGCCGTCCATCTTTCGGGTGCAGTCCTCTTATACGGGCAAGGCGTCTCGCCCAACATCGACATCATGGCACAGACAGGCGTAGCGGGCGTTTTGCTCGGCCCTCTGACCACAACATGGACGATGCCCCAGACGTGCTCAATCTTCATGCCGGGCTGTTCGACATGCGACAACGCGTACAATGGACAGTCGTGCAATCCCACAAGCGGTGGCCAGGTGATGGATAATACGGCATGCTGGCCGCCAGCCACCAGCGGAGTTGCCTCACCGTCGTGGCCCTTTGTGGGCTGGGGATTCTACTCTCCCGGGCTGGCCTGTCCCGCGGGATACACGAGCGCCTGCACGGCGGTTTACGGGCAAAGACCGCCATGGTCGACGCAATTCTCTTTGGTGCCGTCAGAGACTGCCATCGGCTGCTGCCCAACGTAAGTTGACATGGGCTTGGTATAACATGTTGTACTAGGCTTTCCTCGTCCCACGAATTGATGCTGGAGCAAGAAGAAGTTGCAAATTTGGCTAATAATCTACTCACTATACTAGAGGATTCGCATGTGCCAATGTCAATGGAAACACATGCACCGCAACCGTCACACACTCAACTACTATCCAAACTGCCTTTTGTTCCGGCACCAACCTCGTTGACTTTGCAGTCGCAACACTTCCTTCAATCGCCACCGCGACGACAACCGAGACAAACTCAGCAACTACAGATGTCGAATCTTCGACTTTTACACGCATAATGACCCTGTACGCCCCAATGTTCCAGCTCAACTTCCACGAAAGCGACTTGCCAGCCTCGACAACCTCGTCCAGTGCATCAAGCACATCATCTTCACCGTCTGAAACGAGTAGCGGTAACGGCACTTTGTCAAAATCCTCAGGGGGGCTATCCAACGGGGCCAAGATCGGACTGGGCGTCGGCATCGGCCTCGGCGTGGCCTTTCTGCTGGCGTTTGGCGCCTTCATCTACTACTACCGGCGCTCACGAAACAACGCAGTGCCTCTTGGAAGTGAGCTCCCGAACAATCAGATTTCTGTTGAAGACCCCCAGACTCCAAAGATTAAACAGTCGCCCGGTCAGATTTACGAAATGGGCGTGTATCATGCGCCTGCGGAATTACCTGGTAATGTCATGGAAGGCGGCTACCAGGACAACCCCAGCCCCAGAAGAAACGATGCTCCTCACAGGTATGCCTGATTAAAGTGGGAGAAGAAAAAAGTATGTATCAATGGCGTAATGATTTTTTGAAATGCATGGGCAGGGCCACTAGAATTGTATTAATTCGCGGGAAGATGGAGTTGAGTTATAGGACTGGCTCTGCTGTTATACTGTAAGCGATATGCGAGCAAGGAGCTTGAGCGGGCTAAGTTCTTCTTTTCACACTTTATATACCATTGTTAATAATTAGGTAGATGCTGAATGAGCAAGAGACGGAAATGGCGATTGATATATGATATTGGCTGTGCCTATTCCCCTTTTGTCAGGACCTTGGCCTCGTAATAACGAGTCGGGCTGGAGATGGATTATCCCCGTGGGATTGCGTTTCCATCTCCACCGCTGCTGGATGAAGGCTGGCGCAAGTAACATTCGGCATCCGCGGACATGTTACATGTCAATAAAGCTGTGCTTGTGGAATCCGCGGACAGGTTGCATATCATCAGATGGCTGTGCTTGTGGAGAATAGAATCCCAGCTTGGAAGAGTTTCAAGCTTACATCTGAGGTTATCACAACGACGGGGCGAATACGCTCTTCTTGCAAGGCGTAGATACGCAGTGCTAACCTATACCCTCTAGCATACGCTGCAAAATTGTAGGAGATGATGGATCTCTGTTGGATCTTGACTATGACAATTACCCCACAAAATAGAGCCCTGAATCAGCATTACGCGCATTCCACCATCACTTTGGCCGTGTTCCGTATATGGCAGACGTGAATATAAATGGCAAGATGAAGCAAGATTTGCGAATCTGATAGCCCCATGCCAAGCCAGCAGATCTTGCCCCAGATTAGAGCTGCGCCAAGTCGAAAACAAATGGAAGCCCCATTTGGTACGACTCGTCACCGCCCCCGTTCTGAAATTGCTAAGAGCACACAACTAGCCGTATTCGTATTTCGCTGGGCCGTCATACTCCCAGCCAATCTACGCAGGACAGATATTGGGGGAAAAAACTGAATGCTTTCACAAACAGAGACGCGTGCTGCTGTGATATATATTTGCTTGCTTCACTCTTTTTGAAATCTCTTCAGCAGTCCATTCATTCAATTGACTTGTCTTCAACGCAGCAGCAGCAATGAATAGCACCATCGAGCAAGTCATGGCGGATCTGCCTCTGCACCCGTTCTCCCCTTTTATCACGGAGCTGCCAACCTTCGTGCCCAACACTCTTTCGGCGCTGCCGCTCGTGTCCATCTTTGGAGCAGGATGCGTCGTCATCTTTGGAGTCACATATGGCATCATTCAGCGGATGAGGCCCTCGATGGGCGCCGGCGAGGTTTCAATAGCGCTTTGGTTTGCGCTCTGTGGCTGCATCCATCTCTTTTTTGAAGGTGAGTGAGGATGGGACTACCATGGCTTAACGCGCCCCTTTTGTTTTTTTTTTCTCGCAATTTTTTTTATTTTTTTTTTATTTTTTTACTTTTTTTTTTATTTTTATTTTTATTTTTTTTCATTATCAAACATTCTAATAAACGTGTGCAGGTTACTTTTCTTATAATGCATTCGACATGGCCAGCAAGACCGACATCTTCGGCCAGCTGTGGAAGGAATACGCCCTCTCTGACTCTCGCTACATGACCCAGGACGCCTTCACCGTCTGCATGGAGACCGTCACTGCTGTTTTTTGGGGCCCAATGTCCTTCTTCTGCGTCTACTTCATCATTGCCGAGCACCCGCTGCGCCACCCGTTCCAGCTCATCATCAGCCTGGGCCAGCTGTACGGCGACGTCTTGTACTACGCCATCTGCACGTTCCAGGAGGTCGTCAACGACATTGTCTACTGCCGGCCGGAGCGATTCTACTTCTGGGCTTACTACTTCCTCTGCAACTTCTTCTGGATTGTTATTCCTCTGCTGCTCATCAAGCAGAGCGTCAGCGAGACCGCAAAGGTGTTCGCCAAGGTAAAGGCGGCATCTACTGTTAAGAAGGCGCAGTAAAAAGGGACAAGGAGACACAGGATGGAAATTCTTTGGTAGAGGAAAGAATTCTGCGAATTTTGCCTGCAACCAATAGATTGAAAGATTTAGAAGAGATTACTATTATGGTGTGGATTAAAAAAAAAAAAACTCGACGCAGCCTTGTTTTAGAGGAGGGCATAAATTCTAGCACTCTCCAACATGTGTGCTCCCTGCAGGAGCTCTCCATGATCAGAAAAGACCTTTAATTGTTAATCAAAGCCCCTTGTCATCCATTCCAATAACGCCAACGCTATGCAAAGTGGTCCAGGTAGCTAACTGAGCTGAAAATCATTCGAATTGGCCCTCAATGCCCTGCTTGATACCCTCCAACACAGGTCCCCACTGGCTGCTTGTCCTCTGTGTTCGAATCTCCCCAAATCGGTCGCTGGCGATTTTGCGGACGAGGAGAGTATCCTTTGCCTTTTTAAGATTTCTACCTTCACCAGAAGAGAGATACTCCTCAAACCACACCTCCTCAAGAGAGTCAAAGGGAAGGAATGCCAATTCGTCTGCCTGCGCCGATTTGCTACCGAGAGTCTCTGCAATCAGCTGCCGAAAGAGAAGCTCGCGGGTATACTCTGGGTATGTGCGGGAGCATAGGAGCGCCTCAGTGACATTGGTTTGGGCCATGGCGCCAAAGATGAGCTCCAAAGCTTTGGAAGATTTTAAAACCGGCTGAACAGTATGGTAGTAAGATAGCGCAAGATCGAAGTCGCCATCTGAAGAATGCTGCACAAGAGTGATGACGATATCATCTGCAAAGTCTGGTACCAGTGACGGATGGGCGACATATTCCAGAGCGGTCTATCACATTGTTAGCAGTGAGAAACTTGATTCCGCAAATCACATGTCACCAACCGAAAAGGCCAAGCAGTCCATATACCACAGTCCCTTCATAAAGATTTCGTATTTCTGAGGCATGCCCGAAGCAGAAGCAAATGTTTCAGACAGAGACGCCTGGCCGTCAACGATATCAAAGTCCAAGAGCACATAGTATAGCAGCGACAGCTTGTGGTGCATCGACATGTTGCTTTCGCAGATTTGTTGGTGGAGTTGTTTTACGCCATTGTCGTTCTTTGGAGGGTAAATCTTGTCTATGCGATATGTTAGTCAGCTTTGCAACCATATATACAGGTATATATGCTCTCAGAGTCATGGAGACTGACTTTTGCTGATTCCCAGTGCCTTCAGAACACGATCCATGAAGAGCTGCCCGCCCAAATCTTTCCGGCGCGCCTCGATCTCGTGGATGCGCTTGCGATCGTAGGGCACCTGGGCCCCGGCGGGGAAGACCGTGTGGTAGTCGGTGTATTCAAACATTGTCGCAGATTGTCGAGGCAGAATGGCAGATGGGCGTATCCACGAGAGAGATTCGAAGCATCCAGCTGTAGCTGTAGCAGACTTGCGCCAACCAAAGCTTTCTGCTGGCAGCTAACAAACAAGCTATGGCCGTCGCGCGAGGTCACGTTTTTCACTAACAGGCCAGCGCTCTTAGTGCTGAAGCCACAGCGGGCAGCCACTGAAAGCCACACCCAAAACAATGAAAAGACGCTGCTTGGTGGGGTGGGAGGGTACGTACCGTTGTTTACAAACCACGCATTGGGACATTTCCAAACAAAGCCCAGCCAGCGCGGGGTCCGTCTAAGCACAATCGATTTCTACCTAGCGGTCTATTGCAAATTCGGCCTGCGACACGACGAGAGGCCTGGGCCGCAAATTGCCGTTTGGAAACCGACAGGGCCGGCCATTCACCATCTTTGATTTCGATTTTCCATTTCTGATGCCATTTCCAGCTGCGCGACCACGACGGCATCTCATTGCATCCCTTTTTCCCACCTTACAAACCGTGAGCGACAGCCCACTTTAGCGTCATGGCCTCTTCTCGACCATCGCGACGCGTCGCCAGGCGGGCAATTATCGAATCCGACGACGAAGATGAAATCTCCTTGACATCAAATGCTCGCGAGGAGTCGCCCGACTTTGAGCCCGAACAGCCAGCCCCCAAGAAAACCAGGACCGCGCGCAGGTCAGTTCCATCTGCGGCCGCTGCTGATACGTCCACAACGTCCACAACGTCTGCAAAACCGACAAAAGCGCCAAAGGCACCTCGAACTCGTCGGCGCCCTAAAAAGGCCCCAACCCCGTCAGAGACCGTCGATAACAGCGACATACTCGGCGAAGATGAAATCTCCCAAGCAAACGTCACTGCGACCCCGAAACCTCGCCGGACTAAGAGAGCCTCAACGGTCTCGAGTGTCGATTCCAATGACCACCCTGATGCGGCCGATCGAATGGACGGCAGTGTGACGACGCCAGGCGGCACTTCATCACGGAAGCGGAGAAGCGTGGCATCGCGAAGATCAAGGGCCAGCAACGCACCAGAAGCCCAGCCAGAAGCCCAACCAGAAGCTCAAACAGAAGCCCAGTCAGAAGCCCGGCCACAGACCCCCAAGCCGAAAGCTAGTAGGAGTCCAGAGGTCGCGTTGGAAGATCAGATGTCGCCAGAAGACCAGTCTACACCAAAGGCACGACCCGCTTCCAGATCCAAAGTCTCTTCGACGCCGAAGCCTGCTGCAAGATTACGATCCGCAACGCCACAAGAGACTCGACCTCAAGAAACCCAAGCTGTGCAGTCGACCCCAGCACCCAAACCACCGCAGCCATCAATAGAAACTCCGCACGCACAGCGGCTGGGTTCTCCTCTGACAGATATCACATCAAACGTCAATACTGTCAAAGCCAAGCCACCGCCCTCTGCCAAACCCGTCAGGACAATGGATACCATTATGGAGAAGCCAATGGATATTGTCGTCAAGTCACGGACATTGACGATACCTATTGTCGAAGATGCAACACCAAAGCCTCGCATAGTCATCACACATTTGGTTCTCGAAAACTTCAAGAGCTACGCTGGACGACAAGAAGTGGGACCATTCCATGCGTCGTTTTCATCCGTTGTTGGACCGAACGGCTCTGGAAAGTCCAACGTCATTGACTCTCTCCTCTTTGTGTTTGGTTTCCGAGCCAGCAAGATGCGACAGGGAAAGATCTCTGCTTTAATTCACAATTCTGCACAGTATCCTAACCTTCCTTTCTGTGAAGTTGCGGTGCATTTTCAAGAGGTCTTGGATCAGGTAGGTGCTTTCACATCACTACGTACTAAATGCCGTCAACTAACCCTTCCTAGCCCGGGGGTGGCCATGAAGTAATCCCTGATTCGGAGCTCATCATTTCCCGTAAAGTTTTCAAAAACAACTCCAGCAAGTATTACATCAACGGCAAAGAGTCAAGCTTCACGATTGTTACTACACTTCTGCGTGACCGTGGCGTGGATCTTGACCACAAGCGTTTCTTGATTCTCCAGGGAGAGGTCGAATCAATTGCTCAGATGAAGCCCAAGGCTGCGAATGAGCACGAAGACGGATTACTGGAATATCTCGAAGACATCATTGGAACCTCCAAATATAAAACTCCGATTGAAGAGTCCGCGGCTGAGGTCGAAACTATCAATGAACTTTGCATGGACAAGAGCGCTCGTGTTCAGCATGTTGAGAAGGAGAAGAACAGCCTGGAAGAAAAGAAAGACAAGGCACTCGCATTCATTCGAGATGAGAATGAACTCGCCATGAAGCAGTCTGCATTGTATCAACTCTATCTCCATGAATGTACGGACAACATCGCAATCACAGAAGAGGCGATCAACCAGATGCAGTCTCAACTGGACCTTGAACTCGAAAAACACCAAGGCAGCGAGCAGATTATCAAGGAACTCGAGCGCCAATACGCCCAAGTTGGTAAGGAGTTTGAAGCTCAAGACAAGCAAACTCAGGCATTCGTCAAACAATTGGCAAAGTTTGAACAAGAACGCGTCAAGTTTGACGAGAAGAAGAAATTCTTGGAAGACAAGAGGAAAAAGCTCCAAAAATCGATTAACAAGGCTGAAAGATCTGCGACTGAGGCTGATGAGACAATCGAGCAATGCGGAGAGGACATTGTCACACGGACTCAAGAAATCGCGGCACTAGAGACTATGGCGAAAGAAGAAGAAGCTGAGCTCACCAAGATCAGAGACAATCTGAAGGGAAAGACCCAAGTCTTTTCTGATCAGATTGCAGCTAAACAAAAGTCTCTGGAGCCATGGACAGAAAAGGTCAACCAGAAGCAATCTGCCATTGCCGTTGCCGAAAGTGAGATGAACATTCTCCAGGAAAAGGCGAATGCTGGTGCAGTCGCTCTGCGGGAGCTGGAGGCCAAAATTTCATCTATTGAAGAGGGCAAAGTTTCCAAGCAGAAGGAGCTCAAGGCTTGCCAGGCTGAAAAAGCAAAATTGACAAAAGAGGCCGAAAAGATGAAGTCGGAGCTCTCTATTCTCGCAGAACAAGAACCAAAGATAAGATCAAAGATTTCCAACGCCCGCCAGAAAGCAGATGAAGCTCGCTCAAGTTTGGCCAATACTCAAACGAGGGGCAATGTGCTATCTGCCCTGATGCGAATGAAGGAAACAGGACGTATCGATGGATTCCAAGGTCGTCTAGGAAACCTCGGCACTATTGATAAGAAATACGACGTGGCAGTCTCTACCGCGTGCCCTCAGCTGGACAACTTTGTCACCGAAACAGTCGAGGCAGGTCAGCAGTGTATTGAGTATCTACGGAAGAATAACCTTGGTCGTGGCAACTTCATCTGTCTAGATAAACTTCGACAACGGGACATGTCGCCGATCAACACCCCAGAAAATGCGCCGCGGCTGTTTGATCTTGTCAAAGCAAAAGCCGACAAGTTTCTACCAGCGTTCTATCATGCTATGCAGGATACCCTTGTTGCCAATGACCTTGCGCAGGCTAATCGTATTGCTTACGGCTCCAAGAGGTGGCGCGTTGTGACGCTGGACGGCGAATTGATTGACAAATCTGGTACCATGTCAGGAGGTGGCAACACGGTGAAGCGAGGCCTCATGTCCTCCAAGCTCGTTGCCGACACAACACAAGAACATGTCGCCAAACTTGAAGAGGATCGCGATGGGTGGGAAACCAAGTTCCAAGAGTTCCAGGAATATCAGCGAGAATGCGAGAACAGAATGAAGGAGCTGAGCCGGGAAATCCCTCAACTAGACACCAAGATGCAAAAAATCGGCTTGGAAATGGAGAGCGCCACGCGAAACTTGGCTGATACCCAGCGACGTATCCAGGAAGTCAACAAGGAGTACCAACCATCCGCTGAAGACTCCAAGAGAATCTCGACACTGCAGAAAGAAGTAGCTAAGCTGACTGCAGAAGTGGAGAAACTTCGCGGTGAGACATCCAGCGTCGAGGAGGAGATTAAAGCTCTGCAGGACAAGATTATGCAAGTTGGTGGAGACGCGCTGCGAGCTCAGCGAGCCAAGGTTGACTCCATCAAAGAGGAGATTTCAACTTCAAATGACGAAATCTCCAACGCTGAAGTCAAGAAAGCCAAGGCCGAAAAACAAAAGGTCAAGCTCGAGAAGGAACACACCAAGGCTACCAAAGAGCGGGATGCCGCAGTACGCGATCTTGAGCAGCTGCAAGACGGCCTTGATAACCAAGGAGAGAAAGCGGAAGAGCTCAAAGCCCGCGTCGAAGAAGCCGAGCAAGGGCTTGCGGAGATGAAGACGGGGCTGAAGCAGCTCAAGACAGAGTTGGACGCCAAGGTTGCAGAGCTGAATGAAACCCGAGCGGTGGAGATTGAGATGCGGAATAAGCTCGAAGAGAACCAGAAGGTTCTCGCTGATAACCAGAAGCGACTCCGATACTGGCAAGACAAGCTGTCCAAACTTTCGCTCCAAGATGTTGATGATTTGGTCGGCAACTCGGGTCCTAAGCCCATCAAGACCGAAGAATCGGAGCAGACTGAGATGCCAGGGCCTTCAGAAAATGATGACGATGATGAAGATGTTGAGATGACAGACGCCGAGGCCGATGATGCTGAGATGGAAGATGGAGACGCCATGTCAGTTACGTCTGACAAGACTGAACATGCCGAAAGCGCACCCGCTCGCCAGCCCAACGAACTGCCAAGGTACACGCCAGACGAGTTGGCTGGTATGAGTAAGGAGACTCTTAAAGGGGAGATTGCCGCGTTGGAAGAGAAGACTCAGAATGTCAACGTGGATCTCGGAGTTTTGGCTGAGTACCGTCGTCGCGTGGAAGAACATATGAACCGCGCGTCTGATCTGCAAACAGCACTTGAACAGCGCGATGCAGCCAAGAAGAGACTGGATGACTTGCGCCGTTTGCGACTTGAAGGCTTCATGGAGGGCTTCAGTGCAATTTCACTGCGCCTCAAGGAGATGTACCAAATGATCACCATGGGAGGTAACGCAGAACTCGAGTTGGTTGACAGCTTAGACCCCTTCAGCGAAGGTATCCTTTTCAGCGTCATGCCGCCCAAAAAGAGCTGGAAAAATATTGGCAATCTTTCGGGTGGAGAGAAGACTTTGAGTAGTCTTGCTTTGGTGTTTGCTCTGCATCACTATAAACCAACGCCGCTATATGTCATGGACGAAATTGATGCTGCTCTGGACTTCCGAAACGTGAGTAAAATTCTGCAGGCGGGCTTTGCCATCCCTCTAAAGCCCCTTCTTTTGCAGTATATGAGGATTGTGAAATTGAAGTTGCTAATAATAAAACTTGATAACAGGTCTCGATCGTCGCGAACTACATCAAAGAGCGTACAAAGAATGCACAGTTCATCGTTATTTCGCTACGAAACAACATGTTTGAGCTTGCAGCGCGCCTTGTCGGCGTGTACAAGGTCAACCATATGACGAAGAGTGTCACGATTGAGAACAAGGACTTTATCGACAGGCCTCAAATGACACAGCAGCAGCAGCAGAGAGCGCTGGGAGGAGGTGGAAATACGACCACAGTGCCAATGAGGTAGCACGAATAAGTTGTCTTTCAATTCTAATGTGACAGAAGGGCTTATGTTATTAGGCGAACCGATGGCGGAAATTGACCGCACCTTTGACGTGTCCATGACTCTCATATATGGGGCAAAAGGGTAGGCAAACATTGGAGACATACCCGGGGTCTGGTTTTGTTTTTGGAATTATGGCGGATACTTTTGTCGAAAAAGGATATAGCTTTTAATGATTTTTTATGAGCAAATGCCTGTTGGATTTCAAAGTATGTGAGACGCTGATGCCTTCCTCCCTATCCTCCCCCAAAAGCGGGTTATTAAGAGCCCTCGCTTCTTTACCTTACACTGCCCTTTCTTTTTAGTCTGAAAGGCCATGTTGAAGGAGAGGGAGCCCACGAACGACGATGGCGCACTCCAGAAGCGAAGGCCACTCGCCTCGAACACTCGCACCAAGTGTTCACGTCTCTCGAACATGTCATGTTCGTTCTCCTCCACCAACCCCAGAATGGACAATGCGAGAAATGTCTTATTCTGCAGCCTCCCCCCTGAGGCGTTCACATGTGCCACGTGCCCTCACTCGCATTGGGAATGAGTGCCGGATCTCGCATGCATGAGACAAGACAGATGTTGACGGGGTGTTTGACTCTGCTTGGCGTTGCACAGATGGACGTCTTTGTGTGACGGGCGAGGGGGAGGGTCGGGGCTGAATAGTCTTGTGTCAAAACTGGCCTGGGTATTTGGCCTGGGGAATAAGGCCGAGAGGTAGGTCGCAGTGAGAAGCTGGAGACGGATATAATGATGCCGAGACATGGTCGTGCTGGCTGTGCTTGATGGGCTGCCTCAAGGGATGTCGTTCGAGAGCTTTGCTAAGGTCGATAAGGAGTCGGACTTGAAGGCGCTTTAGGGGTTAGACTGTGTACGTATTTTTGAGTTTTCGGTCATCCTGTCTTGAGCTTGGTTTTTAGTTCAGGGGTAGTGGAATTGCGGATACACCATGTCTTGTTTCTTGAGAGTAGATTCGCGAGTTGTGCGATGCATGGGTGGCTAAATGTCATACATCTTCGTTTGATCCGATTTCTCTATAAATACCGGGTAGGCCAAATACTCAGAACCTAGAGTTTGAATATGCTGCTATTCATCATCATCAGTCATTATTATCTGTTTACAATGCTGCTTCTTGCGATTCAGTTTCTTCTTCTCCATGGCGCATCTGCCTTTCCTGCGGCGCAGAATGTCGCTTCTTGTGACCATGATGATTTGTATACGTCGCTCTCGAGAGATGGCGGGGACTTTTGTTCGAGTATGATAAGAACGCCCTGCGAGGTGTCGTCGACTCCGACGCAGTTTACGACGTATTCCTCGGCCAAGTTGTCTTCATATGTGAGTACTCTCCTCTTCATGGTTAAGTGTTCACGCAGCAGTATATTGAGTTAACAATATGTGTTTTCTTAGTGTGCCTGTCTTGTGACGACCAGCACGTCGTATGGAACAGCTGTTACTGGTTCCCCGGCTGGCCAATCCAATGGTACTGGGCCATATACTTCATGGCGTAATTCTCACGGGCCATCGCCTACATATGTCGTTACTCAAGCGAGATCTGAGAATGGGGATGATGAGGGCGCGTCGAAGACCAATAGCGACGATGACCAGGCCACAGAAACCGGTAGAGCATCTGCTACTACTAGTGCTTCTGGGAGCAACAATGGAGATCCTACCGACAAGGCAACTAATACCGATCCTTCAGGTAATCAAAACTCGTCGACTGATTCCGCAGCTAATGGCTCCGGGGCTCGATCAACTACTCAGTCAGGCATTGCTGGTTCAGACACTGGATCAATGACGGGACAAGTAACGCGCACGTCGAAAGACGCTTCTCAAGGGACGTCGGCGTCTAACTCTGGCGATGACGGTTCCAACTCTCGTAATGGCTCGGCAACGGAAACAAGAACTTCCAATACAAATGATGGCTCAGGGGCATCTTCTCGCACGACATTGGCCAGCTCAGCCACAGGTGATGCTGCTTCTACAGACGACCCTGCAAACGGCGGTTCCGGAGGAGCAACAAACTCTGGAGGAGGACATGCTTCTACTACTGGTGCAAGTGGACAGTCATCTAATGGCACATCTAATGCCCAGAGCTCAGGTAACGGTTCTCAGGGCTCTAACCAAGGACTCAGCATAACTTCGGCTAGTTTCACAGACACGCGGATACCGAGCTTCACTTATACTGAATCCATGCCTGTAATGACCTCTGGGGATGCATCTGGCACCGCTGCTTGGAACAGCCCAGTCAAATCTTCTCAATGGGGCACCGGAGCTGGAAACCCTCCATCTGCTACATCTGGAGTAATTTCAGGGTCCTCTTCAAGCCTTGGAAATCTGGGGACGGTTACCACAGTCACAAACGGCACTCAAGTAGCTACTCTTACCATCCCCCCCTTTATCACTCCCAGCGGCTTCAACAGCAGCACCATCAGTCATATTGTCAACGCAACGCAGACAGGCCCGCCTCCTCTACCTGCTGCAAACTTCACCCAGGTTACTCGAACGGGCGCCATTGTCAAGCCAACGTGCTATCAGATGCCTGTGCCACAAGGCGGATCGACACGAAGAGCACTGCTTCACAATACAAACCTCAGAGAGCAGAATGCTACTATCCCATTCCCATACATTGAGTCTGTAGACTTCCAGACAGACGGTGTTGATCCTTTGTATCTTACGTTGCGAGATGCTGCCGAAGGGACCCATTACATCGATGTTTCCAACCGCAGTTACATCGCCATTGTGGACTCCCTTTACAACGCCATGATCATTGACGCAAAGGGCATCCATTTTTCAACCAAGAAGTGCGAGTATGATGTTTCCATTACAATTGACTCCATGTATCAACAACTTGCTGCGCTGTCTGGGCAAGTCTGTTCGACGGGCAGTCAGCAACGGAAGCGAATGAATGATGCAGACTTTAATCAGACTCTGTATCTTCGAGACCAGTGCAATAATCCGATCAAGCAAACTGTGCGGCAATATCCATCGCTCAAGGTTGGAGAATCAAACTGCAACAGCATCGAAGTCGATGAAGACACCGGCCGATGGCTTTTTGACTGTACATTCCCCGGCTCGGATTCGGGTACAATGAGATGTGAATGGGCTGTCAGGAATGACATTGAAGAGTTTCTCTTTACGGACCCCTTTGGCGGTGCCTGTCCCGACTTGTCCACCGTCATCACAACTCTGGAAGCCAACGGCCAGGACTTTATCAACCCAGAATCTCTTCGCACGGAGCTCTACAACCAGGGCCTCGACGATGCGCAAAAAGCAGAAGCCAACCTCATGGTCATCTACTACGATCAACTCTGGGAGATCCTGAAGCAGGCCTTCTCCAAGCTTCGCACGCAGCCACCCGGCAAGGCGAGCGCCATCCAAGAGTACATCGACGTGTACAACCACTACCGCAACTTTGAGGACGACATCTGCGAGGATCTCCACGCCGGGGACATGCCCCTGAAGATGAGCCTCCGCGCAGGCGTAACCACCATCGACGCCCTCGCGAGACTCAACTGGGCGCCCGAGAACCCGAAGCCGTTCAACGTCACGGTCCAGGATCCATCCCAGCTCGCGTGCTGCAGCCCCGGAAGCGACGCCAAGAAGGACGAGACCAACGGCACGTGTGCGTATCCCGTCAGCGCTCACCTGGGCGATACGGGCTGCGTCTGCGGAAAGACGGCCTCGGGAGCGTCTGTGGCGTTTGAGATTACCGAGTGCGACAACTTTGTGAGTGAGTGTGAGAAGGATGATGACTGTTCCAGGGCTGGACACCCGACATTTATTTGTCTGACTGGGAGTTGCTGTGGAGGCGGAGTTTGTGCTGATCCGTACGAGTGTGCGCAGAATGGGTCTGCCTTGGTGAGGCCGAGTCTCTTCTTTTGAGTTTGAGTTTGATGCAATTGGATGCGAAGAGCTGGTATGCTTTGTATGAAGCATGGAGGGCATTGGGTTAACGAGCAGTTAGAGTAGCAAGTAGGTTGCAATCATTGTCTGTTTTGACTCTGCAGTACCTTTGGACCAACATACTGCAATCACATGGCAAAAGGCACAATGTTTGTCAAAGTTTAACAAGAAAAAAAGTCCGATTCATTTAGCTGCCAGGATTCTCTTTGTCCCGGGTATTCATCTAATCAAATTTTTACATGAAGCCGTTAAACGTCACCAGACTCCGCCCAAACACCATTATTCCCATATTTAGACCTTGGGGGCAACGGTGGGGGTGATCTTCTTGCCGTCCTTGTTGTAGCGGACACGGGGAGGGGGAGCACGGTTGCGGCGGCCCTCGCGGGAACGAACACTGTTTCAATTCTGTCAGCTTTCCAACGTACCTTTGAGAGGGAAGGGGTATAAATGTTCGAGAGCTGGGACATGAAAACATGTCCCATCGTACAACCAAGGCTCATCTGAAGCACATACGCCGTGATGGCGCAGTTGTAACACTCCCAGGGGAGGCAACGTACCGGACAATCTTGCCGTGAATGGCACAAGACACACAGTACTGCAGCTTCAGGTACATCTTGGGGACGGTGTACTCGGCGAAGACAGAGGCATCGGAGATATCACCTGGAGAGGATAAGTTAGCGGATGCGAGTTCTGTGTATGTACTTGGGCTCGAGTCAACGTACGGATGGCAGCAGACTCAACCATGTTGCGGATGGTGAATCTCTTGATCGCCTTATCCTTGGGGGTGCATCGCGAGCAGTTGCTGCAGCGGATGGGCTTGGTGTGGCCGCGACCCTTCTTGTTGCGGCCGCTGTGAAAATGTTAGCATCCAGTTCGCATGCTTCACGATTGTGCCATGTCGCCAATCTTGCAAAGCAGCCGTCGATACGAAATTATATCCAACCACAGAGTGATACAAAATCGTTGATGGCGGCATGCTAGAAGGAGCAGACAGAACACATCAAGAGGGATTCGTACTTGTTCTTTCTCTTCTTGACCATTTTGGCGGTGTCTGGATTGAACTGTTAGATTCTCACGCAGGAAAGAAGGAGAAAAGAGAAAGGAGTTCAGCCCACGTACTGGAATCGGTGTTTGTCAAAAAGAACTTTGGCCTAGGGCTCAGGAAAGCTGATTGTGCTGAATCAATCAATCGCCTGCTCGCTAGTGTGCTCCACACAATGAACCGATCAGTATGCAGCATGCCCAGGCAAATTTCGCGAGGGGCAGGGCAGCTACCGCGAAAACCCTAGGTCATGTGATGACGGTTACCGCCCGCCAGCGCAGGGAAATTTCTGGCGCGCCACACCACTGAAAGTACTTCTCACTCATCAACCGCAACATCTGAAGATTGCTTAGGACGGCAGTAATTTTATTGTCGAGGTATGTCTGAAAGATGCTGCATTTCTCTCTGCCCTCCATGAGCTCCGTGAGCTTCATGAGGGAATCATCTTTGATGTCTCTCTCTTGAAATTGCTTTTACGGAGCTCGTTCCCGTGCTTCCCAGATATCCCCGTCGATGTTGCAGATTGTCTCTCATCGACGGATTCTCTCTTCCCCCAGACGTCTCACGCAGAAATTTCTTGCCAGGCAAAAAAATCTAACCCTTCCAGTTAGGCAAGATGCAGATTTTCGTCAAGACCCTCACGGGGAAGACGATCACCCTTGAGGTGGAGTCTTCCGACACCATCGACAACGTCAAGTCCAAGATCCAGGACAAGGAGGGCATTCCCCCGGACCAGCAGCGATTGATCTTTGCTGGTAAGCAGCTCGAGGATGGCCGCACCCTGAGCGACTACAACATCCAGAAGGAGTCCACCCTCCACCTGGTCCTGCGCCTGCGTGGTGGTGGCAAGAAGCGAAAGAAGAAGGTCTACACCACCCCCAAGAAGATCAAGCACAAGCGCAAGAAGACCAAGTTGGCTGTCCTCAAGTACTACAAGGTCAGCAACGATGGTAACATCGAGCGTCTGCGACGAGAGTGCCCCAGCGACACTGTGAGTACCACCCCTTGTGCCGTTTCCATACGGCTTACAAAACGCTTTGATCATGTGGCAAAAAGCATTTGGAATCTAACATGATTTACCTTTCTAGTGCGGCGCTGGTGTCTTCATGGCTGCCATGCCTGATCGTCAGTACTGCGGTCGCTGCCACCTGACCTACGTCTTCGACAAGCAGTAAACGACAAAAAACCCTATACCTTTTAAAAATGGAATGAAAATTTGTGGATTGGACAGCTGGAGCCATGGGACTGCCATAGCAAACAAAGGCGTTGATGTAGCATAGAGAGCACATCCGGCGGCTTCTGGTAATGAATGCTTGATTTAAGACACGTTTGGAGTTTTCGGGAACTGTAGTTCATGTGACAATGGGCAATGAATGCCGTATAAAGACTTTCCACATCTGTGACATTATCGTGATTATCATATCGAGTGCTGGAATGCCGTGTGAGAGAGGACCCAATTGACTGATAACGCGAACCTGTAAACCGTTATCCAAATTATTTTGGCCTTGCACGAAAGATTTTATGATTTAGTTGATCCACTTTAACCGAGTATGGGGCCCTCTTACAATTTGTCTCTCTCGTAGCCTCCGTCATATGCATCACGCGACAGCCAGATTGAAATTTTTCAAACTTGAATTCAATTATGTTGATGTGAATAACCTGAGCTAATTCGAACAATGCAACATCGAGATGGGGTATGCATCCCTTATATGTACAATAAATAAGTAGCAAAGCTGTTTTCCTTGAACGCCAATTCCATAGTTCCTTTACAACTCCTTCAAAAGTGAAGCAGATACCACCCCAAGTTCCAGAGCCGACATCTCTCATGCAAAGCAAAACTTACTCAGCCTTTGGAGTCTTGCTTTTCTTTGCCTTCTTGGTCTTGTCCTTGGGCTTTGGCTGAGAGGGTTTAGTCTCCTCAGCCATCACCAAAGAGTCCTGGATAGGATCAGCAAGAGTTCCGCAGGCTTGCGACGTAGCTAGATCAAACACGGCGCTCGACTTTTCTTTCTTGCCGAGCTTGTTGTCGCTCTTCTTCTTTTTGTCGGTCTTCTCGTGAGCCAAGGCCTCATCGTCCTCGCCGCCATCTTCGGACTCCTCTGGCTGGGCTACCTCAGTGATGGACTTTGAGTCAGTCGAAGCCTCCAAGTGCTGGGAAGCACTCTACTCATCCTTTGACTTGGACTTCTTCTTCTTCTTCTTCTCCTTCTTGTCGTCATCAGCGTTGGTCATGGGAACATCCTCATCCTCATCACGCTTGCGCTTCTTCTCCTTCTTGTCCTTCTTCTTGTCCTTCTTCTCTTTCTTGTCCTTCTTCTCCTTCTTGGCGGCAACCTCAGGAGCATCGACCATGTCCTCATCAAGTTCTAATTCGGCATCGCCGATAGACTCCATGACAGATTTCTAGTTTAGTGTTAGTTTGCATTCAGAAGGAATCAAGTGAGGAAAGTCGTAACGTACAATGACATCTGCATTCTTGGTGGGGCGCTTGCCGGTGGCGTAGAACTCAAGACGCTCATCTACCTGCGCCTTGAAAGCATCACCGAATCGGGTAGAAGGCTCATCAGAGAAGACGTCGATACGAGAAGCCATGGAAGCCTTGTTGGCCACGCATCGAGACATGCGGCCCTTGTTCTGCTTGCTAGCCTTGGCAATGGCACCAGCGTGGAACAGAAGACCAAACTTGGGGGTGTTACCCTTGGTCTTGAGCGCACGGAAAAGAGCCTTCTCAGCACCAAGAATCTGCAGGGTGGACGAGGGGAGCTTGGCCAAGTTGGTGAGAGAACCGGCATGGGAGATGAGACGAGCAGCAACGCTTGATCCAAGCAGGGCCTTGAGGTTGGGGGCGACCTGGTTCAACTTCTCATCAAGATAGTTGGAGGTTGATCGACGGTTATCGGCTTGCTTGAGGACGAGCTGGGAGAGCTGATCGATGATCTCAAAATCTGTGGGGGTAAGGTCATAACCCATAGACACCTTGGCGGCATCAATGATGGCCTCGGCCTTTTCTCCATCTTCACCAAGGACAGCGGCGATGTCGTGGAGCTTCTCGTCGGAGAGCAGCTTTCGGTTTCCAATAACACCGACGAGCTTGGCGTAGGTGTAGTTGTCCGAGGTAAATCTCTGGAGCTCAGGGAAGTGCGAGCCATACCATTCACGAAGGCGCATAAAAAAGCCGTTGACACCCTTATCCTGGAAGTCGACGGTGGCAATGGCCTGGATGATGTGGTTATCGTTGCGGGTCACGTTGAACTTGACCTTGGCACGAGAGTACGCGTGGGCCAGACCGAGCGAGGCCTTGGTGAGATCACCAGTCTGGAGGCCCTTCAGCAGCTTCTCGGCGTGCAGACGAATTCCACGGATAAGTTCGGCAACAACCACTGAGGTTTCGATCGTCTCGATGGAGAGGCCGGGGAACTGAGCCTTGATGGCACCACCAAGGTTCCTCTCCGCCACACCAAGGGTAATCTTGCTCTTCTTGCCGCTCGTCTGGGGGAGATTGAGCTCAAGCACCGACTTGAGCTGGTCGGAAACGATACCCTCAGAAATCAGGTTGACGTTCTCGAGAGCCTCGACGTGGCCGCTGTCGTTTAAACATGTCAATTCCCGGCCCAAGTGATGATCCATAGCCAATTAGGAGCGTGTTATTACCTGAAAGGAGTGAAGTTGACGAGATTGACCATTTTGCTGAACTTGGGCAGCTCGTTGACGGCGGTTTGCACCTCCTTCAACTTGGCGCCAACGGCATCGGCCTGGTGCACCACATTGAAGAGGGCATAACCCAGGGCGGCCTCGAAAAGGACGTAATCTACGTGCGCCATTGTATCTCTGTGCAGGCGGCGCCGTTAGATTGAGAGGAGAGACGCGGTGACTGCAATTGGTGGCAGCTTTTCGGTTTGGTGTTTCTTCCAAGATCTTCGCATCCAAACTTTTTTTTCTAGTTTGACGAAATTTTCTGGTAGCTTTGAGCGCTAGCGCACGGGCCAATAGAATTTTGCAGCCGGGAGCGACGTTGATGTGGGATGTGTCACGTGAGAGGGAGCGGGGCTGTCCGGTGAATCAAAGGTGAGCTGTAGCTGATCAGGAGTTGCTTCTATAGGCGATGAGAAGATACTCAGCCATTTTCTTTTTCAATGTTCTTCTGTTAATATTCTACTTCTTTTTTATCATTCTATCTATTCTCATGCTCGAATCAAGAGACTCTAGTTATTTGGGAATCCATTCTTCAAGTTGTCGTACTTTGACTGCGGATAATCGATGCAGTTATCCTTCCTCTGGAGTGCCTGCGGACCGCCAAACTCATTGACAACAATTCCAATCAAGCTGTCCTGGCCCTCTTTATCACCGCTGCTCTCCCACCACATGCCGCCTCCAAGACCCCACTCCTTGACGTAGCCAGCCTTGACTCTGGCGGCATGAGGGGTATCGTAAGAAACGAGCTTTCTCGTCTGTGGGTTAAAGCAGTAGCTGGAGCCGGTGGCTTGGTCATAAATCTCCTGTGAGCCCTGAAGAGGGAGAACCTTGTAGTCGAAGATGCCATTCTCCCAGGACCCCTCGCCAATGCCGTTGTATGGCCTGCCCGGACCGTCTGTGTTCTCAAAAGCACGGCCGTAAATAGGCATTCCGAGCACAATCTTGCTGGGGGCTACACCGTTCCTCGTGTAGTGGTCAATGGCCGCGTCAGTTGAAAACGGCGTAGATGTAGGGTTGTCATGCGACACGTGGAGATTGGCCTGATGGCCGCTCGTCGGGTCCCAAGAGCCCGCGTAGTCGTAAGCCATCAGATTCCAGAAATCGAGATACCTGTCCATGCCTGGGATGTCGAGGTTTCGAAAATGGGTGGGCCCCGCAGGACAGGCCACAGTCAGCTCGAAATGGCTGTAATTTGGAAGCGTGGCTGAGTATGCATCCAGCTCTCTGCGGACAGTGGCGAGAAGCTCAACGAAATTTCTGGCCTCGTCTGCATTTTGAGGATACTCCCAGTCAATGTCCAGACCGTCGAAACCGAGATTCTTCAGAAGCTCAAGGCTGGATTTGGCGAATGTCTCGCGGCCTTGCTGGGTGCTGGCCGGGCCCTTGAAGTTGCCGCTATAGGTCCAGCCGCCAATGGACAGCAGAACTTTGAGGTTTCGATTGCGCTTCTTGAGGAGGTTGAGCTGCTTGAGGCAGCCATACATGTTGTTGCCAGTATCATTCCACGAATCACCCTCCCAGTGAATGTCCGTGTCCGCCCAGCCATCAGTCATATGCCTGTATATATGTCAGAGTGCGTCTTATAAGAACGGGAACAGAGATAACCTACACTTCTCCGCTGTCTTGCTTAACATTGGCAAAGGCGTAGAGGACGTGAGTGAGCTTATCGGCGGGAAGGTCTTGCGGCCTATGCTTTCTGGCATAGATGGCCCTTTTCGGTTCAGAACATTAGTATCAGCTGAAGATGCATGCACGGATAAATGGGCACACTAATGTTGTGTAACCAGATCACAGGTACATACCAATTTACGAAGTAGGCGACTGAACGATAACCGCCTTCAGACATGTTGATTTGTGATGAAAAGTAATTGGAGATTGGGATGAAAGATAATAATAAAACAAGGCCCGCAAGGAGAATGAGGTATTTGGGGACAGCTAGATCCCTATGACGAAATATGGTTGTTGGTGTTCAGCAGGAGCTGTGTTGAGGGGTTTGGTGAGTCCGATCAGACGGCTGCCCTTTATATACTCGTAATAACAAACACGGATAATAACACTTGCTCTATTTCTTTGTATTAATATGAATAAGTTATGAGCAAGGCGCTTGGCAATCCAATAATGGTGGAACAGCTCAACGGCGGCCTCAACAGCTGTCGCGGCTTTCGCCCCAGCCTCCACTTTGTATGCGCTGCTGAAGCTGCTGACTGGCCAGCACCGCCTCATCGACAGCTCATCTTTTGCTTGTCCATGCCCACAAATGAGCCAATGCAAGAACATGGGCCGCTCTGTTACCAAACTATTTTTGACCAATGAGCCACCCATTTCATATGCCCCAGGATGCACATGCAACCTGCTGACATGTGTTGTCTGCTTGTCACCTCAGCTGTGCTCGACGGCCAGCTCAATATGAGAGCAGTGGAACTCGACTTTCATCCCAGCGCTTCAACGCCTCAACGTGCTATAATGATGTTCTCAGCTGGTACTTGCATCCGCTGTTTTGCCGGCAAGCCCATTGCGACGATGCAGCGTGAGAACGTTGTTTACATCTGACCCGGGGTCCGGGCCGTTTTGTAATTCAACAAGAATCTGTCCTGGCATGAGCCCCGTATTCCTAGCAGAGATAATCCGCGCTGTTGCTTTCAAGATGTCGTCTCTACGGAAGCTTGGCACCGCTCCTGGCTCCAGCGGCCAGTGATTGTGCTCATTGGCGTTGTCACTGATGATGCGTTGTGGGCACCAAACGCTAGCTTCGGCCTTGTTCAGCAGCTTGATATTGAAGTGGAAAGCAGCCAGTCTTGTGCGTGCTGGTCTTCCGTCTCTTCGTCTCATGGACCCTTTCCTTGGCCGACGGCAGGTATGGCCTCCCTTTGGCACAGCGGATTACAATCGTGTGAAAATCACGGCCCGAAGGCTTCTCCTTGTGGATGGAGAGGTCGTAGCCGTTTTCTTTGCCAGTCTGCTTGACGCCGGCAACCGCATCTTCCAAGGTTGAATAAGAACGTTTAAAAATCGAGTCCATTGGGTGAAGACGGCGTGCGGATGGCTTCAACTTTGGTCAAGTTATTGATGAGTGGCTCTTTTGATGTGCCGTGCAAACTTGCCTTGACTGTTCAAAAGGAATATGTAGAGTCAAGTAGAGCGACCTTATTAGCAAATGGCTATTGACCAGTTAGCTGCATGTACTTGGTATACAGCCTTACTGCGGACTGCAATGAATGTTACCTGCTGATATGACTTGCCTGCTGGTAACATCAGCTTTGCCTATAACACGTACGGAGTGTCTGCGCAGATTTTATGCTGTTCCATCACCTCGCATTAGCAGCACTTTCAACTTCATTCCGACCTACACTATGATTCCGTGTCAAATTCTATAGCACCAGCACCAGCTCCATGCTCTAGCAGCAGCTTGAGAATCTCCTTGCGCCCATGAAAATTTGCCAAACATAGCGGCGTATGGCCATCTGCATTTACTGCATGAACCCCAGCGCCATTTTCCAGCAAGACCTTGACGACGTCCTTGTGCCCGAGACTGGACGCAGCAGCAAGCGGCGTCTGGCCGTCATTATCCGGCGCGTCAATTTCGGCGCCGTTTTCTATCAGCACCTTGGCGATATTCGCATGTCCCCATTGCGAAGTGCAAAGGAGCGGCGTCCGGCCGTCCTGATCTGCTGCATCAATTTCAGCACCGAGATTGAGCAGAAGCCTGACGATGTCCTCATGCCCGCTACCGGAAGCCTGAAACAGCGGGGTTTGGCCATAGTTATTCGGCACGTCAACGTCAGCACCGCTTTGCAGCAGTAGCATGGCTATGCCTATGTCACCAATGTCTGAAGCGTAATAGAGTGGTGTCCGGCCCTTCCAGTCGGCCATTTTGACTGTTGCACCATTTCCCAGCAGCAGCTTGACGACGGCGTCGTCCGCATGGCTAATTGCCTCAAAAAGCGGCGTGCGGCCCCGGTAGTCCTTACTGTTGGCCTTGGCGCCGATTCTGAGCAGATGCTCGACCATGCCCTGGTGCCCTCCTCTAATGGCGCAAACGATTGGTGTGTATCCGCGATGGTCTCTGGCATTCACACTCTGCCCGTCTTCGAGTAGGCGCGTCGCTATATTCTCCAATCCGAAATGCGCTGCAAGATGAAAGCCTATTTTCCCGCCCCCAAGGTCGTCGAAGAATCTCCGGCCCCTTTCCAGCGCCTGGTCGGCGGCAGATACCTTGGCCTTGGAATGGAGAAACTCTAGGATCGGCTGTGTGTTTGTAGATGCACGAGCATGGTGACCCCAGTAATTCGCAGCATAGTGGTATAGCACGTTTGATGCCAGCCGCTGGTCGTACTCAAACTGCGTCTTGCAGATGCCGCCTTCAAATGCGTGAAACGAGAGATAGGTGACGCAGACTGTGGTGATATCTGTCTCTGCATCCGAAATCCAGAATTTCCCTTCCTTCTCAAAGTAGTCTTGAATTGTATAGTGTGCTAATCGCAAGACATCTCTCTCGGTGTCGTGCGTGACGAGGCCGGCATAGATGGAAGCCATGGTTTCTCTGTCAGGAATGAACTCCTCATCTAATTCCAGATTTCCCGTCTTGACTGCAACGGCGTGTTGGAGTTCAGTCATGGAGAGTACTCTTTTTGCGTGGATGAGCCAGGATATGACTTTTCTTGCTAATTGACACAAATGTTGCCCCTGGCTTTCGATCCTTGTTATTGCTTGCTGATATATCTTTCCTAGTGAACGAGGTAAATTTCGCAACGCTTGTCTGATATCGCCTACTGTCGGTAGCCGGGCTAAAGAGTCAACATGAAGCCTCACAAGAAGAAACCTGCAACCAGTCAGGCCTGAGAACGTTTGACTTCGAGGAACAATTTTTTTTTTGGCAAAAATAGCTCACATTCCATCAGAAAGTTGAGATATTTTGGTTTTTATCTCATTTTGTAAATCTGGCTTTGTCAATATAAAATTTGGAAGCCTATCCATACGGCTATCAAGAAATGCTTGCACATCCTCATCTTTGGCTCTGATTTCGAAGTGAACACTTTGGTCAAAAGTATCGGCAATCTCCTGGACAAATCTCGAAGTCGCAAATATATTTACATTCGTTTCTCTTTGAAGCTTCAGAATCTCCGATAAAAAGATTTTGCGACATCCATCTGTTTCTTGACACTCATCTAGTGCATCGACAAGGATGAAGACTTTAGAGTAAAGACTGCTGACAGAATGCAATGCTTCTAGCAGCTCAGTCAAAGACGGCCTTTTTTGTATTTCGTTATACTCGTCATAGAGAATCTGCACACAATCAGGTATCCTCCTTTGCTTCTGAATTAGCTGTTTAAGTAGGTTCGCGATAAGATCGTTTGTTTTCTGCTCGTTATGCCTCCTGAAATCGCAGTATAGGTACGATATTCCTACACTGGCGTCATCTTTATATCGGCCGTAAAGGAGGTCATCGATAACTGCTGCGCTCATGATAGTTTTGCCGGCTCCAGGAACTCCGGGGCAGAATAGCGTCTGGTTGTCAGACTTGAGCCAAGACAAATATTCGTCCGAGGCAAGAAACCAATGACAAGTCCCTCGCTGACGGATCTTGATATACTCGCTCTGCTGGATGGCGAAGTCAATAGGTGCGAGCCACTTGAGAATGTTCTGGTGCTCTTGATCGTAATGTACGCTGAGAAGCTTTTCAACGCCATCAAAGACATCTGCAACAATTAACACCTAATCGATATGTCGATATATTCACTATTGACTAGTTGACACTGACTTTTTAGGACATCGATGATCCGATTTTCCTCCTCAACCTTATTGGGGGGGATTCTGGATAAAAGGTCCTTGGTGTAAGCTGCGGCTGCCATTGCTGCGTAGCCTTGCCACTCTTTATTCTTATGAGAATCAGAGTAATCGCAGATGCCACGAATAACTAAGCAAGGAAACTGATTCATTAGTCCAGCTGCTTCCATTTCAAAGCATAAGACATCTTTCTCCTTGATTAGTTTGTCTCGTATCAGGGCGTCCTTCATCACTTGGTTTGCCGAGGCAATCAAGCCATGGTGAATAGCTGGGTTGTCGTCTTCCTGAGTTCGGTCGACACGTACTATTATATTCGACGAGTCATTGTCACAGCAATTTGGGCAATTTTCCTCGATAGTCAATGGATGAATCGCTGCTGATTGATATAGTCTGTCAGTGCTTGGCAGCGGTCGCGCATACTTTCGACGCAGCCTCGGTAATTTCTCAAGAACGTCATTGATGCTCTCCTCAAGTTGGTGACCGTGGATCTCGTAGTCTGTTTCAAGTCCATTCACTGCAGTTAAGAGAAACGTTGGCGGCTGGTTCAGAAACCCTGTTGTATGAAGAGTCCCATCTTGGATCGCTTTGCCAAAGTCATACTGGAAAACGCCTCCAGTTCCGTCGCGAGGAGCACTAACCACAACGTCACCAAGCCGTATATCATGCTTCTCGCTTGGAGCGCCGCCACCGATACCAACCATGAGGCCGATTCGAACATTAGGAAAGCTGCTCAGCATATTCTTTGCAACGCCCGTAGCACTGGAAATTCCGTATTCTCCATTGGGCAAAACGGCAATGACTATATTGTGGCGTCCTATCCTGCCCAATGCATAGCAATTATCGTCATGAGGGTGCACATGTTCCGGGGCTTGATGGACCTGGTCAAGAAAAATCTGCGCGGCAACGTACTCGATCTGCAGAGCACAGATCCAGCCGACGGTGTAGTCTGCATGCGCCAGTTTTCGCTCAGCCGCTGTTCTTCCAGCAGAATCACTGGTTGAACGTTTTCTCTTCTCTCGAGCTGGAGCAGTGCTACCACCGTTTTCATCCCTGTCCTTGGACATATTGTCTGATCGCCTTAGAACACGCGAAGTCGTTGTGAAGAAGGGGACCTACTGAAGCTGCTGCCGCCGCCGCCGCAGGGTCGATTGTGCGATCCTGCTGGTTTGCATCTAAGAATTCGGAATATGTGTCGTTATCAAAGTGGTGGGGGAGACGATTGAGGTCCATATGAGGGCTACAAGGCAAATTTTTCATTCTGACCATGGTAGACGCGTAGGTGAGGGAAAGTCGCGTGCAGCGCGATGTAAGTCCTAATGGAGGGTAGAAGGATAGGCAGGTACGTGTATCCAGACTTTACAAAGTAGTGGAGGCGGTGAAAGGCAAGTGGCCCTATCAAAAACGAAGTGAATATGAGGCAACCAACACACTAACCACTTTGGATAGCAGTTATTGGAAGCCTCATCTCAAGCTTAGACGTGTTTGTAGGCAGTGAGGGGTGCAGAAGCAGGCTGCAGGCGATAATGGTACTCAGCCGCTTTGATTATACCTACCTTGACCGTCCGCGGACCAATCAGCGGCACCTTAGTTGGACTTTGCCAAATCCAACAGGTTCAATAAAATTCGAAACAAATCACACGTAACGTATATATGGGTTCAGTATAAAAGCTGCGTTTTATGTAAAAGTTAATTCCAGAGTTCGATGACCAAGAACATCCTCAATTGATATCCTTTATTCAATGTTATCCGGCTGCTTACAGCATGGGTGTGATAAGAGCTTCGTTAACATTACTTCATGATAGTACTAGAGGGAATACAAATACAAATAAAGGCTGGGTATCCGTCACCATCCTCAAACGCCGCCAATTCAAAATACAAAGACAAAATCTTCATTCTCGAGGTCCGTAATATCAGCAAAAGCCTTTTGGCCCTTGGCGTCCTCAGTCTGAACTCCGCTCTCTTCATCGTCCCCTTCAAGCCTGGTATCTCCGTTTTCCACAGAGAGCCTCTGGGTCCCCTCTCGCATCGCTCGCTCCAATGCTTCCATGCGCTCCACCTCCTCTGCAGTCTCTAAGCTCATGTCCAAAACGGTTGCACTCTTTCCCAGTGCCACTCTGCGCTTAGCATGGTGTGTGTTGAGATATTTCAGATACAGCGATGTAATTCCCACAAGAACGATGACTATGGTGAAAAACACAACGTTTGCACGTAAGCCTCGCGAATATGAAGGTGCTTCGTCTGGCGTAAAAAGCAAAGGACCAATAATGTTACCGGCAGAGGCACCGATAAATACGAACGCTGATGTACACTTTCGCTTTGTATCTCCAGCCGTATTTTGCGCCGACCAGGAGTAGATGAGTGGTGCTGCCGGGTGTTAGCATTGCAAAAATGCTGTTGAATTAGAGTAAAACTTACTAATGCCTGTAAAAGTGGAAAGACAGAAATATCCTGCAAGCAAGACTGCTCGATGCTCAGCGTCATGTGGGAAATGCAGCAGAATCGAAAAGCCGATGATTGGCGGGATACATAAAATGGCAATGACCGGTCCTTTGAGCTTCCATCTCATCGAGACATACGCACTCAATGAAACAGCTACAATGTGAGAGAATCCAACCGGAACGTTGAACAATATAGTCTTGAAAGGATCCGTCACAAAACTGTGGATGATGAGTGGCCCAAATGTGGATATGCCGTTGGAAGGTACTGAGATGCAGAAGATCATAATGACCCATAACCAGGTTTTGACGTCTCTTAGAGCTTCAAAAAAGTGAGCGTACCTCCACTCTCGCGACATAACCCCCATCTGATTATTGCGTAGACGCTCTATAGCAATAATCTTGTCATTGTCGGTGAGGAACTTTGCTTCGGTAGGAGAATCCGGCATCCAGAAGAACATAGCCCCAGAGACTGCGACCGTAACAATACCGAAGAAGAGGAAGATGATCTTGCCCATGTTAGAGAAAGGAAGTTGGAGATAGGGATGTCTTCTTTACCTGGTATGGCTTCAAAGATGAATGAATACTAGCGAGTCCATATGTGATGAGACTTCCAAACTACGCCTTGTTAGTGGTCAAAAGATTGTGAAAGTCAACATGGTGTACTCACCACCCAAGTCAAGCCATTCATGCAGTACCAAGATCCAATCCTCAGCGTTTGCTCTCTATCCAAGCGTCAGTACTTGGTTCTCTATGACAACGCCTTAAAGTAATGTCTTACCTTCGTCTCCACCACATCTGTGTAATCGCAACAAAGGCCGGTCCCACGCAAGCCTCAAAAGCGCCCAAAAAGAAGCGGGCAGCCATCAGCTGTCCAAAGTTGTGTGCCCATGTCATCGAAGTCAAAGTAATGCCCCAAGCGAGTACCATGATGCTCGTAAATTTGCCAATGGGAAGCTTAACTAGGGCCCAGGCCAAGGGTAGTTGCATAATAAGCTGAGCCAGATAAACAATGCTGCCGAGCCACGAGAACTCGTCGCCTTTGAGACCTGTATCGTCGATCAGGCCAAATATCGATGCGTAGGACAGCGTGGCCTTGTCGAGAGCCTGGAGAAAGTATACGGAAAGCATAAGTGGAAGCAGAGCGAGATCGATGCGGCGAAGGATGCGGGCGTCGTCGGCGGGCGAAACCGTGATGACCTCGTCCGGTGAGCGGCCCAGCTTGATGAGCAGCATCGCCGCCGCATCTCGATGGTTTTTCAGCTGCGAGTCTGCATCGGATGCGTGAGATGGTCCATCGGGCCTCTCGCCCTCTTCGTTTGCGTCTTCATCTTGGTTCAAGGCCCGGTAGGGATTGGGCGAAGCTGAGGACTGCGACGGCAGGGCGAGCTTGAGGGTCGTCGAGAAGAGCTTCGAAAGCATGGCGTCCAAGAAATGATGGCATTTAAAGATGGTGTACCCAAAAAAAAAAAAAAAAAAAAAGGGCTCGAATCTCTACCAAAAGAGCGGCTGCGGTCGCGTCAGGGCATGAATGGAAATGTTGAGAGAAAGAATGGATAACAAAGGAGAGTTCGCGATGTGCACCGTAAGCATGTCAGCAGAGCTTAGGGGCCTTGATGACGTTCCGCTGCATGCTGCCAGGCACATCATCGCCAGATCTAGGCCACCCCGGGCGCTGAGGGCGGGCTGACAGGGCTCTTGTTTTAGCGCTCATTGCTTTAGCGCTCGCCTAAGCGCACGTGCCAAAGCATTGAAGCTTTAAACACTCAAAGCCAGACATTGAAATGACAACATTTGAACTTTCAGCCCATCAGCAAGTGCTGCCGAGATGCTGCAACCCCACCGATAACCTAGATTCCGCTGCTGAGCGACGGATGGCCAGTTCTACGCCTTATCGAGCATTTAATGTCTGTGGCGGCGGTCCGCTGGCCGCAGATTTTATACATGCATCGTGCATACATGTACAGGCCGCATTTGGGCGGCTACTCTGACACAGATTATTGCTGGAATGTAACGTAAAGGCTAGAGTCAAGCAAGCTGTCGATTGAGAAGCGAGAATTGGAAATTGGATGTAGCAGGTAAAACAACAGCAACTACAAGATGTCACGATAGAGGCTGTCCAGGTAACATAGCCGGCGTCGGTTCGTCATCTTCCCCGCTTGAGATATTTAATCACTAGCATACCTACCTACGTGTAAGTGAGGCACTGACTGTTACACTGTCGGATCTTCCCAGAATCACAAATCGTGATAGAGCTTCCCGAATCATCCAACAATGCAATAGACACCAGCAGGACCACAATGACATTGTGTTATTCAGTAATCGACCACAAGCATTGAACTTATTGGGATCCGTGTTCTCGCCTAGACCTTGACAATGCGATGAGACACGGATCTTCCGCCGGTGGGAACAGAGATCGAAAAGCGAGAGAGAAGGAGTAGAAGAATGAAACACAGTCCATCTACGAAAAGTCGAGGAGTTTACTTACGGGTGGTGCCATCCAACATACACATACACATCACACTTTGGAGCTTATCAATCGTTGCCCGAATACATCCTCATCTGCCATGTCGATGTAACTCTACATGCCGTTTCCTAATCTGGGCAGCCATAACTCGGCTCTTCTAGACCATAAACTATTAAATGGAATAGCCGCTCACATGCCGGTACAATCACTTTCCCCATTCCACTCCATTGCTGATTCGATGGATTCGCCAGGCGGCAGGGCATCGGCGGTAACAGAGTGGAGTTGCGGCTCAGTAGCGCTCCATATTCGAGGTTGTCTACCAACGTAGGTAACCACTGGCTGTGGCCCGGAGGTTGAATACGACTACATATTGGCGAATTCTTTCTGTGGTTGGATCTCGGGGCCACATGTACAAGTATGTATGGAGCATTCCGGAGAGTGCAGTCAATAAATGCACATGCAGGCAGAGCACCAACGTGCATTGTGGTGTATGTAGGAACCCATGTAAGTGGTGTTCCGTTGTGACTTGACAATGTCGATGCTCGGCGCTTGCTCTGCTATTGATTTGCCGATTCACTGATCTCGTGTGGATAGTGCTTCCGAAGAGGCAGATAATGGGCAAATACATCACATAATTTGCCAATCCGGCTGCAGCTGTATGTGAGCCGCACAATATATATGCCCTCTAGCTTGATTTTGATTTGTGCCACTAGGCTATGCTGCCAACTCGGGACATGTCCCCCGAAGCCTTGCTGCACACGAATGAGCCCACCGTAAAGATTACATTGGGCAGTTGATTGACGATGCCCGCGAATGGGTAAATTAATTAGGTATGATGCTCTCATTTTCAGCTCGCACAAGTACAAGTGAGAACTGTGGATCAATGCCGCGGATAGCAACACACAAACGGCCCCTTGGTCACTGCTCCTGTCGACCAACAGTCTGATGTTTCTGCTAGAAAAGTGAGCTACTGCTCACTTGAATGAACACAGACCTTTTCAAACTTCTCGTATCCATAGTCATCCACAGGTTACACAGCCCACATGTAACTGGCTTCTGAAACTCGAATAAATAATACCATCTCAGTCGTTTCTTTCTCAGCCCACGCTGGCTCTGTAGATTGTCTTTTGGCATCTCCAAAATATCGCAAGGCCACTACCCTAACAGCGATATGGAATTCCTTTCGGTTGACCTCAACGTTTATCCCTTTCTTTTTGCTGGGCTGGTCATCGCAATCACAGTCTATACCGTCTATCAGGCTGCTCTGCCTAAACCTTTGCCTGGAATTCCCTACAACGCAGAGTCAGCCTCAAGATTCTTCGGAGATGTGCCGCTGTTCAAGAAAGCAAGATACCGTCGACAGTGGCTATGGAACCAGCCTCGAGAGCATGGAGGCCCGGTGTCTCAGGTCTTCTTGTTCCCTTTTCGCCGACCGACTGTGCTTGTGACCGACTATCGCGAGGTTGTGGATATCTGTTCGCGCCGATCCAAAGAGTTTGATAGGGGTAACAGGAATAAAGAGTGTATTGGCGTGGTGGCTCCAAATTTTCACTTTACGATGCAAACTGCGGATCCTCGACTCCAATTTCACAAGAAGCTTATCCGAGATCTCATGGCACCCAAGTTTCTCAAAGAGGTACGTTATGCTGTTGAGCTTACATTAATGTAAGGAAGTATATCCTAAAGGTAGTTTTAGGCATCGGCACCTCAAATATATGACAAGGCTATCGCCCTAATCGCATTGTGGAAGTTGAAAGCGTTCAAAAGCTATGGTAGACCGTTTTCAGTGGGCAATGATCTCTATTCGGCAACACTCGACATGATATGCGCTGTTGCCTTTGGAATGGACGACACAAGCTCTGCTCTACAGCACGAGATTTCTCATATACAAGCCATCAACCCTACATTTCCCGACATCAAGGGGGAACCTGCTTGTTTCTCATCAGCTCCTGTAACGCCCGAACTCGAAGGTCTCTTCAACATCCCAGAAATGGTGTCGATAGCTCAAGCAAGCCCTTTTCCTTCACTCTCGCAAGCCCTCGCTTTGCTCAACCCAAAGCACGCGCGGGCTCATTGGAACAGGAAAACTCTGATTATGCGTCAGACAGACAAGAGCCTGCAGAAACTTACTTTGGGAGGCCCGCTTGAATGCAAGAGTGCTCTGGATCAACTGTTATGGCGAGAGATGAATGCCGCAAAGGTGGCTGGACGGCTACCGGATTACTACTCACCTGTTATTAGAGATGAAGTAGGTCCAAGATAGATGATTTATCCCAGAGAGCGCGTATGCTAACGAAACATGATTCATACAGCTTCTTGGGTACCTTCTGGGCGGTCACGATAGCACAGCTGCTACTTTGTGTTGGTGGGTGAAATACATGTCAACCTATCAGTCGGTCCAGACTCGGCTTCGGTATGCCTTGCGACAAGCTCATCTTGATGCTCACCAAGCGTCTCGGCTACCCACCATTGACGAAATCTGCGATACATCAATTCCATACTTGGACGCCGTCATGGAAGAAACTCTCCGATACGCCTCTGTTGCAACGCTCATCGTCCGCATGTCAACTTGCGACACGCAGATCTTGGGGTACCAAATCCCCAAGGGCACAGACATAATGATGTCGCTGACGGGCCCATCAATCACGGAGCCTGCTTTGCCGATTCGCGAAATGTCGCGCTCTTTGGAGTCGCAGGAGTCCAAAGATAAGGTTCTCCCCTGGGAAGAAGATGTATCTCAGTTTAGGCCAGAGAGGTGGCTGAAACTGGTAAAGAGCGCTGACGGCAAAGAAGAAGAAGTGTTTGACCCGCGAGCTGGGCCGAATCTTGCCTTTTCAGCCGGGCCTAGACAGTGCTTTGGGAAAAAGCTAGCATATATGAAGCTGAGAGTGGTGATGACGCTGTTGATATGGAGCTTTGAGTTCCAAGAGCTTGATCAGTCGTTGAACGGGCCGGATATTATCGAGAAGCTAGTAAATCTACCAAAAGATTGTTACGTCAAACTGGCGAGGGCGTGATTGAGGCGATACTGCTGGAATTTGGAACTTCATACGTACACCCTTTCATTTGCAGGATACTTGTGACTAGGTACTGTAGAAGCATTTTATGTAAAATAGATGATTCAGACATGATTAAAAAATGATCCCGTCAGCTTGCTGCCTACCTTTATGAAATCTAACAAAAAAAAGTCTAGCTATTTTAAAGAAGTAGTACGCCCGTCTATCTCTAGTCCTTTTACCCACAATCGCCATCCATACCTGTACATGTATATATGTATGCCTTTTTATTTTTACCTAGTACGTGCAAGACTCATGCGGCCTCAATCAGCGCAATAGGTGTAGCTTCTAATGGTTTCGCAGCTGCAGCTTCAGCTTCGCGAGCCTCGGCCCATTTGTTCAAAAGGCTCAAATAACCCTGCCAGAAGACGTTGATGGCGCCGGTGAAGAGGGATCGATACTCCAGCGGCACATAGCTGAGGCTAAAGGCCATGACAATAGGCCAGATCTTGCAGGAGTTGATCCAGCTTGTGAGCAAAGTGTCTCGGACGCGCTGGACAGCGCCACTGATGCCGTCGCCTGCGAGCAGAGCCTGCATGCTGAAGAAGTAGATGTTGATGCCGGGGGCGAAAATGAGCTGATTCATGACGAGTTTGACTCCCAGAGAGAGTGCACGAGATGTGTAGTTGAAGTTTTTGGCAAGGAACATGAACCTTGTAAGGTAAAAGACGGCCAATTAGCATTGTGTAAAATTCAGTAGAAGAAAATGTTGGACTCACCATGAATAAGCGGGAATAGCCGTGCCGGCTCCAATGATGATGTTCCGGACTGTCCTCGAGGGATCGTATTCATCATCATTCATGCTCTGGGCGCCCAGGTCGGCAAAGAAGAAGATGAACATTGAAGTAATCGTCTGCGTCACATACGGCCTCTTTTTCTGAGACCGGCCATATGCCTGAGCGGCGCGAGTTACGGGCCCCAGGCGCTGCCATAGTGGACGAGAAATGGCTGTACTTTGTGTGGTTGTTGTTGCTGCCGTTGGTGTTGCTGCGGCTACGCTGCTGCTGTTTGGTAACTGTTTTGAGATTTGATGTTGAATTTGTGATGATGATGTTTGTGGTGATGGCTGCGGTGATGAGGATGACTGGGCACGGAATTGGTGCCGGGGCCGGAACGCCAATTGGAGTTGCCGCCGGATAATGAAGCGAAAAGGAGACGACGCCATGGCTGGGAACTGCTTTTTCCAATTTCTTTTTTTTACTTTTTCCTTGTTTTCTTCTTCTTCTTCGTTCAAAGTCTTTTGTGCCAAGGTGATGATCTAGGTGAGATGATGGTTTGAATGAATCAACTTGTTCCACCCGGGCTGGGAGGTGAGACTCGGTTTAAGAGCAGCAATTGTCATAATAAATACGGGTCAGAGCCGCGCCTTTCCTTTACTAGTTTCTCTCGATAAGGCGTCTTCGGCGTCGGCGTCGGCACCATGGCTCCGTGGCCTGCCATTTGTAAGCCGTAATAGGAAATTATCGGACCTTGAGGGCTCGAACCAAGCTGTGGCTTGAGCCGGGAACATAGGGCTCGTATATATTAACAATGCCGGCTATGCCCAAGTCGTTCTTTGTTCTATCTTTTCCTTTAAAGCGCCTGCGAGACTAGGACAAGTTTCGGGTTTGTTTCGATGTTGCTTCTCCTCCATCAAACCTCCAACGTTCGATGAGCCCTCGCTACCCATGGCGGCTATACTCAATCCCGCCATGGAGCCCGCAATAACTATCTGCTAGTATTATGGAGAAGGGCAGTGATCCCATCCAATAAGTCGGCCGTTGTGAATTATGCAGAAGCGAACAGACACAGGCAAGGGCCCAGCACAACGCGGTTACAGACGAGGACTAGCCTCGAGCGTTAATCCCAGCAGCTGGCTTGGAGAAAATCAGGAGCTTCCTCCGCCAAACGCTCGCACCCCCCTCACCGTAATAACCTCCCAGTTAGCGCGGAGCTTACGTCGAAGCATTGAAGCATTGATACACTCAAGATGTCGAGCCTCATCATGGCCGCTTCGGAAGCCCTCAAGATGAGCGACGCCAGCCTGACGGAGACGGAGACGCAGGCGAGCCGCACCGCCGCCAGCCAGTCGACGTCGACGCCGTCCGTCAGCGGCAGCGCCGACACCTGCACCAGCCCCAGCGGCGGCAGCTCAGCCAGTGGAAGTGGCGGTAACATGATGATGGACGACCTCTGGGTCGCGCTGCCAAAGCCCAGCCAGAGCCTCGCGCCCGAGTCGCTGCCGGACCGCATCCGCCGCATCAGGGTCGACCTGGAGGAGCTGGCCGTCTTCTACAGCGTGTCCGTGTCGCCGGGCCGCCACGAGCGTCTGCGCCGGTACTTTTCAGACGAGCTCAAGGCCCTCTTCAGCCTCGACTTTGAGGCCATGAGCCAGTCCGACAAGGTCGACTTTCTGCTGCTGCGCAACTTTCTGCGGCGCAAGTCCCACTGGCTGTACGCCCAGAAGGAGTCCAACAAGGAGATCCAGCGCCTGATCCCCTTTGCCCAGCTCATCACGGCGCTGTGCGAGGCCCGGCGCGATGTTGACCCGATCAACAACGAGCGCGTGGCCCAGCAGCTCGACGACATTGCCAAGCTGGTCAGCCAGGTGAAAGAAGGCATCGAGAACGACCGCATCAAAATCTCAAAGACGGCGGCCTACAAGGCGTCCAAGACGGTCACGGAGCTGCGCGGCCACCTGCACGAGTTCTTCAGCTTCTATGCATCGTACGACCCCATGTTCGACTGGTGGGCAGCCGCGCCGTGGAAGGCCGCCGACCTTGCGCTGTCGCAGTTCATCCCGCTCATCCAGTCCAAGCTGGCGGGCATGCACGAGGGCGAGACGGGCGACATCATTGGCGAGCCGATTGGCCGCGAGGCGCTCATCAACGAGCTCGAGGCCGAGATGATTGTCTACTCGCCCGAGGAGCTCATCAACCTGGCCAAGGAGCAGTTCCAGTTCTGCGAGGCCCAGATGAAGACGGCGTCCGTCGAGCTCGGCTACGGCGACGACTGGAAGAAGGCCCTGGACTCGGTCAAGAAGCACTTTGTGCCTCCCGGCGAGCAGGCCGGCTTTGTCAAGCAGCTGGTCCGCGAGGGCTCGTCCTTTGTCAAGGAGCACGACCTCGTCACCGTCCCGCCGCTGGCAGAGGAGGTGTCGCGCATGACCATGATGAGCCCCGAGATGCAAAAGGTCGCGCCCTTTTTCCTGGGCGGGCCGCTCATCATGGTGTCGTATCCCACCGCCGACATGTCCCACGAGCTCAAGAAGATGGTGATGCGCGGCAACAACAGGCACTTTGCCCGCGCAACGGCCTTCCACGAGATGATCCCCGGCCACCGCCTCCAGCTCTTCATGTCGGAGCGACACAACAGCCACAGACAGCTCTTCACCACGCCCTTTAGCATCGAGGGCTGGGCCATGTACTGGGAGTACGTCTTCTGGGACCGCGGCGACTTTTTCGAAACGCCAGAAGACCGCATCGGCACCCTGTTCTGGCGAATGCACCGCTGCGCCCGCATCATCTTCTCCATCAAGTTCCACCTGGGACAGATGACGCCGCAGGAGTGCATCGACATGCTGGTCGACTGGGTTGGCCACGAACGGTCCACGGCCGAGGGCGAAGTCCGACGGTCCTTCAACGGCGACTACGGCCCTCTCTACCAAGCCGGTTACATGGTCGGCGCCGTGCAGCTTTTCGAGCTGCGAAGGGAGATTCTCAAGAACGGCCACTTGACCGAGAAGGAGTTCAACGATGCCTTCCTCAGGGCCAACTTTATGCCCATTGAGCTGTTCCGAGCGCTGGTTCTAGATTTGGAGCTGCATCCCGACTACACGCCCAATTGGAAATTTTACGAATAAATAATGTCAAGTTAAAAGCCCTTGATCACGAAGTTAAAGCCTAGAACCACGAAGTCTTGAATCACGAAGTTAAAGTCATTGGAACGATCAGAAACGGAAAGCGAACCAAAAAGCAAAATTGAAATTGAACACTTTTTTTTATTTTATTTTTTACATCTCGGTTTTTTTTTTTGGATTTGGATTACAAGTTTGGACCCTCTTTGTTCTTTTTTTATGGTTTTTTTTTTTTTTTCTGTTTATCTAAAGGGAAAGTGTATTATATCGCGTCTGCATGCATCTGCTCTTGATCTCGTTTAGCAAAGTTTTCGCACCAGCCACAGCAAACTGCATAGCGAGCGATAATTTACCTACATGTAGTTGAAACAACGGTTCTTCTTTTTTTTTTTCTTTTTTTTTTTCTTTCTTTGTTTGGTATCTGATGGTGTATGTTGAGACGTTTTTACAAATCAGCTGTTACTCAAATATATTGATTCCAAAGCGCGCGTGTCTGTTTCTTTTCTTCCATCAACCTGGCGTTGATGTATGATGTTGCGGCATGAAGTAGCAGGTTATAGTGAGTAAAGCGTATCTGGGTATATATACCCCTGTAAGGACTAAAAAGAAACATGGTGCTGTGATCTCTTGTATCTATAACATGATATTCCAAGAATACAACAAAAGTCGCCGTCTTCCTTCTGTCAAACACCAGATGTATGCTCTCTGATTAACAGTTATCCTCTTCATAATGCCTACCTCATCTTCATTGAGCAGCTCCAAGCCGCTGTCATATCTTCTCTTCAGCCTCCTTGTTCCCATTGACTCTGAAGCTCACCTCTGCATGCAGTCGTCCGTGAATTATCAACTTCTCCCCGAATAGAGGCATCACGTCCGCCTAGTTGGAGCCCCCCCTGAGAATATTCCAGGAAACTCTGACTCGGGTATAAAACCCGCTACAGCTCTTCCTTCATTGAATCCACGGCATCCTTCGCTTTCCTCCTCTCCTCTTCCAATCTAGCCTCTCACCCCGCGACTTTTCAGCACGAAGCGCGTGATTAGCCTGCGGCGCGGGGCCACCCAGCGACTCAAGAACTCCATCAACCTCGTCACGCAGCTCTGATGCCCCGTGCATTGCGAACAGCCAGAGCCACTTCCTGATGGTGTTTTGTGTTCTGAGCGAAAACTAGTCTCGGTGGAGCTCATCCCATTGAAAAGCTCTGCGGTTTAAGCAACTGTTCCTTCAATCTTTGCTTCTAGCTCGGGAATTGTTGCGTCTTTGGCGTTGAGTAATTCTTCGCCTGACTTTTGCTAGCAGCATGCGTGTTTAGCGATTCGCGACGCTCCTTCTCCATACGTTGTATTAATCCTTCGAGTTCTGTTATGTCGCAAACGTAACCGTCAACAGCGCTCTAAGTCGGTTATTGCCAATTTCAAGCTCCCTGATACGACCATCTTTCTCATTCAAAGTACGATGTGCCTCCGCAATTTTGATATTGAGCTCTTCCATGACTGAAGTCCGTGAATCAAGCTGCTTGCGTAGAGAACGTTCTATTTGATGGTATTCCTCAATAGAATCTTCATCTTCCCTGGTCTTCTTTGACAAGGCGCGTAGACGATCTAGTAGTAGATCCAATATGTCGGCGCCACGCGCAGTAAGAGGTAGTTTGATCTCGCCTGGTGCGAGGTAGTCCAGCTCCTGGCGAGCAGTTCGAAATCCAGAAATAAGCGACATGATCATTTCACTAGCATCGGCGCCTGGAAACCCCAGTTCGCCAACAACAGCGGTGAGTTGTGCAGCTGCGGCAGCTCGTTCAGACATGGTTTGCAAGAGTAGCTGAACCTGGTTCTCGACTGCTTCAAGAGAAGATGGTGTCCCTCTTTTCTTCGAGGCCCCATCTGATAGGGCGTAGTTTATGCGCGCACCCAAGGCATTGTACGAGTCCAAAGTTGCAGTCAGCTTCTGCACTTTCAGGCCCAAGGATGTAATCTCATCTTCCAGCTGCTTTTTGCCCGCTTCCAGAGGGGCATCCGACGTCGGTGACACATCTTTAGAGAATGGCGATATTGGCCTTGTCGGGCTTGTTGCAGGAGGAGTCAAGATGGAAGGTCTCGCTCGAGGCGGATTGTTCATCAGCGCCGTCACATCACCGAAATAGTCGGCATCTTGAGCCACGTCCATGAGGTCATCCGTCGATGCAGTACTCGGCGTTGATGGCCAGACGCAGCTAAAATACTGTGTAGCTTCCTCGCCTGCCATGCTTTTCGTCGCAAGCTGGCCTTTGAGCTCTTTAATCTGCTGTTCCAGGCCCCAAATCCGTTCTGTGTCAAAAACCATGGTGGCATTCTGCATTCTATAGATTTCCCTATCACGGGCTCTGAGCTCGGCCTTGAGCTTGGTAATCTGCGCCTTGGCCAGCTGCTCACTGCGTCGCTTCTCTTGTTGGATTTTACTGAGCACATCGCGGAGGTCATTCCGGCGTATCCGGCGCTCAACTCGTCCGTCAATGGTCTGGTGAAGATTGACAGCCGCGGGTTGGCCACTTGGTCGAGGAGCCGAGCCAGCACCACTTGCGGGGGCAGCTGACCGTCTCTTCGAAGCTGCGAGAGAAGTGCATCGCACCATTGGTGCAAGACCGCTCGAATGTACGATGGACCCTGGATCAGATTGCCGCGCGCCTCTCTTTCTTCGGCTTGGCGTCCTTGGAGCAGTCGATGGGGTCTGACGCTCTTCCGATCTGACATTCATGCTCGAGCTGCATCGCTGGCCGCGGCGTAGCGCAATAGAAAGGTCTAAATCCTCCATTGTGATGAGTCCTGATGGAATTCTGTAGTAATACTGGCTTCTGTGCTATTTTATCTTGACATGAATCACTCTTGGACGCGTGAGCGATGAAAGCACGAACCCGACCGAAATGGCGGGCAAACAAACCGGCAGGGCACATCCATACAATTTATGGCACCACCAACTTCCAAGCGGCATCCAACATCAACCCGCATGAATGCATGTTTGTAGGCCCAGCTCAAACCGCGTCAGAGACCTACCCCTCATCTGCCATAACCGTGTCCGCGCATTGATTCGTGTAGCCCTTGCAGCAAACCCATGCCCAAGCCGGCACTCGTTTTGTTTACATGTTGCCTGCTCGAGTTTAGCGCCCGAATGGATCGGCCAGCCGGCCCCGCTGCCTCCGGCGCAGCTCTATATTTTGTCTCAGATTTGTGTGGTGTCTTTCCAGGTGTATAATATCTCATCATAATTCAAAGGTTGAGGAGAACACATGAGATGCAAAAAGTCTACGTGTTTCTTCCACCGTCAAGAATACAAATAGAACGCGCTCATTTGAGGATTATCATGATGACATCTAGCTACCCATCAGTGAGAAAGGCACATGTAAATACACAAGTAGCACAGCATTGAGTATGTACAATGTGAATCAAAGAGCGGGTCCAGAATTGAGACAGAGGTTAATTAAGAAATGTCACTGTTATTGTTATCATGGCATGTAACCAAGTCCATCAGGCCAGCTGAACTAGCAAGAGATGGTTTCCAAAACGTACAAGACAACCGGCGCGCACTTCTTCTACATAATAGTAGTTCAAACAATAATGTACTTCTACGGACCCGTCTTAGATGGCCGTGTTGACAATTCCATCAACCTTCCACTGCCATCCATCGGCATCCAACCTAAACACCACAATATCGCTCCCGGATTTCGCATACACGGTCTTGTTATCATTTGTCGCGAGGCTATCAAAGTCCGTGTCCACATCAAAACCAGGCCCTGCAATCCTCGGGATATCAACACCCACGCGATTCTCCTGGATTTTCCCTCCCGGACTCGTATACAGCAGAGCGAACTCATACGGAAGCGTCTGTGCCGGATCTTGGCTTTTGCCATGGCCGGTACGAACCCAAGCTAACTGATTTAAATGCGAGGATGGATATAGTCCTCTGCCATTAGAATCTAGACCATAGAAGTCAGTTGGCATTACCAGCATGGGATTGACGCGCCAGCCCATCATAATCGCAGAATCACCTACCCAAGAAAGTCTTGTCCAAGAAATGACACTCTACCTTCTTCTTCGACGACACGTGAAAATCCAGTGAACACTCCCAGGGCGTTATTTCTTCGCTCTCCTCAATAGCCATCAATAGTCCACTAAATGAGCCGTCGGAGTCGCGCCTCTTATTTTGCCAATCGCCTGCAATGGCATGACCAACGCCTCCCCAATCTCCAACATCGTGACGTCCCGTAAAAGAGCCAAAGTCCACCGAATACCAATTCTCGTCGTTCGTGGGGTCCTCTGACATTGCAAGCTTCAAGTTGCCTCCCGGATCTTGATACGACAATACCACAACGTTTGTGTCATGTTCGCCTCGGTGGAACGCCGCTGAAAGCATCGACTTCTCATGCGCCGCGGGGCCCTTTTTGCTACCGGTGGACATGCCTCCACGACTCCAGCTTCCTTTTGGCTCCATGAATATATGAGAAATAGTATCATCCTCTTCAAGGTAAAATAAATGCGCAGTGCTGGCATCGTCCGCAACGGCGGCCATAGAAGTTCCTTTTTTCGCTTTCAGTGCATCTTTGAGTGAATCTTCAATGCGCTTTGGGCTTTTGAGATTAGACTCCCCATTCAGGTAAGAAAGAGATCCCGCTTCATCTTGCCAGACTAGAATCTCCAAGCTGTCTTGGCTATTTTCGCCGTCAACAAAAATTGAAGCCAGATTCGATGACGATAGAATAGAAGGCGGGCTTGGAGAGAGAGTTGCCTTGGTCGCTGTTGTGGTCATAGATGATGGTTCGCTCATAGATGCAGCCAATGATGGAGAAGTACTATTCGTCACATTCAACACACTTGTCAGAGTTAAAGGGGACGTAGCCATTGCCGTTACAGATTGAGTCATTGTTTCTTTTGGATGCGTCTTCAGCATCAAGGCCGATTTTCGAGTCAACTTCACGACCACAATTATACAGCTGATGAAGGCCGAAATCACCACCATTAGTATTGTAAATGGGAGCATTTTCTTTTTATAGTACCACGGTTTTTTAGGAGGGCCCCTTTGTAGCTGGTAGTAGTGGTCTCGCGCGGAGATTGGCTGCTCCTCTCTGGATCTCGCCGAGGGGCCTTCCACGGTGGTTGAGAGAGGGACTTCACGCATCGTCGGTTGACTTGGTTGCTGCATTATGTAAGAAATGTCGAATATCGGGAACATGTTGAAAGTTTCGATGATGATATTTTGCTGCGACTTTTTGAAGTCAAGCAGTCGACTTTTGAATGTATCAGTGGCGAGAAACCTGCAAGGTTGTATTATACGAATGGAGCTGAGAAAATTATGGTGAAGATGGGATCAAGAGCGCAATCAACGTCACTTTTAATTTATTGAGGCTGGTATACATATGTCGCAGTGATGGAGTAAATGATGAACAAACATAAAAGCAGCCACTGTTGAGTATCATTACAGAGTGCAGTTTTGAAGAGCTCACATAGGCCTATTCCGGACAAAAAGTAACAGTGATGGCGGTCACTGGAGCTTGTGTGTACACCACCGGCCTTGGGAATAATTCGGCACATACATGTATCCATTAATGCATCCAATAGGTAGATCTTTGTTTCATTCACGACAACTTCTTGGAGCTGAATCACCAAATAACGCAAGCTAAATCGATATAAGAAATGTCGACACATCATATCGACCAAGGGAAACAGCCCGGTGATGGGAAACGCCATACTTGCTAAAAGTGAGCCAACAGTAGCCAATCTCAAGCATTCTTTCAGCCGCCAAAGCTTTCAAGAGTCATAGATGCTTCTAGCATTAACCAAATACTGAATTACCGAATGACAAGGTAAAAGCCATTGACATCTGGTGCTGTGAGACAGGATTGCAAAGAAACATGAATCAAGACTGCCCAAGGTGATGACTAATACAAATATCTGCCTTGAAGCTCGCAAAGGGCGCGCTGTAACGTTCAGTGAGGCAGAGCCTGAGCCAGTCCCGCTTCAGCTCACCGAGCCCCCAAATAGCCGCCTGACTAACCGCGCTGTCAACGACCATCAAGGCGCCCGCATTACCACCGATAACGCCTAAAGTCCCGGAGCCAGGCCCATAATACACGGATTCGTGACTCGCATATTTCTTCAGCCTCATGTCTGCATGATCACATCGATATTACTACCAGTAACACAACTCCAACCACTAACAGCTATTTACAGCAGCGCAACGCCACGCTCCATCCTATCCCATCCTGTCCTAGGAGAACAGGAAAATGACGGCGGTGGCAGGAGCCGAATGACGCATGCAAGCAATGTAGAAGCCATGTCTGCGCCGGCACGCAAAGTCAAGTTCGTCGCGTCAGATCCCGCTCGTGGCGGTTTGCCTGTCAAGCGACGGCAGGTCCAGCAAGCCTGTGAATCGTGTAGACGGAAAAAGGTAATCCCAGGCCTTTTACTCGGTTTCGTCGAGTTTCACAGCATCTGTTGCTAACGGCCTCGTGCGGTGGGCAGCGAAAATGCAATCATGCGGAAGACGCCGCCGCGGACGATTTCTCACTGGATGACCACAAAGGTCTGCCAGAGGCGTCACCTTCGCAGTCCTCGTGAGTCTTTCCCTCTCCTCACAGTAGCACCAAAGCATCTCAGCACGCTGGATTCAGACGCTGACCAGATCTAGGGCCTCCATATCGTCTCTCACGCCCTCGGTCCGTGCGAGATCGCTTGCCGGCGAAGATGGCGTGCAACCAGCATCCAGGGTCAGTCTGAGCTCTGACTTGTCTCCCATCGCACGGCGCTCTCTTCCGACGGGCTTCAGCCATGTAGAAGTGCCTGCAAATGCGCCTGCTACTCCCCAGCTTGCGCCGGATGTCGCCAACAGACCTCAGTCGTCGCGCTTCGTGGGAGACTTGAACCCAGAAGGCATGTTCATGGAGGCGGCGGTTCCCAACGTGACTCGGGCCTCGTCACAGAAGGGAGACGTTGGTATCTGGTTTCCAACCGCCACTACCGGCCAGCAGTCTCAGTTCATCACTTCTCGCCCTCCGCCGCTCATGGACAGCTTTATGCTTCCTTTTGTTCGAGAGCACTGCCTGTCTTGCATGCCCCCTGAGCAAGATTATGCCAGGCTGAAGGCGACTTTTTTACAAAAAGTCCACCCCATTTTCCCCGTCATCCCAGAAGCTGCTCTCAACGGACCTACGGATAACCCTGCCCACATTGCGCTACGACAGCTCGCGTGTTTGGCAGCCGGCTCGGATCCAGAGATGACGTCGCATCTGCGGCTGAAAAACAAAGGCCCTGGTCTTCTGCGCCCTGCCGAATACTCTACCATACTGTCCTCTTCAGTCCGTGCCATATTGGAGACTAGTATCATTCCAGATCGAGTGGTGCACATACAGGCACTCACCATGCTCTCGCTCTACACTCAGCCCACCTGCGCCGAGGAATCTGATTTGCCTGCTCAGCTTGGTGGCAGGGCGATACATCATATCCAGACGCTCGGCCTGCACCTTCTTCGCTACGACGGACCGAATTATGGCGACTTGGAAAATCTCTTCTGCGCAGTCTGGGCACTGGACAGAATCAATGCTGCCATATACGGGCGGCCATGTTTGATCCACGAGCGAGATATAGGAGCGGATCTCGATGCCTGCATCAAGAAACGCCCGCCTGCCTTTCGGCTCTTACTATCCGTAGCACAATGGCTAGATAAAGTCGTGGAACTATACCGCCCAGGCCCCAGTGCCCAAGTTTCGGGGTTTGACAAAGTGGCGTATATCGACCTTCCCGTTCTTGAAGCAATGATTGTAGATGCAGATGCGTTAAAGGTTCCGGCATCTCTCATTGGTAAGCTCTCACCATATCGAGTACAAGCATGCCTTTTCATATCTAACTAGATAATAGCTACCATTGAAACATTCTACCATGCGGTCATCATCCTATCGTGCCGGCTGCCACGGCCGGGGACAATAATCGCAGCCTCAACATTACCACCACCATCCGCCAATGCTCGCCGTTCTCTAGCAGCCGAGCGCATCGCATGCGCAGTGCCAAGAGACTGCCTTAGCTCCCTTCCCTTCATTCCATACGCAGTATCTCTCGCTCTCAGCGTCGAATATCGAAAGATGAGACACAGCCGGTTACCCATGTTTCGCGCACGGGCAATGAATGCTTTCAGGCGAAACTGCGATCTCCTTCGAGTCTACGGAGACCACTTCTGGAGTGCCCGCGTTGTCTCTGGGCTTGGAGAGCGCGTGCTGAGAGAGATGGAGCGTGCGGCCAACACGTTGGCCAAAGAGCTCAGCCCTCAGCCGGCTGACATCCCAGCCAAGTTGACGGTTGATGAGCAAGAAGGATCAACTGCTGCACAAGATTTGGGAACGACGGTATCATCGGGCGACACTACAACTATCAATTCTGCTGCGGGCTTTGATAACGTCATTGACTTTTCCATGATCAATTCCATCTCTGGCCAGGATGTTTTTGGGCATATTGATCCCAACTTCAACTTGGATGCTGTGGAAGATGCACTGGAAGCAAATCTCGACATTGGCCTCCCGTTCAACTGGTCAGACTGGGGTCAATTTGCTCAATATTAAAGTGGATGATTCGCTACCTATGATAGAGTTTAGATCGAAAGAGCTCGTCTCTACCTGCGTAATTGCTTGCTTAGTATACAAATGAGGGTGCATATGTGCAAACAAGCGAGGATATTTGCTGCAATGGGAAGGCGTTTTCAGGGTATCAATTATCAATCCGTCAAACAAATTAGGCGTAGCAGGCGATAATAAATAATCTGGACATGTGTAACATTCAATAAAGCCATGACTACTTACTTTTCTAGATGAAAAAAAAGAATCGAAGAGAAGAAAAGAGTACTCTCCGTAGAAATAGATTATGATAAATAGCAAAAAGTAAGACTTCTCCGATACTGGGAATCGAACCCAGGGCTGCTCGGCACTCGAGTAATGAGAGCGAGCGATGTTAGCCACTACACCATATCGGATGTGTTCTTGTTGAAAGCGTCTGCGCTAATTAGGATCATACAGTATACTCAAGTCGAGTTATGTGATTCTTGAAAAAGCTACGAATCAAAGCTCTTCAGAGTCACTTCGCATGTCACATCAGATTATCAGAGCTTGTTTACAACATCTGGGAAATCACTACCAAAGAAAAACAGTGTAGATGACAAATAACAAGAGTAAAAAATGAGATCCGAATTTAAGTGCATGTTTTACATTCAGGGTATCAAAGTAATGCATTCATATCGACGCTGTGTCTTTCACGCCTTATCCTCCGTTGTCATCTCAGTGACAGATAGCTGTGCGCCTCCCATATGCGGAAGGTGAGGTCCAATGCCACCACATCCTACAAGCTTCGTTTTCTCAGGCCTTCCTTTCCATATCATCGTTGAAGCAGGTAGTATGCGTATGGTGAATAGGCCAGCGCAAAGCACGGCAGTTCATGGGGATCGTGAATAAGGGTCAGGATTGCCCTTTCGAGCGCCTAGTCATCGGTGCAGAGCACTCAGGATGCGAATGCTCGTCTTTTGGTCCTTTGTCTGCTCGCCCCGGAGAATCCGCAGGGTAGCTGTTATGGATTTATATCGTTGACTGGTTCGCCACATCTTTCGATCCTATCGCGATCGGAGTGCCGTAGAAGCATTTCGATTGTGTTTATTCACTTGGCGGGAGGCTTGGTAGATATATCAGTAGGTCTCCCGCGCGCTTGATTCTTCAGCTCGCCAAGGAAATGTTGAAGAAATCCGTCGGCTCGATTCCCCGGGTTAGGATCCGCTATAACGAACAATCTCGTCAGCCCAGCCCAGCACCTTCTCGTCATGCGGCGCTCCCTAGAGAACCAAAGCATGCCCTACCTGTGGCTTCTCCTGGTGCCAGCGGCTCGTGTGGATTCCGGCCGTGCGGTTTCTCGTTGATGGCGCGATGGATGCGGCCGACGGCCCGGTGGAAGCCTGGCACGCGGAGAATCTAGAGCCAGCGTGAGCAAATCAAATCAAATCTGCCAGTTCCAGCGGCAGAGCAGCTGTGCGCTTACAGATTCGACAATTCTATCCTCAAAAGCCTGGATCAGGCGCAGAGCATACCAGTAAGGCGACATGGTATCGGCCGTTGCTATGGGAGGAGCCGCAGCATTGGGTGGCGGAGGAGAGATTGAGAGGAGGTCGCGATTAATAATGATGGCCAAAGTTACTGGTTATGGGCAGTAGTGTACCTCTTCGGGCGCAGTTAGCGGTGGGGGTACATGTACGCACTTTCGCATGCGATGCTACCAGATACCCTGCAATTGCAGATGGCTCATACTGCAGTGAAATTGGAGAATCAGAGGCTGTTGGAATGCGATGGAACATCAATTCATGCGTGGTAAAAAAATTTATTTTACGAATATTTGAATCTCTTGTTTTCTAGGGAAAAAGAGAACAGGTTGGGTATTGATTGAGTGGCGCTCTTTGTCAAAACACCATCTGCTGAGTGCTTGTTCCATCATACTCTGGCAATTCCATAATCATCATATAATCCATTCAAACCAAAAAACACACTGTTGAAACCAGGACTGGCCTCTTCATTTTTTTCCATAACCGTAATATCCCAACATCTAGTTCTTCACTGAAGCGAATGAACCGTTGAATGGCTCAATGTAGTCGTCCTTGCCCAGAGGAATGCCCTCCTTGCGCAGAATGTCATACGCAGTCGTCAGGTGGAAGAAGATCGTAGGCAAAAAGTGGCCGTTGGCGTAAACGACGCCGGGAATGTCAAAGGTTCCCCGGCTGCCCAGGCCAAGGGGCACCGTCTCGTTCTGGCGCTTGTTGATGAGCTCCTTGTCGGCAGCGGCCAGAATCTCCTCAGCCTTGGCGATGCGGCTGAAGCAGTCGGCGTACGTCTCGATCTTGCCCTCCCAGGCGTGGGGCTCGACGCCCTGCAGACGCGAGGCAGCCTTGCTCGAGGTGTCGGTGACCATGTAGACCTGGAAGGTCAGGGGCAGCATGTTCTCGTGGATTTTGGCGCCCAGGAGCGCGGCGCCGTTGGAAGCGGCCTCGCCCTTCTTGAGGACGTTGTAGAGAGACTTGAGGGCGCTCTTGGCCACGGGGATGGTGGCATCGTAGAGGGAGTAGCTCATGGTGGGCGGATTGACACGAAAGAGGTTGGATTTGAACGGGTTTCAGTGATGGCGAGAGGGAGGCGGTTGGTGGCTTGAGTTTATCAAACAAGCATCTTCCAAGAGTGGGAAATCCCCCCGACATTTATATCATGAATCGTGCCTACGCAAATACCTTCCTGCTCCAATCTCCCCTCCTGAATAGTACGCAGGTGGCCTGGTCCCGGTCCACATGCTGCAAGTGCCACTTGTATGTAATGGAAACTGGCCTCAAGCTGAGTTGCACTTGGTGGTTCACGACGCTAAACAGACTCCAGTCGCTCCATTCCGCTTGCTCCCAAACCGACCTGAGCCCCTCTTGCCGCATCGAGAAAGAAGTGCGTATAGGAGCCTACATAGTACCAGGCGGCTTACTAATTAGAATCACATCGAACCGAGTTCCGCTCTTTGGATGCGGCCAAGCCAAGCGAGAGGCCGGGCCCGTGGAGCACAGACTGCAGCAGACAATGTACTGTAGCATTCGCAGAGTAGTACCTACGTAGTACCTATACGCAGTGGCATTGCCCTATCAGATGTGACGCTGCATGCAGAGCATTGAGGGGAAACAACATCATCAGGCGGGCTCAAGAAGAAAAATCAAAACTCGCGGTGCAAGCATGCCCGACGACCCGAAGGGAGCCTCAGACTCGACGATCTACGGAGCAGATTCAAGCGGCTTTGGCTGCAGAACGGGGCCAATCAAGAGCTGACCAGGTCTTTGCGACCAGGATCTTCCCCCGAAGCAACCCTGTAACGGTGCAAGACTATACGTGTATACGTGTACATACCTAGTCCGTGGCTCGGCACTCGGCCAGGCGTCAGCACCGTATATCATGCATCTCTTGGTTGACAAATGGCCTCATGCTACGAGCCTCCTGAAACAGCTTAGAAACAGCTTCAGGGTTTGCTTACTGATCAATTCAAGGACACCAGAACGCTTTGGCTTAGGAAAGCGTATATGCGAGGAGAATGTCTTAGTCAGATAGTATTCGCTTTTCACAGTACAACAGGATGGGACGATTAACAATCCAAAGGATTGCTGACTTCTGCATCATTGATTAGCAATCCCGTACACTGGCCACAAAAACAAACACACAAACATTAAACTAGATGCTAATGATCTGATCCAACATGCAGCTTGGCATGAGACACGACTATAGTACAAAGGCCTCCAACCATGGTCGTACAATCTTGACCCTGGCACACCAATTCGAAGCAAGACACATAACACACGGCGACTCCAAGCTTACACAAGCCCCAAGGTCGCATTGAATCTTTCCACCACCTCTCTGGCGCCTGGCAAAGCTGCAGGACTCGCAATCAGCTTGTCCAACCCCATTGCCTGCCTGCCCTCGACACTCGTCCACCGCCGCAGCATCTCCTCTGTAGGGCGGTCGATGTGCTTGGATTCGCCCTCGCCGCCGGGGAAATCAGGTCCCGGCGTGCCTGCTAAGAAGGCCTGCCGCTGTCGTACTAGGTACTGGGCATTGAGCTCGGTCACTGGGCAGACGGGAATGTAGAGGACACTTGAGTCGGAATGGCCTTTGTGGACTTTATCCACGGCGTGAATGGCTATACACCAGCAGTCAGTATGCTGTATGAGATACAAGGTAGAATACAAGGCGAAGGAATTGCGACTTACTATCACAGTGCCAGGCCACAAAAGCTCCAGGCTTGATTTCAGGCACATGCGTCATAGTCCTAGACAGCTCCAAGTGAGGATGGAGTTCATCATTGAGCTCCTGTCCATGTCCGGGGAAAGCCCCGTGTAAGTCACTGGTCATGTCATCCTCGCCGGTGAATGCCCAGTTCCTCTCATCCAAGAATCCATCACCAATCTTGGTTTCGTTAATTGGCCTGAAGAATGGTCTCAGAAGAGTGTATGCCGTTGACAGCATCAGGGGATATGTCAGAAGCGTGCCCTCCTCCGGCCCTACTGCGCTCATGGAGACCCAGCCCTGCCAGGCCCTGAATGCACTGCATGCCCCAAGGCCATTGTGAAGGTCGTTGACGGCGTCGACTCTTCCAGAAGCCTCCCAGGGGTCGTAACTCTCCCACTTGCCTTCGAATACCTTGTCGTAGACGTTTCCACGCCCGTATCCGTCCTTCATCCAACGCTCGACGCTTCCGCCGTCGATATGGGGGCCGAGTGCAAAGGCAGCATCACCGGGTTGTCGGATGCGAAGCCTGTCGGCATAGGAAAGCGGGATGTCGAGCGAGATTGGAGTGTTTGGTGATGCGGAATGCCAAAAGTCCGACAAGAGATACTTTTGTACCTTTAGCATGGACGGATGTGAGCGAGCTTTGATCTGCGGTTCGGACCAGTATAGCTCGTATACTTGAGGGTCATGAGGCGGGAAGGCTATGTTTGGCATTAACACGAGATGCTCTGCCAAGAACGATTTTATAAATAAGGACTTACCTCTTGTATGAGGATTCTTGTGCACGTAATCCTCAACGCGCTCCTTATATCCTCGCGCTTCCTTTTCAGGAATTACACCATGCACAACGACAACTCCTCTCTTCTTAATCTCCTCTCTGGCTTTACTATCCAACCCATTCTCTAGGTCAGCAAACTCTACTTGAGGAATAACCCCCGTCCCCTTCTTGGCAATGATTTCGTTTTCTTCCCGCAGCGTCCGCAATAGTCTTTTCCAGCCGGCAACAATGTCCTTTTCCCGATCCCTGACCAGGTCCAGCTTCAGCTGTCTGAAGCGATCCGGCAGCGGCGCCAGCTCCGCGCCAGACAGCGACACAAACGAGTCTGAAATATCCCCCGTCCTCTTCGTTGCCGGCTTTGGCGTCTGCACCGTCGCCAGGCAGCGATGCAGACGGGGAAAGACGGGAGAGGATACTTTTGTGAAGCTTGAGCGCAGCATATTATATGCGTGTAAGAGCGATAGAGGGGCACAGTATAAATTAAAAAAAAAAAGTCACAATCTTTTTTTTTGATGCTTGTGTAAGAGAAAATTATCAGCAACAAAATAAAGATTCCACACACAATGAATTAAATGATTAATTCGAAAAAATTCCTTTCCACTCAAAGGAGCCAACCTATGTCTTTTATGAATGACAGAGACGATGGGCCGGTATTACTGCTTTGGGGAGGTCCGCGCCCCGCTGGCGGAAAGTTTATCTCCCTCCACAAAAGTAAGATAATTTATAGCTGAGAGGGGGGCCCTTTTTTTATCTTTTTGTCATTAATGGCCTGATCGAGATTTCGAGAATGGCCTAGGTGCGGTGGAATGTCAAAGGTTGCGTTTGTCTTGGAGGAGTGCTGAGACAGAAAATTGGTGCTAGTTTTGGTATATTGCGCGCGAAAAGGCTGCACCAAATCCTCCATATTTCTTTTCAATGAGAATCGAGGAGAGCATGCTTATTCAGTCTTTCACACCACAACCATCTACTATTAAAGTAACGAATCTAATGTAATCCAAAATCCTATACAGAAAATAATCTCATCTCTTCTTTAGCACGATAACCTATCATCATTGAAACGTTACAAGTTCGAAATCTTTCATCTCTAGCTCTCCCCGTGATATGACGGAATGCCCATCTTGGAACTGATAGCGAGCTGGCCCCCCCCTCCCCTTTATTGGAGAATCCCTCAGCCGTGTAACAAGCCCCATCCTTCTGACCGGCACGGCTGTCGATTATGTACTTTGCTTGATCACATGAGTGACTCGCACGTCCGAAAGCCGAAGTAGAAAAATCAAAAAATCTTACTCGGAGAGAAGGAAGGAAGGAAGGAATGGGGGAAATCTCCCCCCAAAAAGGAACAAGGAACAAATGTTAACAAGGCCAGCATCACAAATGACGAGCTACCATCTTCTTCATGGCGTGATTTAGTGTAGGAACTAAACTGCCTACCCAACTGCCGAATTTATGTTTGGTTCTCTCTTCCTTACATCTGATAGGGACGGCTACATATGCCTGGGTCACATGGGACAAAGTACGTTGGAAATAGCATATAGGCTAAAAAGTCGTGATGTTCCATTCCGTCTGAATGATAAGATGGTTTTTAAAATGGTTCGACTGCCATATGCCGCCTTTGTAAAACGTAATATAAATCCAGAGGGCGTGCTACCTTGGAGGAACAAATGTCTTATAGCCTCGGCTCACAAGCCATCATTTATAGCGAAATCCCAGCTGAGACATTGGCATTTGTCTGTCTCCTTCCCCTTATCTGCCTGGGGACATTAGTCGATTTTTAACGTCTCCCCCAGAACCGCGTAATTCCATCCTATTAATTAGCTCTTCGCTTTCCCCAGTCAAAAATCCTTGACAAGTTTCATCCAACTTATCCATGAACAAGGGTGTATCTTATCAGTGGAAAGAGAGTGCGAGAAAGAGGATATATATATATATATATACCACTTTATGTTTTTTTTTTTTAGCCTCGGTCCAGCTTCAGCCTCATCCTCGTCTCAGCTGGGCATTGATTCTCTTCTTTATACTTTTATACCCGAGAAAGAAAAAAAAATGCGGCCACATTGCCAAACGTGGTTATCCGGAAGAGACAGAGACGGCAAATTAAGACAATTACCCCGATGCCATAATTTCGCCGGCACTTCTATTTTAGGCAAATCCGCCCCCCCACAAGACTCCAGTCAAACGAACGACATGGAGACAATAACGTTTCGCCCGCAAAAGGCGAGGCTAATCTAACACCTGGGTTGTACTACTACAGCAGTAAATAAGCAATTAACAACCTTACCCCAAAAAAAGAGAAAGCTTCCCACACCCCTCATCGGCCCGCCATTATAGCCTAATGTTTAAGGATATCTCATCTTGTCTCGATCTCATCGCAGGTCTCACTCACTTCCTCATATCTCGCACATGGACAGTAGTCCGTTCCCTCCCTGCAATATCATATTACACCCCCCCTCTTAAACAACTTCCTATCTAAACTCCAACTCCAAACCCCAACCATGACCTCCTCCACAATCATAGTCTCCCTCCCCCATCTCGCCCACTCCATCGACCACTCCCTCCTCCACCCAACCCTCTCCGACGCCGACCTCCGCGCCGGCCTCGTCCTCTGCCGCAACGCCTCCGTCGCCTCCGCCTGCATCAAGCCCTACGCCGTGCCGCTCGCCCGATCCCTCCTCGCCGGGTCCGCCGTCCGCATCTGCTCCGTCGTCGGCTTCCCGCACGGCTCGTCCTCGGCCTCGCTCAAGATCACCGAGGCCGCCGAGGCAATCACCGCGGGGGCCTCCGAGATCGACATGGTCATCAACATCGGCAAGGCCCTCAGCGGCGAGTGGAACTACGTCGAGCACGAGATTGAGGCCGTCAACCGCCTCGTCACTGCAAAGGGCGCCATTCTCAAGGTCATTTTCGAAAACGACTTTTTGCAGGACGAGCACATTGTCAAGCTCTGCCAGATATGCACCGACCAGGGCGTGGCCTTTATCAAGACCAGCACGGGCTATGGCTTCGTCAAGCAGCCCAATGGCTTTTATAGCTACCAGGGTGCCACGCCGCACCATCTCAAGCTGATGAGGAAACATGCCGGCCCCAAAGTGCAGATCAAGGCCGCGGGGGGCGTCAGGACGTTGGACGAGCTGCTTTATGTACTATCGCTTGGAGTGACGCGAGTTGGCGCCAGTGCCACTGAGGCTATCCTGGAAGAGGCCAAAGCAAGAGGCATTGGCGAGGCTGAAGTTGAAGTCGAGGTAAAAGCACCCCTGGGATTGCAGGAGGGCGCATATTGATGATATGATACCACTAGTAGTAGCAGTAGTAGTTTTAGCAAGCGATGCGTGATACATGGTATAAATACAGGAAACGTAAATTATCTATTAAAACGGTTATCAGACGCAGCTTCGCAATGATGTGTATGCATAACTTCATTTTCTGCTCTACCTTTTACTTCTTTCTTCTGTCCATTCCTGGCCAGCACTAAGGATAACTCCAAGGGTACCCAAGAATAGAAAAAATAATAAAAGTAGAATGAGGAAATGAAAAAAAAAAAAAATGGGAGAGGCAGAAAAGGTAGAAAAAGAGTAAAAAGCATAGCCCAGCCGCCAAAAAAAAGTGAGAATTTCAAGCCGCTAGCTCCTGTGCCCTTTTTGAGTCCCCCATGTATTCTTAACAGCAACAACATGTTTCATGCACCAATTCTCTCCAGGCATAACAGTATTCGTAATTTACAAAGATACGCTGTCATTAGAAAGAAAGGAAAAAAAAAAGAATTTAGAAAAATTGTTCATAATGCAAGCCTGAAGCTCTTAGTTGTTTGAATCATTGATTCTGCTCCGTCACCATCTTTCTGAAGGAGGCTTATTCGGTGTCTTGGTTAGAGCGCCTCACTTTGTCTCTGAGATCCCTGTTTTCATTTTCCAGGCCACCGAGCCGTTGACGCGCGGCCTGTCTGTCCTGGTTGCGCCCTTCTCTCTCCATCTTTAGCTTATACTCCATATCCCGGAGTCTCAGCAGCCAGCGGTTATCGTTGTTGGTTGCTGATCCGTCAGGGACTGAGGCATCCAAGAGACCCAGTCCAGTTCTAGAAGACGATACGGGGATTCCAGAAGAAGACGGCGCACGCGCCGTCGACGATGCCCTGCCCTTTGAAGCAGAGCTATGGGAACGATCCCCACCGCCGCGAGGAGGTATCGGTGACGGTGAGCCGGCGCCGACATCAGATCCGGGCGCTTGATGGGCGGCGCGAGCACGAACATCGTTTGCAGTTCTCAGCGTGGCATTCTCGACCTTGAGCTGACGATATGCTTCTTCAAGGCGTACCATCCGATTCGCTGCTTCGTGAGAACTTAGCGAGCCGGTGGCAACCGAGTTGCGAACCATAGTCTCCAGCCTATCAAGCTTCTTGATCCGCACATCCAGGTTGTTCTCTAGAGTCTGGTACTCCCGATAAAGATCTTTTTCTACTGCCTTGATCTTTGTTTGCAGGGCCGCAAACATGCCCTCGATCGTCTTGACAGCAGCAAGGAGGTTCTTGGAAAATCCAGGCAAACGACTGGCAATAACTTCGAGAGTAGGGACTACCTGTCGGTCCACAAGCGTGTTGTTATTCGCCCACTCCCGACCACAGAGGTTGCTCAGTTTGTGCCACAAGAGAAGCAGTAGTTCGTTCCTCTCTAGTAGCTGCTCGCGGGCTGTTTGTTCTAGCATGGCAAGCTTCCGGCGATCCTGGCCCCTCGTAGCTTCCAGCTCGTTGATACGGACGTCTTGTGTGCTAGCTGTCCGGGTGAGATGCTGGTGAGTCTTTTGGAACGACTCATATTGGGATTTGGTGTTGCGGTGAGCGACGCGCTCCTTTTCAAGCAATTCGGTGATTTTCCGCGTTTCCAAGGCGTGTGACTCCATAAGCGAATCACGCTGCTTGATGATACGATCTTTCTCAACCAACGCTGCCTTGGAGGTGTCAAGCTCACGAACAGTGTTTTCAAGCTCACGCTGCATCCGAGCAATAGACTGCAAAGAAGGGCTAGGTCAGTACAAGAATAACTTGAAGTGTTGGAGAATTGGGCATGCCGTACCTTTAGCAGCGAAGAACGGGTGCCATTCAGGTCACCCAATGCTTCCCTCAGGTTATTCTCCAGTTCCAACAACCTCTCCTTCCACTCTGTTGCCTCGACCTCGCGAGACGACAAGCTCTTGCGCAGTCGCCTGACTTCATCCTTGGCGCCGGCATTCTCACGCTGAAGGTTGGAAAATATTTGTTGGACATCTGCCTCCTTCTTAGTGGTAACGTCCTCCCATTGCAAACGTTCCTCTTGCATGCGATTCTCCAGCTCCTTGACCCGTTCCTTTTCGTCCTCCAAGTTTCGCTCCACATTGGACATTGCCGCCTCTAAATCGCCAATGCGGATTTTGTCAGCCTCCTGCTCTTCCCGAAGGAACGAGATTTCGCCTTGTGATGACTCCTGCTGGACGGAAAGGCGCTGGTTCTTTTCATTAGCCTCGAGAAGCTTCTGCTCCAAGTCCTCCAGCTCCTTGTTGGAAGACTCTTGCTCCTTCTCCAAGTGCTGAATGCGGTGTGTTTGATTAGCCTGATCGTCCTCAAGCTGTTGGATGTGTCGGAGCTTGTGTTCTTGTTCGTCTTCCAGGCCGAGCAGCGCCTCACTCATCTGTCGCATCTCCTTCTGCAGACTTTCAAAGTTTTCAGATCTGTCGTTCAAATCGGCCTGCATCCGCTGAACCTCTGCTTCCAGAGTGTCAATCTCCATCTGAGCTTCGTTGCGAAGGTCCTCAAAGTTGGCCTCCAATTCACTATGCTCCCTTAATGCTTCGTCGCGCTCCGACTGCAGAGCAATGAGATCGTTTGTAGCGTTATCGAGCTCTTCCTGCATGCTCATAAGAGCCTCCTCGGCCTCACGCTTCTGACCAATGGCCAACTCAAAATCAGCCATGCAGCTCTCCAGTTCTCGCTGCAGATCCTGATTCTGCAACTTCACCTCGTTGAGCTTATCTCGCAGCTCAGCCAATTTGTTTTCCAGCTCTTCGCGTTCTGTTTCATCCTCTGCTGACAGCTGCCTAGTCCTGTGGCTACTTCTTGAGCTCGGTCTTTCGTGACCGCCAGCACGTGAAGCTGATCGCTCCAAGAGACTGTCGATGGTAGAGGGAGCTGGACCGCCACGACGCTGAGCCATCTTGAGATCTTCAATCTCCTGGTATAGGCGCTCCTTTTCGCGGTTTCTAGATGTCAACATTGAAGTCTGAGCTCCCACTTCGCGGCGGAGCTCGGCATTCTCATGGCGCAGCGATTCACTCTCACGGCGTAGTTCTTCCACCAAAGTGCTGGCCGCACTAAAGTTGGCATGCGAACCATCTGCCTCGCCAGATACGCTAGACATGGGCCTGCCCGGCGAAGCATTCCGATCCCGTGGCTTCTTGTTGATGTTGTAGATGTTGGTTGTGTGATGCATCAACCCTGAGCCAGCGCCAGACATCTCCTTCTTGAGCCGGAAAACTTCGTCTCGCAGCTTTCTATTGTCCTCGTCGGACTGCTCCCTGCGCGCCGTCTCTTGCTCCAATAAGTCTTTCCAAACGTCTGCCTCCTCTTGCCGACCATAGGTGTCTCCAGAACGCTCACTGAGCGTCTTGAGAACATCCGATAGCTGCTTCTTCTCCGACTCTCTCTCCATAGTCTCGCCTCGGAGTCTCTCGATTTCCGTGGCATAAGTTTCGACGCGCTCTCGCAAGAACATGAGCTCATCTTCTCGCTCCTGAGCTTCTTCATTGTACATCCTGGCGGTCTGGTCCGTTGACGATGCAGCGCTGCGCGCCGTGCTCGGCCTTTCTTCGTCTTCTTTCTCTTTCTTTTCCAGCTCTTTGACTCTTTTCCGCAAGATTTTGTTATCACGCGTCGTAATGGCGAGATTTGTCCTCAGTTCAACGTTTTCAGAAATCATCTCTTTCAGACCTTCTTCAGACAAAGTGTCCAGCCGTTTACTCAAGAACATGACCTTGAGCTTCAGGTCGAAATTTTCTTTGGATAGCCTTTCAATCGTGCTGCTCTGTTCCTTTAGAGTCCAGTTCTTGTTCCCACCCTTGCCCGTAGCCTTTGAGCTGTTGGTAGCAGTGGCCGCGGATACGGACAATCGTGGCGTTTGTAGGCCATTTTCGAATTTGAACTCTTTCGCAACTGAATCAGGGACGTGGACGTTCTTGACATGCTGGGCTATGACTGTATCTGTAGGGGCTGTGCTGATGCTGTCTTTGGTTTTCGGTGTCACCATCTTGTAGCTGTCTCTACCTCGTGGGGGGGTGTTCGCCTCAACCAGCGGTTCCAGCTGGCGTGTGTTATCTCCAAACTCGTCAGTACCCATGCCAGAAGCCATGCTGCCCATACTTATTGATCGCAAGAGCAGATTGGATGGTGCCCGAGGCATACCCATATTCGGCACCGCTCCACCGGAGTGCAACGCAAAGTCCAGCCCCAGCCCTACATTTCCTGTGATATCGGTAGTCTCCTCTTGCAGCTCAGGATTGGTGGCGAAGGATGAAGTTGAAGATCGCTGGCTGCTGAAGCGGTTGGTGCGCACATATTTGGGACGCCTGTTGCGCAGGGCCAGTCCAGGATTGCCACCAGCATCAGCGCGCTCTGAAAGGGGCTGAGACTGCGAGTCATCTCGTGTATCCTTACTGCGTTCTTCCTGTGTCCCAACCCTAGGCGTATCTTGGTTGCTGTGGTTCGAAGTCGCAGCGCGCGAGATGGTCCTGGCGGCAGCAGCTGTCGCGGGCGAGTATTCGAAACCTTCTAGGTTCGATGTGGTGTTGCTGGCTCTCGTCAGGTCTTCTTCAGACTCAGGATGAAAGTCGAATTCTTCTGTGTAGTCCTGCCCTGGTTCGTATCTCGGCTCGTATCGTGGCTCATATCGTTCCTCGGGCTTCGACCGGGACGGCGGCTTGGATTGGGCCCCGGGCAACATTGGGCTCTTGGAAGGCCGAGAGGGCGGCTTCGAGGGCGAATCGAAGACAAAAGTATCATCAAGGCCCTCCTCAGGGTTGGCAGAGCCCGTGGGGATCGGTGACAGAGATGGTAGAAAGCTCGACTCGTTTTCCTTGAAATGCTCTCGAACTGCGTCCTCTGAGATGGTGTCGTCTACATTCAGCGTCGGGTCCAGAGCTGTCGTTTCGAGGTAGCTGTGCTCTCTCTGGGACAGCGCGGGCGATCCCCCGCCAACACTCGGTCGAGATGAGGTCGACAGCTGCGCCGATGCTGCGGAGAGTCTGCTATTAGGAGCTACTGTGGCATGCTTAGGAGGCGCCGGCGCATTGCCGTTCGATTCAGATCGCTGTAGCGAGGAGCGCGCGCTCATCGTAGTTGAGCCCGGCGAGGGCAGCGGCTCTGTTCTTGGTGCTGGGCTTCTCGATCTGCTGTTGTCGGCCTGGGCGCGCCTAGCAGTGGACGACGAGAGCGGCTCGGGCTCGTGGGCGGTGTTCTCATCCACGCCGGCCATGTTGCATCTTGGGGGTTTTGCCGGGTTGCAGGGGGGCTCCACCTAGGCGTGGGAGCTTCGCGAGGATTGGGGGAGCTTCGCAAGGATCGGAGAGAGCTGTATCGCCAGCTACAAACAGGTGGTGTTGATCAACAAGAAGCTGTAGAGAATAGTAATAGGCGTTGGAGTGACTGCTGGCTAGGCGAATGTGTTTCTCAGCTGGCTGTGCTCGAGCCTCGTCCAGAGCCTGACCAGCAAAAAGGCCGTCGAAGGGCACGAGCTTGGTGGCGCTGGCCAGGTGCGTCGTTGCTGGAGCCGCCCTCCCGGCGCCTGCAGCTCCAGCGCCTGCACGCGCTAACGCCGCGGGAACCAGTGGAATTCTAGAGCGAATTAGGGGGTGAAATGCCGCGTGCACCGCCTGTCAGGGGAGCCCCCGCAAAAGGCGTTAAACAGGCGGTAAGGGTTCAACGCTATTAGAATTGATATGTTGGGATAAGAGGGCTTGGATTGGATCTGGTAGATTTCAATGCTACCAATCCGTACTTGTACGTTCAAAGTGCTTCATGAAACATCAATGTTTACTCCATTTGGTGCAATCTCCGCATCATCAAAGTCTCAAACTGTTTGTAGAGACAAAAAAGTTGGTATTATCAAAATAAGAAGAAGTGAATAGAAGTACAAAGGAAAACAATAATCAAAAACCAAAACCAAAACCATGAAAAGCCATGCCAGTACAATGTAAATGCTGGATCGGTACGGCAACGTATAATTTCCACAAGACCTGCCACTCTTTTTACCAGGTATCAATTTTTCAAATCGCCTGTCGTCTGCCAGTTTTCGTCACAAGCAGACCTTTCACTATGATTTATTTGCCGATATGGAGAAGCGTAAATACGACTTCCACGCCAAACGCCGCAGGCCTATCCAATCCTGAACTGTTCCAACTCATGCATCATCACACTCGATTATCGCGAGAGAAAAAAAATGGGGGAAAATGAGAATGAAACGGGGGGTACAAGAAGAATAGGGAGAAAAGAAGTAGAGGAAGAGAGAAAGAGGAGGAGAGAAAGGGGAAGAGGTGGCGGAGAGAGAAGAGAAGGAAGAAATCATTACCACCACCATTTCCATGTCTTCTCCAATGAAGGATCTTGAAGGATGTCATCAACCCATCCCAGACTCTCTCTCTTGTCGTCAAGCAGGCGAGCATACTCAAACAGCAGCCTCAACACGTAGACCTGCATGTCCTCTTTGCGCAGTACTAGATCAGCCCACTCCTTGCCTTCAGTAGCAATCTTTTCTGCCACTCGGTCGTGGCCGTTGCGCCCCTCGTAGCCGAGGAAGTACTCCATGATGCCATAGTAATCGAGGAAACGGCTGTCCATGGGAACAAAGTGCTTCCATGCAACCAGACGGCTGTCGTGCCACTCATGCCAGATGGTGGCTTTGATGGGGAGAGAAGTAGATCGCAAGAAACCAAGATAGCGGCCAGAGAAGGAATTTCCGTCAATATCCGGGATGTACTTTGAGTTGAACTGTTCGGCCAATTTAATTCCCTTGGTTGGCTTATAGTAGTGGCCAGTGTAGTTGCATTTACCGTTCTGCGGTGGTGAGCAGCTAAGATCCGTGAAGCTGACGTTGGACCACTGGTTAATCCATGCGCCCAGCTTGCGGTCCTTTTGCGCTTGCAAGTTGTAATCCTCGCCTGGCAACGCAAAATTGTCTGCCTTCTCTCCCCTCTCGACACGTGCAACTGTCGTGCCGTTGTTCATGGCGACAAATCGATGGCGCTGGAAGCCTCGCCAATTGTGTGGCGTATTCTTGCCTCCTGTTGCGACACCGCGCCAGATGGCCTTGTTTTGTTTCTCCGCCCATTCAACACCATGGTTATCGCCGCCAGTGAAGCGCTCTTCCTCATTCCAGTACATGGGAGCCGGTAGCAGGATTTCGTTGTTGACTCCCAGCTTGGAGCCACCAAACATGGGGAACAAGACCTTGGAGGCTGATGTAGAAAGCGGCTCGATAAAGATGCCCTCCAAGGCCTGCAGGTCTGGCTGATGGCAAATCTCCGTAGACAGTGTAAAGTTGGAGACGAAACCCTTGTACATGTGGGGTTCGGCGTATGTCAAATTGATCGAAGGCGTCTTATCGGCAGTTTTTACGAGGCCCTCCACCTGGGAAGCACTATCGGGAGCACAGCCACGTCGAGCAATAGCCCAGTAAGGTTCTAGTTTAAAAAAAGCCTTGTCAATAACTTTCTTCGAGGATAAAAAAAAAGAAAACAAAAACAAAGTAAAGGTAAAAAAAACTTTTGCTGTTGAGTTGAAGAGATCGCGTCATGACAAGTTCAACTTACGTGTTTTTTCCCAGTTCTTGCTGCGCGTTTTGACGTCGGGGTCACCAGTGCCGGGGCGAGGCAGCTGCTGGAATTCGCGAATGACGTCTTTGGACTTGGGAATCTTGACCGTCTTGGAAGCGTTCTTCATATAGCCGGCCATGTCCTCCCAGGGAACAACCAGGCGGGGCTCATCCATGGCATTCAGCGCGATATCCATGTCAGGCAACAAGTGGTCGATTGTCTTGATCATTTTGAGCCAAATCTTGGTCCAGAAAAAGTCGCTTCGAGCGGTGGCATTGCCGTCTCGGATGTTGATTGTCATTTCAAAGTCCCACGACTCCTTGCGGATAACGGCAGGGTCGAGGCCCCAAAAGGGCTGGAGGTCTTGGTAGATTCGATCAAAGAAATCCTCGACGATGATTGCGTTCTTGGAGCGAGCAAACTCGTACCACTTCTCGAAGCCGGGCGGCGGGTGGCGGCCACGGCGCTTGCGATAGGCCTTGGCAGCCTCTCCAACGGTTCTGGATTCCTTCGAAAGGAGTTCAGCAAAGGTCATCTGGGCATCATAGACCAGCTTGTCAATGGGGTGGCCGCCGCTGGTGGGAGGAGCGCCGATGGGGAAGGCATCTTGGATGGGCTTCCGGCCAGGGGAATTCGGATTCGTGGCATCTTGCGATGGCGATGCCGGCGCCGTGAAGAGTGGTGTCTTTGCGCCTCCAACCGGCGCAGGGCCATTGTAGTTTGGCGCAGGATTCGACGGCGGGCGGTTTGGCGCGGTCTGGTCAAATGAGGGCGGCAGACGGGAAGTATCTGGCGAGCTGGGGCTGAGGGTGTACAAGGCCAGCAGGAAGATGGCCGCTAAGACACCGTACCGCACGAGGCCGGAGGGCCGCCGCATGGGAAATCCGGGCGTCAGCAGCTTGACCATGGCGATGTTGCGTGGCTTTTCGAGACGTCGCGGGTCTTGCCAGAGGCGTGGAGGTTGTCGCAGCAAACGATGCTCCCAGCTATGCAATGCTTGAACAGTCCTTAAAACAAAAACGGGGCGTCGGAAGTTGTTCGCTAAGAAATGAAATAGCGTCGGCCGCGTGTTGCTGGGGTTTGGTGTTCCCGCGTATGCGTATGAGACGTAAGTGATGACGGAGGGGCAGGTCTATCCAAGAGAAATTGAGCGCTCAGCGCATCCGGGCGCGCCAGGGAAACTCTGCTGTTTTAAGGCTTCTGATAACGAGCGACTCGACTTGGTTTCGAGGGACGTCGGACTGGTGTACAGACTGGGAAAAATCAAGGACGATTGTGGCGAGCACAGCACAGGGAGACGTCGAGGGGCCGTCGCGGGCAATCAAGGGCAGGCAGGCTTGGTGAGGTTCGACGCTTGGAAGTCGCTACAGTTGCCGCATCATCGTCCGGAGAGCCGTGAGGAGAACAACGAGCAGCTGCGCAGCCCAGAAGCAGAGCGAAAGAGATTGAAGAGCCAGAAGTCTAATTTCGCAGCGCTGCCCGGTGGCGGCCAAATGAGCTGGGCAGACGCTTGCGGCAAGATTGGCCACATTGGCCACTGATTCGCTGCGTCGCGATCAAGTAAACCCGCTGCCAAGACGCCGTCAGCGCCCACAAGCTCTGTAACCCCTGGCACGATTACGCTGCTAGTGATTGCGCGGGGGGCCTCAGCGTGGCACCGGCTCTCTTCAGTGGCCTGGGCTCAAGCGCGATAAGGCTACCCGCCATTGCCTAGCCGAGCGATGCTAATGAAACACGACGATGCTGGAAGGATGCATCGATAGCCTGAGGCTCGATTGCGTTGATGGCCAGGTTCTGTCGATGTTGAAGCTCTGATGCTTGTCGAGACGAGACAGCCTCAGTGGCCACGGAGCATGTGCAGGCAGGCAATTAAAATTAAGCTATCGGGGCTAATGGTGCCTTGAACCCGGCTAATCTTGTCCTTCCAATGCATCAATCCTCCTCCGATTGGTACGACCCAATATCATCAACTCAAACTCTGCTAGCTCAAAGGGCGGTTCGATACCTATGGAACTGCACCATTACTGCTCATGCTCCCTTTCGTCATTGTGCCCTCTAGAAGAGGGGAAGCAGATACTTGCGCAGGTAGACTCTCTTCCCTCTCAAGAGAATCCCGTCGCCAAGGCCTTTTCTGAGTGGCATTTCAGCGATGGCCTCGCTAAATGAGCCGGCGATCACTCCTCTTCTAGCCCCAGCTCGACTATTGCGAGCTCCACCAAGCCTGGCCCCCGGCCTTGTCGTGACATACCAAATACTTCATTGGAGACGTTTTGGTGGGTTGCGTAGCGAGCACGCAAGCCGGTTGTGGACCTCGTTCATTCGATAGATGCTGTACGTCGAGTAAGTTGATGTTGACCAAGGCATTTTCCAATCGATACCAAAGGAGCTGAACGCACAAATTATAAATAAAACAAGCCGTCGCACTGCAGATTCTCTCAATTAGGCTACAGGTACACGCATCCAACACAGGGTTGAGACTATTGGCGTCTAGGGCAGACGGAGCTTTTTTTTTTTTTTCCTCTCCCTCCTCCTTAGACTCGTCCAACGTGGCCGCGCCTTTTTCCTCGTCCGATTTGCCGCTACCCGCCAACCGAGTCAGCCGTGGATTTTCTCGCAAGGAAGACCTTGTCCGTATACTGACTGAGTGAGTGGCAGATCAACGACTGATGTGAGACCAGAGTCTATCATTCGGATAGATTACTTGTTCGTGCCAAATAATACTCCCGTCCACGTGTGGTTTTAAGCCGCCTTCTCCCCACCTTTTGGCTCTGCCATAAGTGGCTCGATCAGTAGAATTTTCCAAACGGGGTAATCCATGTGCAGCAGGCTAGTTAATCGGCGATTGCATTCAAAGCGGTTGCCTACAGGCTACAGGATACCAGGATACTAACTGAAAATGGCTGCATATGCGCCCATTTGGAGGGTGGACATGCTCTCAGTGAACCACCTCAGCTCTTTCTCGCCTGTAACTCGGATACAGCGAACCAGCGAGCCAACTCGTCAAAATAAGAAAATAATAAACTTGCTGCAAGACAGATCTGCCGCCATCCTCGTGACACAAGCTCGATTGCCCGGTTCCCAGTAGCGCAAAAGAAGTGCCGAGCGCAATTTTGCATTGGCTGTGGCGCCGACAAGGCGAGGTTCGATTTGGCAGGTCCTGAGACGCTTATAGCGCTCAATTGGAATGTCGACTGCCTAATGGGGGGCTTCAGCGATTGATTTCCGTTTAATGTCTGGGTCTGGCTGTGTCGTCATCAGTCTCCGATTAAGGCCCCTGTCAATCGCTGCTTATCGAAATGCCATGACCTTGGCGTCTTGGAGAGGCTTCCCGATTGGTAAAGCCGTGGACGATGAGGTCAGACAGTTTCGACGAGTGGGTATCGTGGCGTTGCACAAATAGAAACCTGTCCGTGCGAGCCCTGAATGGTTCATGCATGGCCTTGAGACATTGATCGGAGAATATCTCACCTACTCGTACAAGTATGTATGTAGCAAGTGACGAAAATAAGTCCCAGCAAATTACGAAAAATGCCCACAAATGGATTGAGACGAAGCTCTGCTACGTTCATGGCCACTCTATCCTTTCACTCACAGTATATTGTTTATAGCGTTTTGCTCATCGTTAATATTGACATAGAAATGTACAGACTCAGTCCCTTTGGTACGCTTACGTAGAAATCAGCGCCGCCGTGCAGCAGTTTGCAATCACCTAATTACTGCAGTGACAGGCACGACAAATTCCAGACTATTGGAGGTCCATTTACTCTAACCCACGCAGCTATATGCGGACTTTCTGATCCAGGCCGCCAAGATCACCAGAAATTTAAATATATCCCATCTTCATCAGCACAATGCTAGGGTCTACATAGGAACGAGCACGAGGAGGCCTAATTTTGGAATTGCCCGAGGAAAACTTTGAGATGATTCATCACAATGCAATTTCTTAAACTTGGAGGTTTAGGCCAGTTAAATGGTGTAGATTCTAAAGACAAATGCTAGTAAACCAGGCTAAACAGACAAAGTCCGCGCAATATTCTAATACGAAATGAACAAGTGTATCCATCAAAGCGAGCATTAAGTCGTCAATTAGAAAACGAACGGAACATTATCCCACGTATTGTATAAGCTCGAAACAGTGCCTTTGTTTCCAGTAGCAACAATATCGAACGGATGGGTTCTTGCGGCGAGTTCGGCCTTCCAAGAAGCAGTGTATAAAGTATGATTAGTTCCTGGAACCTTGCTCAAAGGCTTCATCGACACTTTGCTTTGAGTCCACGGGCTAAGTGGGGCAGTAAAGTTCACAGGCACGGGAATGATGAGCGAGATATCAGAGAAATCTTCAGCATTCAAAACCTGAAAGACAACATGTTAGCCATATGCCTTTAAAGCGTCAGAGTATATGTACAATAGACCTACCAACGCGGTTACATTCAGCTGGTTATAGTTGACGTTATCAACCGTGAGCTGGGTCTGGTTAGATAAGCTAAACAAAGGTTGAATAGCATCGGAAAATGGGAATCCGGAGCCTCCATTATCGTACTGCGAAGTTTTTCCGGCGGCGTCGTTTTGAATCTCAATGGTAAAAGACGATATGCCATCTTCAGCTGAAATTGTGGTGTTGAACATGTAGAAAATCAAGCCTGGACCACAATTGGGATAGTCACAGCCACCACTCATCCCCTGCTTCGTAGTGGCGGTCGCCACTGGTAAAGGTTTGCCAGAGCGCGATTTGGGGTGAATGAAGACTTGACTCTTGCTGGCATCAACTGTAGTGTTGGTGATCTATTTCAGGCTGTTAGCATTCACTGGCCAAAGAAGCCTCTGGCGTTTGTGATTATCCAACGGCTGAATACGTACCCTTATAAAACCATTGACATACAACGTTCCATCAGCATTAGGAGTAATAAATAAGTTTCTTGGCTTGACGGCGATGGGGTTTAGGACATCTGTTAGCTTTACGCTGCGAGGCACGGTGTTAATCATGCGCTCTAGCATTGTGGTGCAGGTGCTGAGAAAATAATCGTTGGAGGCTGCTAGCTGAGAGATTACTTTGCCCCCGTCTGCGTTGAAAATACGAAAGTCTGATCGTGTTGTTTCGTTTTGACCAAACGCAAGTGGGTTTTGAGTGATATTGGCGACAAATTCCGTGGCACTGGAAGAAAACAGGCATGAGTTGGCTGGTTCTTGGATGGAGAACATGAATAGTAAGTAGCACTTACACCTTATTGTCGAAATCGTCGTTTGTTGTATCAAAGGTCACCATATTATCAGTCTAGAGAAAAGGCAAGACATTGAGTTAGTAAGTTTATACAAGCTTCATGGGCTGCTTCTCAGCAGGTCTGGAAAATGAGATATACTGACGCCTGTGTTGGGGGGATTGGGGACAATTTCCGGAAAGTCCACGCCGTGCACACCTCCAATGGAGTGTCCGCAGGCAACAAGGGCTATCATCTCAGACACGTCAAAGCCCTGCCTAGCAAAACTCGCCGTATGTGAAGCAAGATCTTCTTGTGGCTGGGGGACGCCGGATGGGCCCGGGCCAGCTGCATCAACGCGTCCGGCCTTGAACGGGATGATGACTTTTCCATTCGAGCATGTACCAACTGAAATCACCGCCGCCGCTGCGAGTAAATCAGCCATCGATGTTCGAGTAGTGTAGGCGCCGCTGAAAATGCCAAAAGTTTCCGAGAATCCCTTTCCCGGATTCTCAGGACGATCTGTCTCGAACATGATAGAAGCGTCCACACCGCCGGTTCCAGCGTTTACATCTGCCGTGGCCATGTCGTGATAGGCAGTTCTCAGCCATTCAGCGCCGAAATTACGCCCTCCGCCTCGGGTGCCCTCGCCGAATCCAGAGCAGCCTGAGACAAACGAGGCAAGGTCGCTACCAGGCGCGCCAAAAATACTCTGTTGTTCATATAATATAGCCTCAAGGTCGTCGATTTCTTCATTTGGCCACACATAATCAGCGTTAGCTGGATGCCAGAGGTAACTGCTGAGAGCAGAGTAGAGGATGGTCCGAGTCCAGGCCATGATGATGGCAATTTTAGTCTTGATGCCAGATATCTAGCCGAAAGGAACTGTTGAAACGGAAACGACTGTTTGAGCTGGCTAGAGAGCTATGATCGTCTGGGACTTGTGGGCTTTATAGTTGAGAAGACCCTTGAGCGAGTGACTAGGTATATCATACGGGTAATTCACACGTGTACGGAACTGCCAGCCGATACGCCGTCCCCAGACCTGGCATTAGTCTCGTATATGCGGTTGATAATGAGGCGTCACAGTGGCTATGGATTCGGGGCATTCCTATTCAAGTATCGTGTCACGTCGTGTCACTCTACAAGTCTGAATTAGGATTAAACAATGGAGATGCTAGCGTGGCTGTGTGAGCCGCATAACTAAGTTGAGGAAAATTTTCCAGAAATGTGACATGCCATTGGTTTATGCTACATTTAGTAATTCGTGCTAAATACATTCGAGATGGCCCCAGTTCTGAAGACACGTATACCCTGGGCGGTTAAGCTTACAGGAACGCGCACGCCGTAACTTGTTAAGCTTACAGAGGTGCATATACGACATTAAGGCTGCTCCGTATTGAGTAGAGTCGCGGGTACTGTAGCCAATAAGATGTTTCTGTTTACAAAACAAAATAGTATTTATGTGACAGCTGACACATACCTAGTAATTTCCTAGGTGGGATGGACTTCAAGGGTGTCAGCGACTTCATAAGTTCCTTGACAATCAACAGGCCGATACAACTGAGATACAAACTTCATGTGATGTACGTAGTCGTCTGATATAGGAAAGGCCATTCTCTCGGAAGTTCCACTTGTGTCTTCTCCTGGTTTATCCTTTCAAGCCAATTAGACATATCGCATTGGCTGTCAACCCGTATCTCCAGGGAACTAGCATGCCATATATTGCTAGTCATTTTATAGTGGTTTAGTACCTATGTCAACTATGACTGTAGATGCAACGAAAAACACTATAAATGACTTAGGTACCGCATTGTAGCAACCGTTGCTTTAGCTGTAGCAGCCATGGCCTCATTCAGCAGACGCCCCTGTATACATCTTCGATAGTCGTGTTCTGTTCTGTCCAGCTTACCACTCGGTAGTATGCAACAAGAAATACTAGTAGTATCTCAGCATTGTTCATAACCCTGTAATAGCTAGCGGTCAAGTGCTGGTTTAACAGAATTCATTCAACGCTCAGTAATCAATTGGTGCCAGTCGCGCCACCATGTATGCGTAACCCCTTTTGCATAACCTCGTAGATAGAATAGGAAATATTGGCTGAGTTCGGTTTTATTGGGGAAATTGGTGGAATATATTCAAGGCTTATTACAGACATTGTTCAACATGGCTCAAAGGCTCAAAGCTAAGTTCATGCAACGTTGGTTGATAAAACTGTACACACCTATCATTTCATATCAGTAATCTGGGTATAGAATGCTATAATTTACATAGTCCCGGCTTGATAAAGCCAGCCTTTTATTTGTTGTGAGGCAACTTAGCGACACCCACATAAATCCCGAAAACGCCGTCTCCCGGCTGCCGTTTTCCACGGAGGCCGCCATGAAAGTCCGAGTAGCGATATCCATTTTAAGCGATGTTTAGTGGCGGGAAGTCCTGACACTAAATTCTATTTGTTCCTCTACTTGAAATTAGCTACTGTAGAGCTAGTCATCCGGCGAAAGCGATTGGAAGGGATCACCTCAGCTGCCTGACTTCCTTCCGGACCCTGCATATGAGGGTTCTGCTTCTGTGAAGAACCATCCAGGCTGAAAGATATTGCCCTTGGCACAGCCCCGGTGTTCGACGTGGCAAATCGGGGCACTTTTGCAGCAATAGATGTAAGCAGGGTCTCAAAGATACGAGTTCGTATTGTATGTAAGACGATCCCATTTCAATCAGCCGTCCCAAGCTGAATTGACTGATCTAGAAGTGGCTATATAAGACCCAGTTGCTGCACTATTTACTGTCCAAAGCAGCGGCAAGCACATTCTTGGCTCTCTAGTCTTCCCTTCCTGTCCACGGGCTCAAAGCATCCAAAAATCTGGTGTGCGCTCCAGCATCTCCAGTAACTCTCAACACTTCCTGATACTCCTCAGTGCCAAGGCGTTTGAAGAAAAGCAGAATACCCGCCCACATAAAATCGGTGTAACTGATAGTATCGCCCATAAAGTAGGGCCCTGATGAAGATTCGTTCAGCAGAGCCGTAATCTCGCGTGCAAAAGGTTCGCATCGTTCGAATGCTCCTGGACCCTGCTGCTTTTTAAACTCATCTAGCGGCATACCGGTGTCTTCCTGGCGCGTGGTGAGAAAATATTCCAGACTCTCCTCGCCGAGAAGTTGCGTCGCTACATTAGGAACGTAGATTGGTGCAAGCTTCCCCATAAATGGTATGAGGCTATCCCTAAATCTAAGTTGAATGGGTGTGTTCAGAGGCAGGCTTGGAACCGGGTGCTTCTCCTCGATGAATTCGGCAATTTTGTACGAGTCCATCAAGTAAGAGCCATCAGGCATTTGTATAGTAGGGACGGTAAATTGACGTCCTTGCTCATTGGGAGAGACACTGCCATGATCGAAACTCAATTATAAAATGCTCATAATGTTTATAACTCGGCGTTAACTTACTGCTCGTTGAGTCGAGACTTGATATGCGGATATTCCACCTGCCAGAAGTTAGGGCCTATGGTCCAACCCTTGTGAGTGTGACTCACCCATTCTGTCTTGTAGTCAAGACCCTTGTAATTCAGAAGCAATCTAGCTGCACATTAATTTTAGCATTCATGTATTTTTGACATGAAATTGACTGGGACCTACTTCTCCAGGTGTTCATCGACCAACAGACACGTGGCGCCTTGGTGGGGATATCCAACAGCGTGTAAGTGCCTGATGGCGTATTTCCGACTGCCATTTTAGAGTTTTATATATATATATATATATGCTGCAAGATCACAACTCCACCGTTGCGCAAAGGGGTAATGTTAAAGAGACGAAGAGCAGGAGAAGAGAGAAATAGCCGAGAATCCTCATTTGAACGTGCAGCCGTGAATCCATGAGTCCACTAGACCTAATAGACCCATCGCTTAGTAGTTCACGCTCTCCCCCGCATGAACCCAAGCGAAGAGCAGCTGTCGCTAAAAATCGATCTCCAAGTGCTTATAAATAGCGTGTTGGCAATCTTAGTAATTGCTTCAAGCGACATTGAAAGCAACAACAGATGAGTTGTGCCTCTACTAGGTGGCCATGACTCGAAAAACAACAGATACCTTCGAATATTTGTTGGAATACACACTGATGGTTATGGCTCCTGGAATAGACTTTCACTTATTGCTCACTGTAACATTTGCTCACAAGACAAGCGTACAATCAGAGCTAGCTCGAATGAAGATGCAAAATACCTAGTTATGCGGAGTGCTCTCTGAGTAAATTTCTCTACGCATCAAATCCGGATTTACAGACTGAAAGCAGCACTAGTATAATGCGCTTGTTATGTCTTCGAGATGATGGGAACATGTCAAACTAAAACTACCAATTTAAATATTCTCTCGAACCAGAAATACTCTTCGTCCCTCCCAGATCATTCTCATCCCACAGATTCTGCATTGGCGGGAGGCCTCCTGTAGGTTTGATAGCAAGCGAACTATTGAACCTAACGCCATCTTCCTTTTTAAAGATTGTCGACAATGCTATTTCTCCACCTCTGGAACTCAAGAGCAGTCATCTCGGGATAAATCGCAGGCTCTTCGGCAGAGACAAACTTGGGCAGCGGTCCAACAGAAGTATCGCGCCCAGCCTTGAAGAGATAAGCCATAGACATTCGGGAAAGGATACTTGGTCCCTTTTCTCATTTCATAGTCTCGGGAACAGTGACCTGGTGCATGCCTCCAATGACCCTTCCGTTGGTCAATGTATCACCAGTGGTGCCTTGGTCAAAATGTTCCTATTGGTTAAAATTGTGAGCATGACGATGAAGAAATTGTGAAGGGAGCTTTTACTTAGACTCAAGGCTCTGGTCAAAAAAAAAAAAAAAAAAAAAAAAAAAAAGATTGTCCCTGGCAGTTAAAAGGCCTCGATTGGAGTTTACATGGCATGTCCTCCGCTTTCCGCGCTGATCATCGCGCCCTTCCCATGACTTGTATCTTAGGTATGCCTATAATGGCAAAACATATCGCCATTTAGTTATAACCGGCGCTAAGTTGTCTTGGCCAAATACTATTACAGTTTAACCTGCATGATAGTCGCGTTAGTACATTGGACGTCAATTCACGCGATTGCTGCCATCACATTCGCCATATTGTTCAGAGGAGATGCTCCGCTTACACTTTACGCTCATCTGTGCCTGGAGATGCGTGTATCTGCTGATCTGTTGCCTAAACTCGCCATATATCCACAACCGTTTTTCCAATCCCTGCTTCTCAATCTGACGTTATCTGAAGTGTCGTTTAACGGTGGAGCCTACAAGCCATATCTGTGCATCTATACGCATGCAAAAACGACGTAGTACGCGGAAAGTCACCAACGTTACAATAACTCGGTGTTGGTTGTTATTCATTGCATCATTCTACATTCTACAGAATGCGGCTTCTTAGGAATCTTTTTGCCTGATTCCACGCTAGCAGCAGTATGCGACGAGACTTTCTTCCCTCAACCTCTACTACACAAACCACTGTCATAATGCTTTGTCTTCAACCCACATCCATGATTTAGGGCGCCAAATTGTGCCAGCACCAGGAATAAGGGCATTCGTGCTAGTATAGCTCTCGCGACGCGCCGTGTAAGGCCAAACCGTTATTGAGCATGGCACTGGATGAGAGTAAAGACACACTACAAACCCCAGGTGAGCCAGGCGCTTTTGTAAAGTATATCTAAGTGCGAGTCTTGCTAATGAAACAAGTAGAGTCCGCTGTTGTTTCTGTCGATGTAACTCGGCTGAGCCAAAGGGCGGAAATTGCAGCAACAGGCACTACAGAAGACCCTCATACCTACCCCGAAGGTGGACGCGATGCCTGGCTGGTAGTGTTTGGGGCGTGGTGCGGCCTGACTGCTTCATTGGGCATTTACAACACGTCTGGGGTCTTTGAAGTTGTCATTTCTCAGGTTATTCTTCCCCAAGACTCGGCATCTGCCCTCGGTTGGCTATTTTCCACTTACGCCTTCGTCAACTGGATCTTCGGCGTGCAAGTAGGGCCTACTTTTGACGCCATTGGTCCACGGCCCCTGATTGCAGCCGGCACTATATGCACTCTGGTTGGCATCTTTACACTAAGTATATGCACGGGTAGGCTCCATCAATATTTCACCATACCTACTATGTGCTGGACTGATCATGCTTGCCATGTGGTATTGCAGAATATTACCAGATTCTCCTGTCATTCTCCATCTTGACGGGTATCGGATCTTCCCTCCTTCTGACTCCATCCATGGGCTGTGTCGCCCATTGGTTCATGAAACGTCGTGGCCTCGCCAGTGGCATAGCGTTTATCGGCGGCGGGTTTGGCGGCGTACTCTTTCCCCTCATGATGCAATCCCTGCTTCCCCAAGTTGGGTGGGCGTGGACGGTTCGTGTCTTGGGCTTCTTGTTGATGGTTCTCTGTGCTGTCAGCATTGCCTTTTGCCGAAGCCGAATCCCCCCACGAAACGGGAATGCCACAACTTGGCGAGATACGCTACCCAACCATCGAATCTTCCTTGACGGGACGGGAGCGATGGGGGCTACCACTGCAGGGGTTCTGCTGACAGACTTGGCGTACTTTATTCCCATCGCCTATACACCGAGCTACTATATTGATCGGCAAGGTCTATCTGCAGAGGAGTCCCTAAACGGCTCAGCCGCTTTTGCATATCAACTGCTTGCTATTCTTAATGCGGCATCTTGCGTTGGCCGATGTGTGGCGGGCGATCTCGCCGATCGGTTTGGGAGATACAACACCATGATTGTCTCTCTTCTGCTTTGTGCCATTTCCGTCTTGTGTTTGTGGCTGACGGATATCATGTTGCCTGGTCTGGGGAGCGACGGGCTTCTCATAGCCTTTGTCATTTTGTTTGGCTTTCAAAGTGGCTCAAACGTTAGTTTGACGCCAATCTGTCTTGGCCAGCTCTGTGAAACGGAAGATTACGGGCGATATTACGCAAGCTGCTTCACAGTGGTCGCGTTTGGTGTGCTAGCAAGCCTACCAATAGCCGGAAGCTTGCTCAGTGCGACTGGGGCAACTGGGAAAGAAAAGTATTGGGGAGCTGCCGTGTTTACGGGGCTGAGTTACGTGGCTGCCCTTCTTTGCTTTGTATGGGTAAGAGTTAAGCTCAAGGGCTGGTCATGGAGGATCAAGTGGTGATTGTCGCTAAACTTGCTTCGGTATACCTACGACATACATGATTCCGGAGAAGATATGGAGTCTATACAAAGAACAGACTCGAAATATAGCCGCAAAGACAATCTCATGTGTATTCGAAAATAAGATTCACGATACCGCATTAATATGTTACGAAAAACGGGCATAGAGCAAAAGTAGAGACGTTATCTCAGGGTCTTTGGCGATCTTAGAGACATGGTCTAATCATGTTCGGCTAGTATCTCGAGAATCTTTCGTAGAGGTGCATTAAGGCAAAGGTCATGGCTTCAAGTTGAACAAATGCGCGGAGTAAGTACCCCTAAACTTGTGCCCAGGGCGAAGAGTAAGCCAAATTCTCCGAGACTGTATGATACAGGCGATGACGAGTACTACGTCATTGAATAATAACAAAAGCCCTCAACGGGGGTAAGGATTCTGGTCTCTCGATGTAAAGTTTTGTGATTGTGTCCATGATGTCCGGATATCCACCGTTCTGCTACGCATATCCTCTCCTGAACTAGTAGTTAGCAACAAATTCACGAGGCCATTGGAAATATTGTCATAATGCTTTATCGGTTTATTCATACAGCACGCCTTTTTACAATTGTCAAGAGCAAGTCAAAACAGATAGTGCATCTATCGCGCAAGTAATGTTGACAAGGCATATGTGATGAAATGGGAGAGACTATGTACTAAATCTTGGTGTCTCAACTCATTGATCTTTGTACATGTAGAGAAGAGAGAGGACATGTTCGTGTGCTTAGTTTAGGTATGTACTGGCGGTTTTGACCTTGCATGGCTTCCGAGCAACAACTAGCCACTTTTTCGACCTAAATTTTCAGGTTGTGTCATTGTTCTTACACATTCAGCGTGACTACAACGATGCATCTGCGAGTATACCAATGAATGACACTTGGTGAAGGTTTATACTGGAGTTGGAAAAGAAGTGCCGAAACCAGAAGGTGCGTATCTCAGTCTTTATTTAGCTTTTCCACTAAACTTTAGCGTAATCTATACCGCTAATACCCGTGCTCCGCAAATCTGAGATTGTAGCTAGTGGTGTATTGATAGTGGCGCGCTTGGATATGACGTATTTAAAGGGCACATGAGATCAAAGTGAAAGAAGGAAGAATAACTCCAGCATAAATGGAGATATGCTGTATTAATGAGTGTAGTTTGTGCGTGGTGCTATACCTGTACTGTTTTGTGGTGCATTTACGCGCACAAGGTACCTTGGCTAGACCAAGTTTGCTCAGCCGGATCAAGCTCAGTTACATCGATAGTATATGCATATAACTGGATTATCCCGGTACTCCGTAATTCCAGGAAGATTAGACGCCCGTAATAAATGCAATATAGCTCATGCATACTTGTGCTTTTTTTCGAATAATTGTTTCTTGAGATTACAGGCGTAGCCAACAGCGGCCTTGTAAGAGCTATCAATAGCAAGTCGGCGAAATTGACTTTTCGACACCAAGTGCATTGAGATGCAGTTTTCATTAACACCAATAATTGGGTAGCTAATACCACTGCATAATCATATTTTTAAGTTGTTTACGAGGTATATAAGCCGGAATTATACCTGTATATATGATAAGAAAAGGAGATATGTAAGGGAGAGGTCATGTGCATTAGCTCTTGTTTAAGTTTAAGGCTTATTGCTGCGGCACGATTGCCAGACCGCTATCTCTCTTTTATTTCTCTCCTTCGTCATCATCAAAATTCTCAAACGGGATACAGCTAGTCGAGTTTCTGGACAGTACCTTAGCCGTTGTTCTCATTACATCTCCATAGTAAGGATACGGAGGGAGTGAGAGATTGGGGCTATTAGCGCGACAGAACCCGTAAGATCTCCCCAGACATCACATCAAGATACTACATATAATCTGGTGTGCTATAATCACTAGGTACTAATGCTACTTTTTCTAGATCTGTCTTCTTTGATCTGAACTGATCTCTCTGATTCAAAATGGGCGACACCATTAACGCCAACGGGAGCAACGAAGCCGGTATTAGCGATGCAGCTTTATACGATTTGAGGAGAGCCAAGACGAGGCTGGATACTCTCGCTGACAAGCCCAAGTGGGATCTCGGCGACACGGCAGATTTCGATTGCATGCACTATCTAGGCGATGCTGCCTTGGAAAAAGCATGCAAAACATTAGGCATGGAACGTGGACAGACGGTTGTCGATATCGGCTCGGGCTTCAGCGCCACCGGTCGCTATTTGCACAAGCGGTGCGGCGTTGATGTCACAGGCATCGAGCTTCAGCCCGAAATCCACCAACTCGCCGAGACCATCACGGAGCGAAACGGCCTCGCGGCAGGTGTACGCTCAGTCAACGCAGACTTTACGAAACTCACGCTGGACAAACCGGTGGACTATATCATCTCGTTTCTATGCATTCTGCACATCCCTGACAGGGACACGCTGTTCCAAAAAGCAGCCAGCACCCTGAAGACTGGAGGGAAACTCTACATTGAGGATTATTTCGCTCGAACGGCGCTCAGCAAGGAGGTTGGCGACCAATTGCGCGACATTGTGTCCTGTCCTTACCTACCAAGTCGTGATCAGTACATATCAGACCTGGAAAAGGCAGGATTTCGTGATGTCCAGTTTGAAGAAGTGACAGAAGAATGGGCCAAATTCGTGCACGAACGGGCAGTCAGTAACCGACAAAGCGGAACAAGTGAGGCACCACTTACTTTATTCTACGATACGGTTGACGCGTTGTTTGCTAGCCGTGAGCTGGGAGGTGTGTGCCTCACGGCTACTAAAGCATAAGAATGTAGATACTGCAGCAACTGACTTGTATAATCCGATCTGTAGTTGTGTTGATGTATTAGGCCATTCTGAAGTAGCTTGCAACTTTAGTATGATACGATAGCTTAATTATTGCCTGGGAAAATCTAGCATTGTTACCTAACTATAGCAGTAGTTCATTGTCCTTGTACCATTTACAAAAACACACGTCAAACACTCATTGCATGTAGCGTTTGTAACACCCACGCGGCCACAGCTGATGCAACGCTTGTCTTCGTAGAGACGCATAATGCATGGCAATAAGACGGTAGATTAAAACAATGTTTATTGGCAACGGTAGCGCTGGGAGAGAAGATTACAATTACTTTGCGGCAACTGAATGTAAGCTGGAAGCGTTTAATTGTTGTATTGCATAGACACTGAAGGCTTGATAGGTAGGTAGGTAAGCTTTTATTGCTCCAGTTTTAAGCAAGGCAAGAGTGACCAGCGGCAAAGTGAATGCGCCCAATTGTGAAGCGAAAGCAGTCAGGTACGTACCCCACAGCAAGGAAAAAGCAACATTACTGCTGTCTCCCTCGGAGAAAGGAAAAGGAAAAAGGGACAGAAACGCACTGAACGCACAGTAGGGTAAAAAGGGCAAAAAATGAAGATTAACCCCCGGCGGGATTCGAACCCGCAATCTCAAGATTAGAAGTCTTGCGCCTTAGCCATTAGGCCACGGGGGCTCAACTTGAATGGATGGCTCTTAATGAGGATATTATTCCTTTGGGCAATTTTCGGGCGCTCTCGTGCGATCAAATTCCAATTATCGTTCTAACGTCTTCCTAACTGCCTTCTCCAAGGTCTTACCTTCTTTATTTTTTTGGTCCTGTTGAGTGGCCACAGGCTCACCCTCTTAGCAAGCCCACTTTGTTGTTCTGTTTTCAACGATCCGTTTGCTCGTGGTCAGGGTATATTTCCCTTCCTCTCTTTGATAGTCCTAGTCGTTGCAATACAATCCTCTTCGCCCTTGTCAGGTCTGATCGTTGTCTTCCCAGATGCCTTGGTCTTCCTCCTTGTTTTCACAGCCTTGTGGTTTCCCGGATACCTTGGTTGTCGTTCTTCATTTCTTTTGATTTGAACTATTCTTGTTACTTCGTTTCTTGACAAATGCCCTAATTTGTGTAGTTTTTGATTGAGCATGGTTAAGTTGCCATGTTATTGACTTTATTAAGCTTCGCAAAGGTACCACCGGATTCAAGTGCTAGCTTCCAGTTTTGCTTCTTCTGTGGGCGAAAATGCCAACGCTGAAGGCCACGGGGGCTTTTGTTAGCGGGGTTGCTAACTACTTGTTGTGAAAGGGCATGTCTAAATGCATTTGACTGTGACTCCACAACCGAATTCGAAGGAATCTGCTCGACGAAAAGTCTGATATTTGAATTCTACTTCCTACTACTTCCTACTAATCCCTACTACTTCAGACTCTCAGGTGTACATGCCAACGTCCTGTATTAGATCTAGTTCAACCGGCTACAAATCTCTTGATAAGAGACGAAGTTGACGCCAGTATCAGGCTCGCTTGTCTAATACATGATGTAGACTTCCTTGGCTACTTTTTGAAGTTGTGAATCTGACAAGTCAGCCAACCTAGTCATGCTGGCTGTGTCCTGCAATGTTCCCGCCCCGCTATCAACTACAAGCCGCAGTGGAGTAGCTTCACGCAATGTCTTCATGCCATCTCCTTGAATCCATCTCGCATACACAGTCATGCCAACCGCTGTAGACGCTGCAATGGTAAGACTAAGCAGGCTAGCAAGAAGTAGCGCCGGAACGTAGGTGATGTGGTAAAACTGTTGCGTTACTGCTCCCGTCACATTGTAAAAGTATTCCGGGCGGTCGCGGGAAGAGTCCATTGCAGCGACGTTGAACAGAATGCTTTGAGCACGGCCGGATGCGAGCACAAAGTTGGCGGCAAATGTCGAAAAGTTGGTTGATGGACACATCGCAAGTTGCCAGTCAGCCATTTCGATTTCACAGGCTAACCCCCCCCCCCTAATCGCAGGCGCGATACCAGGGATCGTGCTTGTTTCATCCATGGCGTGATAGTTGAGCATAACCTGCCAGTCACCGATAAATGAACGCTGTGGGCTCTTAGAAGGCTGAAATCGCGACCCGGACAACTCCCATATTTGGCCAGTTGAGCGTGTATGGTTGGCGAGCCCCTCTTGGCGAAGGAGAGAGCAATGCAGAGAGTATGTGGTCATAATGCCGTAGGCCGAGGTGAGGTTCAATACTACTGGCTCAATCTCACCGTACTGCGTTAAAACACTGTAATTCCAAGTGTTTTTTTGCATATAGCCCAGAACTGCATGTTGATAGTTGGGCGAGAAGAGAACAATTGCCAGTTCCGAAGTGTACTTGGATTTGATATCCTCTGCAACACCAGGATACCAGTAGGCGTACCTCTCGGCAGTACTATTTGATATAGAGAGCCTTCCGAGAATTTGAACAACATCGTCATTCATCTGTGCAGGGAACAAAGAAGGAGGAGCAAGCTGTACAGGTTCGCAGATCGCACTCAAGCGAAACGCAGGTATATCATACAGTGCCATCACAGACGGGTCCAAGTCGGCCAACGAGCTGTCTGTCGCGTTGACGACAACATAGCCTCCTTCGGAATCAAGCATTGATGAATTATATGTCGCTATCTGGTTCAAAAGAGTCGTAAGCCGCTCAGAGATACTGGCCTGTTGTTGTAAGTTCAATTTGAAACTGGTTTGGGGTCCAAGGACTTCCGGCCGGGACATTAGAATATCATCAGAGGTGCGTGTCTTAGAATCGATCTGCATGTCGTTAAGAGTTCTAAGCTTATACTTGACATTAGAAGGAATAATCTCCGTGTAAGCCTCATAAGCGATGATATTGGATAAAGTGGTCCAAGAGAACGCAGTCGATAAGGCAAGCAGTATTAGGCAGTACAGTCGCCACATTCGCCCCCGCCGTAGGGAAAGAAAATCCTTCACATTATAACTTCCCGTAGACATACCACTGGCTGTCACCCAGGTCGCTAGAGGTATCCTTCGCTGCTGCTCTTGCGGCCTGTCTCGAGACGCGCGGATGGCCAGACGCGCAGAGCTAAACCAAACAAAATTCAAGGCAGTCATTAGAGCTGGGGCCAGAAGTCCACTGTAGACAATATCGATGCCTTTGGCAAAGCTTTGAGAAAAACGGCCGCCAATCACCAAACCAGCAAATGACCCAAAAAGCTCAACTTTTGGTGCTGTAAACACAAACCAGGCAACCAAGCCAATCAGAGGTATGACAAGCGTTAATAATAGTATCGGGAATTTGAAACAGTGAAAGGTGTCTCCAGAAGGCTTCTTTGTTGTGTCGAAAGTGAGATCTGTGCGAGTACAGCTGCTTGCTCGTTTTGCTAGAGGGTCGAGAGTTTCACGAGCAACGGGTTCGATCATGTCTTTTTCCCTAGAAAGCGAATGAGGCAGCAATCTACAGCCGTCTTCACTTGAACTGCGCCGTTCAAGATCGAAAACTTGAGAAAGAGGCGAATAATCCGCCGCTGGGAGATTGTTTGGTTCCATGATGGGTTCGTTCGACGCTCAATGCTAGGATGTTACATTTTAACAGCTCGATGATCATTCAGCGGGTTAAGCATATATATAGTGCTATGAAAGGGATACTGTAATTAACTTGATGGTTACAACGATTAATCTACAAGCTGTGTATCTAAAGAAGAAATTGAGTGGCTCGTAATGTTACTCGCATACAAGTTATCTGCTTCTTCTCCACGATTAGAGCAATATTGTTAGGAGGTGGCTATAGTCTTATAGGGATTTGTTTGAATGGGTTAGTCTATCTTTCCAGTTGTGAATCTCCGCCGAATCATCGTACAGCATAAGCCCAGTGGTCTATAATAAATTACGGGTGGCCGCCTTGTACTACAATCAAAATAACGCAAGAAGCAACAAATTGATAAGAAAGCTCGTTCGTGGTCCAATTTTGAATGGCAAAAGTGATGCAGATATCTAGCGGTTAAATTGATTAGACTTAAGTATTATCGGTATATCTTTTGTTGAACTCCAGCATCTAACTCTTTTGATAGCTTTAGTATTCCTTAGTTATCTCATAGCAAACGCTTATAGCCCCCCAGTTACACATAGGTAGTGATCACCTGGTAGGACAATTCAACATTCAAGCCAAAAATACTAAATCTGCTACAGTACTACATCCACTTGGCCATAGATTTACCGCATTTCCCGCCGATCTGTATCACTTGCCACGTATTCATTCAGTGTACCCTAGTACAGTGTATTTCTCGTATCTTGTGCCACTTCTACTAAAAGAAGTGTATCGTCTCCGCACTTGTATCGGTATCTCTATTAACAGAAAGATGTTTTATCGCATCAAAGGAAAGCCTATGGGTTTGGTCATTTCAGCTCTCTCTACCTTTCAGTCGCACTCTCGCTTTTATTATTATATCCAACACTCTTCTTCATCGAATTATTTCTACAAGCAGAAGCTGCCATACTATCGTCATGGTGCTCGCCTTTTTACAGGCAACAAGACCTGTACTTAGGTAGGTACCCATCGGAGTGTTGCACATGTTGTGCAGCATATCTCGAATAAGACTCGTCACCTCAGCTCCTCAAAGGGATCATCACAGGTCGTCAGCAGTGAAAACAACCCCCTTTCCTAATCATGGAGTCCTGAGAGGACTTCCAGGTAGACCTCAGCACAGCGTTTGAGCGTCATCATCGGTCAATTTTTGTAAAGAACAGATACTACATGATGGGCACTTGCCCTTTGAGCTATGTCCTAATCACAACGAAGGGGGGAGACCGGCAAATTTATACGTGTGCCCTGATGCTACCTTACGTACCCCTATCCACTACCTACATGTTAGAGTTTGATAAAGCACAAAGCGCAATAAAAGTCTCTCTGCGCCACAAACAGAAACGCGTAACTGTTGTAGCTTACTCCGTAATAGGTCATATGGCGCGCCGTGAGAAAATATCAGCCAGCCACCTCGGCCGTAACATCCTGAGGCTATCGCCACCAATCAGGACGACATGATCACTCGAAACTTCTCTCGAATGTTGATTCATTCATGGAAAGTACGTTTGAAAGGGCGGTAGAATTATTTAAACAAAAATAGAATAAAATAAAGAGCGCGCCATGTGACGTTCGAGTCTCAATCACTATTGAAAGGCGAGCACTTTTAGTGGGCAAGTTTACCTCATTTTAGTGAGCCTCTCAGTGTATTTATGCAAATCTCCAAATGGTATATCAGCGCTTGAAGGAGATTTTTGAAGTACAATTTAGTAAATTTTGTGAGGACGTCCTTTATAATCAAGAACATAAAGTGTCTCCAGGCCGTATTGGGTCGCTTGAAGCACGACCCCGACTGTATCATATCCGTTTCGATATCCGTAAAAAGGGGTGATTTTATTGATTCACTCTAGTAAGAGGCCATAATCCATCGGAGCATAGACTCGTGGGGTGCGCATGTAAATCCTTCCTGCTCATCACGCAAACCAAAGATTCCTTGCTCTCGGCGGAGAAAACTTTCGAATGCAAAGCACACAGCGCATCCATTTTCTGGTAAGGCATCAAATTTCTCAAATAGGGTGTGCCGGGAGTGCAATTTTCCCACGGCATGTTGTAGATGAGTATAAGGGACAAGCGAGAAGACTTTAAGACAAGCGAGAAGACTTTAAGACAAGCGATGAGATCGATGTTGTGATGGCGTGATATTATGGTGAATCGCGGGCGATTACCACCGCCTACGAATGTTGAGGCTGGGTTACTATACAGGCAGTGAATAAATGATGCCCAAGGCTTTGACTGTCGCCTGAGTTGTTGACGTAAAGGTCCAATTAGAGCCCGCCTGGTAGGTTAAGTTATCGGCAGGATCTGAATTCCTTCTATAGGAAATACACCTTCCGTGTGCTTTTCAAGAGATGCTTTCAGCTATAAAGCAATTTCTATGCTATCAATCCAAACAATTTTAAAGCCACAGCTTGCGGCTTACTTCTTTGCCAGCGAAATCGACCAACTATAACACATAATCCGGCCGTCATCCTAAAGGCGGCCTTGCATGATCATGACAGTGACTCGTTGAGCTCCAGGTTCTTTAGCCGCTTCAATCCTCGTTCAATGTGCTCGCCGTCTGTATCACACCAAGTTCCCTCATTCGTTGCTCAGCCCAGGCTCCCAGATCACCAAAATATTTCTCAGGATCGTCGCCGCGCCAGTCCCGCAATGCAAACCATAGATGACGCAGGTCTCGCCCAGCTTTGATTGAACGCTTGAAATCAGGTGCATTGGAAAAGAGGGCCTACACAAAGGTCTTTAGTTAGCCTATAGTTTGATATCGAAAATATCCAGGTGACGAGCATACCTCAGAGTATAGCTTTGACCACGTCGCAGCTTTCTGCAGCTCGTCCGCTGTCATAATATCCCACAGGCGCGTAGCAGCGGGGTTTGCTTCTTCATCAGTCGTTAAATCGACAGTCACTGCCATCATCGGGTCAGAAAGAATGGCGGTACAATGCATCCAGTCTCCCAGTCGTATACGGACGTTATAAAAGGTTGCTGATTCAAGTCCATCGCGATCGACATATTATGGATTCCAAAATCGCCGTGCTCAAGTACGAAGCGATATAAAACATTCTCGTCGTCACCTTTGGGCGTTATATGGGGAATCAAGCGAAGAAGCGATCTTCTAGCTGCCGCTGCAATAGGACCGACCGTATTGTTATCACTTTCTCATCCAATCATATCTCCGATATTTTTGATAGTTGCCTCAATCTTAGAGGTAAAGAGCGTGATGCAAAACTCGCGAGTAGGAGCAACTGGAATCGGAAATGTTTCAGGCTTCTGTTCAAAGAGACGTTCGCGAAGCCAGGTGGAAGCAAATTCGGATGAGACTTCGTATTTGTACAGCGATGCACGGATATGAGCCGCTTTTTCCAAAAGGCAAGACTGTGGAAAAAAAAAAAAAAAAAAAGTTAACGTATGTAGTGACAGATTTGGTGCAGGTTCATACTTGTTGGTCCAGTTTGAGAGTACGCCACACGTTATTCTCTCCTTCGCTTCTTTGGAACACAAACAAGCGACGTCCTGCGATATCTTCAGGTCGTTCACCCTTAGTACCCTCGTACAACTTGGGGATGCGATGGTAAAGAAGGCGAGAAACCATGATATTAGTCTCGGGCAGCAGGAGCTTATAGACCTCGGCTTCGAATTTGGCCTCGGGCACTTGTACATCGATTGGGAAGCCGTCAAAGCCTGGCATGTTAACATCGCCACGGGCCAAGCGAGCCACGATGTCCTTTCCCTTGGTCAACTTGATGTGAATCCCCTTTTGCATCGTCGCGAACTTGTGTAAGCATGGAACATATGATGCGTTTTTAGAGTATTTTCTCACGACTTACGTAGCAATTGGAGCCTTGATAAACGTATGGAATGTCATCCACCTGGACATCGAGATTCTTCTCAATTTCTTGAAGCAGGAGATTTACGTCCCACTGATTGTGAAACGGACTCTTCCCTTCGCGAACGAAGACGAGCAGATGCCGACCATCAAAATCCATGCCATTAGGCATCTTTGGCCAATCATCACGAGCTGCCATGGCGAAATAAAGGCTTTGATCAATGTACAACTTGCTTTGACTGACGAAAAGATGAAGAATAGACCAACTAAAATGCATCAGCATAACGCTGCCTAAATACTATTATGGGCGTCAACGAGCGTGCCTTTCACCGGACTAACTGGGTCTAGTTTGATTTGATCTTGAGCTGGGGCCGCAATGTTTTCTTGCTTAGCGATTTATGGTGGTGGTCCGTGATCCTCTGCAAAGCCTGCCAAGATATGGACGTTTGCATTTGAGTATCGACTCTTCGCTATAATAATTGCTAGATATTTCCTCATCAAACGTGAAAGAGACTATATTCGCATAGTATTTTGTAAACTTTGGATCTTATTATCCAGGCATGTGAAGTTGCCAGTCATCAAGTCCATAATTGACAACACAGCTATTGATTGCAGTACATCGGAGGTCTCCGGTTTTATCGTCAACTTCCTCGTATATCCAAAACAGCTCGTCCCGGCGAGTAATCTCCGGCACCATGGTGAATAGATCTTTGTGACTAGATATTGGATTTCCAGGCAAGCGTCAGATAGAACAACCGGACCTCGCAAGTGAGAAGGTTTAAAAAGAAGACATCTACTAACCCGTAACTAAGTGGAATAGTAATGAATAAGGTGTTTTTAATTCAAAATAATTCAACATTCCAACAGCATTGAAGCTGTTTAGCTTAATCGAAATCTCTTCACCGCTGGGTACACGGTCAATATATGTAATTATCATGTGATTTGCCCGGACAGGATTGATTCCAAGAGCACGGGCATCTACGTCTTAGAAGTAGACTATTTCCAGGGATTGTCAGTTTCAGCAAAAAGAAGGCATAGTACAGGTCCTTTAATACTCCAGTAGCTTTTGTCATGCGGAGCATATACATATTGGTATTCAGCTGCTAACAAGCTATATGTGAGAGGTGGCAACCGCTAGATGCATAGATTAAACGGGAAGACGCTGCTAGGCATGTAAAATGAATTCCACGTATATGCCTGGAAGCCACCACACACAATTGTTGGTCCCGAGACTCCAAGGTATGAATCATGATCCGAACGACGTATCAACAAGACATCACAGCATGAGATGTAGATGATTAATTCCTAGTAGAACTTCAGACTCAATTTAAAGTATTTGGTACTGCAGTACGTAGTTATATGATGTCTATTCTCTAGAGAAGCCGTTATCGTATGTTATTTCCACCAGATACACAAGAATATTGCTTTAGGCAGCTTGTTGATAAGTCTTCTTGAAACTTTCCTTCTCCCTCTGGACAAATGCATCGAATGAACTCAAGGGAACCCCCCAGATCTTGACCTTCTCCAAGTCAACGAATGAAGCCAAATCGCGCATTGCGTACTGTGCGGTAATAAAAGGGTTGCTTTTCTGCTCCATAATCGCGGCTTCTGGCATGTACTCGGCCTTCAGTTGTCGCCCAGCAGTGGCTGAGATCTTTTCAAGAATCTGCTCAGGGCCAATAAGCTCGTCGGCAATCTCGATTGTTTGGCCGGTAAACTTGGTGGGGTCGTGAATTGCCGCAGATGCGAAGCGGGCAATGGTGGCCTCGTCGACCATGGGCAGCTTGGATTCCTTTAGGAGAGGCGTAGTCCATACTCCTGATTCAACAAGACCAGCATACATGGCAGATTTGGGCGGCAGGAAGTTGGCCATGAAGTTGCCCGGCCGCAAGATGGTCCAGTATTCGAAACCCGCATCGTGCACTTCCTTCTCAATGGTCTGCTTCGTGAGCAGCGCTTTGCCCATGATGCTGTTTGGGTCCCAAAGCTTAAGCTTCTCGGGGGTGCTGACGGCAAATCCACTAGAGAATATGATATGCTTCACTCCTGCGGCCTGTGCAGCTGCCATGATGGACTTTGCCCAGCGCAACTCGGCGGTCAGGTCCGTGAAATCAGGGAAGAAGTTGAGAAAGGCGGCTGTGCAGCCGGTCAAGGCTCGTTCAATGGCAGGCGTATCGTCGAAATTTCCAGGGACGATCTCAACGCCCAGAGCCTTGATAGATTGGGCTTGGGGCGAAGACGGGTCACGAACGAGGGCTGTGACCGAGACATTTTCAGAGCGAAGGGCGCGAGCAAGGGCGCCGCCTTGTGTGCCGGTGACACCGCAGACAAAGACCTTTGGTTGAGCCATTCTTATTTTGTTGTATGAGAGAGTTGAGAGGTAATGTTGTGTTTGCTTTGCTTCAGTGACTTGATGAGAGGTCGCCGCGATGGACTCAATATATACCCGACTCCTGAACGAGACACGCGTCCATTGATATATCCATTGCAAAGCGTATATGCATTACAAAGCGTATTACCTGAATCATTGACATGGTTTCATATATTTCTCTGCCTAAGTCCCACAGACATTCGCAAACGAATCGCCGTCCATGGAAGGGGAGTTGTTACATGTAACTTATTACATGTAAGTTGGCAGGCGGACCTCCGCCCACTACGGAAGCCGGCGAAGATGCCTAGGCCCGGCGGAATTCCGCCAGGCCCACTTTCTCCTGCCGGTCAGGCAGAAGCTCGCAACTTCACCCTTACCCCTTTGCCGTGATAGGACCGTTCATCCAGATTCATCAAACAACTACTAGTCTCATAGAAACTACATGCTCTCTAAAGCTCTAACCAGCCATGTCCTTTACGGCTCGTGAGCGCAACAACCCACCGCCCCGCAAGAAGAGCTGCGCGGCATGCATCAAAGCCAAGCGCCGATGCGACTTTGCCGTCCCAGCGTGTTTGCGGTGCTCGCAGCGACGCATCCAATGCGAGTATCCGTCACGTACGCTGCCGACCAAGGTTAGGGCGCCTAGTCATGCTGCAAATGGGCCAGTGCCGTTGCAGGATGCGGCTGTTCTTGATGGCGCCTCAGGCGATGACTGCTCAGGGGGCGCCGAGACAATTGCCGGCCAACTCAGACCTACTGCGGCCGGAGAGTTGCAAGAGCCCGGCCAGTACCGCTTCAAACCCATTCCTTACAACTTTGAGGCCCTTGATTACGTTGCTGGGAGACAGGGTCACGACGTGATACATCAGCCGTCCATGCTCGCAGCGCCAACCACCAGGGGGTTCCAGGATGGACTGAATGAGATTGTCGCAAAGAGATTACAGTTCTCGTTGGATCAAATCCATAAAGCCCCCAAGACTATGGTGATGGAGACGCAGACACCGTGGTCGCACCCGCTGCTTTATGCCGACAGTATGCCTCGGTCGATGCAAGGTAACAGAGTTTCTCTTTATCCTCTTATCAGATCCAACGTAGCTAATAAGATGAGAACCAGATGCCCATGCTTCCTGTGCACTTTATGTGGCAAAGAATCGAGCAAATGCACCCGTCATTTTCCGTTGCATCGAGTCCCGAGTGCAGGATTTACTGTGCGAGCCCATACCAACAACGCCAATTGACAGCCTCGCTCGCACCCAGGCCCTGCTCCTCTACGAAATTATCCATCTTTTTGACGGAGACATAAGCGCCCGAGCATTAGGCGAGCGCATCATTCCATTCCTTGAGACCTCTACAATTGGCCTCCTTGCGCACGTCACCTTCGACACCGAAGCAAACTATTCAGACCCTTTCTCCGAGTGCTCTCTGGCCACGCTCTCAGATCTGTGGAAAGACTGGACCTTCCAAGAGTCGGCGCGGCGAACGCTTCTTTTTGCCTTTTTCTTTATGCAGGCGTACCGTGTGCTCACAGGCACTCAGAATCTGAAACAATGCGATGGGCGCCTGGGCTTGTGCCACTTCTGGACAGTATCGGAGCATCTGTGGCAAGCGGAGACGGCGTTGGAATTTAGGGACGCTTGGCAGCAGGAGAATCATTTCCTCGTCATTGATGGGCAAGTTGCCGTGGTGCTGAGTGAAGCGAAGGCTGGCGACGTCGACGTGTTCGGAAAGATGTTAATATCCGCGGCGGTGGGGATTCCAGAGCTGGAGGCTTGGTTTGCCAGCCGGGGCGGTTCGTTAAAATGACAGTGAAGACGGAGCTGGCGTCTGGAGCTTGCCCTTACTGCAAAAGGATGAACATCTTTTGTGCCTCAGGAATGCGAACTCGACTATCCATATAAGGATGATCTATATCGTCGGCGCCTTGTGAGAGTCGAGGCTGATGCGGAATCTCAACGCAGCCTTGCCCAGAACTAGGAAGCTCGCACACACCAACCGTCTTCCATTCATACATGCCTATGTCCACGAAGCCTATTCCGACACTAGTCAGAAGTGTCAGTCTCAGGAAAGTCGATTCACTTCTCACCAGGAGCACGAAAACGTCTCGCCTATATCGACATAAGAGAATACGTCCACCGACCCTGTGGCTGTGCTCTTGACGACTACAGTCATAGCATGATCACCACAGTATCGCACATTTGCCACACATTCTGTAACAAACCTTGGAGATTTTGCACCTAGCAACCGCACGTGGTACCTAGTCCAAAGCAATCGGCTTTCCATCAGGCGACCATGCAAAGGGAGGCAATGCGTTTTCGTATTCAGCTTTGGCGATCGAAAGATATTCGCCTCCATGCCAAAGGAACAGATAGATGCATAGATTTAGTAGCATTACTGCAGTCAAGGAAGAATAAAATATACTATCCGTCCACTGAGAATCGTGGGAAAGCATCATTGAAGAGACAAGGATTTAGCTGTTTTGCCAAATTCGCTTTGCCGTCTTCTGCCATCCAAAGTGACCAACTAAAGCTGTCATATCCGTATTTGTACATCAGAAGAAGTCTAAAGAGCGTAGACTATTCCCCGTCTGGTGGGATTTGAGCATTACAATCTCTTTGCGAATGGAAGGAGAAATTGAGAGTTTGTGGTCTGAGCCAACATCAGGTTTATAGTCAAGAATAGTTTGTGTCCCTTCAACAAGCCGCCTTGCGCTTAATCGGAATTTCGCAGCCGTTGATTGGTCAACGGTCATGTGACTTGCCCGGTTAGCTCAATCGGTAGAGCGTGAGACTCTTAAGACACACGTTCTGTAATCTCAAGGTTGCGGGTTCGACCCCCGCATTGGGCTTTTCCTATAACATTTCGATTGAAATACAAGGCGGTTATTTTTTTGCGTTTTTGCTCTTTTTTTTTTTGTGCCTACCCTGAAGACTGAATGGTAAACATGAAAAATGAAGATTGCATAAACTTGTCGTTGCTTTGATATTTTTTTCCTCTTTGGAGTTTTAATCACAAAGTGTATCTCATTCCATATCAAAATAATTGTTGATAACATTACCGTAGGGAGTGTGAGCTCATGTAGCGTTTGGATAGATACGTCACGAATAATTATACACTTCCGCATTTGAAAGATACAAAAACTCATTCGGCACAGATGTAATTGTCCCGCTTGGCAACAAGATCTAACCATTGCTCGTCTTTTATTAATGAATTGATAACTAATGATTTTTGGAGAAAGCCTTGTCTACGCGTCTCTTGCAATTACACTCCCGGCTCGCGCGATGATGGTTCCTCAATCCATCCGGATTTCGCGGTGCTCGCCGGAAGAAAAATTAAACTAAATCTTAAAACACATCCCAGCAAATAAGGTGACAGCTTTAGATCGATCGGATCAGATCCGTCAAACTCTTCTTCTTAGTGGCCGACCGTGCCCCTGGCTGTGCGTGGTTCGATAGAATATCTGGGTTGGGAATAGATTGCTGCTCTTCTAGGATAGAGTCGTAAATGGGATTAAGGGCACAACTTGGACGGATTGATGTGGGAGTTGCGTCGTTTTGTCTTAGCCGCTGGTTCGGAGTTATGGGTGAATTGCCTACCACGCACTAGTTGGTCGTATCTCCGACTCCCGCTTGCCCTCGGAGGATGGACTGGCGGTCGATTTAGTAATTTATTGAAATGTAATAAATTCGAATTTATCGAATTTATCGAATTATTTATTCGAGATAAAACAAAAGCAGTTTCCTTGACTCATGTTTAACTGGCTGAGACCGCTATTACATAACGCTTATTGGGGTGGTTGGTTGGCCATGGCGGGGTCACTTGACCATTTCTTATCAGGTGGAGGAAGAGATAGGGAAACGCGTGAGGCTAGAAGCGGCTCTGAGGGTCTCCCAACGTCATCTAGCAATTCGAGGCCATTCTGGTGCGAAGACGGCTGTGGGTTGGAGTTGCAACGGGATGCAGTCGATATAGCCTCCTGCTTGATGTGGTAAATATCTCATATGCCTACGCACGTTTATGAGCAATAAGCCTGTATACGTTTGATAGATAGGAGTAGCAGTATATTGAGATGGTACATGTAGTTGTCAACTGCCAAGCGGTGTAAGCAGCCAGAGATAAGGCCCCTCGCCGCAAGGGATGTACTTGATACATGCAATGTCAGATGAATTGAAAGCAGCCAGAGATGGCATCAACCGTCGTTTCAACAATAGCCATTCCGGGCTCTCACCAGCAAGAAACGCCGCTTCTTCCTCTCTTCGGGCTCTTCACGACCATGCTCAAAAGTCCCGGCGGCCGCCCCCCGTTTGAATGCCCCGCGGTGGAGCCCTCCGGACGCGGCGGCTTTGCCGACTGAAGCCTTTTGGGCATTATTTCCCCTTGCCCTGCCCTGAGCAAAGCGACTTACTTATATAGAGTCTCTGTTTTCCTCTAAGTTACTAGTTCGCTCCTCTGCTCAACTCCCCTTTACCTCTAAGTTACTAGCCCGATCCGCCAGCCAGCGACAGACGCGCACACACACGCACACATGGATTCGAGCGCCTCTGCTCGACCTACCAATTGTAGGGGCCGAGCCCGCACGCGAAAGTGAAAGTGCTCAGTCTCGGCTCCCAGACTGTAGCAGCAGCAACGCAAGGCGCAGGCATGGCCCCCCCTCTGGAGTGAGGGAAACGGGCCGCCGATTGGGGGAGGCACATGTGACCGGACGACTATATTTACTGCTGCTGCTGCCCGCCTGAATCGAGCCTTTTGGTTTTTCTCCCTCTCAGCATCACTCTCCACCAGCTTCAAGCCAGCAATCCGCCTCTTGGTTCCTCTTGATAATCGGAATTTGACTTCTCACGGATCTACAACCACCTTGTCTTGCAACCCAATCGCCCAACATGAACACCAGCACCGTCAAGAGCCGCTTCCTCCCCCACCCCGAGGATCTCGGCATCGTCACCGTAGGCTTCTCTGGTGGCCAGGTACGTTTTTATATCACATATTTGCAAACGACTTCAGGCTCGAATGCTGACTTGCTGCGTAATAGCAAAAAGCTGGTGTCGATGCAGGCCCTACCGCCCTCATCGAGTCTGGCCTCTTGACCCAGATCCGAGAGGAGCTTGGCTACAAGCTGCACGGCGACGAGACGGTCAAGTTCTACAATGACCTGACGCCCGCCTCCGACCCTGACTTCCGCGGCATGAAGAACCCTCGCCTTGTTTCGGCCGTCAACCGAAAGATTGCGTCCGAGACATACGAGCACTCTTCCAAGGGCCGCCTCACGCTGACCCTCGGCGGCGACCACAGCATTGCCATTGGCACCATTGCCGGCACCGCAAAGGCTACGCGCGAGCGTCTGAACCGCGAGATTGCCGTCATCTGGGTCGATGCGCACGCCGACATCAACACCCCCGAGACCAGCGACAGCGGCAACATCCACGGCATGCCTGTTGCTTTCCTCACAGGCATTGCCAAGGAGGACAAGGAGGAGTGCTTTGGCTGGCTTCAGGACGATATGCGTCTGAGCGTTAGCAAGCTGGTGTACATTGGTCTGCGCGACGTGGACGCTGGCGAGAAGCGCATCCTGAGAGAGAACGGCATCAAGGCTTTCAGCATGTTTGACATTGACCGGTAAGTCTTACGGCTACTACGAGAATATCCCTCCAAAATCAAGGTTTAAAAGATCAAAAGCTAACCCTTCGTAGACACGGAATTGGTCGCGTCATGGAGATGGCCCTTGCCCACATTGGCAACGACACTCCCATCCACCTGTCTTTCGACGTGGATGCCCTCGACCCCATGTGGGCTCCCAGCACCGGCACCCCCGTCCGAGGAGGCCTTACCCTGCGTGAGGGCGACTACATCTGCGAGTCCGTCCACGCAACGGGCAACCTGATTGCCATTGACTTGGTCGAGGTGAACCCCAGCCTTGCTGCTACTGAGGCCGGAGCGCAGGAGACTGTCCGAGCCGGCAGCTCTCTGGTGCGCTGCGCCCTTGGTGAGACTCTGCTGTAAGCGAAATACCTTGGGTTTGGGAGTAGATTTTCTTGGGTTTTTTTCTCTTTATATGTCATGGCTCTTGTTTTTTTATGACGACACGGAAATGTATGGGAATGGGAAATGGCATGTTTTGTATATCCTTGTGCAAGAGCAAATTGGCATGCTGCGTTGAGTGATTGATTGCTCTTTTTAGATAGTCATAGATAGAGGAATGCCAGAGTCTAGAATAGAATAGTGTGATATTCATTCTACAAAGGTCAATTCACGGAAACTGGTCTGTCCAAGGTACATATTTGAACGCATTTCATTGTATGTGTAACTATCTACATCGCTTTTGACTTCGAGCATCGGCTCTTCTATTCGCACGCTCTCGTAAGAAAACAGGTCCAACCCCTCTACGTCAGCTGCTTAGTAAACCTCAAGCACATATCGGCCATCCTCCTTTAGCCGTTCAATCTCCTTGGCCGGATCAACCTTCTTGCCAGCAGCCTTGGCCTCAGCCGCGATGGCTTCCTTCAGCACCGCCGTTACATCAGGCACAGGCCATGTCGGACCGCAGAGGTAGAAGCTGCCGCCCTCCTTGACGTACGCCTGCACGATGCTGTCCAGCGTCTGGCGCATTCTGTCCTGGATGTAAATCTTCCTCGGCTGGTCTCGCGAGAAGGCGCTTCCGACAAGGGTGACGACGCCGGCGGCGAGATAGGCCTCCCATTCCTCGCCGTAGAGGTACTCCTCGCGCTGGTGGCGAGAGCCGAGGTAGAGGAGGATGGAGCCAATCTCTTTGCCTTGGGCCTTTTGCATGGCGCGGTACTGCACAAAGGCGCGGAAGGGGGCCAGACCAGTTCCGAGACCGGCCATGATGAGTGGCGCATCGTCTCTGATGGGCAGCTTCATGACGGAGGGCTTCACGGAGACGGTGACTGAGGCGCCTGGCTGCAGGCTGCGGAGGTAGTTTGTGGCCTGGCCGACTCGAGAACGGCCCTTTGTATCAACCCAGTCGACGACGACAATCATCAGGGCGACAGTGTCGGGAGTGACGGCCTGGGCAGAAGCGATGGAGTATTCACGGCGCTTGAGCGGGCTGACAATCTTGACCAGGTCGTGGAAGCTGGGGCGAGCGGAGCTGAACTCCTCGAGAATGTCGACATAAGTCACGGTGTCCATGTCAGAGCGACGCTTGAACTCGGCAGCACCGTCGTTTCCACCCAGAGCAGCGAGCTTATTCTTCTCGGTGTCATCGGTAGCAAACTCAGACAGGGCCTCGTAGAAGCGCTTGGGAGGCTTGCCGAGGATATCAACATTCTGCATAAGCGCCTGGTACACTGTGCGGACCTCAAGGACGTTTACGTCCTCACGAGACGGCACTTGGACAAGCTCTGCAGGGTTGAGGCCGTAGAACTGGATGAACGCATTGATCTGCTCCTCATCATTTTCGTGGTGGATGCCCAGAGCCTCGCCAATCTTGTACGTGAGGCCAGAGTTGCCAATGTCAAACTCAATGTGGAAGATGTTACGGTCGTAGTCCTGGGGAGTGAGGCGGCGGTTCTCCTTGACGCGGACGGTGGCGGTCTTGACGGAAAGGTCAGGACGAAGGGTGGTTTGGGTGCCGTAGGCTTCCTTGAAGACCAAGCCCTTGGCAGCGACCTGCCAGTCTTGGAGCTTCAGGTCGTCCTCGGCCTCCTCCTTTTGGAATGGAACAAAGCCAGTTGGCTGGAGACCAATTGGCAGAGAGGGGTAGACGTAGTCGGCCTCGACCTCTGCCCACGTGGCTGGGACCTCGAGCTGGGTCAGGACTTGGTCGAGAGCACTGAGGGATTCTTGCAAGACAGCCTGGCTTCCAGTCACCTTTGCAAGCTCCTCGGAAGAACTCTCCGGGAGAGCAATCTTCAAGAAAGAGAGCTCAAGAAGGAGCCTGGCAACTGAGGCATCCTTCTCAAAGGCGGGAGAGGCAGCGGTATCCAGAACGAAGACGCCAATCTCCTTTTCTTGAACAGTCTTGCGGAAAGCAGGTGAAAGTCGCTTTTCAACTTCATCCGCCTTGAAATTTGGCAGCTTGATGAGAATCTTGCCGCCAGGAGCGACGCTCCTCAGGACATCAACATCCTTCAAAACGACCTCGTCGCCGACGACCACGACATCAGCCTCATTGATAGCATAGGGTGCTTCCAGAGCAGTCTTGGATGCGCGCAGATCCGTTCGGATAAGGCCTCCCTGAGTGAAGTTATCATACGTCTCAAACAGGTGGACGTTGTTGGTAGATTCCTGAGAAAGGAGAGTGCCGATAGCAGCGGGGAATTTGGCAGAGACAGAGTTGTCGACATCCCAGAATGTGAACTGCTGGGACTTGATGAGCGAAGGCAAAGGCTTGGCTTCGTCGTCATTGCCAAAGATTTTGTGCAAAGTGCCGACCAGACCCTGAGGAGTCAGGAACTGGGCAGGAGTGTACTTGATGTCCAAGACCTCGGGTTGCTGCTCAAACTTGCCAGCGAATATGACTGCGGTGAGGACATCGCCGTACAGCGCAGACTGGGTGGCCTCATCAGCCAAGGCAATGTCGCTGTGAACTTGGCCCAGCACGGCAATGGTGCGAGCAGAGGCGGGGATGGCCTTGAGGAAAGCCTCCTCGATAAAGGGTCGGTAGACGCGCACGTTGATAACACCGACCTTGGCTCCGTCGGCGGCAATCTTGTTGAGAGTCTCCTTGGCGACTTGGACCTCGACGCTTCCAAGAGCAACGAGGACGACATCGGGAGTCTCATGGCCGTAGTACTCAAAGGGCTGGTAAACAGTGCCGAGCTCATCGTTGAAGAGCCTCAGGAGTTCCAGGACCTTGCCCGCAGTGTCGAGGTGCTGGTTCAGCTTGCCAGCCTCAGCAACAAGCTTGTTGTACAAATCGGCGACGCCAGTCTCGCTCAAAGCATCGACGATTCTCAATGTTTCTCTAGGAAGACGGATACCATCATAGATGTGGAGAGTGGGGACGACGGTAGCCAGGAGTGTCGCGAACAGTGACATGTGCTGAGACTCATACGAAGATGAGCTGGCAACAAGGCCCAGGCCAAGATCTTCGGCCAGTCTCAAAGCAACATCGTAGTTGGAGACGAGACCCTCGTTGGCGCTGTAGTCTGCGGCAGCGATGTGAGCCACAAAGGGGCTTGAAAGGTTGTACAGGAGCGAGAGCTGATCAAGGGTTCCGCGGAGGTTCTGGAGAGAGCCCGAGGGGGCAAGCAGCGTCTGGGGGATGTGGCGCTTGTTGACGTCGAAATCCGGAGAGAAGATGTAACCCAGAGCGAGGGCACCCGCTCCCGTTCTGGTCTGGAGAGGCAGAACTGAAGGGGCGTATCCGTGGATGTTCTTGCTCTCATCGGCAGCCCACTGCTTGGCAGCGACGTCCAGATCAAAGGTGTCAGGGGAGTAAGAGAAGATCTTGTCAGAAAGCTTGTAGGCAATCTGCTGGACGAGAAGCTGGGCCGTCACATACGTCGGGCCAGAGATGGTCGACAGAGGCACCTGCTTGCCAAAGGGCAGCGTGGCGGATTCCTCGACCTTGGACGGCATTTTCAATATTCGAAAGCAAGCCTCAAAAGTTACAATGAATATAAGCAGCCCCTTTACGTCTGAATTATACTACAGACTAGAAAAAAAGAGAGAAAGAGAGAACTGAAGGCTTAAAGGAGGAGAGTAAAGAGGAGGTTCTACGAGGAGCAATTAAGCCCATGGCAATCGTGGATCCCCCCGGACGGGAGCCAGCCACGGGATTTGTCAGGGTCCATTTCTTTAACAAACGACTTTTTCTCCTGCTTGAACCCCGTGAAATTCGTCTTCATTAGGCCTTGGATCTTGAAATTGTTGATACTGGGACAGAATCACGCAATTCACTTAGACCGCATTGAGCCTAGCACCGATGATGCCACTCGCCGAAGCCTCTCCGAAAAGACGGAAAGCTCCGCTTTTTGCTCGATTTGGGGACGTGATTGGTGCGGACTGTCGGGCAGGCTTGTTAGCAGGGACCGACTTCCGACAGAGTATTGAAGACGTGATGATGATGGATATAATTAGCATTTGAATATATTGCATCCGTGGGAGTTCTTTTGGATCATGAATAGGTGGATAGTGCGATGAGTGTTGCTTGACCCATGGCGGCGTATATAGATACAGGCATATGTACAGATGCAGTGAAACGGAGCAGCCGAGGAAGGAATACAGCGCCCAAGTGGAAAATATCCTAATTCAGACGGATAAGCCAATGGCTGTGGCGATTCCACTAGACGGTTCTGATTTTTTTCTTGAGATTATTCGAGAATATTAGAACACAGTATGAGATGGGGAAAATGACTGACCTCAGTTTGCGTGTCCTAATTTGTCAGATTATACAGTGTAGTAAGAGGACTGCCATGGGATAGCTTGCTGGTTGTTGTAGAAGTATGTGGATGGTATTAATTATGCCAACTATAAAACGTTAATACGACTAATAGTATGAGCAGCTTTAGCAATGCTTTTCGTGTATTTACGCATGGCACAACACATTCTATTGTGTCTCATATCCTCGGCATCAATCTAAAATGTCTTAGTAAAGCAAGCTACAGAGTTGGCATGGAATGCTTTGTCATTCCCAGCACCACGTGACCTGATTACATACGCTTTCTTCCTCACCTCAGCTTCACCTAAGCTTCGCCCGCACAAATGCCGCGACGCTGCATCAATCGCCACTACATGCTAACAGCAGCTGTAAATCACTTGCATGCTGAGGGAAATGTGCCCTTGATGTCATCACCGATGCATTCAGGCTGTCAAGGCGACGCCATATCGATTCCTCTCCCTTCCCGCCACGTGTGACTGCAACGCCGCCGGAAACCGACCACTGCCCATTTGCGGCGATTTCGTGCTTTCCAGCAGCCTCCATGGCCAAATCCGATAAGCAGTGACTCGCCGTGTCTGCCAAAGTGCCACCAAATACGAGGTACCACTGCATCATGCACCCAGGTACTGCTGGTAGCTGGTGACTGCCACCCCAAAAGGGATCCCTGCAGCCTGCGACATTTGTGCCGATTTTAGCGTCAAAAGGAGACCAGGAGCGTTGCATCTTGTTATTAGTATATATTGTCTGCCACGACGGTCAGCAGTCAGGCAAGGTGGTCATTTCTGCTTCCCATTTCAAACAACTGGCTTCCATCTTGAATTGTCTATATTTGTTACACGTCAGAGTGTTCAATCTGGTGTCCTAGATTCATCTCTCTACGGCTCTTACCACTCATCACCGAAAGCGGGTGTTGTTTCACTAACACGATTTTTCGTGCTACGACATCCTTGATCTTTGTCAGAGTTCCGTCGATCAGACACCTTGCATCACTACGGCAGTAACTGCCAAAGCGCATCCCACGTCGACACCACAATTACTATAATTAAATCGCCGATTTGGTGCAACCGCACCGCGAGTTGCACACGATGGCCTCGTCCAATACAGTCACCACGGCCTATCTGCTGGGGAACCTCCACTGCCCATCATGCGTGACTCTCATCAAGACGCTTCTGCAGGAGGCATTCGGTGACAAGATTGTTTGGGTATCACCAAATCTTGTCACGTCCATCGTGACAGTTGAACATGCCGACCACTCACCCGATTTTGTGCGCGCTATTGGCATGACGCTTTCAAATGTCGGGTTTGAGATTTGTGGAGTCGATACCAACGCCTCTGGCGCCGAGGATTTAAACGACAATTCTCGAGGGGATATGGCTGACAGCGGTGGCATCTTTGAGAGCTGGTCCAGTCTCTGGGCCCAGAAACAGCCGGCGCCAGTCCCCGAGACCATAAAGGCTGCTCATCTGGAAAACTGCGAGGCCTGCAAAGAACACAGACCACATGATACAGAGGAGGGTAGCAGTATCGACTATAAGCTCAAGCCATCCTTCTCATCGAATAGCCTGCGAAAAGAACCGTTAGTCGACACGGTACCGCTTGATGGCGTGGTGACAGGCGACGGAAGTCAGCCTCCTTCATGGCGAGCAACAGTATCTGTTGGCGGAATGACCTGTGCGGCTTGTGTTACCACGATAACGAATGAGCTGCAGAAACTTTCCTGGGTCTTGAACGTTGCTGTTAGCCTTGTCGGAAACAGCGCCACGATCGATTTTGTGGGCGCGGATAGAGAAAAGGATCTGGTTGAGGCGATTGAGGACATTGGGTATGATGCGGCTCTAGATACAGTGGTCAATCTCAATGAGAAAAAACCTTTGTCAGACGAACGGCATGTGGAGATTAGAGTCGGTGGTATCTTTTGTCCGCGGTGCCCTCAGAGAATCAACCAGACTTTGAAGAGCTTTGGTGCCCACGGTGTACAGGTTCTGGCCCTCCCGTCTATGGAACATCCCATATTGAAACTACGCTATATCCCAAATTCGCCGCAATTCACAATTCGCCATATCATTAGAAGCATCGAGGCCACAGATCCTTCTCTCCAAGCAAAAATATACCACCCGCCAACGCTCGAAGAGAGATCTAGAGCCATCAGGGCAAAGCACACCCGCCAACTTTTCTACAGAGAGATGCTGACACTTGTCCTCGCCATTCCGACATTTGTGCTTGGTATAGTCTACATGAGCCTTGTGCCAGACTCCAATTCTACCAAACATTTTCTAATGAAGCCATGGGTATCCGGCCTCAGTCGCGTAGAGCTTATACTTTGCCTACTCGCCACACCGGTGTACTTTTTTGCGGCGGATGTCTTCCATGTCCGAGCCATAAAGGAGCTGAGGACGCTATGGCGACCCAGCAGCCGGACACCTTTCTTGCAGCGATTCTACAAGTTTGGCAGTATGAACATGCTCATGTCACTCGGAACTAGCATTGCTTATTGGTCTTCCATTGGCCAAATGATCGCGGCGGGAGCTGATGGCGATGCCGACATTCCTGAAGATCGTTTTTACTTTGACTCTGTAGTCTTTCTGACCCTTTTCCTTCTCGCTGGCCGGTTGATCGAAGCGTACAGCAAATCCAAGGCGGGCAACGCTGTTGAAGCTTTGGCAAAGCTAAGGCCCACTACCGCTCTTCTGGTAGAGCAAGATAAGTTGAAAGGCCAAGTTACCACGACGATAGATATGGACCAGCTGGAACACGGTGATGTTATCCGAGTGCCCCACGGCTCATCGCCGCCGGTTGACGGTATAATCCTGGATGGCGAAACAACTTTTGACGAATCGAGTCTTACTGGCGAATCACGCCCCATCAAGAAGGGAGAAGGAGACGAAGTATTCGCAGGTACCGTCAACAAGGGATCCGCAGTAGTCGTCAAGGTGACTGGAACCTCTGGCAAGTCCATGCTTGATCAGATCGTCGAGGTGGTCAGAGAGGGGCAAGCTAAAAGAGCGCCGATGGAACAAATAGCCGATCTTTTGACATCTTATTTCGTCCCGGTGGTAACTCTCATCGCCATCATCACATGGGCTGTCTGGATGGCTCTCTGCTTTACCCACAAAGTTTCCAGCGACGAACTGAACACATCAGGCGGCTCAACTTCCTTTGCTTTCCAGTTTGCTATTGCCGTATTCGTTGTGGCATGCCCGTGCGGATTAGGCCTGGCTGCCCCAACGGCCATTTTTGTCGGAGGAGGCCTCGCAGCCAAGCATGGCATTCTAGTCAAAGGTGGAGGCGAGGCCTTTGAGAAAGCTAGCAAAGTGGGCTGCGTGGTCTTTGACAAGACGGGAACCCTCACTGTTGGAGGCGAGCCTCAAATCACTGATTCGGCTCTATTCCCTGACGGCACTAGTGACGGGATCGATGAACGGATTCTACTCTCTGCTATAAAAGCCACAGAGGAAAACAGCAGCCATCCTATAGCAAAGGCCATTGTTGCCTTTTGCAAGGCTGGTGCAGAGCAAGTTGAGCTTGAGCAAATCGAAGAGTTGCCAGGCAAGGGCATCAGAGCAAACTGCAAGAACCGGCCATTTGATATTGCGGTGGGCAACGAGGGTCTAATGAGAGACCTGTCAGCCTCTCTGTCTGATCATGTCCAGAGCCTGCTGAATACGTGGAAGACGGAGGCCAAGTCAGTTGCCCTTGTTGCGACGAAGCTACGCGACGGCGGTAACTGGACAGTCTCGGCTGCGTTCTCAATCTCCGACCCCATCCGTGAAGAGACGCTTTCCGTGCTGGAGGCATTGCAAAAGAGTGGCGTGGAGGTTTGGATGCTCTCAGGCGACAATGTGACCACTGCGCAGGCCGTGGCCCAGAGGGTGGGCATTCCTCCCACCAATGTGCTTGCTGAGGTCTTGCCGTCCGAAAAGGCGGCCAAGATCAGCTACCTCCAAGCCTCGATGCACAGCAGCGGCCGCCGTGCCATGGTGGCCATGGTGGGAGATGGCATCAATGACTCGCCGGCCCTCACGACAGCGGATGTCGGCATCGCCATTGGGTCTGGCAGCGACGTGGCTATTTCGAGCGCTGACTTTGTGCTAGCCACGTCAAATCTCCACTCGGTGCTGACGCTTCTGGATCTCAGCCGCGTCGTGTTCCGCCGCATCAAGCTCAACTTTGGATGGGCAGCGGTGTACAACGTATGTGCCATTCCTATTGCTGCCGGATGCCTGTACGCTGTTACGACCTCGAGCGGCTCGCACGTCAAGCTGGATCCTGTTTGGGCGTCGCTGGCCATGGCCCTGTCGAGTATCAGTGTGGTGCTGAGCAGTCTGAGCATGAGGACGAAGATTCCATGGCTAGGGTTTCGTAATAAACAGGTTGTGTAATCTCGTATGTACGGTGGATGGATCATGTGAAGGAAATATTACTTACTGGTGGTACGAAGGAGTTCTCATGGGTACTGTGTCTTGCATAGCAAGGGATTTATTGGTTGCACTCTGCAATTCGCGTAAATTAGGTGCCATATCCATGATCCTACGGATGCAGACAGCACGGATACGCTACAGATTGTTTTTTTTTTTTCCTTTCTTTTTTTGGATATGAGTTCATGATGTATTAATAGTTTGTATTTGTACTCGCTGTTCTAGTTTGGGATAATTTATATTCATGATACCTCTTTTACAATATTGCTATTTGCGGTGCCCATGAACTCCCACCCCTATTGCTTGTGATAATAATCAAAAGGAATGGCTGAATTAATATTAAACAGCCGGCGTATAGTTAAATTGCAGTGGTATGTCGTCCAGGGTCCAAGAGCGCTGCCTTGCGGCCTATAGCAATAGAAAGCGAGGCTCAGGATTCATAGGCCAGGCTGGGACTCTTTGTTTACATGCAAGGCTGTACTCGAGGTATGGGCCGTAAGGACGAACTAATATCAATACGAAATTACTACAGTTGACGGGAATGAATGCCGTCTTTTTTGTTCTATACGATGTAGGTCCAAGTTCATGTTCTCTGCAAGTACAAGACTGTGGCTAATACAGTGCAAACTTGTCTCATCAAATCCCTCTTGTGTGCGTATGCACCGTTCCTTGGCTCCGACACTAGTTGCGTTCGCCTTTATTTAGCCCCCGAAGCTTCATGCCTAGCACACATCGCTGCAGGACTTGGTTCATTTACGTCGCTTCATGTGCTGATACGACTTCGCAGCCTCTCAAACGGTAAGCTGTACGTACATGCCTTGTCGGATATTAATTATGCCGTTGACAAATCCTACAATTGAACTTGATGCGAACACCTCATTCGAATTGCGGGGTAAATTCTAAACATTACACAGTGAATCTCATCTATAGAGGCACTCTTCTAAACGCACGTCATGAATAACATACCAGCAGAAGTGTAAGTTTGAATCACATCTGGATTGAATATAATGCTAAAAGTGACCTGTAGTATTGCATCGTCAGTCCCGTTCCGATTCCTTGTTGGACCCAACCGGCGAGAATTCACCATACATTCTGCCCTCCTATCATACCTGTCTCCCGTGCTTGATAAGTTGGTAAACGGAAGTTTCTCCGAAGCTGCTGAAAAATGCGTCACTTGGGACTCTGTAGATGAGGACACCTTTATCAGATTCTGGCAGTACGCCTACACGGGGAAATATACCGTCGATCTCTCGGTAACTGGACTTCAATCAGAACCCCAAGCCGCTCAGGAAGCGGAGAAACGGACCGCCCAAGAAGCGGTCGAAGCTGCCACAGTCGCCAAAGAAGAGAAGGAAATCGTGCAGCTCGTTGTCAAGAGGGACAATACGTTGCGGGGCCTGTCAAGCAAGGATGAGAGGAGGCTGATTGAGCTTCAGGCCAAGGCCGCAAGGAGAGCCGCCCGCGAGGCCGAGAGGCGCGCTGAAATCGCCGAAGAGGAGGAGGAACTGACGGAATTACTCCGTATGCAGGACAGGAGACCTGTACTGGCAGCAGAAGATCGCGAGCGGCTGGTCCACCTTTTAGAGAGGCAATCATCTAGGAAAAGGGAGGGACAGGCCGCAAGCGAAAGCGAACGTGAGGCCCCGCCAGGAGAGCTGACAATCCGTGAGGCTCAGTGGAATGCATTCAAACGTCAGGGAGCTTCTGCCTCTTCCGGCACATCTTCTTCCACAGGTCCCTTCCAAAGAGCAGCGGCCAGGAGCAACCAGGCGCATGAAGATTACACAAGCACGTTCCTCTCCCATGCACGACTCTACGTTTTTGCAGAATGCTACGGCGTCACCGGATTAATGGAGCTTTCGCTAAATGAATTACACGCCGCCTTGGTCGCGTTTACGCTATATGAAGAAAGGGTCAACGATGTAGTAGAGCTGGTGCGTTACTGCTATGAAAATTTGGTTCCCGACGCTTTGAGAGAGATGATTACTCTATACTCGGTCTGCAAGATTGAGAAGCTGTGGGTGAGCGAGGAGTTTCAAGCACTTGTGGAGGCTCATGGGGAGCTATCGAGGTCTTTGATTGGGCACATGGTGAAGGCGTTGTAGTGTGATGAAGCAGAATATTGGAAGCAAGAATTTGGTATCCGTTGATGTTAATATACGAAAAAGAGATGGGCAAGTTGAGTTTTACGCATTTTCTAATTATGTTAATACATGGGTTTTTACTAGTCCACGTTTAATCCTCTTTTCTCGCTGTTCTAAATAAAAGTATATGCTATTACATGGTATTTAAATTAGCTTCAGTCAGCCATCTCACAGTTCGTTCTTTCCCATCACATAATCACCCATCATGTGCGGCCCTCTCCGTCGGCCGTTAGGCTATATACTGATGACAATATAATGCGCCTTGAGAAAGAGATGTGCGAGAGATACTTCTGCCGCAAGTACTTTCAGAGTAAACGCTAGATGCACTCCCCTTTGCAGCCCATATTTTAAGCAAAAAGAAAGAAAAGATAATCGGGCAATTCTACATCCTGGCAAGATGCAGCGGGCTCATTCTTGGGGGTGGAATCAACATTATCCTTCTATTTTGCCCAACGCAATAGTGCTGCTAGGTCATAGCAGCACAGAGCCTAGGAAATGTACCTTGGGGGAGGCGCAGCAGCACCAAAAAAAAAAATTAACATCGGGGATTTCTTCTGCTGCTGGGCTAGTCAGGATGGATGGGAGCTGAGCTCAGCTGAGATGGCAAGGCAGGGGTTTTGTTAGCGAATGGGGATTGTGGATTTTGGAATCGGTCTTTGTGTGTTTCTTTCTTCTATTATCCATTATACGGGGACTGCCTACCATGGCGTTAGTGCTAGTAGAATGCGGGATAATGACTGTCATCTAAGGGATATTACCAGCAACACAAGCTGGAGGGGGCTGAAGGGGGCCAACAGCGTTTAATTTGGCCTTCATCTTTCTCAACACTGAGCGGTCTTGTTATTCCGTGCGTGCATTAGTTATCACAACAAGATGCTTCCAAAAGGTCCATCTGCATATGCTGTGCACGTAGCACCCGTGTAAAAGCAAACTCCAAATCAAGACTTGTCTATATTAATAGCATCCACGGCTATTGTGTGCAACGCACGCAAAGCAAACAAAAAGCAGTCATCACAAGCGTCACCCAAATAAGGCATGACACAACAGCAAAACCGTCCCATTTGGGAAGGGGGGTAATAACACACGCCCAACACCAACCAACACCCATCAAATTCCTTCTCTCTACAACGACTTGTCTATTAAAAAAACAAAACAGTCCTAATCCTTCGAGATGTCATGAGAATAAAAATCTAGCAATTACAATCATAATCCTTTTTTTTTTTTTTTTTTACTTCGCCCTTTTCGTCTTGTTAAAAAAAGAACTGCCCCATGTTAGTTACATGTCACCAGTTCCTTGGTCCGTAAATTCAACGCCGTTTGGCGCTGGAGATGGTTGAATAAGCCCCAAACCTCGGAGCCGAATACTTGCACAAGTACCCGACTCTTGGCACTTTTCACCTATCAGAATTCCCAAAATACCTACGCACCAGAACGATGCTCTTCTTCCCCGGAACATGACAATCTCCCGTCTCGGATCTTTTCGCATCTTCTCCTCCGCGGCAATTGCGTACACGTATCGAGTACAGGTATATACGAACACGGACGAATATGGGGCTTTACACTTTTTTAGATCCCGAATCAAAGCCACGCTCGCCTACGTGTTAAGAAAAAACCTCCGCCATGCCGAGAAACATCAAACTTGCGTCATCGTCACTTCTTTTTCAAAAGACTATATCCGAACTTTTTCGCCTTATCCGAAATTTAATTGTCATGACCGTGTCAAGTAATTGCGTACGTATACATGAACGCGACGCAAAAGAGGCAAAGGCCACTCTCCACAGGGCTGTACTCTTAAAATGCTCCGGACCAGGTTTTCGCTCGCCCAAGGGGAAGAAGTTGTCATGTTTTGCCCGTAAGCAGTTTTTAAGCAGCAGTTGGCAATAGCAGCTAGTACTTACTTGTTGGTGAAAGAGACGAAGCACAGAGCATTCACATTCTAGTCACGCGAGCGCTGGAGCTAACGGGCATGGACGACAAGTGCTGACACGCAGTGATGATCAAGTAAGCTGCTTGGGGGACTTTCTGAGATTGATGGAAATAATCCAAGTCTAGAGAATTGATTTATCTAAACATAGTCTGTAGATATCTCTCAAAAAAAATTAAGCAAATAAGTGTAGTATATATGAAATATCAGCTCACTGGCCCCCCTCGAAAGGGGAATTCGGCGCAGTGGAAAACATGATCTGTTAATTCCCATTTCCCGAAAAAAACTCCAAAAAGATTCCATGACAGTTCCGATCGAAAAAACCAGGGCTATCCCAACCCATTGTAAGCAGGGCCCCCCTCCAAAAATGCCCACACTGCCGATTTCCTAGCCCCCCATCGCGACTTCGCCTCGTTGGTTTGAACCAACCCCAAATAGAAAAATATGACAAAACATAGGAAAACTCCGGTTTGCCCCCTTGGCAAATTGAAAGTAAGACACAGAATTTGTTTTTTGACGTATGCACATGATATCCTCTCTGTATAACATATTGGTGGGAAAAAAGTGTAGTGATGATTAGGTGTTTGTTGTTATCCAAAGGCACGAAAACGGAGTACCTATTGCCATGCTCCAAGAAATGTCAACCCTGTCGATGCGCCGGCCATGCAGCTTCTTTCGAGAGGAGACAAGTCCGAGACCCAAAAGTATAGTAGTAATTGCAGTTGATGTGAGAAAGAAATGGGGAAGAAAGACAAAAAAGACAATCCGCGACGCCATGCTTTTTCTGTAAAAAAAGGTCAAAACACACACAAGTAGATGTTGGATAAAAAAAGAAGCTCTATCGGACGGTGATGGCGCTGGCGCTGGCACCGCCGAGGAGACGGCCCCACACGCCGCGTCGGTGCCGCTTCTTGGTGGTGGCCTCGCTAAGCTGCTCGTATTGCTCCGCAGAGATGGCGATGTCGTAAGGCAGAGCGCGGACGCTCGGCACCTGCGCCTTGGACTCGTCCTTGTCCATGACAATCTCCACGGGGGAGTCGTACAGGCTGCTCTGGCTGGTGCCGTAGAGGTAGGGAGACGGATCCGACTCCAGAGGCGTGGTGGCGCGCGAGTGCTGGCGGCTAGAGATGGACGAGGCATAGGAGCTGGCCGAGCTGTAGACCAGGCCGGGCGGCGTGATGGAGCCGTTGCTGGCGGTGCGGTAGTGGTCGGGGCTGGCGTGTCGCGATCGTGATGGGCCCCGGGAAGAGACTGGGCTGGGATACCTGGCGGCAGCGTGGGCCGCGGCGTGGAACATGTCCTGCTGGCGCTTCTTCTCCTCGCGGTGACGCAGCTTGCGGGCGTAGCGCTCGGCAATCTTGATGCGCGCGGGCTCCAAGAAGACGTCGAGCTGGGCGTACAGGTCGTGCTCGGTGATTCTCAGCTCCCACTCGAGCAGGAACAGCAGCTGCTTCTCCATCAGGTTGACCTCGGTGCGGGTGAAGCCAAAGGCGTAGTCGGCGGTGTTCATGTGGGTGTAGTTGGCCCAGTGCTTGTTCTTGGGCGAGCTGTCGTTGAGGTACTTTGCGGCCAGGATCAGGGCGGCCAGGAAGATGCGGTGGGTGGTGCATCGCAGGCCGCGGGCCATGGGCTGCAGCTTGGACTTGAGGCGGTTGAGGTAGACCAGGGTCGACATGAGGGTTGGGACCTGGACGTTGGAGGAGACGACCAGCTGGGTGATGAACTCTTCCAGCGAGGGCAGCGCGTCGTCGGTGCTGGAGACGGCCCGGGGCTCGGGGCTTCGTGGTGGAGTGGGAGGCGCGTCCCGGGACTTTGATGACGATGATGACTCCCGGGGTGGTGGCATGAGGGTCGAGTCGCAGGCAATGACGCTGTGGGCAGCGTTGGCCAGGTATGAGATCATTTCACGGCTGACGGGCTGGTAGACAAACTGCTCGAGGGCAACCTTGTTGAGCTCGTCCATGGAGAGATATCTTGACGCCATGATGTCGTGGATGTGGTGGTGATGTGAGAGGCGACGGCGAGTATGTATAAGTGGTGTAGAGGTGGCCAGTGCTCGAGATGGACGAATTGTACAATCAAAAGAGCAATCCAGATCTGCAAAAAAGAGAGAGGAGCCTGCTGATTGATGATGGAGAGCACCGAAGCGAGCAGAGAGAGTGATGATATATAAGGTATAAAGACTGGAGAGAGCAGACAGATAGATGCCGGCTCACAAGGGGTAGAGGAGAGGGAAGTGCTCAGAGCAGGAGGGATCAGATCAGGATCAAGCAAGCAAAAAAGCAACAACGCTAGAAAGGGAGGATCTGATTGTGAGGAGCAAGAGAGAGGCGATAAAAGAGGAACACGAAGGAGGCGGATGAGAAGAGCAAGAGGGATGCCAAACGTATTAAAGCAACGGCGATGATGGACACGAGCGCATGTGGCCCTTTTTTAGGTGCGCCCAGTGACCCGTCCTGGCGTTTGGGGTGCACCACGAGGCTGTCGGTGCGGCAGCGAGTACAGCTGGCGGTACAGCCGCTAGTGCAATTAGTGGGCAGCGATGCGCCACAGGGAGGGTTGGCGTAGCGGGCTTTGGCGGGGGGGTCTGCGGGCTGCAGGGGTTGGGCGATGGATCAGTGGGCAGTGGGCAGTGGGCGGGCAGTGGAGGGGGGGAGTACCCAGCGGGCATGTACCGTGGCACGAGTAGCGTGAGCTGGCAGTGACTGCAGGCGACGTGGCGGGCAGCGGAGGGGCGGTCAGAGGGGTACTTGAGGCATGTACCCGCGGGTGGCTGGGAGTGCGCAAAGTCGTGAAGTCGCACGCAGGGTGACGGTGGCGGTACGTGTGCCCGAGGTATCGCGAGGTATCGCCCAAGGTACCGAACTGTGGTCGCTGGCAAGGCAGGACAGTTGAACGGCCAGGCCGGCAGGGATTTCGAGCAGGGCGCTCGTTTGGTTTAGAGTTGGCGCTGCGGGAGTGCAAATGCGTGCAAATGCAGACTGGGGGACTCTAGAGGTTCAGTCAGGCCTTTGCGGGTGGTTCGGTGCCGTCGTGAACGGTGGCGAATGATGGCTGTGTTGGGTCGATTGAGTGATTGATGTATGTTCAAGCTGATTGCTTGCTTGCCTGCTTGCTTGCTTGCTTTTTGTACCGACGCCGATTGCCGGTCGATACGAGGAAATAAAGCCGTGTGGGCTGCAGTGCGGATGACTGGCCTTGGATGCTTAATTAAACGATGCGATGGATACCCGAATCCGCTTGTCTTTGTCTTGTCTTGTGCGTTATCTCTCTGATATGATGTTTAATGAATTCTTCACAGTCCCGTGTCTGAGGGATGCCCAAGACAAAGACGAACAACAGCAAATTAGCCAAAACAGTCAAGCTGCAGTGACGCTAGGATCACCGTTGGTGCAGCGCAGCAATTAAAAAGAAATCCAATGTCGTCGCCTTGTTGAGAATTGCTGATGCGCAGACAAAGAAGTGACTTATCCGAGTCCCGAGCTGTCCGGCTCTCTCCGGATTCGTGGAGGGCAAGTCCGTGCTGGATGCTGCTAACAAGAAGAAAAAACGCAATGTGCCAACGTGGCGCCGTCCGATCCAGCGGAAGGGGTTCTGATTGAAAGGGGATTTTTGTGGTTTTGGCACTGGGCTGGGCAGTTTAATATCTGGGGGCCTGAACGAGGCGGTTGAATTTTTTCTTGAGGCGTTGATCAATGTGTGTCTAACTCGAACGTGGCGTCAAGGGTAAAACGCCTTCTTTTCCTTGCTAAAGCCGTGTAATGGCCAGTTGGGCGTTGAAAAGGTAGCAAAAAAAGATGCCGTCTGGTCTCCGATGAAGATTCGGCTTCGTTTCGGCAAAGAAGCGCAAATGCGGTGAGTTTTGAACAGGGTATTTATTCGGGAATGATGCGATGCGATGTGATGCGATGCCAGACAGGACAAAACCGGTTTCGGTAGATGGAGATATATAGATGATGCAATCTCTTTGTTTTTTTGGCGCAGAGAGTGGTTGGCGTGAGCTTTTTCGACGATCCAATTGGAATCCAATAGAAAATAGTGTCTTGTGAACAAGGGAAACACAAGTATGTGAAAAAAAGAGAGTTGATTCAATTAAAGTGCAAGCCACGTAAAATGCAGGGTCCAAAAAGGGTAAATTCAGAGGATCCGTCCGGCGGTCGATCTGTAAAAGGGAGAGACTTCTTTTCGTTTCCTTGTTCACAACCACGCAGTGGTATGCTTGATTCAATGATGTGGCAAAAAGATATTGAGTTGAATTGAGGCAAGTCACTGCACAGCAGCGTTCCAGCACTCGAGATGGAAAAAAAAGGGAGATGCAGAATGAGAGAGTTGAGAGACAAAAAAAAAAAAAAAAAAGGAAAAACTAAATTAGAATGAAGGATGAGGATATCGAAATAGCAGCTCCCAAAAAAAGGCGACGATGCCACGAGGTTTTATCAACATCATGGCCACGCGTATCGGGACATTAAAGATGCTTCATGAAACACGGCAAGCAGGAATCGCATCAAAAATAGAAATCCCCAGCCATCGCCTCCAGCATCTATTTGCGGCCTCCAAGCGTTCAAACACCCAAACATCAAACAATCTTGGTCGGCAAGCATCCGAACCGGCCCAGTCCTGGGCGCCTAAACAGACGCGCCGCCCCAAGAACTTGAACAAACAAAACCGGATGCTTCATCTTCACAGCACAAGACGAAACGACGATACAGTACTGTATAATGGCTAATAGCGCTGTGCCGTCTCTAGCTCCGTCGCGCACCGCCTGTTTCCGCCACGCCATTGGCCCGCGACGCCGCCATCTTGAAACTTCAGCTCAACTCATTGCTGGCGATGCTCTCCATCTCTTCTGGTCCCGTCAAAAACGTCCAGAAAAAGAGACCCGCCCCAGCCCCTCGAAACGCCGCCTTGGAGCCAATGGGCGGCTCCCCGTCCGTCGGCAGAATCGCTCGTGGCCAATCGCCAGCCAATCTTGGCGAGCGGCAGCCGAAAAGAGGAGAGCCCCAGTTCAAGGTGAGTCAAGGTCCTTGGTTCGCCGTGCTTTGTGTCTACCGGTACCTCTCCCTTCCTTATCTCTCTCTGCCCTTGTACCCCGGCAAGCTGATTTGCTGCCGGTGCCTTGCTGGGCTTTCTGATGCGCTGGCGGCCGTCTTGTCCAATGAATGCCCGGTCAAAGAGATGAGTGGCTTGCTGGGTCTGCTGCCTTTCTTTCGTTTCTTTTTCAGCCACGAGCCTCAGTTAGGCAAGTAGAAGGCATACATGTAATGAAATTTGCTCATGACAGGTAATGTAAGACAGTGTAGTACGCATATAGCGCCTAGTAAGTCTACTTGGTATGCATGTATACAACCCAAGTTGAAGCATTTCAAATGTAGCAGCCCTTTTCCTCGCTCGGCAAAGCCACTCCGCAGCCGCGAAATTCACGCTTTGCCCTTTTCTTTCTGATTTTTACTTGTCATTCATCCTCTCCCTTTGGCGCTCGTTAAAATGGTACAAGTAAGACATTAATCACTACTTGTAAAAGCCTAGTAAATAGGTCCCAGCAGGTAACACGAGTAGGATTGACAGTAGGTGGTGCCTATTCAGGAACCTCCCTTCACACGAGCCGTTCCAATGCAGGGGCAGCAAAAGTTAAAAACTCGAACAGGAACACAAAAAGTGTAATTAGTACTCATGCTAGCAACTTGTTTTTTTTTTTTGACTGACATTTGCATTGAACAGCTGCGGCCCGCAAACTCTTTTTTCCCTTTTTTTTAAGATTATGACACCCTGAACATCAAAAGACTTGCGGGCGCGAAACGCAGTGTGATATGATGATGTGAGGTATCTTGAAACGTAGCGTCTGTCTATCAGTCTTTGTCACTTTCTGCCCATCAAAATTCTTTCTGCAAAACACCAAGAAAAAAATGCGGGTAAAAGTCTCTCGTTTTCCCGCTTTTAGTTACAGTATAATCTGTCTGGAACGCCTTTTTTTTGCCCCTAGCGTTCGATATTCGTGTGGAGATATGAGGGGGAGAGCAGACCGGATTGCCTCCCGGAACGCAAGTCAGTAGGTTCATCTATCCTTTCGTCCATGTTTAATGGATAGAACTGTTCAACTCAACTTACTCGCACGAGTATCACGAGTAACGCGCGGATCAAACTTTTGCCCATATGGGGCCACCCTTCCCCCCAACCCCGGTCAAATTCGTTCGTGGCGTCTAGCTTTCCATCCCCGCCACCGGTACCTTTTTGTTCCCTTGCCATGGCGTCTTACAATCATGCCTCTTTACTTATTCTGTCTTGCATACTGTAGCGAGGTGATACGGCCCGAAAGTGAATGCATTCAAATTCAATATTCTTTGCTTTTTCTTCTTTCAAGCGACGGAAACCCTTGATCCGGCCATGGTGGCTCTCGTATAAAATTGCAATCCGGCTCCCTCACATGTCTAGCGGCCTCCGCAACATGCCAGCTCCAGCAACGATCTTCCATAGCCCTTTGGATAGTCTCTGGGTCTGGCACCACTGAGAATCTGTTCCGGATGGTCAGCTCCCTGTTAGATCCGATCCGCGTGCAGAGACGGGGGGCTGGGCCGGGGTCTAGCGGCTTGATAATTGCATGCTAGCTGGCCTGGCGTGTCTGCTTTGCTGTCTCTGTTGCATGTCTCTGTTGTCTAGACTGCCATTACTTGGCTATCCAGTGGATTGGTGTGCTGAGCTGTGCTGTGCTATGCTGAGCCGTGCCTTGATTTGCATCTTGACTCCCTTGCGTGGAGCAATATTGCCATGATGCCACCACTAGTAGTAGTGCAAGTCCCCCCCAGCTATCATCTCCAGCGAAGCTCTGTACTTTGCAGCTGAGTCCAGGGTTCATGTATTTCCATGGTCAGCCGAACAACCCCCTTCGCTTCTGCCTCAGCCCGTCCTCTCTGAGACCAATTTCCTAATACTTGAACTGGCCTAATGACATATACTAGCAGCACACAGATTCCATGATCCATGCGTAAACAAAATCCTTCCCGGCTCCTCATCAAATGAGAAGAAGGAAAAGCACAAAAAGATGGACAAGGCGGCCATCGTTTCTAGGCTAAATGGAAAGCTGCAGCCTTTTTCTGAAACAAAAATCAGCCCATCAAATACCGGCCTCCCTTTGGCTTTGCTTTCGGTGATTTTCCATCTTTCAGCCCGACGCCACATTTTGATCCCATCGAGCTGATGCGTGTTGCAGGCAGATATCAAGGCATAACGTACTCCCGTAGGAAGCAACGCGCTATCCTGCGACTAGCGAGCGACTACCTGCAATTTTGCTCCGCATCCCGCACTCAAACTTGTTCAGTAGCCAGCTGGATAGACACGATGCGACGCACCAATCTATCGATGCAGGTCCGCTTCAATCTATGGTAGCGGTGGTTAATTAATTAACTAGCAAACTCGCCCGGCAGCGGTGCCGTACAGGCATGCAATTCTAGTAGACAGGTGTATGCGTAGATACTTGATGTCTCATTGACAGTCTACTTGCCTCCCAAGTACTGCTTTTTTCCCTTTTCCGTAGTATACTGTGGTGATGCCTCCATCAAGTCGAGGCCAGTCAGCTCGGAGATGCCCAATCACGGCGGCATGTGGTCCCGTCCCATCCCTGCCGCGGTGCCTGAACCGCTATCGGCCATTTCTGCTGAGGCCTGAACGCCCGCGTTTAGCACTATAAAATATCATTATGACAGCATAGCATCAGGTGGAACAAGCAACGAATGCAATCGCAGCAGTGTGGGCAATCACCCGCTTGACAGCTTATCAGAGTTTGTGCTATTCTGCATTCCGGTGTTGCTGATGATTGCTTTAATCTCCTTTGGCTTTCTCGCCCATCCATTACCACGTTATCAGTGTCTTCACCAAGTACTTGTAAATAGTATCATGGATATCATCATTGATAGCCTCTTCGTACAGAACGGCTAAACACCTGCAGCAGGGTCCATCCCCACCCACTTTCGAAAAGTAGGTGAAGGGGTAACGTGCTGCAAAGACGCACAGAATGCCCCATCGCCAGTTGGGCATATTACCTAGTAGTCCTAGGTACTTGTGCGTGCACATGTTTATCGTTTTAGCAGCCATTGGTATCAATAGTCTTCGTCTGCTTCATTCACATGCATTGGGGCCGGTCCATGCCCGTGGTATGTACCATTACATATTGCACGTCTCCATATCCCATCCCATCATTGCGTGGTGGTAATCGATGTACATGCATACATCTCTGGTACATATCCGGGCGGGTCATCCAGAGACAACACATCAAAGTCGTGGCGTGGGGTTGACCAGGGAAACAAGAGACAAAAAGGCAAGGTCGCCTTTTGGGCCACTGTTCCTTGACCGCTGAAGACGAGGATTGCTCGAGGTGGCATGGATGGCATGTGCTGAATGGGCGACATGAATAGCTACAGCTTCAATGTTTCAACAGGCTCAGCACTACCGCTAATCGGCTCTGCAAAGGCTGAAGAGCGCTGCCAGTCACGTCGCCCTTCACATGGGCGCTGTAGACGATACGAGAGGCCGCATGCCATGCCATCCGATCCATTGGCTCTCCCTCGTCCAGGGAAGACAGATGGGAGCGTGGCCACCTCCACACATGCCACTGGTGTGTGTGGCCACCACTTTCGGTAGCGGTGGCAGCACTCTCCCAGTTCTTTTACAAGTGCATTAGTACTTGTATCAGTATATTCCTTCAACATTTATATCCAGATATATCGCTACCGTAGCAGTCCGTATTCCCAATACGAAGGAGATGCAAGCAATGGAAGCAATTAGACACACAATACGAACAACCCCAGAAAAGTAAATGCGCCGAATACACTTTGCACCCGTATGTGGAATCGCTATAGGATCCATCGAGCCCAGATGCAAGGTCATAACGCATGGTTTGTTGTCAAAGCATCATACCTACATGATGCGAACGATTTTTTTCTCCCCAAATTCTTTCACCGCCACTGTATATCAAGCACGATGCTCCAAAGTGGGAAAAGATGAAAAAAAAGTCAAACCCAACTTTTCCCTTTTTCGACCGTTGTCCATGCACATTAAGCAGCATGCGCTTGATTTAACTGGAGACGATTGGGCAACATTTTCTTTTCTTCAAGAATGCATTGAGAGACTTGGCAGATATTGACATGACATGACACTGCCCTTGTTCTTCCTCTCCCCCAATATACTTCAGGTAAAAACAGTAGTACTATCAAATAATGCAACATTGAAAGTTCAGGGCAGAGCAAAGTACTTCCAGCGCTGGTACTCGCCAACGAATGGCCAAGATGGATCCCTGACAGCTTGTGACACCCACCCCCCGTAGCCAAATCGCCCGCCAAGTAGTCTCGTCTGCCTCCCTGGCACCCTTGGCGAGATCTCTCAAGCTCATCAAACCCGTCCCTCCCGTGCCAGTGATTGGCCCGTGCAGCCAGAGCGGCGATGGCGCACTTTGGCAGCGCTGATTGAGCCCAACGCGATGTCACCCCGTACTTTTTGGGGTCCCGTACAGCCTAAAGGTACCTGGGCCCATGTCGAGCTGTGGCTGACGCGTTGTTGAGTGTGGCTGGAGCAAGTCAACGTAATTTTTTGCCTCGCCGAGGGAAAAAAGAGTCAAGAGGCGTATACAAGATACGGCCCTCTAATAGGGTAGGCAGGCTTGTTCATACGACTCATTAGCAAAACTGCACAGCCAGCCTCTTTCAGGGCGCAAACATTACCCTTATCATTCATCCATGACTGACTGACTGACTTGTTGTTATTTGACTCAACAAAACAAGAAAAAAAGAGTCAGGCACGCAAGCAAATCGGCTAAGCCTCGTTGGCAAAAGTCGAAAACTTAAAACAATCACGCAAAAAAGAGAGGCACTTGTCTGTGGCAACTGACACTAGTACCTCGAAACAATAGGCTATAATCCGCCAACAAAGAAAAATCAACAACGTCAACACGGATGCACCACTAAAAGGGAAAAAGACCGAAAGCATAAATCCCAAAACTCCATCATAGTAAGGCACAAGGGGGGGAGCCTAACAAACTCAAAAATCGCATCACCATCAACTTGTTCTTTGTCGGTTCTAAATGAACATCTAATTTCCCCCCCTCTCATACGTACCAAAAAAAAAAAAGGAATGGAAACAACAGACGTAGAGACCCGCCCCTGTCACAAGCCTCATCAAGTGATTAGTCCCCAAGACAGGCTTCTTACTCGCACTGCAACCCTACCTTACCCAAACCTTTTTTTTTTTTTTTGTGTTTGTGTTTGCACGAGTTGTTTCTTTTTCATTCCCCAAAGCCTGATGACGGCTTCGGGTCACAGGATGAGTGTCTTCGGAGTGATGGAAACACATGGGTGGCTGATCATCGCTGTCTTGGGTGTTAGTTACATGTATTCGAGGTGCATGCAGGGACTTTGCAATGTTGGGGTAAGATACATGTCTGCAGTACCGTAGCGGCTTTTTCTTCTCTTTGATCAAATCCTCTTCTCCAACCACGTTCCAAGGAAAGGCCACCGGTCATGTGCATCTCCACCATCGCATTCAGAAGGGAATAGCGAATACCATGGTGTAGCAGTAGCGAGTATCAAAAATTGGGCTTCATGCAGCATCAACAGCTATTAGTGGTGCTGCTCTTGCTCTTATCCCGCGCCTTGGGCATTTCTCATTCTCAAGCTCTGCAACACGATGCGACGAGTAATAGTAATGTTACAACGAATCATCCTCCTTCCAAGTCTCTGCTAGCTTCTCATCTCCCATTCGCCAAGCCTGGACCTCATGTGTCCCAGTGTCTCAGTGCTCGGTCATCGAGCTTGGGCTTGGCTGGGACCGCAAGGCAGCATCGCTCATCATGACACGATGCCACAGACTCAGCCTGCCGCTTCAGCTATTCAGGCAGCCAGACGGTGGCCTTGTCACGTACACGATCCGTTTTCAGAAACTGACGATACGAGTGATGGAGCTGAATGGCACGGCTCCCCGTCATTCGGTATACCCGGTCCATCCCACCAAGCATACTTGCGCACAGACTCACTTACACCCACCAAAGCAGGGGACAAAGGAATAGGGAATGAGATACTTTGGAACATACAAATGCTCACTATGCGCATACAATGTCAAGGGCTAATTCGTGTAAAGAGTGCTCATGCTACAGTCTTGTACGCACATGTTCAGTTTGCAGTCTTTCTTCTTCTGTCACCTGCCTGCCACCTTTATGCTCACTTTCTCACGCTTTAGCCAATATCATGCTTTCGTAGAACTTCAAAAAGGACCGACCGCTCCAAGAGTAGTAGCACCGGATCCATCACCGACGCGAACCATCAACGGCCTCTTCTGGACCACTGCAGTCAGTGAGCTGAGGCATTACTAGGTATCCAGCCTAGCACCTCTCAGCCCCTATGCATGTCTCGGAGCAATATCACGTAGCAGCCGGTCATTCTTTAGACCGGAAGGACCGTCGCCCAAGCCGACAATGACATGTTGCATCTTGACTATTTTCTTTCTTTAGAACATGTTCTTCTCAAAATCTACAGCCGCAACTAGCATCTCGACGCTTGCACATGCCTCTCTGGGGCCTCGGCACTGTCAAGGTGGTATCACGGCAGCGATCCCGCCGAACTTCTCATGCAGCACAGCCTCTCAACCCCCCCAAGAGACAATTAAATCTACATGCCCTATTCATCGCCATCAAACTCACCGAGCCTTTTCCCTTAATTTAACTCGACCCGTGGCAGAGTAGCATTTGGGGTCCCTTTTCTTCACTCGGAATATTCCTCGAGCCCATCTCACCCTCCTCTCTTCTTCTTCTCCACCCATCCAGCCGCTCGGATGAGATTCAACGTTGAAACCAACAGCCGCGGCTTGTCCGATCTCATCCATTGGCTCACAGCCAACATGTAGTGCCTGGTAGACAGGGGCCACTATACGAGGTGGTAAATAACCAACTGCCGTACAAGGCAGAAGCAGAAAATAAAATGAAATAAAACAAAAGAGAATACGGCGCCTCCCTCTTCCGCGTTACATCTAGCCGCCTCGTCGTTCGGTCATTTGCCGCCGTAGCATCGCGTTTCTCTCGGATCGATCCTTCATTCATGCCGAAACTCCCCCACCATGGGCGGCTACTGATACTTCCGGTGAGATTTGGGGCACTGTAATACGCCGTATTTGGTAAACGCATTGGCAAAAACCTGCCGTTGCATTGTTTCTTCAGTCGACAATGGACCTGGATGCCATCCCTGCTCCTTGTGGATTCCATGCACTTGGTTGGGCGCCTAGGGGCGGTTTTGCGCCTAGCGAGCCAATCGTCGTGCTGCATCCTCATTGCTGCCCTGTCGTGTCCAACGAAACATCTACAAGCGCTTGTATCAGGTCAAAGTCGTTTGGCAGTGTAAATATAGGGCTGTTTTGAAACGGATGGCTGAGTCGAGTGTGTCTTCCCCAATCATTTCTTGGCCTTCTCCACGTGTAGGATTGATGCTAGGCTGCGTGGTCTTGTAGGACTAAGAACGAGATCCGCCGGGTAGACAGCCAACATGCATGTAATGGGAAGCTGGTTTCTGTCTATTTTTAGCATTCAGAGAACGATACTTTGTCGAAACTTGAAGAGTATGTCACCAGAGAGACTGAGACATCACCAGATAAATGTTGAAACGAGAAGATGAAGTGATTGAACATATTGAGATGTAATATCTAAAGAACGAACTTTGTTCAGACGACCGAGCTCATACGTAGCCAAGTCCATCTACATAATAAGTCTCTAATTAAGCGATAAGCAAACTCTCTATACTGCGTGGGCGTCATAACTGTGCTTGTATTCTCTAGCTACTGAGCTCTACCGTACAATTTGAGACTCTCCGACTACCCATGGTCATCGTAAAAGAACGAAAAGAGACGGATATCGACAGCCAGAGCCATGGATAACCATGACACACTGCTATGTCTCCATTTATCCTTCTTGCCGGAAAATTATGCTTTGTGGTGTTTCTCTAGAAGCTGGAACACGATCCAGCTTTAAAACTAAAGATGGTTCCTCTGAAATTTACCTTTACAATCTTCAGCAACTGGACAACTACAACACCTCATATTCTACACGCCTCATGCCGCCCGGTTTCTTCCTGGCAGTACAATATAAGAGAGTGTCTACACATACCTCATCTGGAACGCTGCAGCACAATTCGCTTCTGTCCCAATCATGTCTACGGCTGTATTCTCAAAACTGGTTGCGGGAATAGATACGACAAACAAGACTAGGTCCGGAAAAAGAGCTTGGAAAACCGACAAAAAAAAGAAAAAAACGGACACCTAAACGTACAGAAGGCCTGGAAGGTAAATGCAGAAAATGACTATCCAGGTTTACAGAAGGCCTGGGAAGTGAGTTGCGAAGAATAGGCATTCAAATATAAAGAAGACCCAGGAAAAGAAGTTAGAAAGGCATTTGAACAGACAGGCTACCCGAACGCCAATCTAATCACCCACGACGCGAGCTTTCTGATACCGTGCCCCAAACAATAAATAGGTACATGTACCTATGCCAACTGACACCACCAGCGGCCCAATCGGTAACTAGTAGGCTTCTTCTGGTCGTTATCCTTGCTGAAGAAAAGAGAACAAGTTGGACATGGACGATCCAGAGTCTTGTCCAAGTTTTGACTGGCGCAATTGACACTGTTGCCGTTTACTTGGACACAACGATGGTTGTAGATGTATAAAGGCTAATATTGATTTGGCAATGAATGACGAAAGCAATGGATTGGAACAATAGCGAAACCGCTTAGGATTCTGCAGCCTATAGTCGATCTTTTTCGTAGCTATACAATTCTCTCAGTAATTGCTTGCATGTACAAGCTTATTAAGACCAGCTCTGGCAGATTCCGTCAAGCGTCGACACACCAAGACGAATGCTATGGGAAATCCATCACGAAGACTGGCTGCGTGCACAATCAGTGTTTTATTTTGCGAACAACAGACGTCATGATAAACAATCTGCGTTACAGCAGCGCTGTCCCAGAGCCATTTCGGGGGACACCTGCCCAACGTCCACCAACGTCCACAGGAGGAAGAAGGTCCCAGGAGCAATACGGGGAGTATATAACTAGCCAGCTCCCACCACTTTCGGTACGCAGAATCAACCCATTCCCAATCCCTCCCCACCGTGATTACAAATTGACGAGGCTCAATCACAAGCTCTAGATGCTGAAGCTCGAGCTCAAGAGGTCATTCCTAAGCTTCGGCCACTTTGCTAGGTATGCAGAATCAACACCTTTCCCATCCCTCTTCGTGACCTTTCTGTTCGCTGACATACCTCGAGATCTCAAGAGGGATATAAGCTATCTACCCTCCCGGTACTAGAGCCACGAATCCGAATCTTGATACCGGTTTGTATCTCGGGGCGGTCTTTGATGCCGCCACCTATGCAGACACTTGAGACCGCATTTCAGGTGCAGGAGCCCGTGCTTGTGGAGGGCCGAGAGGTCAGCGTTGTGGAAGACCAGCATGAGAAGAAGTTTGCGTTTGATATTGAGGATGTATTTGCGGTTCATGCAACTAGGTGGGTAGCCAGAAGTAGCTCCATCAGATGAAAGTTTGCTTTGTCTCCATCTCGTGAAATTCCCATCAAGCGGTCAGGGCCGAGAGGCCAGTGTGCGAGAAGAGACGATTTCACGACATGGACGAGGACATTAACACACATACTCTTGTCGGTGACGATTCCTTGGCGGAACTGTCCTCTCTGAGAAGAATTGGCAACAAAAGGGTCATGGGCAAATGGGCTGAGATTTACGTGATGGAATTGTATCGTACGAGACTGATATCAGGGGAAAAGAACTGGTTCAAGGCAACGTCGAGTTTATGTCTGAGCAGGGTCAAGTGTGGTTTATGTCAAGAATGTATTTTCCGTTAATGTATTTAGGTAGCTGGATGTAGTAGTTTGTATTGCAAATCAAGATTGTAAACGTCTCAAAAAGCAAGCAACAGCGTCTACCATGCGCCCCAGTTTACGAAATATGAGTTTTGGAAAAAAAAAAAAACCCCCCACATCATATCAAAATATACAGCCCATCATGTTTCTTCAACCATGTCTTCTCAAAAATAGGAACAACAATACAAATCAGCGGAACTAGAGTCGGCCCATCACCTCTTCAAGACGACGATACAATCATCTCGTCCAGGTCCGTCCTCATAAACTACTTTGCAGTAAACGGATTATTAGTGCACACTTCACCAAGGACAACAGACCCTGCTGAACCACTTGCTCCTTCAAATGATTCTCGAGTACTTGGACAGAGGTATAGCATCCGCTGAGGTGCGTCAACATCCTAGACAACTACGTCTAATCCAAGTAAAACTATCAAGCCACCTGTTCAAGATGCCATCAAAAAAAAAAAAACATCCGTGGCTTGATGTAAATGGTTAGTTTAATGGCCTGCGCCCCTTGCACCATGACATGATCCGGATTTCCCAATTGATAGACACGCCACATCCAACAGGCACAGAGCAAGCGTCGTCAAAGAGCATAGAGTCAACAGTACTGTCCGAATCCCGCATCATGTATCCTTTAAAGTCATTTTCCATCATTCATGTCATCTACTGTTATCCTCATACTAATTGTTGCCCGTTTCCCTCCCCCAAAAAGAAAAACCTAGCATTGTCCCTTGCATATGCTGTACATGAAAACACAAAAAAAAATATTAGTTTGCCTAGAATGAGCCCAGTCCCTCGTGTGCATATTCCCCTTGGCTCGTAAACCACGTGTAGCGTGCTTATTCGCTTCCATAGCTCACCGAGCTGCACCACGAAGCATGTGCGTTATGACACGTCACTTGTCCTTGCTCCTCCTTCCAACGCATTTGTATCTTCCCGTCTCCGGTGCCTACACGTAGCAATACTGGGCAGAGATGGATAGACGATATCAGGTGTCGGCAAATGCCGAACGCGGTAAAAACGGCTCAGCTCTTGAGCAGCATACTCCGCGACGTTTCAGATGGGCCATTTTAAAAATGCCAAATTACGTTTGTTGCCTGGTTTTTTTTTTTTTTAACGCACGCCTCTCCTTTAACCTATAGCGGCCTCTGGAAGATGTCGTAGTATCCTGAAATCCAGTTAAATGAGAAATGATATCAGCGTCCACGTCATCATCTCAAGAGCCATTACCAAACAGAGCGTCACATGTATGGAGGTACTCCGCCCATCTAGTGGAAGTAGCTGTTACCGCGACCTGCTGTTGGGGCTGTTGCCGGTGTTGTCGTTGATCCCGGAGTAGGCACGTAGTCCTCAAAGTAAGGGTGGTTGCATGCCTGCTTGGCCGAGATTCTTCCTGCAGGGTCATAGACGAGCATCATCTCGAGCAAGTCCAGGCCCTTGTCATCAAGGTTGGGGGAGAGTGGTTGTTGGTAATCTCGCTGCCACTTGGGGAACGATGCCTTGAAATCGGGATAGGATGTGACGCCAGGCCACAGGTCTTCTGTGGGAGTTCCGAGAGCACTGGAGACAGGCAGATGCTAGTTAGCGAGACAATATTGCAAAGAGTAAGCTGCCACATGGGGCCAAAATAGACGTCTTCTCACCGGAATATCCTGAAAATCTCGTCAATCTCAGAGTCACCTGGGAAGAGAGGCTTGCGCGTGCACATTTCAGCAAAGATGCATCCAATGGACCACATGTCCACACCAGTCGAGTATTGTCTTCCACCAAGAAGAATCTCAGGGGCTCGGTACCAGAGCGTCACCACCTCGTGCGTGTAGGTTCTCAGCGGCACACCAAACGCCCGCGCCAGACCGAAATCTGCAAGCTTTAAATTGCCATCTTTATTGATGAGGAGGTTCTGGGGCTTGAGATCTCGGTGCAGGATGCGGTGCGAGTGGCAGTATCTGATGCCGTCACATAGCTGCATCATGAACTTGCGGATAACGGTATCGTTCAATCCAAGCGTCTGCACGCGGATGGAAGTGCCCTCGGGGAGTGTCTTGCCTCGACCGCCGTCGTTAACAGGAAGCGCCTCCATGTATTTTTTCAGATCCAGGTCAAGAAACTCAAAGACCAGATACAGCTTGTGGCCATCGGCGTGGACAATGTTGAACAACTGAACAATGTTGGGATCTCGCATCTCCTTGAGGAGGGAGATTTCGCGGATGGCGGTGCTCGGAACGCCCTCGTCTTCGGCTTCGAGTCGGATCTTCTTCAGGGCAACGATTCGTCCGCCATTAGCAAGGTCCCGAGCCTTGTATACGACGCCGTAGGTACCTGTGAGGGTAGGGATGCATCAGCATAAAAGGTAAAGCACAGAGTGGATGCATGGTGTGCCGTAAGGGGACAAGAAGCGAAGAAGTACGCATTTATGGCTACAGCACACGAACAGGGGCACATTGGATAGTTCAGAGCAGCAACATACCCTCTCCGACTTTCTCCAGCTTCTGGTAATTCTCCATGGCGGCGGTTGGCTGAAGAATTGGGGATCAGGGGCAAGGCAGCAACCGGACTCTTGTTGAGCTGGTAGGAAGAGAAGTCGAGTCAAAGTTGGCGAGTAGAAAGACTAATCACCCTTGTCCCTCTTCTCAGTCGTCGGCTGTTGCTGCGAACACCACAGACAGGGGCGTTGGTGTCTGATCAAACAAAAAGAGAAGAAAAAAACACGTTCACTCGATTGCCCGGGCGAGGGGTCAACAATTCGCGGTAACTGGCGCGGGGGGTACAAACGCGGTCTGGCTCGGGGACTGCACGCCTCTGGACCAAAGTTTGTAGCACTTACTCGAAGCTTGATGTGGTGAGGGATGGACTGGATCAATTCTGAGTGGGTGGTCCGTTTGTTAGTAAGCAGCTGCCAGGGGCAGTTCCCGCAGAGACAGCTCGAATGGCCGACGTTGACGAGCTCTGGTTTGGACGTTTGTTGTGTTTACTTTTGTTACTTGGGGCACGAAGACTGCAAAGAGGGCGGCGCTAGTCTGGGCTGGGCCTGGCGCTGCATGTTGTGCATCCGCCACAGGTCCCTGCTTTAGCGGCTGGCGATGTGGCTGGATGCAACCAGTATCTGAGATCAAATTGAAATATATGGAAGTGAAAGAGTGTCAATATCATTGTAAATTCATCATCGCCTGCTAACTAGAAAAGGCACGTACAAGTGACAACATGTCTGCTACAACAAAAGTCACATCAAATCAGATCAACCACTCGCCGGTGCTTCCTTTCGTCGCAAATCCAAAATCTTGGACAGCCTCAACGTCCCCTTCTCCCCCCATCCAGACGGCCCCGACTCTATATCCGGCCGAACAGCCACGTACCACCTCCACGCTCTGCGATCCAGCTCTGCACGACCTAAAGTCCCGGCCCAGCTCGCAAACAGCAGTCGAAGCGCCCCCAGCAGCCTCCCCAGATTCTCCTGCTTCTCATCGTTCAGTGCGGTCACGGTCTTCTTGCCTCCCCCGTCAGAGGTACCGGCAGAGGCAAAGCTCCGCAAGAGATAATTCCTCGCATTTTCAGGACGATGAATCGCCATGCCAACCGTAGATATAGCTGGCTTCTTATCCTCCGCATCGAGCCCCCACAGCGCCTCGCCAGAAAACGTCGCCGTCCGCCGCTGGGCAGAAAGCGCATCATTCAGACACTCCCGCATCAAGCGCCACCGGTCAGGTCCCAACATGACGCCGCCGTACCACCGCGCAAGTACAACAGTCGTGTTCGTGATATTCGCCTCGCGCAGGAGCTCAAGCATAAACTTACCGCATCCCGCTTCGCCATCGTCAAACGAAGCCTCCTGCACGAGAGATGAGTTGCCAAAGCTGATGCGCATTGCCCACGCAACGTGGTCGGCCGTCTTTTCCATGTCAGGGTATTTGTTGAATAAGATCTTCATGAGACCTGAGCGCATAGACGGCGACGTCATTGGGGCTGCATGCGCTATGAAAGTAGATCCCTTTGAGCTAAGCGATTTGCTGGTTGCCCATACATTGTCAGATGCCGTAGATGTCAGTGTTGATGCCGAATTGCTCGCATCTGCAGATGAAGTCTGTGGCGCCTTTTCCTCAGACTTCTCTGACCAGGTATAATCGCCCCTTTTCAGAACCGGGATTTCTCGTCCCAGAACAAAGACCTTTGGCTGTCCAGTTGGTATTGGCGGCTCCCCACCAACAGGCGCCTTCTCAATCCCAATACTGATGGCCTTGGACCTCGAATTGGCACTCACAACCGCCTGGGCAAGACTTAGACGGCTGCTCGGAGGCTGCTCCGGCATAGTGAAGCGCAGCAGCTCCACCGCAAATGCAAGAACCAAAGGAGCTCTATTCGTCACCAGTGCCGTCTCCTTGATCAGCTCCTCATCTTCGCACAGCGGCAGCATTAATGATCCCTCGAGCTCTTCAGGCGACATGGCGTTGTAATCAAGATCCCTCTTGTGCATTTCCAGCTTCGGCTTTTTCCCGCCGGCTGCAGATGCGGGCTCCTCAGCGGCACGCTTGTTGCCCTTCTTGCCGTGTGATTTGCATGCTGTGTGGAAGCTCTTGGCGAGCTTCGCGTCACTGATGGCCTCCTCAACAGTAGATAAAGGCGCCTCGGCAATCTGTTCAATGCTGTGTCTCGAGTGTTAGTTACAGCGGCTCTCAGTGACCAAGGATTCACGGCATCAGTGTCTCGCCTTTTCAGATTCTTGGACTGCAGCGCTCTGATGTAGCCCATGGCCGCCATCATGGATGCTTTGCGTGCAGTCAGCATGCGCAGCATCTCTTGTAAATCGCCGTGACCCGCCATGGCCGCGACTGATGCCTCGTGGAATGGAGATGAATAGTTGAGATCAGACGCTGCGTCTCCTGCTGAGTAACAAAAGCAATCAACACCCCTGGAAGCCACCAGCGATGACGTGACGTGCCAGGATAGAAGATGCAGGGGATTAACCGCACCAGCAATAGTGAATCTTTCAGATCGCATCACGCCTCACGAGATCTCAACTTATCCAGTCCTTAGCAGCCACTAAGCGGCAGCCACCAGCCAGCGGCCCCACCCGGCCGATTCTTCTCTCTCGATGCAACCGCATTGCATATCCGCACCTTACTCTTTCTGCAAGCTCCGGAGTAATCCATCGGGCTCAATGCCCTCAACCCACAAGGATTAACGATTAAAGCTTGACTTGCTCTTTTTTTCCTTTCCTCAATTGCGCCAACTCCCACACGATGCTCCCTCGATGAACGTCCCTACTCGCCGCCTTGCCAGGGCCGCTGCGAGCGCTACCATCACACCCTTGCAATGGCGCCTTGCAAGCTCTTCACGCCAAGCTGTGAAAACTCCTCCAGCTCAGGTCCCGTCACCCCGCGTTACAAAATCATATAGACCGTTTGTCTCTCTTGCCTTTGGAATGTTGTGAAAAGTCTAACCATCATATCATACCCAGGACACAAAAGCCCGGCACTTCATCCAATGCTTCCTCGCCGCCTCCCCCACCACCACCTCCCAAAGCCGACACTCTCCTCGACATCTGGCGCCGTGCCTGGCTTCCCCTAACCGGCGCCTCCGTCCTCGCCGGCTTCCTAGGCTTCTACATCTTTGGCACCACCGCCGCATCCCTCAGATCCTCCCCTTGCTCCTCCTCCTCCTCCTCCTCCTCCTCCTCCTGCGAGCATGCCACGCCCACAGGCCGACCCCCCGCCCTGAGCGGCGACAACGCCGAGCAATTCGACAAGGAACTCAACCTCCCCGAATGGTGGATGGGCATCACCAAGCTGCGCAAGCGACTCGCCACCCACGCAAGGGGCAACGTCCTCGAGCTCGCCATGGGCTCCGGCCGAAACCTCGAGTACTACAACTGGGAGCCCCTCAGCACCGCCGTCGAGGCCGCCCGGACCGGCAAGATCCCCCCGCCAAAGATCCCCCAAGGCATCACGTCCTTTACGGGCCTCGATATATCCGTCGACATGCTCGACGTGTCGCGCAAAAGCCTCGCCAAGTCCGTCCCACCAATGTCTTCCTCCGCGCCCATTGTCAAGGCCTCGTCCATGGCCGACCACACCGGCGGCCAGCTCTCCTTCTTGGATGGACACGTTCGCCTCGTCAACTTGGACGCGCACCACCCGCTGCCCCCGCCCGCTCATACCGATAAATACGATACTATAATCCAGACCTTTGGCCTCTGCTCCGTCTCCGACCCTGTCGCCGTACTGTCCAATCTGGCCAATGTCGTTCGGCCTGATACCGGCCGCATAGTCCTCCTGGAACATGGGAAAGGATACTATGGCCTTGTAAACGGTCTACTTGATAAGAATGCAGGGAAACACTTTGCAAAGTATGGCTGTTGGTGGAACCGAGACATTGAGGCCATTGTCGAGGATGCCGTGAGCAAGACGCCTGGTTTGGAAGTGGTGAAGCTTGAGCGGCCAAATATAACACAGATGGGAACGCTGGTTTGGATCGAGCTCAAAATGGCAGCAGAAGCCAAGACGGCATAATCCTTCGACAGGATCAAATTACAGCGCATAATCGCGGGCATAGACAACAGGCGAGAATTACTGGCTACTACACCCCAGTGACTGATTGTCACATTTCATTGTACACTACCTATTCTTGGACGACCAAGCATTCGAGAGATGAGCGGGATTTGTTCTTATAATTGAGTGGTTTGCTCTTTTGTATGTATTCCTAAATTTTTTTAAACGCCTCGCCCATAAATTTCCCCGCTTGGCTCCTTTTGTTCTCCTTGTTCATCTCATCATCTCCTTAGTATAATCAGAATCATCATCTAGTATATTTACAATGGAGTGTCTCTCTCTCTCCACACACACATATATCCACGCCATATGCCATAAAATCAAAGGCCATCCAACGCCAGCTCCGTTTCCCTTTTGAGTATTCCCAGCTCATTGCGCCATTCCATGATAACATTAATAGTAATAGTAGAGAGAAAAAAAAAGAAAATTTGAAATCAGCATGCGTCTAGCAAGCAGTCAAGCTCGTCTATTTCGATGCTCTCGGCGCCCTTGCCCCACTCAAACAGCTTGTTTAGTCTTTCCCAAGCGTCAGCGTCGTCTTCTTTCCGACCAGCGGAAATGCTCGGCTTGATGGAGGGGCTAGCGAGAAACGTGGTTGTTGCGCTGGGGCGGCTATCGGAAAACCATACGTCGTCCCGATAATAGTCCATCATGGCGACGCTGTGGCGCTCGACGGTTTCTGGCTGAGGGACTTCCGCGTTTAGTTTGCGCTTTTGCAGGCCATCTGCAGTCTGTGTAAATTCCCGCTCATCCTTCTCCAGAGGAGGGGCATTGTTGCGAGGGCTAAGGATAATTCTACTCTGATGTGAAGAGAAGGATCCAATGGGGGTCATGGGCATTAAAATATCGTCATCAGTATTGTCAAACTCGGTGGCAGACAGATCCACCTCGGGAGAAGGGCTCAGCTCTCGTCGCCTTGCCTCGATGTCATCTGAGCCAGAGTCCTCGGTAAGGGATACTGATGGGGTAAGAGAGGCAACCTGAAGACTTGCGCTAAAGTCTGGGAGTGGCTGCCTAGGAAGATTGGTGAGGAAATAGTAGGTGCGTCGCGGGTGTACTGCCTCGAGCTCTTTGCCCAGTGGACAGGGCGCTGAGGCAGACCAGCAGGTCCGCTTCATGTAGGAGGCGAGGCGGGATGAGATGATGGCGCAGGGGTTCGCAGATCTAGGAACGTATTGTTAGGCTCGTCTGCTCAAGAGATGGGAAAGATGAATTGGTAGAGGAACATACTGTTGTACAGCCGTCAAAGACTGCATGAGAACGGTCGCCAACTCCTTGATGAGATGAGGGCGGTTGGCGGTCGACTGCAGCTGGACAACAACTGCCTCGACAATGTCGTCCTTGATGCTCTCGAGATCGATCTTTTGGGCTGCGTCGGCATCTGGCATCTCCTCGCTGATAGCTCGGGGAGGCGAGGGCGGCGGTGTCGTCTCGATGACGGCGGTATCTGCGGCATGGGACTTCTTGATGCGCTTGTTGGGATGCGCATCTGGAGATTCTGAGCGCGAGGAACTGGCCGCGGGTGTGGCGGACGCCGAAGTCGAGGCCCCGCGAGATGTGCTTTTCGACGAGGCAGCAGCGCGAGAGGCGTGCGTGACGGGGACGTGTATGCCCAGGCTGGGCAGGGACAACGATTTGCGGCGCGTGTTGTAAGGCATCGTGATGTAGATACGGTAGATGGACGAGGATGACGATGACGAAGGTGATGATGCGTAAAGAAGGCTGCGTTGTATATGTATGTACTGTACTGATGTAGTGTAATGTATTAAGGACGATCTGGTGTAATTGGGCTGATTGGACGACGTAATCTGGATGGCGGTGGCAAAGAGGAGACGAGATCGACTACAGGCCGGCACGCATAGAACAGGCTGCAGACGAACAGACAAGGCTACGAGGAGGAGATGAGGCTTTGTTTGTTTTTGCTGTAGATGTTCGTCCCAAACATCCCCAAGGGAGGGCAGAATTGTCTCGGGAGCAGGTCGGGGGGCGGTCTGCGGTTTCTACGAGCGGATGGGAAGGGACTGATTGGAGGGGGGGAGGGAAGCCACGAGCCACCGAGTAGAAAGAGAGGCCAGAGGGTAAGAGCTCAGGCGATTTTCCTGGCGTTGGCGGGCCAGGAAGAAAAAAAAAGAGGCAGCAAGCACGAGAGCTTGAACTTTTTTTTCTTTCCCCTCGAATCCCATTGGTCAAACCCCCCGTCACGGCTGCCGAAGTGGGGCGCGCTAGACGTCAGTGCCCGCACGGACCACTCGCTGCTGCAGCCAAAGCCTCCATGGCAAGCAGGGCCCACAGCAGAAATGGCACGGAAATGGCAAGAGCGATGCCTGTTACAGGTCCGTGTGGTGGGGTTGGCAAGAGCTGGTGGGGACGACGCCTGCCAGACACCGCGCCGGCGGCCACTCTCTGGTTGGTCCGCAACTCGGCACTCAGGGACTATCGCAGGGTGGGGATTTTCTTTTTTTTTCTTTTTTTATTAACGCCTGCCATCTGATGGGGCCACTGCTAGTACCTTGTCGTGTGTCGGGTGAGGTAAAAAAAAACTTGAAGAGAAAAGAGAGAGAAAAAGTTTCCAGTTTTCAGGGTCGTGGGGACCACATCATGGCGATGGAGACGCGCACCAGCTACTGTGTGCCGGACTGGCTTCTAGAACGAAAAAGACGCGAATAAAACGGAGCTGCAGAGCCCGGCAAATTTCGGTATCATGACACTGTTGCTGCGACACTGCAAAGTATTTTTTTTTTTTTTTCCACTCGATTGGTGGTGGCTGCAGGAAAGCTTCTATTCGCGTCCTCCGCTGTAGCAAAGGCGGGGGAGGGGAAGAAAAAAAATAAATGAAGAGGCTGTGAAAAATAATTAGTGATAGATTTTTTTTTTTTTTTTTTGTGCGTGGGTGTGTAAATTGTGTGCACACACTTGCAGAAAGAAGCAGAAAATTTCTCCAGTGCTACGTTGGGGTTTCGCTTGGCATGTGTCCCGACGCTTCTGGCAATCACGGAGTACGGAGTAATGCTCCGAATAGATTGCGACCTCACTTACATGAGCAGTCCCTGCCGTCGATTCTGCTGCCACCGCTTCGCCACCCCTGCCCCGGCGACATGGATCCCCCAAAACGCAGAGGCCAAGGGTCTTTTTCCAGCGGGGCGGGCTGCCAGTTAAAGCGCCCTAAGCGATTAAAGACCGCAGCGCGAGATTTGAGTCGTTTGACTCGCTGCCGCTTTCATGTCATGTGTAAGTCGGGCCACAGCAGAGAGCAGAGCAGAGCAGAGCAGATGGAGCTCAATGCGATGGGCCCAGCCTTTGCCGAAATGAAGGGCTCGCAGTCTGCACTCGGACTAGCTGTGCAAGCTAATTGATGCTGGCGGTGACATGCCAGTGGCTGGGAAAGAGTGAGATTCGATGTTTACTTTGCTTTGGCTACAGGTAAACGTTCTGATCAGGCACCGTACCTACACCGCCCTGCTTTGGCACTTTTACCTACCTGGACTTACACAAGCTGCCTATACCCAGGCATTGTCTGTGCGTCGTCAATGCCTCGGCCCAATGCCGTAGTCAATGCTGCTAGCCGTCCTCATTCGTGCTAGATGTTTGTCCATTGAATGATCTGTTCTTTTGCGCTGGTAATATGTACTCCACTATCCATCTCTTGCGGCAGCCAGCACCGAAATTAACGTGTTGCGGTGTGTGGCCGTTGTACCTAGACCATTTACAGTATACCAGCAAAGGGACCACTTACACCGTCCGATGGCCGGCTGCAGGGTCTCAGTCTCAGTCTCAGTCTCAGTCTCCAAGAGACATGTCGAGATTTACACGAGTCGTCGAGTCAGTGTCTCACTGTGTCTCACAGCTTATGCTCTTCCATCTTGCTCTCCCTGCGTCTATCGTCTCGGTTACTGGTGTCTGTCTCACTTGCCAAGTCTTATCGCTCCCTTGACGGCATACTCGCGCTCGGTGCTCTCGCACCTAGGCCACCCGGTGATGATGCACTCGTTCTTCTCCTTGCCGTCGTCCAGCCCGGCCCATCGTAAGCCTTTGCCCATGCCCAATTTCCACCAGAGGTTCCAGTATCCCTGCTCGAACATGTTCATCCACAGCCGCACGACAGGCATGCGTAGCCAGACTGCATAATACCTCCACCACCCGACGGTGTAGCCCACTATGACGGAGGGGTCCATGACCACTGGGGCGCCGCCTGTGACGTTGGTGATGGCCAACGGCAATAGCGAGCACTCGGAAATGATGCATGCGGGCGGCTGTTGGAAGCGCAGCGTTGCCGCGTCCCAATCCGCCTTCTTGCTGCGGAGAGGCGGGTCGAGCAGCATGTCCCCATCAAGGACCACGAGGCCGTTCCAACAGGTGCCAACCTCCAACACTCGGTTCTCGCGTACAGCCTTCTTGTCCTCCTCTGCTGTGAAAAAGGGCCAAAAGCCACTTACAGGTCTTCCACAACGATCGCGAAGCACCCACGTGTCATATACCGTCGCGCCGTCCATGTCGATGCTGCAGGCCATGCGTCTTTTGCCGGGCTTCGCCATCTGATGCGACATGGGATACTTGGCGTGCGGTCTGCTGACATCATCTCCTCCCACTGCCGCAATTAGCTTGAGGACGTCGGTATGGTGGTAGACGACGTCGTTGAGGATGATGACATTCGCGAATCGCCTGTTGAGTCGCTCCAGGGGCTCCAAGGCGCCGTTGCGAAGATTTGCCATGTAGCCCATCCTGTGCTCAATGCTGTGCCAGGGATTCTCGGGGGGGTACCCGCGCAGGTCTGTCGTTATGTTGACGCTGTGCGCTATATTTCGCCTCGTCAGCTCGCGGCCAAAGTGCAGCAGCTTGCTGGCCGTGTTGTCATCGCTATCGTTTTCCGTCAACGAAACGTAAACGTTTGGCCGGCCAAGAACGTCGATGAGCTTGAGAGCCTGCGTGGTCCATGAGTCCAAGATGTCTTCATTGTTCCAGAAGGAGGCGGCAATGAAGTAGCTCGCGTTGCGAGCTTGCTGCTCTTGTAATGTAGGGGAATAGGCCATGATGGACGCCGCCGTGGGGAATGGCGACGAGATGCCCGTCGTATAAACCCACATGCTGAAGAGCGCACCACACAGCCAAAGCAGCGATTGTGCCGCTCCTCCACCTCTCTTGGCCCTGCCCGCCGTGGAAGGCCCATTGGACGGCAACAAGAAGCTACCCTTCCGCTTCCGCCTCTTGGATGCGTAGGATGAAGAATGGTATGCCCGCCATGCTGCCAGGATCACCTTGACAGGTATCAAGACAAGCACGACGGCGAGGTACACGCTTAGCGGCCCCGAGTTGTGCGTGAATATGATGGGGAAGAAGCGGAAATATAGCGCTGGGAGGGCTACCAGATAGGCCCCGGGATGGCCTTTGACGTGGTGGACGAGGAGCTTTAGACGGCTGGCGTGCCGAGGGCTGTAGCTTTTCGACGTGCGATTGCCATGGCCGTCGTGACTGTCGTAGCTATCGTTGTCGTCGGGTCTGTCGGCTTTGTCGTGGCTGCGATTAGGGTTGCGATTATGGGAGTCGAGGCCGATGCCAATATCCGTCATTGCTGGGTTTTGTGTGGTGTTGACATATTTGCTGGGAGAGGCCGAGGGTGGAGACGGAGATTACACAGTTCAAGGCAGCTGTTAGAGCTAGGCGCTTTCAGTTAGCTGGATGGCTTGATGCCATTACCCTATACCAATGCGAATGTTGGCCAAGCCAGATATTTTTTACTTGTCTAGATGGACAGATGCAACAAGTGATATAATTACCGAAGATTTTATAGAGCTCCAACTATAGCTACTGTCGTTTGGTAGACTATAGGACAATGGCAATGAAAGCTGCCAATTTCTTATGCTGTTTGGCTACTATAAGAGAGCACTCGATGAGTTGGCCAAGTAAAAGCACCCGAGCAATAGTAAGAGCAAGAGTCACAATGGACAACAGGTGGACAAATGAGAATAGCAATTCTGCCACGTATCAAGACTTTCAGATTAAGCTCAGGTCGAGGAAAGAAGACAATTAGCATTTACTTCACATGGTACCTCTACGGAATACGGAGCTCACAGACAACATCAAATTCTCCCCAACTCCCACGTGCGGAGTAGGTGCGGAGTAGCTCCCGGCGCGCCGAGATTTTAGGTCAAAGCCGCCTATACCTGTCTGGACTATTTCGTCAAGTATCAATTTACTTTGACAAACTGGCGCTCCACATCGGCTCATTCCAGCAAGGAACAGAAGGGCGTAAAGTACATTTGGACGCAGCCTCGGTGACATTTGCCCGACATCTGGTTCCGATATGTGGGAGAGCTTACAAGAGTCATCCGTCTGTACCCAGTCGTGCCCTGCCAGGCAAGATTCCGTATTTGGCAATGAAGCTATAGAGGCCGTGAACGGAGAAGCAAAAAGTACTAATATCAAGATAGAGTCACATCAATTGATGTATATAAACTTACTTGTTATAACAAACCACTTCCCCTCACTCTTCCGTCTTCCCCTCTCTATATCTAACCCTTACGCTCAACCAACCCTTGTCCCACTACAAATCTACCACTTCCTCTTCTCAACCTCTCCCTCTACATCATACACCTCATCAACATGGAACTCCCCTACGTAACCCTCGACGTCTTCACCCGCTCCCGCTTCGCCGGCAACCCCCTCGCCGTCGTCACCATCCCCCCCTGGGGCCCGCAGCCAACCCAAGCCCAGAAACAAACCATCGCCCGCGAATTCAACTTCTCCGAGACAATCTTCATCCACGACGTCGCCGACCCGGCCACCAACTCCTCCCGCACCATCGACATCTTCCTCACCACCGCCGAGATCCCCTTTGCCGGCCACCCAACCATCGGCGGCGCCATCACGCTGCTATCCCAGGGCGTCACCCAAATCGTCACAAAGGCCGGCCCCATCCCCGTCACGCCCACCGGCCCGGACTCCGTCTCCATCGCCGTCCCGCACAACGTCCACCTGCACGCCGCCAGCCTCGCCTCCTATCCGGGCCTCGAGCCCGCGGTGCACCTCCAGCGCAATGAGACCATTCGCCAGCTGGAGCTTGCGGCGCCCGTCTTCAGCCTCGTCAAGGGCATGACCTTTGTGCCCATTGAGCTGTCGTCGCTGGAGCTGCTCGCCGCCGTCAACGTCAGCAGCATGGAGTTCAAGGCCGCCGATTTTCTGGATGCCGACTGGCAGCAGGGCTTTGTCGGCCGCTTCTACCATGTTCGCACGGGCACCTCGACCACGGACGACGGCGTGCCTGTGATCCAGCTGCGCACTCGCATGATGGCCCATGACCTGGAGGATCCCGCCACAGGCTCGGCTTCGTGCTGTCTGGCGGCCTACATGAGCATCCACGGAGGAGACAAGCAGACGACGCAGGCAAGACGGTACGAATTCACCCAGGGCGTCGAGATGGGCAGGGAGAGCTTCATTGTGGTCGACGTCACCCTCAAAGACGGTGCTCTTGATACAGTCACACTTGCTGGGTCGGCGGTCCAAGTCATGCGTGGACATGTTACCATTTAGTAGAGCCACTACTCTGATAAAGAATAACTTGCCCCGGCGCCATTTGTCTCACAAAGAAAGAAAGAAAAAAATCCATAACCTTTCGCCTTTGCAATGTCCATCGTAGCCCTTGCTTCCCTCTTCATAAACTGTCATCTTGAACCCAAATGTTATCCGGCTAGGTTCCATAACCCTAGATGCTCCCAAATACGCCACCCCTCTCGCATCGAAAAAAAAAAGCATTTATCGTACATTAATACAAAGTATTACATTTATACCGTTCGCTCAAGTCGCCCCCTCCTTGTATATGCTCAACCGAGCAAAACTAGATCCGAACTTTTCTTTGACAGTTCACCCTTTTCCCTTTCCGTTCTATTCCCAGTGAAGAAAAAAAAAAGGACAATATAGAATAAAAAAGATAAGACAAGTAAAATTGAGCAAACCGAATTCCTTGCTCCGACGCACCAAAATTTATGCGATTAGACTCATAGAACCTCTCCCCACTGTGTCATCGTAGCTTCGTGTCGAGTCCTTTCGATGTAAATTATACCCGTTGAAGCACAGAGGCGAACCGTTCAGCAACCTAGATTTTTGATGAGCTTCTCTTGTAACTAATTTGACAAGGGGGAAAAGCCGCAATCGAAACTGGGCGTTACTTACCTCGGGGGTTGATCTGATAAAGGGGAGTTCAAAGAACATGTTTCTCTCGTTCTTGCATATTTCTACAACTGTGTAGATGAGTCCCCAGGGCTGGGGCCAGAATCCCACCAGCCGCTCCAAGAGGATTCGCGTAATCTCTTGACGAATGTCTGTTTCCTCAGGATCGTTCATATCTTTCCCAAAGATGTGTTGCAACAGTTGGCTGAAGAACTCAGTATGAGGATTGGGGAACCTTAGTTGGTTCACCATGCTGGCTATCAAGTAATAACGGGCTTCCGGAGGTAGCTCGTGCACCAAAAGGGATAGCATGGCAACCTCTGGTTCGCTCCCTGAGATGGACAGTGAACCACTCGCCGGCGGTGGCTGCTCAGTAGCATGGTGACCGGCATACAGTACGACTGCACCGATGAGCTCAGCGTTCGCTGCGATAGCCACGTGGCCGAACGTGGTCTCGGTGGGAGCGTTGGACGTGATAGTGTGTACAATCTGCGCCACCGCTTCTTCCGCAGGGCCGCTTTGGAAAACCTGGTCAAGCACGCTCAACAGGCCAGCCTCCGTCAGAGTTGCAACCGCTTCGTCAATGAGGCCGGGATATGTCTTCAGCTCCTCCAGCCGATCAGCTTTATTGTTCTCGATAGGCTTGCCGTAATTTTGCTGGGGAGTCGCAGTCAAAACCGTGTTGATCAGTTGAATACAGTGCGTCGGTATCTTGGCACAAAATCTGACGTGGTTGGCCGCCAAAAAGTCTGGGAAATCGTGGTGCAGGACCACAAATAGTTTCACCGTGCCCCTGGAGAGATCTTTGCCGGCATCGCTGACGTTGAGCGCCTTCAGCTGCTCGCTCAAGCAGCCGAGCAACTGGCTGACGAGGTCCGCGAAAGGCTTCCATCCTGCATTGTCTACTAACTGCAGCAAAACAGGCATAAAGGCCCGATGCTGGATAAGCAACAGCCATCCAAATACGAATCCAGGTAGATGCTGTGGGCCGATGCTCTCGAGTCTGGTGGCAACTCCCAGCATAACGTCGCAGCGGTCGTCATCCGGCAACTCTTCGCATACAGAGGAAATCTCATGGAAAAGCATGGAAAAGAGGCGGAAGAAGACTCTTTGATTCAGGTGCTCCCCTCGCTTCACATGATGGTGGTTGAGTATCAACGAGACCAATACCAAAACCGAGTCCAAAAAGGCGGCGCGGGACACGAGTGTCGCAGAGTGTACAGCGGAGAAGATGCCGATAAACTTTGCCAGCGCGTCTGTTGCGACGTACGCATCACCAATAGCTCCAGTGTGTAGAATGTGTTCATATCGCTCAACCGAGAGATCAACACCGATGCGCACAAACAATAAAAAGTCCTCGCGATTGCGGATGACATGCCTTGCCTGTAGCTGCTGGATAAAGATGGTCGTGGCTTTGCTTGAGGCATTATGATTATTGCATAGGTGTACCCACTCTTCGAAGACATACTCCAGCTGATCATGTTGGATGGACTGTTCCTCGGCATTGGATGGGCCTTGAGGAGGCTGAGCAGGAACCGAGCCCATCAGCTTGGTCTTGAGCCGCTGGCCAGTGGTAGAGTTGGGGTCTTCGCATATCCATGTCCAGGCTGACTCGAGGGTGCGTACAAAGTCAGTATACAACGCAATAGGCCGGTTGTTGAGGATTGTAAGGTCGAGCATATGTTCGAGGAACTCTAGCGAGCTGTCCTTGCGAGCTTCTAAAACCTTTGACATTGCGAGATCAATGTTTCTCCAGTCGAGCAAATCGGTCCGAATCAGCGCTGCGAGCAGAGGAAGACTCAGGAAGTTTGGCCCAGGCTGTTGGGCAAACAGAGAACGAACTCGGCTGTTCAAAGCAGGGCCAGAAATCTTTCTCAGAGTCTCTAGTACGTGCACCAGACTCTCAAGCGTCAAGTTGTCCTCAACCTGCTGGAAGATGAGGGCACTAATTTGCTCGGCGGCATAAATAGCAAACTCTTCCGAGTTTTGGGACGTCTTAATGATGAGCTGTACAAGGGCATCGACGACATCCAGAACAGGATGCGGCCGAGGCAGGCCGACGAAGTGGTCCTCTTGAGCTTCTCTAGCCACGCGCAGTAACTCCTGTAGCAGCTTGTTGACTCGATCTGCCAGACCTCGAACATCCATTTGAAACCCGGCAGCTCGTCCATTACCCATCGCGTTGGCTGCGGCAAGGTTATGAACAGGGGCATATGGCTGGAGCTGCGCGCCCAGCTGTTGGATTGAAGGTGTCTCAGCGGGTGTGGGAATGTTTGGCAGGGTACTGTAGGTATCTTGTAGAACCTCATTTGCCAGCGATCTTGTAGCTTCTGATGCAGATGGCGCATGAGATGCTACTGTGGAAGAGGTAGTGCGAGGCTGTCTCGCAAAGTCTTCGTAAATCGCCATCTGTTCGGCATTCAGACCACCAGGTCTCGGCTGTATCTTGTAAGGGCTTGGAATAGTCATGGCCCATCGGTTTATTCCTGTTAGATGGTAGGGCTCATTTGGCTGCTGAATACGATGCCGCCTTCTGTGCTCCAGGTCGCTTTCCAGCATCTCTTCAATCTCCGGCACTGCTCGCTCTTCAGCCTGCTTCTCAATGATGCTGCAAGCCAGATCGAGATTGGAGTTGACACACATGATAATGGTGCCCTCGGGGAGACCCGATGGCAGATCGTTGGCAAGGCTCCTCATGTAGTTGGTCAAATTTGCTCGCAGAGGTTCCTTAGACGTAACGAGAGCTAGGCTGCCGGCAGTAGCCTTCACCATGTTGATAGCGGAAGTACGTACGCGGTTTTCATCTGGTTCGGCAATGAAATCTTTCCGAATCATCTGCTGGGTTGATATCGCAGCAATAGTGACGGATCTATCGACGACTGGTTGTATAATATCCTGAAGAGCGCGAGTGAGAGCTGATCGAACGATTTCGTGCAGCCTGCTGGTGCTGACAACCATCTCGTTGGTAGGAGGTATCGTGATGAGAGGTCCAAGCTCCGGAATGGTTGGGACTTGAGGAGATAAGCCAGGTCCGACCGCCGATCCGATCCCGTTCAGCGACAAGCTCTCAAAGGCCTCGAGTTGCTCTTGAACAAGAATACTATCCGGCTCGTCTGCAGCAGGTCGGTTGAGAATCTCTCCAGACGGCTCAATGCTCTTGTGATCCAGGTTCAAGCCCTTGCATAGGACCTCAATCTCGAATTTCAGATTGAGCTTCAGTTCAGCATGGTGATATAGCTCAATCAATAAGTGAATGATGTCCATCAGCCATGGGTTGGGAGGTCTGAAAACTGCTGAGCTTGCGCTTTGGGTTAAAACTTTGCAGACAAACGGGATGACGACAATGAGGCGTTTAGTATCGTGCGCCTCAATAAGAAGCTGTTTAAAAGCAATGTTTCTGTGCTTAATCGGATAGTCCCTGGCAAGGGTCAAGAGACCAAGCCACCCTCCAAGATTCTTCAGATGTGATCTCTCCGTGGAATTCTGCAAAGTCGCTTCAGAGTTTAGCATCCTAGATACACTGATAAACGTCTCGCGGAGAACCTCGGCCCAGAGAATTTTGTCTTCAAACTGTTTGACGAGTTCCAGGTACACATGATGATAATTGGGTTGCATTTTTGCTCGTTCCTCGACAAGATGGCCAGCAAACCATTGCTGGTACCTTCGTTCGAGCATATCGCGAAGCTCGGTGGACATTGACTGAAGGGTACCTTCGGTGATGTTGTTGAGGACGAACTGGATCTTGCCCTGGGTTTCATCATCTGGATCCTCGAATTCGAGTTCGGCAGAGGGCGGATCAATGCTGATGGCTGCGAACGCGGGGGCCGGACGGTCAATGCTGGCTTGTTCATCGCCAGTTCCGTTCGCAAAGGAATCGATGGGAAATCCCACCCCATGGGGAGTGCCTGATCCATTGCGAGCACGTACAAGCTCCTCTTCGTGATCTCGAACAATCTCCTCTGCCTTTTTGAACGCCTCGGTTCCCTGGAGGCCAGGAATTTGAAGTAGCTGTTTACAGAATCCTGGCCATTCCCGAAGACGCACCAAGAGTTGCATCAAAGCCTGAAGACCAAATTTAAACATTGGGTCATCAGGCATGTGATCCCTTACAGCCTCCAAAATCATCCCAAGACCAATCTTCAGGGGAAGATCAGAAATAAGCTTGTGAGAAATGATTCCTCCAAAAAGAACCGCGGTTGTGGCAAGAGCTTCAAGGGGATAGTCGACATAATGATTGTACTCATCGAACAGGCCATGAATCATGCAGGCAAATACATCCTGGTCGAGCTGATCCCGCGAATGCTTGTAGCGATCCAATATCTCCACGATTGTGCGGACTTGGATCTCATCGCCGTACATCTTTTTATAATGCTCCTCCATCTTACTATTGGCTGCTTGCGGTAGAGCATTTCCATCCTTTCCATTGGCATCAATTATGTCATCATATCCTTCTCCATAGTTGATCAAGCGGGGGTACGCGGTAATACAGTGACGCTGGACGAGAATGAGATCGAGAACTGGTGCTTTGGGTAGGAAGTCCTCAAGTATCTGCAACAATGCCGAAACAGTTCGCACCTGGAGACTGGTACTGGTTTTCACGGGTGGCTGGCCATCTGGCGGTCGCTGGAACTGGATCTCTAGGTTTGCTTTGATCATGAGGAACTGCAACAAAGTTCGAGCAATCTCATTGCTTCTCTCAGCATTGAACTGAGCCCATTTCGACAAGTCCAAGTAGCCCTCCGCGTGAGCAAAGGCTGCAAGATCAATGCCGAATCCGTTTGGAAGATACACCAGCTCTTCCAGCCAGTTATGCTTGGCTGCATGGTCGAAAATGAGCGGCAGATCCACAGGCTTAACCGCATGCGCGTCAATAAGTCGCTGCACAACCCATTCCTTGTCCTTTTTCCAAAGGCTATCGAGCACAAAGTCGTACTCGGGTGAGCGCTTGTATAAAAAGGTCTCGAAAAGAGAGTTCAGGGTATCAATGGCCATGACTGCCCATGACTGCCTGGGAACCTCAAAAGCGGAGACTAAGAAGATGTCAAGGTTCGGGACGACGACCTCTTGGAATAGTCGCTTGGCTTCGACACTCTGGGATGCGTGGACTGAGTTGAGGGCGACATTGAATATTGCCGACAGTGCCGCCACGGATACAAGTGGATGCTTGACGACGACAGCGGCACGTTCCTGCACGTTAGGAGGCGAATTTGCATAGTCTTCAATCTTGATGCTCCGTTCGAGACCGGGAATTGTGGTAGCATCGAGTTGATCAGGGCCCAGAGAAGCGTAGGCGCTGACGAAAGACAGCTGTGCCTCCGGCTCGCTCCAAGAGCCACCCCACAGGCGCTGAATATCGAAATTGTTCGCTGGCTCCTCGGCGATAGGTAAAAGAGCCCTGTAAAGGCGTAGGAATTGAGCAGAAGAGATGCGTGCCGAGGGCTGGTCAAAACAAAGGACCACTTCGGTCCAATCGAAAGATTTGGGCACAATACGGAGGAGCGCGCTGACGAGGACAACGGGATCATGAGGGGGAGTTTGGCTGACTGTAGCATATGTCAGTGCCGCAGAAACCTGCTCAGGGCCGAGCTGGATGTTAGCCGGCCGACCCCGCAGGAACTGAAAGCACGATTCATCGTCCCTTGTAGAGTCCGGCCCAGACTTTTGAATGTAGCGAGCCAAGGAATTGGTAGGCCGATCGGCTAGAACTCTGCTGATATCGAGGGCTGCCAGGACTTCGGAAGGGGGTGCCTGGTCCACAGACAAATAACGCTTGGCAACCGAATTTTGGAGATCTCGGCGAGAGGCTGCATTGAAGCTCGGAGGATAGTATTGCAAAAATCTGTCAATGATGAGTGATATAAAGGCGGGGGTGAGGTCAGAGTGGGCTTCAATATCCGGTCGAGAGATGATGTCCATGAAGGTCGGGAAGTTGGTGGATAGGATGGCATCCGCTATGATAGAGCCCAGCCGTTAGCGGTGAATCCAAAAAGGAAAAAAATTATGGCGGAGTGCAATCTTTGTCTCACCTTTCGTTTTCAAGTCAGGGCGAGACCCAAGCTTGAATGCCAAAGCTAACAAGGTCTTTTCCAAGGCATCGAGCTTGAAGTGCTCCATAAACGTTGACAGGTCGAAATCGCGGAATATGTCCTCCGTGCCACTTTCCACCGACTCTGCGATTTTTGTGGCTTGATCGACATCGTGTGCAATCTTGCGCATCTCACCAACGAGAATGTGGTAGTTGCCAGGGTTGGCAACGGGTCTGTTGAGGCCCGGGAATATCTGGGGTGCATTGCCCGCCACCAACCGGGTGAAGTATTTGGAAAAGACCTCCATGCCGTGTTCATCGATGAGCTATAGTGGCCAGCGGGGTTAGAGCCATCCGGGAGTTTAGAGCCAAGGAGGGGCTTACCTTTCGTAATTGCTCGACTTGCAGCTCCCACTTGGCACGATCCTTATCCTCCTTAATGGTACTGAGCAAGAGATAGACTTGGGCGACGACAATTTTCGTCAGGGAGTTGGCCCCCGTTGGACTGCTTGTGCTGGGGCTTGCGCCAGCACTGAGGATACCAGTATGCGATGGATGGGGTGAGTGGTTACTGCCAGTTTGAAGGGTCTGCGCAGGATTTGGTGAGAATGATCCCGCTCTTTGTGGAGGGGGGACCATGGAGGGATATTCGCGGCGGTCGAGAGTGGATGAGGTGGTGTCTGCCAAAGGGCCAAGGCAGACCGGTGGGTTAAGGACGGGAGGAGATTAGGGTACGAAAGAGGTAACGGCTAGGTATCAGAAGGTAGAACCGAGAGGCGTTCCTACATGGGGGGGCTGAGGCGTTGGGATGATGGTTGGTCGAAGTTTGCTGAGACGAGGTGGCAGAAGAAGAAGCTTCTCTCGAGCCAAGGCGCTGATAGCGAAGCTTGACTGTGCGGGACGTCGAGCCAAAGTGGGTTCGCGTGAAAGATCCTCGTGGCAGTACCAAGACGCTGAATTGGCAGATGGCGCAGGGAATTGTGCGACTTCTGGAAAGGCGAAAAGCAGCAGTCAGGCAGCGGCCGAGAGGGTGGATCAGCAAGTGCGTCGAGGCAGGTTTGAGCGTCTGAGGGTCTCGTTCGAAGGCTTGGGTGCAGGATGGAGTGGAAGAGGCTCCGGACAGTACCGCAAAAAGAAGCGTAGACGAGGGCGGCGATTTGTTCCGCCTTTGTCGAGGCAGGGTGGCAGCCCGCGCTGCCTTGGGCCAGCCATTAGGTTCGCTGCGGAGGCTCACGTGACGCAGCCGCGCCGGTCTGGGCTGTTTCCTGGCCAACGCTTCAGCCACTCTAAACAACGCCACTGTCCTGCTTTGGCGGTGCGGCGGCTATCCATCTGGACGGGTTCTTATGCATCTTACCCGCATCCTCTGCGTCTTGCAACCACCCGTGACATTCGAGCAGCTGCGCGTTGATACATGCGACAGAGGCCTTCCGCGCTCCCACGAAACATTTCGATCGCTTTCTGGATTTACGATAAAAATTGGCGCATACAATCGACCCCTCACTCCCACCGGGCACCATGCCTGCCGCGATCACAGACGCTCCGGCGGTAGCAATGTCTTGTCAGTACCCTGCGCCGCGAACCCGCGCCCAGATAGAGCAGACCGTGCTGACAGTAATATCGACGCAGTTGCCAACAATTTTTGGGGCAAAGACGATGCTGGCGTCACCCCCCTTCTCGACCGAATGGTCAACTCAAAGCAGACTTGCGACGAACTCAAAAGCTTCTATGGCGGTGAGGATGCCTGCCGCCAAGATGATGGACTCATGGTCCCATAACGACTAGTTACTAACTTGCGACATGTACAGCACGAGCTTCGATCGAAGATGAGTATGCCCGAAAGTTGTTGAATCTGAGCAAGAAAACCATAGGCACTCATGAAAGCGGGACACTCAAAGCTTCTATGGAAACGGTCCGCACCGAACTCGAGGCCATGGCCAAGCAGCATCAAAACATTGCTGCGCAAATGAAGACGGAGCTCGAAGAACCGCTGGCCGCCTTCGCAGGAGGCATCAAGGAACGACGCAAGATTGTTCAGGGCACTGTGGAGAAGCTGCTCAAGATCAAGGTTCAACAAACAAATCAAGTAAACAAAGTAAGGGGCACACGCGAGATGCTAAACGTTCCTCGGCTGACTTGGACTAGACTCGGGACAAATACGAACAGGAATGCTTGAAAATTAAAGGTTATCTCGCACAAGGCCATATGGTGATGGGTCAAGAAGAGCGTCGAAACAAAGCCAAGCTGGAGAAGACTCAAATCAGCCTCGCGACTTCGAACACGGAATACGAGAATGCCGTCAAGGTGTTGGAGGAGACCACCGTCCGATGGAACAGAGAGTGGAAGGCCGCTGCCGACAAGTTTCAGGACCTTGAGGAAGAGAGGCTCGATTTTACCAAGAACAGCCTTTGGACGTATGCCAATGTCGCGTCGACAGTTTGCGTTAGCGACGATGCTGCTTGCGAGAAGATTCGCCTCTCCCTAGAGAACATGGACGTGGGGACTGACATTATCACCTTCATAAACGAGCGTGGTACTGGCCAAGAGATCCCCGAGGCCCCCAAGTACATCAACTTCGTCCGCGGCGATGTCCACGATACCAACTCTGAAGCTTCCGAAGATGAAAACAACTATACCGTGGCGCAATTTCCCCGGAGTATCAATCCGGCTTTCCGCTCGTCTTCACCACAGCCTTCCACGTTTGAATCGCATCACGATCCCAATTCCGCGCTGGCGAACGATTTGGCTCACAGACCTCCAGTCAAGCCAACTGGCCGTGAGGGTGCGGCAACTCCTCAAAAGAGCCCTCAGAAGATGCTGCCAGCTGCACGCGCATCCTCGGAGGATCAATTCCGTAAGCCGCAACCAGCAAGCATGGATGAACGCCAATATCGAGCGCTTCCGCCACCGGGAGGACCGGGAGAAGATCAATATCGCCGCCAACAGCCTGGCCCAGGCGACCAGCATCGCCGGCAGCTGCCCCCACCTGACGAGCAACAACAGCCGCAGCAACAGCAGCCGCAACAATATGGGAGACAGCCACCTCCAGCTGATGATCAGTATCGTAGGCAACCACCTGCGGCCGAAGACCAGTATCGTAGACAGCCACCAGCTACAGACGACCAGTTTCGCAGGTCACAAACAGGCTCACACCCTCCATCGCCATATGATAATCTTCGGCAGGGTCCTAAAGGAACGAGCCCCCATGATCCATATCCAAAGGATGGAATGACGATGCTGTGCCGCCCTGGCCCTCCTTCAGCTAGCAGCTCCCAGATCCAATCTGCCAGACCGTCGAGCCGAGACTCTCGCAGCGAATATTCGGATCCTACGTCGGCTTCCAGCCAGGAACCTCAAAGCGGCAAAATGTCCCCTTCCAAGCAAGATCCGCCGCTCTCGTCGCCGCTCTCGTCAAGCCCTGATAAACAAGCACTCAAGAAACGAAGTGGTTTCTTCCAGAACCACAGCCCCTTTAGACGCAAGAGCACCAAGGATCTGCAAGCTGCTGCCGCCGCTGGTGGTGCACCTAGCAACAGAAACACTTGGCACCCGTCTCAATCTCAGACATCGACAAGCCCCGTCCGCCGACCTCAGCCCTACGGAAATAGCGAACCGCAGACTAGGAATTTGCTGAAAGAACGGACTGCTAGCCCAGAGCCAATTGATGCTAATGCAAGCCTGGCTCTTGGTGTGGGACAGAACGTGCTCCCCGTTACGACCCCTGATACCAGCCGACAGAAACCCCAACAGGTGCCCCAGAAGGCTGAGCCGGCGGATCCCATTGCAGCAGCCTTGGCCGAGCTCAAGAATGTCAACGTAGGCAAGCAAGCTTCGGTGAGAATGTCGGCCGACCACTATCATGGCATCTCTACTCCTGTTCCAAACACAGAGGCAGCGATGACAAGAGCATTCCCGGCTCCTGGTAGCCATGATGCAGCTGCCGCCACGCGCGGCACACCTCCGCCTTCGTATCAAGCTCAAACCCAGGTGACGAGGCTGGGAGTGCCGCCTCCAGCCGTCACATCCAGGGCTATGAAGCAAGCTTCCCAAAAGGTGGCGAACCAGACACGAAGTGTTTACGGCGATGACGGCCGTAGAGGGTCTGCGAGCAACGCTCCCTCTCCTATTTCACGACCTGGTACGCGAGGCAACGATCGCTCGGCCTCTCCAGCTGCTGCTCGTGGCGCATCTCCCCAGCCTCACCGGCAAATGAGCAATGATCCTAGACACTCGGCATCGCCAAACCCTTACCATCAGCGAAACAATTCTTCGACCAGTGTGAACCGTGGTCCAGATCAAGGATACTACCGCGGGGCATCTCCTCATGGGTCCACTAGGGGCTCAACCAGGGGGGCTTCACCAAATCCCTACAGAGGGGACTATAACAACTATTCACAGAGCCGTCCGGGAAGTAGCTATAGCGGCTCTGAAATGGCGATGCAGTTAGCTTCTCCCGGTGGCGGCGATGATCGTTATGGCTCTACCAGAAGCCGGGCCTCTAGTCGGCCAGGGTCGCGAGCCATGGGCCTTTATGATGGAGGCCATCAGCGCAGCAAAAGCGTGGCTGACCCGTCCAGACAATATTCGCGAGATGGACGACCAATTTTACATATGGGTAAGTTGTTTCTCTCTTTTCCTAATATATGCCCACGAATCTCTAGCAATAGATTGACTGACATATGTGATAGCGCGCGCGGTGTACATGTATCAAGCTGCTATCCCTGAGGAACTTGGCTTCGCTAAAGGCGACTACCTTGCCGTCTATCGTCACCAAGATGATGGATGGTGGGAAGCAGAAGTCCACAGCGGAAATGGCCAAATTGGGCTGGTCCCAAGCAACTACCTCCAGCCTTGTTAAATGGGCAACGAATAAGGAGCTATTCTATTGCTGTGTGATGCCGCTTTTCTTCTTCTTCTTTCATTCTTATTCCCCTTCGCTCCAACCCCCTTTATTTTTTCTGAATGATAAACACGACGAATCTGTTTATGGCTGGTTTGAATGTATATGATCTTGATGATGTTTTTTTGCGGTTTTTGCAAGGACACTCAGACTTACTGTTTATGCTTGGTTTCATTCGATTATAGTGGTGCGATCCTTATATGGGTGCTCTTTGTTAATAAATCCTGTCCTTTCCTTTCCGCTCAATCCTCCTGGAGATGCGTGAGATTGTGTATGCCCCCTACTGTTTCCTCTTCTTTTGGAAATGTTAGTCTATATGTAGTCTGCTGGAAACTTGGCGTTGTCGTGATACCAAGTCCAGCACTTAATTGATATGGGTAGGCCTGCTAAATGTGGTAATTAGCTGAAACTACAAGCGCAGTACATCTATTCCGCGGTATTTTCTGCACAGAATGTAGCCGCCCTAGCGTCAGGAGAAAGTACCTTTATAGTACCCTTTGCTGCCGCCACCATCGGCTAAGACGTCATGTTGATCACATGCTCTCATGTCAATACCTAAATCAACAAATGCAGGTCCCAAAACTTCAAATTGCAAGTGCCTCGCTGTGTTTCGCACATCCCCTCGACGTTTCATGTGCTTTGCAGTTTTTGTCTCCTGACTGAAAGGATATCCCAAACGTCTATGGAATGATTTAATCTGCTCGACTTTTCTGCCATGGTAATCGCAATCTGCTTCGCTATTTGGTCTGCATCTTGAAGCTCCTTGAGCTGACGCTAGTCATGTACGCCAGGAAACATTCCAGGAGACTGCGCGTGTTATCACCTCGAAGCCCGTCCAGAGGGCCGCTGTCAATATCGCGTTGCTCGTTTCTGGAGCGGTGACACTGCTTGGTCTGGCTGCGATTGCCTCTGTGCTCTTCTTCCAGAACTTTGTGCCTGACCAGTTTGTCACTACGCCAGTTCATCTGCAATATGGGTGCGTATAGTTGTAGTTGCGATGGTATAGTGACGACGGGCGCATCATTTGCTGATTCTTGGCCTGTATAGGACGGGTCTTAATCCATATGGCCTTACGGCGCTGACCGTGCCGCTGCTGAAGCCGCAGCAAGACTACGACATCTCCGTTACCCTTTCAATGCCGCGATCGCCTCCCAATGTCGAACGAGGGAACTTTATGGTCAGCCTATATCTGCTGGGCTCCGAGAATGGCTACGCATTAGCTGAAGATGCGCGGAAATTCGCCAATCGTGAACCGAGTTTCGAGCAGAACGATGTGCTTTTCCACTCACGAAGGCCGGCCTTGCTTCCTTACATCGACCCCGTGGTTTCTTTGGCATCGCGCGTTCTGTTCTTACTCTACCACCTGATATTCCCAACGGCGCAGACTTGCATGATGAAAATACCAGTAGCCGAGCGAGTCGCTTTCCCGACGGATTCTTCCATTCCCTTGTCGGCGTATGTGGAGATTGAGGCAGGGCAGGAGATTCAGATTTACAGCGCTTCACTTACGATGACGGCGCAGCTTAGCGGCCTCCGATGGCTCATGTTTCACTACCGCCTTTTGACTTTTATGACGTTTACGATGGTATTCTGGGTCTGCGAACTTGCCTTTATGAGCGTTGCTTGGGCCATCTTTGGCGCTTTGATGGGATCTTCTTCGTCGAACAAACTGGAATACAAGACTCGAAAAAGTCAGCGCCAGTCGACAACAGAAGAAGCGACAGACCCGGAAGACTCTGACGAGAATGATGACAATGATGGTGGATCAGATCATCCGCACCAGTTCCCTACTTACGGAAAGCAGCCTGCCTTGAAGCACGAACCAGACATCAAAGACGAGGAAGAGCATAAACAGCCTCTTTATGAGATACCTGTTGCCGGCGAAGAAGCTGATGATGAAGAAGATGTTGAATCGCCTCGAGACTCGGGTATTGGTACCAGCTACAGTGGAGAAGGGAGCAGCAGTGTTCGCAGGAGGAAATCGCAATCGCGCTTGGAGCAGTAGACTGAGCATGTAGTTGAGTGGTATTGCAATATTTACCAGATACCCCAATGAATTAACCAACTTTTGTTAGCGGTAGACGTGTTTTCTTTGTTTATCAATTGATCTTCATTAACACCCATATGAATGGATGACCCTGTAATAGCGCCCACTCAGACGCCTTCCAGTTGTTGGGTATTACCTACTATTGCCAACTGCTCTTCTCTTGAAACGTCTTGATCGCCGTCTAAGTTAATAAAGCTGCCAGGCCTACTAGCTACCTTACTTTCAATCAATGAGCGCCAGAGTAGGGCCTCATTTGGGCTCTGGGTTCAAATTCATTGGGCGGCATGATCCGCAATAGCGAATGCCACCTTTCTGCCCCCCCAGAGCCCCAAGGCCCTGAGACCCTTGACCGGTAGGCGCTATTGCTGCAGCGCCGCCAGGCCGCATGATCCAACGGCTGCCAGCCAGAGACACGGAACAGCTTTCCTGGCGGCAAATACCAATAACCCTTGCCAGCACGGCCGAATTAGGGCACAGCCAAAGCGCAGCTGCGAGTCAGTGCCAGCGCATGCGCTCCATTCTTGCGGTGAAAACCAGCTGGCTTGTGGCATTCATGCATGAGGCGGCCGTGACAGCACTGCAGCTGGCGCCCAAGCACTCTAGAACAGGCGGGCTGGAATTTGTACCCAGCAGGTCCCGATCGGACTAAGAGATGATCCGCTGATGCGGGCGGGATTAGACCCCCCCAAATAGCCCCCCCTTCCAACCATTCACTGACGAGGCCGTCCTCGGGTGCTTATTCGCAGCAAGCCATGGCCGTGCTTCTTTTGTGATTATTTTGGTGAACGCAAAGTCAACTCATCGCCCGTGTCTTTTTGGTCGTCCCCCATTCTTGCTTCCGGTGCGCAGCACTCGCCCTCACCCGACGCTTTTTGCTCGTCACATGGATGGCTAGCTGGTGAATCGGAGCTCTAATCGCCAAGCTTGATCAGTTTCCCCCCACCGCCCTCTCTTGGCCAAACAGTCGACGCCTCCCTCGTCTCCCAACGCCCACCAGCTCTTAAACAGCCCAAATCTCCCAAAATCCCACCCTCGAGCGACAATTTCCCTCTCGCAAACCGCCTCGTTCCCGTTACGATGCCCTGCTTCAAGGGTATTGCGGTTAGCATCCATGCCAACTCCGCTCCGTTACCCGAGTACGGCATACAGAAGCAGTCGAGGCTGTCTCGCATTAGCACGTACATTCCCGTGCCGCAGCCGACCCTCAACCCAGGCAACAAGCCGGAGCCCGCCAAGTTTGCCATCTCGATCACGCTGTTGACGCCCGGCCTTCCCATCCCGTACTCGGCCCCAAAGCCGTCCGAGGCCAACCCGTACCCGAAGCCACAATTCGTTGGAGGTCTCCACCCTGGCTCCCAGAATGAACGAGGCAAGCCTGGAGCTGTGGCTCCCTACGTGCCCTTGACAAACTCTGAAAACGAAACGATTGCCGCCTATATTTATTTCGATGGGAGGGGCAAGGAGGAGGTGGCCACTTTACTGCGCCCTGGCGAGGAGACTTGGGTCAATAGTCGATGGGTCCAAGTCCCTGATGCTGAAGGCGGCGGCTTGGCCGAGCGTGAATTCCTCTTCCGCGAGGTTGGCCTCGAGCGCTGGCTTAACGGCTTAGATCTCAAGGGCCACGATGCTGCAGAAAAGCTTGAGAGGCGGCGTCAGAAGTTTGAAAGACGGAGGCGGCGACAGGCAGCGACCCTGGAAGGCAACTCCAGCATGGATTCAGATGCGCGAAAGGGCACTCTGCGATATGGCGACGAAAGCTCGCCAATCGAGCCCGTGTATGACGACTCCGATTCTTGGTCTGACGACGATGATGAACCTCCGGAGGCAACAGGCCAGATCAAGGTAGCCATGTTCCGCGTTCTAGCCTCAGGAGAAATAAAAAAGGGAGAGTACTCTCCTCAGTTTGATGCACACGATGGAGATGACGAATATGAGAATGGCAACGGAATCGACGCAGATGTTGAGCACACTACGAGTTTCGCTAAACCCAAGACGCTCGATCCCAAGACCATCAGCACCCAAACAGTTACTGGAATTGATGGCCCAGACAAGCCTTATGCTACTTTTACATTCTTTTACCGTGGCGAAAGTGAGTTCGATCACCTGCTTACATGCGCTCCTCTTTCTCCCAATTTCTCTGGCTAATACCGAAATAGGACAACTGCAAAAGATTGGCGTCCTCCAGTCAGCCAAGAACTCACAGACAACAGCTCTCGCGGCCAAACGACGCTCAGGTCAGATAGACTTTTCTAACCTAGGACCTCTCAAGGCCGGTGGCACAGTCGGATTTTCTGCGTTCCGAGACCAGGAAGCCGAAGAGGCACGACGACGAAAGGCTAGGAAGAAGAGCAACGGCAATGTTGCTGATGACAGCGACGATGACGATGACGAAAATGAACTCATTGGCAAGATGGAGGAAGTAGCCGACAAGGAAACTAGCTCCAAGCTAGCTCCAGAAGATGCCAAATTCCAAGGCGAATTAGCAGATGGCGTTAACCGTATACACGTATGATTCAACTTGACCCTTTCCGAATCCATATGGAGCTCGAACGCTAACATCAATTCTCATATAGCTTAAGAGGGCACACTCGGCCGAACCAGACGCAAATTCTACCCCAGAAACATCGCAACGAACCGATTCACCGGCCGATCCAGGATTGTCAGGCGGATCAGCACCAAGTGCAAGCTCAAGCCTGCAGGCCAATTTTGACTCTCTTGCTGCGGCAATGGTTGGCAGCCCGCTCAAAAAGGCACGACCAAGCGTTGATCAGACCAATACTACTGGAGATAGATTCTCTACTACTCAAAGCTTGAGTTCAGCTCTGGGAACAGTTACTTCAAGTGGTGCTGAGTCTCCTACCAAAGAATCGCCAGCTTTGGTGAAGCCCGAAATAAAAATAGAAGAAGAGGAAGAGCTATAGTAAGAGCGATACGTGTGCTGAAGCATGACGCTATAACTTGGCGAATTTGATGACCTCAAATTTATACATGTTAATACCTTGCTTATTGGAATGATCAAACGAAAGCATGCAGAGCGAGCCAAAGTTAGCAGAGAGAATTCTGGACCGGTCACTAACGACTACACTTTATGGGAATGGGTCATGATGTACGAACGATTTGCAGAGTGTGGATTGAAACCAATACTTTTTTTTTTTCACTTTTTTTTCATATTCATTTTCACCCCCTCCTTTTTTTTTTTTTTTCACTGGATTTGGTAAAATGGAGAGCAGGAATAAATGCGGATGGGATTAAATAGGGGCGCCTGGAAACTCTGAGATGCTGTTCTCGACTTCCATTGCAGCGCTTGAAGGGAGCACTTCTGCAGGCTACCGGCTGGAGATGGGCTATATGGACTGGTTTGCATTCTCTAACTATAGATAATGGCGATAACTTTGGAGCTGTCCTGCTCATCCGCCACTTTTTTTGGTATGTTATGCTTTTACGGCATGCTGAAAGGGTTGGCTATATACGGGAACTGAAAAAAAAAAAAACTTGTTAGACTTGCATCAGGAATCGAGTTTTTTTTGTCGTGCTGAGCGGAGCTTATAAAACGACTGAGGAGTCTATCCTTTTAGAGTATACGCAAGAAATATGAACGTAATGACCAAAATCACGTTTTCTGTGATATTGCTTGAACTTCATTTTCGTGGTCAAATAATTCTCGTTTCTTTTGAATTATATCTTGCAAAGTAGGACGATGGCATGTTCTCAAGATTGACGTAAGATGGGACTATCGTACTATGGCTATCGGCCTATTCCCACCAAATAGTCAAATGTGAATGCAACGTCAGGTAAGCAGAGTTTATCGCCTTGGTTCGCAGGAATTAGGTATTCGAAGGATCCGTTGACGTAAGATGGGTACTATAGCCGCTGGCCTACTCCAAATACTACATAGTTGTATAAGTACAGCACCAAGTCTACAATTTACACCGTGGTAGCCTTGCCCTTTTTATATACTTGTAGTAAAAGGAATAATTAAGGCACGGCTATTCACGCGATCTCGTTATATTAGACACTCAGTCATGGGTCGACCGTGGCGCATCATCCCGACCCTCTGCCTCGCTGCGAGCGTCGTATCAGTGAGGGGTCAAGGAAATGCGGCAAACGCCCAGAATGAGCAGAAGCCAATTGCATCTCAAGAACACGCTGCGAGTGGAAATCCGCTGACGTCTGAGTTTGCGGAGTTTGTGCTTGAGAGATTGGATGAGTGGAAGGTTCCTGGCGTTGCGGTGGCTGTGATTGACGGGGATGAAGTCTACGCCGAGGTAAGGGTTTCTTTTGTTGATTGCTGTCGGTAATACTGATAGTCAATGCTGCTTTTGTAGGGCTATGGATATGCCACGCTGCCAGATGTCCCGGCTACTCCAGAGACTCTGTGGTACGGCGCCTCGACAACCAAGGCGCAGGTGGCTGCAGTCCTATCCGCTCTGATTCATTCCGGCAACTATTCAGCGTTGTCGCAAGGCTGGGAAACGCCTATTTCGTCCATTATCCGCGACGATTTCGTCCTACAAGACGAGTGGGCGACGAATCACATCACCTTGAACGATGCTGTCAGCCACCGAACAGGCATGGCTCGTCACGATCGTTCCTGGCACTGGGCTGTTGATGGAAGGATGCAAACTCCGCGGGATATCGTCCGGAATATGAGAAACCTGCCACTTACTTATGAACCGCGCGTAAAGCCTTTATACTGCAACACCATGTACGTGGTCCTCTCGCATGTCATCGAGACGATTACGGGTAAATGGCTCGGAAACGTGCTCAAGGAGAAGCTATGGGGGCCGCTGGGCATGAACTCGACCAAGTTTGACTTGCAGGATGCTCGAGATGGCCCTGAGCATTTGGCCTCTGGATACTACTGGGATCTGGACAAAGAGGAGTATACGGAGGTGCCTCATATGCCTGTGATGGAAGTCAGCGGAGCAGGTGCAGTGTTGTCCAGTGCTCTTGATTATGCCAAATGGGTGAAGAGCTTGCTCCACCAATCCGGACCTCTTTCCGAAGATGTGCACAAGGACATCAGATCCCCCAGAACGCTCTGGGATGCTAATCTTGCGCCTGGGTATGATCTTATGCTGTATGGACTGGGCTGGATGAGGACTTTACACAAGGGCCATGTGGTGTATACTCATAGTGGAGGGATGCATGCTTTTGCGTCCGAGGTATATTGGTTCCCAGAGGCCATGTATGGAGTGGTGGTTTTTGGAAATACGGCAATAAGCCAACCTTTGGAAGAAACCGTTGCGTGGAAGCTCATTGATGATAAGCTTGGGATTCCCCAGAAGGATCGCGTGGATTACGGTGCCAAGTATGTTTCTGTTGGCCTTACCCCCAAGGACACCCGTGCATGAGATGCTGACTTTTGAAAGATGGGACAAGGTGGTAAAGGACATGTCTTGGCAATACGCACATGCCGTGGACGTTCTTTATCCCGAGAGACAAGATCCCGCATCGCCCCCTACATTGGCTGTGGGCGAGTTTGCGGGCACATACTACGATCCAGGATACGGCAACATTACTCTTCGCAAAGAGCCTCACCCAGATAAGCCGGGCGAGAGCATCTTGGTTGCCGATCGTCCAGAGACAACATGGAACTATTCGATGCACTTCAATCATGTCACGGGCGACTACTGGATAGTGTATCTACCTGCGTCGATATGGTCTGGTGTCAGATTCGAAGAATTTGTAGCAGCAGAATTCAAGCTGGGAGCGGATGGAAAAGCATCCGGCGTTGAGATTACGTGGGAGAATCGGATGGATGCCATGTACGAAGGCAAGGTGTTGTTCAGACGAGTTGCGTAGAGGGTCGAGAAAATCGCCGTTGCCTAGCTGTATTGCAGTCTTGTTAGCGGCTGTACATTCCCATACAGGATATCATATAATGAGAAGTGTGCAAAGAAGAGTGTATTTGTGTATTGTCAGACAAAAAGTTGGTGATTAAGAATTCAACATCAAATTCAGTTGGCCGTTCTTAAGTTTTATCATCAGGAGAGAGGGCGGCATTCAGCTGGTATAAAAGCTAATTGACTTACCAGATAGTTGCAGATCAATTCATTGCTGCGATTGCAACAACAAGATACGAAGAATAATAAGAGAAAAATGTGTCGGGTTAATCGCAGCTTTGGCCCTAGAGCTGGAGTTGAAAATCCTACTCTCATGAAAAAAATTTGGCGGCTCAAGATATAGACGGACATCCTTTTAGATACATGCACCCCGTTACCAGAGCTCCTATCCCACCATTTATGCACTTACACAGCTATGACCCAGCTATATGCGCTTAGTAGATAATTTGCACTGTGTGTCCCTCATCTGCCTACCCCACCATCGCTCCCTGCGTTTATCGTCTTCACAGCCTTGGGCACATTTTGCGATAAATCCAACTGCGAGTACACATCTCTTGTTCGCCTCCCCACGACCTCTCCGAACCTCTGATTCCTGAGTCGAGACTTACAGCCGCCAGTTTTCCATCCGAAAATCGAACCCCCAACCGTCAAAATGGCCAGTAAGACGTCAAACAACCCCCTCTAGCGATGCGCCGTAACGAACTAATCACGCAAAACTGCAATAGACGTCGAGGAAATCGCCAGTATGTGTCTACGATACAGCTACCGCTGAGCTGAGCTTTCTAACGCGAAATCGCTTTCTCGAACAGAGCAGTTTGTCAATGGCTTCTTTACGGGCATGAGCACCAACATTGCCGGCCTCGCTGCCGTCTACGTAGGTTGCGACTCGGCCAAACGGCATTTCGATGAGGTTTTAACGCTCTACACAGACTCCCCAGTCCGTCCTTACCTTTGAGTCTCAGAAGTTTGAGGGTGCCAACGCTATTCTGGAGAAGCTCACGGTATGTAATACTCTTTACCTATGCTATAAGGAAGCCAAGTTCTAACGGCTGTGTAGAGCCTCCCCTTCAAGATGAGCGGCCACCAGCTCTCCACCCTCGATGCCCAGCTCGCCGATAACGACCTCCTGATTCTGGTAACAGGAAAGCTCAAGGTACCAGATCCCCAAGTAATACCAAGTAAGATGGGATGTCGCTGACGCATACAACTAACCCTAGGTCGACGAGGACGAGAACCTGATAAACTTTGTCCAGAACTTCAAGGTCAGCGTCAGCCAGGGCCCCGGTGGCGAGATTACTGGCTTCCTCGTCAAGAACGACATCTTCAAGCTGGTTTACTAAATTCTTGGAACTCAATACTGGAAAAACTTTGCTTGTGGACGAGGAGTGAGTAATGACCTGGCGATACAGAAGCTCGGAATCTGAAGATGAGGACATGGGGCCCGGAGAGGATCAGAATAAAGGCTAGAGATGTCAACACATTCTCACATAAAAAATTTCAAAGCTTTTAGGCATAGCTAAATCTACACTATATACCACCAAAGCCGTTGTAGCTCTACAGTTTTCCCGCGAAAAGGATCTTAGTAGTCTTGTAGCCGTTGACCCCCACTACAAACACTGTGTGAGACGTAGGCCTTCCTCTATTCATCACAGTGCTTGTTAGGCTATTGGACGCCTCTCCTTTTTGGTGTGGCGGCTGTCAGTTGCTGGGGCAATTATGTCATGGCGTTTACGATTTACGAAGTGACTGCTGGCATGTGGCAGCCGTGAATGCTGCCGTATGGCCGTTTACGACAGCATGCATGCAAGATGCAGTGAGAACAGCACAACGGAACGAAGAAGCCAACAGCCACCAATCATGATGCTCGTTTTATTTCTCTTCACTCTTTTTTACCTAATTTAAACGGGACGGGTTTTCCTGCTTTTCGTTCTCTCCTGATGATTTCAGCCCAGGGCATACAAATCGACGCCCAATAAGTCAACAATTGGACCTTTTAAAGCCTTGCCCCGCCATTGCCCAAACTCCTACTTCAACATTCACCAGCCTCTCTCAGGAAAGCAACTCCAAACATGGTCAAAGAAAGAACGCCGCGGACTGCGGCTGCCAGTAGCGACGGCAAAAAGCGAGAGCAGTCGCCTGATAGCGACACCGACATCACCGTCTTGATGGGCGACTGGTCCTCTCGCAATGGCAATGCGCAAGCCGACACCAGCGGCGGATTTGCGTCTGCAACGGAACATCCCACTTTTGGGCACCCGACCAAGATGATGTCCTCTCGTAAGCAGAAAGCCGACATCTTCATCCGTCAGAAGACCCGTCCGGAGCATCATCTCGACAGCAACCGGGTGTCTGGGCCCAGAGCGCCAGCCTACGAGCCTCGCCATGCTCCTCCCCCGCCCATGTTCTCTTCGATCGGACCGGGACCGACATCGACATCGACGCCAATACCTCATCAACCGCGTCTTAAAGACGAGACATTCTATACAGATCCTGCCAAAGCTAACCAGGATCTAAAGGCCTTGCTGGAGGGAGGCATGGAGGGCGATGACGATGAAGGAGTGGAAGCCGACGAAGCGCAACAGCCACAACTACGAGGAGAAGACAAGAAAGCCAAAGATAGCTCGGTGCCAAAAGATCCCAAAACTATTGCCAAAGACGGCAATGTGGATGGCCTCAAGGTGCCACTGCTTCCTCACCAAGTTGAAGGCGTGAACTGGATGCGAGGCCGTGAACTTGGGCCGGTCAAGAAGGGCACCGTCCCCAAGGGCGGGCTGCTTGCTGATGACATGGGACTGGGAAAGACGCTACAGTCGATTTCACTCATTCTCCTCAACCAAAAACCAAGGAAAGACGAAGATGGCTGGCATAAATCGTTCCAAAAAGTTGACAAGACGACTCTTGTTGTTGCCCCTCTAGCACTCATCAGGCAATGGGAATCGGAAATCAGCGAGAAGGTAGCCACAACACACGGGTTGAACGTTCTCGTGCACCATGGACCTCAGCGGACAAAGAATTCTGAAGATCTCAAGGTCTATGATGTTGTCATTACTACTTACCAGATTCTCGTCTCTGAACATGGTAAATTCCTGGATGGTGTCAAGGGAGGCTGCTTTGGGCTTCATTGGTGGCGAGTTATCCTGGATGAGGCACACACTATCAAGAACCGCAATGCAAAAGCCACCAAGGCTTGCTGCGCACTACAATCCGAATACCGTTGGTGCCTTTCAGGTACGCCGATGCAGAATAACCTCGAGGAGCTGCAATCTCTCATCAATTTTCTTCGCATCAAGCCCTACAGTGATCTTCGAGCGTGGAAAGATCATATCGAACTTCCCCTCAAGGGCGGAAAAGGTCATATTGCGCTCGGTAGGCTTCACAGCTTTCTTCGCTGTTTCATGAAGAGGCGGACAAAAGAAATCTTGAAACAGGATGGCGCACTCGTTCCTGGTGGAGTGCCGTCTGCTGATGGCGCAGCCACTGTTAATGGGTTCAGACACACAAACCGCAAGGTAGTCACTGTTGCTGCCGAGCTGTCTCCCGCGGAACGCAGATTTTATCAAAGATTGGAAGCTCGCGCCGACCGAAGCATAACCAAGATGATGAAGGAGAAGATAAGCTACGCTAATGCCTTTACACTGCTGCTACGTCTAAGGCAAGCGTGCAATCACCCAAAGCTTCTTGAAGGCAAGCTAGGAGCGGACAAGGACGCCTTATCCACGGGCTATTCAAGTCCAAAACAGCAAGATGCGGATGTTGACTCGGTGGCCGATTTGCTGTCAGGTATGGGGATAAGTACTAAAGAATGCAGCATTTGTGGCCGGCCGGTGGAGAAGAAACAGCGGGATGCTGGGAATGACAACTGTGCCGAGTGTGCTTCGGATCTAGCGTTCTTTTATGGAGAGACGAAGCCGGAGAAAGGGGAGACCAAGAAGGCTACAAAGATTGTATCTTCCGGATCGAAGATGAAAGAACCCAAGGTGAAAGAACCCAAAGTGAGAGAACCTAAGGTGAGGGAGCCTAAGGTAAAAGAGCCCAAGGTAAAAGAGCCGAAGCAGAGTGTAAAGAACAAAAAGGAGGAAGAAGATGACGATGCAGAGACTATACCAAGAACACGGAGGCCACGAAATCGCAATGCTGTGGTTGACAGCGACGATGAAGATGAAGAGCCAAAGCAAACTTCTCGCCGCCGTCGAAACCGCAATGCTATTATCGACAGTGAAGACGAAGACGAAGAAGCTGATGGCAGCTGGCTTGTCTCGGAAGACGAGCGAGGCGCTTTACGACTAGGCAAGGCTGGCGGAGAGGAAGATGAAAATGCAGAAGGTGGAGGGGACTCGATAGGATCAGAGGACTCTGAAGATTCTGAAGAAGATGACGACGATGAGAGCAATCTCGACAGCTTTGTGGTGGATGACTCCATCGCCAGAAAGGAGAAAGGGTACAAGTCTGTGGATGACGATTCAGATGACGACTCACTTTTATCTGTTTCCGAAATCACCAAAAATCTGGCTGCTCAGACGCTTAAAGATAAGAAACCCAAGAAATCAAAGGCCGTCGTTTCTGCCTCCGGTGGTTCTGAATCCGAGACTGATTCAGAAGACGACGACGACGACGACGCAGAAGAATCTGAGGAAGAAGAATTAGACTCTGAAGAGGAAGAATCCGACTCTGAAGAAGAAGAAGAAGACTCTGAAGAGGAAGAATCAGACTCTGAAGAATCCGACTCTCATGGTTCGTCCGCGTACGACCCTTCGCCACCAAGCGACAAGCACAGCATTCTTTCCTCCGCCAAGATCCGCGAGCTCACCAGGCTGCTACGCGCAGAGGCCCACGAGCACAAGTTTATCGTCTTCTCGCAGTTTACTTCCATGCTGGACCTGGTCGAGCCGTTCCTTCGTAAGGAACAGCTGCGCTTCACACGCTATGACGGTAGCATGAAGAACGATGAGCGGGAAGAAAGCTTGCGAAAACTGCGCGAGGACAAGAAGACGAGAGTGCTTCTGTGTAGCTTGAAGTGTGGTAGCTTGGGCTTGAACTTGACTGCTGCGACGAGGGTTATTATTATCGAGCCATTTTGGAATCCCGTAAGTTTCCTTGACTCTCTTCACTTTGAAGAAGCTGATACTAACTTGTTATAGTTTGTCGAAGAGCAGGCCATTGACCGTGTCCACCGTCTCACGCAAACCATTGACGTCGTCGTCTACAAGCTCACCGTCACTCACACCGTCGAAGACGGTATCCTCGCCCTCCAAGAGAAGAAGCGCCTCCTCGCCGAGCAGACCATCGAAGGCAGCTCCAGGAAGGGCGCGCTCAAGCTGGGCATCAACGAAATCATTGATCTGTTCAAGCCCATCCACGGCCGGGAAGACAACAATCCCCATGTCGGCGCTGCCAACGATGAGGAGGTGGAGGCTGAGCGCAGGAGAGCCCGGGATTCGACGGGGATGATGAGGATGGCGAGGCAGAAGAAGGTGCAGAGACCGGAAGATAGTGCGTATGGGCGACGGTGGTAGAGAGTGCCTTTTTGTTTAACTGTTATGATTATGATTATGAGATTATGAACTTGGGGGGTAAGCTGGGCTGGGAACATATATCTACGGCATTATAGGAGCCTGACTTTGGCTAGATTGTTTATGAATTGTTAGGATACATATGAGTATTATTGTGGTATAAATTGATCCAAGATGAGTCGAAACATCAATTGGCATTCTAGAGATGTTTCTTTTCAAGTAGAATTAAATCACAAAATCTATAACACACAAGGCAAATTAGTGAAGTTATTAGACAGCAGAGAATCATTCAGTATCTGAATAAAATAAAAAAAAGGGAATAAAAGTATTTGTGCCAGTCCACGCTAGACAATTCATTCATATGACCCAAAAAAGCAAGCTGAAAGAAAAAAACAACAATCTTTTCTCTTTGAAAGAATACAAAAGTAGATTTGCCTTTCCTGTTGCCGTGACCATCATTGCACCTAAAAACCAGTTCTTCTAACTACTTTTCCCTCGTAGCACACATTAACCACCCCAACTAAACTACCTCTAGTAGACACCAGGTTGGCGGTAATAATCATTTGAGCCCGGAGCACTGGGCTCCGATGAGCCAGGAGGCACATACGGCCTATATTGACCTCCAGAGCCCGCGCCCGCGCCTGATTGACTGGGTAGGTTCTGGCGACCCTCATAGCTGGGTCCCGAGGGCTGCAGCGGCGGAGGGGTCATGACATTCTGGGGCTGTTGGGAGGGGGGCTGCTGGTGAGGCTGGTAGCTCTGATATGTTGGCTGCTGCTGCGTAGAATAAGGAGCTATGGGCTCATTATCGTTTGGGTGGGGAACGGCAGGGCCATCCTGGGAATAGACAGAGCTGCTGAATGTGTTTGCAGAGCTGGGATTGTTGGGAGCAATGGGAGAGTCATATACGGAAGTAGCTAGTTCCTGGGCGCCGTAGGTGCTTGGAGGCTGCTGGTTGGGAGGCTGTTGAAAGGGATTGTAATTCTGAGGTGGCGGCGAGGTGGTATTTTTGAGTGGAGGAGGCTGATTGCCATTAGGGGGAATTCCAGGAGCGTTGTCTCTCGGTGGATATTGTTGACCAGCAGGTGGCTGGCCTGCAGGAGTCTCGGCACCTGCAACGTAAAACGGCGCTGGTCCAGGATGAGAAGAACCCTGTGCTGGTGCACCAGGCTGTGGGAAGTTAGGAGGTGGGGAAGAAGTCTGCTGGTACTGTGGCCGGCCTTATACTAACGGTTAGCAAGTGAACTGACATGCTCGCTTCCATGGGTAATAAGAGGTGAGGGCAAAGTCGAACCTTGAGGACCAGGAGTATAGAATCTCTGAGGGTCTTGCCCCTGAGGTGGGTATGTGCCTGCGGGTGGAGGATACGCCTGATGACCCGGGCGCATAGCATATTGCTGGTAGCTGTGCTGAGGAGGATGAGACATGGACGTTTCTAGTAAAGATTCGTAGTCTCTTCGAGCTTTGATGAATTTTTCGTTTAGCTGAGTGAAATCATCTGTACCATCTGTTGTTAGTGATACTGCTCTGAGATTGAAAAGATCAAGGAGACTAGGTTTTCGTGGCTTTGGTACCTTTCTTTTGCGAATACTTCTCAATCAGTTTAATCAACTTTGGCCGGATCGCGAGCGTCTGGTGGTATAATTTCTGATTGAAAAGGTTAGCGAATTCATAACGTAGGGCTTCTTCAACACAATTACGCCCAATCCCTCACACAGCTTTACTTACTGAAATCTCTTCGTTATCCTCCTCCCGTGGTCCCATGTTCGAAGCACTCAGGAGCGTCAAGAGCTTCTCAACATTCTTGATCTCGGCAAAGACCTCAGCCTCCATCTGGGCCTCCCGCTGCATCTCTTCCGGCGTAGGATCCGTCAGCTTCTCTACATAGTTGAGAGGAAAGATGCCCGTCTTTCCCTTGAGCGACCCGCGCCACCAGTCCTTGTACACGCTCTCCAGCACAGCGATGACGTCGCCCTTTTTGAATTCTAGCTCGCCGGGCTCGGTGGGCTCAAAGTCGAACAAGGCACGCACCCTGCTCACCGTAGCAGCCGTAGTACCCGACGGCACCGCGGTGGAAGCAGGAGCATTCTGCTGTTGCTGGTTGCTAGATCCGGCGTGCGAGCTTGACGGCGCTGTCTGAGCCGCCTTCTTCTGTTCCTCGTCCTGCAAGCTGAGTTTCAAGGCGATCTGCAGCTCGTCGTCCTCCTTTTGTCGATCTTGATCGGTCAAGCCCTGTTTTTGGGGCGCACTAGGCGGGTGCAGAGAGGGGTTGGTCTGCTTCAGCCTGTGGAATGCGTCGCTCATGATGCCCAAGTCGGGGTCGCTGCTGAACATGTCGGTCCACTCCTGCATCTTCTCCAAAATCTTGCTCTTGACCTGCTGGTGGGTATTGCGGTCGTTGGCGAGTTTTAACAAGGCTTCGGTAAAGGCACGGCTGGAGACTTCGCGATGCATCGCCTTGCCGCAGTTCTGGCACAGGGCGTGCGCAAGCTGGTAGGAGAGAGAAGGCATTGATTAGCTACCTATTTGCCGCGGAACTCTGGAAGCGGGGAATGCCGCCATCGCAACACAAACCACAGAAAGGGACATACCTCGAGGGTGTAAAGCTGGACATTGGCATTGCGATGAGCCAGTCTCTTGATCATGCTCTGGACCGCCTCCTTGGCGCCATTCGGATCGCTAGACACCTTATCGCATACTTCGATGATGGCGCCCCAGTCCTCCGACGTCAGATTCTCGTCAGTCGCCTTGGCTGCAGCGGGCGTTAGCAAGCGCACAAAGGGAAGGGCACAAGAAAAAGAAAAAGAGAGAAGGCATCTCTGAGACTACTCTGCGATGCTTCTCCCACAGGCTCGCAGGATACTCACTGACGACTTCGTCAAACGGCCCAGCCGCCGTCGCTCGAAACATGGTGGATACAAAGACAGAGGTATGACGAAAGCTGAAGGGCGGAACGAGCGCTGAGGCCAAAACGGTCGCACGGGGGTTTGGGCTGTCGTCGGATTAAAATCGCGGCGCCTTGGGGAAAAGAAAACAGCACAGCAGCTGCTTGGCGATATAAAGGTGAGGCGGAGAAAGCGACAGGATTCGTGAGGTTGTAAAAGGGAAGATCGCGGAGCTGGTGGCCGAGCCAAGTTCGACAAAGGGTACCTGCAAGCTTGCTGGCTAAGCCACCCAGTGCGCACATGCATGCAAGTACCTTAAGTCCAAGTTTAAAAGGTGTGGAGTTGCGTCGTCCATTTTTAGGCACTGCCGTGTTCCTTCTACAGCGCCGTGGCCAGGAACCTCGTCATCCGCAGCGAGGCTTTCGGGTCTGCACCCGCAAACGAGAGAAAAAGGAGAGGGTCCAACTAGGGTTACAGTTTACTATCCATGGAGCAGCTTATGGCGATTATTTCTTGTTGTTTAAATTGCTTGTTGTTTGGTTCGTCTGTTCTTCTATCAGTCTGCAAAGGTACATGCGCATATTCAATGCCAGCGATACATTCCCTGCAAGGCAGCTCTCTATTGAATGCTCTATAGAGAAGAATATGGATAATAAACTGCCACTAGCACTATAAGTTGGTTATAAAATGCGCTGTCAGCCCAAGCTTGTTCCATCCCTCCTCTGTGGACGAGACTCAGCACAGCAGCACAGCCATGACGTGGCTGGCCGCGCGCCACGCTGTCGCCACGCCTAGGTACTACTAGTATCCCGCGCTTCCCTGCCCATCTCGTCATCGCCCCAAGGAATCAATTGGTTAGTGCCTCAGTATAATACAGCAGTACTAGTGCTGTAGCAGACTCATCCAGGAACAAGTATTCGATGTGCAAGACTTGGAACAACGCATGCATATACGGATATGCGCATCCATGGTCCGTTATCGTTTCATATATGCATTCACTTAGATTTAAAATAGATACTACATATCCAGGCATAGAGTAATGCCGTTCGACTAAAGAGAGGCGATGAAACTGCATACCACCGCCGAGGTAATAAGCAGCTCATATCCGAGCCCTTCAATAGGTAGCCTCATCTACTTCACACTCAATGCCGCCATATGTTCCAGCGCTGCACTCATTGTAGACCCAACCAACACCTGTCCAAACCATATCATTCAACCGCTACCAGTTGATATATACACAGGCTCTCTCCTTCAGGCCAGATCCATTCCCCGAAAGGGGAGTGGGGGTGGTAGTAAAACTAGTAACAACACAGCAGAAAAGAACAAACCGCTCACAAGGAAAGAAAAAGAGTAACGTGTAGAGTAGGAGAGCAGGTACAATTGATAATGCGGAGATGAGTACAAATAGAAACAGATGGTCAAAAGAAGATGAAGAGTAACTCCAGATATCCGTGCCATTGAGGTGGCTTCCTTGTCACCAATATCCAAAATAAAAAGTAAGAAAAGAAAAGCAAGAAGAAGAAGAAAGAGACAATTTTATGAGAGAAACCAATCAACGCCGCCAGCTCTGGCCCCAAGTATCCAAACCATTCATTATAACAAAGCGTTATCGCGAAAAAGCCCTCGGCGTTGGAGGGGATTTCAGCAAGATGATGTATCTATCAACCAATCTGTAGTAATCAATCAATCAATCAACCAATCTTTAGTTAGCAGAAGCAAGGAAAAAGTGTAAGAAAAAAAAAGTTGATGAGTTTAAACAATTCACTCAGCCCATCCTCTTCGAGTCACACCTCGCGGCTCAAAGGCAGGTCGCTCATTGGACGCGGCACCACTTCCGCGGCGCTCTTCTAGGCTTCGCCTTCCCATTGCATCCATCTCGGAAAGAGTAAATACTAGCGGCTCCTCGCCAACGGCTTCTTCATCTGAGCGGCCAAGCCTACCAGTCGACCCATTGAAGCTGCCTCGAGGCGTGTTTCGGCGGCGGCCAGTCAAGCCGGCATACCGCCGTCGCTGTGAGGAAAAGCTCGACTGCGAGGCTGAAATAAATGCGTCCGGGGGCGTATCGCTCACTGAGCCTCGCTGAATCATCTCCGATGACTCGGAGGCTGGCATGTCGGCTGTTGGGCGAAGCGCGGTCAATGCGCCCTCCTGTTGCCCGGAGCCCTCCTCTTCCATTTGTCGGCCGAGAAGAGTGCTCAGAGTTGGGGGCTCTCTATCATTTGCCCCAAGACTAATACTCCGATGTGTAGCGAATGGCAAGTCAGTCTCCTCATCATCGGTTATAGCTCGAACCTGCTGAGCAACTGAGCTGGACCGGCGGTGATAAGTGCCCAGCCTGGGAGACAGAGGAATGTCAATTGCAGTTGTGCCATCTTGAGTCGTAGTTCCTTGTCTCTGGGACCGAGTAGCCTTGGGCGACTGTCCCTCTCCTCGTTCTGGAGGCTCTACCCTCTTGTAGGTTGGGGCATAGTCAATGATGGAGTTTTCGCTTAAGCGAGATGGTATCGCGGGGGTGTGCGGCGTGTGCGGTGACACCGGCTTGCCTGGAGAGGTAGATGTAGATACCGCAATCGGTCCACCAATACCGCCAAAATTGTTGAGCTGTCTGCTAGAAACGGTCGAGGAGCGGTTGAGCTGCATCGAGGATGTCATCGACTCCGTAAGGGCATTGTTCGAATCCTTCATCATATGGAATTTGGACAGCTGAGCGACCGTCCTGCTCGTCGCCGACTCTCCCTTCTTTGTCGTCGGCTCAAATGACTTGAGTGTCTTTTTGCTATCCAGAGCCTTTAAAAAGTCGGAAATATCATCCTCATCGGTCTGGAGAGAACTATAGCTTCCAGCCCCTACCTCGGCAAGAAATCCGGAGCCAGGCTGCACAATTGACGAAGATAGGCTCTGCCTCCCACTGCTGTTTTGTTCTTCATCGCCTGCCCGGCTCGTGGCTCCAATTGACAAACGCCCTTTCCGGTGTGTAAAGCTGCTGCTATATCGACTAGCAGATGCCGGGCGCGGAGAGCCTGTTGTAGGCGAATCAATGGCATTTACCGCTGCCGGCCCTCCACGAAGAGAAGCTGGCATGCCCGCGGTTAACGAAGATCGGTTTCCTGGCTGCCGGAGCGATGGTAAACTAGGTCGAGTATGTGATGCAGGCGACACTGGCTCACTCTGTCGGGGAACAGGAGATCCAGAGAGGGAGCCGGCTTTAAATGGTTGGAAAGATATGGATGGTCTTCTTCGATCATCCCCAACGCGGACCGTGGGCCGCGCCGCAGATGCTCGCCCTCCAGATGTCGGCAGTGAATGAGGAGCCACCCCGGCATCAGTTTGGCGAGGCAGTGATGCTGGGGGAGAGCTCGTATCTGAACCTGGCGGCTTGACATTGCGAAGTGCTGATATGGGACTCGTGCCCATCGGTCCATCACCGTGGAAGGTTGATAGACTACCATACGTCTGTTGAACATCGTTCATACTCACTCCCCGACGGTGGTCCTTGAGCGATCCAACCTCAGCCATGTGCCGCTGTGGCAATGATGGCTTGAAGAAATTCTCGTCAACTCCCATGAAGCGGGAGCTCAGAAGCGACTCTGAGTCGTCAACGCGGAATGTGCAATCGTTTCGGTAAATGACGCTGGTGCATAGCCGTCCCACCGGCACTTCAAGATCTCCAAACATGTATTCCGTAACTGCGTCCCGCCTTCCATCTATGGGATTCTTCAGTAGATCAGGCCTTGGTCTATCAGAGTTTGGTATGTGGATCCTGCATTGGGGAATTAGAGCAGGGTGAGAATTCTTGGCGATGCTTTGGCTAGCAAATTTCCAGGCTGGTAATAACTTGGTAGCTACAAAGAGAGATCGGAAGAAGACAATGGCTTTTTTGTAAATGGTCGGTAAGATGGGTCCAAAGTCGTCCAAATGCCTGTCGGGTGTCGTCTTCAATTCCACCCGCCACCGTTCGAGTATTACCTCTGTAGGCCTTCTCACCGTGGTGAGGGAATCGCTGCCACTTGAAGATGTTGATGAAGTGAGCTGCTCTAGAACGTCCCATCGCTTTCCATCCTCATCGATGATTACAAGGCTCTGGTTCTCCTTCAGGCTTGACGCATCAAGATAGATTTCGATTTCCATTGGCGGCGGGTGGTTCTCGAGACTACCACTGTTCTTCCATATCCCCAGCTCTTCCTTGAACTCGTCAATCTCCTCGGTTTCGAGTTGAAACTGTTGTTGCACAATAGTCAGCCCATCAAGCCTCCCCGTCTGCTGTTGCGAAACGAATCATACCCATTTATTGATTTTTGGTACTCCACTGGTACCGCAAACTGGATTTACTTTCATACGCGAGGCAACGACGACTGCAGCGATTTTGGTGTGAAAATTCTACCAATGAGATTAACGTTAGCCCATTGACCACTAGGAAGAGCATTTGTCCAACCTACCTGGACTATTTGATCCAGCTTCTTGACTGATGCGGCCGGCAGCCCTGCTTGGTCCGGCAGCCCTCCTCCTCGCTCCGGCGGCAGCTCTCCTTGGTCCATCATCGGCGAGCTTGTATAATCCCTGGTCGATAGATTTGATCCCGCTCGTGGCCGAGATCCCGATACGCCGTCTCTCAGGCTACCCGATCGCATCGGGGACCTTGCCGGCGAAGCGAGTCTCGGAGGTACTCGGGCTTGTTGATGCATCTCTGGTCAAAGAGGGAGAGACGGGGAGAAGAGAGGGAATAGTGTCTTTTATCGGCTCCCGAAACCGAGTGTTTCGAAGAGGGACGTGAAGAGAGAGGGAATCGGAAGGCGATCGATCAAATTCGGATAGGGGTGTCGGTCTGGAATTGAGACTGCTCTTCCATGTCGTAGGCGTGGGCGATGAGGTTCCGGGTGTCGTCGATGGGATGTGTCGTCCGTCGGCTCTCGAACGCGGCAGACGGGCGCCTCACGTCGAGCAGAGATGGGCAGCAAGGCACGGAGTTGGACCTAATTCTGGCGGCCCTCGAATGCGGTGCAGCCAAATGCCAACTGAGGCCGGTGACTGGTCAATCGAGGCCCGCGAACGAGGCAACCTGGGCTAACTCGCCAGGCAGCAGAGGGGAAGATGGGATAACGAGGGACCTTGATGGGGTCTTGCTCGGCCAGGCAGCCAGAGCAGATGCAGAGGCAGATGGATAGATGGATGCACAGGACTAGATGGACGGATTGGGCAAAATGGCGCTACAGATTATCTGCGAATCAGTCAAGACAAAAGGCGTTGCGATCCGCCCGGCAGAACAGAAGCACGTCTAGATTCCAGCAGGAGCAGCGAGCCCGGTATCGAATCGATAAAGGCTGTGGAGACGGGTATCGTCACAGGACGCGAGCTCCCTTTTAACAGGCAGAGTCACTCGCCCCGGCACTCGTCCGACCCAGGGACCCCGTGATAGCAGCGCCAGGGGACGGGGGTGTTCGTCATCGGCCGACGGGCAGCGTGCGAGCTGGGCAGAGGCGCCCAGACTGTTGTAAGGCCCTTGGCCGGCGGTGGGATCTGAGGGCGGGAGATGGGCGAAGCAGGGCCTCGGAGGTGAGATGAAAGAGCGAGGATCAGATGCCGTTGTTGCTCGCCCGCGAGATTGATGGTTGCTGATAAGGTTTTGAGACGGCCGGGGGACGGAACGACGTTGGTGGAGGCCATGGACCATGGAAGCCGGTTTAGCGGCGGTATGTCACAGCAACTGGCAAGTACCTGCAAGGTAGCGCAGTGATGGGACCAGGAGCAGTAGTGCTATAAGGTACCAGGTAGATTGAAAGCTCCAGGTATCGAGTGCTGAGCTCTAGCGTCCAGCAGTGTTCCTTACTGTGCTCTACTGTAGCTGCTCAGATACCGATACCGCGCCGGCTCACATCAGCTCCAGTTATTGGTCTCGTGCTTCGTATAAGCCAGAACAAGGCGTCAGTAGGACATGCCTTGCGACTCAGGTACCGGCATTATCAGCCAGTTGCAGAGCCCGTATGTGTATATTAATCAACGCATCGCTTATCTACCACAGATGACTGCTCAAGAGAGAAGCCATCAGAGAGGCAGCGTCTCTCAGCCCGGAGTTGGTACCTCCTCGGAACCTCTGGCGCAAGCCACCCACTGCCGACACACCGCTGAGCCCAGAAGCGCTGCAGGGCGGCATGGAGTTGAGTCGTTTCGCCTGGCGCCACCAAAAGCACAGGCCTTTGATAGCGAGCGAACATGCCCCCAAAGCTGTGGTGTGGGGAAGAGCCATCCTCGCGCCATTGTCAGAGTCACATCAATCATGTCCATCATCTCCGGCCACGCGCTAAAGCCAGATGTCAAGGCGACGGACACGTTGACGGCCACGGTACCTGGCAGAAGCAGCTGCGTGCCCTGGTAGCGGTGGCCAACAGTGCTACAGTGCAGCATCAGACAGCACGGAGCATTCTTTGTGGACATTGGGCAATGCACTCCATTTGTTTCAACGCAACATTACCGCAAAGCTGCTCGGCTAGCCGGAATGGGCTGGGCTGGATCAGCTCAATCGAGGCTTGCCTTGGCACGGGTGAGACATGGAGATTAACAAATCCTGGGTGTTGAGCACGCAAGGGTTTGTGGCAATGGCTGGATATCAGCCAGCAAAGAAAAGAAAAGAAAAGCAACGGCCTGAGTTGTGCCAGGACGGAATTGTCATCTCTCCTCAGTCAAAAGTCTATGCCTAGCGTTGAATGCAACTCTCACACACGTGAAATAGTGTTTGTGAGACGCAAAGCGGTATCAGAACCTGCAACGTGCAAAGCCGTGTGCCGATGGCCCTAAAATTGTGTCGGTGAGGCTCCACGGCTTCTGAATGGCTGGTGTCACCCAGCAAGATGCGCTGGCACGTCTAATGAACTGGCTCTTTCTCCGCCCTTCTCCTGCTCTCGGGATTCATGCACAGCGTTTGATGATATGAATCCGACCTAGCGCTGCTTCTTCCTGCAAATCTGCTCCCGTGGCCTGGAAGTCGGCAGCCATTGGCAGTAACACAGACAGCGTGTCAGATCATGATTGATATTGCTAGTATAAAGCAGTGCGTACTACAAGAAAATGCATCAGAGTAGCGGGATATCTAAGTACCTAAGGTATTAATCGACGGTGTAGCCGTCCAATGCGCCAAGTAAGTCAAAACAAAAAACGGGAAAAGAAATCACAACCCGCCACTGGTGGCCTTCCCCCTACCTCTGTTTCTGCCTCTGCCTCGAGATGCATTACCACCAGTCTTGGCTGCTGCTTCTTTGGAATTTAATCCTTCAACATCCGCTTGCTGTGCTTTTGGCGGCTCGCTGCTTCGGGCCTTGCCCCCTCTTCCCCGGCGGTTACGTCTTCCTCCTGCCTCCTCTTCCTTTCCTTTCCCCGTACCCTTGGCCTTAGCATGCCGCCTGGCCTCCTCTTCCTGTGCACGACGGCTTTCTTGGTCCCACCACTCTTGAAAAGCTTGTTCTTCTTGAATCTCTTGAAGTGACCGCTTCGCCACAGCCTCCTTGACCATTTCTTGCTCTCTCTGTTGTTGTCCGATAATATCAGCCATGCTTACTCCGAGAGTCGGCTCTGTCTTTGGCGCCGGTTTGATATAGGACTTCGAGTGGGGTACTAGAGGTCTACTCTGTGGTTTGTCCACACCTGGCTTTGTTTGAGATGGTGGGTTGCCAGGGCGTCCCTGTCCGGGGAATCGAGTGTCAGGGGACGCCGTCCGTCTTTGCGCGGATCGAGCATCAGACTCCGACGCTACTAGCGGCCTCGCATCGGTAGATATCGCACTTCGCTGTGCAGCATCAGATGCCATAGCCTGCTGCAACGAGGTTTTTGGAATAGGGGCTGCCGGCTTCCACGGCGGCTGCTTCTGGTTTGATGGTGATACGGCTTCCCACGGGACTGATTTGGCCTGCTCTTCTTGAGCCACCATCTGCGCGTCTAGCTGTATCTGCATCTGCTTCTTGCGTTCCTTCTGGGACAATTTGGAAAGTGGCTTGCCAGCTGAATCCTTCGTCTTTTGTGCCGATAAGGCAGCTGTTAATGCTGATCTCCCTGAGGCCTCAGACATGATGTCTTTTAGATCCAGTTTATCAGTAGGTAACGCTGCAGAAGCCCATGGAGCGTTTGATGCCGAATATGGAGATTCCAAGCTTTGTTTAGCCTCTTTAGAGATGGGTGTTACTGACTCGAGAATCGGCTGTTGGCGAGAAGGTAGGCTCGAAACAGGTGATTGGAGGGATTGTAGTGGCTCTGCCTTTTCCTTGCCTTTTGTCCTCTTCCATTCGGTTGGAAGCTTCGATATCGGTCCAACGTCACTGTCGGTGCGAGTTAGAGGCGGCGATAGCTGCGGTGATGCAAGACTGCTTCCTCCCGAAGGCCCTTCATCTTCCATGTCAAAAATCATATCGGCTATAGAATCTTTGGGGCGCAAGGCTGGGCTAAATGGCTCGTTCCGACTCATCTTGGATTGTCTGTTAGATTTCTCTGGGGTTTCCGGTCCTCGAATAGAGTCATCCAAGCTTCCAAATCGAGTTTTGTATGAAGTTGATGCCCTTCTTTCTTCTTCCCTCTGTGTTTGTTTGAAGGCCATCTCCTTGACACGACGTCGCCTCTCTTCTTCAATGTCCACTGCCAGATCGGGATACTTTTCATGAAGAAGCAGTTCTGCTCTCCCACTCCTCGCAAACGGATAACATGCGAGCTGGTTGTCTCGGATTTTGTCATCAAGCTCATATAAGAGCTCTTCGTCGAGGCTGTCCAGGTAGTGGTTTTCAAGCACAGCTTCGAGCTGTAGACAAATGTACTCTAGCCCAGTATTCTTGAACTCTGCGACTGAACACGGGCTAATTTCGTTGAGAAGATTCGAAATGTTGCGGTTCGTCACAAACTTGCCTATCAAAGACTGGCATATTTGTGATAGTCGGTCTATCATGAGTTCGTTGGCTACACTAAGCACATCCAGGACCAGCTCCGAGAACTCGTCGAGAGATGCAGCCATCACATCGTCAAACATTTTCTCGCCTACATCCCCGTACAAGAATGTGAGCACGTATGAAAACGTCTCCGGGTGAATGTGACTCAGATCAACTCGAACTGGTTCGGCCTGCTCCGTTGAGAGACGCCGATCAGCCAGCCACTGTCCTTGTGATCTGCCATTGAACATTCCGTCGAAAAATGGGCATCGCTGACACAGAAGATGGCTATGAACAGTAACTTCGTCTCCATCCAACTCCAATACGACGTCGCCGTCATCAAAAAATACAGGATCGTTTATTGCTTCTTGCAGATCTGTATCAAGTGTTTTTTCAAGGCCGGCTTGCAGCCGGGCTGCAGCCTCAAGTTTTGGCATATTGAGCCTCGTAGCGAATTTCATCAAGTCTGTTCGAACTTGGCGAAAGCGATGAGCTAGTGAAGGAGCTCCACGCGTGTATTTCCATACGGGTAGGATCTTATCCTGGTACATATATACCACGATATTCAGCATCGTGTAAATATCAGCGTGGAGCAGAGTTAGCACCATTCTATCGCCAACATTTTCTATCGTAAATGTTTCTGAAAGCGTATAGGAGCCTTGAAACCGGAAATCAGACAGGGCTGTGCGAAGTATAGTACTTCGCCCAGAGAAAAGCCAGCCGTGGACTGGTATCCTGATATCTGGGGCAGCAGATGTACGAATTTCCAAATCGGTATCGTATAAGAATGAATTAGCTTGAAGCCACTGCAGCATGTCTGTTTCGATATCAGAAGAGCTCAGAATCCGATGGGCCACAGTACCAGGGCCCTCTCTCATGATGGAAGCAGTCCAAGGTTTCCGAGTCAAGTCGTTCTCAATATTGGCTTCAGGCGCATAAAAGTCTTTCAAGCAAAGAAGAGAGGCAACATCATTCCAGATATTCTGTTCACCAATCCGAATCTCCTTGGCCATCACTTTAACATCCTTTCGAATGGCGGCAAAAGCCCCGAAAGTAGAGCTTCGCACGGCCACGCAATCTGTGATGTAGGGTACACGCTGGAATTTGAAGTCTTTCTTCTTTGTATCAGTAGATCCGACGAAAGATTCAATCTTGCTTTTGATACGTTTTACCCTCCTCCAAACAGCGCCGGATTCCGTGCAGATGATGACGGATCCATGCTCCCCTACGCCGACTGAAGTGACTCCGTCTTTTCCCGAGTCCCATATGCATAGCGGTTGCGTAATCGCACTCTTTATTTTAACAGGATTGGTCGTTGATCCCAGGCCAGAGTTGGAACGAGATGGAGCCCCAACATCCCCCTTGTTACTCAGCTGCATGGTGAAGAGATCACCATGCGCCGTAACCGCTGCAATAGTCTCCCCGCCAGACGCAATGTATTCAATGTCCCTTCTGGACATGCCAAGCCTGTCCGAAAAGACAGATCCGAGGAGACTATGATCGAGGACACCATCGGGGATAGGGAATCTAATGAGATTGTATCCATAGTTGGTAAATACCCAAACTGTGTGGTTCGCCAACAAGCAGGTGGTGGCTTTGTCAATCGCCGCAACCATCTCGATTGGAGCAGTTAATAGAGATGCAGCAACTTTCCGAGGCGTCTGCTGCAGGTCTAGAGATCTGGAATCTGAATCCATCAGGGCAAGCTGGCCAACATTGCGGCCCCAGCAGTACAGCGACGATCCAGTGTGAGCCACAGAGTGAATAGAAGAGGCCGCAATGCCAAGAATACCCTCTTTCTTAAGGGGACCAAACACTTGTCGAGGGATGAGGCTCATCGGCTCTTCATCTGTTCTCAACGGAGGTGGCAGCACATAGCCAAGCTGCGAATCAGAATTGAGGCCCCAAGTCCATAGTTCGCCATTTCCAACAACAGCCATCGAGTGGTTCTGCCCAAGTGCAACCTGGCGGACCTTTTTATCTGCGAAAGCGCTATGTAGGGGGGTGAATTTGAACTGTGTGTTTTCATCCCCAAGGCCCAGCCTTCCACCACGGCCGACTCCGCAAATATACAGGTTGCAAGTCGGGTCGTCTGTAAGAATAGCGCTATGCAGTTTCGACATGACGACATCTTGGATCACCAAAGGCCGGTTTTGAACTAGAACGGGAATTGTGTCGAGATCTGTGGCGACATCAAGGGGGGCATCCAAGCGTTTCTCTGTGAGATAATCTTGATAGAACCGCTGGATCAATTGATCTGGCCGCTGAGGCATTATTCGCTCAGGATATTGCCTGTCATCCTCGTCCCCAACTCCTAGGGACACGTTTTTGTTGCTTCCAAACACAAAAAGCTCATCTCCTTCAACATGATTGCTGCTACCGTGTGCGAGTTTAGCAGTACTGTCGCGAAACAGGTCAGCATCAAATGTCAAATGCTACTCCAGCATGGAGCTGCAAATACTAACCTTTGATCCAAGTCGCCATCGCCAAGGTCTGAGTCATCGTCGAGGAGGGACTTCACAGGCGGATGAGCCAGCGACCTCGCAGCTATGGTCGAATTATAGAGGTCAAAGGGGCTGTTGCCCTCGTGATCCTTGGTCTTGATTAACTGGCCAACTTTATGCACGGCAGCACCAGCAGTATGACTGAGCAAATCTCCACGTTCTTTCAACAGTAACGCTCTAGCTATGGATGCATTTCCGGCATAAAGCGACCTATGCAGGGCATTCCAGCCACTCTCGGGGTCTTGAGCGTATAAGTCGATGTGGGGATGGTCAATCAGAGCCTGGACGAAAGCCAATGCGTTTGGATCAGGAGAAGCGGATGCACGCAGCAACAACGTCAGACCGGCGTGGTCGCGACTGTTCACTTCCGCTTTACCCAGACCTGCGCCACCATCCTTTGCTCTTCCAAGGCCTGGATTGTACCCTGGTGTCTTTCGCGGTTTTGTTGTAGCTCTCGGAGAAGTCCCGATACTACCGGGACTCGCTCCCAGATAAGATGCGCCAACGCCTACCGCAGGGTTCTTTGTAGTTGTCTGGGAATTGGGTCCGGCCGAGGCCAGCAGACGCCGAAACCTGTCGACATCATTTTCCCAAAAGTATTTCCACAGCAAATGACTCATCGGCCAGGGGTAAGCAGTTGCCGCACTGATAGTGAGCCCAGGCGCCTGGAAATTGCACCTCGCTGTGAGTCTCGCGGATCACGGCTTGTTTAAAGGTGCTGTTCGAAGCGCCGGAGAGTTGCTGGCGTCTCGGAAAGCACCGTCTATGTATTCTTCTGCCCAAGTATTCGAAACTGGGATGTTGTGCGACTCGGCGTGGCTACAGCGAAATGTGCGAGTGAGGGACTCGACAGGTCGTTATCGCCGAATAGGTACGAAGCGTGAAGCAATCTAGAAATGCGTAAATAGGTCTTGGATCGACGTTCGGTGGCCAAATTCTGTTATCGATATGTCAAGGGGTGATGCAAAGTTGTCTGCTTCAGCTAGAGGCACGGATTGTAAGGGTCCTTAGGACGAATGCAAGGACGAGAGCAATGTGGATGGAGGATGAGGGAGTTGGCTGGTCATTAGATATCTCCAAGCTCCAGCAGTGTGGCCTTGCCAGTCATAGACTGTTTCTAGAAGGCGGTACATCTGCCGAGACCTGGCAGCTGCTAGGCCGAGACTTTCAGGGCTCTAACACCACCCGAGGCTAGCATCACAATTACGGCTGCTTCTAGGCGTGAAGAGAATAGGAGACGAATGCAGAGGAATATGAGCCAGTAAGTCTATCTTGTCTATATTTCTCAAAATATGTTCTTCACATGAATTAGCCTTCCTCCGTCAAATACAGCATCATCGCCATCACGTACTCGTCTATCGTTCCGTACCTCCCAGCGATGTACCGGTTTCTCCCATTGTGGTTGACGTTGGCGGGGTTTTAGTTCCGGGCCACGGAGGGCTTGCACCGATAAGACGGACAGCCCTCGCTCAAGCCCTGGCCAATCGCAGCCCGCAAATGCAGCCTGTGGTAAATTGTTTTGACACCTCATTCCCAGATTCGGCTGCCCGCGAAGATAGCACATGGCGACATTGCGCGAGTCTAATTTGCTGGGTTGCAGCGTGCTAGTAAGCCTAGCTGCCAGAGACTAAATGGAGATCGGGAATTCTCGTAGCCAGGCAACGCAAGTGAGCGATGTTCAGCATTGTTAGTACCGCATAGCCGGGTCTTACAGGAGGCCATCAGCCGCTGTGCATTGTTAGTATGAATGCGGGGAGGTTCAGAACGGCTCTGCGTGTAAGAAAACAAGTGCTAGAGCCGCGAAAGCTATTCCCAGGTAAGTTGCAGTATAAAGCTAAGAAAACGGTATCAAGAACGTTGTCAGAGGCCTACTTGATTCATCGCTTCAGCGATTCTGCGATTCTGCTCTATTAAAGCCAAAAGCATGGTGTCCGTTTATGCAAGAAATATGTAAGCTACTACTCGCTTTTCAAGTCGAAAAGCCTGATGTAGGCTTATCTGATTTGCCATATCTGATCTGGCCAAGTAACATATGTAGACTCCGCTCATCATCCGATATCCAGCTTCCCGCAAGCGCTTGGCATCAGCATGGCTCCAGTGGGCAAATCACCACCATCTACAGGTACCTACATCATGTACTCTTCGTGGCCAAGCTAGCTTCAAAGCTCCAATTTCGGCATGAGCTCCTCTAGCGCACGTAAATGCTCAGCACTCTGCCGCACAAGGCATTAAGACACCAATGCAAGACGTCGATGTTTCTCGCATGCGCCTAATTTAATGCCTGAGCTGGTGTCGCGTGTTCTGAGCCGCTAGACTGAAGACTGGCACAAGGGTCTCTGCTACTAGTGCCAGTGGAGATGATCGCTTACAGCCGGCGACGCTCACCCCACGAATTAGCCTGGTCGCCGCTAAAGAAAAAAAAATCCCCTCCGCAACGACCCTCCGATCTTCCTCCGCTAATTATAACTACAGCCGCATCTGCGCTCGGCCCCTCTGTCGCGGAATTCCTTCAACATCGCAATTGATTCAGTCAAGCTGTCAATCCGTCAAGATGGCCGAGGAAAAGCCCCTTCCCTTCCAGTACCAATTCGCCGCAGGTAGGCACTGATGACACACGCTCTGCCAATGGCATCAGCGACAGCATTGCTAACATCAATCTAATTCAGGCGCAATTGCCGGCGTCTCGGAGGTATGGCCTGATCCATAACCCCAACACTCTTCACGGAAGCTTCAGCTGACGAGTATCTAATGTTCCAATGTAGATTCTGGTCATGTACGTTATACTACAGTCACGATGCCCACCGACCCAGCCATACTTACAAATCACAACTTAGGTATCCTTTGGATGTCATCAAGACTCGAATCCAACTGCAGACCGGCACGGCTGCCGCCAGTAGCGAGGCATACACCGGTATGCTGGACTGCTTCCAGAAGATTGTCAAGACCGAAGGGTAGGCTTCTTTATTCTTTACCTCTCCTGTTCCGCCTATTTCTTTGTAGGAATCCGCTTCTTATCGGAATGCAGATTTTCACGTCTCTACCGCGGTATCTCCGCCCCGATTCTGATGGAAGCCCCCAAGCGAGCCACCAAGTTTGCTGCCAACGATGAATGGGGCAAGGTCTACCGCAAGATGTTTGGTGTCGACAAAATGAACCAGTCATTGTCCGTCCTCACCGGTGCTACCGCCGGTGCCACCGAATCCTTTGTTGTCGTTCCCTTCGAACTGGTCAAGATTCGTCTCCAGGATAAGGCATCAGCTGGAAAGTACAACGGCATGGTTGACTGCGTTGTCAAGACAGTCAAGAACGAGGGTCCCCTCACCCTTTACCAGGGTCTCGAAAGCACAATGTGGCGACACATTCTATGGAACGCTGGCTACTTTGGCTGCATCTTCCAGGTCCGACAGCTGCTGCCCAAGGCTGAGACCAGCAGGGGCAAGATGGTCAATGATCTGATCTCCGGTGCCATCGGTGGAACTATCGGAACTGTGGTGAACACTCCTTTGGACGTCGTCAAGAGCAGAATTCAGAACACCCCCAAGATGCCTGGCCAGATCCCCAAGTACAACTGGGCATTCCCTTCCGTCGTGACTGTTTTCAGAGAAGAAGGCTTTGGCGCCTTGTACAAGGGCTTCCTACCCAAGGTGAGCTTTTTCATATCTCCTAATGAAATCATGTTTACTCACGCCTGCTAGGTTCTCCGTCTGGGCCCAGGAGGTGGTATTCTCTTGGTCGTTTTCACCACTGTTATGGATACTTTCCGCAAGTGGCAATCATAAGCCGAATCAAAATGCCAAAAGAAAATAAAAGTATAGAATCTGGTTGGACTAGCGGATAGTCCGCGATATCGACTTGTCATACACTGTCTGGAGGACTTCATACTCAGCGTTTAGACAATTTCTATTGGGTTAGATAGGTACTGTATCTACATTGTACTTTTTTGTTTTTTGTTTTCTAAGACTATGTTTGCGGATTGCTTGTGGAGTTTATTGTCAAATGGTTCCTATCCTTTTACTACCAAGGGTAACAGCGAGAACACCATCATAAATATCTTGAAAGTATAGACATGCCAAGTCAATATTGTTGTTTGTCCACTTTAATCTATCTAACTTGAGTCTCTCTTCTCTCTAAACTGGGTAGTAACAGCTGCAAAATCTCTACATGAAGGTCGACCATCTAGCTATCCTATATCAAACTACTTTGCTCTTTTCCACCCGTTATTAATCAAGTTATATATTCGTGTTTTTATTCATCTCGATTAGTTACGAGTACATCGCCGAACTATATCGCAGCCAGTTAGCATAGCTGCAGCTTTTCTCTTGTTCACCATCCCGCGCTACACACAGAACGGTTGTAAGGACACAGACAAGAGCGCAGCAAGAGCGCGCACGTTCCCCGACTCGTCTCCTCTAAGTACTAGTATCCCTTTCGCTCTTTGCAGCGCTTCAGAGGAAGAGTCGGTGAAGCTCCACGTGATGCTGCAGTGCCTATATAATACCAAGCTCACACTCTTCGCCTTCTTTCATCTTCTCTCTTTTCCCTTCTCTCGTCTCTCATGTCTGCACAATGCTTCTGCTTGAGCATTTCAAATCGTGCTCCTTTCTCTCTTTTTATTCCATCTTATAATTTGCACAAATCATCAATCATCCACACTCTCATTACCTTCTTTACACTCTCATCCAGACCCGCGGTTGAGCGTCCAGCGATCCAAAGCCAACTGCAAAGTCTGTCTACCAGCGCCAGGCAAAATCGCTATGGACAGCGACGACGAGCTGCCGAATATTGACCTTAACCCGTCAGGGTCTGACACCATCCCCTCTGGAGGTGGCGAAGGTTCCTCATCCAATGGAGGTGGTGAGCCTTTACCAGGCGACCATGGTCAGGTTCCAAGTGGTTATGACCAACCGCCAGTAGATGAAGATTTGCCAAATGCTACTTCAGCCAATAGTGAGCCTGTGTCAATCGATTCGAACAATTCGCAAGGCGAAGGAGCGGGGGTTTCAGATATTGAGGGCGATGGGGATGATGAAGATGATGAGAGCGCACTTCCCTCTTATTTTCAAGGTGAAAATGCCCCATCCATCAAACCAGATACGAGCACCCGCTAACCTCTACAAAGCGCCGAGACTTCCAAGGTCGTTTCAGGACAAGATGAACTCTTATGGCAACATTATCGAGGACTCTGATGAAGACATGGTAGTCAGATTTACTGGACCACGTTCCGGTAGGTTTCTACCTCTCTGGCATCATGTTCACGAGAAGTCATACAGCAGAAAAAAGAAAATAAGTGAATTAAACCAGAAAATAAAGGACCTAGAGAGGGAGGCGGCTAAAATTACACCGGTGGTAGGGCAGCACACCCAACCGGTAAGTAATTTTATCAATCCTGAGAGGATTCGGAGCTGGCTTGACTAACCGCCAGCGCAGTCTTGGTGGACTCTTATTGAGTCTGAAGTGATATGGAGCTGGGAACATATCTATAAAATGGCATGCAAGGAGGGAAATTGTTCACCCCATCCACGTAAACGGCATCCAGACCTCAACTTGCGGAAACCCACAGACGATGAACTTCAAAACGATTTGCTGCAGACGAGTGATCGGCCGAGGTCTCAGCACCAGGAGATGTCACGATATTTTGATATCCCTGCAGATGTACAGTTTCAGATTTTGAAGCACTTCTTCAACTTCAAGGGCCGTGTGGTTCATGCCATCTCTCGTCTGGACCCGCACCACCGTGCAGAGGAAGTGCCTCTGAATCGTTTTGGAAAGCCGAGCTATCTGCATCGTCTCCATGTGGGAAGAAGCAGAGTCAGCCTCACATTCTCACCCGAGCCAAACGTCTTCCTAGCTCCCTTACTGGTCTGCAAAAGATGGCATTTCTGGGGCACTCACATATTCTATGGCGAGAATACGTTTGCTTTTTCCTCTTTGGGCGAATAGGATCGCTTTGCCAGTGGGATTAAAGCAAATGTGCAGCGCCTACAGCATGTCGAGATCCTCTGGGTGGGATCGCAATACCTTACTTACCCTCCAAGCAATCGAAAGAAGGCTACATCGCGCCGCACGTTTCCGCTGGTGCGTCTTCCAGAGGCTATCCGTCTCAAGAATCTCGGTGTATATATTCAGGAGTCCAGCCCGAGTGTCATGCGTCGCAAACACGAGCCGAGAGGAATCATCCATCATATGAAGGTCAAAACCCAGGTGCAGCCTAACTTTAGGCTTTTCCGATCACTGCGCACGGTACAGGGCATGGACTATGTTCACTGCCTTCGGGGCCTCAGTCGATCCGAGTTCTGGGATTTTGATCGATGGCTCGACAGTTACGAGAGAAAACGGCCAGTGCGAGACTTCCACTTTATAATGGATGTGAACAACTCTACGAGAAGGCCCAAGGAAGCCCGCGATCGCATCAGATCGCAGCTGAGAAATCTCTATCCAGTAATCACCTCATTCATACCATCAGGTCAAGACTGGACAACTTTATTCGAAGGCCTCGGCTCTATTGATGAAGATGAAGAGTATAAAGACGACAGTTCGCCGTCGCCATCCCCGTCGCCATCGCCATCGCCGCCTCCAGACGATGGATCGGGACCACCTGGGCCATCGGGACCATCTGGGCCATCGGGACCATCTGGGCCATCGGGACCATCTGGGCCATCGGGACCATCTGGGCCATCGGGACCATCTGGGCCATCGGGACCATCTGGGCCATCGGGACCATCTGGGCCATCGGGACCATCTGGGCCATCGGGACCATCTGGGCCATCGGGACCATCTGGGCCATCGGGACCATCTGGGCCATCGGGACCATCTGGGCCATCGGGACCATCTGGGCCATCGGGACCATCTGGGCCATCGGGACCATCTGGGCCATCGGGACCATCTGGGCCATCGGGACCACCTGCGATAACTCTTGATAGTGACTCTGATTCAGATTCAGATTCCGACGATGGCTCTAATTTTGGCCCAAGCTCAAGTTCTGGCCCAGGTTCTGGCCCAATTAACCGGTCCAGTTCCACTCCCTCCGAAGGAGACCTCGCCGTTGATGTGTCGCGCCAAGCTAGAGAAAGCTCGCAAACGAGTATTGTTCCCATGGTTGAACTGCTAAATTTGCGAGATGACGATCATCATGGCGAATACGAGAGCGATGACAATCATCATGGCGAATATGAGAGCGATGATGAGTCGACGATTGTCCCAGATAACCAATCTGTCACCGATCAAGAAGTGGTTGACCTTACTAATGAGGGAAATGGAAGCGGTGAAAACAACTCTGAAAGTCAATTGAATTCAACCGAGTTCTCCAGCAATGATAGGCCGGAAAGCCCGCTGTTTGTATATGACGATTATGTCGGCTCACATCAGCCATCGCCTCAAGACGGTCGACAGTCCTGGGAGATCGAATCTAACCAGACTACCCGGGCAACCGAGAGGTCTGCCGGCGAATCAGATTTATTCGTCGGCAGTGCACCGACATATATGGATGAAACGCCTTCACGCGTCCCCACACTCCGCCAAAGCAGCCTGGGAAGTGAGATTGAGGCCATTGACCTTACAGGTCCTGATGATCTAGTGGACTCTTTTTTGCCCTCGGACAATTGGAGTTCGCCTCCCAATTCCAGGAAACGCCCTCTTTTCAAGGTCGAGGACGACGAGGACGACGATGAAGACGATGAAGACGATGAAGATGATACAAGTACCGGTACGCCGAGTAGTTCGAAGAGAGTTCGTACTTTATCGCCAGCATCACTGCTGCGTACAGGCACAGAAAGCGGGAGTATCTTTTTTTCCACCTAATTGCTTCGTTTTATCCGGAATTTTTCATTGACTTATTTGCTCATTAACCTTTTTTTTTTTTTTTTTTTTTTTTTTTTTTTTTTTCTCATCGCTTTGTCAGTCTCTGGTTTCCGGGAAATTTGGCGCATACATGATACCTGTTTGCTTGAGATCGTTCGGTTGATACTAAATCTTGCTACTATACATGGGTCATATCGACTGGGATCTATCATGATCTCACATGATTGAGGGTTATGGGGCGACTATGGGAGGATGGGATCTTGAGGTTCGAGCTGGTGAGAAATGATCTATGGAGACTGCATTATCGGTTTAATTGGCTTGATATATAATGGGCACCTAGTTAGGGATAATCAACGCCAAATTTGCTATTTATCAATTGATATTTAAAAATAAGCCACATTCCAGCTTTGTGTGATGTGATATCAGCAGTATATTTGGCATCAAACCCTTCTGCTTTCAGCAACTCCACTGTTTATAGAATCAGGCAAGATGGCGAGAACCTCGATTCATGTACATATAAAGCCCCGGGCTGGGCCGCCCTCTTCTACTTATTGGCCAATATGCTCTTAGGGTTTTAGTGTTTGGCTTTGTACCTCACTAGCTACTACTCCGCATGAATACGCGGCCTCCTAATGGAAAAGTTTACTCTGGAAACGTCGAGCGAGTATTATTGGAAAAGTTATCCAGCACCCCCATTCTGTTATTCAGCATTCTAGCTACCATAGCATGAATACGTGCAAGTACATATTGAGACTATTCTAGGTACGTAGGTACTACTGCTGCTACTGCTATTTTCAAGTGTGTTTGGCAGTTGTGTATTTTGATAGGTGGATTGGCTGCCTTGTTAAGCTACAGCTGGGGTGCTGGACAACTTCTCCCGTATTATTGCTTCTACGGCGAGGGACACATGCATGCGCAGGTACAGCAAATGCAAGCTATAAACGCCCTGGACGTTAGCAGTTGGCACAGAGGCCCACAGCCTGCAGAGAATGACCTCACAGCTCGGAGTACTCCGGGCCAGCAGCAGGAAATCGATTCTAGGCGCGCCGCATCGGAGTCGCCTACTGGAGGTGCCTTGCTTGGAGATCACTCGGAGCCCCCAGGCCGGCGCATACCACGCATATCGCTGCGCTGGAATCAATCAATCTCGCATACGCGCGTTCCGGCTTTCACAGCTCGCGGCGCTCTGGCTTTAGGGTAAGCTTGCGCTGACGGGCTTGCGTCTAGAATGTGAAGCCGCGGAGTAGGTATTTCCCGCAGCAATTAAGTTGCGTGGCTGGTGGCTGGGGCATACTGTGCTGCCAGTGTTCTTGGACTTGGGTGGCCACGCGCGTGACGTAAGGTACCCAAGGCTTGTCGATTGAGCTGTCACAATGCGCTGACAAAAAAGAGTGCGACAGACCCTTGCGCGATTTGCACGGGCTGGGCGGCTTCGGCTTGTTCGGATAATTTTGTCCAGGCCGGCTGGGGACTTGTCTCGGCCTTCTCTCCCCTTCTCCTAACGTAATCAAGCGCTGAGCGTACGTATTCTTGGCCCAAGCTAGCTGCATCCAAGGCAAGGCGAACCGCCTGATAGACCTGCATCCGTCCTCTGAACAGCCTCTTCTCTCCTCCAACACACATCTCTCCGGCCAGCTCCTCCGTCCGCATCACCGCCACTCATCCACCTTCGAGGCGCTCGTGATTTAGCCATTGCCCGCGGGACAAAGACCGACTGATTGTCTGCTTGCGTTTCCCCTTTGTTAAGCGCCTGTATTGCGATCAGCCGCCCCACGCCAAAGGTTACAGCGGCCGTCATTCTACACCAAGCTTGCCGCCGTGCAATCCGACGAGCGATTCACCTTGTTGCCGCGAATCCTCATCAGCGTTTGCAATTCGCCTTTGCTCTGCGCGGCCGCCTGCAATCGCCGGAGCCGTTTGCCAGAGATTCGTCCTGCACCGTCCAGCGGCTGAACTTGTTGCGCACCCCTACATACAGCCTGGCTCTCTCATTTCTCGTCTCCTTTCCAGCTAGCTGCGACTTCTGACCAATCCCGTCAACTATTCGCGCGCCAGATTCGCCAAAACAGCGACACCCATCTCCCCTTCCCCCTCTTCTTTGCAACTTTCCCATCTTTGCAGCTTTTAATAATATCCTTTATCCGCCATGTCCAAGGTCATACGCAGCGTGAAAAATGTGACCAAAGGGTACTCACACGCCCAGGTCAAGGTCCGAGATGGTTTGTCGCCGCCGCCGCCACCACCAAAACATCTGTCGCTTGGTTTAGTCGATGATACTAACTGAAGCTGTGTTATAGCGACGAGCAATGACCCATGGGGCCCAACCGGCACACAGATGAGCGAGATTGCTCAGATGACATTCAACACGTATGTTACGACCTAAAGAGGCGGACCGCACCGGCACCGAGCTAATTGAAACGTAATCGCAGGTCCACTGAGTTTTACGACATAATGGACATGCTTGACAAGAGACTCAACGACAAGGGAAAGAACTGGCGCCACGTTTTGAAGGCGCTAAAGGTTCTCGACTACTGTCTGCATGAGGGCTCTGAGCTGGTTGTCACATGGGCTCGCCAAAGCATCTACATCATCAAGACGCTGCGAGAGTTCCAGTACATTGACGAAGAAGGCCGCGATGTTGGCCAGAATGGTGAGCTGATTTTCCTTGCTATCCGGCCCGCGATTTACTGACCATATGCGCAGTGCGTGTTGCGGCCAAGGAATTGACCGCGCTGATTCTCAACGACGAGCGATTGCGAGCTGAGCGAAGCGACCGGAAGTCTTGGAAGTCGCGCGTAATGGGCCTCGACTCTGATTTTGGTCCTCAGTATGCCGAGCAGTCTCAGCGACGACAGCCACGATCAGAACGAAGACCCGGTAATGAAGAGGACGATGCCGAGTATCGCCTTGCAATCGAAGCTAGCAAACATCAAGAGGAGGAAGATAGGAGAAAGAGACAGAATCTCGGCGGTGCTGAAAATGATGATGATCTTGCAAAGGCCATCAAACTCAGTCAGGAAGAAGAGGAAAGAAGGCGCCGCGAGCTGGAAGATGCCAACGCCCATTCTCTATTTGACGATGAAACTCCTCAACCTTCGCAGCAGCCCCAACACACTGGATTCAACCAGGGTTACCAGCAGGGCAACGCCGTGGACTTCTGGGCCAATCCAATTGACCAGCAGGCGCAGCAGATCCCTCAGCCAACCGGCTACCTAGGTAACGCATATACTGGATTCCAACAACCGCAACAACCGCAGCAGACCGGCTGGCAGCAAAACTTCAACACCGGCTTCGGTGTCGATGCGTTCGGCAACCCTCTTGCTCAGCAGCAGCAACAACAGCAGCAGCAACAATTCCTTCAGCAACAACAGTTTGCTCAGCAACAGCAGCTGCAGCCTTCTCAGCAGGCTCTGGATTTGGCCATTCAATCTGGAAGCAACAATCCTTGGGCGACCAACAGCCAGTCACAGCAGCAGTCTCTTAGACCCACGCCGACAGGTTCCAACAACCCCTTTGCTCAGAACCGACCGCAGTCAGCAAGACCCGCGACTTCATCTCTCAGCCCTCTACCGGAGCAAAAGACTCTGTCAAGCTTCAATCAGCCCAGCTTCAGCCAACCCAGCTTCAACCAACCCAGCTTCAACCAACCTCAGATTCAGCTTCAGCTTCAGCAGCAACAGCAGCAGAAGCCCGGCTTCACTGCTCCTCAGAGAGAGCTCAGCGAACACGAGAGGAAGTTGAACGCTCTGCTGGCCTCTGGAGACGGTCAAGATACTTACGGAAACACCGGTGACCTGCGAATCCCCGCACAGCACACGGCTCCAGGAACGTTTATCAACAGTGCTGGCGCGGGTCTCAGCCGACTTAACCCAGAAGCCACCGGTAACAATCCCTTTTTACGGCAACAGTTTACTGGTATGCCGAGCATTACCTACGGTGGCCAGCCTCAGCTGAACAGCAACCCATTCGGAGCCCAGCAGCGACCGCAGCAACCGGGCCAACCACAAGATTTAATCCAGTTTTAAGGGAAAGAGGAGAAATGAGCTAATTTTTGATATACCACGGGCGAGGGATTGTCGGATTTTTCTTTATTGCTCTTGACGCTCTTTCTGATACCGCCATTTTCATACTTTCTTGTTCATGGGCTGATACCTTGCCGCCTATTTTTAAGGCGAACTGTCTTCTTTTCTCCGTGGCAACCTCCTCGTCTGTGCTCTGTCACACATTTTTTTCTTGATTTTTACCTGGGAAAGGATGAAGATATTTCTCGTTTGGGTGGTTGAGATGGAATAAAACTGGCTTATTCATTTTATTTTTCTCACGGTCCACGTTGTATGTTTATTAGACAACGCAACTCTGGAATTTTCAAAATTGTAGACCTGAATTTTCGACCTTTTTTTTTTTTTTCAAAATTGTCCAAGCTTTCCATCTCGTGAATGCCAGCACAGCTATCTCACATAACACCTATTGTAGCCCTAAAGTCGAAAGCAAACTTTGCTATCATCTACCTCGTTATACATGACCCTAAGCAAAAAAGAAAAAGAAAGAAAGAAACAAATAGATAAGCTCAAGAAAACGCAAACTGCCGATACGCCATCCCCAAAATGATATATTGGTGACCACTGTGCACATTATATGTGATGCATTGATCTTCACTAGAGCTTTGCGACATTCCCAAAATAATTCTCCTGTAGCGAGTCAGCAAGCTTTCATATGACTCGGCCGACGCGGGTCATCGGGAGGTGCCCGGTTAGCCAGCTTCTTCCATCATCTGGATGAACTCTTCGAGGTTGACTCCGCCTTTGCCGTCGTGATCGAGATGTTCTATCATGGTCTGAATCTCTTCGTCCGTCATTGTGCGCTCTTCCTTGATGTCCTGTGCTAGATGCCTCATGTCTTCGACCGAAATAATGCCGTCTTGGTCGTAATCGAACATGTTGAATACCTTGATGGCTTCTTCGCGCGGGTCTCGTCTGGCGATGAGCTTTGCGGCGCATAGTCGAAATTGGTCGGGGAAGATGAGCAGGCGGTTAACGGGACAGGTATGGGGATCCCGCCAGTCCGGAGGCACTTGGCCGTAGTTTTCCAGTTCCCTGCAGTAGTCGGGCTTGGCCATGTCGAAGCCGAGAGCGGCGAGGGAGTGTTTGAATTCGTAGCTATTCAGCCATCCTTTCTTCTTCATGTCCATCAAATCGAACTAGACCAATAAACACATGTGAGAATACAGAGGCGAAATGGCGCTTGGTCAAGCTGATTGCAAGCGACTTACGACTTCATCGATATGTTCACGATCTTCGTCGGCGATGTTGCCGTAGTCTTCGTTGGAAGACACTTGTGGCGCCGGGGGGTTCCGCGACTGAACATGCTGGTTGGAACCTCCTGCTATTGATCGCCCGGGAAAAGGGCGAGGCGTGTGAGAGTTCATGTCGGACAGGCAGGCTAGCTGAAGAAGCTGTGCCGGATGGGTGTGAGTGTGAGCCCGCTACCGTATCCAAAGAGTTGGGCTGCTTTTTTTCTCTCTCCTCAGATGCGCTTATACTGCTAGCAACGAGAGAACCAAAAAAAAAAAACAAGAGGTGGCGCAAGGGTTTGGATGAGAGAGACAAAGGGCCCAAAGTCGTATATAATGGAGCAAATAAAAGAGAGAGAAGAAGACGTACAGAGTACGAAGTATGCGCCGTATAACAAAGGATTAAAGAGAGAGATATGTAGCCATGGACGAGGTTTATTGCTTGGATTGAAGTTATTTTGCCGACTAGCTGGATGCGACGCGCCGGAGCTTGACACGCGCCTACAGGCGACTGCGCTCGCGGTCCAGCGGCTTCAGGCCTCAAGCCCACTGTTGACTCGTCGCTGGCCGCAACGATTTCCTAGGGGCTGCACCTGAGTACGCCTGACCAAAGTACCGGCTAGGCAGTGGCGCAGGCACCAGCGACTTGCCTGCCTGGTAGCGCAATTGGCGGTGCTGATTGGTCCGCGTTAGTCATCAGAGTGCCTCGGGCCAATGAGAGGAGAAAGTTCTGGTCTGAGGCACCAACAAGTCAGCCTGGTGGGAGCAAAGCAGCAGCACGAAAAAAAAGCTGTGCTGACCAAAGAAATAGCCCCAGCTTTGCTTTGCTTTGCTCTGACCTTGACTTTTGCCTCCCGTCTGCTGCCAACCAGCCCACAAGGTGACCATCTGCACCCCGAGGTGATAAAAGGGCTCGTCACCCCTTGAATCACTGTGCTGCGCTGGTCTCTACTCAATCAATCCTTCTTTTTCATTTTCTCTATATCGCATTCTCGTGCTTGCGCCACGCCCTGGTTTGCTGCGTCGCCATCCGTCGCGGCTTCCCCAAGCGGCCCTTGAGCAACAGCAAAATACTAGCACGACTAGTCTTTCTGCCACCAGAACGCGACTTTTCCCTCGTCGTCTCATCACCTTGCAGCTGGGCATGGTTAATCGGAGCAGTTTCTCTTACCCTCAATCCAAATAACACTGCATATGCGCGCTTTCTTCCGCGATTCTCGATTTGTTATTCGTATCTGAGTTTGATCGCGCCATCTCGAGTTTTCTCGTCTTTCCGAAGCACGTCCTTCTCCATAACCGAGCATCGTCTGCGGGCAGCTTCTAGGCATCGCAAACTTCCTCCCAATACCGCGATATACGGACGCCCATCATGTCGTTCGGCGGATTTGGGAGCGGCTTCGGCTCGAACAACCAGCAGCAGCAACAGCAGTCAAGTGGGTTTGGCTTTGGAGCAAGCGCTAGCACCCCTTCATCAGGTACATTGAATCTCGATCGCGACAAGGCGTTGCTCCATTCACTGACCGAGAAACGCGCAGGCTTCGGATCCAACACCTCCGGCGGCTTTGGTGCGACTAGCAACACTGGCGGCGGCATGTTTGGCCAAACCACCCCTACTCCTAGCGGCTTCGGCTCAACAACCGGTAAGTCTTGCTCCTCAAAAACAGATCGCTTGAGCTCTGGAGAGGCCCATATGCTGCGTTCCCCGTTCCTAAAGACAATCACCACCCCCCTTCACAGAGCTAACGAGGCTGTAGGAGCTTTTGGGTCAACCACAAGTGGCTTTGGCAGCAAGCCTGCTTTCGGCTCGACACCCACCACCACCACTACTTCAGGTGGTCTCTTTGGAGGCTCCAGCACCCCCAGCACCGGTACGGGCTTTGGTGGGTTTGGTTCAAACACCAATACCACTACCCCCTCAGCGTTTGGCAGTAACACTGGCAGCGGCCTATTCGGCAATGCTAATAAACCAGCAGGCGGTTTCGGAACTGCGGCTACACCTTCGCCCATGTTTGGCGGCGGCAACACCGCCTCCAACACTGGCACAGGCTTTGGCGGTTTTGGCGCGACCAATACCTTGGGCGGCGCGACTGGCGACCCCCCCGGCACCGCCGTCACCCCCTTTCAAGCCTTTACAGAAAAGGAGCCCAATAGCAGCACCAACCAGTCCAACGCCTTCCAGAACATTCTGTTTCAAGATCCCTATAAGAAGTGGTCTGCCGATGAGCTGAGATTAGCAGACTACGTTCAGGGTAGACGGCACGGCAACCCCAGCGGTGCTGGCGCTTTTGGCGTGGCTTCGGGCTTTGGCGGTGGATTCGGCAACACCAACCAGACGAATACTGCAACCGGTGGATTCGGAGCCACGAACAATACCACGGGCGGATTATTTGGATCGAACACAAACACAAATACTGCATCTGGCTTTGGTGGTGGATTCGGTGCGAATAACAACGCTGCGGCTAGCAATACTGGAGGTGGCCTTTTTGGCAACGCCAACAAGCCGGCGACTGGAGGGCTCTTTGGTGGTGGAAATACTACACAGAATCAAGGCGGCGGCATGTTCGGAGCTGGAAACACCAACACCGGCACTTCTGGGTTTGGAGCGACAAATACTACTGGCGGTGGGCTCTTTGGTGGCGGAAACAACAACGCTGCTAGCAACACTGGAGGACTATTTGGTAACAATGCTCAGGCTAAGCCTGCAAATACTGGATTCAGCTTCGGCAACAACACCAATACGGCATCAACAGGTTTCGGAAACACCAGCGGCGGCTTTGGCTCGACTACGGCCAATACAGCTGGCGGGGGCCTTTTTGGAAACGCCAACGCCAATACGAACACCCAAGCTGGAGGCGGCCTTTTTGGTAACAACACCCAACAGCAACCCAATACCTCAGGAGGCTTGTTTGGCCAAGCCCAAACTCAGCAATCAGGAGGTTTATTTGGCAACCAGCAAAAGCCAGCTACAGGAGGCCTTTTCGGTTCCACACCTGCGGCTGCCAATACCAACACTGGCGGCGGTCTCTTCGGCAACACCCAACAACAGGGAACGGCGGGCCTTGGAGGTGCAGCCACCGGAGGGCTCTTTGGAGCTAAGCCAGCTGCTACCGGCGGACTTTTCGGTGGCAGCAATGCCATTGCAGGCAATACCGGAGGAGGGCTTTTTGGCGGTGCTGCAACCAATAACCAGACTCAACAGGCCGCCGGAACAGGTCTATTCGGAGGTGCTACGAATCAGCAGAAGCCAGGCCTCTTTGGAGGTACGACCGCTGCGCCAGGCGGCGGACTTTTCGGCGGTGCCCCAGCTCAAAATCAAGGTGGACTCTTCAGCAACGCTGGCAATCAGCAGCAGCAGAGCATTGGTCTCGGTAGCTCGTTGCTAGGTGGCGGCCAACAAGTCAACAATGCCCCCCAGGGCCTCACTGCGAACTTGAGCGACGTATCGGCCTATGGCTCGCCATCACTGTTCTCTGGGCTTGGTGGAAACGAGGTCCCGAATCCTGGCCCGCTCGCGGTTCCCCTGAGCGGACAGCCTAAGCCCAAGAGGCCTTCTATTTTCCCCATGTACAAATTCACACCTGCGGCATCAGGCCGTTTTGGTACTCCTCAGAAGAGAGGATTCGGCTTTTCTTACAGCACATATGGCACGCCAGCTGGAGCAAGCCCGGCAGCCGGTACCCCTAGCTCTCTGGGCCGTAGCTTACTCGGCTCTACCCCCAGTGGAACTGCTCTCAGCAAGAGCGTATCATCCAACAACCTCCGCCGTAATGTCAACACTGATGACAGCATCCTCTTACCTGGCGCATTTTCGAATACTAACAACACGCGTTGGTATGGAAGCACGGGCTCCAAGAAGCTGGTTATTAACCGCGAATTGAGAAGTGACCTCTTTTCCACGCCATTAAAGGATAAACAGAACAATGACAATGGTTCTGGGCCACGAAAGCTGGCGAAACGTGTTAGCTTCGATACGCACGTGGACGGAGAGGACTCACCCCCGGTGCGTGCGGCTCTACCAGCCCCTGGCGATGTCCCAAGCTCTCCTGCCGAAGAGACCCCTCGTCTGGAAAAGCTTACCCCCGTCACGAATGGACTTCGAACGCCTGAAATGGATTACCTCAAGGGCAAGGACAAGGAGCTGGCAATTGTTCCTGAAGAAGAGAGCGCTACCCCGGAGCCTGATGTCAATGGCTTTGACAATGCCCCAGGAAAGTACTGGATGGAGCCTTCCCGTGAAGAGCTTCAGAACATGAATCGGGTCCAGCGACAGCGCATTGACAACTTCACTGTCGGCCGAGAGAATGTCGGCTCAATCACTTTCAAAATCCCCGTGGATATTAGCGGCATCGACCTAGACGAGCTCTGCGGTGGCATCATCCAGCTAGAGCCTCGATCCGCTACCGTCTACCCCATTGCAGCGAAGAAGCCGCCTGTTGGCAAGGGCCTCAATGTGCCCGCTAGAATATCATTGGAGCAATCTTGGCCCCGTGGCGGTCGTGATAGGAGAGTCGCAAGTGATCCCAAGCGCTTCAACAAGCACATTGAGCGACTCAAGCGCATTGTCGATACTACATTCGAAAGTTACGATGTGGACAGTGGCGTTTGGACCTTTTCTGTTGAGCATTTCACGACTTACGGACTGGACGACTCTGATGAGGAGACTGACTTTGACATGACTGTCGACCCCCCCGCCGAAGATTCACCGCCTGCTATATTTCACGCGCCTACCTCTTCACAAAATGATGATGCGATGGTGTTTTCTCAGTCGCACATGTTGCCTGGCGCATTCGATGAGCAGGAAGGGCTGTTCGCAGCTGAGCTGACCAGACCGCAGTCTTTTTTAGGGGTTAGCTCCGCGGACTCTGCTACACATGATGTCAAGTTGTCTCTAGAAGATGACCACATCGCAGAGTATGAAATGTCCGAGGATGAAGACATGACGAGGTCTTCTTTCGGACATCATCTCGCCGCGGAGCATGACGATGCCTCGTCCGAGGGTGGCCAGGATATTAAGCGTGCAACTTCAACCCCTGGTGGCATTCTCAGAGCCAGAATGAGAGCTATGAAGGACTCAGCTGGCCCTGTTAAGCTTGAAGTCGCAGATGGCGATGATTGGACAGAAATGCTGAGGAAGACAGTCAGCCCGATGAAACGAGACCGCCAACTGGCCAAAGAACTGACTGGATCCTCTGCTAAGCGAGGAGGTAAATCTGTTTCTTTTGATGTCGATGAAGAACCTGACTTGCGAAAGTCATCCATTTGGGGGAGGAGTGCCGCCAGGCCAGATAGGAAAGACGGACATGCGGCCGGCACTCAGATTGGTATGGAGCAAGGACGGGGATTTGCAACGAGCATCGACTTGATGAATTCCTTGTTTGAGAAGCCAAAGCCAAAGCCACTGCGCAAGGAGTCCAACGCTTCTCCATCTGCAAGAGGTTTTCCCAAGGTCGGTACCCTGACTGTTTCGCTATATAATACTTGTTGAGATTGATAAATGTTCTTGAGCCGGCTGGAGGCTCTATTTGTATTTAACCCAAATAATGAATAAAATGCTAAAATTTCCTGTGTTCAATATAGTGGCCCTACGAGCGACAAGCAAAAACTGCCACGGCTGAAGATGGCGAGCTCGCCTTTCATAGCGCCTCGAGACCGACCTGGGGACCAGATGAGACTCTCGTTTTGATTCGATCACTCGATGGCTCGCACTCCCGTCGATCAATACGCGACAACACCGATATTCTGACTTTCCAGCGGTCCAGCATTCGAACTGAGGAACAAGATGTTCGTCTAGCTACTTTTGCTGCTGAGGTAAGAGTTGTCGCTTTGAGTCTAGATACTGTAGCCGTTTTGGATCTGACTAGCTAACTTTACTTTTCAGTCATCAAAGAACTTCCTTTCGTCCCAAGATATCGTGACCGAAATCCGCGTCATTGAAGGAGTGCCATATGCTACCTTGCATACCACCAGTCTCAAGAGCGTGTTCCATCAGCAGAACGTCAACGATGCAGCTAGCATTCATGAGAAACAGGTTTGGGAACTGGCCAGTATCCTGTTTGACGATGTAGACAACATGAACGCGACAGAGGGGGGCGAGCATCTGGCCCGCAGGAACAAGCTGTCCCAGTTTTGGTCCGACTTGGTCGAGCAGGCTTCTTCGACAGCTATCAGCATGGCAGCGACTAGCGAAGAGAAGGCACTTGCATGTCTCGCTGGCTACCGGGTCGCAGAGGCCTGTAAGTACCTTTTGGACGGCAAAAATTTCCGCCTCGCTACTCTGGTCCCCCTGATTGGCACTAGTGATGTCACGAAGAGGGAAATGCGAGAGCAGATTAAGTCGTGGCTGGATTCGAAGATGCTTTCCGAATTCTCCGAGGCCATTCGTACGATTTATGAGCTTTTGAGTGGAAACGTCTGCGTCTGTGAAGGTTTGAAGGGTATGCCTAATGAGGATCGAGTTGATTCATTCGTCATCTCCAAGAACTTTGGTCTAGACTGGAGGCAATCCTTTGGTCTGCGACTGTGGTACGCCATTTCGAACCACGACGACTTGTCTGCTGCTGTCGAAGAATACAAGGATGATATCGACCAAGACAAGGAAGATTTGCCTCGCCCTTGGTATGTTGAGCAAGGCATTGCTCCTCTTTGGAACGATGCGAACATCGACACCCGCCAAGATCTCTTATGGGGCCTTCTCCAGCTGTATGCCGACCAGGACGCCGATTTGGAATCTGTCCTTCGCCCGGAAAACTCGCAGCTCTCTCCCCTTGACGCAAGGCTTAGATGGCAGCTGGGTATTGCCCTGACATCGACGGGCAAGGTCTCCTATGGCGCCAATGGGGTTGAAAAGGCTGACGCTGCTACTATTGCGTATGCCGCTCAGCTAACCCGAGCGGGAGAGTGGCTGGAGGCTGCTTTCGTGCTGCTGCATTTGAACCACACAGCTTCGCGCAAGAAGGCCTTGCAGGAGCACCTCTGCCAACATGCCAACCTGATTGGATCCGAATCAGATTCCAGTTTCGTAGTGCTGACAGAGAAATACCGCATTCCCGCAGCGTGGATCTGGGAGGCCCTTGCGCTTTACATGCGCTGCGTGAAGAAGGATGCTGTGGCAGAAGTCCAGTGCCTTCTCCGAGCTGGATCACATGCTGAAGCTCATCGAATTTTGATTCAAAACGTTGCGCCCCAAGCCATTGTTGAACGTGACTACGCTGGTCTATCTTCCCTCATCTCGCAATTTCACGATCAGCAACAAGGCATCACAGAATGGACTCAGGGTGGTGAGATTTACGGCCATTTCCTTCAGCTTATTGAGTGTCGCGAGAAAGGGGAGATTGCATCGCCTGCGCTTCTCGACAGACTTCTTGCTGGTCTTAACGCAGTCAAGGATATTGGAGCGGAGAGTAACATTACGCGATATGCTGCGATTTCCGACATGGCGGACGAAACTGCCAGGGAAATTGTAAAGGCAACGCGGCAGAAACAGGTATGTGCTTCCAAACTATTCTCAATCTATCTGTCTATTTTTTTTTTATTTCTAACATGAATGCAGGACATGGAACTACGATCCAGGATTCTGAGCCTTCCACTTACTCAGGACAAACTGCTCGCATACTCGGTTGACTTGAGTCTGGACCGCTACAGAGAAGTAATGGCGCATTAAGCATTGGGAATGAGATTTTGATGGGACAAGAAGCAACGAATAGGGCTTGGAGATGGGTGATGCGATGGAAGGAAATGGGACATTTGGTTTGTTTTTCATCTTGATTTTTTCTTTTTCTTTTTTTCTTTCCAACTTTATGCCTTTCTTCTGTAACAAAAGGACGAAAGAGAATATGCGATCTGGGTGAATAGGGAGATGGAGGGGAGAAGGAAAAGATGAAGAAGCTAATTAAGGGCTGAATTAGTACTGTAGTATAATAACTGTTCGATTTAGATTGGATGCGAAAGTATTGGCATACGATGAAGACGCAGATGAAGTGTGAATGGTTTTTTTTTTTTTTTTCATATCTTTTATAGATGGCAGTCAATTCTCAATCGACGGCAGACACCTTTTAGCAGCCGTCTTCTGTTTACATTCCAGCGCCAAGTCCTCGGTGGATCGATTACCCTGCATACAAGTGAATGAACAACCAACATCATCTGACAGCCATGTAAGAAGACTTGACATCATCCCAACTAAACTAGACCTTCATTTCCACCTAATTGTAAACAATGTCCAAGCCCAAAAACTGGCCCATCTCCCTCCCATACCTCAAAGCGCCCCTCCACGGCAAAGACATCTCCCCATCCCAAACCCAGTTCCTCCGCACTCAACCCCTCCATCTTCCCACAGTTCCAGCTTCATCGCCCGCCACCGAAACGCCCTGCCCGCACGTCAAGATCCAGGCCATCCAGGACCCTCTCCATCCAGCATGTGGGCAGCGCGGACTCTTCGCCACTAGAAACATTGCGCCGGGGGGATTAATACTGGTGTATCTCGGACGATTGCACGGCCGGGCGACGACGAGCGACGAGAGCGATTACGACTTGTGGCTTGATCGGGAGATGGACGTGGCGGCGGATGCGGCGGGGGAAGGGAACGAGGCGCGGTTTGTGAATGATTATCGCGGCGTTGAAGGTAAAGAGAGGGCGAATGCGCAGTTTGGAAATGTGTGGTGCGAGAGATGGGGGGAGGTTTGTGTGGGAGTTTGGGCGCTGGGAGGGGGGAAGAAGAGGAAGGATATGAAGGGGAAGAAGAAGAATGACGGTGGGGGGATTAGAAAGGGAGAAGAGATTCTGGTGAGTTATGGAAGGGGATTTTGGGAAGAGAGGAGGAAGAGCAGTTGTGGTGTTGGTGGTGGTGACGGTGACTTATGAGACATCTACTTGGACGCATACAAACGAGAGCAGAGCAAGCGACTTCATTCGAGGAATTTTACTATTTATTATTCAATCAACCAACATCATCTTTCTTTATCATGAAAGCCGCATGCTTTGCTTGATTTACATCACAAGCGTTCCTCCCATCTACAGCTTCCCTTTCCCTTTCCCTTTCCTCTTCTCTCTCGCACATACAACAACACATATAACGTGAAATTAGAAAAAAAAAAAAAAGGTATACCCGGATGTTTTTTTCCTTGCGCCACCACCAAAACCAGCCCCTGCGCCGGCTTCCTTTACCTAAACAACATCAAGACAGAAATACTACATATATATAAGTGGTAACAAATAGGGGGAGGGTTTCAGCTCTCAGTACCTTCCAACGCCCTATGCATGCTGGGGCAGAAAAATAATTCGTCTTCTCAGAAAAAACGCATGAGCCAAAAAAAGAGGGGGGAGGAGCGAAAGGTAAGGAGAGAGCATCCGCATCTGCTAAATGCTTAAAACGGCAGACTCTCTTTCATTATTCGTCCTCGCCTTCAGCGTCAACATCCAGTTCCTCGTCCTCTTCCTCTTCCTCGTCCTCGCCGTCTTCGTCTTCGTCTCCTCCATTGATGCCGTGGTCAGAAGCCTCAGCAGCTTGTCCTCCGAGCTGCACGCTTAGTACGAACCCATTACTTGACGGCTGAGGGGTCATGACTCGAACTTCGTCTTTAGCAGGGTCTTCATCGGCTAAAGAGGTTCCAACGCTGTGATCGCCGTTGGTGTCCATTTCTGTCCCCGGCGGCTTGTCTCTCCAGCCAGGTGGTAGCCCAGGACCGCTGTCTGCGTTACCGTAATCTGACTTCTTCGTCCCTTTAGGCCACCTTCCAGGGCCGCGACCCGTGCCCCCCGTTCTTCTCCGTGATCCGCTGCTCTTAGGTCGGCTGAGAGTAGGTCGACGGCTGCTACCTCCGGCTCTCTTTGGCCGTGGCCGGGAGCTGCTACCTCCCCCTGTACGCGACCCCGAAGGCCTGCTTACGCTTTGCCGTGAACGGTCTGTGCGGCGGCTGCCAGCTACAGGGGGGAAAACTTCAAAGCGGTTTGGCGGTATATCGCGATACATTGCCTTCCAGTCCTCCTCAGAGTCTGCATCGTCCATGATTTCGTCCTGCGGTTCCGCATTCTCTTTATCTTCAGGCGCCATCTTCTCCTCAATCGACAGGATGGGGGTGAGTTCGGGATTGCTGTTGACTGAATCGCCCGTCTCTGATACTGAGCCAGCTATTGATTGTGAACCATCATTCAGATCGTCATTCATGATGATGGATTGAGTCTCTCCAGATATATCGTCCCCACCTTCCTCGACCTTTGCTTCATCATCTTCTCGAGGCGCAATGGTATTGATAGGTGGGCCAAGCTCAAAATTCACAGCGTTGCTGCGACCCATCACGTATGGTGTCCAAGCGAGGCCTTCGGGCTTCAGCTGAACATAGCCCTTCGACTCCCACTTGGCTACATACTGCTGGCAGTATTCCAAATCGATGCGAAACGCGTATACCCTTGTGTGCGGATCTCGCACCAGCGCTCGAAGGCCTTCCAGAGCAGCAATAACATCGTCAGGCGTCATCCCCGTGTCGTCTGATATTTGCTTAATAGTAAGGCCATTTTGCTTGTGCCCATCGTCTTTCAGCGTTTCTATGAAGTATCGGCAAAGCCGTAGGCGCCAGTAATTCCTATAGGAAACAAGTCCCATGTCAGAAAGCGGCTTCTCTGGAGATCCTGTCTTCTCCTCCACCTTGGTGAGGAGGTATGAGAAATCGATAAGTAGGTTACCGTATCCCTTTCTCTGATGGATCGGCAGTGTCAAAATGCACGATACGTTGTTTTGGCTGCTCGCGCGTTTCTCTTTGGAGAAGTAGCCAACGAAATGATAGCCGCATTCATCGTACTCGCATAAAACGTAAAACAAAAATGGCTCCACGTCGTAATACAGTGTCTTGGATCCCAGGAAAAGCTTTGCCAAAAGGCACAAGTTTTGGCAGTAGACTGGATTTTTCCGGCCGTCAACTTCGAATACCGATACCGATCCATGCCGATATATCTCGTCTCCAGGGGGGTGTTTTGCTGCACATTTAAGCTTGTGGCGCCATGCCACGTAGTCCGAGTTCATGTATTTGAGGCAGAATTCGCATATGTAGAGCACACGGTTTCTACTATACTCTGCTGGGTACGGTGCTGCATACCAAGTATCAATCTCCCATCCACCAAATTCGATGCACTCGATTTGGCTGGCGTTGTCACTTGACTTCTTGGACTTGCGGATGGGCATGTCTATCTCTGCCTGCATCTGCAGGACGCGAGCTCTCCATTCATCTTCTGCACTCTGTTTGGCTTGGTCGAAGCGCCTGCGATCGTCAGGCTGCGGTAGCGTTTTTGTGGTATCAGCTTCTGCTTCCGTCAGGATGCCACCGTAGGGCTTTCCTTTCATGTCTTCAGTCTCCTTGTCAAACAAGGAATAGAAGGGCGTTGAATAGAAATCTGTTGTAAAAGGTGTTGGGAGCACGGGTGTTGCGGTAACAGCTCCAGAGTTGGGGCGTACAGCTGATGGTGCGACTGGCGTGCGTGGTGCCCGTCCGTTTGCTCCAGACCTTCTCCTTTCTCTGCGCCTGCGCGAAAGAATTTCCTTGAGATTTCCAGGCCGCACGCGCATGGTCACAACAAGTGATGCTCGCGATTTCCTATCAATGACGACCAGAGACGGGCGAGTGACTTTTAATCGAACCGCACGTGAGCTTCCCCTGGTTGGTTCCGCCGACTTGCCATCAGTTTCTTCATTAGCAGACACGCCATCGGTCGAAAGGCCGCGTCGTCGTCTCCTCAGAGCAATAGTAGCCTCCTCAGGCTCTACCGACGATGTCTTTCTCTTTCTCAGCGCGCGAGGCCCGTCCGAGACATCCCCCGCGGCCGTGTGGTCGTTAGGAGAAGATCGGGTTCCTGCATCGTCTTGCATCTGACGTCTGGGGGACGACTCAGGAGGGGCGTCTGAAAGCTGCGATTCGGGCCTGGCTTGGCCATTGATGCTAGGATCCTTCTCTGGTTCTTCGGGTTCCTCTTCCTCCTGATCAGAAGCGCCATTATCACATTCGGGACATTTCCAGTGCTTTGAATCTTTTCCGCGAGTCAGCAAACTCTTCTAGAATGTATGCATTCGGAGTGACTTACTGTTCTGTTCGCTCATTGCCGCTCCATCTCTTGCGCATTGCTGATGGGCTAGTAACTATTAGCAAATTTGCATCAGCGTACACTTTAGCTTTGGGTAGACTGACCATTGTCACCGCACCGAGAACAAGACAGAAACGCCTCAAAATCCTCACTTGGGTCGTTTTCTTCATCTTGTTTGCAAAACATGCAAATATTCGACGGGCCATCGTTCTCTGAATCCTCGTCCCCTTCTACCTCTCCAGCATCTTCCCATGCGGGCTCTTCATCCGAATCATCTTCAGCATTACTGAGAAGATCTGAATCGTCGCTCTCTGCGTCTTCTTCACCATCCTCGTCCTCCTCGTCTTCGTCATCGGTATCGCCTGGTTTGATCTTAACCGCGCCAACCCCTTCATCGCCATCGTCTTCACCGTCTGCATCGTCGTCCTCATCGTCGTTCAGTTCGAGAGACCGACCGTTGCTGACCACGATTTGTTGATCTACAAGCTCGTTATAGTCTTCCCCCTCCGCATCTTGATCCATTTCGTCGTCAATCTCCTCTCCAGAAGCATCGCGATCACTGAGCTCCTCGTCCTCGTCCATATCCATGCTATTGCTGCCATCTATCCTATCTTCGGCAGAGATGGCGACTATGGTCTGGGTCTTTAAGGGTGCAGGGGTGAGCGCATCCTCGCCAGTGGTGTCTGCTGTCTCGTATTCAGCATCTTCCGAGAGCCGGACGCTCTGCTGCAGCTCCTCTTCCATCGACTGCGCGCTCGCCATAGTTATCGCTGCTTGTTGAGACTCGTAGAGTGTGGGTATAGTCTTGACGCTGGCATATCGATCGAGAGCCCTGTAAATACTCGAGGCTGATATCAGGTGGCATGCATGGCGCTCTCTTGGATGCGCTTCCTAACGTGGAAAACTCGCTAAATCGCAGCTGCTATTGTGTAAGCTCTATGTAAGCATCTGGAAGAGGCAAACAGATCCTCCCTACCAAATTGTATGTAACTGCAGCGGCTTATGTTTATTGCCTGCTCTTGTTGGCGATGCGACAACAGCCTCAGTCGCGTTCTCCAAACTTGCATGTCCTGAAGTCGCGGAGGCAGGAGATACAGTGCGTGCGCATTCAGTTATCGCGTTTCCCCGCCAAATTCCAGGCGGCCAACAGTGTGAGACAATGTTGCGCTAACTATGCGTTGGTGCAGGGATGCGACCTAGCTGGAGCCTCAGGCATCAAATTCTCGACGGCTCCAATTGGAGCTTTGCCCACTGACGTGCAGGCTCAGTATCAAGAACGACGCTCGGCAGACTCGAGATATTGCGACGAACTTGAGCAGGGCTCTTTCAATTGCTGACTGCCCAGTTAATTTTTCGGTTCTTTACTCAGTCGACAGCCAAGCGGAAGACCGTCCCGGCGGCGAAACACAATCATGCCTGTTCCTTTCGAAACCCTGCTGCCATACGGCATCATAATTGTCGTATGTGCTATACCGAACGAGACTTCACCACATGGGAATCCGAGGTAGCTCACAGTTTGTTACTAGATGTTTGGCGCTACAGGTACCGGACTGGCTGCCTTCAAGACATGGCAGAACGAGGGCAAGCGACCGCGCTATTCATTGGATCAGTGGGATAGAGTTAGTCAACTTCTGAGCAGAGAATGCGGCCATTTACATCCAGTAACTAACCATTATCTATAGCAAAGTAAGAGGCCTTTTTCGACAAACGAAATCCTTCGCACAACTTCCGATCGATTTAGACGCTAACTGGCATGCAAAGTGATGGACCGAGACCGCCGACTTACAGGAACATTGAGAGGACAGTCAGACAACCCGCAAGCACCTTTCGGGTTTGAATTCACCAACGGATGGAAGGTAATATCATTGCCTATATATGACGCCTTCTTATACGGACAAGTGCTGATACAGTATGCAGCTGGAGAAGCGATTTACTTAAGAGGACTACGGTGTACAATCGGAATTATTAGACGAGGGGACCTCGACCTCGAAATCCAAATGAAACAGAGTGTATATATACCAGGCAGAAACTCGGCCTCGCTACCTAGCTAGCATTATTTACATGGCTCTGCTAGTAGATGTTGGTTAAAAATCTATTACTATTAACAAAAGCTACCCCTCTATTGAGATCTCTGGTCTATTCTTATTGAGACCTTCCAGCAAAGTACAAGCCTGGCACATTGCTTGGCTGGACATGTAGCCACATTTGACGCACTTTCCAAGTGTTTGCAGCTGAACAGGGCCAGACTCCTTTGTCCGACGCTGCCGAACAGGAAGCTTCACCACATCGTCACTATCAATGACCTCTGGCGCGCCGTTCGATGTGATCTCGGTCTCAAGCCCGTTGACTGCGGGCTGCTTCTTCAGACTTGCTTCCATTTGCGCCAGGTCGTTCCCTGATGACTTTGCATCGGCAGATCCACAACCACCCATGCCCTCGCCTTCGTCGCAAGCGCAAGCCCCTTGTCCTTTATCTGGCGTGAGCCGGGCCATGTCTTCGCCGCTCCGAACAATGTCTAATATAGCGCTTGGCCGGACCTTTTCCAAGTTTTTGATGAGGCTTCGTGCAGTTCCACGGAATGCCTCGGGACTGTAAATGCACTCCGTACTGAAATAATCCAGCTTCTTGTGATGTGCATAAAGCACAATCTCCTTTTCGTAGGCATACTTTAGAGGCTTACTTCGCTTCACGTCGTTCAATGAGCCACCGGTGACTATACTGGTGCTGCGAGACAATCGTGGTAAATCTCCTCGAAGGAGATTCATGAGGACTGTCTCCGCGACATCATCCGCATTGTGACCAGTGACAACATGCTTAATTTCCAGGGTCTTTGCACCCCTGTCCAGCGCCTGCCGACGAAACACGCCGCAGTACGTGCAGTTGCCCTTTTTCCCTATAGTCTCTACGACTTGGTCCATGGTCCAGCCATATAGCTCATCGTATCCCACAATCTTCAAGGGCATATCGTACTGAAGTGCGTTTCGCTTCACCGTTTCCAGGGAGTCGTCTCTGTAGCCTTTGATTCCTTCGTCTATACTGAGAAGCACGAGATCCAGTTTATAGTTGTGGCGCTCGTTGAGAGTCTTTAGTACGGATGCTAGTACTGTTGAGTCCTTGCCTCCTGATGCTCCGATGGCGACTTTTTCTCCGGGGTAGAACAGCTTGGATGAGACGATGGTGTGGTGGACTTCATCCTCAAAGACGGCTATGAAGCAGTCGCGGCATAATTTGTGGTGGTTTTTGGGCCTCTTGACTACTGCCTTGTTCGCCTGGCAGCGAACACATGTGATAGGCGGCATCTCGAGGTATCTAAGATGGAATGAGTTTGAATGTAGCGTGAGTCCGAGTGTGAGCCCGAGTCTGGGCCAGGGCCTGGTAAGGTAGCCGATTTCTGTTTGCTCTTCAAACGAGAGCAAAAGTCCGGGTATTAGAGGATATCTCAGCTCGAAAGGTTCAAGGAAATGGTCTTGGAAAGAATATATCTATGATGGAAAAGCAAGGTTAAGCAATATCATTCATTCATCGTACTTCATTGAGTCGCCAACAAATTTACCTCTGATGAATCATCATAGCGCCTGTAATTCTGGGGTACTTGGGTACCTCCATTGAAACTTTTTTGGCAATCGATAAGGTCACGTGCCTCCACGCCGCTAAATGCACAAGAGCTAGAAGACCCCACAATTGGCCGGATGCTGAAGCCCTAATTTTCCGCCCACCACATGGTCCAACTTTTCTCTCGACTTTTCTTTGCAACCCATCCCGCTCCGGCATCGAAATTTTGTTCAACATCGAACATTCGCCCATCGCCCGATAATCAAGATGGTAAGTTGATCACAGTCTCATAAGAGACTCTAATGGCCACAGTTTATGTGTGAGTCAAATGCGCGAGAGCGCAATTGATACAACGGCGTTTTTTGCTTCTTTTTCTTCTGAAAAATTGCAACCAACCTGTTGAAACATTTCCGCCCCGAATGTTCACTTCATTGTGATACTGAAGGGGTGAAGACTTGGCTGGAGACGCAGCAGTGCGCTGAAATATGCCACAATGCGTTCTCGTTAGAGTTCAGAGAAGACTTTTTGGCTTGAGCCCCTCGCTGATGTCTTCTTTTCTCAATGACAGCCTCCCAAATCTGGCAAGAAGGTCGCCCCTGCTCCTTTCCCTCAGAGCAAGGCTGGTAAGAAGGGACCCAAGGTTAGTAAAAAAAATCATAGATCTCTCCTACCCAGTGAAAACTTTGTCGAGATATCTAACAAGGTGCTGCAGAACCCTCTTATCGAGAAGCGCCCCCGCAACTATGGCATCGGCCAGGACATCCAGCCCAAGCGAAACCTTTCTCGCATGGTAAAGTGGCCCGAGTATGTCCGCCTCCAGCGCCAGCGCAAGATCCTCCGCCTGCGTCTCAAGGTCCCCCCCTCTCTGGCCCAGTTCCAGCACGTCCTTGACCGCAACACCGCCGCCCAGGCTTTCAAGCTCCTCAACAAGTACCGCCCTGAGACCAAGGTCGAGAAGAAGGAGCGTCTCCTGAAGGAGGCCACCGCCGTCAAGGAGGGCAAGAAGAAGGAGGATGTCTCCAAGAAGCCCTACACCGTCAAGTACGGTCTCAACCACGTCGTTGGCCTGATTGAGAACAAGAAGGCTTCCCTGGTCCTCATCCCCAACGATGTTGACCCCATTGAGTTGGTTGTCTTCCTTCCTTCTCTCTGCAAGAAGATGGGTATCCCCTACGCCATCATCAAGGGCAAGGCCCGTCTCGGAACTGTCGTCCACAAGAAGGTTAGTTTTGAACTGTTGAATGCCATGTAAGCAATTGAGAGATTGTGTACTAATCGAACTGATAGACCGCCGCTGTCCTGGCCCTCACCGAGGTCCGCTCCGAGGACAAGAACGAGCTCTCCAAGCTCGTCTCTGCCGTCAAGGATGGCTACATGGAGAAGCACGAGCAGTCCCGCCGACAGTGGGGCGGTGGCATCATGGGTGCCAAGGCTCAGATGCGCATCATCAAGAAGCAGAAGGCTATTGAGGCTGCTACCAAGATTTAAGCTTTCTTCTAATACCCGGGTTGCATTTGGGATTTAAGGGATTATCATCGGTGTTTAAGGATTCAGGGCATGGCAAAAAAATGAATGAATTTCCAGCACAGTTGTGTATCCCAAATATGACCGTTCTACACACATGTGTGAAGTGATACGAGTGAATTCGCTATAAAGTGATTACGTTGGAATTGGTGTAAGCCTGAGTAACAATTGTTGGCTGAGTCAGCTCCAGCTGCCATTGAGTTTTTTTTTTTTTTTCGGAACACAAAGTAATACCTGTAGGCCATGGTTCCGCATCCAGACATGTCTGACGAGCGTGAAAAAGGGGCAATGCAAGTTATGGGTTGCAGAGTTCCATCTAAGATAGGGGCGTTCTCAGCAGCATTCAATGACTGCCGTCGGATAGGCAATATTGGTCTACATGGCATCGACACAAGCTCCCTGCTTGGGTAAGATTAATAGTAATGTTTGACTACTGAATTCAATAGAAACCATTGAGCCAAGACCCTGAATGGCTGCCTGCCTGCATGACCATAAGTGAAGAATCAACGACGGTCTTGGTAAGCATTTCAGTAATCCATGCCCATAGAGCTCGGCAATGTGACGAGTTCAGGTCGGTCCGCAACCACTATCAGCTAAAATGGCAGTCTCGCGTGCTCCGTTCGTCCAGCAGTTCGGCTATCATCTCTTAACCGACGGTGTGGTTCTGACCCAATCTGAGCATGAGAGCGCTCGAATTACCCATCCTGGCAAGAGAAACGCCATGGCGGTTAGAAGGCCTCACGAAAAGGGCAACAATAGAGAGTACAACCATTGACGACCTGATTTGGAAAGCGAAGGATCAGAAAAAAAAGAAAAGACAATGCGAGGCTAGCGCTCGTAATTTCTGCAGGGCTACTCATAGCCACACGCACCGGGGAGGGCTATCCGGACCTGAAAAGCCAAGTCAGCCATGAGAGGTGGGAGAAAGAGGAAGTGGACTCTTGGAAGATGAACATCCACGAGTATACGAAGTCAAGCCACAGGCTAACGCAATCTGATGAAGTCCCCGATGACAGTGGCTTGTATGTACATAGAGAGCAACTGGCTGGAGAACGTCGAACGATGCTTTGGGGGGCCAAGATTTAGCACTTGGGAGGTGCCAAAGATGAGTTGACAAGGGGATCTGTCGAGGTTTGCTTCTCGCAGCAAACTAAGATACCTAGCGGCAGTCCCACATATCGATGACAGTGTTTTTAATACTGTACAAGTACCTGACAGGCCCCAAGCAAGTACCAGCTCCATTTCCATGGACGAGGACTTCAAAATGGGTCCCAAAATGCCGCGAGATGGATCCAGCAGCTACCTAGCCGCGCCGTCCCACTTGGGGCGATGGGGAATAGGCTCGTTTTTAGACATATCGGCCAGCATTGTAGTACCTGGCTGGTGGACGTAGCAGCAGGGCTCTGAATTGGGCGATTCCCAAACGCACGTCCTCGCCCTTCGGCCACATGTCCCCCTTGAAGGCGCAGCTTTTCCGGGGATAAGAGGGAGAGAGGGCGAGGGAGAGACCAAAGGGCACAGCTAGGAGCGTGACCGAGTGCTCGGTAGCCGGCGCGGCTGTAGGATTTTTGGTCCATGGGCTCGCATTTATTAGAGAATCGGCTGGCAATCATTGCCTGTTGCGCATTGACTGACATCGAACGATCCATGCAGGGAAACGAGCAGGGAGCCGGCATCTGGACTTTATCAAACTGACAGGTCTGATATCAGTAGGAAAATCAAAGAACTATTGGTTCTGGCAATTTAAGCAATTCAATGCAAGACGAATCAGAAAAACAAAGAGGAAAAACAAAGACGCAAACCCAATTTCCGGTGCTAGCCCTTTTGCAATGCGTATACTAACATGTTGACTGGGTAGTGCAGTACCACTTACTCTTTCAGTCATTGGCACAAGAAGAGCTGCACGGATCCTTACCCGAAGGAGAGGTGCAGTGCAGTCTCTCTTTGACTCGGAGCAAGCCTGTAGGATCCATAAAGTGCTGACCACCGGAGCACCGATGCTACCACAAGAGGAGTTTTGAAAGTCCGGATATGGATACACGTTACTGCACTAGGTGTCTAGCAAGAAGAGCTGCATCGGCTTTCTAACGCGGCCGAGAGCCAAAAGGAAAGAAAAAGTGGGAGAATGTCTCGGACAAAACCGTATGATGGAAGAATCGCAAGACCGCGGAGTAACTAGTACCTAGTGTTGGATTGGCATATTAGTGTAGTTCCCTTTTTTTCTCGGATCTTCTCTGCTATCGCCTTAACAACGCATTCTCCTTGTCTGCCCAACTTGTTAGTGCTCTGTTTGAATCCCGACCGTCAGGTCTGCCAATTTCCGGATGAGGTAATACAGGTCAACACCAACAACTTTGTGGAGACCAGAGCAGAACCAGAAGCAGTTCAGAGTCGATGCAACAACACCAACCTGGTATAAGTATACAACGCAATCCAAGACATACCTACCAGGCCCGCCCCCACTAGTGTTTTATGTTTCTCTTTTCTCTTTCTTTTTTAAGATCCCTTTGCGGCCGAGAAGAAACAAAACAGCGGCCGAAACCACCGTCTGGAGCGAAAAGCTAACGTATCAGATTGCCGGTTTTTTCGACCTGCAGGGATTCTCCAAGCTTCAAGACGTTTCTTACCGTTACATCACGGAGGTTTTAAGCAAGAGGAGCGAGCAGAGCGAAACAAAAGGAAAGCAAAAAGAAGCCCCCAAGTATAGAGAGGGAACAGAGATAGAGAGGCTACTGCATACTCACAAACAATGGCCATCAGCGCCGACAGCCCCAACCCCCCTCCGGCCGCCAGCAGCAGCGCTGGCAAGCCACCAGTCCTCATCATCGGCGCAGGCGTCAGCGGCCTGCTGCTCGCCCAGCATCTCAAACGTGAAGGCGTGCCCTTCCGCGTCTTCGAGCGCGATGGCGATCTGGCGACCCGCGGCGCCGGCTGGGGTCTGACGTTGCACTGGTCGCTGACGGCGCTGCAGAGCCTGTTGCCGGCAGCCCTGGCTGAGCGCATCTGCGACGAGTCCAGCGTCGACCGCTGGGCGGATCGGCGAGGCGAGCTGTCGAGATTTCCCTTTTTCAATCTGGAGAGTGGAGAGCTGAAGGCGCAGACGCCGGGAGCGGTGAAGAGTGCGCGCGTGAGAGTCACACGAGAGAGGCTGAGGAGGCTATTGGCGGAGGGGATTGATATCGAGGTGAGGCTGGCTCTTTCCTTTGTTACGTTGAGCTGCGCAAAGGGCTATCACACCCATCATACCCTCTACTTTCCACAAAAAGATAGCTTTGTTTACCCAAGCTCTTTTTATTGATGTTTCCCTCTTTCTATCTTTTTTCGTCTTATTCCCCCTTTCTGAGCCACCATCTCATTCTCTTATGAGACCTCCCGCTAACACACTCATTTCTACAAGTGGGGGAAATCTCTCCACGAATTCACAACCAACAACAACGGCACCGTCAACGCCATCTTCGACGACGGCGCATCATGCACCGGCACGCTGTTGGTGGCGTGCGATGGGGGCCAGTCCCGTGTACGCCGCGTCTTGTTCCCGGACGAGTCCGAGCTCACGATGCAGCTGCCTGTGCGGACGATGGGCGTTAAGATCTCATTAACGGCGGAGCAGATCGAGCCAATCCGCAAACTGGATCTCTTCTTCCTCCAGGGCGGATCACCTCAGAACAATTCGTTCATGTACATCAGCGGTGCGTGGCGTAGAAAAAAATACCCATCCCCTCCCCTTGTCCATTTTTTTTTCTTTCCCTTTTTTATATGCTTTTTTTACCTACTACTGCACTGTCAATTGCTTGCATTGCCCATCGTCTTGGTTCTGACATCTGCGGGCGCTGGTTCTTGTCGATCATTTTTTCTTGGTGCCTTTTTTAGGGCTCCGACCCGCCTGAGTCTTCTTTGCTCTGTGTGGAGCTCCCAAGCCAAGTACCATCCATCGCGAGGTACAACAAGCAGTGGAATAAGCCTCGGGAGCGGCGCCCGCCGTCGCGGATCCGGCGATCGCATCGCCTCCCGCAGCGGCACTGTAAGATTCTAAAAAGGCATTTTGATGAGAAGTGACAAGACAGCGAGCCCAAAGAATCGCATCCAATCACTGCCAAAACCCGCACGTCAACTGCTTTTCTACCGTTCGTACTGACGCATTGCAGTCCTTGATAGTCCCGGAAACCAGATCGACAGCAACCCGGATGTCTTCCTCTGCCAAATGCATCTGTCGTGGCCGTACCACCCGAGCTGTGGAGCCCTGATCGATGTGCCGGCGACCAACGAAGAGCGGTACGAGCTGGTGGTCTCCTTCGCAAAGACTTGGGCCGAGCCTTTCCGCTCTTTCGCCCTCAACAACGTACATCCAGAAACTCCCATTAAGCGGCTGGATGTGCTGGATTGGGCGCCGCCCATTGGACTGCGCTCAAAGGGCCAGGCAGTGCTGATGGGCGATGCATTTCATCTCATGTCCATGTGTAAGTGCTCCTCTTATTCGCGCCATTGGAGATTTTCTATGTTTTTGCTTTTCTCTTTTTGGCTCAGATCCAACCTCTTCCCTTTCTCATTGCGCAGTGCAGCCGCTTTGCTCTACACTTATGATACAAGTTTTCGCTTGCTCACTCATTGTTACTTTATTCTAGACCGCGGTGAGGGCGCAAATCACGCCATTGTCGACGTCCTTGACTTTGCGACACACGTCGTTCCAATGCTGGCGCCCTGCTCGCTACAACACGCCCATCAGGGCGCAGCACAGGCCCAAGATCCTGCGCAGGCTCTGCGCCAGGCGCTAGATCGCTATGAAGACGCCGTCGTCTCCCGTTCGCGGCCAGGGGTTCTGGCCTCGCGCAGGGCGTGTTTAGACGCGCACGCTTATTCTAGGCTGTTTGGAGAGGGAGCTGCGGCTGGCGGCATCAGCCCACTGCTGAGCAAGCGCGAGATGGCGCTCCAATTCGACGATGAGTCAATGGAGCTGATGGGCCAGTAGGCAATACGTGGACTACAAATCCTCAGGTTCCCCTGGTTAATGGAGCACGATTCGTATAGTAGTACAAAGTTCATCATTGGAAAATACGGTACAGCCAATCACCCCGCCCGCTAGTCACGGTTCTAATCGCAACGTCTAAATTAGCACAGAGAGCCACAAGTGAGCTGTTTACCATCGAATCGTGCTACGAAGTACCCGTAACATGCGTACTTGCATTGACCTTGGCCCCCAAACAAGGAACGCTCAGCTGGCCCGGTCAAAGGCCAATGGGTCTCGTTCCCGGGCCTTGATCCAAGTATATACACTGCACGAACTAGTCTCGGAGAAGGTAGCCATATATTAAAAACCCCACTCGCTTGTCGTACCATCCAGACAACAAACAACCGATCACACATAGATTAATTAATCAGTCCGGGCACAGCCGCAGCAACAAGGTCTTTGTCAGAAAAATAATACGGACCAGGATCTTACATCACCTCGGGAAAAGGGCGAGAGCGAGAAAAAAAAGCAAATAATGTATCCACTTCGCTAAGCTGGACAGGCGCGGAGCACCAAAGTCTAGATCCCCCTATGCAAGAAAGCCTCCTCCGGCACAATGATCCGAAACGAGGGATGTACCCCCTACTTTGCAAGGAAAAAGAAGAAAAAAAAAATTACTTTTCATATGAGTGAAGGTAACCAGGTAAATGGGTTTCCCATTGGCTCTGCTTTCCGCTTCGATTATTGGACTTTTCCCTTTTGTTGTCTCCCTTGTAGTGTGTATGCTGGTGTTAAGCGAAGTATGCCGTCGCTTCTTTCGCTCCCTTGCCTTGTTGTAGTAAAGTCGTCCGTCCGGTTTCTTTCCTTTTTTTTTTTTTTTTTTTTTTTGAGGTTTGAAGCCGCAAAGGTTTCCAAATACTGCTGGCGTTTATGCATTTATGGTGTTTCCGTACAGAAATGGGCAAGTCATAGGTGCTTTGTTTTAATTAAAAAACTGAATCGAAAAAGAGAAGTAATAACTCTGATAGACTACAGTGCCAAATCATTCATTTTTCGAGCGCTCCAGAAGCCCAGTAGTTCGCTTAAAAAAACAGTAAACTTCAAAACAGTAAACTTCGTTGCCTTGTGGCTATTCTAAACCCATAGCTCCATAATAGTCTTTTTTTTGGGCGGCGCACCTCTGGCCCCTACTCAACTCCACGCGAAAATGATATGAGAGAAGTCCAAAATCATCCAAAACACATCCAAAGCATCAAACGTTCCATAATGTAGAAGCAAGAAGTAAAGCAATATCGACAAGAATACAAAACAAGGTATATCTTTAGCAGACCGAACAAGAAAAAGAAAACAAACAAGATACAACAAACAAACTATAATTCAATATCCTATTTTACACGCTATCTTCAAAGCTGTCGTTTCGCCGCCTGGGTTGGCCGCGCTCCTCGTCGACTTGTACGCTGTATGTGATTGACTTCATGATGCCAGCTCCTTGAAGTATATTCTCTTCGCTCGAAGACTTGACTGCGGTCAAGGCGCTCTTGTCATGGTGGTCTTCACGGCTGTGACTCACGTCGCTGAGTTTGAAATGCTCGCCCTTTGCACCTCGACTGTTCTGATGAGATGATCCGTTATTGTATGAATTCTTCGTTCGGTACTCCTTGGCTTTTCTCATGAAGACCGGAGCCAAGAATGGCAGGGATGAAACCATGTTCTAGAGAGATGTGTTAGTTTCGTACACTTGGCATCATTGCAAGACAAGTTACTTACGCCGACGTTGAATTCAATGGTACCCCATAGAATCAGCATTGTGGAATTGCCGTCACCAGTTGAGATTCGGTTGATCTGGGTATATCTCAAGATGGAGCAGATTGTCGTGAACAGGCCAAGCAAAAAAATGCCGATAAGACCAAGCTTCTTGGCCAGTCGAATATTGAGCCTAAACAAGACTGGCAAGGGAAGAATGGCAACGATGATGTCGGAAACAATAGTGACGACAGCATAAGCTGTAAAAGAAGGTCCAGGCGCCAAGCAGGTTCCATTTATATGGGGGTTCCATGACCTTTGAACCGGATTACAGGCAAACACGAGGGAGAGGGCGCAGCCCAAGTGACCCAAGAAGACCAGTGCAATGGTGGCAAAGACAACATAGCGATAGGTCCTTTGGTCCGTTCCCTTGAGGAGTCGCAGATAACTGATGAGAAGTGCAATCTTGAAAAAGCTGATTCCAATTTGATAAATGGGACGTCCCGCAAAGTTGACCTTGGTGTAAGCGTCGAGACTGGCGGGGGGTCTATCTGCAATGGGTAGTCCCAGGCCGTATCTTGTTTCTGTGCGACGCGTTAATATTTGTCTAGGCCTTGAACTCGACCGCCAGCACGGAGGGGGATTGACGTACGAACAATGCAGAGGATGGAGTACATGAGAGCAAACACGACGGATAAGGCGGACATCCAATCATCACTGGCAAGGCCACGCGCGGCGAAGCGAATGTAAAGACGGGCGCCGACTGTCAACATGGAAAGAACCGAAAGGACGACGCAAATGATGATGATTGTCGGATACTGGGACTCGTCGTTTACCGCCTCGGAGGCGTGCAATACCCAACCCATGGTGAAGAAATGGTATTTGTCTTATCTGTTGGCGGGTTGGGCCGGGTAGAAGATGCTGTTCGTTGTTGGTGTTGGTTACAAGGCGCCTCCCGGTGGCAGAAGAAGCGCGGCGACGGAGTGAGGGAGAAAAAAGGCAGAACGTGTGTACCGCCAACAATGTGTATAAATTGGATAAACGCTACAATCAATTGTAGACTGCAACTCCACGATCAAGAAGAGAAGAGAAAAGAGGACCAGTACAAGCGGGACCAAAGGCAGAAGCGGCCCCCAAAGGAATTATAAGAGATGGAAATGAACGTATCCAAGACCAAGGCCGAGAAAGGTGTCGGACGATATAGGTAGATGGATCCAGGCCTAGTAGACGCGAGGCATGTCTTGGATAGGGTTTCTTCTTCTTTCGGTCAGCATTAAGGTCAGACACAGACTGCACCCTGAACCCCTTCGGGATTGCTCGTCTTGCCAAATCTTCCGCCTCAATGCGACCTTGTCGGACGAATACCGTGCTTCCGTGTATTTATCCGCATCTCTAACCCCAAGATACTCGTCTCCGGTGGCCAGGCGTGGCATTAACGGTTGCAGGTGCTCCGTGTTGCCTCTTGCATAAGATGCTAGTCGATCCCGGGCAGTATGACGACCTCGAGAGCGCAGGGACTCGACACATTCGACCGAGTACAGCTGGGGCCTGTCCAAAAGGGAGCGAGGCGCGATGGGTATTGGAACCAATCGTGCCGAAAATTTGCCCTGCATCCCCTGCAACGATGCTACGTATTTGGCCTGTTTTGCCTTTGGGGGATCCGTGCCTTGGGGGCAATGCTACGACACCGTCTGCACATGAAATTAGCAGCAGCTTGGTCCTGTTGTCTCCCTGGCATTGGCTCGAAGTCCCTCCGTACTCCGTATCTTCCCCGTAATAGCGTAATAGGCCGTAAAAGGGCTCGTGCGACCTGGATACTATCCATCGCTTCGCATGCTTGTAGTTAGTCCACGCTGTCTGTACCCGTGGCACAAGGGCAGCACCCGTAGCAATACCCGTACAGTATTACTCTCAAGCGCAGGTATGGACATGCCATCCTTGACCTCATGGCGAGCAAGGGAGCGGATGCGCGGTAGCACTACCACCCCTGCCACCGGACTGTACCCAGCCGGCCTGGGTCGTGTACCTGTCAAGGCAGTCGCCGGCACTGTGGCACTGTGAGGCCGTGGCTTGGACCGGCGTGCGGTTGGCGGAGCGATCCTCGCCAGTAAGAAGACGTTCTGACGCTGGCGCTCTGCAGATTGGATCTGGCGGCCACTAACAGCAGTAGGCTCCCGCTCAACCATCGGTCTATCAGCCGCCGGGGAACGGGCTTTGAGCAGCCTGTCCGGGCGGTGGACTGTGCGTGTCTCGGCGAAGCAATCGTGGCAGTACTGTACTGTAGCACCTCCAAGCAGCTGCTTCGATGCAGTAGCGCCGGTTGATGTTTGCTCTACGTTTGAGACAGGCTATTAATGGGGGAGGGCTCAATGCAGTCCGAGACATTGTGTGCCAAGTTCTGCTGTAGCTGTCAAGGAATGGTACCATTGCAAGTCATTTCGTGCTCTGCTGATCAAGTCGGGAAGAAGATGAAGAGATTTTCCTCATGGTAGCTCTGCTGGCACGCCATATTTGGCTCAAAGTGCGCCGCTAAGAGATCCGCTAGGTCTGGTTGAGCACATCTTTTCGCTAGCCAGGCAGATCACTGGGGCGATTTGGCGGGCCCAGAGACGGCCGCACAATTTGACAGCTTGGAGGCCCTAATCGCCGTGAGCCTCCAAGTGGTAACAGCAACAGAGAAGCAGATGGAACATGTGGCTCGCAGAATCATCTCCGCCATGGTCATTAGCCATCGACGCAGGGACCCGTTGGGGGCAGAGAAAGCGGAAAGACAAATCGTCAGCACATTGGCGCTGCCGCAGCTGTACAGGTGGCTGGGCGCAGGTTGAGGTCCAAGCTCGAACCAGCTGTAAGAGGATGGGGGGAGTGGAAAAAGAAAAGACTCAATGTGCTGTGAAGAGGCCAGCTGGAGCAAAGTGTCGTCTGTACACAATAATAGCGCAGGAGCGTCTCATTGCTCTTGCCAGTGCCAATGCCATAGGCAGAGCATGAGGCAGGTACATTAGTGGTTTCTTCTAAATGAAAAGGAACAGCAGCTTGGCCAATTGCCAGCAGTTGTAATTCTACGAGATACAGGCAATCCAATCCGCCATGATACCAAAAGCAAAGAAGAGAGCAGCAAAGAATTGAACAAATGAGTACAGTATGAGCAACGGTCCTCAAGTTGTGGGCGATCTAAACGAATCGGTAGCAATGCCCCGACGACAGGACTCAACACCTCGTTAATCAGAGGCACGGAGCACATCCGAGGCACTCAACAAGATTTACTCCATACAACCTCTGAGGCAATGACCTCAGTTCTCCGGATAGATACGGAGTACATCACTGGTGATTCGGTGTACTCGGGCACAACTACTTTCTGCCCTAGGGTTTGTAACCGAGCATCTCCAGGAGAACAACCAGTAGGTACTGCAAAGAGAACGCAGCTGGCTGGGTGACATACATGATACATGCAATGCGCGACGCAGTACCTGCGTAAACGAAGTATCAGGTGCGTCTGCAGGCCAAACCACGCGAGGTGGAGTTACATACATACCCATGAGAATGGAGTGCATACAAGTAGAAGATTCAAGGAAGAGTACTTGTCGGACTTGGTGGCACTACTCTGTGGTATTCTCTCGAGATTTGTAAGGGGTTCTCCTTGCAGAAACTAGCCGGGAACAGTCGTATGATTTTACGGAGTAGTGCTGTTACAGACACAGAGCCTGCAGAAAAAGAAAAGAAACCAGACATCAACGGCTGCAGCATCTGGCTCGTGATAGTCGCAGCCGATTGGGGACCCTCTCCAGCCGCAAAGCGGGTCGAAGCGGTGGTGGGGGACTAGTGCTGAGCTCCAGGGAGCATGAGCAACCCGCTAGAGGGCAATTAGCAGGCCCTGACAGTGCCAATAGAGGGGCGCATAGCAGTACTGTACGAGCTGCTGGTACCTTGACGTCTTGCAGTATGGAGCACTCGAGCTGGGACCGAGCTGCGGTCGAACTGCCGGGCCCCGGCTCCAGCGTCCTCTGGCCACGAATTATGGAGCGATCAATGCTTCGGGACGGGGACCTTTTTGCTTTGCCTTTGTCTGGCCGTTGTCACAGTCGATCAATCAACGTTACCTGGGCGAGTTTCCCCTGGGCGCCGAGGATCCCCGTTGGTTCAAGGTCAATGGCAGTTTGCAACAACGCCGCCGTCTACGAAAAGAAACTCGGCCAAACGAGCTAGAGATGCTGGGCCAACGCTGCTCGTACGAGGCCACTTACTGCACAGTAGAGCACCTACAACAGACACTTGCACGAGATGAGGATAAACTCTGCGTTAAAGGCACCGCTACACGCCTGGCCCTGCCAACCCGTCGGAAACGCCTTGCCCCTTGGCCAATCTTGGGTCAGCTTGGCTGCATTCAGCACACCACCAGAGCGCGGCACCTCTTCCGCTGGCGCAGACTCGCCTACTACAGTACAGCACAGGACGACCTGCCTGTTCTCGCCAGACCCTGCAATATTACGTCTTGGCCACTCGGGGAGCGAGCCCTGGCCCTTTGGCCCTTGAGCTGGCGAACTGGTGGCTATGCGATGGATGTACTGTAGCGGGGGAGTTGGCCCTGGGGAGCTGGTTCTGGGGAGCTGACCCTGCCGCCGCGTATCTTGTGCTCGTCCAACAGCATCGCGGCATTGAGAGGCTCCGGAGATTTGATCTGCCAGCAAAAGATGGGACATTGCACGACGACTGCCGCGGCGACCCTTCTGGACTGCCTGCTGCTCTTGGCACCGCCGTGACAGCAGCCCACCCATTGTGGCTGCACGGGTGTCACATCCACCGTCACTAGAGCCCATTTACCTTGCATCCTCCCTTTGCAGCTGCATGCGGCGAGTAGGCCATTCTTCCTTTTTCTCGCTAGCACCACTATTTCCAAGCCTCACTTTCTTTGTTTACTAACGAGTCAACTGCTGCAGTCCAGGCATTGTGAGCGGTGCTAGGTCGCTTCGTTTACGGGTCCACCGGTCTAGATATCCCTGGTCGTGCATCTAAACCATGCACTTGTCGACGCGGTGGCTCCTCGTGGCACCGCTGTACCTGTGCTATCCACCCGATCCTTCAGTTCTCTTTTTGCTCAGGTACAATATCGACGTCTGACCAGACTTGTGCTGCAACTACGAGAGGAACTAACGACGAGAGACGAGGGCCCCTCTCCCCCCTTCCCTTGACCACGGCCACGGCCACGGATCCTGGCTGCTGTCTTGTCAAATCCTTTCATCGCTCGTCCTCTTTGGGGTTCCATCAATCTTCTTATTACTACGTACGGTATCCTCTCCCCTTCCCACGTCGTATTCGACCTACCTTTCCTGGCCCAAGGTGCTGGTCTTTTGCAACCAACGCCGATCGCTCACTTTTTCTGGGAGAGATTTTCTCTTCAAGTCCATCTCACACGCCCTGCATCCTTCCTCTTCACTCTCACTCCCTGGACTGGCAGTAAGACATTGAGGTTTACCCATCACGTCACTTCCCCCAGTCTCTATCCCCGCGATTCTATTTTCCACGGGGCCTACACGGATCCGAATTCGCGGACATAGATTTCGCTTTCCTTCCCCAGAGTCGCCAGTCGTGAGTGTTGAGGGCTAAAGCAAACATGTCTTCTCATAACGACAGTGAGAAGGGGGCTGATATCGACGTTCGCGGTAACACTCCCTCTCACAGCGATGTTGATGTCCCCGAGGCCGGCATTGACGACGCCTGGAAGTTTCTCAATGAGCATCGCGATGCTGATGGCGTTGCCGCTATCAACATGGATTCTCTTCGCCGCAAGATCGATTTCCACATTGTCCCTCTGATGTTTCTATGTTACACCATGCAGTTTCTTGACAAGGTCATCTTGAATGTAAGTTTCGTACCTGCATAGGACCCCCACCCAGATCGATGGCTTGTGCTTTGACTGGTCGCCTTATACAGTTATACCACGCTGTGACACGACATGCTGACACTGGCTAGTATGCCGCTGTGATGGGACTGAATACAGATCTGGGTCTCAAGGGCAATGACTTTTCCAACGTGGCCACGTTCTGCTTCGTCGGTTTACTCTGCTTTGAAATTCCCAATAGTAAGTTGAGCCTCGTCCAAGCACGAAACAACTTGTCATTTCTTTCCCCCTCTCTCCTCCTTTGAGAATTAGACATACTGACTGAATATTTCAACAGTATATTTCCTTCAGACTGTCCCGGCTGCCAAGTGGCTCGGACTCAATGTCACACTCTGGGGCATTGCTACCGCCTGCGGTGCGGCTGCTCACAACTACCAAACGCTACTCGTGTCTCGTGTCTTCCTAGGCATCTTCGAAGCCACCATTGGACCATCTCTGATGCTCATCAGCAGCCAGTGGTATACAAAGTCTGAACAGGCTCCTCGCTTCTCTTTCTGGTATCTCGGCCTGGGCCTGGGACAGATTCTTGGTGGCGCCATCTCATATGGCTTCCAAAATGTCTCCATTGGTGCATCTTTGGCTGGCTGGCGCATCATGTTTGTTGTCTTGGGATGCGTCACTGTTGTCATCGGACTGTCAACCTTTTTCTTCTTGCCCGATACTCCCATGAAGGCTTCTTGGCTGTCGAGCAACGAGAAGGTTGCTCTGCTGAAGCACGTCAGCGTCAACCAAACCGGCATCCAAAGCCGCAAATTCCGCCCCAAGGAAATTGTGGAGGCGCTTCTTGATCCTCAAATCTACCTCTTGCTCCTGTCTGTTGTCTTGGTAAGCTGTCTTATAGTGTAAACTCTGGTTCTTTGGCTCCCTTTATTAACATTTAATTTTCTGCAGCTCTCTGTTTCCAGCGGTGTTGTTACCACTTACTCCGCTACCCTCATCAGGAACCTGGGTTATACTCCTAAAAAGGCTGCCTTGATGAACATGCCCTCGGGTGTCGTCAGCATCTTCTTTACATTGCTAGTTGGCTTCGGTGTTCGAAAGCAGTCTCACCGATGGGCATGGATCATTGCCTGCATCATTCCTGCGTATGTATCTGGCTGGTTCTTGGCTAGAAAATCCGACTGTGATTACTAACTCTTGGTAGTATTATTGGAGGCGCATTGATGTCTTTCCTCGACACGAAAACTCACCATGCCGGCGTTTTGGCAGGTATCTACCTGGTCAACGCAGTTGTCGCTCCCTTGACCCTCTTCTATGCCGTGAGTAACTCCAACCAGCACCCAGTCTGCACAGCGGTGATTAACAAGACGGATATAGTGGACTGTTGCCAACGTCAGCGGTGCTACCAAGCGTGCCTTTGCCGCCGCCATTGTCAGCGGCTCATTCTCTCTGGGCAATATCATTGGACCCCAGACCTTCCAGGCTCGCGATGCGCCCGATTTCCGACCTGCCAAGCTGGCAGTCATGGGCACGCAGGCTGGATGTGCTGCGACTACCTTTGTCCTCTTCCTGTACTATGTATGGTCCAATAAGAAACGCGGTGATAGCAGCAAGGACAACGAGGAACGCTTCATGTCTCCTGAGGTCTGGGCCACCATGACAGATAAGGAGAACAAGATGTTCCGATACTCGTATTAAACCCTCTGCGCAACGGTATGATTTCTTATTAATACGCCAGCGAGATTCTTCTTTTTCATTTGCATCAAATCTTTTAACTTTATTTAATTATGGCATATAAACGGGGATCAAGTAACATTACTGTTGGAAAAATTTTTACGCTGGGCATACGATATGATACATGTCTGAGATGTCTTGACTAGGATTGCTTGTCTATAGATGCCGAGTAAATATTCAGGTTTCTGCCTACAGTCTATGAATGGCCATTCTCTATAACACGCTTGCTCAAACCTTGTATTCTTTGGACTTGATTACACTGCCGCTTTTAGCAGCGTCGAGGGCCTCAATGACTCTGAGCTGCTCTGCAACACTTTGCTCTACCGGAATTTGCCCCTTGAGCTCGGGCTCCATCTTTTGGAATTGGGTCAACATGACATTGAGCGCCTCGACGACTTGGGGTGGCTTGGGACCTTCTTTATAACCATGGAATTAGCAAAGACAAGTTTTGGGAATCACAAAGCGAGGAATGAGAAGAGGGCCCTTACCCTCCCAGGTATCCACCCAGCCGGGGCAGATGGCCACAGTCTTGATGCCCTTGGGAGCAAGTTCCACGGCGTACTTTGCAATCTGGACATTCATGCCCGCCTTTGCAATGGAATAAGCCAAGCCGTAGTCAATGCCCGTGCCGAGGATGACGTCGTTGTTGGCCATGCTGCTCGTGATGTGGGCAATCTTCTTGACGTCGCCCTTTTCAATCAGCGGCAAGAAGGCATTCGTCGCCCAGGCCGCGCCCCAGACAGCCGTGCGGACGGGCTCTTCGTAGAACTGCTTGGTGGCCTCGAGATCAAAGGGCACCTGCGTGGGCGAGTGGCTGAAAGTGGCCATGTCGACCGAGTTTGAGTTGTGGATGAAGACGTCGAGCTTGCCGCCGAGGATGTCGCTGGCCTCCTGCGCGGCGGCGAGGATGGACTGCGGATCGGTGACGTTGCCGGTGATGATGTGGATGTTGGGGTGGGCTTTGGCGAGGGCGGAGAGCGGGGAGGAGGCGTCGTTTGAGCGGACGATGGCGAGGACGGTGTTGGAGGGGGATTGGGCGGCGAGTTGGCGGACGAGTTCGCGGCCGAGGCCTTTGGAGGCGCCGGTGACGGCGTAGGAGGGCATTGTAGGGATGTTTTGGGGGATGTGAGTTTTTACTTGATAAGTTGTTTGGAGATTGGGGATGTCTTGTGAGGTTGATTAAGGAGTTGATTGTGTGTATAGTTTGGAAGGGTTCATTTTGATCAAGGTGTTTTACTCTTATATATATGTGCGTGTAAGTGAGTTCCTTGGAGGGGCCACTTTTTTGCTTCAGGCTCACGACTAAGGGGTCCATGATGACAAAAGATGCAATGGCATAATGCATTTTTGTGTGGATATCAGATCATTGGCGATTACCAACCTGGTTTACCAAAGCGTCGAGCATATTATGTAGTTGGAGGGCAGAGCTGAATACCCACGAGGAGGAACGGCCGATCTGAAGTCTCAGCAGCCGGTCCCCAGTTTAAGCCATGGTGCCATTTACAAGCTGCTGTAGTCTTTCAGTGAGACTTGGACTTGAGTCATAATATACAGGGAACATCAAGTATATTCCATGATAAATCATCTGGTGGATCTCGAGATGTTGAACCCCATTGTAAGAGGAAAGGCCGATCCGGAATCTAACACCCGGTCCCAGTTATAAACGACATATCCACCACAATGTAGCCAATCAAGAGCAGTCTTTGTCAGCACCGGAAACGGGTATCCCAAAACTCCAAACGGCCGACGGGTCTCAGACCGGCCGTTTCGACTTACACGGCCGCAACTCTGAACGGAATCAACTCCCCTATTCTTTTTTTTTTTCTTTTCTTCTACGTTGATTGAATTGAGAAAGCGGGAATGCCAGTTGTCAAGAGGAGAGCCTGCGTCACGTGCACGAATGCAAAATGCAAGTGCTCGCCGCAGTCGGACAACTTGTGCCAGCGATGCGCCCGGCTGGGGAAGCAGTGCGTGTATCTAGATCTGCCGGAGAGGAAGAGGAAGCGCAGAAGCGATGAAGATGGGTGAGAGAGTCTCCTTGCTCTTTAAACTACTTGATAGAAAACGTGAGAAACTAGATTAGCTAATTTTCTTGTGCCCTTTTTTGTCCGTTTTATAGTGGTAGTAATGGTCGAGTTGTTGCGCTGGAGAATCGAGTTGAAGAGCTCGTGGCACAACTCGAGGCCATGAGAAACGGCGCCACTCAACATGCTCCCACGTCCTCTTCTACGGATGGCTTGACGCCAAGCACGGGCGACTTGACGATTCCAGATGATCCGGAAATGCTGGGCCCCGACTCCGAAGGCTATCACGGCCGCGAGCCCCCGACGACATCCGTCCTGGAAGGCCTCCCCGACATTGTCGACCGCGGCTTTCTCAGCATGTCCGAAGCAGAGAATCTCGTCTCGCAGTTCAAGTCCCGCTTCGTGTGGACGTTCCCCTTTGTCGTGCTGGATCCCGCCCAGACCGTCGCGGACCTGCGCAAGGGCGAGCCGCTGCTCTTCCTCGCCGTCGTCGCGGCCACCATTGCCAGCGCGCACCCGATCCGCAAACTGCTCGCCGACGAAATCATGCAGCACGTCACGTCGCGCGTCGTGGCGAGCTCGGAGCGCAACCTGGGCCTCGTGCGGGCGCTGCTGGTGCTGTGCGCGTGGTATCGGTATCCCGCGCAAAAGGGCAACGTGCAGCTGGTGCTGCTGATTACCATGTGCGCGACCATGGTGCATGACTTGGGGCTGCATCGGCTCAAGGCGGAGTTGACGATGGATCAGCAGAGGGCGCTGTTGGGGACGTATCTCGTTAGTTCAAGGTGAGAAGAAATGAAGGAAAGCTGGTGTTTTGTTGCTAACAAGTCATTGTGTGCCCGTCATGTGTAGCTTGCCGAGGGTCATGAATCGTCCGTCTGGCATGGCGAATAGCAACAAGATTGAGGAATGCTGCAACAACATGGCTGCGTCGACCGAGTATCCCTCTGACAGATACATCCGGCCATTTATCGTGACGCAGTCTTTTATAAACACCATCGATGTCAACTACGGCGAGCTCGGAGAGGCAGCCTATGAAGAGTCTCTGGTTAGAATCATGATTGGGGCCAAGCTGCGCGAATTCGAGAGTCTGAGAGCCACTCTAGAGGAAGACTTGGCCAAATGTCCAAACCCACTCAGTATGCTGCTTTTTTTTTTCCAAGGAAAGACTTATAAGTGCTCATGTAAACTAACTTGATGGGTTCAGCCAGCATACACACTTGCAACATGCACTACATCGACATCGCTGTCCGAAGCATGGCCCTCGGCGACGAGCATGCCTGCTACCAGAACCGCCACGCTGCCGTTCCGTCCTCGGCCTTTGAAGCATTCAAGGTGTCGGCTTACAGATCATCGCTCCTCTGGCACCTGGTCCGCTACAGCAAAGCCCTCATCCAAGCCTACATTGAAATACCCGATGCCGAACTGCCCCAAATCACCGTCTTCACCCTCACCCAGATCTGCGCCTCTCTCGTCATCTTGCCGAGATCCGTGTCCTTTCTCCTAAAGCTCATCACCACCAAGCAGGGTAGTGTTCGTACCTGGCCGGTTCGGGGCGAAACGTTGGACGAGGCACGGGCTGTCGTCGACGAAGCGGATTTCCTCAATCTCGTCGTGAGGCTGTACGAGAAGCTGCGGGTGCTGATTGTTGGCCTCACGCCGCAAGAAAAGGGGTTGGACGTGGCTGGGACGCTGTGCTGTCATATGAATGTGCTGGCGAGCTGGTATGCGCCACGGGTGCAGGCTATTCTGGGCGTTGATCTGGTGGACAAGTATCCGCTGACGTCTATTACTCCTCATCCCGACGCTGTTGTCGACGGTGTCAATGCCGCCAACACCGCTAATAGTGGCAGCAGCGCTGCTGCTTCGATTCCACCAGTGGTTGATCAGAGCACGGAAAGGGCTGGGTCGACATATATGCAGCAGGGGTATGTTGGGGCTTATACCGGCACTGAGGACGGCCTTAATTTATTTAGCGATGAGATGTGGGCTTCTGTGCTGGACAGCTTCACTAACTTTGTGTAAATGGAAGATGAGGGGGGTTTTTATATATACAAGGCAAAAGGAAAAAGGGGGGGGGGGGGGGGGGGGGGGGGGGGGGGGGGGCGGTTAATGCAAAGCAATAGACACAATCACGAAAAGATTCAGACAAGATATTTTTAATAACACTTATTCAATTTAGCTATGTAGCAAATTTTCAGAAATGTGCAGCAAAACACATCCTGCAAAAAAAATGAAATAAACAGAGAAAATAGATTTCAACGCCTATCCAATAATGACGATGCAGTTCCCGACATTCGATGAAATGGGATCATTAGAAAAAGAAAGAGTCAACAGAAAAGAAAAGAGAAAAAAAGAAAAAGTCTAAATCGTGTCCTCCTCTTCCTGCTTCGTATTTTGTTGATTTCATTTTCATGAAAAGCCAATAAACACCCTGGATGTCATTCAAAATCGAATGATTGATTGTTTTAAAAAAAAGTCAAAACGCTTTCCCTTATCCTTGAGCTTAGTTTTTTGGTGGATTTTTGTTTTTTTCCCTTCTTTGGCTCCTTTACACGCTGGGGCCGGCGGCAATGACTTCCTCGGTAGCCTCGCTCGCGTACTTTTTAAAGTTCTCGTTGAAGAGCTCGCCCAGCTTGACAACCTCCTTGGTGAAGCTCTCGCTGCCGGCAGTCCAGGCCTTCTTGGGGTTCAACAGATCATCGGGCACGTTGGGGCAGGCCTGGGGCACCTGCAGGTTGAAGACCTCGTAGTTTTCAAACTCGGCGTTGGCGAGCTCGCCGGAGTGGATGGCGTCGAGGATGGCGCGGGTGTACTTGAGGGGGCATCGCTTGCCGCCCTGGGCGAAGCCGGCGCCGACCCAGCCGGTGTTGAGCAGCCAGGCGTTGGCCTTGTTCTGCTCAATCTTGTCGGCGAGCATGCGGGCGTACTTCATGGGGTGCAGGGCCAGGAAGGGCTGGGCGAAGCAGCTGGAGAAGGTGGCCTGGGGCTCGTTGACGCCGTCCTCGGTGCCGGCCATCTTGGAGGTGTAGCCGGAGATGAAGTGGAACATGGTCTGGGCGCTGTTGAGCTTGGAGATGGGCGGCAGGACACCGCGGGCGTCGCAGGTGAGGAGGATGATGTTGGAGGGCATGTTGTCGGTCAAGCAGGGGATCTTTGCGTTGGAGATGTACTCGATGGGGTAGGCGCAGCGAGTATTCTCGGTGAGGGTGACGTCGTCGTAGTCGACCTCGCGGGTGACGGGGTCGAAGACGACGTTTTCGAGGATGGAGCCGTAGCGGATGGCGTTGAAGATATCGGGCTCCTTCTCGGCGGACAGGCCAATGCACTTGGCGTAGCAGCCGCCCTCGATGTTGAAGACACCGCGGTCACTCCAGCAGTGCTCGTCGTCGCCGATGAGGGCACGGTTGGGGTCGGCAGACAGCGTGGTCTTGCCGGTTCCAGACAGACCAAAGAAGAGCGTGACATCGCCGTTCTTGCCCTCGTTGGCGGAGGAGTGCAGGGTCAGGACGTTGTGCTTGATGGGCATCTCGTAGAAGAGAACGGTGAAGATGCCCTTCTTCATCTCGCCGGCGTACTCGGTGCCCAGGATGACCATCTCCTTGGCGGCGAAGTTGATGGCGACGGAGGTGGCAGAGGTCATGCCCTCGGTGTAGCGGTTGGCGGGGAACTTGCCGGCGTTGTAGATGGTGTAGTCGGGGTGGAAGTGCTCGAGCTCCTCGCGAGGAGGGCGGATGAGCATGTTCCTCATGAAGAGGGCATGGTAGGCGCGAGCGCAGATGACGCGGACGCGGATCCTGTACTTTTCGTCCCAGCCAGCATAGCCGTCAATGACATAGATGCGGTTGCGGGTGTTGAGGTAGTCGACAGCACGCTCTCGGTTGATTTTCCAGACCTATGAATTCGTGTTAGCATTGTAAACATTTTCAATTTCCATGTTCTTCCATTGGTCTTTGTTCATCGCCAATCCCTCCATCATTGTCATAGGCAATCACTTGATTAAGCATTTCTGAGATGAGCGTCTTAGACACACACGCACACACACGCGCACACAGCGGAATCAACCAGCCAATTGCCCCGGCCCTGTTCAATGCCAAATCGAAACTCGGCACTTGCCTTTGCCTCCAAGACCAGGCCGGAGCAAACCGGGTCGGAAATGAAGAGCAAAAGGCACAAGCTTTCGAGGTATCACAAGCCAATGCCGCGGGCAAAAAAGTCCCGGGCGGCCGCTTATGGTCGGCTACCCAAATTCGGCTTCGGCCGAGCGGGGCCCCGGCTTGGTAGGGATTCCTCCTTGGTCTTTGTCCTTTTTCTGAGCCGTGACTTTTCGGGTAAAATTGCAGCCTTTTTTGCAGTGTATGCGTGTGTGTGCGGGGCGAGCAAGCTAGAGCTGCATCTTGGCCTTTTTTATTGGACACCTTCTCCGCATGCACTTCCGATTCGACCAGAGCAATGGCAGAAGCAGTAGCTGCAGGCTATTGTCTGTTGCTTCGGGGCATTGGCTGGGGGTTTTTTCTTCTGCTTTACTCTGCGCGCTCCCAAACGGTGGCGGCGACGGCTGAGCAGCTGAATAGGAGTCGCCCCGCTCGCGTGACCATTGACCCAAAGCAAAAAGCAAAAAGCAAAAACCACAGGGATGATGCGCGTTGGCAACGAAAACCCAAATGGGTAGATTCGGAACACCCAGAGAACAATGACGATGGACATGACGCTTGCAGCGACGATCAGGCACTATTTACTTACATCTTGGCTCATGGGCTTGTTGACTGGTCCCCACCTGCAAAAAAGAGGCCTTGGTTAGCCTGTGGAGCGCAAAACTGGGTTGAATGTGTCAGGACTTACCAGATGTTGTCTTGTGATGAAGGCTCCTGGACAATTCGCTTGTCGAGGGGAGATCGGCCAGTCTTTGCGCCCGAGTAGGCAGTCAGGGCACCGCTGGAGGTGATGGCAGTGCCGCTCTCGTAGACGAGGGCATCTTCGTAGAGGGCAGCGACGGAAGGGTTGGCGACCTGGAATTAATTGGCTGGTCAGCGACTGGTTGCGTGGCATCAATTGCAAGCAAAAAAAAAAAGACTTACAATGGCGACGCGGTCGTAGTCGATGTGGGCGACCTCGTGGAGTTCCTCCTCTGAAAGAAAATGTTAATGCTGAACAAGGAAAGAAAAAAAACTTTGAGTGCTGTGCTTGCTCGCGGTGCTCAGGGCAAGGTGAGCTGGATCAGGACAAAAGGTCTAGACATACCGAGCTCGGTGTGCTCGCGGAAGGGCCTGGCAGCGCAATTGGTGTTAGTCACTTATACGGCACCAGCAACAACAAGATCAAGGGCATCAGGAAGCAAACTTACTGGACACCGCCAGGGTGCAGAGCAGTCTTGTTAACGTTGCTGGAAATCACTGTTCATATTGTTAGCCTCCCAAGTCGAAACAGATTCCAACTCTTTCGTCATGGCCATTCAGAGGGCAAAAGACTTACTCTTGCGTAAATCTATTCCCGAGGCCTGGATCTGTGACTTGGGACCTTTGACGGTAGGATCAGTGTATGGAGAGGCAGTTCTGAAGACGGGATCCATTGGATAGTTATATATTCCGGGAGCAAAAGAGGATGTTGGTTTGGATGGATGTTTTTTTATTTTCGTCGCTTCCTTTTCAGCTGCTAGGAAGACCAGGGGAGGGGGTGGCGTGTGGAGGATGACGGCGGGTTTGCTTCTCCAGAGTGGGAACCCGGGATCAGGATCAGGTACAGAATGTACTTTTTTTTTTTTTATTCCTCGTCTAGCAGATCAGAAGGACAGAAAAGTTAGCCCTGCGATCGAACAGTCCCGAAGCCGTTCCAGGCCGGGGTCTTGTTTGTGGAGCCGTGGCGGGCGGTGCGAAGCTTCACAGGGCCCGGGGCACGAATTTATCTCGGAACCGAAAAAAAGTAAAGCAAGGACGTTTTGATTTGATAGGGAAAAGCAAAACAAGGGGGGTGCGGACCGAAAAAGAATAGAAAAAAGGGAAAAAGAGACCAACAACCGAGCGTTCTTGTGTGTGGAGTGTGAGAGGAAGAGGAAGAGAAAAAGGGGGGCGTGTGAGTCTTTGTGTAGGTGCTACAACGGGATAACAAGGCAGCACGTAAAGTAGCAATGTATTGAATACCCCGTATTGTGCAAGAAATGTGCGAAAAGACGACGCTGTCTCTGTGCTGTGGCACGCTTGGTATCGTCTGCGCTCGGCTCAAGACCAAAGCAGGAAAGGGAGGCAGCCCGATTGATTTCGAGCAGGGTCCCTTTTGAGCCTTTCTTTTTCTTGTTCCTCTCTTGGCTGCAGGGAAAGGGGGCGTGTGATGGATACGAAAATGAAGAAAATAAATTAAATAGAGAGGTGAACTCACAATGAAGCAGTTTAGTGCGGTAGTGGGAAACCGTAATGAGTAATGATGCCTTGATGACGGCACAAGCTGCAAAAGTTCTATAGTATTGGGCAAGCAGAAAGCTTTTTCTTATTTTGATGCTAGCGAGAAAAGGCTGGTTCCATCTTCAATTCAAGAATGGAAAAAAAGAGGAAAAGCAGCTCTATTTAAATCTTGATTTCCGCATCGCCTGTCATCTTCTAAAAAGAACTGCCGCGATGTGCGAATATGCTTTCCATGCTGTAAACGAATCACACGTGCAGTCAATCATAGGCGGGCAACGCAAAAACCGGATCTGGAAATGTCGCCCAAAGAAGGTGACAGTCCCCAGTCCCGGCTCTTTCTCTTTAGTTTTGCTTGAAAACAGCAAACAGCGTTTCGTTTTCCTTTTTTCCAACGCGGACTATTCCGATGCCCATGCAGTGCCCTTTGTAACTTTTTGCAGTACATCCCAAGGCTTTTGCCGGCGCCGCGACTAAACGGCGGGGCGATTACGTACGGAATGGACGATTGCGGCGGTGCTTTGCCTAACTGGGCAATTTATGACTTGGGGCTGGGCGATTGCTGGAGCTTGCGGTGGCGATATTCATTTTTCTGCTTCTGCGCTACCCCGTACTTTTTTTTTTTTTTTTGGCGGAAAAAGTGCGTGCTGGTACGTTTGCTATGGGACCTGCAATGGGTAATGATCTTGTAATAGGGCTCCAATTGCTCCATAACGCGGCCACATAGTACACGTTCGTAATGACGATGCGATACGATTCAATGACCCGGTCCCGGTCTACGCCGGCCTCAGTTGCAAAACATGGCAAACAGCGGTTCTCGTTGGGTAATGGGAACGCAGCAACTGGAATTATCGAGGTCACGAGGCTGGGCCTGCGAAATAGCAGCAACATGGCCGTAAAGGGGTCCATGCCAACCAGGCGCCGGGCGAGTCTAGATGTCAGCGTTGACTTGAGTGCCTTGTATAATGGACTTTCATCCATTCATTCATTCGTCCCATCTTATCCCGGCCCCCGGCCCCCCGGAAGCCTTAGCACGGCTTGACTCATCCATCCTCCGTATCCCGATACTTGCCCCGGCAGCCGCAGCACTATGCAAATGGCATGTAGGCCTACATGCAGTGTACCATTCCGGCCGGCTGCCTACGGGGGAAAGCGATGGAGGAAAAAGAATGATCCCTATTGGAAGCGAAGCTAAGCAAGGGGGTGTGAGATTCCTGCAAGAAGCTGAATTTCGCATTCGAGCACGAGATCTCTCTCCTTTTTTTTACTTCATATTCCTTTTAATTGCGGCTGCAAAACCCGCCTCTTGCACTGGTCACGCTGCCGAACCCGAAACAAATGCTTGCAAGTAAGACCGGCTCTAGTCATGCCCACGTTATAGGCCCATACGATGCCGGGCTGGCTTGGCCTGCAATCCGGGGATGCCCAGCCCAGCCCAGCCCGGGTTTTTGCCTTGCTGGGGATGCTTCTTGGGCTGTGCATACCCGCAAAGGGGGACCTAGGCTGCGAACGGCTAGTAGTCGAGGCCCAGCTGGGGCGTCTATCTACCCCGCGATTTTTCAAAAGTCGCCTTTTCTCGAATAGAGGAAAAAAACACACCCCTGGCTTCCACGATATTGCCAGGACTTGTGCAAAGTACGCGGCTCTGCACCGGCGGCTCCTCTCGGCAGTAGAAAGTACCTGGCATGAATTTTTTTTTTTTTTTTGTGTCTCTTGTGTTATTGTTTCAGTGCCAAGGAGAGACAAAGACTCGGCACCAGATATCCGAGCAACTGAGCACAACGCTCGTCACCATGTAGCACTGCGAAACAGTCTCCCTCTCTCTCTCTCTTCCTTCTAGAACAAAATCATCAATAAACTGCAAAAACAACCGAAAGACAAGGTTCTACAGCGGAATCCCTGCCACCAAAAAAGTGCTCCGTAGGTCTCGGCCCAGCGGCACTCGCTGTAGCTGGCCCGGTCCCGTGATTGGCTCCCGCCCTTCTGTTCCGACTCTTTCCGCGGCCAAATTTCTGCTGGCTGGTATTTTTGTTTGACAATGTATCGAAATTATCGATGTTTTTTTTCAGCTGCAACATGCTATTGCCACCCCTTTTTTTTTTGGGTTTATTTATCTATTTATTTTTGGGCAACGGTATGTTCCATGCATGCGCAGTTGGGTATGAATGCTTTAATTGATTGCCACAATGGTCAATGTACGGCAATTTCCGTGCTCAGCAATTGATGATACTTGAGAAAATCAAACGAGGCAATGTGACATGTCTGGCAAAAAAAATGCAAAGTCATATGGTATACATTCTTCGTCATGACGAGTAGGAAAAAGAGAAAATCCAACGCCCACTGTTTTTCTTGTGTTCGCCCATCATCGCTTGTAAGTCAATCATGGAGCAAGAGGCATTCGTCCACCGGATCCCTACCCTATTCAGCACTTGGATCTTCCCCGGCTCAACGCCAAGATCAGCGCTTTAGGCTATGCTCAGCACCATGGTGACCTTTGTGACGTCTATTAGACCCTCTTACAGTACATGTAGATAAGACCAAGTCCAGCCCGGTTTTGACTTACATCGCCGTGTTTTATCCCGTAGTCGTTGTGAAATCTCCCGAGCAAACCATTTCGTACACATATTCACTTACACCACCAAAAGCTTGAAAACATCCAACCTTCCTTCTAACCAAACCCCCTCTCATCTTCACAATCCCGACATCATCCTTCACTCTCGTTCTATATTTTTTACTCCTTCAACCTCACCATCCTCCTCCTCCATCATTCCCGCCCGCCCGACTGTATTTACCGTATTTGCCGCCCCACTCACGGACCCCCGAACCCATCCACCCGCTGCACCCAAAATCTCCTGCCTCTGCCTCCTCTCTGCTGCCGTTCCGTCTGCCACGGCGGTACGGCCTCGGAAGCCCCAAGGCGTCTCCACCTCTCTCTCTCTCTCCTTTTGCTTTTTTCTTCCGTCCAATGTACATACACATAATGAATCTCTACACTCCCCCCCTTGCTTCCGGTTCATTTTCGTTTTTATATATACATAATGCTTAGTCGTACATCTAAAATACACAGCAAACGCCCCAAGTACTTTGTATGACTCTGTACCTTGCTTTTAATGGAACCTTGCAGCGCTACCCCATGCTTATACGTTTCCTCGCTGACAGGATGCCATCCATATGTACACACTTCCCCAGGCTCGGAGCAGTCCGGGATGTCGTCTGGCTGACCAAGACCTGCCTGCGAACCTGATCCCTGACCCATCAGGCACGGGCTATTCATGCTGCATGCAGGTCATTGACCATATACTTGTAGTACATGTGTAGATTCCCACACGCCCCTAGTTTCAGCCTACTGGCACATGCAAAAAAGGTAGCCCATGCTTTGACTGATTTCCTCCCCCCATCCATCCCCCTGATTCACTCAGCTTACCTCAAACGAGTAGTATTGCCTAGCAATACATTACTTTCCCATGTTCACCAGCCTCGGGCAGCAATTTGCTCGGCTTACGGCCGGTACCTGCTCGTATCTGCTCGCATCTCCGAACAGCAGCTCTCCCGGCGGCTGAAAGTATACCCTATATTGTGGTTTCCGACCTCATATCTGCCTTGCCTCTATCAACGGGTCAATACGGAATGTTCAAATCTTCGCTTCTTATCTCGTCAACTTCAAAATCACCATGCACAAAGGCTGTTATCTCATTCAAGCTCCGTCTAATCTCTTCATTTCCATCTCGGCTGACTATGGCTAGTTTGGTTCAATCCAGAAAATGGCTCTTTTGAACTAAAAACATCTTTCGTCGCCCTTCTAATCTTTTGCAATCGTGGCATCGTATGGCGTCTACAAATGCTTTGTCATGATCTTGCATCTTTGTGTCTCAACTCAGCCGCAGATCATGCCAACCTGCAGCCCCCCTGAGCTTTCCACCCTAAGCACATGTAAGCCACAGCTTCTATATGAGTTTGTAGCCGACTTTTTTACTATCCGTCTCCTTGGCGCCTATCCATTAGAGCTGCTCTCAGCCCTCATCCTATTCACCTTCTTTCCAGCCAAGCCGCCGGAGGTTGGCATCTTCTGCCTCGTACTTTTAAAAGCTTACTGAAAATGATTATTTACTGGTCGTCGCTGGTAATGAGTTTGGTGATCTTGCCAATGGCAATGGTTTGTCCCTGTGCAGTGTAATTAGAAAAGGCGGTTCAAAAAAAGTCATCATAGAATTGGCGAATCTCTTCATACCTGGTCTCGGAGGGTGAAACGACCCATCTGGGGGTAATCCTCGAATTTCTCAACGCACACCATACCAGCGCCTCCAGTCACCTGAAGTCTAGCAATGATGCTGTCGCCCTTCTTGGCGTGTGTGGGGGGGACCTTGCTCTTACGGCCGGTGCCCTTCTGGAGCTTGTGTAGCAGCGACGCAAAGGTGACCTCTTCGATGGCCGCATGTACGTGCAGCACACAGTTGAATCCCGAAGTCAGAATGCTCTTGAGGTCCAAAACCTTGATTTGCGCTTCAAACTCAGCTACGCAGTGCACAAGTCGCTTCGGCGAGCAAAGCACAAATCCGGGCAGGATGTCTTCTTCTTCAATGCCCTTGAGACGTAACCGAACTTGGTCACCGCACTGGAGGATAGGCTGCTCCTCTTCCTGCTCTCCGTAAATGGCAGCCGTTTCCACTGACTGCTTCCTAGGCATCATAACCAACGACATGCCCTTCTTGATAACTCCCGCCTCGATCTTGCCATCGACCATGGTGCCCAGGTCGCGGTATTTGGCATTGACGGGCATCATGAATGGCGCGTTGACCTTGCGCTCCAGAGCCTGCATGCCGTCAAGGTACTCCAGCAGTGAGGGTCCCTTCCACCAGGGAGCAACACCCTCCGGCAGTCGGTCCTTGATGTTCAGGGATTGCTGAGCGGCCACGGGCATGAAGTAGACGTCGGTCTTGAGGTTGTAGCCGGTTCCCTTCAAGAACTGCTGTAGTTTGGTAGTACACTCCTTGTAACGCTCCTCAGACCACTCAACCGTGGGGTCGTCCATCTTGTTGATCGCCACAATCAGCTTGTTGACACCCTGAGTCTTGGCAAGCATAGCATGCTCACGGGTCTGACCTCCTCTTTCGAAACCTGTCTCGTATTCACCTTTTCGTGCCGAGATGACGAGAATACCGACATCTGCCTGCGAAGCACCTCCAATCATGCTGGGAACATACGTCTTGTGACCAGGGGCATCCAGGATACTGTAGCGACGCTTCTCCGTCTCGAAGAAACCACGTCCAACTTCAACCGTCTTTCCCTTGGTTCGCTCCTCCTTGGTCAAATCCATGACCCAGGAGAGATACCATGACTCACGGCCCAGGTCCTTGGCCTCCTTCTTGTACTTGTCCATGGTACGCTCGTCGACCATTCCGGTAGTCCACAGGATCGAACCGCCCAAAGTTGACTTGCCTGCGTCAACGTGTCCAATGAAAATGATGTTGACGTGCTCCTTGCCGTAAATTTCCTTGAGAGTATCATCATCCACATCAGCTGCCTGCGCCTTGAGGACGGCATCGACTTCGCGCTGCGTCTTCTTCTCTGCGGCAGACGGGCTGGAGCGGCCAGATGATGGGTCGGGAGATGTCCTTCCAGAAGACTTGCCACTGGCGGCAGCCTTTCCTGCCTTCTCGCCAGTCTTTTCAATGGCCTTGGCGGCGGTAACCTTCTTGCCCGCATCCGGGGCGTTGGACGGCTCAGTCTTGGCCTCATCCTTGGCCGGGGAAGGAGAGGAGGCAGTGGGAGCGCCAATCGACAGTACCTTGGCCTTGGGCTTTGCGTCGCCTCCAATGCTAAGCACCTTGGCACCTCCTTCAGTGGTGACAACGGGCTTGGGGGCGCTCGCGGCAGGTTTCTCGACGGGGAGCGACTTCACAGGGGCAGCTTGTGCAGCATTGTTCTGGGCGGGGGCTGCAAACTGCTGCTGTTGCTGGTTTCGCTGACCTTGCTGGCCTTGCTGTTGGCCATACTGAGGGTAGCCCTGGCCTGCGACGGTCAAGTATTGTTAGTGTATCTGTGAGCGTTGAGATGGATGGATATAGCAAACGTACCAAAGTTCTGGTTGTAGCCCTGGTTGTAGCCGCCGCCGTAGTTTTGGTATTGCTGGTTGTACTGATCGAGTCCTTGACCTGCGCCATATTGAGGATAGAATCCCTGGGGTTGTTGATAGTACTGCTGCTGGTATTGCCCGTATGCTCCTCCACCATAGGTCTGGCCAGGCTGGAACGAGGCAGCGCCGGGCTGGAACGAGGAAGCGCCGGGTCGGAAGCCGCCCTGGGCAGCAGCAGGGTTCATGTTGAGCTGTTGCTGAGCCTGCTGGGCGAGGTTCTCGTCCTGAGCAGCAGGATCGTCCTCCCAAGAGTTGAGGTTCGACATTGTGGCGATGGCAATATCTTTCTCGTCTGACCGTTGTTGGCGGGGTTGACCGTTGGAGAGTCGTCGATCTAACGGTGCTTCTCTCTGTCTATCGACCGCGTGGTGGCCTGATAAATAGCACTGAAGAAGCGGGCGCCGTCGGAGACCCTTGGGTTGTCGGATTTAGGTCTTTGGGGTTGAAGGCGACGGTCGACGTCTCGCTGGTTTTATGGTGGAGGTTGTGAAAATTCGAGCCCCACCAAGGCAGCGACATGACATCGATAAAGTGTGGTGCAGCAGGTTTTTGTGGAGGGTTTCATACAGTGCATTGTTGCGGCTTGAAAACAGTACGTACTTGGGTTTAGCGAAAGGCTTCAAGAGTGAGTCAACGGAAAGCCTCAATCGATCTAATGTAAGCAACGGTGAAGAATGTCTGGTTCATAGGGATCGTGATTAGATATGCTCCTAATCACAGAGACATTTTGAGGCAAATTGTTGCTGGTCCTTGGGTATTTTGTGCTGTCATTCATATCTGGCTTTTAGGCACCCATGGGCGCGGATCTGAGTCACAGAAAGCTGTTCGCACTGTAGCTGCTTCGAGTCCACTCAACTTCACAAATCTTTTATGTCAGTGAACGGTGGCAACTGCTTATGAGCCAGTCTCTCATCATGCCTTGAACTCAATGTTAAAATTTGCCTCTATTTTGTGATTTTCTCATCAACATCTCTGATCATAGCATATCGCAGCTATGGACGATTTTCTGGCAGCAGTTGGCGCGCAGGCCATGAGATATGCCATACGGTCTGGCATCGCCTTGACGTCCTCTTATGCCATCAGCCAATGCTCTCGCCTGCTAAAGGCTGTCGACGACAAGAACCTCCAATCCGAGCTCAGGGTGCTCCAAAGACAGCTGGATGGTAAAATTAAGGTATTGAGATGTATCCCATTTTTAACAAAAAATGAAGAATCCCGCCCCTTATCCCCTTCATTTACTCACGCTAATCGTTAACGTCAAGATTATCTCTCCTGCCATTGACCTTATTGAGTTCAAGTTAGTACTGTCCATCCTTATCATGGCGTTCATTAGCAAATATGAAGAAGGCTGACAGATTAGATCCGGGCGAGGAAACGTCTTTCTTGAGTCCGCACTGCCTCTCGCAAAGTCTCTTCACCAGCAAATCATCTCCCTAGGACATCGTGTGGAGGGTGCCGCGGCCGTTGAGGAACATAACCACGACCTATCAGAAAATCCAAAAACCAAGGAGACTGGCCATGACGCATTAAAAAGAGTGATTAGAGATATCAAAAATCTCCTGACTGAGATTGACCGGGAAATTCCTCTTCTGCAGCTGGCTATATCAGCATCTGGTGAAAGCCTGTCTACTTCACTTCCCCCTGGAATATCTCCATCTAGATTATTGCAGGCTAGTACCCTGTTGACTGTTGGAGATACACAGCATGCACAGGATCCTACAAGAATTGTACAAATCGGGCCTTCATTCACGCTGTCCGTATACATGCTATTCTTGGGACACGCATCTGTATCGTCCGCACCTAAAGGCGACAAACCAAATTCAAGTCCGAGAAGCAGTAATCACCGAATTAGCTCAAAAAGCACAGACCATATTCCAGTCTATGGCTTAGGCGAGCACGATAGACGGCCTGTATGGCAGGAGGCGATACACAAGGCTCGAGTGCGGCTATGCAGGTCAGCTTGCAAGGCAGCCATAGATGAGCAAGGCTTCAATGACGACAACCAGGACGTACCTTACCTTGAAGTCGGCCAAAGTTATGCCTATCACCTCGAAATTATTGAAGATTTGGACGATGGGCGGGCTCATGAAGGGGCTGCCCAGGCAGAAGCATATAACGGCGTCTCAAAAGCCGGCATTCGTGAACATATTCCGATTTACCAACTTGCCAAGATATTCTACACGGACACTGGCAGAATGCTCAATATTGGCGATGGAACTGATGGAGAGAATAACCCAGTTCTGCTCCTCAAGCGAGACATTAAGGCATCTCAGCTAGAAAGACCAGAACATGAGAGATATGGAGATGCAAACAATGCTACGCATGACGATAGTGCTAGCCAACCAGAAACAAACGAAGATGATCAAGTCGACGTGGATCGACAGCTATTCGGAGAGACGCGAGAGAAGCGGCTCTCTTTAAGAAGCTCTGAGAATGCTGAGGAGAGCTACATCACCGCCTTCCCTAAGCACCTGGATCCCGAGTGGATAGCTTTTGAGGTGTACGAAGAGGACGACGAGCAGAGTGAGACGAGTTCCATTTCGGGCCTTGACGCGGACTCATCAAACGAAGTCGACGGACGCGGCAACTCACCAGAGAAATCGCCATCACGCCCTCGCGCAGCCTTGGACTCGAGTTTGGTCTCCCAGATCAAGAATCTGTCTGTTCAGCCCACATCACGCAATACTCTCACTTTAAGCTATTCTGATCCTAGCCTTGGCCGTCCATCGCAAGACCTGACGGTAAACTCGGCGAGGGAAGCGCAGGATTTTGTATCGCGGTCACCGTTTGGAACCATCACAACATCGCTCTCATTAATTGAGATGCTCATTCGGCTTGCTGGCCTTCAGGAGTTTCAACAGGCTTCCCATTTGTCGATTCCAGACCACATCCTGACGTTTTTCTTAGAAGAGACGTCGACGACAGGGTTGACGGGCGAGGCTATGTGGAGGGCTAGGAGTCAAACTAAACAGCGAGTAGGGTTCGATCCGTATACCGACGCAGCATAGTGAAGGACCGTCTTCGTGGCATTAGGTGGAATGTAGAGGTAGAACAATATTTAAACGAGCACCTCTTTAGAACTATTGGTTCACTAAGGCGATTTCAGTGTCGTAGTGAAGGGTCCGCGCGGATAGGCGGCTCATTGTTGGTTGCATCCCGTTTCAGAGTCTTCAAAGCCTCAAAGCCTCAACGTCACGGCTCCAGCAGTTCTATGACGGCATATCCATGAGCTAAATTAACACCTCCATTCATTACTTTGAGCAACTTTCGACAACTTCGTAACATTTTTTTTCAATTTCAATTTCTACCCCTCTACGCCGGCAACAGTAATTTTGCCTTGGTCAACAAACGGCCTGATTGTTGAGTTGTTGAGACGACTCGCTTGCATAGGCTGCCACGTCAGCGCATACCCATCCAAGAATTGAATCCTACCTCAACCTCGGTTTCAGGTGCATCCATAAATCATATATTAAAGAGCCTTTGACGGATTAGATCTATTTGCAATTTCATCACTATCCAGCCATCGCAAAAATGGCGCCTCTTATTCCTCGTCTGCATCTCTTTGAGATTGACGATCAGCCATGGTGAGACGCAATCCTTACAAGCGCTGCTCTATCTCGATCCTACTTACCCACTCCATGAACTCACAAGTGCAATATATGCTTAAAGAGAAACTCTCTAATAAATGAGCAAACATCTAGGTTCCCTGCCTTTTTACGCAGTCGCATCCAAAATGCTCTCACTGCGGCTTGGAACTCCAATACTCCTCTTCAGCCCCAATCACCCGCGCGCATCGCCGCATCTACACTCATACGCGAACTTGGCAGCTCGCTCTCATCTTACACTTTCATCGACTTCTGCGCCGGCGGTGGCGGACCCACACCAACAATTCAAAAAACCATAAATGCTCATCTTAAAGTTGAGGGAAAGCCGCCAGTTGATTTCATCCTGACAGACTTGCATCCCAACGTGAGGGCTTGGGATAAGATTGCGAGACACTTTCCACAAATTTCATACGAAAGGCAATCCGTGGATGCGAGTAAAGCCCCCAAGCATCTCGTGGAACGTCAAGACGGAAAGAAAGTGATGCGGCTGTTCAACCTGGCGTTCCATCACTTTGACGATGTCTTGGCGAGGGATATACTCAGAGATACGGTAAAGACAAGCCATGGATTCGCCATATTCGAGCTTCAAGACCGTAGCCTCGCAGGCATGGTTAGCGTCTGCATGCTGGGAGTTGCATCAATAGTCATGGCACCGGCTTTTGCCTGGAAATGGAGATCTCCCACTTCTCTTGCATTCTCATGGCTTTTACCCGTCTTACCATTTGTCTTGGTATTTGACGGAATAGTTTCATGTCTAAGAACGAGGACTCCCAGCGAGGTGGAAAGTCTCCTCCGTGGCTGCGGTGCCGACACAAGCTCGTGGGAGATACAAAGTGGTCGGTGCAAGTTTATCTGGCCGTGTGGATATCTAAATTGGGTCATATGTAGACCCGTTGAGAGGGTTTGATAAGTGCCATGCACAGGTAATGAAGTGGACAGTATGCAGTCTCATACTTTACAAATTCAATCAGCGGAACCACCAATTCACAGATCCATTCAGACGTCCATCTGAGTATTTGCTCTTAATAGAATGCCACCAGCCTTTTGGAATGAACAAGGCATCCCCGGCAGACAGCTCTATCTCTTGCACGTCCGATGCCGCCGTCTTGTCTTCCCATACGACGCTGTGAAGCATCTCCCTCTCATCTCCCTCCATCATCTCTGTAGATCGCATTCGGCTGTTTCCAGATTGTCGAAGCCGCATTTGAACATTGTTATATACTTCAAGTCCCACCTTGGGCGGCAGAAGCCTCACCACTTTGCTACTACACAGCTGGCAGAACAAGTTTGGATTCGGATCCCGATGCAGCGGAGTATAAGTCGGCTCAGTGCCCAGCCATATTGAAGAGCTATATATATCGCCTCTTCCGACTTTTTGGATTAATTCCGGGGTCGGTACATCGTTCTGTAAATCGCTGGGGAGATCCGACAATAGAGACTGGGCAATGTAAAGCTGTACGGGCGGATCTGCTTTTATCCTCTGTGCTTCGTTGAACTCGAGTGCCTTGATTAGAAGCCTCAAGGGTGCATAGAGCTGAAAAAACTGGTGATGGCGAGAGGCCTCTGAAGCAGCAGCAGACTGAAGAGCCACCGCCCACTCCCGATCGATAGCATCTTGACTGTTTAACAAGCTTTCGTAGAGACGGTGTATGGTCTCAGACCCTTGGAAGAAGGGTTTTATCAGCTCAAAGGGGAAGATTGCTTGCTGGAAAGAGTCTATGTGGGAAGAAAATGACGTGTTTTCTCCGTCCCTTTTGAACCATTTATGGAAAGCTGGGAGAAGGTATGTAGGAGAGGCATCAGGATCTGAAAAGACATACGGTCTTTCGGCCTTGAAGCTATCTTCGAATTTCAATCCATCTATGACTCCAGATCTCTTTATTGGCTGATGATGCGCGGAAGCACAGTTGCGAATAGGCTCTTTGTTGATTTGAAGCTTCCAATTTGATGCACACCGAAGGATTTTGAAGCTCCTCTGCATTGTGAACATGTGACACAATGATGGATAAAAGTGAGACAAGTAAGCACCTAATCGGTAGGACGCACGAGATTTACCATCGCTGCTAATAGGCAGGCAACAGAACACAAGCCGAGAGATGTTTGGTCCTAGTAGTGCTGTTTACCCGGAAACAAGATCAGTCCATTCCTTTGACAAGTACTAATAGAATTGCAACTCATCCTTTGCTTCTTTCCTTCTCTATATGCCATTCCCAGCTCCAGCTTCCTGCCGCATGCCCACTGCTCGGAAGCGGCAGAATCGGTCACCGCCCGCTAGCTCCTTAGTCATCCATGTTTCTTCTTCCCTCCTCCACCAGACACCCAACAATTGGCGACTTTGGCCAAAACGCTCTGGCTGACCCGCCTATTCGCCCTCCCAGACGCCCAGCCTCATCGCCAGAGCGAGTCCTAGACGAGGCTGCCGCCAACCAACACTGGTCTCGCTGCTTCCATCTACCGGGCATGCCTGCGCGATAAAGACTCAACTGGATTCGACCTGCCCTCGTTTCGACGCCATATCCTGCGAATCTGCAGCACCGACCTGCTGACGCCTGCGTGGGCTTTGGATAGTGCCTGAAGCCCAACGTTACGCGCCTAGGACGCTGCCATTGACGCCAGAAACCACCCCGCCACGCCTGCTACCTGCCTCTGGGCGCTAATCTGACCCGGAGCCTCAGCGCTACCGCCTGCTGCCAGCGCCCTTACGCGACCTGCCTTGCAAATTTATCGATAGCACCACCGCCAATCCATCCCACGACGAACCCCACCTCGGCCAACCTCTTGCCTTATCTTCAGCTTCAGCCTTTCGCCTTCAGTCCGCGCGCAGCCCTTGATTGAGCGGGATCAATATCCGTCCCTTTATCGATATCATGTCGACGTCTTCGGGAACGCCCGAGTCCTGGATCTCCAGCTTTTGCGCTCTGCCGGGCCACGAATACTTTGCTGAGGTTTCCGAGGAGTTTATCGAGGATGACTTCAACCTGACGGGTCTGCAGACCCAAGTTGCCATGTATAAGGAGGCGCTTGAGGTACGTGGCAAGTTGGCTCTCTCGGCCTTTCCACCTCCCCTTTTCTTGGCGTATCTTGATGACTTGTCGTGATGCTGCACTTCAACCCTGGATGATGCTGACTTGCTCCCCTAGATGATCCTTGATGTCGAGCCTGAGGATGATGAGGATGAAGAGGAGGATGAAGAAGATGAGGATGAAAACGAATCGGGAGAGGAGGCCGATCGCGCGGGCGCGCGACACGGCGCAGAGCGGCGACATCATAGCAGGATGGCTAGCGACCTATCCGTCATCGAATCATCAGCAGAGATGCTCTACGGCCTCATCCACCAACGATTCATCTGCTCGCGCGTCGGCATCCAGCAAATGAGCGAGAAGTACGAGTTTGGCCATTTCGGATGCTGCCCTCGAACACACTGCGAGCAGGCGCGCACCTTGCCTGTTGGCCTGTCCGACATTCCCGGTGAGGACACGGTCAAATTATTCTGCCCGTCGTGTCTCGACGTTTATGTTCCACCTAACAGTCGGTTCCAAACTGTTGACGGCGCTTTCTTCGGTCGCACATTTGGAGCTCTCTTCCTCCTTACTTTCCCCGAATACGATCTCACCAAGCGTGGTGCCGATGTGTTGTCAAGCACCAACTCCAAGGTGCCCGACGACGAGAGCATTCTCAACGGCATGTTTGCCAAGAATATTGCACCCGGACTTGGCGGTGGACACATCTACGAGCCCAAGATTTACGGGTTCAAGGTCTCAGAGCGAGCGAGATCAGGCCCCAGGATGCAGTGGCTACGAGACCGACCAGAAGTTATCACCGACTTGGATGAGGCACGGCTTTACCACGAGCAGAACCCCGACTCTGACGAGGAAGAGGACGAGTCCATGGCTAACGGCCGGGCACTGGTCCGACGGCGACCACCTGGCAACGCTCGCCTTCGCCAGCGACCAAATCACAGTGGTAGTCCTATGGCTCTGTCCGCCAACGGTGCCGAGTCTGAGCTGTAGCGTAGCGAAACCTCACGTAGCGAGACTAAATGGAATTACAAACGATATAAGCGCAAGACAGGGCAGATGAACATGGTTCGTTCTCAACAAAGAGTTTTCCTTATTATGACGCTATTCAATATGAAGAAAGCTTACAGGCGAAAGAAGAGACAGAGAGATAAGAGAGGAAATCGCCATCAAAGATCGCCGTTGAACTCAAGTTGTTGTGTACGCAAGCCAAGAAGAGGCAAACCGCTATCGAGCGACTAAGGTCTTAATGCCGCTGGTTGTGCTTGCGTGCACTTCGGGATTCATTTCGTCTCTCCTATCTCCAATTTCGCATACTGCTTAAGAGATGTAGGCTTTGCGGTGCTCCTTCTTCTATTCATTATGCTTGAAAGGACTGAGCCAGGGTGTTGTGGAAGCTTACCAACCACGGGCGGCTTAGAGAGGTTACAACAGGAATAAGTTCAGGGGTGGGGGGGGGGGGGGGGGGGGGGGGAACATTCAAAAAAAGGTCAAGGGGTTGGGCACTACGATTCAGTATGCCAAGGGGATACGGGTGGGAGGATACCTTGCAGGATATGTTTAGTTTTTAAAATAATGCGAGTAAATGCGAGGTGTCTTTTGTTTTCTTCTTTTTGAAGAATATGTATATTTATCTGCGCGTTCCTGGTCTCTTTATAGACATGTGTGTCGAGTTTATCACAAGATCCAAAGGCAAACAAAGTGTGTATCCCAAACATTCCTTGACTGCCTTACTTATCTCCAACTTTGATATGACAGGCAGTCCCCTTTCCCTGCATATATGCATCACCTTCAAGACTCCCAAATCCATCAGATATCCACCTCAAAGGTTTCCTGGCTCAGAGCCCGCTTTCCCTGCAGATGCATTACAATAAAGGCTCCCAATCCGTCAAGATATCCTCCTCATTCCCCCTCTCCTCCAAATCGCTTGTAGACAACGTTGTATCACCTCATAGGTGATCCTTTTCCCGGTGTCCAGCTGACTCCACTTCCAAATCCCCTTCCTCTAGCAGGCGTAGTTGGCGGCCCAGGAGTCAGCGTCGGCGTGCTCCCATTCTCCACAGGCAAAGGAGGCGGCGTCTCTGATCTGGGGACGTCCAGCGCGCCATCCCTTCGCGGGGGCTTGAAGTTGACGTCCCTGCCGGCGCGGTAAATGTCCTGCAGCATCGTCTCCAGGATGCCAGCGTCCTTGAACTCTAGGTATTTTCTGTACAGCTGGAGGGCCGTCCTGGAATCTTCGATGGAGTCGTGCGTCTCCATTTGGATGTCTTCCTTGAGCAGGTACCATGCCAGGAAGGCGAGCGACAGCTTTCGCAGGCGTGATTTGAGGAAGAAGAGATCGATGGTGTCGATGATTTGCGTTTTGGGGACGTGGATATTGATGACGCGGAAGTCTTGCTTCAGTCCGTGGCCCAAGAATTTGCAACCGAGGTTGAGTAGTATCCAAAGCTTTTTATATGCCACCTTTAGCGGTAGCAGGCTGTGTTTTGTGGTGTGTGGGTTCAAATCGTTTGCAGTGATGCCCGAATATGACGTTAGATAGTCGACGATGGGTTCTCTGATGGAAATATAGTCGTCGATGAAGGGGACGCCTTCGTCTTCACCTTGGCCTCGGACGACGGAGGCGCGGGCGAGTGCATAGACTATTGGTCGGATGGTTTCTCGTTCGCCGTCCGAGTTCATTTCAATCTCCGGCTGTCGCACCGCAACAAATTCGGTGTCCAGTGCAATGATGGTCTCTGGCCCAGGTCGCTCTGTAACTGGGTCCAGAAGCTTATAAGTTTTGTGCTCGGTGCGAGAGCTAGGGCTAGAGAAAATAAGATTAGCCATGAGTTGTCTCGTTATCCGCACCAAATGATTGCGTAACTTACTTGAAATCCTGATATAGGAGCGATGTATCAATGTTGTTCTTCCAGCTATTATCGATCTTGTTGTTTGCATTCTTCACTTGGAAGGTGACAACAGATGGAACTTTCCAAGAGTGGTTAAATGAAAGAGCTTCTTCTGAGCTCACGGAGCGGACAAGAAAGTCGTTGAATAAGTGCCATTGGCTTTGGCCGGGAGCGGTTGGTTCAGCATGAGCAACTACCCAAAGGTTAGCAACAAAGCATCAGGGCGGGGGAAGGAAAACGTCTAAGAGGGCAGGTATCTTACCATTAACCATGGCAACGAGATGCGGCTTTTGTGCCTGACTGCTCTCGATGCTGATGGTCATTCCGATCAAGGAATAGACTGTGATGTTGTGAATGCCACGTTGTAAGTGAAGCTTCAAATCTTCACCCTCGTAGCAAAAGAACTGGCCCTGCTCCACGATGATGCCGATTTCCTCTGGCAGCCAGCCAGGTGTGTTCCAAAGCATTCGATGATCTGCGTTGACGATTGCGGTGTTGAGCATCAGGACGTCCGGGACGCTGTGAATGGTTTTCCTAGTTGCAATGGTCTGATACCGTTGGCATCGGCTGCACCATCCTTTTGCCGTCGTCTCTCTCTCCACGCTGCTCTTAAGAACTTGGGAGAAAGTGGTGCGAGGGATTTTGTTATTTCGTCCCGGGGCTTTCTGCAAAATGCGTCAGAAAAGGACGACTAGAAGAAACGATGGCATTCAACTTACAAGAGGTGGATAAAGCATTTCGTTTACATATGTCGATCCAGGTCGGGTATACTCGCTCCTGCAATTCATGCATCTGATGGAGCTAGTTGCTTTGGTCGCCAACACCTATGCCATGGTTAGTTTACATGGTTTTCACGAGAACATTTGATAGTTACCTGATCCATCGAGGAGGAAGCTGGAGCCATAGTTTTATAGTCTCCAGCAATCTTTTCCAACAAGAATCGGGTTAGTGTCTGTAGCATTACACTTAAGGATGCCGAATGTGTATCCTCCTCTAGTAATCCCAGGGGAGCAGCTTAAAGTATTGTAAGCAACAGAACAATATGATTTCAAGGGATAATGAGGATGAGACTGAGACTAACCTTGAGGGTTGCTGCTGAGGGTCTTGAGCATATTTGTCGCCTGGCAGATTGATCCTTCTGCTTTTTGAAGCATATCGAAAAGATATCCCAGCTCGCAAAGCAGACAGGCTTCGCTCACACAGGCTGTGGCTGCATGTTGTAAAGCCAAATTTCGAATTAAGGGCGTGAAGTTCATGATTTGAAGAAGCGAGTTGGCGTACGAGTTCGATATGTGGATCTCGAGGCCGGAGTATCGTGTTGTATTATAAAAGCTGATTTGTTAGCCTCAAGTCTGTGCGCAGAAATATGTGTTCATTTACATACCCAAAGTCGAAATCGTCGACACCAAATTTGCTGTATTTGATTTCGACGTTTCTATACATCATTGGGAATTCCGATTTCCTGCTCTCGATTTCCATTTCTGTAAATGGATTCGAGAGTTCGTCTGCCTTCTCTCCTGCAGACGTTGAATCTGATTTGGCAGATTCTCGAGCCTTTTCGCTGAGAAATTTGGGAGCTTTGAGGCCGGAATTAGCGGATTTTTTCGAGCTCCGAGTATCTTCAATCTGGTTCCTGCGGAGACCTGTTGTATTCCGACCATAGAAGCCAAAGTCGGCACATTTTAGGCTCGCAAGAAATTGCGGATCGAACTTGGCTGGGGGGGCTCCAACGTCTGAGATGGTTTCAGGCCACGCAGAGGTAAGCTTTTCTCTGTAGTATGGCATGCCGATAGAATTCAAAGGGCTGTATTGCGTTAGCCTATACACCATGAGCACAAGATCCAGTATACAACTTACGTGTCGGGAGTCCATTCTAAAGGTTGAACCGGTTCTTCAGTTGTGGTGAGTTCCATGGGAGTAGGTAGGTCCACGAAATGAAGTTTGGATGGTGATCCCCACAAATGGATATTGCATTCCGCATCGGTGAGAGCCATGGCCTCGCCGGAGGGGGCGATCTCAAACATGCTGAGGTAACTCAGCACATTGGCCTGTCGTACATTGCTGGTGTTCGGGTTCATGAGATCCACCACATGCATCTGGCCGCTTTGCGACACCACAATGCTGGTCGTGAGCATGCGCGGGTGCATGCGTACATATGCCGCGCCGGCGGGGAACGGGATCGGCGGCATTGACGACATCTTCTTGATATCGAAGACGTTGAGAAAGGGATCCAGCATGTAATTCTGGCCTTGGCGAAGCGAGTAGCCGCATGTAACGATGAAGTCGTGCTGAGCATCCATGTCATTGATCAAGGCTGAATGCGCATTCCAGGTCTTGACGATGGCGAAGTTGATGGGGTCCAGAAGGTGTACCGATCCGTCCCTTGTTGCCGCGCAGATATAGCGGCCGCGTTTCATAATCAGGTATTGGTGGTCGGTTGGAACCTGCGTGCCGGTTAGAATTGGGCATGGAAAATGTGACTTGGGAGTAGCTATGGCTGTTTCTTACCTGTTTGACGACTTCCCCCTTAATGAGGTCGATAACAAACATGGTGTTTTGTAGACCGGCGACTATGATCTCTGCCGTTCCCTTTGAAGTGAAGCTCATGCACTTTAGATCTTTCATATCCTCGTGACTATATGGGTGTCAGTACTCTCGCTCGCCCAAAATGCAGTATTGTCCACGCACCAAATTTCCCATATGGTGGCCCCTTTCCTAGACGCCATATGCACATTTTTGGGACCCAATGTCACAACGCCCTTATCGTTTGTCAAGATCTGCCGAACAGGCCCGTCTGTGCTTGGATGTGCCCTGAAAGTGGTGAAGCGTTGAAGCTCGGTGCCGACAAAGGCAGTGACTCGACCCTGTCAGATGTTAGAAATGGTATCTAAATAGGGCATCTGCGACTCATTTGATCGTACATATTCGTTACCAGCCCAGAGAATCTCTTGGGAGGTGTCAAAGGTCATCGTCGAGACCTGCGTCGGCAGCGCATGGGGGCCCGGAGGCGGAAATGGAATACGAGCGACCTATCAGGAACAGTTAGCAGGTTTGAATCCTCAAAAATATTATTCGCAGTGGTCGAGAGGCAAGATGGCGACAGTAGGCAGCGCAACAGCTCTCGCGACAGCTATTGGCTGTGATAGCCAACGTACCTCGTCCCAGTCTCCGTCCATTGTAGCGATTTGCTCAGTCCCGCCGGTACCAAAGCCCGTCTGAAAGGTCGCAATGGTACCGCAAGCCCTGCAGAGGCTCCAGGGGAGTCCGGCTAAGAATGCGGGCTCAATCAACAAAAATGCGGCAAAGATGTGGTGCTTCTAACACCACGATATCGCTGTCGTCGGAGGGACGCGACCACCCGCTAGTTCGGAGGGGCAGTGAGGTCACTAAGTTTATCCGATATAACTCCGAGGCCTAACCTGGGATAAAGCTGACTGATTCTGGGCAATAAAAAGTTGAGATGGTGAGATGGTAAGATGGTAAGAAAGAAAAGGGAAAGGGGGAGGGAATGAGAGAGGGGGATATATGTGTTTGTTTTGGGGGCGTAATTGACCCAGTTCTAAGCTCGTAGCAAAGTTTCTGTAAAGATATGATAGCCTCATGCGGCGACTGGATCTCGTGTCGTGTGCCTCGCCAACATATAAAAGCGGATCTACAACAAAGACTAATATTTTATTTTATGGGATACATGAGCCCAAAGAAATGCGGTCTGCGTAACAACAGTGAAGTGTCTGTGGACTTGCCACAACCTCATGTAGTGGTCGGTTTTAGTAGTGTCGCATACTTCGTTATACGTGTAAGAGCGGAACTGCAACGAAGACTAGTGTTTGCTTCATCGAGCCCAGTTCTGAGAAGCAAGCCATAAAGTGTGTAAGAAGAAGTCAAATATAAGAAAACAGAGAGGTAAACATGGAACTTCAACGGTGTACCCAGCAACGGCGAAGTAAAATTATGTACACTTGCTATAAGTTCATGTACTTCATAAGAGCGGATCTGCAATGAGATTTTAAAATTCTCTTCATGGAATATAGTTCTTGAGCAAACCATAGAGTGCGCAAGATGAAGTAAATAAAAAAAGTCAAAGAGTTGGATATGGAGCCCAAGAGCTGTGGTTTACCCAGCAACGGCCACTAGCAATTTCGTGGCTGAGAGAAAACGGCCGAACAAGAGAAAAGAAACAAAAGCATACATATGACAGTGGCAAAAATAGACGAGGAAGAGAACTGCACTCATGGGGCTATAAACAGCTTTTTTTAATTTCATTTCTGGGGACTTGATATATAGTAAAGTTGACGGCATGTGCGCCTTTTGGCCTTCCTGGTAGCCAGACGATATTCTCCCCCGATTGCTCCACCTCCACCTTCCATTTAGTCATCGTCAGTTCCCCAATCTCATCCCAGAGCCGCTGGAAACTGTCCTGATTATGAAGATAGGGCGAGGAATCTCCCTTTTCAGGCTTCTGAGTATGAGTGACGCCGACATGTCGGCCGTATATGAAAGCGTTGCGTATATCGGGCTGTAGAAAGCCGACAAGCCGCTTTCCGATGTATAGCTGCTGCTTCCAGCTGAACAGATGGAAGAAGCTCCCGGCATGAATAATGCTGATGAGGCCGTTGAGTTCATCCAATCTCGGATCGTCGGGATCTGTAATATCTCCCACTGTAAAATGGGCATCCAGACTGCTTCTATCCTGGAAGAGGTCGTATCCCGACGATATCAGCTGGGAGCTGGAGTCGAGCCCAAATAATCGCGATCCGTCAACGCCGTCATCTCGAAACTGCCGTAGCGCTTGGCCAAGCCCACAGCCTAGATCAAGAAGAGTGTCTCGAGACCGATGTAACCTGAGCCGGAAAAGGGCCTGCTGGTAGCGAGAATCGTTGGCGTCATTCAAAGTGAGGAACTTCCATCGTCCAATAAAGGGCATTCTAGCATACGCCCATGCTGCCTCGCGCTGTGAGAAGCCGCAGAATCAGCAAAGTGAAGAAAGACGCAGTCACCGTAGGGCGCAAACAGCTTACAATCCTGATCAGATGAGAGTCGATTTGCTCTGTGGGAATCCTGCTGTATCGGATGAGCAGATCGCGGATTGGCGTGATGTTATCCGGGAGGCCAGGCATAAAGGCCCATTTTTGAATCTCTAGGATGTCCATGCAACGAGATGGCGACGACGTCCAAGGGAAGGAAGTAGGGCGTGACCACGCAAAAAAAAAAAAAAAAGCTATTGATCACTGAATGCGAGATGGGTCGGATCACCGGGGTGCAGAGCTGCAGATATCTATCTTCATCGCCTAGACGCGCAGCGCGCGGGTGTCCCTCAAGCAGGTTCAAAGAAGGCCATCCATGGTCACAGCTCGGTTGTTAGTGCCCTCCTGAATGCAGGTGTCAGTCGATGTTTGTTTGGAAATGGCATCGACGCAAGGGCATCGCAGGCATGACGGTCCAGGTTGATGAGCTGGTAATTTGTAAAGGAGGCTTGAAACGCTTCCGAGGTACTACTAATACTCCATTGGCCCCGGCCCAGAGGAAGCAGGGCGCGAGGGATGCTCTAAAAAAAGCCGGCGATGCTGCTACGCCGAGAGCGGTAGCGGCTGATGGGCTATTTTTGTCGCCATCTCTGGCTTCCCGCGCGGATAGGAGCTGCATCAAGATTAAGTGGCTGCTGACTCAGAACGCAATGCCGAATGACCGACTATCTGCCGAAAGATTGTGCGATTAGGCAATTTGGGTCCGTCCTTCGTTCCAGCCAGATCCGTGCCCGTCTCCGTATCCACGGGGGCGGACTCCCGCCATATCGCACAGATTGCAGCAGAGGGAGATTGGCTGACTCATCACTAGAGACCCAACCTTGCAGAAAAAAGAGGGGCGAAGGTTTAGCCGAGAATTTGCCGCCTGGTTTCGGAGAAAATTCTTTTCCCTCCTCCCTCTCTACTCGAAGGAGCGAAAAAGCACACCAACATCCCGTCGCCTACTCCCACGCGGCGACGAGTTATTCCTTTCCGTTCAAACGGGCCAGTCTCGCAATTACCATCCTCCGTATTCCAATGCGATAGAGTGTAAGTCAGCTGTGCAGGTCGCCCTCAAGCCCGGCACCAGACCAGCAACAAAACACTTTCTACATAGACACGCTGTCGAGTGACAAGCTGACAATGGCTTCAGTATCAGTGTTGCATCGGCGCCAGATCGCCTCCAGCAGTCGCGTAGCAACCGCGTCCGAATTTTCGGCCACCACTTGTCGTAGTTTGCCCCAGAGCTCGGAGTGAGAAGCTCGGAGTGAGAAGCACAGAGTGCCAGCACTTCTGCCTATCCCTTGCCTGAGGCTGTCTGTCCTGGGCACTCGCCATTGACGGTTCCCATTGGCCTCTCCGCGTGGCAATTATGAGCCCAGGCCGTGAGGGTGAATCGGAAGAAGCCACTAATATGTCGTATCCATCACCGGGTGCCGAGGCCCTTGATGCAGGCCCATTCTATCATACGGGCACTCGCGATGAAACCCACGAGCATCACGACCCTGAGGAGCACCAGCAGCCGCATGACCAGCATGACCCCAACCAGGTTCACGCACAAGAGCAGGACCATGGCCAAGTGCCCGCACATGATCCGTCTTCCCCCCAGCATCACATCCCAAGGCCCCCCAACCTGGAGGAGCTTCAATTGGCGGCCCAGCTTGGACAAGGCCTGGCTGGAACAGCCCTGATTCCGGCCACCGACCCCAACATGAACGTGGAGGATCCAAGCATGCGTAATATTATGCCACCCGAGCCAGACCAGCATCAAACGCCGTCGTACGTTCATGAGGCACCCGCATCTGAGCACATGGTCACGCATACGATTCCAGTTCCCGTGGGGCCGCCCCTGCCACCGCAGTATTCCATGGGCGATGGCATCCCCCCCCGGAAACGATCCAAGGTGTCTCGTGCTTGCGATGAATGTCGACGAAAGAAGATTAAATGCGATGCTCAGTCAGATACCGGCGAGAGTCCCTGCTCCAGCTGTGCTCGGTCTTCTATGCGATGCCTGTTTAGCCGTGTTCCCCAGAAGCGCGGTCCCAGCAAGGGGTATGTCTTTTGTCTCTCCTCTTCTTCCTTCTCCCCTTGACTGGCATGTGTGTTGTGGTATGCTAACGCAAGAGGTAGTTATATCAAAGAACTCGCAGACAGGATACACAGCATCGAGAACAAGCTGGAGTCTGAAGGTAGTCTTACCCAAGACGAAATTGACCGACTTCTAACGCCAGGGAGCCATCGCGCTTACAACGGCTTAGTCCCCCCTGAGGAACCAGGCCGTAAGAGAGCGTTCTCGAGCATATCCGCAAGCGACTTTAACACAGCTGCTCCGCGTCAAGCACCATGGGGACCAGAGCCACGGCCAATACTCCCGGCGCCCGCATCTTCAGACACCTTTACAGGATCAGGATATGCCAACAATTCGCTGGCCCCTCAGCCTGCTGCTGTAAAGGCGGAAACAGCCCCCCCAAAGCCACCCGTTGCGTCCATGGACTCGCAGGTGGTAGAAACAGAAGAAGTGCCAGAGATTGATGAAGATTTCTTGCACGAGTAAGCACCATCCTACCTCTCCAATACTTCTTAGAGCCGTAGCTAACGGGCTATAATAGCTACCTCGCCCATGTTCAAGCCATTTATCCCATACTTCCAACTAGCAAAGCAAGGATCCAGTCTTTACTTTCACAGTGCCCGTCGTCGGTAAGGACGGCATTCATCATAGCGCTTCAAGCGATAGGCCAATCGTCGGGAGATACCCAAACTGCGAGCTCCCTTCTTCACGACTGGGAGAGCAGCGAGGCACCGCACTCGCGCGCCACCGATATTGTCCATGCTCAGACACTTCTTCTCCTGATAATCGATGCGGACTGGCGGTCTTCGTCTCAGCTTCCATTCCTTCTGGCTAGGGCGGTAGCGCTCGCAAACACGATGAAGTTGTGGAAATTCACGCCCATTGAATCTGCATCAGAGTCGGATTCAGACGACCAGCTATGTGTGCGGATTTGGTGGTCTCTCGTGCTTATGGATCGCTGGCATGCGGCTGGAACCGGAAAGCCATCGCAGATTCCCGACAGCAGCGTTGTTGCACCGGCCGGGCTGGAGAACACCGTGGGCGAGGTGTGCTATTATCTGATTCGTAAGTGTATTATTTTGTTTTATGTAAGATGAGATTACTTCGTCGTTACTAACAACAGTTTCACAGGTCTATCAAAACTATTGAATCGAATTGCATTCGTTATTTCTACAATGCAGCCAGGCACGTCTACTGCCGAGCCGGCCATGGCCGCTATTCTTGTGGATTACATTGAGAATTATCGAGAAGATCTTCCGGGCCATATCGAGGCTGTATCATATCCACTAGTACATTTTGCGTATTGGCACTGCAAGCTGCTGGTAACACTTTTGACACCCGCAGCTACACCAACGGAAACACTGTGGCCAACATCTGAGCTTGCCACTTTACTGCTGGCAAACGCACATCTCAGAAGTCCCTTTACAAACCACTTTGTATCTCTGGTTACCATGTCGTTGGCTAAGCTCGCCAAGATGGACAGCTCCCGCGAAGGGGCTACCAGACTAATGAAGGAGATCCTTGACAAGCCCACTGGAGGCCACTGGGATACTGTAAGAGAAAAGTTGACGGAACAGCTGCGGCCGACTTCGTCAGTGGAGGCTACTGCGAGCCAGGGCCTACAGCACCTGGCAGATTTAGCGACGGCACATGAAGGCATTGCACCAGGCTCGGACGACATCACATTTGGCCACACGTTGGCATCGGGCTATCTAGACGTCGCTTAAAGAGAAGAAGAAGATTCCCATTCCTTCTGGCTGGATTCCAGCCTGAGCCAAATTGACGCCATCTTTGAGGAGGAGGCCTCGAATGTATAAAACGAATGGCCTGTATTTGCATTTTTACTCCTCTTCTTACTCTTCATATTTTGTTCTTATCTCTCTAACTTTGCGTGTGTACTACTGGCCCCGTGCTCTAGCACCAGGTCCAAAAGAAAGAAAAAAAAAGCGTGGGAATGGCGATAAGTGGCAATGATGGCTTTGATTGACGATGATGCCACGGTTTTACGCTGGCTTATGATTGGTATTACTATCGCAAGGAAGACTGAACTGAGAGACCAACCGTTGTCTGCGTATTTGTTGTACTAGGCAGATTAATAGCAGTGTAATGAAAGGCAGAAAAAGAGGAGAGAAGCGTAGCATTAGCACCCCCCTCTGTGTATCAGATACATGATTCTCCATAGGTAGGGATAGTTCGATCGGTGAGGCTGAGATGGCCCATGGGGTGGGAAGGACATGGTCGTGGATCCCCTTCCTACACCATGGCTTAGTAGCTGGCTGAGCTGGGCTGAGCCACTGTCTTCGCCTGGGCCTTGACACGGTACGGCAGTTTCACCTTGATGCCGCGTATGATGTTGGATCCAAACCAAGCCACGATCATGTAGCACACAAAGCCCAGGAGTCGTCGTAATCAAAAAAGTCAACTCGTTTTAACATTCACTCCATCCCCCTTTCCGGGACATACTATCCCACCCCTCTTACTAACTTTATCCATGTCCCTGCTTTCAACCAGATGTACAGCAAGCCCATCTATCGTGCACGCCAAATAAGCTCCAGTCCTTTTACCACCAACCAGGCCACGTAACCCTCCCGATATCTATAAGCCCACCCAAGCTATGTAGATGGCTTTCTCCCAAAAGAAAAAAAAAAAAAAACCGAATGTCACCTAGGCTCTCCTAGTTTGCGGCTCCATGTATGTCCATACTTGGGGAAGGCTTTCCACCCTTTTTTTTTTCTTTTCCTACGCCAAGATCAGCCACTTGGCATGTCACGTCTCGAACGAGACTGGTCACTTTGGTGTCGAAGACCTCTGGGCGGGTTTTGTCCCACCTCTAAACCCTCAGCTGCCTCGCACTGTTTGTTCTCTTCTCTCCCTCTCTCTTTCTTCTTCACCGTTTTCTTTGTTTCTTTATCAGAAAGGATATTGTCAGGGCTGGAAAATACATTCCCGCAGCGTATTAGCTGAGAATTAGAAAAAAAAAAAAAGGTGATCATTATTACCTTTCCGGGAGACGGACAGTGTTCCATATCAAAGGATTGCCGAGTTTCAACTTCATCTCTCTCCATAATTCGAAAAAACTCCACACAATTCCGGCTATCCTTCTATTGTACACTTGTTTCCCTTCGTTTCAAAGGCCGGCTTCAGAAACAAAAAAAAAAAAAAACAACAACTTTTGTGGATAAAAAAATGCGTGTACAGTACAGTTACCGGCTACAGAGTAGGAAAAGGCGCCCCCCAATTCATATCCACAAACGCCTAGTTTCGTCCCTTCCTTGTCCCCCTAGTAGCCGTTCCGGTTTCTCCCCTTAGATACAGTATCTACTTGTACAAGTTTCAAAACTACAAAGTGGCGTTTTTTCCCCATATCAATCAACTTTTCAAATGTCCTCTTATGTAATCTTCCTACTTAAATTAAGTGGGTGGTGGTTTTGGTGGTTTTAGACTTTTACACGGAGTACTTTGTTCCTGAAGCCAAATCCTTCTTATCGCGACAGTACCTGAACTACCCAGTAGCTTAAAAAAAAAGAAGAGAGAAAATCCGGTTTAGTGGAATAGCCAAGAAACCGCACAAAAAAAAAAAAAGAACATGTCAAAAATGGCTTCTTCAAGCCTCCCCCCATTTTTTGAAACGCTCGTCGGCGTAAAAGGCAGATTTCTCGGTGTTGGATGCAAAATGCCCTTTGGCACCGACTGGAAGCAGCCCCGAGCGTATAGGTCTCGATGCAAGGTGAACTATTCTGGAGTCTCTGTCCCGGTCCTCTCTCGGGCAAGGCGATCGATCGCATGTGTCAAGTAGAAAAGCTTTGAGCGTTAGGAGCCCCAGCCATAAAAGCCAAGCAGGCTGCAATTTTTCTTGCACTGTTTGTTGGACTGGACAGTTAGTTTTTCCCTTTCTTCTCGTCGTCCGCAAACAAGAGCTACGGTGAACGTTCTTTCTTAATTTAGCGTCAATCAGCGCGGTGCCGTTGAAAAGAATTTGTAGCAAAATGCGCAACGCAAAGCTCAAAGCCGCCCATTTCTATTGCTGTGCAGGTCTATACTAAAAAAAGAGACAAAACCATCACCGAAAAGTAAAAAAAAAAAAAAAAAAAAAAAAAAAACGCTGAAAGCATACAACTCAAGCCGAGTCCTTTCAATAGAAATAACAACAAAAAAGTCTATCTGTTCCAGAAACTGTTATATACTTGTATGTGCAGCAACTCTGAACACCACTCCACACAAAAACATTGCGGATTGTATAAAAATTAGACAAAGGAAAAAGCCACCATCATGTCCTCGTAAAGCCTAGCAGACCCATTGGGTCGCTGTAGACAGAGAGAAAAAGACCCGAAAAAAAAACAGGAAACGAAATGCATCGAGACCTCCACCCAACAACGCAGATCCAGCGTCATAATGGAAAGGAAAAAAAGCCCAACGACGCACCGACAAAAACCCCAGACACCGAAGCCTTGTCCCACCTTCATTGCCCGTTTCCACCCCTCCCAAGTTGCCCCTGGTACCCTCCACCCCACAATTGTAGCCCGTGCCCCATTATATGAATTCTAGAGACGAGGAAAAAGAGGTTGCTGGCTTGTTACCCAAGCCGCAAGGGCCGGGTGTTTCAAGCGGCAAAAAAAAAAAAAGAAGAGAAGTCGAGAGGCTAGCTTTCGTAGTTGAATAAGAAGCCATTCCGAAGCAGCCATCTCGATTCGGGAAAAAGAAGCGAAGAAAAAAGGAAGTTTGATGCTCGCGAAAGTGTCGCTCAAAGATAGCCGACCGAAATAAATCAGGTACGCCCTCCAGACCACCCAAAAAGCCTTTTTTTTTCGATGTATATAGCGATATTTCCAACGCCTTTGTCGTTACGCGTTCAAGAAGCCAACCACACCAAGGGGGTATTCTGTACGCCATAAAAAAAAGTAACAAAGTGTAAAAAAGAAAACATGGAATAAACCAAAAGAGGAAGAAGGAAAAAAAAAAAATCACATTTCCCAGTAGCCAGGTAATGAGCCAGCTCCAAGAGTGTCGGAGTTGCTGTCGTCGACGGTGGCGACAGTGCCGCTGTAGTTCGGGATGTAGAAGGCGGGGTCGTCTTCGACCGTGGAGAAGTCGCCAGTCAGAGCCTGGTTATCAGCCTTGTCGAAAAGGCTGTAGTCAATGCTGGTCAGGTCGACGTTTGCCTGTCGTAGGTAACTGCCGCTGGTGGAAAAACCGTCGTATTCGCCCTCGCCACCGGGCATAAAGTCTTCCACCTCGGAGACGTCGCCGGATGTGGATGTTGTGCCGGCGAGCGTGGGCAGATTCTCAGAGCCGCTGCCAAAATCGAAGTGGCCGGTGAATTGTGTGCCGGCTTGGCTGTAGCTGGAGGGAGTAAAGGTGTCACCGTTGGCTTCCCTCAAATCGTAGTGGCTCCAGTCGACTGACTGTGCCAGGCTGGCGCTCAGGATGGGCGCATCGGCATCCGGAAGCCCGCTGGGGAAGAGATCGAAGCCCGGAGGGCTAACGTATGTTGCGTAGTTTGAAATGCCCGACAGATCCAAGGGGGGCAAGTTGCCGTTTAGCTGCGTGAAGTTGGAGGCAGACAGCAAGGGAGATGCCGCTTCCGACTTGACCTGTCGCTGCTCGCGGCTCATGAAGCTGTGCTGCACTGCTGCGTGACCCTCGCCGTGCTGGTACAGCAGGCTGTCTGTGCTGTTCCCAAGGCTGCCGGCACTGGCGGCCGAGTTGACCCTGTTGAGCTGATAGGGCCCGCACTTCTGGGAGGCTCGGTTGTGCTTGGCCGGCTTGTGGTGGCCGTGCTGGTCAAATGTCATGCCCATGTCGGACGAGTGAATGGTATTGGCCCGTCGTCTCCTGGGGACCGGGCGAGGAGGAAGGGTGGCGCCCTTCATTTCGCCTTCAGAGTCGGACTCTGGAACGGTGTCGAGTGGCACATCAGTCTTTCCGGCACAGGTGCATCGTCCACCATGGTTGCAGCAGCAGGTCTCTGGGCGACACGACAATAGTTTAGAAGTGAGACCTTGGCAACTGAGTCGCTCGTATTCTGTAGACTCACCAACATGGCCCTCGGCGGGTGGTTGCAGATGGATGCACTTGCTGGTCTTTTCGCCGCAGTCACACTTTATATGGGCGGATCGCGACTTGCGCATTGAGCGACAGTGCGCACATTGGGAGATGGGACGGCCCTTTTTGTTGATGTGCTGGAGCGGCCGGTCTGTTGCACAAGAAGAGCTGCGAGTTAGCACAATTGATCAATGTCTTACAACAGGAGTGGTAGCGGCAGCAGCAGCAGCAGCAGCAGTTGCAGTTGCGTGTTACACGACGCATCCAACAGCTCTCGGCAACCAGCAAAAAGCAAGTGCTGCACACATGGAAAAACGGACAATTAAAGACAGACCAGGGCGGCAGGGCTGCTGGGACGGGGGGGACACCGCGGGGCAGAACTTGGTTCGCAGCAGAGTTGAGGCGACTTACTTGCGTGCTGACAGTTGCTGACACGGTGACCGCGCACACATGCCTCGCAGGCATACTTCTCGCCGTCGATTAGCATGTTGGAAGAGTCGTGATGTGTGATGTTTAGCAGAAGCAGGCGAGGAGGGCGAGGACACGGTCCAGGAAGTGATGGATTAAAAGCAGAGTTTCAAGGTCTCTGGCAGGCTGTAGTTCGGCTCTGGATCGGCGGCTCGGGGCACGGGGAAAAGGGCAGGGCCAAGCAGGGCCGATGCAATTTTGTGTGGTGCGTGTGAGTTTTGCGCTATTGCGCCGAACCTGGGGGGTGGGCGTAGGACCAGGATGGCCAGAGTGGGCACCGATGCGCAGTTGCATGCGCTACAGGCGCATCAGAAGCTAGAAAGGGGAAACCCGCCAGGCGAAGAAGAACTAAGGCGCTGCTAGGCGTAGGCCCCAGGGCTAGAGCTAAAGGCGGGAGGCGATGAAGTAGCCCGTAGCAGCACAGCTGAGCCAGACGAGATCCGCCCGTGACAGGTTGTTTCTGCCGAGCCAGAGGATCAAACAGGTAGAATGTCGTATGCAGCTCCGTACCGTACCGTGGCGTACAGTAGGTGAGCACGGGTGGATATGGCGACCAGGCAGGTATAAGCGGTAGCGTGTGCTATACCTGCGTAGTGTATACTATAAAGCAGTTGAGTATACAAGTATGGAGTGGATAGATGTCGATATGGAGAAGTATGGAGTCTGGAGTAGTGGTACAGGTACTATAGTCGTAGGTCAGGTACTGTACAGTATAGCAGGTGCTATTTCTCCGGATCGGTTGCGCTGCGGCGTCAAAGAAAGCAAAGCAAGGCAAAGCAAGACGCCGTTGGTGGCCCTCGGCAAAAGGCAGTTGATCAGGACTGTCCAGAAACGGGCTGATGGCGCCAATGCCTTCGAGATGAACAAAATGTCCTGCGTTATGGAAAGCCGGAATCGACAGGCGGCACAAGAGGTTGCTGCGTTCCCGTGTCTCCCGCGCGTCCTGCTGCCAAAAAAGGGCCCGGCTCAAGGTTGTCTGTATCAAAGGCCAAGCGAGTTTGGCGCCAGCCCGGGAGCCGCTAGCTGGGAGCTGGTACAAATATCGGTTTAGCCCAGGTCAGCCGAGACCTGCTCAGTGTCGTCAACCTGCAGCAGAGCAAGCGGATCCAGCCAGACAGGTTCTGCTTTGCGCGCACGCGGGTAACAATAGCCGTGGTAACGTGAGAACCGGTGGTGGTGGTATCTCGTAGCAGTGGTAACGGAGGAGGGGCAAATGACGGCAGATGAGGAACGGCGATGTGTAAACGGAATAGAAGAGAGACGAGGGGTGCAAGAGCAGGAGAAGACGACGACGACGACAAAAGGAGCAACTGCCGCTGCTTCTGCCGCTGCTACTGCTATCGAGTAGACGAAGAAAGAAGAGTAGATGTAGATGTATGTAGATGTAAAAGTAGAAAAGAAAACATGTGGGATGACTCGTGAGATATCGACGAGACAAGGAGAGGGGAGAATGGGAAAAGGCTCCGAGCGTCTCGGCGGACAGGACGGGCTGCTCAATGTGTTTATTCTTGGAAACCCAAGTCAATGCGTGTAAGACAATAGACGGACAGACGGACGAGCAAAATGGTCAGAGCAAAAGGGAAAAAAGCGGGTGGAAAGAGGGCAGTGTTTCTGTATATATGCACGAGACGGGCATCAATCGAGGTAGGTACACACGCCGCAGTACCTACCTGTGATTGACCAACGGCAGCATGGATCGCACGTCCGTGTATTGATTAATCACTCTTGTGCCGTCGAATCGCCAATGCCCGTTCGTCAGCTCTCGCTCCCTTCTGCTTCTGGCTCGTGCTGGCTCGGCCATGAACCGCCCATCCTGAATCAAACACTGGGCGGGCTGGCACAATGACGGTTGTCACAGCTGCTGAGCAAGGCCCCGGGGGTGCGACTCGAACCCTCGACTCGAACAAGGGGGCAACGAGCGAAACCAGGCCAGCCCAAACGGCGCGTGGGACGCTCTACCGATGCGGGCTTGGCCTTTGCTCGTACAGTGCCGCAGGACAGTGAAATCCTGCAGCAGGCCAGGCCAGGCCGTTTCTTCTTCCTCTTCTGCGGCGGCTCCGCTCTGCCGTGCCAGAAACGAGCAAATGATAGATGATACAGTACTGTAGGTACTTCGGGGGGGGGGGGGGGGGGCGCTTCTAGACTTGGATCGCGGCGTGGCGCACAGGGCGAAAGGCGGTTAGCTGTAGTGGTTAATTGCGTTCTTGCCTGGCTGATGGTGTGCAGCAGAAGCAGGTCGCATGAGTGGGATGGTTGATGCGCGCCCGAAGAATTCCGCGCCTTGCCTGCTCAACCCGGCGCGAAAGAGACAATGATGTGCGGAGGAGCAGCCTCTCGAGAGCTGCCGTTTGCCTTGCCTTGCCTGCCTCGCCCAGCCCAGTCCGGCCCATCTCGAATCGCCATCGATCGGCGGCGTTGTGGTCTGCATTGCGCTGCTTCTTGCGATCAAATGGGATGGGCCGGCTTAGACTTGGGACGGAGGCGAAAGGGGAACAAGGACCAGGACCGGCCAGCGCTGGCGGTCGCGGTACG